ACTATATATTATTAAAAAATATAATTAATTCTTTTATTATTAATATTATTTTATATAATTATTATAAACTTTATTACTTATTTATTAAAAATATTAATAAAATAAATATTATAAAATTATTAATAACTCTTTTTTAATATATTTATAATAATAATAAATAAATTCTTTAAAATATTATTTATTATTTTAAATAATTTAATATATATTATTAGAAATTAAATTTAAATTCTTCTTAAATATTATATTTAAATAATTAAAGAATCTTATAATAAATAATCTTTAATTATAATAAAAGTTTCTATTTATATTTTAAAAGAACTTTAAAATCTATTAATATAAAGTTTTTCTTTTATTATATAATACTTTTAAATTAATAATTAATTAAAATTAAAACTATATAATTAAAGTAATTATATATATATAAACTATTATAAACTTTAATTAAAATAAATAAATATTATATTAATATTATAATTTAATTTAAATAATATATATAATAAAATAACTAAATATTTTATAAATTAAATTTTATATAACTTTAATATATTAAATATTATTATTATTATTAAAGTATTTATTATTAAGTTTAAAAATATATTAAAAAAGCTTTAATTTCCTTTATTAAAACTTAAATATTTATTAAAGAATATTATAACAAAAAGTATTATTAAGTTTAACTTAATATTAATAATTAAATATACTTTAATTTAAAATAAAATATTATCTTTTAAATAAACCTTTTATAAATATTTAAAATAATATATTAATTTATTTTAATTAAAATTAAAATTAATAAACTAATATATTAATTTAAAATACTATTTAATATAAATATATATTTAATAATATTTATATTATAACTTATATTAAGTTTTTATTAATAATTAATTATATAAATAAAATAAATTATTAAAAAGAAAGTTAAAATTAAAATAATAAAAAAATTAAAAGTATTTAAGTATTATAAAGTTAGTTATATAATTTAAAGGAGAGATTAAAGAATAAAATAAAATAAATAATTATAAAATATTTAATTAAATAAATAGATTATTTTAATTATTATAATATTTAAATATTAATAAAATATTTAAATATAAAAGTTAATTTAAAGTTTTAAAATTAAATATATTTATATAAATAAATTATAATAATAAATAAGAATTATAATTAATAATAAATTATTATTATTAAAATTAAAAACTTAAAGATATTAATTTATATTAATATAAATAATTAAATAATAAAAAATAAAATTTTATTATACTTTAAAATATATTAATATAAATATATTAAAATTAAATTAAATTATAAGGATATATTATAAATAGTAAAAGTTTTAAATAAAATAAGTTTTAATAAATTTATTATAAAAGTATATTATAATAAAGTTAACTTTAAAATATTATAAGTTATATTAAAATAAATAAAGTTATATATTAATTTATTATAAATTTATTATAAAAATAGTTATTATTTATTTTTATATAATTTAACTTACTTATAATATATTAAACCTTTATTTTATTTAAATTTAATTTTATTATATTACTTTTATTATTATTAATTTATAACTTTATATTATTATTAATATTTTTATTACTATTATTTTTAAATACTTTATTATTATTTATTAAACTACCCCTTTATTACTATATTATATTTAATTATAAATATTAAAGTTAACTATAACTTTATTTTAATAAATACTTTATTATATTAAACTTTTATATTATATTATATTTTATAAATTAAAATTTAAATATTATTTATTTTAATATAACTATATAATAAAGTATTATTATTAAATAGTTAATTTATATAAAAGAGAAACTATTATTTAATAAATATTATTAAATAATATATCTATATAATAAAGAAACTAATATTACTTTATAAATATATATTATATTAAACTAATATAATAACTTACTTATTTATTATTAAAATAATTATATTATATTTTAATAAATACTTATTAATAAAGAATATAATAAACTTTTAAATTATATTATATAATTTAATATTTTTATTTTATATGTTTTTTTCTACTTTTTTAATTAATTAATCTATTATTTAAATATAAGTTTAAACCTTTTAATATTTTATTTATTTTTATTTAAGTTAATTATAATAACTTATTATATTATAATTAAAAGTTATACTTTAATAATTAATTAAGTTAATAAATATTAAATAATTTTACTAACTAATAAAAAATAAATAAATTTATAACTATTAGATTCTTTTTAAAACCTTTAAATCTATTTATATATAGCTTTTTTAAACCTATATTATTAAGGTACTTTATTATATAAATAATATTATTATTTAATTTATATAATATTTATTATATATTAAAATAAATATAATTAATTTATTTATAATAAAGTTTAAGTTAATATAATTATTAAAAGGTTAATATTTTTAATATATTATTATTATAATAGTATATTTAATTAATAACCTTACTTTTTACTTTAATATTTAAATAGTTAAATTTTTAAAAAATAAGCTATTATTAACTTTATTTATAAGATTAATATTATTATAAATTTAAATAAGTTAAAGACTTTAAGTTAAATTATAGCTTATTTATAATTAATATTTATTAATTATAAATATTATATAACTATTAACTTTATTAAGAATAATAAGAATAAAGGTTTTATTTATAAGAAATCTTTTAAGTTTACTTTTAATTAAACTTTTAACCCTTTTATTACTTTTAATTATATTATTATTATATTTAAATATTTAAATAAAATTAATATTACTACTCTTTTACTATTATAAAAAAGTATTTCTTTTAAATTATTACTTTTTTATAAGTAAATTTAATACTATAATAATTATTAAATTTAATATTATTATAGTTATTATTATTACTTATTATAATAATTAATTAACTTAAATTAAGAACTATACTATTATTAATAGTTATTAAATTAATCTTATCTTTTTATTAATAGTAAAACTTAAATATATAAATCTTAATTAAGCTTATTAAAATATTATTATAATTATTAATAAAATAAAGGTAGTTAATAAAATTAATAATTTAAATAAACTTTTATTTACTTTATTTTTATAATATCTTTTATAAATATAGTAACTTTAATATTATTATTATTTATTATTATAAAGGTAGTAAACTTAATTAAAATATATTTTTATTACTTAAAAGTTAAATACTTTATTATTTTTAGTTTTAATTATAAGAATATATTATATTATTAAATTATTAAACTTATTAATTATATAACTTATTATAGTATTATTAAAATCTTTATTTTAAATAATATTAAAATTAAATTTATTATTAATATTATAATTAATAAAGTTATAAAGATTATTTAAAAGTTAATAATAATATTAATTTATTTAATTTATATAATTATTAATAAAAGAGTTAATTCTTTATATATATTAATATTATTTTATTTATTTTTTATATTAATTAAATTATAATTAACTTAAATTAACTATTAAAGTTATAATATTTTAATATTAATATATAATATATATTATATATATTATTAGATAAATTAATTAAATAAATAATAAATTAAATTTAAATTAATTATAATAAGTAATATATTATAATATAAAAGATATATAGTTTTAAACTTTAAATTAATTAATAAATTATATATATTTATTATAAATTTATATATAATATTAATATTATTATAATATTATTATTAATAATACTACTTTATATTATTTATATTCTTACTTTATATTAATATAATTATTTACTTATTATTATAATATTTTATATTTTTATAATAATTAAACCTACTTATTAAATTACTAGCTTATATAAAATAAATTATTATTAAAAGGTAATTAATATATTTTATTATAAATTTATAGTAAATTTATTGTTTTATTATAAATTTATAGTAAATTTATAGTATTTATTAATCTATTATAAATTTATAATAAATTTATTATATTAAAATACTTAGTAAATTTACTAGGAATTTATTAAGCTATTAATTTATTTTATTTTTATTAAAATATTAATTTTATTTTTATTAAAATTAATTTTTAAATAATAAATAATTAATATTTTTAAATTAAATAAATATAAATTAATTTTAAAGTAAATTTTATAATTATATTATATTAAATTTATAAATGTTTATAATATTTTAAAAATAAACTTTATTTATATTATAATAAAATTTAAAGTTATTTAAAGAATTTTAATTAATTTAATTTTTAATAATAATTATTATATTTTAAATAAATAAATTAAGTTTATTAAATTTATTTTTATTTTAAAAATATTTTAAATTATTATTTTATATTAAAAATTATATTTAATAAATTAATAATAATATAATAATAATTTAATTTTTAATTATATAAAATATTAATTTTAAATTATAATTTAATATTTTTATTTTTATATAAAATTATTTTTAATTATAAATTTTATAAAAATTAAAATAATATAATTTATATTAATATATTTAATTATTATTAATTATAATAATTATAAAAATATAATTATAAAAATAAAAGAAATTTAAAAAATTTAAAAATATAATATAAAAATTAAATAAATAAAAAAAAAAAAGAAAGAAAAAAGAAAGAAAGATAGAAAGAAAGAAAGAAAAAGAAAAAGAAAGAAAGAATAAATAAAAAAAAAGTAAAAAATAAATAAATAAAAAGATTAAATAAAAAAATTAAATAAAAATAAATAAAAAATTAATAAATTAATAAAAAAATTAATAAAAATAATTAATAATAATTAATAAAAAAAATTAATAAAAACAATTAATAAAAAAATTAATAAAAAATAAAAAATATAATTTTTTAAAAGTTTAAATTTAAAACTTTAAAATAGAGATAGTTAATAGAAGGGGTAGGGTGAGTAAATTAATATTTTTAACTTTTTTTATATTTATTACTTTAGACCACCCTATCTAAGTACTTAAGTAGTGTCGCTTTCTCAGCTATAGTGGACCCTGGTGCTGCAAGGGTGTCAACCGAGACTCTAACACATGCATTATGATTCTCGCCTCTCCTTAAAACCCAAGTCTACATTCTTTCCCCCGCCTGCACCTCTGCCTCGTCAACGTCTGCCCCTACTGCAGGCATCGAGCTGAGGTGCTTCCATCACCGTCACCATGAAGCTCTTCAACATCCTCCAGCTACCGGCGTTGCTGGCCGCGGCCCTCCTGAGCGCCGCCCTCGTTTCCGCAGAGCACACCAGCAACTGGGCCGTCCTCGTCTGCACGTCACGCTTCTGGTTCAACTACCGCCACCTAGCCAACGTCCTTTCCATATACCGCACCGTCAAGCGCCTGGGCATACCAGACTCCCAGATCATTCTCATGCTGCCCGACGACATGGCCTGCAACCCGCGAAACGCATTCCCCGGCACCGTCTACTCCAATGCCGACCGCGCAGTCGACCTGTATGGCGACAACATCGAGGTCGATTACAGGGGATACGAGGTTACCGTCGAGAATTTCATCCGCCTGCTGACGGATCGCGTCGGCGAGGAGACGCCCAGGAGCAAGCGGCTCCTGACGGATGATCGAAGCAACATCCTGGTCTACATGACGGGCCATGGCGGAAACGAGTTTCTGAAATTTCAGGATGCCGAGGAGATTGGCGCTTTCGACCTAGCGGACGCCTTCGAGCAGATGTGGGAGAAGAAGAGGTACGGCCACGTCTTGTCACGGCCCTGACGTCGCAACAAAAGGCTAACACAGGCTCATATTGCAGATACCACGAGATCCTCTTCATGATCGATACCTGCCAAGCAAACACAATGTACACTAAGCTGTACTCTCCAAATATCATTGCCACCGGCTCTTCCGAGCTTGACCAGTCTTCGTATTCCCACCATGCAGACAATGACGTCGGCGTGGCCGTCATCGATAGGTATACGTATTACAACCTCGAGTTCCTCGAAGGCGAGGTGCGGGACCTCAGCAGTAAGAAGACACTGGGCAACCTCTTCGACAGCTATACGTATGAGAAAATACACTCTCACGCTGGCGTGCGGTACGACTTATTCCCAGGCGGAGAATCGGCAGCCAAGGCAAGGCTGGTAACGGACTTTTTCGGCAATGTACAGAATGTAGAGGTTGACGGCACGAAGAACAACACACTCGAGGAGGACCTGTTGGCACTCAGCAAGCACATAGCAGAGCTAAGGAGGAGGGTTGGTGAGGACGAGGGCAAGGGTCCACAGAAAAGTGTGACAGAAGAAGAAAAGAGGCGCGAGGCTAGCAACAACAGGGTGAAGTCTGCTAAGCCGTTGACAAACGAGAACTGGTGGGCCAAAAAGCTTCTTGGGGCTGTTGTTGTTGGAGGCTGCATCTCAATCTGGGGCCTGGGCTCATTTCTGGAAAAGTCAACCAGGTAGCACGGTAGATGATATATCCCTCCATCAAGCGATTGAATTTCATAATTTTATCTTTCAATCTGGTCTTGGCCCCCACATGCGGCAAACCCAAGGTATTCACTTTGTGTGCCGACCCTCCGTGAGAAGTGTCGCAGTCTATTTTGGAGGTTGGTGGAGTGAGGGCGATGGCTTCAGTGATGGCAATTCTCGAGAATCAGAAGCATCAAAATTTGTCATCACCACTGTGAAAATGGTTTGTAGGTTATTTGTTGCGCAGCAACTATACCAGTGGATGTATTTGGGGTGTGGGTGGTTTTAGGAGGCCAGTGAGACACGAAATCTAGTGTCGTCGACTGGGGAGCGCAACCATTGAAAAACTTCACTCCTTCAACCCATCGTACACCAACTCAATGTACCATGCCCAAACACTACACCAACCGTACACTGCTCCCATTCGTTCATTCTGGAATTACCTGAGACGACGAAGCGAGCCTGGTTTCAACGACACATAATTGAGCTCAGCCAATCGCTCGAAATGAAAGACTCAAAAGTAGGTCCCGCTTTCATTGAATGCGACACGCCATCGGGTCTAACGCCGATCCGCAGATACTACCGCTTCGCGGCCTCAATCTTAATTCAAAACCGCTCAACCACAGGGCAATAGCATGGTCCTGCGATGCAGAACTGGCAGTCGCAGCTGATGACTCACTGGTTGTTTTCCTGCCAGAGTTCCCTATCCTGGACCCAAATGACGGGGACGAGGCCGAAGATGAGGACGAGTCCATGGGCGAAGATGACGCCCAAGACTTGCAGGTGCAGGACGGATATCTCTCATCACGTCTCCCAAAGCAGTATGGCGAAGGAGAAGACGACGACGAGGATCGGCTCGAGGACGACTCAGAGGACGACGACATCGAGGCTGCCGCCGCTGGCCAGATGAACGGCCCTGACAAGCCAGACATGGGCGCCGGGGACGACACGCACCAGGCAGCGACGCGCGCCAACATTGACCCGCTCGACACGTCCGACCCGCGGCGCCAGTTCTTCGACGGCATGCGGCACTTCCCCGTGTCGTGGCCATACCTGAGCGCCGACCTCAACGCGCACGTGTGGGAGGCCGCAGGCAAGCAGATGCCGCTCCTGCACACCAATGTGCGCGACCACCTCGATCGCGACGTCACGCACATCCTGGAGGCCATGCCCAAGGACGCCGAGCAGGAGGCCGAGTACATGGAGAGCGGCGCCGTCGTCCCCTTCCACGAGGTCAACCACCACCCGGGAGCCGGCGTCGGCCTGATCGGCTCCACCGGCACCAGCATGAACCACGTCGTCGCGATCGAGTGGTCACCCAGCGGGCTGGGCCGCAACCGGCGCCCCGTGCTGGCCGTGCTGACTGGGTGTGGCGGCCTGTCTGTCTACGGCGAAGGCTGTGCGCTGCCCTTTGGTAGCACGGTTCGGCCCTTGAGGAGCGTGGCTGCCAAGGGCAAGGGGGCAGCTAGGGACCTGGCCAGCTGGGTAGTGCTGTGGGCCGTGGGCGAGAATTTCGTCGTTCCTGGACAAGAGGATTACGGTTACGGCGAATTCATCAAGGCCTTCTCCTGGAGCCAGGAGGTTGGGCCAGGAAAAGCCTTGCTTGGCTATATGAATGACCTGAGAGAGATTGTGGTACTGTCTGTTGGGACTGAATACCGGACAACCAAGGAAGATGGTCTGGAGGAGGCGGTCTGGAATGTCCATGAGATCAGCAGGTTCGAAGTCGAGGTGCCCCATCGACAGCAGGATGTGAGTTGAGAACATACACGTGCCTAGGGGGTTGAACTAATGATGGGCGCAGGTCAACGATCCAGACTATGTCCCTGGAGCATCTAGCTACTGTATACGTTGGAGCCCATGGCTTCGAGCGAAAGACACATGGACGTGTGTGTTATCATACATGGAAAGGAACTACGTTGGGTTTCGGAGGATCACCCTCAACGCCCCAAGTTGGAAGCCCAGCGAGCAGCCGAAAATTACCGTCGATCCCAGCGATTTGGATGGCCGCTGCGTTCACCTGGGCCCGGATGCCTTCCTGGAATTTGAGAACATGGTGTGGGATGTTTCCAGCACGAAACTCTGCCGTGGCTATATCGCCACACCACTCATCGCCCAGCCCTTCGAGGTCGACATTACGCGCAGCAACCCGAACAGGCCAAAGTCCGAACACTCCACCGACCAATGCGATACCTCGCTTCCGAGCCACGAGCTGATTACAAATCCCATCACCGGCCTGGTTGTCCATCCTCCAGGTCTCCAGACCGTCAGCCCTTCGTTAGTGCCTTCCTACACCGCCGTTCGTCTCTCTGCGACAGCTACAAACCCCGCCTGGTGGGAGTCGAATTTGAACAAGCCTGGTGACCAAACCGGTGAGCCACAATGGGTGGCAGAGATCCAGCAGAAGATCTGCTCTAAACTTCCTCAGGGGTTAGCGGGCCGAGTGGGCATCTTCGGCGACGATGGGGAGGACGGGGAGGACGGAATCGAGCCCGACGACGGCGCGGAAGCCGCAAACGCAGGACCCGACGGCGATGATGACGTCGGGTCGGAGGAGTCCTCGGACGATGAAATGGACGAGGGCGACGGGTACGTGGGTCCGGACGTCCACCCGCACCGAATGCGCATCTGGGGCCTCACCATCTCGCCAGGTGGCGGTTCGACGGCGGTGCTCGCCACCACGCAGCTGACACAGAAGCCCGAGCGTGGCGGCTGGCACAGTCACCGCAGCCGCGTCATGTTCGCGTACACGGAGGGCGGCGCCCGGCGGATGGGACAGCAGCCGCCGCCGCCGCCGCCACAGCAGCAGCAGCAGCAGCAGAGGCCACTGCGGCCCGAGGACTTCCTGGACCCCAGCCTCGGCGGGACGCTGGGAACGGAAGACAGCCCCCAAAACGTGGACAACCTCACCACCGAGGCCAGGCTGTGGGAGTGGATGTACGGCGGCGGGCCTGGCGTGCCCGGGATCACGCACTATGCATACCCCCCGGAGGCGGGTGACGGCACGATCAGCCCCGGAAGGGCAGCACAAGAGGCCATGGACGCGCTCGCGCAGGCGCGGCGCGACCGGGTCAGGGACATCTTCCGGCCGTTCGTGGAGGGGCAGACGTGCGAGATCTGCGATGACGGCAGGACCAGGTTCGGGCCCATCCCCGGCGCCCGAGACCAGTCGCACGACGGGGCCATGGGCGGCGAGGGCGCGATCGGTCGCCAGCTCGACTGCATCTGCGAGAACGGGCACCGGGTCGCCGTGTGTGGCGCCTCCGGGCTCGCGATCGGGGAGCCGGGGATATCACGGTGCTGCGGGGTGTGTCGGTCACGGTGCATCAACATTGACGTCCTGGTCAATAAGGTGCTTCTCCCGGCGGGCAAGGCGGACGAGGCTGAGGTTGTGAGGAGGGATATCACGGGCGACGTCTGTGTCCGGTGTGGGGGGAAGTACCTTGACTAGTATATGGTAGGTGTGGAGGACTGTTTAACGCAGAGTGTATTCGCGTATATTCTAGATATTTGTCTAGGTATTTTATAAAGGGACAAGAAACTCAGGCATGTGCCTGCCGACTCTAAATGCTTGTAAAAACCAGTGGGTAACCACCAAACGCTTCAAAGAGACCCGAGACGGCCCATCGTCGTCGTCGTCGTCATCATCATCACCATGCATCCTTTCTAGGCCGGAACTATGACTGGACCAATGCGCGCCGTTGAGACGGCCCGTGACGATGTTAACTATTCAAAGACGCCTTGCTTTTGTCCACACACGCACACACGCACACACGCAAACACGTAAACAGCCGTGCCTCAGCCGAAGGCCTTGTTCATGGCCTGGTGCGCCAGCTCCACGCCGAGGAAGGTGGCGGCGTTGGCGGGGACGGCCCTCGCCAGGGCGGGGCCGAAGCCGGGGAAGAAGGACCGGATGCCGCCCTTTGCGTACAGCTCCCGGATGATGCCGCCGACGGTGACGTTGCCCTCGGAGGTCTGCAGGCGCGACTTGACGGTGTCGACGGGGAAGACGGGGATCCACATGGCGACGCCGGCGGCGGCACCGGCGCAGGTGATGGCGGTCAGGCTGAGCTGGCCGCTGGGCTTGCCGGTGGCCGGGTCGAGCGGCGTCAGCTTGCGCTTGATGTACTCGTAGGCGGCAAAGTAGGCGGCGCTGCCGGGCCCGTCGCGGGCGAGGGTGGCGGCGCTGCCGCGGAAGACGGAGCGCACGCCGCCCTCGCGGTAGAGCTGGCGCACGACGTCCAGGCCGCCGTTGTAGCGGGGCTTCTCGCCGGGGGCGAGGCGCTGGTCCTGGACCTGCAGGATGACCTTGACGCGCTCGAAGGGGGCGGTGATGGCGGTCATGGGGATGGCGGAGAAGAAGCCGGCGGCGGAGACCTGGGCGATGGAGAGGGAGCCGTCGGCGGAGGGGGCGGTGGTGCTGCGGACGATGGTCTTGCCCAGGTCGTAGCCCCAGAAGGACACGGCGACTGCGCACGGGGTGGCGGTCAGCAACGGCGGGAGAGGAGGAGGAGGACAAGGGGGAAAAAAAAGAAATCGTACACATCGGGGTGACGCCGACGAGCGGGGCGCTGACGCCGGCGTAGAGGCCACGCCTCAGGCCATCCCTCGCGACACTCTTGCGCACGACATCGAGGGCGCTCGAGTAGACGCCCTTGTCGGCGGTCTGCAGGCGGACCTTGACGAGGTCGAAGGGGTGGCCGACGACGACGGCGCAGAGGCCACCGAAGCCGCCAGCGGCGAGGGAGCGCAGCTGGGCGAGCCCTGCCGAGGCGGCGGCCTTTGCCTCGGCCTTTGCCTGGTCCTTTGACTCTGGGATGTGCGGGACCTTGTGTCCGATCTGGGCGGGGACGGCGTTCTGGATGGCCTGGTTGATGGAGGCGGCGGGGTTATCGTTGGAGGCCATGGCTGGCGAGGCAGTCGTCGAGATGGGTGTGGTGTATGGGGCCTTGTGTCTTCTCTGGTGCGGTTCTGCGGTTCTGCAGTTCTGCAGTTCGTTCCAGCCCCGTCGGTCCGTCCGTCCGTCCGCCCGTTGCCCGGAATGCGCCTAGTCCTCGAGCTTGTGGATGTGAAACCGCGCGTGCTGAGGTGGATGTCCTTTGTCCTATGTCCTATGTCCTCTGTGCTGATACACCTGGCTCTCGTCGTCGTCGTCGTCGTCGTCGTCGTCGTCTCCGTTTTTGTGTTGGCCGATCCGAGTCTGGGGGCCGGGTTGACAATTCCCGCGGTATTATAAAAGGGCGGACCTTGGGTTTGCGACGTCACGGCCGAGCCTCGGCTAACTTTGTGGTGGTGTGCAAGTCAATGGCGCTGCGGCTTAGCCTAATCTTGTGCCGACCGCAGCTTTACCCCCACGTCGCACCTGCGCCCTTGACCCTGTCACCTGGGGTCTTGTCTTTTTTCTTCTCTTCTCTTCTTTCTTTCTTTCTTCTTCTTTTCTTTGTCTGTCTGGGGTGATGACTCGGCCTGTTCCGGAACGGACAATGGTAGTCGGCTCGGTGGTGACTTGCTGTGCTGTGCTGAAGATCACGGTCAGATTTAAGCCTCGGCAACTCGGGCGCAGCTCTCCATAAATCTTTCAACAGTTACTCCGTCTCTACCAAGCAGCTGAAGATGGGGTCGGGAGGTGGGTCCAGATCCATCCTGACCGCCAGGCCCGATCCCCAGATTTTTATACCGTGTACCCAGTACCCAGTACTCTTATTATCCACTCCACTCATCCCGCGCCCTGGGTCGGATGACAGCTGGCGAATCCGTCCCAGCGCACCCTCCTCTTGATGGGGTGGTTGGGTGGGATATGACTTCATCCACACCTGCGGGCCAGAGGAAGGATGCGCAGCCCCGACTGCCCGACGCCCCCTTGTCCGGTGACATGGAGCTGTGATTTCTGATTTCTGATTGCTGATTGCTACTGGCAATGTCAGCCGCTGCGGACCGGCGGAGGCCAAGCAGCCCAGACGTCGGCTTACTTGGCGAGTACCAGCCAACTGCCCGGACATGGCAGATCCGCCATGACAGACAGAGTATAAGGCCCAGGCAGAACTGGGAGGGAGATGTGGCAACCCCAGAATCCAGAATCCCGAGGACACGGCTGGGTAGGAGGTGCCCAGCCTATATACCTACCTAGGTACTTAGTACCTACTTAAGCCGGCAGTAATGAGTAGGTGGCTTCCGAGGTCGTGAGTGAGGGGCAGTCCACACGCAGCGGCTGGGCCTGCATGACTCCATGCTACACAACAGTGCCCAGCCACAGGAGACTGCCCCGATTCGACGGCAACGATGCCACCTGCTGGGCATTTCACAATGTTGTCAATAGCCCACTCACATACATAACAATCAACAGACAGAGCCCCTGCGGCTTGCTCGTCTTTGGTTCGCTTCCCACGCAAGAGTGTTTCCCATCGAGAATGGGTGTTATAGGAGCACACTCTATGCAGAGAAGACTGATAGACATCCAAAGCATAAAGAATAGTTCTTTGTCCCTGGGATCCCACCTCTCAACCCCCTACCTCCGAATCTACCAAGTGCCTCATCCTATGGAATTGGAGGGAAATTCACAGATACATTTTCTCCCTAGTAGAGTTCCAACGTAGCATATCAGAATTTGTTTGTGGTGTGGCAGTTTAAACACCTAGGTAGGCTGCGGGATGCCCTTACATATACAGTCCCTGGGCAGCCAATACCAATTCTCAAGCGACGCAACATACCTAGGTAGCAAAATGCAAATCACGACAAGCCAGCAATCCCGGTACCATATAGTCATTGTGTCATTGCAATTCGAACTGATAGCAAAGCTCTTTTGCTGTCGGCATACAAGGACTCCTGCCCTCCCTCGCTGCACCGGATTAATTACCTTGGTACCTAGATAGCAAAGATGGTATTACAACACCCCCCCCACCCACCCTCCCCCAAAAGAACACAACACAATCAATGCATGGCCTCCGGCATCTGTGCAGTTACGCTTTTACATATCGGAGATGCGAGTAAGAGAATAAACTTTTGTATCCAACCACCTCCCCACCAGCTTATTTCCCCTTTCTATCTTTATCGCTCCGCCGTTTCTGTCGCCTATCGTGCTTCCTCGATTCCCGTGCGTACTGCCCAGGCACCTTATCTTGATCCAAATGACGCTCCAGCATGCTCAACTCCTTCTGCAGGCCCTCGGCCTGTACGTGGTCGGAGAGGCTGCCGGATGTTGAATTACGCTGCTGCATGCTGCCAGGCGTGAGTCTGACAAGCTCATCCAGTAGCGCAGAATATGACGTTGCCAGTGGTGCATGTCGGTTTGTGCGGTCGACATTAGTTGTCTCTCGTGCCGTGTAATCTGAACTCCAACCACCAACGCCCATCAGGGTCTGTTCGCTGTGACTCGCGTCGGCCATTGTTCCTCAGTTTCAGCAGCGCTGGGCTGCCGTTGAAGGGACGGAGATGAAAGCCTCGATAAATTTCCCCAGGCTCGTATAACAAACCCTGTGGGTATGACGTGGGTGCTGTTGTGCCTCGACACCATTCGCAATGATATCTTCTCGGGCCTCACTGCGCGTCTCAACGCCCAGGTGGATCAATATCGGCGCCAAATATTTGAAGTCTGTGGCAGGACCTATTACACCTTGAGCAAAGCAACTCTCAGTGCGTCGCAGAGGCCACATTACATGCTCTCCCACAGCATATATACATGACTGCATGCCATCATACAATCCTCAAGCTTCGAGGTCATCCGCGACAGCGATAGCCGCCCTCCAATGTGGCCACGCCCGGCGAATGATGGGCGCGCAGCATCTCTGGGCAGCCCTGTATGAGTGACTCAACACTGTGATTGAGCCTTGCATTCTTCTTCCGACTGCCCAGAAGGACATAGTTGGCCGTTCCTCATGGCACGTGGAACACGGGAACCTAGGTAGCCTTGCACGAGCAGGGGTCTACTTGACAATATGGCGGAGAAGAACATGGTCCCCTCCTGTTTTCATCACCCCAAGACCTCGTCGTGAAGGCGGTCTACCCATAATTTGCTGCTCACCCGCCGAGCGACAAGCCACGCCCTCACCATAGCGAGCTAAGTGAGCATGTCCCGACTTCCGATTGTGGACTAGAGGCGGCCTTTCCTGCGGGGCGTTCGGGGAGGATCTGCTGCATGCTGACCTGCAAGCCTGGTCTGCTTGGTCAACGACCTAGGTAGTCAGCCCATCCATAGAATCATACGTCGGAATCACGAAGGAATTGTTTGTGACTGCATGTTGGTGAAATTTGTAACTGGGACTTGGTTGTGTGGGTTCTCGAGATGGGGCCTCGACGTGTGAAGTTCGCAAGGACGCCCCCGCCCCCCTCCCCGGCTCCTCCGGTCCATCTCCGGGCAGTCAGGCGGGCCGGGCCGTTACACAGAGGTCCTCTCTTGACATCACGTCGATGTCCACCGTCTCTTCTTCATCATCCATCCCAGCAGTCACGGTCCCAACAAGCCTAAATCCCAGGTGTGCGTAGAGCAGATTCCCCATTGGACTCGCCATGACGGTCAGGGCCCAACCCCCTCGCCTGACGGCTTCCTCCTCGCCCCATTTGCACAATTTGGTGCCGGCCCCACGACGCCGGAAGCTAGGATGGGTGATGAGCCATTCCAGGCTGAGCTGCTCGTTGCCATATATGCTGAAATATTTCGTGAAAGCTGCAGACAGTGTCTCGGAATAGGCTCTCATGTGGCCCGGGTTCGCATCGCGTCGCTCACTGATGCCACGATCTGGTCAACATGCCTGTCAGCAAGTGGACCTGGATGTCAGACGTCCAGACGGGGAGGCGAGCAGTCTCACCTCCGCCGGCGCGCTGGGTGTTCACAGATATGTCCCAGACTGCGTATGCAATTGGTCTGTCCAAGTCTGCCCGGCTCTGGTCTGCGCCCGAGCCTGACGCGTCAGCAGCCACAGGGCAGGTTGCGACTAGTACGGCGAACTTGTTGGGTTGTTCGATATATTCCTCGTATTCCTTCCTCGTCCATTCCCAGAAATCAGCAGAGTACTTGCCGCGGTGTGGATATTTGTAATCACAACCCGGATCGTCTGGGAAGCCGGCCCTGACAATATCCGTGATGGCGTCTAAGTCGTGCTTCTCGGCTGCTCGAATCGTGATGGCCCTTGAGGACGCGTCTAGCTTGCTCGGTTCTCCACCCATTCATTAGTGCGGGCTTTTTGGCAGGTCGCCCTACTCTTGTGTGTGGCGTGAGGTGATGGGATTGCCGTTACACAGCAGTAGGGCAAGACAGGAGCAGCGTCGCGCCAATGGGATTGGGCCAGACTGTCCAGAATATCGGTTCGGGAGAAGCAAATGATGGAAAGAGCGCTGCCATGGACATTTTATTCTGCCTTGCGGCCTGATCGAAACCAAGGGGCAGGGCCCACAGCACTTTTTATAATACCTAACCAAGCCTCCGAATGTCTTGTCGTATGCCGAACACGGTCTCGCCCGACTTCCCAAGGTTCCGCAAAGAGTAACAACCTTGGAACAACCCGACTTCCCTTTTGGGTAGTCGGGAAGCGAGGGAGCCCAACCATCGCAGTGTCAACGTTGAAGCTGCCTTTTGGTCAACGTGGGAAGCTGAGCGCCATTGCAGCCGCAGAAGCCCTTGGCTCCCGGTCATTCCGGGATGACTTCTGAAAACCTATCCAATTAAGTCTAGGTAGTCAGCCTCACAAGGTGTACTCACAGGTGAGGCCGCTCCCGGACTGCATCTTCATACGTTGGTTGGTTTTCATCCGCCGTGGACACGCCTGACCGCCTCACACAAGTGGCGCTTGTCACGAATAATCCACAATGTTCTGCGCTGCGCTATGTTACAGCCCAGTGTCTAGATCCTTCCTCATTTGGATTCGTTACACAAAGCTACCCTATTGTACTTGGAACGTGATCACCGCCTATCCGGGTACTTAGGTAGCTTTGACCAGTACGCCTTGGGCGCCTTGGGCAGCGTTTTCTAAACCTAGCTGATGACCTGATATCCTCCAGACCGGTTGGCGGATCGTACACCCGCAGAATACTTATTGCGTCCATCTTATAGACTTGACGATATAGACCTTCCAATCCCAGCCACGTCCCATCCTACACGCTGGCCATATCAGCGAGGAGCATTGGCCCCTTTCTCTCCGCCACATTCAGCCGTTTCGTCACTTTATCGTCTGTAGCCCCCACTTCGAGTAACAATGGCGTTCCATGCTCGTTCGACGTTCGGCGCTTCGCTGAATGATTCCTCTTGGGAGACAACGGATCCTAAAATCTCGGCCGAGGCGGACAAATCACTTCAGGTTGTGCAGTATCACCATGGTACGTCCCACAGAATTTTGGGCACAGCAGGCAGGCCCAAGGGTGGTCCTATGACCAAGCGTCGCAAGGGTAAGGCTCGAGGGCCGACCTCAAGGTTTGACGTGTTGAAGACTGATAGGGTAAGTGGAGGCCCTCACAGAAGTCTTCTTACACCACCAGTACCCCACGCTGAATCCCTACTTCCACTAGTCACCCAAAACCATTATCAAGAAAGACGCGCGTGGAAAGATTGCCGGTACTTTGAACACTTTTGGTCTCCATCAGACCGCCCGCGTGGCACGCACGAGCGAAGAAGAGCGTGCAACGAACAATACGAGGAAGCTGGGGGCCTGCGAAAAGTGCAAAACCCTACGAAAAGGGGTCAGCACAGTCCACACCGTTCTAAACTGGCATTTCGGCTTACCTGTGGCATGGTGCAGTGTGTCAGGCCAGACGACCCGGTCGGCCTATATGAGCCTTGTGCCCGTTGCAAAACCTTGGTGCTCAATTCCTACTTGAAGCATGTGACAAAAGTTCAATATAATCCGTGCTTACGAGTGTCTCTTCTCGAACTTCGTTTGCATCGGAACGGTAAGTCAGGATTTGCCACTCGTCACTGCGGGCATGCACATGTTGAGGGAGAGGATTATTCTCCAGGGGCTGACAAAATCTTGGTAGGTCCGACGACACGCGACGATCTCTCGATTTGGTTTAGCGAAAAGCACAGAATTCTGCGTGAAGAACAGATGGATAAATCCGAGCATTTTCTGTTCCTCACGCAATTCTTTGGGGAGGGTTACGACGACGCACTCCGCCTCAAAGTCTCCCGCTTTCGACCAGAGCCTAAGGATAGGCTGGCCTATTTTTGGACGGATTCGTCTGGCCAATTTAGATTCATGGAGATGCCTCCAATCTTCATCAGCGACCTGGAAGATGCACGCCAGGAGCTGCTTCGATATTTTAAGGTCGTTCGTCCAGTTTATATCGAGACACTCTTGGCCGACTCAAACCCTATTGTGCACGAGACATTCCAGACTGCTCTATTATTCGTTCCTTTCGGTCAGGTCGGTACTATACTCCCAGGTGCTCTTCCGTGTCCCATGGTTTTTCTAACGGGTTTCTTCCACAGAGCGGACTAGTTTCAGACGCCTTGGACTTTTGGGTCGCGTCCCGCTTGATTGAGGAGCAGTTCCGCGTAATTAGTGGCGGCGTCATGCTGGGGATGGAGCATGTGAACGAGGTTGGCCATCCATACAATGGCTTCACGCCCGTGACACCGATGATGGACTCTCAGCTGGATGACCTTGTTATCCGCCATCTTATCCGTCCTATCTGTACCCGGTTCCTCGCACGACTGAAAGAAAAGATTGAGCAGTGCAAACGAGAGAATTGGCTGGAAATATATCTAGCATTGTTCATCATGTTGTATAACATGGCGCTTATTCAGAAAGACATGGCTATCCAAGCTGGGCGGAAAGGCCTGAAGGTTAGTAGCTAGGTGTTTTTATTCGCACCACCCACCCAGGTGGTCTCTATTCAGTACCGACATTGCCTCTCTGGAGCTAATTCGATAACCAGCCAGGTAATCGCGGAGGAACACTGACACAGTCTTACATACATGCATGCAAAACCATTCTGGCCTACTTTCACTTTGCCTGTGCCGGATCGGTCCCCTTCTCGATAGCCTTCGGGGAGTCGGAGGACGGAAATGTCGGGAGAAGCTACCACGGAATGACACAAGATCAACTCAACTACATGAGAAACATCCAGCAAAAGATGCGTCAGCAAAGTTAGTCATTGATTAGGCCCACCTCTAAATTCCCATCCTGCAAGAACGAAGTGGACTAACCATGGAACGCATTCAGAAACGACGTTCGCTAACTGGAGCGAAGCTTCAATGTACGAAAATGAGCTTTATTGGTGTAACCAACTCTTTGCACCAGACTGGCAAGGCGACATCCCCTATACAGCCGGGGAGATTGACGATTTCCGTGAGGAGGATTTTCTCTCGTCCTCTACCACGTAGCCTCGTGTGTTTCATGCAACTTGCTTACTACGCCGGGATGCGATCAAGCCACTTATTTTGACCGGTGAACCATCCAATATGGGATGCTTCAAGAACTGTGGGACAGAATGGAGATCCCTCCGTAGGATGGAGGGTGGGTTAAAGGCCTGTGAGGTCGGCTTTACTCACCTTCTTTACACCGGTAAGCCAAGGCTTGGAAGGCAGTCTTGTCGTTGGACCGTGATTTATGCATCGGAGATGTTAAAACAAGCTGCATAATCAATTGGACAAATTGTTGGACAGTCAAACAGCTGACCGCGTTGAGAAGAGAGGGGTTGGGCGTGGGGGGCAGAGCCTCATTGTCCATTGCGGAGGTCAGCTACTGACTAACATGATTTCAGTCAGGCTGAGTTGGGACATAAAAGCAGACAACATGAACATGTTTCCCTTCCAGTGACCCTGCCTAGGTAGCCATTCCATCCATCAAGCATTAAATATGGCCTCCGTAGTGTCAATGCAGGCACACGGCCTGGACTACGACTCTGCGAATTTGTTCAAAGGCACTCCATCTTGTCAGCAGACAATTGACGGCCAAGCTGAGGAGCTTCTCCCAGGATGGCCGTCCCGATACACAAGCGAGCGAGTCTGGAGTGGCTCAGACATGGCCCAGAAACAAGACAGATGGATATATGTTCTTTCCGAGCAAGACCATGACTCTATTATCAAAGCCTTGCGACTTTTCCAGGGTGAGGCGAGTCATCTGCTAACAATTGATCGATGCTCCAGAAGACAACTAACGGAGAACAGGCCTCGGACTCGGGCCCGAGGCGCTGAGTCCTCAATCTTTCCCTTTGCCACAAGAGCTCAGGGCTAGGCTGAGGGGCATATCGCGCGACTGTCACGAGGGCCGGGGTTTCGCAGTGCTGAGAGGGCTGCGTACGAAAGAATTCACGGACAAAGAGAATGTGCTGGTGTTCGGGGGCGTCTCTTCACACGTTGCTCCAACGCGAGGCTTCCAGGATATCAAACGCGAGTTGGTGACTTGTAAGAATAAGTAAACGGAGGAGTTACTGAGGCTTGTGATAGCTTCGCTGACTTCTTTGCAGGTCATGTAATCAGCGAGGACACTCGGCCCGGGGCCGAGGACCAGCAACTTCGACCGGCATTCACCAACGGGCGCCTGGTAAGACTTCCCATGGTTCGGAAAAAGAGCACCAAGCCAGCACTGACTTCGGCCCGTAGGCATTTCACACTGATCTTGGGGATATTCTTACCTTGTTCAACCTAGATGTCTCAAGGAACGGTGGGAAGACCTTGATAGCCAGCTCGTCTCAGGTCTATAACATCATCGCAGCCTCGCGACCTGATCTCCTCAAAGAGCTCGGAGAGAAATGGGTCTATTCAAAGTGAGCCCGGCGTTCTGTGTTCTATCTGCTATTTCCAACCAACATGAAATCTGACTCTGCCACAGCTCCATGGACTACCACACAGACGGCACCCCACTTGTGTAAAACATCACCTTTTACAATGTTTGGAACAAATACTTTAGCATCGGTAGCGGGACTAACATGACCACTAGTCTGAACGCCGCCGGTGACCGCCTCATCTTCCAATACTCGCGCCTGCCGATCACCGGCTTCCGTAACACAGGTGCCAACCCAAGCCTGCCTACCGTGTCGTCTCGGCGCCTAGAGGCCATGGCGCTGGTCGAAGAGATCGCCCTGGAGAACGCACTCCCGCTGCCCTGTGAGCACGGCGACATAGCGTTCATCAACAATCTGTGCCTGATGCATGCGCGGACACCGTTTGACCTGGATGCCGACGGCGCACCGCTGCCGTCTGCGCGGCATGTCGTCAAGCTCATGCTGCGCGACCCGGAGATGGCGTGGGAGGTACCGCGGGAATTGGACTGGCAGGTGGAGAGGGTGTATGGGCCGAATCGCGAGGACGGGAGCAGGAAGGAGAAGTGGCATTTGAGCATACATGATGAGAAGACTCCCGAGGGGAGGATGTGGGCTGGGTCAGGGGCTATGAGCAATGGGTAGAGCCTGATCTGCAATCTTTGCGTTGGGAAAGCCTATTCTAAAGTCACAACAGAGCAACACGCCTTTGGCCCCAGATTGGAAACTTCTGTTTGTTTATTCCGGTAGTCGTAATTTTAAATCGGGCTTGCAAATAACTCCCTTGATTTGAGCCAAGCCTGCCGCTTGATATATTACGATAGCCTGTGTTGCGGCTCTATAGTGTCTAGTACAGATTCACTGCGTAATTGTCTATATTTGCGTGGCAGCTATCAATGATTTATAGGATAATTTCCTACCTAGGTAATGGACAGCCTCCTATATATGAGATACTGTAGGACAAGCTCATATGGTACGTAGTTAGAATGTGAGCGAGTTTAGATGTTTTCAATGACATTCACTACTTATACTATGAGGATTTAGCACATATAGGAAGCCGGCATGGAATGTTCCCAAAGGGGAACCTCAGACTTGGCTCCGCTCCGCTCCGGGTCCGTGTTTGGGTGGGGCCGGAGCCTTTAGGGTCTGACTGTGCCTCGGTGCAAGGCAAGATGTCATGGGCACCTCCGGATAACAGGCGACAAGGTTGGTTTGTTTCTGTTGCATGAAGTTTGTACCACCGCGGTGAGACAGATGCAGTCCGGGACAAATTGAGCAGGCTGCATACATATACCTAGGTAGAGTATAACACCAAATCAGTGATCCCAGAAACCGGTGAGCCGAGTTGTCCAGAGCGCTCGCTACCAAGAGCAGGGCTTTGCTCCAAGGTCATACGGTCATACATGTAGGTACCTAGGTACCTAGGTACTCAAGCACTTACCTAGACTAGCAGTTCGCCGTAGCTGGGCTTCGACTCGGCCTCCGGGTTGCGGGCTTCCGGATAGCTCGAGTTGCCCCTCCCCCTCTTGGGCCATTTTACCAACCCTCAACTTCCCCTCTCAAGACGGCCTCGTCAACCATTCATTCAGTGCTGCCGAGCACCTCGGATATAACTAATTGCTTCTTTGGAATAACCACAGTGGGCTAAGCTCCAGTCACTCGACCCTTGGCTCAGTGACTCCTGTCGTTAATCATCGAGGTCTCGGACCCTTGAGGCTGGCTCCCTGCATGGTCATGCAAGATCCACAAGCCGCCACTTGCACCCGCCGGAATCGCCTCCCTCCAAGACCACACCGTCACCGCACCAGCCTGCCTGCCAGCCTGCTCTAGCAGAAAATATTAACCTTTCACCTCCCGAGACGAGACACCCGCCTCCAGAACACGCCAGAACACGCACGCGACATGTCCACATCCTCGAGCCCCGGTTCCGCCGGCCTGCTGCGGCGGCAACTTAAACAGATGCAGACCGACAAGGACATCCCAGGGATCTCGTGTGGTCTGGTCAACGACAACAACATTTATGAATGGGAGGTCATGCTCATGATAAACGACGAGACAAAATACTACGGAGGTACCGAGTCCCGTCGCCAGCCCAGCCCCAGCCCCAGCCCCTTGGCCGATCTCCTCCTCCCCTGCCGCCCTTCATCATTCCACAAGACAAGACTCACGGAACCCGATCCGCTGACATGCCGCTTCTCCCAGGAGCAAATTTCCGCGCACGACTAAAGTTCCCGCCCGAGTACCCGCTGATGCCCCCCGCCCTCACCTTCCAGGATCCGATCCCATTCCACCCTAACGTCTACCCGGATACCGGCCTGCTGTGCATCAGCATCCTGCACCCTCCCGAGGAGGACAAGTACGGCTACGAGGCTGCCTCGGAGCGCTGGAGCCCGGTACAGACCCCCGAGACCATCCTGCTCAGCGTCATCAGCCTGTTCGCCAGCCCCAACGACGAGTCGCCCGCTAACCCCGAGGCGGCCAAACTGCTGCGCGAGGAGAGGGCCGGCGCCAACAAGGATTTCCGGAAGAGGGTGCGGAAGTGCGTCCGGGAGAGCCTCGGCGAGGACTGAGCAGTGCTGAGTTCAATGAGTACGTACGTCAGTGTGACACTATATACCCTACAGCAGTCATTGTGAGCTGTACATTGCATACCAGACAGGTGGCGGCAGTGTTATCCCTAAGGGTCCTGGTCCTAGGGGCAAACAAGTTGGCAAACATGGGTGCCAAAGCAGCGGGCGGCCAGATCTCAACGAGCCAGAAACCGGATGCGGGGGCAAATATTTTGTAGACTATTTTGTTCTTTTGGTGGTTTGCCCATGCCCCTCCGTATTAAATTGAATTTGAAGCGAACATAACGAACCATATCACTAGGACTGGTAACATCATGCATTCCACGTGTGCCTGTTGTGACACGAGACCCTATCACGCGCCGCTGTGGCCCGCATATCATTCCGAGCGGGTGCCCTCATTCCGAGAGAACCCCAGGAGAGGCTTCACGACTTGATCCCATTCCTCGTCCCACCGGCGGCGACCCTCTCTGACGGCACCCTCCCTGAGCCTCGCCAGCTCGCCCTGCCCCTCGGCGCCCAACAGCCGCGACATGGCATCGCCGAGCTCGGCCGACGTCTCGAAGCCACACCCGTTCTCGCCCTCCCTGACCAGCTCGCTAAAGCTCTCGTAGCCCGAGTACGCCAGCACCGGCAGGCCCGCGCCGAACATGTCCACCACCTTCATGGGCAGGTCGACGCCGGAGCTGCTCATGTGCAGGCAGATGCCCAGGTCCGCGGCGGCCAGGAGGTGCGCGTAGTTCTCGAACGTGAGGAACGCCGTGCGCACCGTGATGCCAGGCAGCTTTCCCTCGGAGGCGAGCCTGGCGATCTTGGCCTCGTACGCTGCCTTCTGCGGCCCGCGCCCCGTGATTATGACGAGCAAGGGTGGCTGCGAGCTTCCGGTGGCGGAGGCGGGGGCGGAGGCGGAAGCGGCGCCGTACCGCACCAGCGCCTCGAGAAGCAGGCCGAAGTCCTCGTCGGGCGTCCAGGACGTGCTGCTCACGACGAGTCTGTGCTGGCCCCCCACGACGGCGCTGGCGAAGTCGCGTGCCTCGTCGACGGCTGAGAGGTACGACTCCCGCTGGCTCGAGGAGGCGACGGGCTGGAAGATAGCGGCGGGGCGGTCGTGCATCGTCACGATGGGGGAGCGGATGCCCCACGGCGCCTTCTGAAGCTGTCGCTTCATGGCGTGGGTGACGGTCAGGTTGGCCGAGGGCGCAAGGCGGCCGAAGAAGCACTCGTAGAGCTTTGATATGCGGACGAAGGGGTGGGAGGACCCACGGGTGCCCTCAAGGATTGTCCAGCCATAGTTGTGCCAGTCTATGACGAGGCGTGTGTTGCGGGCGGCGCATGTCAGCCAGGCCACAGCCAGGGTTGGTATTGAGGGCGGGTTCTAGAGACCATGTGAGTACTTGTGGCCGGGTTGTTCCACTGCCGGGCCGGGGTGCAGCTGGCATACCTGAACAAGCAGCCATTGTGCCGGCTGCGTCTTGTACAATAGAACGTGAAATAGATTGGAAACCTGCCACAGCACCTTGAGCGGCCCGGTGACGAGGAATGGTGCAGACTTGGACCTCAGAACGGCTGGCGGGGCGCCCAATGCGCAGACGGTCACATTCGGGAGCTTGGTAAGGGCGGGCAAGAGTGCCGACTCTGCGGGGTGGTTGGGCGTGTAAGCATGAGGCTATTCGCAGTGTGTGTGTGTGAGAGAGAGAGAGAGAGAGGGAGAGGGCTGCGTCAAACCCACCATGGTAGCCTATCAGCTCGACTGTCCCTCCATGCTTGGCGATGCTGTGTGCGTGGTATTGCATGCGAGGGCTGCGGCCGATATCTCCCAGCACCAGGACCTGGGCCGTTACGTGTCGCTGTGCGGCTGGGCGATGCCTTGTTGGAGAGAGCAGGAACACGGCGATGAGCAGGGTGAGAAGTACGGCCCCGAGCAGAGACAGCAGGATCACCTGTATCTCCATCCTGACCTACGGGGCGAAACTGGGAATTGGCCGTTCCTGCTGTAATGAGTGCTCCATTGAATGATGGTTGACGCAACAGATCACCGTGCACAAGGGTCTGGTTGGATGAGACGTGTTCGGAGTAAAGATGGGTTGCGAGTCTGAGCTAGACAACCGTCCAAACTTTTCTAGCACACGGACGGACGAACCCGTCTACCTAGGTTATAAGATCATCTATACAACATATATTATTGATCTCTGATCTTAGGGCCCCTGTTCTGGCTGGACCCCGAGCTGTAGATAATTTGGGGCTGAACCAACTTCCAAGCAGCTCAACTGCCTGGGAATATTGATGCATCCCGTCCGCTCCTTTGCCTCTTATTGCAAGACAGCAAGGTTGACACTGCCATTGCCGGCCCGGGGCACCTACCCAGGTACGGAGTACCTACTATAGGTAGCAGGTCCCAAGCTGCCGGGGCCAGATCAATCCAGTTAGCTTGTTGTTGCCGTGCGCAGCTTGTTTCTAACACTGATAATCCCTCCCCCTTTTGAGATTAGCTCGGGCTTCTTCCTGCATGCAGTCGCGGCAGAGCAACGAGATCGGCCTGGTGCCAGAAGATACCCAGAAGAGGACAAAGGCTGCTTGGCCACAGGCTGGCGCGCTAAGCTCAGGGGAACCTTGGGCTCTGGCGCTGGGCAGTCATGACGGTGCTGTGCCACCCTGCCACCGCCCTACCACACCCACCCCCACGATTTGCCCTCTCCTTTCCAGGAAGGTCGTCCCCAGATTTCCGCCCTCTCCCCTCTCCTAAATAATAATAGATGCGACCTCCTCTCTCCCTCCCGACTCGAGCCTCCAGCCGACTCAATTGAACAGGACGCGCCTCTTCGCACCAACACCTTGCCCCACCGTTCCCGAAATACCTCAGGCGGTACAACAGCACTGGGAAGACGGCCGGTTCCGCTTCGGCTCCTTCGACACGGGCCAGACACGACGCGAGGTCTAACACCAGGGGTCACTAAAAAAGACAAGCGGGCCGACGACATCGTGGGCCTTCCCATCGTGTGGGGTCCCCGTTATCCTGCGAGCTGGGAGCGGCAGACACGGGAGATATCACCATCTGCCTCCCCTCATGCTGTAGCCGCCCCGATCCTCAGCACTTTGTCGTGCGGCTCAGGGGCAGCACGGCTTAGACAACGCCAAGCCCTGGTCTATTCTTGCCTCGGGTTCGAGATCATGGCCTCCACCTATGTGCTACCGGGGACTACCATGCCCACCTCCCACCGACACCATGGACATAAACATGCCCATTCTCGCTCGCGCTCGCCCTCGTTTGGCTCCCTGAACAGGTCCTTCAAGATGGACTCGAGCTTTGGTATCCCCTCACCAAGCCTCGACGGCGAGCACGACCACGACCACGGCCACGGCCACGGCCACACCCATAACCACTCGCACTCGCACTCGCATTCGCATACTCATTCCGAACCACGCACGCAGCACGTCCATCATGCGAACTCGATGCAGCCACGGCAAAATGTGCCCCCGCCGCTGCTTCCCAGCAACGGGTGGAAGACAACGACGACGGCTGGGAAACAACTCATAACTCCTGTCACCTCGTCGTTTGCCGAGCATGAGCAGTACGAGGCACCAGAAGCACAGGGTACCGAGCCCATTCACGACCACTCTGTCGAGCGCTCGAAATTCACAAATATGCTACTACCATATACTTCAAAGTGGCCTATATTGCATGCAATCATGACCGAGAAAGACTCGAGGAGGATCTTTTATTTCATGAGGTACCTCGATCTTCGTACTATGTGGGGGGGTTGCATTGTGCTAATACTCTGTCTTACAGCTTGAACTTCTTTTTCATGACAATCCAGGCCTTCTACGGCTACATCACGGATTCTCTTGGCTTGCTGAGCGACAGCATCCACATGTTTTTCGACTGTGTTGCGCTCGCGGTTGGCCTGTTTGCTTCTGTGGCGAGCAAATGGCCCCCCAGTGCGCGCTTCCCCTATGGCTTCGGGAAGATCGAGACGCTCAGCGGCTTTGCAAATGGCGTGTTCTTGGTGCTCATCAGCGTTGAAATCATGATAGAGGCCGTGGAGCGGATCGTCGAGGGCAGGGAGACCAAGAGGCTCGCTGAGCTGTTCATTGTGAGCAGCCTCGGTCTGGCGGTCAACCTCGTTGGCATGGCCGCGTTTGGTCATCATCACCACGGCCATGGACACGATCACGGATGCGGCGGGCATGCTCATGGCCACGCAGAATCGGACGCTCACTCACATTCGCATCATCACACAGATTCTCATTCACATTCGCATGCTCATTCGCACTCTCACACACTATCGGAGAAGAGCAACCATTCAAATGATCACGACCATGATCACAGTGACCATAAGCACTCAGTTTCCCACGGACACGACCACCATCATTCTCATTCTCATACGCATTCGCATTCGCATGATAACGAAAACATGCTCGGCATATATTTGCATGTTTTGGCGGACACTCTCGGCAGTGCAGCAGTAATCGCGTCGACAGTTATGACCCATTTTGTCCCCTGGTCCGGTTGGGACCCACTGGCATCCTTCTTGATCGCAGCACTCATCATGGGATCTGCCATACCGTTGGTCAAGTCGTCCGCACGACGGCTCCTCTTGACAATCCCAGACGACATCGAGTACACTCTCCGCGAGACCATGTCCGGAATTCCAGAAATCCCCGGCGTTGCAAGCTACTCGGTTCCCAAGTTCTGGATCGACGACCGGTTCTCTGGCGAGGACGCCCAGGCTGGAAAGATGATGGGCGTCATGCACGTTGTCGCAGTCCGCGGCGCTGACATGGGGACCGTGCGAGACCGCGTACAGAAGTACCTCGCGTCGAGGAACATCGATGTCACATTGCAGGTCGAGCGGGAAGGAGACGGAAGCTGTTGGTGCGGTGTCGGGAAGATGCCGCTGACGCCCCTGTCCCCCCTGGGAGCTTCGCAGAGCCTGAAGGCGCGCTAGGCGGTTCATTCTTTCGAGACGCATGGCCATTCTTGAACGAAATGGGCCATGTCTATATTTGGTTTCATGTCGGGTCGTGATACCTGTGCAGCAAATATTCATTTCTATGGAGACACATGGTGTGGCTTTTTGTATATTACTTTATACGATTCCCATGAGAGGGTCTTGCAATAGATGAAGATACCCTTTGATTCATTGCTCGTGTGCTGTGACTCGGTCTTGCCTTGCCTCCCCAACTATCTCGACGTAGAAGCACTTCAGTGTGGCTATGGTGTAGATGGTATCGTCGCCACTGCGGCTTCTGGAGCGTAGGGACACCCAAGAACCAGTCTTGGCTCTCTATGCCTTGTTGCTCTTCCAACAGCCCTTTTCGTTCTCCGAACATGGGCGGCCGCTCGACCAAATGCTGTTCTGGTTCTCCGCGTGGTACCTGACCAGGTGAGTTGGTGGTCCACGCCGAGACCACGTCCTCGCGAGCTGCTTGGCCATAGCCGTTTCTGCCTTGTACCCCTTCGGCGCGAGCAGTCTCCTGTCACGGGCTGCCACCGGTACATATACGGGTGCGGCGCGAGCCTCGTACAGGGTCATATCGAACGCCTCGAATTGGGGCATGAACGAAGTAATGGAACCGCGGGCGTTCTCACTTCTTGGACGTGCCAAAGCCTGCAATACCCATCGCGGCCATCATGTCCTCCTCGTCATGCTCGCCCTCGATCCTCACGTCCTCGCCGTACTCCATCTTGACGCTCTTCTCCTTCTCCTTCTCGGCCCGCCTCCTCTCTTCGGCCTCTTTCCTCTTCTTTCTCCGCTCCTCCCTCTCGCGGGCCTCATCCTCCTCGTGGATCTTGATCCTCTCCTGCAGGCTCGTCTCGCGCTCCCTCTCGAGCTCGAGCCTCCTCTCCCAGACCTCGTCGATGCGCCGGTGGACGTCCTCGGCGGACGCGGCCCTGACCTCGCCCGTCTGGCCCACGGCTCGGATATGCTGCATCGAGTTGATGTGCTCGACCCACTGCTTGTTATCCTTGAACGTCAGGTCGCACGCCTCGCAGTAGAAGCCGGCGCCGCGCCCGCGCTTGCCCACGCCCGCGCCCGCGGCCACCAGCTGCGTCTTGCCCACGTGGCTGCTCAGGTCCAGCACGGCATTCCGCGCCTGCGTCAGCGTCTCCTCGCCAGTCATCGGCTTGTAGTACTTCTTGCCCGCCAGCTTCGCCTCGTACCGCGCCTTGGACTCCTCGCGCTCCGCTGCCTCCCGCGCCTTGGCCTTGGCGGCGTACTCGTCCAGATCGTACTTCTTGCGGAAGGACGTGTCGTCCGCCGCCTGGCCATAGGCGCCGCCGCCTGATTTCGACATTGTGATGGAGAGGCGGGCTAGAGTTCGAGGTCGGGTCAAGTCAGAGCGACGCGGTGGGCGGTGGGAGGTGGTCGTTGGGTTTTCAGGGGAAATGCAATTGCCATACGGCGGTTGGTTACGTCTGCAGAGGTGATGCGGATGGGTGGGCAGGCATCAGATAAGATATGGGAGGCTCGTCAGCCGACGTTAGTGCGTACTCCCGTGTACTTGGGCCAGTGGCTTGTAGCGCTATAGTGAGAGGTATAGTGGGCTGTTGCAATAACAGGGACAGGCAGATCTGGGGAAATTTAAGATTTCGGGAGCACTGCAACCAATTCAAAGATTAATTCGACATCTTCTCCCAGGACCAGAGCACGGCGTCTGCCATTATCATACGGCCACAACTCGCCGAGATGCTCTACCTCGTAGGCCTCGGCCTGTCCGATGAGACAGATATCACGGTCAAGGGTCTGGAGGTGGTGAAGAAGGCCTCACGAGTCTACCTCGAAGCATACACCAGCATTCTGCTTGTGGACCAACCGGTTCTGGTGAGTCAAGATCAAGTCCCCTTGCCTTCCTGGACGTTTTACAGCCATTTTACAGCAAATGGAGGGCTAACACTGACCGACCAGTAGGAAGGCTACTATGGCCGCCCAGTCATCCTGGCCGACCGCGAAATGGTCGAGTCGAATAGCGAGGAGATCCTGCGAGACGCCCAGACCGAGGACGTAGCATTCCTCGTCGTCGGCGACCCCTTTGGAGCGACCACACACACCGACCTCGTCCTGCGTGCGCGAGAGCTGCAGATCCCCGTGCGGACCGTCCCCAACGCCTCCATCATGAGCGGCATCGGCGCAGCAGGGCTCCAGCTCTACAACTTCGGGCAGACGGTGAGCATGGTGTTCTTCACGGACAACTGGCGGCCGAGCTCGTTCTACGACCGCGTCAAGGAGAACAGGGAAATCGGCCTGCACACGCTCGTGCTTCTGGACATCAAGGTCAAAGAGCAGAGCATGGAGAACCTGATGAGGGGACGCAAGATCTTCGAACCGCCCCGCTACATGACCGTTGGCCAGTGTGCCGCGCAGATGCTCGAGGTCGAGGAGGACAGGCAGGAGGGCGCGTACGGGCCTGACAGCCTTGCTATCGGCGCGGCCAGGGTTGGCGGGAAGGAGGAGAAGTTTGTCGCCGGCACACTCAAGGAGTTGTGCGATCAGGATGAGGTGCTTGGGTCTCCCCTGCACAGTCTCGTGCTCCTGGGACGGAGGACACACGAACTGGAGCACGACTACGTCCGTGAATTCGCCGTGGACAAGGAGACGTGGGACCGAATTTGGAGGGCCGAGTATGGCAAGCAGCAATGATCACCGTTGATACCCTCGTTATTGCTTGCAGTCTGGCGCACACAAGCCATTGGGACACCCCATCGCGCTTAGAGCCTACCGTTCAGCACAAGCCAACGGAAGCTTAAGGGGCCCGGACCGTGCTAGCTTGGTGACACGAGGTACTTGCACAAAGGGGTGGAGGGGCGGCGACGATCCCACCCCCTCCCGTGGGGCTGATCAATCGGTACTGAGGCTGGCTGGCGTCCACCTTTCTCGATTTCAAGCCATATTCCACCGAGTTGCGCAATCGGAGAATTGCAGGAAGGGGCTAGGAGATCGCTGTCTGTCAAATATCGGGTGTGCAGTCTGTGAAGGTGTGACGGGTACTAGCGCATGTCATCGAACGGCGACGCAGAGATGACATCATTAGGGAGTAGGAAAGAACGATGTCCCTTCGATGATGATATATCGCGCCTGGTACAAGACGAGAGAATTGGAGAAGGGGCAATTCTGGAGAAGAGATACTTAAGCAGATAGGCAGCAGCTTGTTGGGTGTCAAGTGTTTCGTACAGCTCTCATCCCTTGCCTTAGCCTGAGCAACTCAACAACACCAAAGCCACCTCACGTCGCCTTGGACATACCATATCAACCACAGCACCACCAAATCACACCTTTACCACCTACCAAAGTATGTTTTCTCTCCGTTCGCGGCTGATACAGCTATTGCCTGCTTCCAGAGCACCAATTCGTCTGCTTGACGGCCAATTCTCTAGATCTGTGGTCCCTTCTCAACCTTTGAAATTGTTGTCGTACACGACCAATTCTCAAGCCAAACGGTTGCTGACTTCATCGTCTAGTAGGAAGATGTCTTTCTCAAACACAAACACAGGCGACAAGCCCGCCGACCCTTACAAGGCAGCCAATGCCGACACTAATGTTTCAGTCGATCAGAAGATCAAGGACCTGAGTGACTTCATCGACGCCAGCAAGTTCGGAATGATGACCACACGTGACGCCAGCTCCGGCAGGCTTGTCTCACGGTGTATGGCCGTCGCGGCCAAGGAGTCCGGCGGCATTGACCTCCTGTTCCACACAAACACCGAGTCCAATAAGACAGACGAGCTCCAGGACGACTCCCACGTCAACATCTCCTTCCTGAACGCCTCTGGAGAGTGGGCCTCTGTCTCAGGAACGGCATCTGTGCAAACTGATCGGGACTTGGTCAAGAAGCACTACAGCCCTATTCTCAAGACGTGGCTGGGAGACCTCGGAGATGGCAAGCACGACGGAAGCGAGAACGACCCTCGCATTGGTGTGATTCGTGTCAAGACAGTCACCGCAACATATGCGGTTGTGGCCAAGAACTTCATAGCTCGAACAGCAGAAATAGCCCAGGGCGCGGTGACTGGCAAGCCTGCTGCCGTCAACAACCTGAGGGAGATCTCGGAGGCTGAGGTCACCCAGTGGAGGAGTGTGCACTAGGACAAGAGGGCAGTGATCGACAATCGACGCCGCATAGCATTGATATTTAGGTTGGGCAGGCCTAGCATGGCAGACGGTCCGCCGGGCAAACAATAATGATCATTTTGCCAACTAACCAAGCATCACACTCCACACTATGATATGCGCACACCGTCTGTGTATATGGCAGATCAGCCACTGCTAGACCGTCTCCAGTGATGTGATTAACTATCGTTTAATCATGCAACCACGGCCACTGCACGGTCGGCTTTTGGCTCTCAAATTCCGTAGGTTTGTAGGACCTGAAAGTTCGGTCTCCGCTACGCATCTATCAACCAACCTCTTACGGGATAACCTCCTATGTATGAACAAACCCGCTGTAGATCAGCCCCCCAGAGAACTACCAGCCAGGGCACAACGTTGTAGACTAACCTTGCGTAGGGCCATGCAAAATAACATGGTGGAGAATATACCCATTCCCCTTAATAAAGGCCATCATTCAGATGATATCCTACAGAACAACATGCTTTGGAATACCATACTAGGGGCGGGTGTAGGTATCCATGTGCAGCTATAGAGCCTCTACAAAAATATTGTCAAATTCCTTGGATGCGACCGTGTTACTGCAATATATGTGATGTGCCTTCCAACGCTTTCAGCGTGTTGCTATCTCCGAATCAGGGAACTCTTGTCGGAAAAGGAAAGTATGCATACCTAGCTATGTAAGTGTGTTTCCTGGAATAGCAAGATCTCATGAAGAGGTACCATGGAACAGCTGAAGTTTAAGGGACTTTGAAAGATGGGATGGCGCTTCCAATGGAAGCAAAAGTACCAGGGTGTTCAAGCATCAGGCATGCTTCACATCATTTTGCGGGTTGCATTGGTGGACGGGATGTGTTCTCGAAAGTTGGCCACACCAAAGTTCAAACACCTCGCTCTGCCTGAGAGGGGCAGCCGTTGCTACTGTCACAGTCTTGGCACGTACAGATAGATGTTCGCGATATATCACTTGATTTTTCGTTTCATCGATGGCCTGCTCGCAACCCAGAACGTTTCCCACAGTCAAGGCACTTGCTTGGACATGGTGGTCCGACCCCGTGGCAAATTCAACCGTGACTCGCAATCGAGGCGACCGACTGGCTTCTCCGCAACGCCACTCTGCTGACTGCCCTCCGCAGAGACATGGTCGAGGTCACACTGCGCAGCCTAGACGGCCGCCCTTCCAGACCCGCCCCAGCTTCTGCCCTGTAATAGGGTGTGGCCGCATCCTTTCCTGGCTCTCCATCCATATACTCTCGCAGCGTCTCGGGCAGCGGCGGCGCGCCTGGATTTAGTAAGCTCCTCTCAAAGCCGCAGTTGCTCAGCTTGTAGTCCTTCAGCAGCGCCTTGAGCTTCTTGTGGTAGACCCTGTGCGCCTGGTAGCAGACCAGCGCGTAAGGGCTCCTGACTGTCTTCTGGTCGGACATGCGGACGGGAAGCGACATGTATTGCAGTTGTACGGGCCAGAGGAAGCGGTTGAACATTTGAAGTTGCCATACGGAATCCCTGGGCAAGACGATGAATGATACCTCGCGCTCGGCGGCGGGGCCCTTGCCGGATAGCCTCCCCTGCCCCGTCAAATACTCGTCGACCAGTTGCCGTCTTGCCTCATAGGCACGGGTCTTGCGCGGGATGAGGCGTGTGGTGTGCACCTCGAAGGGCTTGAGCGGCTTGAGCAGGGCCTCGTACAGCTCGACCGAGTTCAGCGGCGCCTCGATCAGGAAGAGGACTTCATCTGGTCCGATACGGACGCTGTCGTCGGGAATGCGCGAGGGCGGTACTGCCTCGAAGATATTGGTATATCTGTCATATATGAGCAAGCCGAAGTCATCGGCCCGCTTCGGGGGCGGGCCTGATGATGGCTTGGCCGTGGCCGCGGCAGAAGGTTGTAGGACTGGAAATGTAGCCATCAGGTTGAGCTTGAGGCCCGCAAAGGGGACATTTGACGAAGTTCAAGTCCACGGGTGGGAGGGCGTGCACGCGTGATGAACGTGGTTTCCAGACACGAACAACCTCCAATGCTTGCAAAGGGCCAAGGCCATGCATATATATACCCATTCTGGTGTCATTTACCTGGAGACAGGCGAGTACGTGTAGATCGTTGTTGCAAGTGTTCCATATAGACTTTGGGGACTTGAAACATGCGGGTAGAGGCGTCGAGCCATGTCAGAAGCGTCACGCCTCGGTTGAGTGGTGTGATGGGGCGTGGCGTGCATTCTTTGCAGATCCTCAGAGCAGGTGGCACCCGTTTTGGGTTGAGCGTGTGGGCGTCCGGGGAAGGTTTAGACGGAGGTGGTATTGCTGCGTAGCAGATGCTGGATGGCCTGGACGGTGGGATCCCTGGCTCCTGGCCGACTGGTGGGAACTTGCGGGCTCCCCAGTCGTCAGGTTTCATGATCGAGTCCCGAGTGAGTTCTCAGGTTGTCAGGGTCCCCCGCTGCACTGCACTGCACTGCACTTACTCCGTATTATATTACACTCCAGCGGCCCTTGTTCAGGGTACGGGTATCGGGCCCGTCAGGTACCTGCCTGCCGATCCTGGGAGCTACCGGCCGACCAAACAGCCGGGACACCATTTTGAGAAGCACCAACAGGGTGCCGGAAGGCCGATCCTGTTGAGGCCGAATTCCTTGTCCGAGGATTAGACTAGAAATGTTCTGTCGAAAAAGGCAGCACGTACATGTTCAGCTGAGGGGAAGTCCTCACAGAGTCAAGGCGCATGTCCTGTCGTGTTGCCTTAGGTTTGGGTCACACCTACCTTGCACCGAGGCACCCGGCTGCCCCAGGCCTGGGGCTTGAGGTGGAGGGAGAGGGAGAGCTTCCAAAGGGGGGACGGACGGACATGCGTTGGAGCTGGGCCTGGAGTTTTCTTTTGGGACACGCACGCCTGCCCCTTCCACCTGCAACACGCCTCTCCTCCACTCTTCCCCGTCCGGCAAGCGCACGGGAGCCACTTCCACCCGCACACGCACCCGCTTGCGCACCTGCACCTGCACCTGCGCCGTTTGCTGTGCACCACTTGACGACTTACCTTAGTCATTCGCGCGCACTTTGACCTCTGTTCGTCGTGCGCCCGTCTCCCCGTCCCGACCTCACCTCCTCTCGCCTCATCAACGTCCACCATCCCATTCATTCATCAACGTCCCACCCCGCACGCCTTGAGCGTCCTGTGCGGGAGACCAAGTCACTGTCGCCCCCCTCGGCCCAGTCGGGGCGGTGATACACGTCCGTCTCTGACACCTGGGCATTCCGCATCTCGCCGACCCGACTTGGCCATCACTTTCGCAGCTCTCGTCATCTCGTGGGACCATAATCCCCCCTCTTTATCAGCCAACCTGCACGCTCAGGCCATCCCACTCAGGGGCCATCTCACCAAGGCAGCATTGAGCAACCACCACTCCATCACCACTTCTTCTCCCACTCACTCACGGCCTCTGCCAACTCACACCAGAACCCACGTCTTACGTCATCCGCCACAACGGCTCTCGGCCGCTGTTCTTTAATGTACATAGGGGCGAGTCTGTACGCATCTGCATCAAGCATCTAACCTGAGTTTGTGCAAACGCCCGATCTCATCATGGCCGGAACAATCGTGAGTCTGCGGCGCCCCCATTCTCCTACCGGACCCTCTTCTGTGTCTGACAAGTCCCAGGTACCGTGGGATGGCCGAGACCAGGAGGAGCAAAGCGAGATTCTCTACAACGCCCCATTGCGCACCAAGAACCGACAGCTGGAGGATGAGAACATGCATCTGAAGCGACTTCTGAGAGAACATGGAATCCCGTGGTCCGATTCCGTTGCCTCTCACCACGCCTTCCGGTCTAGCGACTCACACCCCACCTCGAGGCGCCGGCGTAGCTCCCGCCTCTCTGCTGTCGGCCAGCACCGCTTCCCCCACCTCCCTGTAGAGGTCATCCTCAGGATCCTTCACTATGCGCTGGTGGCAGACGGCCCTATTATTGACCCGCTGTCCAAGCTGAACACGGAGACCCTGACCTCCGCCGAGGCCAAGTCTGGACCTCAGATCGCCATCGGTTTCCTGGCTACCTGCAAGGCATACCACGTGGATGGCAAACGAATTCTGTGGTACGTGAGAGCCATTTCTGAAGGGTCTCTTGATACAGCATTGGTCTCTGACATTCGTATCCAGGACCAAGAACAAGTTCTCCTTCACTAGTCCAGCAGCTCTTCGCAAGTTCAGCGAACTTGACTTTGACCTGCGCAAGGGCATCGAGTCGATCAATTTGAGAATCGTGGCTCGTTACTACGACGATGAGAAGCGCCGCCACAGGCTGAGCTCAGACTACCACCCAGAGCTGACCAAACCACAGGCGCTCAAAGTCATCCCACGGTCCAGGGATGAAAGCAGCATGGCACGGAAAGGCTTCCACTCCTATGCCTGGACTCAGACCGTCGACTTTCTTGATGCCTTACGCCCTCCGTTCGATCCACGTCACACCCAAGGCAATCGACCGCGGCTTTTACCCGGCCTCTTGTCCATGCGGATGGATTTTGTCAACTTCCCGGATTACTTCCTACCGTTCCCAGAAGTGGACCTCCACGAAATCGCTGCCCATGACTTCGGCTGTACCTTGAACGAGTTGATGGTCACGGGGCTGCCTTGCTGCGAAGTCGGCGTCAAGGCCGGTGCTGATCTGCAGGTGGGTACAAATACACTCTTCCGCTTGTGAATGCCTACTCACAGGTCTTGACTAGGGCATGGTGAAAGATGACGGCCTTTTTTTGTGCCACGCCCCTTCGTACGTGCAACAGAAGAAATACTTGAAGCCACTCGGTGGTTACGAGGGACTCGCGAGAGTCGTCCGGGCCTGGCGAAAGCTGGCCAGGGAGCGCCAGGAAGCTGCGGGCCAAGTCTCTCTCATCAATGTCCCTTCTGTTCCCGAGGAGCAAGGACATCCCAATTCGGTTTGGAAGAAGAGAAAGACCATCTGGAAGCGAGTTCCCATCGCGCGGGACTCGGAGGAGAGGGATTGGGTTGAGTTTGACCGGAATACCGGAGAACCTGTTGAGGACATTCTGGACGACTACGACAGCGACGACGACAGCGATGCTATATGTCCAAACTGTGGTGTAGTTCACGGTCACTACGACTATTGGGGAAGCGACTCCGAATGAAGAGCGCAGCGCTTGACTGGTGGTTCGACTCTGGCATGGATATCGGGCTTCTGGTCTGGCTCCGTACAAGACAATGTGTTGAAAATTCGCTATGGCTGAGCAGGGTAAGTCGATATTGGTCGATGCCATAGGTGGCATGGAGTTGTTTTGGGAGTTTTTGTTTGCCATACAATGATACCAAAGCGACCGTGGAAGCTGCCTGCCTGTCCATATATTGATAGCTTGTTTGGGGGTCTTGCACCTTAATTACACCTCAAGGCACTTGATTACTACAGTGGCTGTCCCCGGAGGTACTTGGACCTCTTGTCTAGTTGTTGGTAACCCACCGGCCCAGACGGCCGATGCCCTCTCAGCACTGTGACATCCTCTCTTTCTGTCCCTACAGAAGAGCCCTTCTGGGGTTCCGCGCGGATGCATTGTGACGGTCGGGGAAAGGACAAATGGGGAAGAGAAGAAGCACTACACAATAGGCGACAGTTGTCAGAATCAGGCAGTAGGGAAGAAATAGGAAGGATGGGGGGAAAGGACCAGAGGCCACGACCACTCTCAGTACTACGTGGCGGAGGCAGGAAGCCCAGCTCGGGACAGGTCTCACCGTGGCTTGCTGATCTACGGCCGACGACCAGTCCCTGTGCAAGTACCACTTTTTCCCCACGTGAGAGCTGAACGAGCTGAACATCATCCTTTAACCATCATATTGTGCTTATTATTACCTATGAAGGACAAAAGTCCTTCCTCAACCTCAATCGTGTGATGAGAAAAAGCGCCCGGTATTAGCTGCACCACCCGCATTTGAGCATTTCAGCTTGATAGAGCACCGGTTGCTCGATTACCTAGGTTTTTCATACAGTCTAGTTTGTCAAAATGACCCGGGGTGATCGAGCGTCATTGAAATCAACAAATGGTACCGAAGTCGGACTTGAAAAGATTACACGAAGACATTTTCGCCAGTGGGGAATCGTCGAATATCGAGTCTACCGTGCAGAGCCTGAGTGTCCTTTTGAGGAGGTGGATCTTGCAGAGGATGAAGACTCGCCACTGTGCCAAGGAAGTCAGACTCTTATGTAGGCCAGTACTACCCTGCATAGAGAACATACAATGAGCAGTCTCTACGCTTTCGAAGATCGAGCTAACATGACAGTGTCTGCGAATCTCCAACCGGGCAAAGTAGTGACTCCCGCAGCACTCAAGATCTTGACCAGCCACATGAGCCTCTGAACACATTTGCGGACGTCCGGTGGTATCTCCGAAAAAACGAAGAATGCGAGCCTCTTCAATTCGAAGGGCATAGACATAATCCATGGCGACACGATGACATCATTTTTCACTTGCCTTACTTCCAGTTCAATGAGAGCAAACGCGTACACTATAGGGACGCTCAGTCAACGGACGAGTTCGAAGTCGAGAAGGAATGGTACTTTGAGTACGAACGAACCGCAGCAGAACCTTCAACGTCTTCCCAAAGGCTCAGTATCTTCATGAATATAGTTCGAGGGTTGGTCTCATCGAAGCATCCAAAAAAGGGAGGAGTCGATGAGGAGCGGGGTGCTCCTGAGCAGCGAACATTGTCTAACCCGACGAGTCTGTACTTTGACTCAAGGGCCTTCACCGTAGGAGCTACACAATGTCCTGCTTTAAGAGCACTTGCTGATAATCTTGCCAGATATGTATGTTACCATTTCTTGACGGCAAGCAGGCAGACAAGACTGAAGGCCCGGAGCAAAAGGGGCGCACGAACTGCAGAAGCTGGGTCGCCCTCGTCGTAGCACCCGGGGATATCATCTGGGACAGACAGGATGGGGAGAAGAAGCTCCTTGATGAGAAGCTTCTGGATGGCAACCTGGCGAGCCGAGCACCTGCCAATCGGAAAAGTCACAACCGGCGTCGGTTTGGCATGGAAAGATTCAAATCGCCGAGGGATGCAGACTACTTCCAGACATGTCTGATTGAGGTCGGAATGAAAAAGATCGCGGAGATCTGGAACAACAACGCGGACAAAGCTACCAAAGCTTGCCACTCCTTGGAAAGGAACATCCACGGAAACATCCACGGCTCTCCCAATAGCCGGTCGGACTACTGGCGCAGGGGCGTGAATGACGACTTGCTGAGTATTTACAAATTACAGAAGCGGCTGGAGTCGCTTGAAGCAAACCTGTTCAACAACCTCACGAGCCACGAGCAAGGAGTCTGGAGCAATTTCCGGAAGGCAAGACCAGGGCAAAGACTGGAACAACTAGAGAAGGAGGAGGAGGATGGTAAGGAGGAGAGGAAGAAGAAGAAGCGGAAGGTGAAGGCCCAGAAGTCGTCCGAGGCAGAGAATGAAAACGACTACAAGAACGGTCCGGATGAAAAGGACGCACTCGAGCGCGAGAGGCTGCGATTCTTACTGCACGGGTGTCTGGACCGACATTGGGATCGACTATGCGGCCAAAGCAAGAAACTGCGGCAAAAGATTGATGATTTAAAAGCTCTTCGTGAATTGGTAGGTAATAATACCCTGTACTGGCCAGGTGGATAGGCCGACTGGCCTCGTCTCCAAGATCCCAAGCTGACCTTGACCCCGGCAAGCTGGTCGAACTTTCACAGACAAGAGCATCGCTGTATGCCAACGACCTGGGAGACAACGTCATGTACTTGACGTACATCAGCATTCTTTTCCTTCCCCTCAGCTTCTGTACCTCGCTGTGGGCAATGAACCACGAGCTTCCTTACTATGCTTTTGTGCCCACCATCTGCGTCACTTCGGGGGCGACGGCCGTTCTACTCGCAGTTATCCGTTTTCGGATGAGTTATCAGTGACAGGGAAGGTTGTGTACTTGAGCTGAAGTCTGCTCCCCCCCCCCCTCTTTCCGCGCGCGTGTGTGTTTGTGTGTGGTGTGGGAATTTGGGTGTGTGTTTCGTGTTGCCACAAGCCAGGGCCTAATTTTCAATCTCTCTACCTGCCTGGATTTGGGGAGTGCATGCTTGGGTTGACGGTTTGATGGATTCAGTGACCCGAGTGAACAAGTACCTGCAATGCAGGTGTCTAGGTTGGTAGACATTTTGCTAGGTACTCAGTGAGTCAGGCGCATGACCACCAATCACAGGTGGCATGCAGGCAAGTGATTCTTTCGGTGCGGAGGGCGGAAGCTAATACACCAAGGTCAGTCTGAAGGCTAACACCATTTATTATCATTTCTGATTCTCATGTACTGGGAGATGGTGGGTTGCACATGAGGTTGTAGGTACGGTACACAGTACCACCCAGGTAGTCCTGTCAAAACCACCTGCTACCAAACAACCGTGGCAACGTGGAAGGGGAGAGGGTGGGGTTGGAGGGGCCCCGCCTGAGAAAATGGGCCCTGGATCACTGGCATGTGATGTGTGGAGTGGGGAAGCGTGCAGTGGATCAGACCGAGTGCAGCTTGCAGGAGCGGGAGCTGCACGATGATGCGTGTGCAGGATTGGTGGCAATTCAGGGCTACCTAGGTAGGTACCTAGGTACACAGTCCGGGGCGCTGAGTCTGGGTGCATGCGCGGGGCAGCTGGGGTCCTTGCTCAGGTGGCACGGCAGCGGCTAGACTGTCGAGGGATGCGATGAGGCAGCTTGAGGCAGCGTGAGGCAGCGTGAGGCATCGTGACAAGATGAAAAATGACGTGTTGGCAGGCTTGCAGTCGGTCACACAAGACCAGTGCTAGCAGCTGGAAATGGCTGTCATTAGTGTCGGCCCGGTTTGATTTTATTTTGCACCGCGGAATGCGTTGCCCATGTGTCCTCGTTCACAATTTTAAATCGGAAAGTTCCCTCATGGACAGTCCCTCCCGTTTAAACTTTCAGATCCAGATCCATCCGTCCACGGACTTCCCCGGCACGACACAGCTTTGTCTCAAGCAGCGACCCCTTCCCGTCCTCGTATGGTTCCTGCAGGGCCTTGGCTTTTGCCCGTCCGAGAATAGCGAGCAGCAGCATCAGCATCAGCATCAGGGCCCCTAGGCCAGAGACCCGAGGTCACGTTCACGCCAGCCGGCCGAGTTGAGTCGCGTCGCACGTCGCAGGTCTGCTGCGTGTGCATAACACCGCCGTCGGCCTGGTCGTGCAGCTCAAACAGCCCCCAACCACAGGGCGCATGCTCCGGAGACCACGGGGTTTACCCTCCTTGCCTCGTGTCAAACACACTCTGGCAGACAAAACCCGGCCCACTGTCCACCCTTCTAGACCTCCTCGATCGGCTGTCCGAGTTAATCTCATTCTCGCAACTTGCCATACCCTGCGATCCACCTCATTACCGAGTAGAGACGCTGGACCGCTGGAGCCGGGCAGCACGTGGGCCACCCTGCCCGTCCACCACCACACCGTACCCGCACCGTACCCTCGTACCGTACGCTGCATTCTGCCGCCAGCCCTTCACTATTACCCAACCGAGACAGCCCGCCTTTTGCCTACCCGTCACATTGATCGTCGACGACACTTGCGACCTCGCTAGCTCTTTCTCTCCAGCCCCAGGCCTCGAGCCCTGCGTCCCTGCGTCCTTGCCCTTCCGATCTGCTAGATCCCATTCCAAATCCCTTCCTCAGCTATGGGCCACGCTCCGGCCTACATTTTCGTCGTAAGGTGCGCCGCCGCCTCCCTCTCCACCAACCCCTTGCCTCCCACATCCGGTTCCGGTATCACCGCCGCCGACAGACGTCACCCCCGCCCACGACATTGCTCGCTAACAAAACCCCCGGCTGCAGACACGGAAACAGACTCGACGCCGCCAACAAGCAGTGGCACCTTCAATCGCCCACTCCCTACGACCCTCCCCTGACCTACAGTGGATGGAACCAGGCGAGAGCGGTCGGACAGAGGATCGGCGAGATCTTGCGTGATGGTGACAAGGAGAGGGACAAGCAACAGCAATCCGGCTCGCCTGCCACTGACGGCACCTCGAGAAAGCGTCGCAAGTACAAGGTCGTCATACACAGCTCGCCCTTTCTGCGCTGCATCCAGACTTCGATAGGCATCAGCGCCGGACTGGCCTCCATACCTGAGCCTGCACCGCCCACCGTCGCTCGAACATCCTCGACACATTCAGCCACAAACCCTCGTATCCCCGCGACAACTCAGCCAGACGTTTCCGTGCCGCCACCCACCCCTCCCACAAGCTCGCGTCCCGGCTCGAGACCAAGCTCTGATATCCAAAAGACCGTGCTGAGGCTCGATGCCTTCCTCGGAGAATGGCTCACCCCGGGCTACTTCGAGCTCATCACTCCGCCGCCTGGTTCGGGTCTGATGCTTGCCAGTGCCAAGGCGGAATTGCTGCGGAAGGAAGACTACACAAGTTATCCCGGCCTGTATGCACACAATCCCCAATACAGCTCATCATCATCTGGGGCCGCGGCTGGTCAGATGTGGGGCCAGTCCTCGGCCACCGCAACACCTGAAGCTGGGCTCGAGAATTTGGGCAGCCTCGCCGAAGCTATGAGGCGGGCCGGCCGGAGCGCCAGCGTGACGAGTAACGGAGAGTCGCGCCTGATCACCGGCGGTGCCTATGTTGCCCCAGTCCCCTCGTATGCGCTCTCGCATAATGCGGAGATACCCAGGGGATATGTCCCACATGCTAGAGACAACTGCTGTGATATTGACTACCAATGGGACTCGATGCGTGAGCCTTTGGACTGGGGTGATGGAGGTTCCTATGGCGAGGAGTGGACCGCGATGCACCACAGATTCCGCAAGGGTCTGCAAAACCTGGTCGACTGGTACGCCACTCACGAGCAGCCCGCGGAGATGGTGACCAAGGAGAGGCGGGATAGCGTTACGGCGAACGAGGACGCGATCATCGATGACGAGGAGGATGACGCTGAGACGGAGTCGGTGGTCATTCTCGTCTCTCACGGTGCTGGCTGCAATGCCCTCATCGGAGCCATCACACACAAGCCTGTCTTGACAGACGTCGGCTTGGCTTCGCTGACATCGGCGGTACGAAGGCCGGGCCTGGACGAAACAAGCCATGGAACAGGTTCTGACCGTACCAGAGGTGCCAATGGCGCCCTCGCCGACGCACCTTCCGGTCTGGTTGCGATCCATCAGTGTTATGACCTCAAGCTTTTCGCAAGTACCGAACACCTGACCTCCACAAGATCGGGGCGGTCGGGGTCTGTGACGGCACAAAATCGAGGACGTCTCTCCAACGCATTCGCATCGTCTCCCTTGAATGGGAATGACGGTTCTGGCAGTCGAAGTTCCTCTGCAGCTGCCAGCCTGGGCAGCATGAGGCGAGATTCGGGGGCTTCGTCGCGGCTGCCGAGCCGGCTCGGGCTGAACACGAACGGTATGAGCAGCGGAGGTATCACGGTTGGAAGCGGCGTGACTTCTTTCCTGAAGCAGACGCCCACGTCGACCATCGGTGGGCTCTGGTCCCCGCTTCGAAATACTCTGGATACGCCGGATGAGGGTGACGATGACGACTTCCTCCCGAACTTTACCAGCTTCGACATCGTGTCGCCAAGCACGAAAGCTGATGATGCTGCGAAGTCAACCGCTGAACCGCCAAGCACCCCAAAGACAAATGGGAATGGTACGGGCAGGAACAGGGCAGACAGTCGCGTATCCCCGCGGGCAATACCTCAGAATGAGTCTTTTCACCCCGAGGAGGAAGAACGCAACGCGGTGCCCGCCCTGCCTCAGCTAGGTTCGGGGACGGGCGGCTTATGGGGGAGCCCCAAGCCCCTTGGAACGACTGAGATACCGCGTGATCTGACATCCCCAAAACGGAGATGGACAGTGACTGAGAGAATGACTTGATCTTTCATGATGGAATTCAGCATCCCCAACTCTTTCCAGTTGGTCTAATACCGAGACGTCCGCATTATGAATTGGGTGGCATAGCATATTATGGGGTATATCGAAAGGAAAACCACAAAAAGTTCTGTCTGTATCGGAGCATGGCGCTCTTCGCCACTGTACGACTGCAGAAAAGTAGATGATATTTAATGAAAAGTTGTCCGAGAAGATCAGCCTGGTTGTAGGAGCACTTTCGCATGACTGTTCTTCGTGTGCTGCATGTCACCTGCCGGAATGCCGAGGTGTGCCTACCGACATCCCGAACTATCCCGAGTCCTCAGCCATACATCCACTGCGCTGAGGAGGGACAAAGACTTCGGGAACCCCAAAGCTGAGTTGGACCTTTATTCCCCATGAGTTTGCCTTCCCCGCCATCTGGAACTCTATCTTGAGCTTAATTCTTGCATTGGCCCTCCCGTCGCCAAGGGACAGACGTTAGTGAAGGCATCTTAATAGTGCTTGGACTTGAGAAGTTTGAAAAATATGCTGGTGGGAAGAGGTAGGATGCGTGCGAGGATGCACCAAGACATGGGAACGGTGGGCGCGGTACAAGGCCGTCCTGGGGTGGCACTTCCGGGTGAAGTCGCACCCTAGACACGATGCCGCCGACACCTAGGCAGAAACAAGCGCCTCGAAAAGTCCACGTTGTCTTTCACCAATGGGGCAACTGTGCAGCCAGCCTTCTCATTCGAGAAATATATCTTTACACATTTGCGTAAAGGATCTGCATCAATACCCTCCATAATCAATCAGCAATGGGGCAAAGAGTCATGTCCAAAGGGCTAACGTTGTAGTGTAAGTCTAGTAAAGTCGCAAGTCTCAACTAGTCAATGCCAACTTACCTGGAAGCAGGGCCTTGGATAGCGGACCTTCAACTCACATTGAATCCTTCTGCATCTCCATATCTGGACAATTTTCCAAATCTCCTGGTGCGTGGTGTGTATGCTCGACGTCAACAAGTGTCTCTTGTGTCGGTAACTGCCTACCGAGGCACTTACACTATCTAGCTCGGGCCAATCACATAACATGATTTCTCCCGCCGCTTCCCGCTTTTCAGCCTTCTCCCATTCCCACACAGCTGTAAGAATTGGGGATTCGTGTGCGAGGGAAGAGCGGTGCGAACAACCATTTTGCATTGTTATGAAGCGGCAGAACTTTGTGGATGTAGGATCCTGCGCGACTGATTGCTGCAGATATAGGATGTGTGCTCCAACTGTTCTTATTCCAGCATGCCACAGGGCTCAGGCCATGTGCCGCCAAATGTTCTTCATATGCCAGTCATAGACCTTGTCCCCGATAATAGGTCTCTGAGCATCTACTACCATGTAAAGGCACTCTAAATACTCTCTCTCTCTCTCTACACACACACACATGTATATGGGCATTTAAAACGAAACAACTTGAAAATGATCAAACAGCAACGGACATGGGTGAGGCTGCAAATGACAGGCACTTCGACCGGCGTGGAAATGTCCCGTGGGTTAATGTTCTCGCAAATCACTGGCTGGTCGATGCGCATTGCAGCTTAGCAGAGCAAAAACAAGACCTGTAGGCGTATCAATTACACGCGTGTCTTCCGATTTCCCCATGCTGGCCGGTCATGCTGCAGCCTGATGCATGTGATCGACGAGTGCAGCCCAAGCTGAGCGAGGGCCTCTATTCTATTCCATGCCATTACCGAAAAGTTCTCGCAATCATGTAGACCATTGCTGCGTCTCATCAACAAGCCAAATGTCTCGGAGCTTCAAGTCCAGGAGTGAAGTCAACTTCGGGTCGGCTTTGAACTGATGCCGTCGACGATTGCCAGAAATGGACGCCAACGTACTTAAGTAGATGCGAGATGACGTCTGCGTTTCTGTTGGTACTACATGTCATGAAGAGCGAACCCAGGGACTCGAGGACAAAGCATTTTCTTTTTGAAAACTGGCCGATGACGGCCGATAAAACCAAGCACGAGGCGCTGCAGCCGTTTTATTTTGGACCTCGAGCTGGATTTTAAGGTTTGATAAGGATCGCTAGCAACCTGTGAGAAGTTCGAGGGGTGCGGACCCTGCAAAGAAGTCGGGGTGTGGTGGACGAGCGGGCGAGGGTGCGCTTTGTACTATTTCAGGATTAGAGCGTGTTGGTTGACTCGATGAGATCGAGTAAGAGATGCGGAGTTTGTGGGGAATATGTTGATAAGCCGCTATCATGCTCTGGGAGCTTATCTATGTCACTCTAGCCTGGCCCCTGCCTGCGTCAGAGTACCTGGTACCTGGCTCCAAGCTGTAGGACCAGCTGGCTACGATGGCATCGGTACCTGAAATACGTCTTGTCCCAGCTCCGAGGGAATGCCGCAATCTCGCACCCAGCCATGAGTTACTCCCAGGGTTCACGTGTGCTCTTTAGCTTTTTCCGCCATGGCGACCAATGAATATTATCGGATTGACCGATGGCACAGGCCAAGAGCGCGCATATCTGATATCTCATCTCCTCGGCCGCTTGCGGACCTCGAGCCTAAGCCATCGGAGGATGGATCAACCAGCACTGAGATCAGCATGACCCCATTCGGTCCTGGGGGGCTTTCCATGCCCGACTAATGACTTACATGTCGCTATATGTCCTACCATTCCCGCATATCCTGCAGGACAATCTCTGCTTCTGCCAGGGTTCAGCATGTCGCTCGCACCCTGGAGTAAAAGAGTGGTCTTGGACGTGGGGATCTTATCAGTCTCAGGCGATGGTCAACCGTAGTCGCACGACCACTTGCTCTTAGCCCCAGAAATATGACCTGGGCAAACTCGCGCCTTTAGACTTTGCTTCCGTTGTAGGAGTATATATAAAATCTCAGCATATCCCCTCCCTCGATTCCCTCGCCTGATCTTCGCGCCATATCCCCAAATTCCCCTGCGACTTCTTTCATCTGCCAGACCTCGGGACTCAATCGAGGACTCTGTGGGCAAACCCCAACGGCAGCTTGTAACCAGACTCACCTCAGCCCTCTGCCGAACTGCCCCCGCTTACTCCATATCAACCTGCGTCCATCGCTCCTCGGAAGCGCCTGTTCTCGAGGCCACCACCTTGACGTTGCGATAGTCGCACCCCACAAGAACAGCCATGGACCAGTCCAGGGGAGCACGTCTCAGGCGATGGGGTGACAGGCTCGCCGTCGACAACGAGCCGGGCCTGACCACCGCCCAACTCATGCTCACCAACCTCGACCTCAAGCCTGTCGAGCCCGAGCGCCGCCAGTGGGGTTCTTGGAACTTCGTGGGCTTCTGGATTGCAGACTCGTTCAATATAAACACATGGATGATCTCCAGCTCCATGGTCGTCGCCGGCCTCTCTTGGTGGCAGTCATGGTTGTGTGTCTGGATCGGCTATACCATCGCCGCGTGCTTCGTCTGCCTCACGGGAAGAATCGGCGCGACATATCATATTGGTTTCCCCGTTGTCAACCGCTCGTCCTTCGGTATCTGGGGTTCTCTCTGGCCTGTATTCAACAGGGCTGCTATGGCCTGTATCTGGTACGGAGTCCAGTCGTATATCGGCGGAAAATGTGTTTACTTGATGATCCGATCCATCTGGAAGAGCTGGGTAAGTCACTCTCCCACTGCGGCCACGCACATATGCCCCAGGGTGTGTCTGCTAACACTGTTTCGAAGGATCGAAACACTATCCCGAACACATTCCCCGAGGGCTCTGGCACTACCACCGCGGACTGGGTCAGCTTCTTCCTCTTTTGGCTCATCTCTCTACCTGCCATCTGGTTCCCAGTACACAAGATCCGCCACCTCTTCACAGTCAAGGCCTACTTCGTCCCCTGCGCTGGGATTGCCTTCCTCATCTGGGCCATCGTCCGCGCAGGCGGTATCGGCCCTATCGTCCACCAACCAGCCACCATTTCCGGATCGAAGCTGGCATGGGAGTTCGTCACGGGCGTCATGAGCGCCATCGCCAACTTTGCCACACTGATCGTGAACGACCCAGATTTCTCGAGGTTCGCCACCAAGCCCAAGGACGCGCTCTGGTCCCAGCTGTTCACCATCCCTCTGGGCTTCGCCGTGACTAGTTTCATCGGAATCTTTGTCTCGTCGAGCTCGGCCGTCATCTACAACAGCGGGCCCGTCTGGGACCCCCTGCAGCTGCTGGAGCACTTCATCGACGACGGCGGCTCCGGGCAGCGCTTCGGCGTTTTCGTCATCGCGACGGCCTTTGCGCTGGCCCAGCTTGGAACCAACATTGCGGCGAACTCTGTCAGCGCAGGAACCGACTTGACCGCCTTGTTCCCTCGGTTCTTGAACATCCGACGCGGAGGCTACATTTGTGCTGCTGTGGGTCTGGCGATGTGCCCATACACGCTCCTCACGGACTCGAACAAGTTTACCACGTACCTGTCCGCCTACTCTGTGTTCCTTTCATCCATCGCCGGCGTGATGTGCGCGGACTACTACGTCGTCAGGAAGGGTTATCTTGAGATTAAGGAGCTTTATGATGCCCGGAAGACAGGGCCGTACTATTTCACATATGGCGTCCACTGGAGAGCTTACGTGGCCTACATGTAAGTCCACAGAGACAAGATACGTTCGAGTCAACCTTTGTATGCATGATACTGACTTTTCATTACCATAGTGCGGGCATCCTGATCAATGTGGTGGGCTTCGCGGGCGCAATCGGTCGAGACGTCCCCGACGGGGCCAGATATCTTTACAACGTCAACTTCTTCGGCGGATTCATCGTCTCTGGAACCGTGTATTGGGCACTTTGCAAGGTGTCCCCGATCCCCGCGTGTAGTGACCACTGGATGGAAGTTGGCGATGCAATCGATGACGTGCAACTCGCGTACGATGGCAGTGACTTGGAGGAGAGGAATGACAAACTTGATGGGGACACGAAAATGGTATGAATGATATGAAAGTATAAGCCCCAAAATTAGCGGATTCTTGAATGAATTTGTTTACTCAGCTACTCATGCCGACCTTGCCTCTACTCAAGCTACCTAGGTATGCTACACCCATTGCATTTTGTATCAAACACTGTACAAACACGATAATTACCCCAGGGTACAGCCGAAAACTATGCCACACCCGTATCAATGAGCTGCCCGAACAAACTCGGGTCCGCCAGCGCCAGGACGCAACCTTGGAATCGTTACGGATAACAGACAAGTTAGAAACCTACTGGAATTGCACCACGGGTCCGCCAAAACAATTTGCACAACTGTTTGCGATCCATGGCCCAGTGCACACCCAACAAAACTCACATCCACAATGGCACGTCATGTGCATACTGTTCTCAAACGTTAGTTTAGTAGTCCGCAACGGCACTTGAGCCAAGAAGAGTATTCAGAAACTCACCATCCTTCATTTTTCTCGATTCTGTTCCCACATCCAGGGCAACTCTTTGTCGAGACCTCAATCCATTTCTCACTGTTCTCATCCTCCACCTTTCTGCGGAGGACCTCTTCAGCCCTCGCCCTTCTCTCCGTCTCTGCTCTCTCACGCTCTTCTGCGTATCGCCTCGCCTCCAGTCTGGCGCGCTCCTCTCGCGCCTCACGCTCCAGACGCTCCCTCAGCTCTACTTGCTTCTGCCGCTGCTCACGTTCCCGGCGCTCCCGCGACAGCCTCGCCGCGTTCTGCATTTGAGCCCTCTCCTCTCTTATTCTTCTTTCCTCCTCGGCGGCCGCGGCGGCAGCTGCAGCAGCCTCCCGCCGGCGCTCCAAGATCTTCTCCATACGCTCGCGCGCCCGTGTGACGGCCTCTTCCTCCCTGCGCTCCACTGCTGCGCGCTCCTGCTGCCGCTGGTGGTCGCTGCGGAAGTTTGTTGGATCAGCGAGGTAGCTGTCATACTCGTCGCAGGTCATGTTCTCGTGCTGTGAGGGGGCCTGCTGCTCCGGCCGCGGCTGCGTGGGGATCCCGTGTCGGAAGCAGAACTGGGTGTTGCAGGCTGCGCATGTTACGAACGGGTGGGCATCGCCGCCCTCATGGACCTGACCCGAGCCGCAGTCTGGCATGGGACATCGTGTGAAGTTGGGCATGTCATTGACAGTCCGGTCGATCATGTGGGATAGATACCTGTCGATATTTGTGTTATTAATTCCGGTTGAACTTGGCCAGACGGGCCGTTTGAGTCTGTCCTGGCAGGCTCAGAGTGCAAGGGATGTTTTGTATACTTACGTCTTGAAAGTGTAGCTGTCCGCAAATTCCTCTATTTCCTGTAGTACGAGCGGTCTGTTGCACATTGGGCAGGTAAGTGAACCCTCTCTCGATTCCTTCGACTCTGTTTGTGACTTGATGTGCTGCATCATACAAACCATGCAGATATCTGAAAGGCATCTACAATCACTATCTGTCGATATTTGCGGGTACGAGTCGATATGCTTCTCTTCAGCACATACTAAACACTCCTTAGTCACAATCGTCCCGTGAAGAGACGAGCTGCTTGTCCTTGATTGATGTACACTTGGGCTGCTCGGCCGGTATAATTCTTCCTCTTGGAATGCAAAAGCCCTAAAACAGGCAACAAAGTCAGTCTCAGTTCATCGGGCCAAGTGTCTAAAGCATACAATTCTGCGTCAGTGAGAAAATCAACCCTGTTGAGATTGAATCCCGAACTCTGCCATTCTGGCTCCATCTCTGTGTTGAGTCCCAGACATTCCATGACCTGAGCTGAGGAGTTGCACTCAGTGTCGCTGGAGAGGACAGCCTGCGCCTTCTTCGCATAATCGACCAGTACATCCTTGTGGCGCTTGGCATCAGTGATCCACGCGTTGGTGTTGAGTCTTGCAGGGTTCTCAGCAAGCACGCTGACCGCTGAGACAGCAAAGTCCAAAGCCAGGGAGTCCTTCTGCGTGATGCCAACCTCCTGGGCAACCCACTTGCCCTTCTCATTGCGCGGAGTGTTTTCAACCATATTGCTGAACCCGTTGTTACGGTAGAATTACCTAGGTGTTCTCCCGTGTGTGTTTACTGATGGCCCGAGTAACAACGGACTAGGAGAATTCGTGCTGGGTGGGTTTGGAGGACTAGTTGAGCTGGGAGGGCTGATTTGGCCTGTATTTATGGTTCTAAAAATCGTCTCAAGTCAGCTTGATGTCTTTGAGACGCTGCTCTCCGGCCTACTTGGCTGTATAAAGCGTCCATCCACTGTAGAGCTCGTTGTCGTGTTAATGAGGATTCATGTTTCTAGCGCAACACCCATCTCCTCTGTAAAAGGATGTAGCCCAGTGGTACCACGTGGACCGAGCTTGCCAGATCTGCACGGTTCTGCCATCCGGACGCGATACCGGTGCTCGACAGTGCGGGTCCGCTGAGGCACCTTGGATAAGGCTGACAATGGTCTTGTGCGGTGGGGGTGGGGAAGGGAGCAGCATAGAAGTCTGGTGTCGTAAGGCAACTCACTTTTTAATGTGGAAGAGTGAGTTGATGAGTGGATGTTGTGTTGTAGGTGGATGGTGGTTGTTGTATTGTATGTGAGTATGTTGCTGTGGATGTGGTGTCAACTGGTAGAAGCGTTTTAAGTTGACCTCAAGCTGACCTTGGCTTTATATAGCCACATGACTTGCGTTTGAGTTAGGTGAGCGGAAGAGATAAATAGTAGTATAGAATGTGATTGCCCATGGGTCTTCCTACACTCCTCTGCCTTGACTCTGTTTGGAAGGATCCTTGTTGGAGTGACTGTGGGTCTCCGGTAAATGTATGAGTTGGGATGAGTTCTGTGTTGTAGGTGAGATGAAGCTCGGGAAGGTGACTGATACACAAAATCTTGATATGACTTTTGAGCTTTAATTCATCTCTGTAACTGAGGCTTTCTTGAGGAAAGATGTAGATAGACTAAAATCGACTACAGTTGTCGTGATCACATTGGGCGGAAGGTTCGCATCATGTCGTCCTATCAAAACCTTTGTGGCTTGTTTGATTGTGCTTGCCACAGCACAGTGAGTCAGCAACTTGAAGTTCTGAGGCCGTATATCGCTATGACTGCAGCTACTCGGTGACTGCCCTGACCAGCCCATCATCGATAAATACAGTTCTGTTCTAAAGTGTCAGGCAGAAGCAAGGCTCACATCATACTTAACAAGGCTCACAAGACAGACAGTGTGTGAAAATGGCCAAAGCAGTAGTGATATTTCTGTCGGTCAATGGTCATTACGGGCTCTGCCCGAGTGGCCACCATGGTGCCTCGTCTACAGGTATCCATCCCCCAACATCTTCAAATTGGGATGACCTCCCGTGGTGAGATCACATAGGATATCACCAAGTCACAGGGTCTCAATGCTTTGCTTCAGAACTTTTCCGAATGTGACTGTAGTCATGTATATGATGATGATTTCTGGCAAGACTTGTGGCCTTGCTGCACGCAATCTGAGAGCATTGCCCAGGTGTGATGTTCGCTTGGGCAGTGGACCCGTAACTATTATCCAGAACCTGATAGAAATTGGCATGAGCTTCTAATATAGGTTTCTCTAGAAAGCAGGTTTCCATCAGAGATTGTGTCATAGAGAGATGTTCCAAGAAGTGAATTATTAGTACAACATGAAACAAGGGTAACCAGTCTTCTTTCCCTTTGGCCATCCCTGTTGCTTTTACGGAAGTCGATGCACACTCGCCTCTCAAACCTGCCTTGCCACACCCGGTTGCCAGGGTTGTTTCCGTTCCGCTTGCAGCATCTTAAATCGGACACTGGCTGTGAAGCCTCACGCATCCCTACCCAAGCACTCCAGCTATTCCGCCGACACAGCGTTCGAACTTGAGTAGAAAACTTACCCTCCTCAACACACTTCCCTCGCCCCTTCTTCGCCGCTGAGGGAGGTCACCTAATTCTTGGTGCGCTCCCTTCATAACCATATGAGACAAATCAACACCAACTCATATCTTGACTGAGTCCTGAGATTCGTAGGCTCATTCGGAAGCTGCCCTCAACAAGACCACGGACCTTCCATTCCTTGCATCAGCAAGTTCGTTGTTTCCTTCTGGTCTCGTCTGTATCGGGAAATAGCTCTCAAGTGCTAGTCAGGACCTTCGCACTTCGCTCCATCCTACCGGCGAACACGCTCACTGGCACTGCCACCACGGCGGACAATTCTCAGTGATCTTCTGATTTGCAACTCATCTACTCCCATCCCTTTCCCCCAGCGTTGACGTACATCAGCAGAGGTTCCTTGGCAGGTACACTCCTCCCACCTTCGACTTTCTAATCATTAGCAGGTAGAGGCTGGCTAACACTTTGCAAGACACTACCTTTTCTTGGACTCGTCTCTTTAGGACAGGTCAGCCTTCAACTTCAACCTTGGCAGTTGGCTACACTGCCACCCGATACCTTTCTTTTCATTGAAGTTCCATCATTCTCATCTTATCCCCATCTGACCAATCTACCATGAGGATCTGGTAATCGAAATCATCCATCATGGCACCCAAGCGTGTCAAGCTGAATCTTCCTCGTCGCAAAGACGCTACTGCGTCACATAAACAAGACGACCCAGTCGATTCCGGTCCGGTAGATGACCGCAGCTTGATCCCTGCTGCAAAATCCGACGACACCAGCCATCAGTCTCACAGCCCAGAGATCAAGCAACCCCCAAGTACCTACATCAAGCAAGAGCCGACCTCCAGGCTAGCTAACGTTGCTTCTGCCACTACATCAAGCATTGCGAAAGAATGCAATGCAGTGTGGCAAGGGTCTGCAGCAACAGAGCGGAAAGACCAAGCTTCGTCTTCCTCCGCAAACCGTCCTGATCCAGATCCGATGGATGCTGACAATGGCTCCAACACAACTGTGAATCCCAATAATTGTGGTCCCAATCTCTCTACAAAGAGCGATGCAGAGCTATCGGAGTACCTGGACGAATGCAGGAATGAAGAATATCATATGACGCAGAGGCTTGAGAAAGCTCAGAGTCCCTTTACAGAATTCTACAGACAGCCGATCGAGGAGATACGATCTACAATCAAGCAGGTGAAGAAAGAGCAGGAGCTAAGGCAAAGTCACATTGACAATGCAAAGAAAATATCGAAGAGCCTTGGGCTTTCCAATTCAGCACTGCTGAAAGCTCCTGAGTCACCTCAGAGCAATGAGACGGATGAGACAGAACAGCGGCGACTGCGGAAACGCAAGTCTGGCAGCGACACAAGACCATTCAAACGGCCCAAGATTTCGAAGAAGACTCGCCAGGTCAAGGACACAGTCATGAAGACAGCCCTGTCCCGATTGAAGGGGGAAACATCTACCGTTCTCGACAGGGGCATTGCAAACACACTGCCCTCAATCGACAAAGCTCCCGCCCACCTCATAGATCACCTGAGAGCGATTGAGAACGCCGCGCTACAGAAGCCAGGGGTGGAAAAGGATGCTGTCTCACACGATATACTTGCATTTGCTGGTATATTGCCCGTCTTCCACACCATGATTCAACCGTGGGTGTCACCAGGGGAAGGGCCAAAGAAGATTGGAGACTACAAGTGGCAGCTCCGAGACATGGCTTTCCCCCTTCTTCATCACCAGGTTCCGGCAATTGGCGTTATGATCATATGCGAGAAGGATCTCGACAAAGACGGGGAAACCAAGTTCGCCCTGAGATCAGGCTTTCTCTTCGACTACATGGGTCTCGGCAAGACAATTGAGATACTGGGCTGCATTGTCTACAATCGGCCGACGAAACGACGGGGAAACTCCTCTGATAAAGGCCGTACCACAACCCTGATCGTCGTTCCCAAGTCTGTTGTCATTCAGTGGGAGCATGAGGTCCAACGTCATTGTCCTAGCCTCAAGGTTAGTATCTACGACAAAAGCTGCGAGACGGATCCAGAAGAAACCTTGAGCAACGACATCTTGCTTGTGACGTATGACCAGCTTCTTGTAGCTGATCGTATGGCTATTCGAAAGAACAAGGCCAAGAGAGGCAAGACCCGCGCCTCGCTACTCTTCAGATCAAACTTTTGGCGCGTGTGCCTTGACGAGGCCCATAAGATCAAGAACAAGAACTCGGAGACTTTCAGAATCTGCTGCAAGTTACAAGCCACACACAAATGGTGCGCCTCTGGAACACCTACCCCGAATGGCATAGCTGAGATATACTCGTATTTCAAGTTCATCAACCACCCTTTGGTGGAAGACTTCCCCAACTTCAGGAAACAGTACCTCGGAGGGGAAAACGGGAAAGTCTCCCAGAAAGAGGGCGAAAACAAGTACGAAAAGCTAGAACCACTGCTAGAGCAGATCATGATCATGCGAGCTCCAGGAAACAAGTTTCTGGACAGTGTTCTTGTGGAGATACCGGATCCTGACTGTTCTGCAAAATTAGTCGAGCTTTCCATGGAAGAAATCGTCATCTACGAATACATGGAGAGACATGTTGAGGCATATCTCGTCAGGAAGTCGGGAAGGAAGCCAAAGCCAAAGCTGAAGCCGAAGCCAAAGCCGAAGCCAAAGTCAAGCCGAACTCGCAACAAACCAGATTCTGAAATGAAAAAAAACCCAGACGCAGCCCAATTGTGCTACACGTCGCTTTACGAGGCTGCTCTGAGACTCCGACAGCTGGTTTCTAGCCCTCTCCTGCTAGAACAAATCGTCAAGGATGGGATCTGGACGGCGGAACAGGCCAGAGAAATGAAGAATGAAGCTCACAGACGAGGCTGTTCTGAGACCCCTTTCATCGACTATTTTGGGAAGTGGATGTCAGAACCGAGGATACCTCACACTCAGCCGAAGAGTAGGATGAGGCGGGAGCGAGAGCTGAATGAGCTCAACAGTTTGCGTTGTCCAGATTGCAATACACAGCAGCAGCAAGAACCGCACAGATCCCAATGTGGTTGTGTCTGGTGCAAGGAATGTGTGTCCGAACGGATCAAATACTACGAACACAAGAAGATGGGAATTAATTGTCATCGTTGCAAACAACCCATCGGAACACCGCAACCATGCGCTCTGCCTCAAGAGCTCCCATCAGGTTTCGATGTGCCAGCCATTGAGCGGCCGCGCATGAGGGGAGACGACGCCATTCATTTCCAACCAAAAGAAAACTTTGGCGCCTCTTTGATTCGCAACCTTGACGCAAATACTGGGATGGAGATACCGCTCAGCTCGAAGATGCGTGAGATCCTCGAGCAAATTCAAGCTTGGCAGCTTGATGCTCCAGGTGACAAGATCGTGGTATTTTTTCAGTTCATCGACACTCAACGTCTAATGGGAAGGGTTCTTCAGGATCACAACATCGATTTCCTATATTTCATCGGAGAGATGGACTATCAACAACGTGAAGCAGCGAAGGAGCGCTTCCGGACGGTACCTGAGATCAAAGTGATGGCAAGTATTATCATCGCCAGTGTCTCGATTTGTAAACACTAACCAGAATTCCAGATGATGTCTATGAAATGTGGGGGAGAAGCAATCAATCTCACATGTGCGAATCGCGTGATCATCGTGGATCCTTGGTAGAATCAAGGAGCCGAGCTTCAGGCGATCTGCAGAGTTGCTCGCTTGGGACAGCCGAAGAAAGTCCATGCCGTGCGTCTGCTAGCAGATGAAACAGTCGATAGAAGAATGTTTGATATGCAAGAGGCCAAGGTCTGTCAAATTAAGACCGCACTCCAGCGTTTACAAGAAGGTTCCTACGGACTCCGTGCTCTCAGGAGGGTACTCGGCTATCACTTCGAGCAGGTCAGTGTCATTCTTCACATCGCCCCTATCCCCAATTGTTTGGCGATTCACAATGAGGCCCAGAAGCAGCCGCTTTAGGATCATAGCCGGTCACTAATTTGTACTAGGATGGCGATGACGAGGACGAGAATCTCTCCAAAGACGGGGATACAATTGAGGACGAAGAAGAATACGATGATTCCGTCGATAATGATGACCCAGACTACGAGGATGAAGATGGTTAGCTCTACAACGGTGGCGGAAACCTTACAAGGTTTGTGGTTTCGTCGACCACCTGAGCAGTCTCTCGCCTGAACCCTGGAGCTGGAGCTTACCACCGCCCTGCTACTACGTGAGTCACTGGCAGTCTTGCATGAGACAAAACGTGGCATTTTACATTTCACAACGCATTGATTTTCTCTTTACTAATGCAAATCGAGCCCGAGTGGCCAATGTTTGCCTTTCGAAGCTCGGGTTGGGCCCCGGGAGGACGGGCTCGAAAAGCCATGGGCTTCCACGTACTCACAGAGTCTACACGAGCTTGAAGGCTACTCGGATGGTTTTAGCAGGACACCTGGCACAGCAAACTGTCATTGCAGTTGATAGTACATGCCCCATAGTGAGAGACATCTGGAGGCCCCAAAAACGACAGGATGGTTCAACTGGTGGAAAGGAACTTGGTATTGTTGGGGCCTCCTACGAATGGAGGGTAGACATGCACGCGATGAATTCATTGAAAAGCTTTTGCAATGAAGCCGACACCCATTTGACATCCGTGATATTATGCACTGGACTGAATAGCTAGCCGCTTGCTTGATGACCTGCTAGTGCTTCTCCCCAAGCGTGGACGCGAATTTCCCACAAATCACTGGCATTTATAAACAAAAATTTCGTGGGTTTCCGCTTTATTACACTGGTTCTGAGATTTTCGATGCCTCCAAGGGATGGTTTATAGGGCAAAGTCCACTGAGGATGCCTACCTCAGGAGGACATCTAACATTGAATAGGAAAGGCCACACTAGGTTAAATTGACGTATGATAACCTCCTACAAGGTGGTCTTAAGCAGATTTCCTTTCAAGGTGGTCTTTACACAGAAATTCTATAGAACTACTTCTAGTAAAGTCGAGGTACGTAAAATACAGAGGGTACATTACAAAATAGCTTCAACCACATTATATTTTTTATTTAACTATTTATCTATTTATTATCTTCTTAATTTTTAAACTAATTATTAACTTATATTTTAAATATAAAGTTAATAATTATTTAATATATACCTTTAAACTTATTTATATATAGAATTATTAACTTTTTTATAAAGCTCTCTTTTTTATTATATTTTTTATATATTATATATAATTTCACTTCTATTTTATATATATCTAAAGATATATATAATACTTTTATATAGTAATATATTATATAAAAGTAAATAAATCCTTAATAATAAAATAATATATTTTTAAAAATTAATTTTTAAGTATTTAAACTTCTACTTTCTTTATATAATATTTATTTAATATATAATAAATAAACTTCCCTTTTAAATATAAAGTTAAAAGATTTATAATTATAATTTTCTAACTAATTTTTATTTAACTATTTTATTATATTATAACTTAATCTAACTTTATTTAAGCTTTCTTTTAAGCTTTATAAAAGTTCTTATTTCTATAAATATAAACTTTAATTTAAAACTTTTAAGTTTAAGTTTAAAATTCTTATAAATCTTAATATACTTTAAATTAAACTTATAATCCCTTAACTTTTAAAAATATATTAATTATTTTAAATAATAATAACTTTTCTTTAAAATAAAAGTTTATTTTTATATAGTTATAAATTTAATTATTAATAGCTATTTCTTTTTCTATTTATAATAGAACTATTAGAACTATAAACTTAAATAATAAAGTATAATTACCTTACTTAATTATCTTTTAGTTTAGCTAAATAATTACTTTTAAGTAATTTTATTTAATAGGTATTTATTTATAGAATAGAGTTAGAACCTTTAGGGGAATAGTAGCTTTTATCTTCACCTATTTTAACTAACTTACCTAAGTTATATAGTAACCTCGCATATAGTACTTAATAGCGTTAAGATTAAATAGCCTACGGTCCGTAATAGCTTTAACCTTTAACGGGTATAGCCTAGTATACTAGCGTAAAAAGGTGTCTTCTAATAATAAATAGCGTTATAAATAATTATAAAGTTATTATAAAAAGTTTTATATAATAAACTTAATTAAGTTAATTTTTAAAAAATATATTATATTTTATTCTTTTAAAACTTTAATTATTTACTTTTAACTTAATAGTAGAATTAAAAAAATATAAATAGTTTATAATAAATAAACTTTATTTAACTTTTTAAAAAAGTTTTAATTTTTTTATAAAATTTATATAAAAGATTTTCTTAAATAAATTTATTATTATAATATTATTATTTTATTAATTATAGATTATAAATTATTTATATTTTTTAATTTTATTATTAAATTAAAAATAAATAGTTAGAGTTTTAAAGAAATAAAATATAATATATCTTTTAAAATTAATTTAATTAAGTTTATTATATAAAACTTTTATAATAACTTTATAATTATTTATAATATTATTTATTATTAAAAATATTTTTATATTAGTATATTAAGTTATATTTAATTAGTTTAAGTTAATATTATAAGTTTATTAAAAGTTAAAGCTATTATAAACTATAAGCTACTTAATTTAATACTAGTAAGTATTATATATAAGTATTAAATTTATTATATAATTTAAGTAAATATAAGTTAGTTAAAATAGGTGAAAATAAAGCTATTATTCCTTTAATTAAAGTTTTAACTCTATTTAAATAAATACTTATTAAGTAAAATTACTTAAAAATAATTACTTAACCTATTATATAAACTAAAAGATAATTAAGTAAGATAACTACACTCTATTACTACTCTAAGTTTATAATTCTAATAACTTTATTATAAATAGAAAAAGAAATAGCTATTAATAATAAAGCCGGGGGCGAGGACTTCGCACCCGGGGCTAGGGGTCCTCTACCCCCGACTTCTACGGTTAACTGTTTACTCGTAACGAGTAAGAAAGAAGATAGAATAGTTACTTCTAGGTACTAATTAAATAAGAATAAGGAGGGATAATTGCTAGTAAAGTCCTTTAAGGGAGAGGTACCTATTTATATAGTCTATATCTAGGGCTATTACTAACGGCCACTAAGATAATAATTAAATCTATAATTATATAAAGGTAGATCTTTACTTTAAAAAGAAGTTATTAATATTTAAAAGAATTAATATATTTTTAAAAAAGTTAAGGGATTATAAATTTAATTTAAAGAAAATTAAAATTTATAAAAATTTTAAATTTAAGCTTAAAGGTTTTAATTTAATATTTATATTTATAGAAATAAAAGTATTTATATAATTTAAAAGATATTTAAATTAAGTTAAAGATTAAATTAAATTATAATAAAAGAAATTAATTAAATAAAAATTAATTAGAAAATTATAATTATAAATCTTTTAACTTTATATTAAAAAGGATTTTATTAACTATATATTTAAAATAAGAATTATAATATATTTAATTTACTTAATAAAAATAAATTTAAATAATTATTAAATATATTAATAGAAAAGAGTTAACTTATTAAATCTTATATTATAAAATTCTTCTTTTATAAAAACTATTTTAAAACTATTTTAATTTTATTATATAACTACTTTCTTACTTTTTAATATAATATTATTAAGAGTAATACTTTCTAACTTTATTTATATAATATAAAGTTTAATTATATACTTATATATTATATTCTCTTTCTATTATTATTAATATTATATTTCTTTAAATACTAAATTTTAAATATTTATTATTATATAAAGACACTATATATATATTATATATATAGGGATTAAAAATAAAACCACTATATTATAAAATAATATAGATTATAAGAGGCTATATACCCACATATTTTATTCTCTCTTCACTATTATTAGTATTGTGCTGGCATTGTGCCTTATTCTAAAGTTAAACGCCGGGTCTTGAGCGTTTACCGCTGTATGAAAGCGCTAAATACGTTTTATATATTTGAGTCACCGTATGAAGGCGCCATGTATATCCTCGGACGTATACGGAATAGAAGCGAAACCACAACCACATATATTTAAGTATTAGAATTGAAACCACATGGATTATGAGCCGTTGAACTAATTGTATTTTTCGATTTCCTCTATTAAGCTCAAAACCATAATTACTAGTAGTGTCCTAGAAGGACGAGGCACAATGCATGCAGGGTGGGCCGTTTATACAGTGGGCTTCTGAGCTCCACTGTTGACGTGATCAATGACATTGTATTATATGACTACTGACAGGACCAACCAGATGACTATCGCCCGTGGATTCCTAGGGACCGTTATAGTGCCTGAAATTTAAGTACCTGGACTGGTCTGCGCACATCCCCATCAACGCACACGTATTTCTCACCAAAAACGTCGATTTTTACCCTAGCCTATTTAATTATATAAAATTACTATAAAAATAAAAATTAAACTAATAGTTAAAAGTATTTTTTTAAACTTTATAAAAAAATTTATTTAAGTAATATTTATTATATTAATATAGAAATAAATTCTTTAATATTAATATTATTTATTTTAATTAATCTCTATACTATTTATTAGTTATTTAGTTAAAAAAGAAAAATTAATTTTTTAAGTTAATTAAATTAATTATAATAATAGATTTAACTTTAAAATATTAATTAATATTATACTTTTATAAATATAAAAGATTCCTATTAATAGAAATTTATAGAATTAATTATTAAAGAATTAAAATAAGTGGAGTAGAAAAAGTAGGGAATTTACTTTACTTTTATTAAATTTTAAATAATTAATTTTAAAGAGTTTCTATTAATAAGAACTTTTAAAATTTATATTAATATATTTTAAATAGATTTATCTATATAAAGGTTATTAATATATATTAAATTTAAAATATATTATTTAATTTTTTAAAAAATAAGAAATAAAGTATAAAAAGTATATTTTTAAAAATCTCTTCTATTTTAATTATTTTAATATATTTAGAATTTAATAAGAATTTTAATATTTAGAATACACTTTATTTAATTTTATAATATTTATTATAAATTTAGTCTATATTTTTTATATTTTTATAGAATTAAATATACTAGAGTAAAAATCGATATTTTTAGTGGGAAATGTGTGTGCGTTGGTGGGGATGTGCGCAGACCAGTCCAGGTACTTATTGCACAGTTGAAGAGACTTTTTTCACCTTCGTGATGGCGCCTTTTTGGGAGTACCTTGCGGCAGACCGGCTGAGCGCCTCCAGAGCGTATGCGATTATAATGGTAGGACTTTTCCTTACCAAATTTACCCTAAGGTACTGTTATGGTGAAGTTCACTGCTATATTGCACAGGTCATGTAGTGGTGACTAGAGGTTGAGGCTTAACTCTCACGACTATTCCATGATAATTCTATTTTCCTTTGCTTCAACCAGACTATCCCGAACTCGTCGTGGTCCATCATATTCCCCTCGATATTCTTGCATCTAAGCGTATGATTCTATGAAGCAGGATGCCCTCATAAGACAACAAAGCTAGCAGGGCCAGTATATTGCTGGTACACGGCTGCACCAGCCGCAATGACAGGGAAATCTGTCTTGTTCCAGACTTTGAAAGCTCCAATTCCCAGCTTGTAATCCTCAAGAAAAAGCGTGTAATTTCCGTCGGAGTTGTCTGTTACAAAGGACCAGAGAATGGACGAGTCGTAGCAGGCAGTGGAAGGAACATTGGGAAGGAAGTAAGCCGTGTATATTGATGCGCTGCAGTTAGTCGGTGCAAGCAGCTGGTCGGTGGTGACATTGAAATGAAAACTAGGAACAAAGGCCCGTTAGCTAGCAGTTTCAATACTTCTCTTCACTTTCTGCCATTGACTTTTCTTTGCGCTCCTCCCCCCCCCCACCATTCCTTACTAATTTGTTCTTCTTTGCGATGAATCCGCCGCAATAGCCGTGGGCTATAAGCAGTGACTGTATCTATTTGGTGAAGGGGCAGGTAAGGAGATAAAACAGTTCGTACCTGCAAAGGGTGCCGTGAGGAATACAGCCGGCGTCGAATATTGACACATTGAATCCCTGGGCCCGCTGTTCGATGAGATTTGCAGACACGACTGCAAAAAGGGTCACCACAGAGACAAGTGAAAACTCCATACTGTAATATGACGGAGAGTGCAAAGAGACGGCTAGAGTAATTGTCGACGATGTTTGACGCGGAATTTCTGATGAGTCTACTTTTGTACTTTCAATCATCAAGTGGCCTTTGCTGTGGCGTACGGGATAGTATTTAAGTCACTCTATTCTCCTACTTAATGCTGTGTATTGATGAAAATAGGAGCATGTACCTAAGTACCTAGGCACACATGTGGGATTTGGGGTATTCCTGTTCCTCAAGGTACATGTAGCCGTACTGATTGAGCCCTTATTGTTGCAAGGAAGTATCACCCGTTCGCTCAACGGGCTGCTCCACGCCCAGACGTGGCATATATGGGTGAAAGAGAGCATGCTGTGTACATACGCTGTCACCCGCAAGCTATTTGCCTACAAGCACATTACGGGACCGGGTGTAATCTTACCCGCCGTACGATGTGGAACCAGAGGTAATTTGTCCGCCTCATGCAAAAAGTATTATATGATGTGCTCGAGGCTTGGTTGGTGCAGTTTCATCCATTGATGCCTCTCAATGAAAATCCACCTGAATATCGTTGCATATCAAGCACAGACTTTACCAACACTGCTCGTGTATGGATCGAGTAACCAGGTAGAGGACGGGCTAGAAAGCCCTCAAAGTTCTCTCGTGTTTGAACCAAAAGCCCCAGTCAATTGAGTAATTCAATTTGCTGGTCTAGAAGACCCGCTGTCAGCAACAGGTGGATTCGCAATAATCTGAAGCCCGGATGCCGGCCCCAGTATGCCGGAATGCCGGGGTGAGCAGCTACTAGTGGCTTATTCCATGTCTTTTTGCAAAGGTAATTTGAAAGCACCACCTCTCCTCACCCTTGGCCTCAGGAGAATGGAGCAAACTCCTCATCCGACAGTGAGAAGTGATCGTGGGTCCGACTTTCGATCTTCAGCAGTTCGTCAGCACCAATCGAAACAATGAAGTGGTGCACGGTTGGACGGCTTGGCAGTGTCGCGTTACAAGTTTGCGCAGCTGTCGCATATGCGTCACCCAACTACAGCAACTGCGTGGCTCATACAGACGACGTGGACTTCCTGGGACATCATCGAAATTCGATATGTGAATGGCTTGGAATTCCGTACGCGCAAGCTCCGGTGCGAGACCTGAGGTTTGCACCACCTGCCAAACCATTACCATCAAATGGCACTTTCAAAGCCGAGAACTATGTAAGTCGTTGTGGTGACACTGAACACCGGCATGCATCTGACAGGTTTCTCAACCAAGGGCTACGACTGTCCCCAAACACAGTCCAAGTATTTTGCGTACCCCAATGCAACCGACCAGTATGCTCGAGTCTACGCCAATTTCGTCAACTTGCTGAACAACACCCAAAGCGAAGACTGTTTGACATTGAATGTCTGGTCGAAGCCAGCTGTTAGTGGCCTGAAGCCTGTGCTCGTGTGGATCTATGGAGGGCGTTTTTCAGCCGGAACCAGTAACACTCCTTTCTATCATGGAGGACTTCTGGCCGATGCCCAGGATGTAGTGGTGGTGACATTCAACTTTCGGATGAACATATTCGGCTTTCCTGGCGCGCCTGAGCTCGAGGTCAAAAACCTCGCTCTCTTGGACCAGCGCCTGGTTGTTTCATGGGTTCGAGACAACATTTTGGCATTTGGTGGTGATCCTTCTCGAATAACAATTGCTGGCCAATCATCTGGCTCTTGGGCTGTGAATAATTGGGCGTATGCCTTCCAGGATGTGGGTTTTGGTTCCATGCTCTCTCGGGTCTCATAGTATCTCGCCTGAAGAGGCATCCAACGCTGACTAGACATTTATCCCAGGATCCAATCGTTTCGGGACTCGTCTCTCATTCTGGCAACGTCTTCTCCTTTGACAGCAACGGCGCCGAGCTGGCAGCGTCAAATTGGTATAATGTTACGAGGACGCTTGGATGTGGTGCTTCGCAGTCGACACTCGAGTGTATGCGCTCACCCAACATCACAATCGATTCTATTCTCGCCGCTGCTGCCCGTGTGCCCACCACCGGCGCAGGCAGTCGCGCTCTTCCGGCCTTTCAGATCACCCAGGACAACCACACCGTGTTCCCGAGGTCTGAATACGTCTCGAGACTTGCTTCGGGCAACCTAGCACCTATACCAAGCCTGATACTGCAGACCGACCACGAGTCTGGCTTCTACCGGGTCTCAGCATTAGCCCGTGGCACTGTGCTCCCGGAGAGCAACTGGACCCTCTTCGAAGAGCAGACTTTCACTTGCCCGCTGGCGGCGGACGCGCAAGGACGGGCGGAGCTGGGTTTCACGAGCTATCGCGCGCGATACATGGCCGATTGGGACAGCCTGCGGCTTTTCTACCAGTCTGACCCACCATTCACCAGCGGAGCCTATCACGGGTCGGACATCAACATGGTTGTTGGCAACACAGAGGGAGTCAGCGGCATTGCACCATCGGCTGAGGAGGTAAGGCTTACACAGGCTATGCAAGAGGCCTGGGCTGCTTTTGCCGCTGATCCCGCGGATGGCCTGACCTCTATGAAGGGTTGGCCTAAGTACCAGGCCGACAGCGAGACCCTGATCTTGCTGGGCTATAACACCACTTCGGCTGTGAAATTTGTGGACCCAAGGATTTACGATTTCTCATGTGGTGGCTGAGCTTTAACTCCATGAGGCCAGTCTGTATAATTCCAACACATAGTAAATTTTAGAATTTTCAAAGGGCTTTAATATACATTATTCTTATAACTTTATAATACCTTAAAAGATATAACACATTATTATAAATACTAAGCTAATATTCACCTACTTAACTTTTATAACCACTTACTTAATAATTTTTATAAACCTACTTAATATTAACTTTTTATATATAGAGTTTATATAAAACTATATACCTAACTAAGATTCTTTAAATTTTTAATACTTTAAATATAAACTTCTTTTAATATACTTTTTAATATACTTTCTAATATACCTTTTAAACTATATATATTTAAATATTAATTAAATATTTAAAAACTAAAAATTAAAAATAAAGGTAAAAACTATACTTTTTCTAACTTTTTAATACTTTAAACTTTTAACTTTTTAATATTTAATTAGTATTTAAATACCTAATTAATACCTAAATATATATAGTTTAAAAGGTTTAAAAGGAGTGTTAAAAAGTATATTAAAAGGTGTGTTAAAAGGTATATTAAAAGATATATTAAAAGAGGTATTAAAAGAGGTATTAAAAGAGGTATTAAAAGAAGTATTAAAGGAGTTTATACTTAAAGTATTAAAAATTAAAGAAAGAAGTTATACTATAAAGTCTCTTAACACTAACTTAAAAAGTATTTATAAATATAAAAGAGTTATTTAAAAAAAAATTAAAGAAATTATTAAATAAGTAGTTATAAAAGTTAGATAGGTGGATATTAATTTATAAATACTTTTTAATTTAATAATAGTTTAAATATTTTTATAAAAAGTTTTTAAAAAATTAAATTATAAAATTATAACTTTTTATAATAATTAAAATCTATTATAGCATATTTAAAATCCACATGTGTCTAGAATCATGTCTGGGAAGTTAAGAATAATGAACGACTGTACCTTGAATACAAGTCCTAGGATTGTTTCAGTCACTGCTAGAGCCATGAATGCCATTATGGCGACGAAATTTCGAGCCTTCTTGGCCAAGCGGTAAGGCGTCGCACTCGTAATGCGAAGATCGACGGTTCGATTCCGTCAGGAGGCACTAGTTTTGCTTTTTGCTCTACAAACCTTCCGCACAGGTGACTAGGCTATATAAAGAGAGAGAATATTAAGGGCAAAGAGGAGTATTGTGAGGCTCGCACGCTCTAGGCAGGGCAAGGTAAATCAAGGACATAGGTTCCCTGGGACGTTTTAATTTGGTAATGCATGATTATGACAGACAGGACCTCCGCCCGCCGCCGTCTTTGGACCACCCACAACATCTACGGTGTTTAGGCCAGTCTGTCTTCAAATATCGCTAATGCTTGCTGGTATCATCCCCGCCCTCTTCATCTCTTTGAACCAATTCCAATTTCCCACACTCACGTGGGCCCCAGACGCTCATGTGGACAATGCAAGACAGGCATCCACAGCCAGACCGACACTGTGACATCCTGTCAGCAAGTCATACAAATGATGTGATGTGGTGGGGTCTGACGTACCGTCCTTCTTTCTGGTAAACCACGTCACTGATGATATCCCTATCGAGGTCGGGAAACATTCCAGCCAGCGTTTCTACTACATTGGCATGTTCTGCCCTGTGCAGCCTGTGCGCCTCTGCTGCCTCGGCGCTGGCCTGCCTTGCCGCGGCTTCTTCCGCAGTATAGCGGCTCTGGTGGCTCGAAACTCTCTGAAGTGGGTTCGGCCTCGCATCTGGCAAGGGAGTATGTGCGGGACTGCGTCCCGATGCGCTTGACGAACCGGCCATTGGCTCATCATTGTCGGAGAACATTCTGCCAATTGTGGACAGCGGCCTTTGAATTGTTCGCAGCAGCCCAGTAATGGCGGCCTTCTCATCGTATTCACCGTTGTCATCATTGGAAGTTGACTGGCGAGGTGTATACGACGAGCGGGCTGTGGCATCATTGTCCATGGATGGCCGGGTTGACAAAGATTCACCCATACCAATAATGGATGGCGGTGGCCTCTCTGCGGTGGCCGATGTAGGGGGTGACTCTAGTCGATGCTTCTCGGCAATGGCAGAGACTGCAGCCTCGACGTTCTTCTCAAACTCCTCGTCTGAAATTGTGAGCGTTGTGCGATCCATGTTCTCAATGAATTGGACAGCACCCATCTGAGAGATAATGTTAGCAGCCACGATGTGACACTAGGAAAAGTCGTTTCATACCAGTGATGAGAGGTAGTAGCCAGCCTCCCCTCCCAACTTCTCTTGATTTCGGAATCTGAGGATGTACTGGACATTTGACACGATATGTTCCGGGTTTGCCTGGAGCGTGACGTATATGAGGAGCGGCATGAATGAGTCCGCGGACGAGTCGGATTTGGAGTGCTTGAGGAGTCCTGTGCCGTGTGAGCACGTCAAGTTGAACTCCAGCAAGAATTTCGTGGACCTACCGAAGATGACCTTGCAGCAATTAAGAATGCAAATGATTTTATCCCTCGGAGCTCGGTAGGACTTGATTTTCAGTAGTTCTGTCCAGGTCAGCCGTGGTCTTGGACCGTAGATGGGAATCCTCGTACCTTGTTGTGCGAGCTTGAGGAATCGTTTCCCACTTTCACCGACTGGTGGTATATCTAGATGTTCTTCACGCACCCAGCCATAGATCTTGATCTTCTGGGCAACCACTTCGTCGCGCTCGACGTCTTCTTGATGCTGGCCACGCCGCCCAGGTCCTAACGGTCGCTCCGCGCCCTTCCGCCGTGGCTTGGCGCCAGGAATCGGCTGTGGTGGGGGTATGGCTGGTGAGAAAGTCTGAGCGTATAGTCGGTTCATGACGAGTTTCTCCATGCCTTCCCGGGCATTATCAAATTCAGCATCGGATACATCCCTCCACACTTCACACAAGGCCATTTTGTTCGCAATGAAAGCCAAGAAATCACTGATAATCTTGACCTGCTCATGCACCATCCACTGCCGCTTTCCAAACTCATTTAGAAATGATCGCAGGTACTTGGCAACCGGGTCTGCCTTTTTGTTCCGCAGCTGTTCAAGAAACCGGTGGAAGTCAAAAGGAAGCGCCGACTCAGGCTCGGGCTCTGGTGGAGGCGGTCGGTGTAATGACACTGTTGGGGACATGGGCGACCCGATGCTGTCCCTTTCGTCCACGAGCTGGCCGGTCCTGCCAGACCGGATGGAGGCGTCTTTTGGAGGGACGGGGGGCCCTTGGTCTTCCGGATCCTTCCCTTTCGACGCCATGCTGGCTGGCGAAGTGGAGTTGAGTCGTAGTCCTTGCATGTCCTGCAACTGTTGGGCAATGTTCGTGCTCAGCGGCTCCAGACTAGAGTGCCGAGGAGGGTGTTGAACGGGCCCGGTCGAGAAAGGGGATGCGATCTCCAGTCGCGGACTCATAACCTCCTGTTCGCCTGGACCGCCCTCTCGAAACTGGGCCATGATGGTTTGGATCTCGGAAGCATCGTTCTCGCGGTCATCTTCGCTTGTGCGCTGCTTCTCGTCATCGGAGCGCCCTCCTCGGGAGGAGTCAAGAGACAGGCGAGGTCGGTCGGCGTTGGACGGGGTCCTCGAGGGGGGCTGGGATTCGGTTGGTGTAGACGGCGTAGGGTCGATGTATGGCTTTGTTTCGACGTTTAGGTATGAAGTGGCGATTGTGGTTGTAGGAGTTGTGGCAGGCCTCAGGGTCGCGACCGAGGAGTTCAACCCCTCATCTGTCTTTGGGGGCACCTCTGGTGGTGGCCAGTCTTCCGACTTGTTTCCCTCGGGCTGTCCATCTTGTCCATCTTGTTGCGGAACGGCACCTGCTGGGGCTCCTGTGACAGTGGCGGGGAACTGTGAGCCCTCGTCAAGGGAGATCAAGTCCTCCGAGGGGTTCGGGGGTGCTGTAGTAGAGCCGGGCTGGGCCATGTTGTCATTATGTGACGAAGCCGGGGGATTTGGCCCCATTGAGCTCTTCACCTCACCAGAGGCAGCATACGACTCATGTTTCTGGGGAAGTGGGTTGCTGGAGCTGCAGCTGGTGCTGGGGGCGTCTGGGTTGAAGGGAGGAGACATGCACGAAGCTTTGTTGAGCGGCGATGTCTCGAGGGAGGTTGGCAGTGGGGTGGAAGGGATCCAGGTCAGGTCTGTGGTTGGTGGTCGCTCCCTCCTCCTTTTGCTGCCAACAGCTTGGCCCTTGTGTATGGGTGCCTGACAAGCTTCTGCAACAGGGAATCGAGGGCCCCGCAGAAAGTGGTGGTGATCCTGTGTCAGCGGGTGCACGATTTGTCTCGAGGCGGTTGTCATCATGTCATTGCCAGCCCGGGAGGGACCCCAACAAGCAGGGCAGGCCATCCAGGCAGCCGATAAGCTCGGCCAGGCCAATGATCCGAGCCGTTTCAAAATATCCCCACCTGCCGCCAGCCCAGGGATGACGACTCCCTGCCCATTTACCACTACCACCTATATACCAACCTACCTAGGTACTACCTAGGTAAGTACTTGAGCAGGTAATAAGTACCCGGGAACAAAGTATCCACCTACATATACTCATGGCCTATTGTTAAAGACTCTATCGAGGGGACTGCAATACTTGAATGTCAAAGACTCCAGAGCTTGCCAGCATTGGTCGACCCGTATGCTGTATGTAGTGGACAGCAGCTGCCAAGGCAGATCAGATCTGCCATTTCGTACTCCATCTGCCCAAAGGCTACAATGCTACACGCTGAGAAGGGCATGGCCTCCTCCCAACGTGCAGCTGTACCGCGCCTGTTGCTACCAAGGCATGCTCTGCCCCTGCTAGAAGCCAGCTTTAAACTGCGTAGCTCCTGCTGTCCAAGTCACCACACCTGGCATCCCCCGCAGGTCTTGGCCTTGGGTCCTCCGGCTCAGCCCTACAGCTACTTATTAGGCAGGCCCTCTGACGCCACCACTACACCAGGTCAGTCATATAAGTCATGGCCCATCTCAACGGCAGCGGCCTGCACGTCCCACCTTAGCAAACCATCTCAGTAACGGCCACTACCTGTAAGCTTCTTTCTTTTACTTCAACACGCTCCTCCTCGCAGCCACTCTTGACAGAGGCCCATACGCTCGCTCAACAAAATGGCATCCAACCCCCTCAGCCCGCAGAATGTCCTGCAGGGCATGGCAGACGCACTGCCTACCCATCAGAAGGACGACTCCACCTCAGACATGAGCAGCTCTGTAGAGGCCATTGCCCTCTTCACACATTCCTGCATGATCAAGCTTGGCTTCCGCCTGCTAGGCTTCAACGAGGACCAGAAGAACGGTACGCGGAGACTGTTCGTCCACCCATTAAGGCTTGCCCAAGCTGACTTGCTCCTCAGAGACCGAGTGCCAGGCACTGGCTCCACGCCTTCCAGCAAGATGGAATGCCTCTGTCTCTTCCTACTCCTTTCTCTACGCACACACCCAGTCCTCCATGCAATTTGTCATCAGGGTAGACCGCATGGGAGGCAAGGCTGAGATCCGCGGGCTTGCCGTGGGCGACGAGCGCATCGTGCGGGTCGAGGTCACCCCAAGAGACTATGTCTCCAGCTCTGCGCTTCCGCTGCGCATCAACGTCGACGCCGATGGTAACGAGGACCGCACTGACCTCACGTCAAAACTGCAAGGCGTCTTCATCTCGCCCGAGCGGCTGGCCGACCTAGCAACCCTCCTCAAGATCAACATCATCCAGAAGCTCATCCCAGGTCTCCAAAAGGAGGGTTACGAGGACTCGAGCCCGGACGACAGGGCAGCCCGGCAAGACGCGGACAGGCAGGGGCGGGAGGGCCCAAGCAACCCGCGCCCACAGCCGCCCCAGCTGCCGGAGCCCGCACGTCCGTACCCCTTCGATGATCCCCTCGCGGCACCACCACGGCGGCCTATTCCAGCCGGGGAGTTTGCCCCTCCCGACTTTGAGGACGAGTTCGAGATCAACAGGCCACCACGCGGACCGCTGCGTATGCCCGGCGACGGACGCTCGCCCTTCAACATCGGCCACGATGACCTTCACCCTCCCGGGCTGGGGCCGTACGACCCACTGAGGGGTTCCTTTGTGCCCGGCGGAGGCCTGCCGAGACCAGGCGGCATGGGCGGCGGCATGCACCCTACCTTTGACGATCCTCTGTTTCAAGGGCCAGGTGGCAGCGGACAGGGAGGCTACGACCCACAAGCACCGCCCGGGGCGAGATGGGATCCTCTGGGACCCGGCGGCGCAGGGCCAAGGTTCGGAGGCGGACGACCCGGGGGCGGAAGTGGTTTTGGAGGCGGTGGCAATCCCTTTGGCGGAGACATAATCTGAGAAGGGACTCTTGAAGCCCGGAGTAACTGTCCGTTTTCATATAGTTATCCCCGAGACTGTCACCAGCAATATTGGACGAGGATAGTTTTCAAAATCACCATGATTACATTCAAGTGCCCATGTATTTGTCCGTGCATTATCAGTATCATGGACAGAGACTGTTGAACAGAGACTCTCCATTCCATTCCCAGGCCGACGACTTGCCGTCGTCCTGTCCCTCCACCTGTCCCTCCACCTGTCTAATTTATGTCTCATCTTCCACGGCTGTCGTGCTCGGTCTGCTTCCTATGTCAACATTGGGCGTCACGAATGAGATACTCGGCGAAACCAGTATCATATTGGCCATAGCAATGGCACGGCCTTATCTACTTTTATTTTCCCGGTCCCTTCCAAGCAAGCAGGACCACATGTATTTACCGGTGTGTAAAAGAGATCAGAAAGTGAGTTTGTGGGGGCTGTGCTCACAATGTCTTGGGAATATCTGTGCATGAGGTTGAAGAGAGTAGGTATCGACAAAACAAAAAAGTGCCACAGTAACAATGATAATCTTTCCACCCATAGCTATTTTATCTCCAACATTCCACCTAGAACTGGCGCGATTGGCGATGGTATCCGAACTTGCCTCTGGAACGACGGCCAAACGGGCTTTGGTGGTAGGTGGTCTCGGGGGAGGGATTTAACTTGGAATAACTCCAACACAACCTCCCAGCTTCTATAATGTGTCCTCCATTCCTTCGCCTGAGCACTCAACTCCTTACTGAGCCGTTGCCAGCTCATTCAACTTATTCTTCTCATCGTCCGTAAGCATGCCGTACCAGTTTTGGAAGTCAGCAATGTTCTCTCTCGCAGCGCGCACGAAGAACTCAGAGAGGTACTGCTGCGTCTCGTCATCCCGCATCCTGCTGTTGGCACCCTCGGCTAGGTTCATCAGAGTCTGTGCATTGGCCCCCAGCCCCACGGTGTCGAACTCGTCTTCCCAACCCTCATCACCATCGTCCTCATCCGCGTCAGCAAACTCCGCCGCCGCCGCCGCGGCAGCGTTGGCCGCGCCCTGAACACCGGACGCTGAGATCAGTTCTTCGATCAGGACTTTGAGTATCTTCAGAGTTGCGGGAATCAGGGTGTACTGGTCTGGGTTCTGCTTGGCCCGCGACCGCGTCATTATCCTGCCGTCGCTAGGCTGCATGATGAGATCGCCCTTGACCATGGTTTGAGCAAGGCGTGCATCGTTAAGCGAGTACAGCTTCGAGAGGGCGATGACATTCTGTCGGATCTCGTCGTAGCCTGCAAAGTTGACAGAGTTCTCCAGCCACTTGCTCAGCACCACCTGCAGGCCGTTGTGTCCTCCGACATCAATGTTGCTGAGGAACTGTACAACGTCACCCGCTTGCATCAGGGACAGACGGGCGAAGACAATAATCAGGGACTGGATGAAAGGGGCAGCCTCGGCGGTCGCCAGTCGGTTCGCCACCGCCTGCAACAGTTTTTCCAGATAGGGGCCGAGACGCTCGGGGCCTGCCTTCTCCACAAGCTCTGCAGCAAGGCCGCCAACCTCGGAGGCCGCGTTGTCCTCGATATTAGGACCCAGGAGTCGGTCAATTATGATGAGGCATGTCTCCAACCCAGACTGACCATTCTCATCATGCCAGCCGAGAACCTGGTGATGGTCGTGCATCAACATGTACTTGATCGCTTCAGCGCCAGGCCGCAGGACCTCGCCCTCTGGAGACTGCAGCAGCATGTTCTTCACCTTGGGTAAAGTCGCGGCCACAAAGCCCGCGGGCAAGGGTTCAGACCCGTTCTGGACGATTGGTACCAGGAGCTCGCAGGCCAGGGTGAGAAGTGGATCGTCCGAGGTCATATCCGCAACGTTAAAGGCCCCAGTGATAGTCGGCAAGACCTTGGCGCACAGAGCTGCGTAAGATGCCGAGTCTGAAAGGCTCTGCACAAGCTCCTCGAATGCCTCACACACTAGAACCGTGACTTGAAAGTTTGATGCACCGTGCTTAGCTATCAGGAACAGCAAGTCAATCGACTTGATGTCTGAAGCGATCGTGACCCTGGGGTCGATGCCAATGACTGCTCTGAGCGCCTCAGCCAAAGTGACTAGCAGGTCATCCGCATCCATGAGATCAGTCATGTCCTTTCCATCGAGGAAGCCGTTTATGGCCACCAGCATTTGCACCTGGCGATCCGCAGGCACGTTGCTAGAGCTGACAAACCCTTCAACGGCCTTGACGCAAGCGACTTGGACAAGCTCCGAGCTGTCTCGGCTGACAGATTCAATCGTCTTGTCAACGATCCCAGCAACGGGTGGGTATATTTGGGCCAATGTACTAGCAACGAGAAAGCCTCGAGCGCGAAGGAGGGGCTGCTCTTGGCCTGTGACAGGGTAAGTAAAGTGACATTTGGTGACAGAACGGACGGAACAGGGAACTCACCGATGGCATAATCAATCAGGTCCATGTGGGCATGAGCAACCTCAGGAGGAACAGCTTCTGAGCGGTCTTGCAGGTCGCTGATGAGCATGTTGAACAGGTACAGACATGCCTCCTGCGAGCGCCAGTCATTCTCGCCAGAGAACTGGCTCTTGGTGTATGCGAAGAGGCCTTCCAGCGCTCGTTGGTGGAGCCATTCTCCAACTTTTATTAGGAGATCTCCGCAAGCAGTACGCGCCGTGTAATTAGCAGTCACCTACTGAGGTCAGCATGGTGTTGATATGATGGCGAGCCTTTAAGAAGAGTGCGCAGAGGTCATCCATCCCGTGCTAGACTCCCGCCAAACGCACACGCAGAAGAAGCAAGAACACGTACCGAAGTCTCCTCGGCAAGGTAGAGCGAGACATCTATGTCCCATAATTCTTCCTCCTCATGAGTAATCCGACTGTAAGCTACCAGCAGCTTCATAAGGTCCAGTATCCAGGGAATTTCATGAGCGGGCCCTGCCCCGAGCTGGGCCTCCAGCTCTTTCTGCACTGGCGCGGCCCTCATGCACTGGTTGAGGAAATCGAGTTCTTCCAGAATCAGGAAATCGAGGGTGTAGGGCAGCCCATCGGAATCCTCCAGCCTTCCCTGGCTTCCGTTATCTATGTAGTTCGACTTGTAAGATTCCTGGAGGAGCGAGAGCTCGTGCCAGGCGGCCTGGAAGAATGCAGTGCTCTGGGGCAGCAGGAGTGTGGGGAACACGCTCTTGACCTTCATTAGTGTCTTGACCACCTGGAGCTTGAAGGCGATAATGCCGTTCCTGTATTCCCGCTGCGGGGCCTCTTCGGAACTCTCAGGCAGTTGCACCTGGAGTACCTGGGAGAAGAAGGGGAGCCAATTCTTGAGCGACTCCTCGGCAAAGCCCTTGACCTCCTTGGGATGGTCGTCCTTCACCATGTCCATAAGGTCGAAGCAGCCGCGGAAAACGTGTACCGCAAGGGCGCGAAGGGTCGGCTTCCGGCCGTCATTGACGGCGACGCGAAAGACATTGTCGATGATGGGGCGGGCCATGGAGAAGAACTGGTCCTCGGTCAGGCTCTCCTCGACGATATCGCTCAGGACCTTGAGGGCACCGTAGAGGCGGATGTCGTTGCCATTGGCTATGACGTCGAGGAGGGAGGGCAGCAGTGAGGGCCACTTCTCGGGGAAGTCATTGTTCGCAATCTTGCCAACGGCATAACTGCGCGAGGTTACTAACACGGTCCCGCGATCAGAGCTGGGACTCGCGCGGGGACGCGTGGGGAGGGCAGAGCGTACCTAACCGACGCCTTGACCTTGCGATCAGGCTCGTCACTCAGGGCAAGGTCCAGCAGCTTCTGACGCAGCTGCTCCTTGGTGGAGTCGGGGATGGGCACCAGGGGGCCCTCGCCATCGTCGCCCTCCTCGCCCCAGTTGTGCTCTATGAAGCGGCGCAGGTATGCCAGGGCGGCCTGGCGGATTTCTGTGGAGACGGAGTTGTGGGCGGCGATGTTGGCGAGGGCGACTGGGAAGGCCGGGTTTGTCTGGGCATGTTTGAGGTCGAGCTCTGCGCGTTTTCGAGGCTCTTCGGCGGGGAGCTGGGTGTTTGCGAGCAGCTGGGCCAGCTGGTCCTCCATGGTGGCTGCTCTTGCCTGTTTTTTTTTCGTTCTGTCGCTCAGACTCGCTCGTGGACTGCGGGGTCCGGGTGCGTGGCTGACTGACTGACTGACAGGCCGATTGCTTGGTTATATTGGCGGGCTTAGGCTGGGGCGGTGAGATGGGAGGATTAGACACGGTGGGCAGGTGGATTGGGACGGCGTGGGAACTAACCCGGTGTACTCAAGCGGTACGGTTGCTGGACGAGTCTGCCTGGCAAGATGGGCTGCTGGCGTGGGAGGTTTTGGGGATTGGGGGCTTAAAGGAGGGACCGGGGGGTCGCTGGGCGCTGGGTGAGCTTTTGGGTATGGTGGGGTTTCAAGCAAGCAAGTATTTATTTGGGTTTGGGCGTAGCATTGATCGGCTCCAGACGCGTTCTGGGCCAGGGCTCAGCCTGTTCATATTGCCATACAGCAAGCGTTCACCTCGATCTCTTTCCCTGGCTGCCAAGCATCTACCCGGGTATCTAGGTTCCTAAGTACTTAAGTAGGTAGGTTCTTCACAATGGTCACGGCAGAAACCTTGAGCAGGCCGGTCGAGCAGTAGCTGCAGGCGGCGCTGCACCATTTCCTCCCCCGCCTATTGTGTCTGTGAAACTCGAGCGTGACGCGGTAGAGTCGCGTAAATAGGGAGGGGGCACTAGACTACCTGGCCGTAGGTACCCACATACCCGCCCGAGCTAGCCCGAAGAGGCTGCGTTCAATCCCCCTAGAGGCTAGAGATATTATCACAGCAGGCCAATGTCATTCCCACCTTGACCACATACAATCCAGCCCCCATGCCCGAGGTTTCTCGCCTTTTAGTCTTTCGCCCGTGGGCAACAAATGGTTAGGTATGTCTTCCCCGGCTCTTTCCTCTATTGTACAAGCAGGCACGAGCACCTCAAGATCATGATTGACTCAATACCTGCGTCAGTGCCAAATCACTTAGAAGTCGAGTCAAGAAGGACAGGGTCTGCTGCTGCTGTAGGCCTCGACACATGCAGTCGTGGACAGGAAGCATCCTGGGGTGACACCCAAAAGGCGTAGGCGTAGCTGCCTCGCAAGTCGCATTGCCAGCTCACAAAAAATCCAATCCTGGACTCCAAAGCTTGGCGGGCTCCGAGAACAGTAACCATCAACGGTCAATTCGGAAGCTCAACCATGTCCATGTCACCTTCTCCGGCACCCGCCCCCTTGCCAGACGGCCTGCCAGGCGGCCTGCCAGTGGACGAGGTCCCGCCTCATCAGACGATAGATGTGCCCATCAGTGACGCTCGCGCTCTGTTCGGCTCCTTCTCAAGCTTCCTCACCGTCTCCATCCATACCATCCTCTACTACCGCGGTATATATCCCAAGGAAACTTTCCTCTCTGCCAAGGCATTCAACCTGCCTGTGCACCAGTCTCGCCATCCCAAGGTGTGCTCCTGGATCAACGATGCCGTAGATGCGGTCATGGCCCAGGCTGCCAACGGTAGTGTCGACCGAGTGGCCGTGGTTGTCCATGCTCCCCTGCATCCAACACCTTCAAAGGACTCTCCAGACCAGCAGCTGGCACCAGCAAGCGTTCTCGAGCGATGGGTTTTTGATATATCTCGACTCCCGGCTTGGCCAGGCGGCATAGACGCAATGAGAAATTTCCGCGGGGAGGAGAGGGCAGGCGACCGCCTGCGACATGATGACGAGGTCGCCGGTGAAGAGGTGGGAAGTGGCGGCGAACAAGCCGAAGACGCGGCCCTTGACGCAGCTGCCGCCGACGGTAATCGGCCTGAATCGGTCAACTGGGCTGATGTCGACGAGCAGCTTCGTGGTGCCGTCCGTCGCCTTGCCTATGCCGGAGAGACCATGGACGCCTTGCCGCCTGGCTGCACTTTCACCGTGGCGGTTGAGCTGCGAGATGAAGCACGGGCTCCAATCGGCCACCCTCAACCCTGGATTCCATCTCAGCCAGATCTCCAGCCGCCATCTGCGGCGCGGCCCCAGAAAGGCGTCCGCACCAGAAGCTCGAGAACCATTCCTGTCCGTACAGTTGAGGCTGGGCCGCTATTGTTCGAGTGCTGGGTCGAAGAGGGCAGGACGAAAGGCGCACCCCAAGGATCATAGTACTTAAGCAGACAGGAATCTTATATTATCCAAAGTTACCTTTTACCAGACTGAGAGCAACTTCTCCAGGTGGTTTCGTTTTTAACCCCCATACATGTAAAATCCTCGGACATATGCGGAATAGAAGCGAAACCACCTCAACCATACATATAAAATATACATGGCGCCTTAATACAGTGGTAAACACTTAAGACCCAACTTTTTTTTTAAAAAAAAAAAAAAACACATATACAAGATAGGTGGGTTCGTTCTTAATCCACATGCATCCCGTACATCATGTGATAAACACTGAAAGAGCCAGCGTTCTTTCATATAAAAAAAACAACTAAATGCTAACAAGAGTGTAAGAGGACTGACCATGTGGCCTCAGCTTCATGCCGCACAGACAATGTTAGGGAGCACAGTCCTAACGGCGCCGTTAACTAGAATCATCAACATAAGTAGCCTACAGGCTTAGAGGGAATGAACAATTACATCTATAGCTGGGTGCATAGGTAGTTATACAGTTACAAAGAAGACTATAGAGTAGCTAAAGCCTTATTTCAAGCAAGTTAATAGGTTTTAAGAAGAATAAACCTAATAGGGTAGCTAATATAGAATACAGTGAGGAAGCTAACAAGCTTTCAAAGTGTAAGGATAATATTTAGGGTAGTTATAAAAGTAAAAGGTGGTGCTTTATGTGTTGTCAAGTGGCCTTGTTAATGCTGTGGGAGACTAGCTTGAATGGGGTTCCCTCGGCTCTGGAAGTCGAGTATAATCACAACTTAATGCAAGGTGCTAAGGTCTTTAGGGAATTATCAGCCCTGTATTTCACAGGAAGACTCTGAATTTAGTTTGAGTGGTTTCATTTTTAATCCCCACACATAAAATGTATGTGGCGCCTTCATATAGTGGTAAACAAACCAGTTTGAATTAAGCTGATTTTGGTCCTCAGAATCACAGGTATTTCCCTGGGTTCCATAGACTCATAAAGAGTTCAATGATCAACCATTGCTTTCATGGATCTTGAAGGGGACAATCTCAACCGATGTACGGCTGTCTCTCAATTGCCATTGGACGACTGTAGAAGGTGTTGAGCGATTATAGAGTTAATCAGGATATTATTACTAGAACTGGTGAAGCCATACTCTTTTCCCCAACTTGACCTGTGGTTATGAAGAGAGCGCAGCCCCGTTATCACCGTGATGAGATAGGATCTCAATATAAGCAGAAACCCGAGCAGAGCTCATTTATAATCAAGATACTTCACTCATTAACTGCTCCACTGCGCAATATGACTACTAGAAGCTTTGGACTGGAGTTTTATTACTTGTTTATCCATGGAATGTGTTCTACCAACGATGTCTGCTACCTCCTGAAACCCTTAGCCCATTGAGTTTCCCCCAGAGTCCAGGGCCAGGCATTTTGCCAGTCCTCTAGCGCGTGGATTTGCTCAAATCAGAAGCGGCCAGCCATATGAAGTATTTTACCACGTCTAAAATACTGCCCCGAGTGCAGTACGTAGCCCTTAAAGCATCATTGCACCTCCAAACATAACTGCGGCTCCAGCTAAAACCGCGTTCTGCGTCATTCTGGGCACACCGGCAGTGACTACGCTGCTGCTAGGCTGAGAGGCAGATGTCGCAGTGGCTGTTGCGGTCAATTTCTCGAGCACTGCCGTGACAGTAACTGGCATTGTCCGGGAGCTGATATCGGCAATTGTCCCTGTACCAGTCATCGTCGCCATCGAATAATCGGTTGCAGTATTATCAATAGACAAGTCGATTGATGCCACCGAGGAGGTGCAACTGGCAGTGTTGGAAATGATAGAGCAAGATATGTCGGCAGTTCTGGCACATGATGTCAGTCATCTTCGGCCTGACCTCCGCTCATTGCTGGGGACGCGGGAGTACTCACACGACATTATCTTGCGTCATGTGCACCTCCAGCACCTCTTGTCCCTCCACGATCTCCAGGCCCTTGCCGAGACCACACTGGAGAGAGACCGCATCTGTCGGGCAGGTGAGAAAGAACGTCGTCGCCGTCGCATCAACACCCACAACGGAGCCCATAATGGTCTGAGGCTCGAGCATAGGCAAGATGATATCAACTACTGAAGAGCCCGCTGAGCTGCTTGCGGAAGTAGATTGGCCAACGACAGAGGCCGCAGACGCGGCCAGCAAGGGGAGGAGAGAGCGATGCGTCATGATATCCGATGTCGTGGTTCCTGGGATATTGCATATAATGCAAAGTTGGTGGCGCTCAATTCTTGTCGAGTTCACAGCATGGGCGAATCAAGAGACTGATAGGGACTAACAGTGTCTTCACGATAGGTGACAGACAGGGCTGGCTCTTTATTCAATGATCCGCACGGCCCGCTTGTGAGAGATGACCCCTTTAATCATGTCGGTTATCCTTCCGACGAAGCCTGACCGTTGATGGATCGGGGCCCATCTCTAAGCCCCCAGTGAGAAGTCTCGGACGTGCCCACCTTGCAAAGCGAGGCCTCTGCAACAGGCAAAACCACATGATTCCTCCCCTGCGGCAGCTTCTTGAGAAACCACAACGTTACTGGTCTCCGTGAAGATCGGTGGATACGGAGTATGTGCTCATGAAGCAAATCGGATTGATCCCTCGCAAGGCGATTTGAACGCATTTCACTTGTTGTGCAGCTGTCCGGCCTGTTCGGGTTGTAAGCCGAACAACTGCATCTGACTCGAGGATAGATGTATTTGACGCCGGGCTGAAATTGCACCAAGCTGCTCCACACGGACCACACCAATGAACGCCAGGCGACAGACACTGTCAAACCGTCAGTGTCCTGCCTTCTCACTGCCTGTCAGAGCGGCTGATCTACTCGGCCCACAGCGGGCGACCAGGATCTTGGAAATCTTAGGGATCCTCAGCGGCTCTCACGTTAACAACTCAAATATGACTGCTTGCGGAGGGACTCAGGTTGGCCAACGGCCAACTATCACGTGTACTCTCCGCCGCGCGGCAAGTTGGGAGGGGGCTTGCCCGTCCCGGGTCGCTGCGCCGAGCAGAGATGGCCAAATCTCCGCCCGAGGGCGACTGACCTGCACGCTATCCCACCTGGGCATTGCTTGATCCATCCTGTGCAGGCTTGGCACCTGCTCTGCAGCACACCGGAGGCCAGAACAACTTCTTTGGCGGGCCAATTCCCTACCATTACTGTCGGATTTATGGGGGCCAGAGGAGCGCCAGAGGAGCGATGGGCTTCTTGGCAAGGTCAGACAGCCAAGAGCCAAGACCTCCCAGTACCATGGTTTTGCCAATCATGCCCAGGACCGAGGACATGGGACAAGAGAGCTTGGTTCTTTCTTTCCTTTCTGCTTTGCTTGTCTTGTTCGATCCCAGGTCTCCTCTTGTCATCAACTCAGATCCGTGCTGTGTGGCTGCTCAGAGCTGGTCCGGAGGGCCACGACCTCTCGTCCACCGTGACCAATGATCCGATAGCCCCATAGCCCACCCTTGAGACTGCTCCTGTCTCCTCAACCATGAGGGGCCTGTGGCCACCCCTGCCCCTCTTGCTGATCGCTTTGGCACTGGGCTTACCACCGCCGGCCGCCGCGCAAGACTCGAGCTCACAGTCCACCGTGTCCGTCTACGTACCTGGATATGAAGCACAGAACTGGGAGGACCTCGCCGGTAGCGTGATCACCAGTGTATGTTGACATTTGACAATCCAGAATCGGCTGGCTCAGCTGTCATGTCAACTGGTGCTAACACCGCCACAGGATAGCACTGCAACCACATACACCGTCTTCTGTGCCGATGCCAAGGACTGTCAGATATCCGGGCCTGTTCCCTTCACCTTTGCCGAGGGACCAAGTACGTTCCGTTATTCTGGATCGATAGAAGGCCAGCTGTTAGTCGTCTCCCGGTCTGCGGGCCGTGTGCCCTCCGCCGTACACCTCAACCGCAGCAGCCACTGACTCGTTTCCAGCACGGCCGAGATATCATGTCAGCTAGCATCAACGACCGCCGCGACTTGCACAGAGTACTCCTCATTCGGCTCGGGTTTTACAGAGAATAATATCACTGGCCCGACTGAGACAACCCGCACCGTGACCTACTCGGGCAAGGATGTCCAGTGGGGCACTTTGGTCATGACAACACCTGCGCCCGCGCCTGCGTCGCCAACTGCTGATGGCCCAGGCGGACCATTGGATCCTTCGGACACGGCCTGGTATTTTCCATCCCCGACGAGCACATCCTGGGCTGCAAGTGCGCATCCAAGGATGGCGGTGGTCCTAGGAGTCTTTATGGTAGCAGCTGCATTTATACTGAACATCACCTGATCGGGCGACTTGTAGTAGATCATCCCGAACAATAAGAGATGGCAGGATGGCAAAGGTAGCGAGCATATTATGGCGTTCGGGTCTAGCATCATTGACGGTCATTACTTTCTACTGGCACTCAAGGACAACGTGAGAGATCAGACGCGAAGTGATACCCCGTGTTTGTGAAGACGTGTATCTATTTGGAATGAAACATAGATGATGGTTCTCATGCCAAGAGTGCCTAGTCGCATCATGCATCTATTATCATTTCACCACCACACCTTGATTTATCTACCTAGGGGAAAATAATTACCTTCCGCAGGAGGTTTCCCTATAGAGCGCTACCCCATAGGAGGCTGTCCCATAGGAGAGGCGGGTATCCCATCATACTAGTAGGAGGGTCTCATAGGAGGGTAGCCCAAAGGAGGGCATCCCATATGGGGATGCACCATAGGACGATATCTTACAAGAGGTTGCCCCATAAGAGATTGGGGACACCCGACCACAGCTCGTACCCGTATGACGAGCCTCAATTGTTGGGATTCGAGGTTCTCCCGTGTAGACCCTAGGGTAGGCACTGGATATCAAATCCGGTAGACGCCTTGGAATGGGCGGTAACCGACAACTACTTCAGGGAAGCCTAGCCAGTTGGCCCAAATCAGCCGGCGGCCGTTTCAAGTCAAACGGCGTGGCTCCAAAGACCAGCCAATGGGGCCTTGTGGACGCGCTTTTGGGGGACTCAGCAGCAAGTGCACTATGCGCCGGGCTCCCGAATCTTGGGGATCGGCCCCAGGAACCCTTGGAACCCTACAGTGACAAGCGCCCGCGCACTGCCGATCTGGGCTGTCTGGCATATGCACCAGGGGCAAAGACATGCATACCGATGAAGAAACAAAACACGGCCAGGACAGGGACTGGTGGGCTGAGGGGCCATCAGACACGCAAAAATGCCCTTTTCCTTCCATCAGACAGGCATCTTTGAGCAGTCTGTCCCTGCACTCACAATAGGTAGGATGTGGTCCTTGTTTGGGAAAGGGGCTGTCCATGTCAGTCGCCCATCACTTTGAAGTCTGAGATGGCGATGGCTTCTTCACTTCGAACGTTTCCTCTCAATCTTTGATTCACCTCCGCCACAGATCTCTCCTCGTGGTGACATACGCGGGTCTCACCGTTCAACACGTGGGTTACTGGTGTTCTTCAACTCTGGACCAGTTGTGCGAGTCCAGTAACTGTCCCTTCCTTCCATTTCTCACTACCAACGCAGGCGCTTTTCTTTCACCCGAAGCCGTCCGATCTCTTCTTATTTTCCCGCCACATGCCCCTCAGACTTTCCAATTCTCATGAGTTCTGAACAAAGATTGGACCTGGTTGCGGCGTTTCCTCTCGTGCTATCCGAGCAGCCTAATGGGTGCGACTACGATGACGCACCTCCACGCCACCAGCGCCACCTTGTTGGCTGTCTTCACCAACGCCGTCGCTGCCATGACACTCGTTCCTCCTACGAACCTCAATCTAGGCGAGACCAGTAAGCCTTTGAATATCATCTTGCACCATACCATGACCCAGGGCTGACGAGGTACTACAGCATCCATCAAAGGTGTCGCTAAAACGATCGCCGAGGGCGCTCTGTTCTACTACCCTGGAAATGCGACTGTAAGGAATACATGTGATCCGATTGTTTGCTCAGAAGATGGATCTGGCTCAGCGACCTCTTCGTCCATGGTGCAGGCGTGTCGTTCGGAATTACTAACTCGGTTCCTAGAATTTCATCGATCTCCCTTCCCCTTACTACTGGTGGGAATGCGGTGCCTTCATGGGCGCTTTACTCGACTATTCTCACTACACACAAGACCGAAGTTATGATGAACTTCTGTCCACCGCTCTCTCTGCCAACATGGGCCCAGCAAACGACTTGATGATCCCAAAATATCGGGGCCAGGAGGGCAATGACGATCTAGCCTTTTGGGCATTCAACATGCTCACAGCCGCCGAACGCAACCTCCCACAGGTCGAAGACGCAGGTGTTCCGTCATGGCTACAGGTCGCCGAGAATTCCTGGAATAGTCTTGCAGGCCGCTGGAATATGTCCGCGTGTGGCGGTGGCTTGCTTTGGCAAATATTTCCAGAAAACCCCAATGGCCTTAATTACCGCAACTCTGTCAGCAACGGAGGGTTGTTCCAAATCAGCGCACGTTTGTACAGGGCGACGGGGAACCAGACATACCTCGACTGGGCTAACAAGGTCTGGGACTGGTCTGTGTCAGTCAACATGATCGACAAGGACTATTTCGTGTACGACGGCGCCAATTCAGACACGAATTGCACAGACATGAACCCTGTCTCCTTCAGCTACTCGGCGGGGATCTATCTATACGGCGCTGCCGTCCTTGCCAACGCCACCGACGGAGCTGCCGCCCCGACGTGGAACGAGCGAACCGAAGGCCTGCTCCAGGCGAGCAGGAGCTTCTTCAGCCCGTACGGCAACGCGACAAACGTCATGTACGAGCATGCGTGCGAGACGGTCGAGCGCTGCAACACGGACATGAAGTCCTTCAAGGGCTACCTCTCGCGATTCATGTACGCCTCCGCGGTGATGCTGCCATCTCTATCTGCTCCCGTCAATGACCTCCTCAGCGCCAGCGCCACGGCGGCTGCGAACGCGTGCTCGGGGGGCGACGACTCGGTGACGTGCGGGCAGAAGTGGTACGTGGGTGGCTTCGACGGCAATGTTGGGCTTGGGCAGCAGATGTGTGCCCTCGAGACCGTCCAGGGGCACCTGGCGGGGCAGGCAGCTGCACCATTGGGAAATGGGCAGATCAAGGACGTCAGGGGCTCGGCGTCAGCGGAGACGGGTGCGACTGCATCGGACGCCGGCCCGGTCACCGTCTCCGCGGCTATCCTGCCGACAGATGCTAAGAATGCGGGTGTCGCCATGGTCCCTGGAAGCAAGGGATTCTGGAGTACTTTGAGTCTGATGATGTCCGCTGTGGCCTTCGCAACGGTTTAGGGTACCGCTGCGTGTCTCTGGGCGGGTGACGGCATGCCTCAAGGAATCTTCATCTGAGCCTTTCTTTCGTCTTGTTCTCTGAGAGATGATGACCACGGTGATGAATATCAATGCTCCAGGGGTATTGTGGGGTTAGCAGGCGTTCATCTTAAACCACATCCATATCACTTGGGCTAGTAATTATCATACTACCGCAGCACCGTTAAAGTAATGATATGTCTTAGTGGAGTTCATATGGCTAGAGTACTTCCGGTAGCTCCTCCGTAGACATTATTTCACAGGAGGGTGTTCTCTGGGACACCCTTCTATGGGACGCGCCGACCTCCTAGACGCTCGTAGGGTAACCTGTGACACTCCTATTAGGCAATATGACAGGGCCAAGCCAGGCCACAGGGGCTATATTGTGACATTGCTTAATTTTCTTTCTGGAAATGTGGCCGTGTTGTGGCAATAGTGTATGTAAAATACCAGAGCCCGTGACTCTGGCTGGAAGCTCTATTTTGTCTAATCCGCTTTTCGAGCAATCAAGGACAGCTGATCGTCTATGCAACAACACCGCTCGCCTCCTTCTCCCTGGCCTCCTCGTCGCTGGGTGTGGCCGTCCCCCTGACCTCAGCCAGCGTTCTCCTGATGGACTCGAGGAACCGCGTGACCTCGGCCTCTGTGCCGACGGTGATCCTGAGGCACCCAAGGCAGCCGTGCTCCTTGCCCCTGAACCTCACCACGACGCCCTTGGTCTCGGCCAGGCCCTCGTAGACAGCCAGGGCCGTCTTGTTGTCCGGCTCGCCATCTGCGTTGAGCATCTCGTACAGCAGGAAGTTGCTCTCGGTGCCGCCGCGCAGCCTCCCGACGCCGGGGACGCGGGCCAGCTCGGCGACCATGCGGTCCCTCTGGGCGACGAGCCTCGCCCTGTTGTCGCGCATGGCGGCGAGGCCGTCGGGGGACAGGGCGTACGAGGCCAGGGCGCTGGTGGGCGAGGAGATGTTGTAGGGGGCCTTGAGGCTGTTGAGGATGCGGGCGACGGGGGGCGCGCAGAAGGCGGCGCCGAGCCTGATGCCGGCCATGCCAAAGGCCTTGGACAGGGTCTGCATGACGACGAGGTTGGGCCACTCGTTGACCCACTCGGCCAGGGAGGCGTCGGCGGTGTCGGTGTTGGCGCGGGCGAAGTCGACGTAGGCCTCGTCCAGCACGACGATGCCGTTCCAGGTGGGGTGCTCGAGGACGCGGCGGACGTCGTCCTTGGCCAGCAGGGAGCCGGTGGGGTTGCCCGGGGAGCACAGGTAGACGAGCTTGACGTGGTTGGTGGCGGCGTCGTCGAGGGCGGCCAGGACGGCGGGGAGGTCCAGCTGGAAGGCCGGGGCGGGCAGCAGGGGCACGCGGTGCAGGCCGACGTCGTTGACGTCGGCGGAGACGGCGTACATGCCGTAGGTTGGGGGGCAGACCAGGACGCGGTCGCGGGCGGGCACGCAGAAGCAGCGCAGCAGGGCGTCGATGGCCTCGTCGGAGCCGACGCCGACAAAGAGGTTGTCCGGGGTCAGGGGCTTGTCCGAGTGGGCGCCGGTGGTGCGCAGGTCGCACAGCTGCTGCTTGAGGGCGTGCTGGTGCGGGTCCGGGTAGCGGTGCAGGCCCAGGAGGTCCAGCCTGGCCGAGTTGCCCTCCTGCAGCGCCGCCGCCGCCTGCTGCGACAAGGGCGGGCCGTAGGCGTTCTCATTGGCGTCGAGCAGGACGTTGTGCCCGTCATCCTTGTAGTCACTGTTGTTTGACGGTTAACGGTTGACGTTGACGGTTGACAATTGACAATTGACGGCTGACTCACTCTCTCGCGCAGCGGTACGGCTGCAGCTTGATGATGTTTGGCCGGGCGCATGTCTCGAGGTTGAAAGGAGACATTGTCGAGACCTGTTTTTGTGACAGTCGGGCTGGCGTGACGGATGGTCTCCGCAGGCTCCAGCCGGTTGCTGATATTTATGCAGCTGGATGTGACTCAACAATTAATTGGTCGGGTTGATATGGCAGTTGACTCACAGCAGCCACGGCTCGTGTTTGGTGAAGCCGAGTCTGGAAGCTTTTGCAGTGCCCGCTGTGCCGGGCCCGCTCGGCGCCCCGCGGGTCGGTCCAGCATCAATGACCCATGCATCCACTGCCGCTCCGAGCCCGGAGACCAAGTTCCACACGCGGACCGGCTCGGCTCACTACCTAGGTACTGACTTATTAGTTATTGCTGCGACAACACAGACTTCAGATTAGCGGCTTAGTCGCTTCATTTCTGTCCCCCATACATGGAAAATAACTACATCTGAGGTCTTCATACAGTGGTGAACGCTCAAGACCCAGATTTCTTTTATTTTGTTGCTTAAGAAGAAGCAGAAAGAAAGAGAGAAAGACAGAAATATAATGCTGTTAGTGCACAGAGCATACAATAGGCGTAGGCCTGGGTATTTCTTAATACTTTGCTAAGCTGGGTCACATAGAGTAGCTAGAGGTTCGCGGGATTGCGGTGGGAACATGGCTCTGTGAATACTGACCGTGCCTAGGTACTTAAGTACCTATGCATGTATGCTGACCTCATAGCCTTCAGGGATTCCCCAATTTCCCATCAACGAAGCAGGGCCCCAGCCTGATCTTATTCAGCAGTCTCTATTCTTCCGGCGGCGGTATTGAATAGTAACCAGCCAGCCCAGCCTACCTGCACACACTAATCAGGTGCCACGCGAAAATGTTATTAGTCGCCTTCCCAAATCTCCGCAATTTCCGGCCCGGATGCATGGTCTTCATGGCCAACAACAGACTGCAACCCCCCCCGCCCCTGTGAAGCTAGGTACTTATCACCCTGTCTTCATAGCTATGTAGCTCCACCCCTCCCAGGTTGTTCATCCGCATGTCCGGATGAACGGGACCTGCCCATGGAGTCCCCTCGTAATAGAGTCAAGCCTCGATGCGTTCGTTTCCTGGGGTGCCAGTTAAATAGCCGCCCAAGGTCACATCGTTAAAAGCTCAATGGCCACTCGCCTGTACTTAAAAAGGGCATCTCGCGCTGCTCCTGCTCTTGGGCTTAGATATACGTAGTGTTGCTGTCACTCCTAGCCAAAAGCTTGAACAATTTCTCGCTACTCAAATACCCAAGGGACCGGCCAAGATGAATTCTCTTCTTTTTGCCGCAGGTGTACTGGCATTGGCGGCTAGGGCTTCTTGTGATTCAAAGCCCTTTGACAACTTCGTTACTTTTGGGGACAGCTACACGGTGAGTCGGTGCTTTGAGTCGGTGCTTTGAGAACACTGTGATCTCCCTCCCAGACGGATGGTACACGCTGGCAACATGTCTACGTATCGCGTCAGGTCCAGACAATGGCAGCGGGTTTGCTAAATTTGTTCTGCCAGCTTGTTTCGATGGCTAACCCCAGGGGCTATATAGGACAACGGCAGGCTCTCGTCCTACTTCGCCAACGGAGGACAGCCGCCTCCACCTGGAACGCTTCACCCGTCGACCAACGTGACGGCATCTGGAGGTCTTGCCTGGGGCCAGGTCGTTGCGCAGTCGACAGGAGCAGCTTACTTTGATTACGCCGTGTCCGGCGCAACCTGCTCTAACGACATTGTTGCTCGTTATCTCGCTGGTATCAACCGGACCTTCCCGGCGGTGCTTGAGGATGAGCTACCTAGCTTTATTGCGGACATACAGTTTGAGACGCTTTATGCCAACCGGTCCTCAGAAAATACTGTCTACGCACTCTGGATTGGCACCAATGATCTCGGTTATGGCGCTCTTTTGACCGACTCACAAGCCCCGGGGGTAAGCGGATTCTTGTCACAAGTGAAAACGAGCACGAAGTGGGTGGTTAACCTGAGCCAGACAAACATTACCTCGTACATAGATTGTATATGGACCGTGTTCGATACAATTTACGCAGCTGGTGGCCGGCGTTTTGTTTTGTTGAACACGGCCCCTCTGCAGCTCGCTCCTTTGTACGCCCCGCAAAGTGTTGGCGGCATTGGTGACAGTAAGTTAGCCCCGCTGGCAGCTCATCATCCGTATTGTCACCCTTTTCCGATTTGCGAGGAAAGAATCAGGAGCAGGTCTTATCATGTTTAGCAACTGCTGACCACGGGTCACAATAGATCAATTCTGGCCGAACAAGACGTTGTACAATGAAACGGAGTACCAGTACAAGATTCTAGAGTATACCCAGCTGGTGGATCGACTATTTGACTATGGCGTACCATTCGAGATGTTGGTCAAAGGAAGGTGGCCGGATGCAACCTTTGATATCTTCGATGTGAACTCCCTCATCACGGACATTTACGATGACCCTTTGGCGTACTTGGACGCCCCGGCAAATGTGACTGGCTGGTACCATAACTGTGACACAGAAGGTGCAAACTGCGTCGATGCCACCAACCCGCTGGACACCTTCCTGTGGTACGACAGTCTTCACCCGTCAAAGAGGACAGGTAAGTTGACTTCCTGGGGTTTCGCTTTCTCAACACTCCCCCCCTCATATGCTTCATATTCTCGACTGACAACGGCTTCTCTTTGCAGATGAAATCATCGCCAGGGAATTCATTGGGGTAGTTGCAGGGAACTCGTCCTACGGAACCCACTACGGTTGATGCTGAAGGGTGGAGGTCTACGAAGAATCAAAGACAGGCATAGGACCTTTAACACACACAATTGCGGTCTCATCAATCGCTGAGCCCCAAATTTTAAGCCGCCACGTGTTGCGCCCGAGAGAATCGAACCAGAGACTATTATGCTTAGGTACTTACTCAGTATGTACTCGCCGTCCACGTGGGACGTGGGGAGAATGCGCCTGTCTCGGCACGCCCAGGCGAGGATCACCTGGGTAGAGTCTAGAATCCTACCTAGGTGCCCAGAGTAGGTTTCTAGCAAGTCCTTGGTGTAGATCTACAGTTGCATACAGTAAAACAACCTTGTGCACAAGTACCTGCGTGGGCATCCAGAATCCCACCACGCGTTGGGTGGGCACTCCATACTTGAGATACTGTACATGACGGTACGTACCGCAAATGCCCGGCGGGTATGGGTGGGACAGAGTGTCTGCACTGTGGGTGCGGCCCCTGCCACCATGATCCCTGACTGCTTTAGGCTACATGCGGAATAGCGCGAGGATGGCCCGCTCACCGAGAGGAGCTCCAGGCCTGCGGTACAGCCAACTGGCACGGGCAGAACTGTTTTTCCCTCGATGCTGCGCCGGCCGGCTAAGGGGGGAAAGCGCGAGGCAAAAAAAGTCTGATGACTCCCGCCCACCAGAAAAGCGAATCGACCGACCGACCGACCGACCGACCGACGACTCATCCCCAGCAGCAGCACACAAGCGATCGCACCGCACAGCACCCGCCCAGCGGCAGCGCCAGCATCACACCGCATTTGCTCCGGCTCTTGTTCCCATCTTGCATCATCTCGATCCTCGACGCTGACGGACGGCCCGCCTGCTCCAGACCGTGCTGGCCCCGACTGCAGAGCTCCAGCCTCACAAGCACCCACCACTCACTCCCCCTTCCATCCCCCCGTCCCCTGCTGCTGCTGCGGCACCGCTAGATTAGGTTCGCTGCCTTTCAGTGTGGCATTGATCCACCGGGACCCCCAACTTGAGACCTTCTCTTACGTCGCCTCGTCGACTCTTCCCTACTATCATCTAGGTTGTCTTTGCCTTTTGGCTAGGCCGTGTACTTTTTTGAGACCCTATTTTGATCCCCCCCGGGTACCTGACCTACCCACACAGCCTCTCCAGCCTATCAGCCCACCGGCCCATCGGCCCATCTCTCTTTCTCTCTCTATCTCGCTCGCTCGCTCTCGCACGCGCGCGCACACACACAGGCACACACACGGGCACACACACACAACAGGCACAGGCACTACTCACATTAACGTACCTGGTACAGCTGGTACAGCTGCCCCGAGCCACGTCTCAGTCTGATCCTCGCCCCGGCTCCAGCTGGCTGCTTTATTACTGGCGTGCGTGCCATTGCAGTCTACACAGTCTAGTCACTGTCACCAGTCAAAGAGGCCAGAGACCACCGGTGTCACCGCACCTCTCTGGTGCCAAGTGCCATCCAATCCCCTTTGGCCGCCTATCACCCAAGACCCGGACCCAGAGCCAGACCCAGGCCCAGGGCAAGCCCAGCAGGCGAGAAAGGGAACATCCCCCGAGACTCTTGTTCCAGGAGGCTGGCTGCTTGTCTGCTTGTCGCTTGTTTGAGAATCCCGCCTCCACACACACACACACCCCGGCCGTCCTGAATTGGCCTTCACGGCGCCGTCAACCATTGTTCCACGCACTTGGGACAGGCACTCGGCCGTTTATATCGCGCGCTTCGGGCTGGTGTGTCAACGATTGCCACCCGCTGCTCCAAGCTCGGCCCACCTTGGCTATAGTGAAGGAGACAGACATAGTCTCGCTCTTCGACACTCGAACCCGCCCGAGGCCCAGGGCTGGTTTGGTCTGCACCAAGACCAGGCCCTGCCCCTCGCCGTGCACCTCGGTACACTTGTCCGTCGCGCCTGCCAGATCATCTGTCACACGCGGGCCGGCACCGCTGTCAATCAAGTCGGCTGTCAGGTACTGATTGATTGATTGATTGATTGATTGACTGAATTGATTGACTGACTGACCCGTTGACCGATTGACTGACACTGACTGATGGTCGTACCCCTACCCACACACACACCCAAGGGACCCCCCACACACAATATCAATCGCCCGCAGGGACCATTACCTACGTACCTGAGGCGAGCCGCACTTCCCAATCGGGCTGATCGCCTTTGTCTGCTCGTACCCGGGCGGCTACTGTCCCCCCTTGGGTCTTGAGCCATGTACTCGGCTCCTTATGGCTACGGCAACGCTGCAGGACAAGCTTTCAATGGTGCCCCACCAGGTCAGAGCCCTCAGATGCAGCCTGGTCCTGGTCAGAGCCAGCCTCAGCAGCAGATGATGTATAACCAACAATTCTCCATGGGGCCCTCTGTTCCTGGCGGATATGCCGGTGCTCAGAACCCAGGCGCCATGATGCCGGGTGCTGGCGGCGGTGCTGGCGGCGGCGGCGGTGTTGGTGGCCCTGCAGGAATGATGCAAAATACCGCCATGCCACAGATGCCCGCTAACGGCCAGAGTGAGTTTATCCGTCTTCTCTCGTCTCGACCACCCGTGTGTCACACGCTCTGACCGGCCAAACTCCTACTCTGCCTGCGGTCCCCTATTCCTCCTTTGTCCTACCTTCAGTCCCGTCCCCTTCCCTCATGACCGGGCGCTTCCCAGCCGCAGCTGCTGCCACTGCCGGGCATGGCCAACCATCCACCCCGTCCTCGCCTCGAGAAGGAAGTTGGCATCCTGTCTCACACACACGTGAAGGCAAATAATCGAAAGGACAAGCCATGACTGACGAGGGTCCAGTGAACTTCCACACGCCTTACACAAGCTCGCCGTACGGAGCTGGCGTCCCGTCGACCTCAGGTCCACAGGGCCAGTTCAACCCCAACTATATGATGTCTGGGCCTATGGGTGGCTATCCTATGAATAGCCAGCAGCAAATGATTCAACGCATGCAGCAGCAGCAGCAGCAGCAGCAACAACAACAACAACAGCCGCAACAACAGCCGCAGCAAGGCCCTGGGGGCATGGGCACTCCGACACCACCGCGCCAGTTTCCTGGGTCACAAGGGACGCCTAACCCAACAGTACCAGCCCAACAAGGCCAGTTTGGCACACCGTCGAACCCCCAAGCTGCTGCTCAAAGCCAAACACCGACGCAGGCACCGCCGTCCGCGAACAGCGTGACGACTCCCCAGACCCCGACCTTCCCGATGACGGGACAAGGAGCGGTCAACGGGAATGCCACCCCATTAAGCCCCAGCTCACAGGCCAAGGGGCAAGAGAGGATCTCGCTACTCCTGGAGATCAACCAAGAGCTATTATTTGAAGCTATCAATTTAAAACATAATATAGACGAGCTCAAACGCGAAGCGACGAGTTCTACGGAGCCGGATCAACAGAAGGAGAAGAAGGAAGAGGAGGAAGCATTTGCACACGATTGGGCCCAGTAAGTGGTCCCATGAAGCCCTACCACTGTTGGATACCAAGCGGCTAACCGTCAAAACAGGGTATGTAGGAGGTTACAGGCTAACCTCGCCTACTTGGCCTCGCTCGCGGACCGGAAGCAATCATCGCAGCCGGCACCGGCCTATCTGACGCCGCCCACTCTGACGATGAGGCTCAGGCTCAGGCCGATGCCAGCAACCCCGGATACCGAAAAGGTAGACGGTTCGGGAGATCGTGAGGAGAGGGAGAAACTCATGAGAGAACAATATCAGAAGCTGCAGACCCTTTTCCCCGGCATCGACCCGAACAACGTGCCCGTATCCAGGCCCCAGCCGAAGCCCGGTGTATCCAACGCGGCGATGGCCATGCAGAATGCACAGCGGATGGGGAGTCTCGGATCAATACCAATACCTCAATCGCCCGCGTCGTCTGCGCACCACGGGACGCCACAGATGGCAAATGCTGCGCCGCCGACAAACCAGGCCACAAACTCTACCTAGGGGTCCGGGTTTCTACGAGGATAGGCGGCAAGATTCGTTCGAGCAAAGTAGATACCCGTGTGAGGCGTACTGGCGTCCTGGACGTCGATTGACGTTGGTAATGGGTACCTCTCTGGGCTGGGCGGGTGTATAGTGCTGGTTCTAAAAGGGGTAAATACTTGGGACTGGGCATGCTCAAATGCTGTGCTGTGGGTGTATTCCCATGCAAGGGAATGATTGTACGAGGAAGTAGAAGCGTCCAACAAAGCGCACAATGGGAAATTGGGCTGTAGATATGATCTCTGATCCGGTTGGAAATAAAATTAATGGAAACAAGCAAGACCACGAGGACTCCATTGAACAGCATGCCACCTGACGGGGCGTGCTACTGATGTCGACCCTCTGGTACCATTTCCTGGACGGCTGCCTCGGGGCCTCGTATAAGGGATGGATTCTGCCCCGGGGAGACTGATTCGAGCACGGACCCGGACAAGCTGTTCTGTTCTGTGGTGCAGAGTCCGGGTCGAAACACGTCTCCGGAGTCAGAGGTGAAGCTCGGAGGGAGGGTCGTGGTGAGGGCAAGCAAGATGGAGGGCTCGGCTGGCCGCCGGTTGGCCGGGCGGTTGTTTGGATGATTGCGGCCGGGCTTGCAGCGATGGCTGGGTGTGTGACAGGCCCCCCCTCAGACATTGGCCATGGGCGTCGCCCGCTGTTTCGGTGTGTGCACGTAGGGCATATTCGAGTGGCAATGATTGTGAAAGTAGGCCAAATTCTTGCAGGTAGGCTCATGCTCAAGTACCGTGCATTGGGTCACTCCAACACACATGTGCTCCCACTTCGATTGGGCCGTGGGATGCGCGGGTGGGCTGCCCGGAGAATGATCATCGTCGGGGTTTTGCTTTTGCTGTGATGCAGGGACAGGGATCCTCCTCCGCAATGGGACAAACAATCAGACAGTTCGGGCGGGACTTTGCCCACACGGTGACTAAAACGTCTGCTGCCCACCCTGAGAGCTAATCTTGGGAGGGTTGTAACGCGCATCTCGTCGAGATCTGCCAGCGAGCGAGATAAGTTTTGGAGCGTTACGATGGGATGATCTCGGGGGGTTGGAATCGACCGTACGCACAGTGTCCCGTCTTCCCGTCTTCCCGTTCCCCTCCCAGAAGGTCAGCAGATTGGGGGACGACAGGCCCTCCGGAGATACCTACAGGCGCAATCGTCATGGCCCATCTCTCTTGTTTGGGCGCCCCACTGGTCAATCGACTGGACCCACCAGCCGGTGACCTTTGGTTTGGTCGTGGGCTGGACGCGCCCGACGCCTGGTTTTAGCGGAGCACCCGTTCCCGCGGGCGGGCTGGGCGGGCTGGATGCGTGCCATCTTTCTGGTACACATTGGATACTTGTGGGATCGCTCGCCGTACACTAGACAGGCTCGTGCTATAATTCTCCACGAGCGTCGTGAAGTATTGGCCTGGCAGTATTGGCCTGGCGTGGCCACACAAACACCACACAGTACCGGTACCCAGCTGTGTGCAAACAAATGAAGGGCGATGCATGCTGCAAGGGGTCGGCCAGTGACATCACTCCAGGCCGAGGCGGGTGCGAGACTCTGGCCTGGGCCTGAAGCAAGCACTCGGGTGTCCAACACGCCAATAGCGGCCCGTTTCAGGGGACTAGCTGGACCAGGCGAACGGGAGGCTGACAGCAGCTGCCGTCTATGTACGTACCTGCCTAGCCCGCTGTCTGTGTGTGCGATTCTAGTGTAGAGTCGCATGCGTCTGGTCCGGCTGCAGCAAAGCTTGGGGGGAAAGGGGAACCACACGCATTAGCCCTGACGCTGGCATCTGGCACTTGCTTGCCTGGGCCCGTACCGTACGGCCACCACCACGACCACCAGTCGTCCGTCAGTCAACACGGGGACCGGGCGACGTCTGTGTTGTTTCCACCCAAACCACCAAACCTGTCCCGTCCTTCGTTTGAACTGAGGCTCTGTCGTATCCACTCTTTCTATGATTGTTGCCCGAGGGTGTCGGTCTCTCCTTTCACTCACTGTATCTGTGTTCTTCCTTTTTTTTTTTGTTCCTTTTCGACTCTGTCCACCGAGACTTTTCTCAGTTGTTGACATCGTACCTGCCCCTGCCTCTTTCTCTTGCACTAGGCGGGTCGTGACTCTTGCCGTGTTTCAACTCCCCTTTTTTTTTTGTTGCCCGGCACCGACAACAAAGGACGACCGACTACTGCTGCTGGTGCTGCTGTGGCTGCTACACTCCTTTGCCCCTCGACACTGCAGTGGCCAGCCTGCCAGCGAGACCACTCTCAAAGAGAAAGACCCGAACATTGTAGGCTGCGTACTGAGCACACCACCGAGTGGCGCGCGTCTCCCACCAACCAACTGCCCTTGACGTCGATCCATTCTTGCACGACTCTTCCTCCTGCGCCCTTGCCAGAGCGGAGCTTTTGTGGGCGAGCCCCTGGCATCACCCCTCGACTCGCTTGCACCAGACCCTGCACGACACTGGAAAAACGAAGGCTCCCGTGGAGCCCACACCGACCTTATTACAGCCTGACGGGAGGACGCGCCTTTCTGGAGATATTATCCATTGATCATCCCTGCGGCTCGCTGCCAGCACACATCACACACGCACACGCACACACGAATACACGCAAACGCGGCAGAGACACCCTCGTTGCCTCCCCTCAGATGCATTGACAGCTGCATCGATCCCTCCCGAGGCTCCAGACACGAATCGATCGAACCCCTGGTGCCCAGCCGACCTCCGCCTGACTACCCGACCGCCCGCCCGCTTGTTTTCCCGCCGGCAGTTCTGCGCGCCTCCCTTCGTTGCTGCGGCCCTGAGGGCACGTCACTCAGGCCACGCCCGCATTCCAGACACATCCCGGCCCCATGGACCTCGACAATCATGGGTCGTCGGGCTCCATCTCGACACCCCGACAGAGAAGCAGCTCTCAGCCCTCAGAGGCACCGGTGAAGCGGAGCGACGAGCACGACTCCCTTGTCACCGTCCGACTGTCCGAGCCGCCGAAGCAGCTGACCCTCAACACCAACGTGGACACCAATGGCACGATTCAGAACCGGAGAAGCCTCTTTTCCGCCCATCTGAGCGCCAGTCCAATCAGCCCCAGCCCTCTGAGCGCGTCGTCCGAGACAAAACTGGATGATGAGATTATGAGCCCTGTCACGACCGCCTACGGTTCAAAAACAAATTTACAACAAGAGTTGGACGCACTTCAGGATAACGAGGACGACAGCAAGACGATAAGCGGGGTCCAGGTCGCCGAGAAGCCCGACGACCCCGACGACTCCGACGACGACGAGGAAGTGAATTGGGATCAACTGCAAAAGACCGAGGACGCCGTGGTCAAGGACACCGATTCTGAAGACGTACGTTTCATCCCGGTCTCGGGCCTTCCCAATGGCCTTCCCAATGGGCCTTCCCAATGGGCCTTACCCAAGGAGCTGCCCTCTGTTTCTGGCCTTGTCTGCCTGCTGACCAAAAGCCCTTTAACTACAGTCCACCGCCATGCTGCTCGCCCGGCTGGAGCAGGCAAATGACGAGCTTGCTACGAACCCGAAAAGTATCAAGGCCAAGAGCCCGCTCGAGAGGGTTCAGCAGTCTGCCCGCAAGCCTCGACCGCCTTCTATGGCACAACTGCGAGAGATGGTCCAGGGGCCGCAACCGGCCCCTCTGCGGTACTCGATGTTGCCGCCGCCGCCGATGACAGACCTCGAGTTCTACGCCGCCCTGGTCAAGGACTACCAACAGACGGCTGCGCGGCTTCCGACGCTACTGGCCAACAAGATCCGCAAGGGCATCCCGCCGCCGCTCCGTGGGGTCGTCTGGCAGAGCATGTCCGGGGCGCGGGACTCGACGCTCGAGGACGCCTTCGAGAGGTTCACTGGCGAGTCGAGCCCGTACGAGGGCCTGATCGGCAAGGACCTCGGGCGCAGCTTTCCCGGGGTGGACATGTTCCGCGACCCTGAGGGCGACGGGCAGCGGATGCTGGGGCGGGTACTCAAGTGCTACAGCCTGTACGACCCAAAGATTGGGTACTGCCAGGGGCTCGCCCTATTGGTCGGGCCCCTCTTGATGCACATGACGGATAAGCAGGCGTTCTGCGTGCTGGTCAAGTGAGTGCCTATCGCCATATTCTGATTTTGTCTTGTTTTGGTCATGTTTGGCTTGGCGAGATGAGATGATTTGGACACTGACACCGATTCAGGTTGATGGAGAATTATGATCTACGCTCGTCCTTCACGCCAGACCTGCATGGGCTGCACGTCAAGATTTACCAGTTCCGGGAACTGCTCAGGCTGGATCTGCCTGCGCTGTCAGGCCACCTGGATGATTTGCAGGTCGATCCCGCCTACGTTTCACAATGGTTCCTGTCCTTCTTTGCGGTGACATGCCCTCTTCCGATGCTGTTTCGCATCTACGATGTCATTTTTGCCGAGGGCGCAATCGAGACGATCATGCGGGTGGCCCTGTCGCTAATGCGCAAGAATCAGGGGCGCATCCTTGCCTGTACCGAAATGGAGGATGTGCTGCAGCTCCTCCTCTCCCGCGGCCTGTGGGATTGCTACCACTACAACGCTGACGAGTTTGTGCATGACTTTGTCAGTCTGTCTAGCGTTGTGACCAGAGAACGACTCGCGGCGCTAGAGCAGGGGTACAGGGAGAGCCAGTTGACCACCCCACCCGCCAGCACTGGCGCCAATGCAGCACGGGCATCGGCCGTGTCCACCGCTGCATCCCGCTTCCTGGGCCGCCTCTGGGCCAACTCGACCACCTCTCTCAAAGCATCTCCAAACACAGCGTCCGCCAACCTCAGCCCAGGAGCAGCATCTCGGCCAATGAGCATGCTGCGGCGAACCGCCTCCAAGCAGAGCCTGGCTTCCACATTGAATTCGATGGAAGCCGGCTCGTCAACATCCACCTCGTCCGCCTCCAGTGTACTTACCGACGCCACCACCATCTCCAGGGACTCGGCCGCCGACGATAGCGCCAACCCCGGCAAGCTGCCCGCCCAGGGCAACAACTCCGACAGCAAGAATCTCCACACCCAGATCGAAGAACTCCTCGTCGCCTTGAGCGATCTGCAGCGACAGCATGCACAGCTCGCCGACCAATTGCAAAAGGAGAGGGAGGAGAGGGAAGAAGACCGCGCCGCCGTTCGCACCCTGCTCACCGGGCTCAGGAAGAAGGGGAGCAACGAGACCCTGACGACTGCACACAGCGCCGACAGCGAAGAGACCATCACACCAGCGCAGGGCGCCGAGCACACCAGTGTCGAGAAACTGACGCCCGAGGGGCTCTCAGACCTCCTGGACAGCCTCGAGGACAGGTTTGGCAGCGATGCCGACAAGAGGCGGTCATCCATAACACAGACAAAGATACAGATGCGCGATGATGTCGCGAGAGCCAAGGAACATTTGCGCATCGAACAGACCAGGACTCAGGATGCAAACAGGCGGGTCCTAGACCTCGAGGAAGAGATCAAGACCATCAGGGAGCAGCTCCGGGAAAGCCACGCCCACGTTCGCAACTTGCATAACGACAAGCAGCGTCTGGAGAAGCAGGTGCATAGCATGCGCGTGCGCGCTTCTGACTCGACCAACGATGGTGGAAGCGGCTGGTTGTCTAGGAACCCCAGCACCAAGTCCAATGCTTCCGGTCTGCGGGAGTTCAAGCTGAACCGCAGCAAGTCAACTCCCTCACAGATCACTGTTAACAAGCGGACCTCTTCGCTTCTGATGATTGATCCGAGGGAGACCATGCCGCCACCGGCGCCAACATCAGCGGCCACTCCGGCGCCCATGGCCTCGCCACAGAAGCCGCCTCCATCCGACGAGAACGAAGCGCTGCTACTTGAACTAGTCGAGGCGAAGACGGCGCAGGCCATCGCAAGACAGGAAGCAGATGAGGCGAAGCAGAAGCTCGAGCAGCTTCGGAAGCAGATAGGACTGGCCTCCGGGGAACAGCCAGGCGCAGCCGCAGCCGCAGCCGCAGCCCAACCGGCTGGCTCCGTCATGGGCATGTTCAGGAGTTTCTCCTCGCCAGCCGCCGAGCCAACCCCTCCAGCAGCCAAGCCCGCTGCACCGGCAGCAGCATCGCCTGCGCCGGCCGCAACTCCAGCACCTGTCTCGGGCGGCGGTGGGTTCTGGGGCTGGGGAAGGAAATAAGCTGGGCAATACGATGTGACAGGCCGCCGAGCGACGGTAACTTTTGAATTTTTGAATCATCACTGGCTTGGATACCCTGGCGTGTCGTTGCTTTTTGCCAGCCAGAGAGCTTGTATATTCTTGAGACGGAAGCGAGCATGTATACTCACGAGAGGGCATTTGGCATTTCTGCGGTGACTGGAGAGACATGGAATTTTCTATTTTTATTTGAGCCGGGCAGAGAGTGGTTTTCAGCATTCATCCAAATACCCTGCCCATCCAACAGAACGGATGCGGCAAGCTTGACGGGCGACGAGGTTTGAGGAAGGCATTCAGCAGGAGCTTTCGATTCTTGGTTGAAAAAGCATTGCACAAAAGCAGAAGGCATTTACAAGAGAGACTAGATTGGGGTCGACGCATTTTGTTGCTGATCATCCGCCAACATGGTGGGAGCAACTTCGGAGTTTTTATTATACATACACACTTTATCATTGGGCTTTCTGTAGAATGAACGGGTGGAGGACAATTACATACATTTTTTCTCCGTCTTCCTTCCTGAACCTCTCTCCTTCTGGTCATGATACTTCCGAATAGCGACTGGGTTGGTATCTCCTGCTGAGGATGTGATCAGCCAGGCTCCGCTCTTCCTTGTCTTCGCGACATTTAGATTGTTGTCCTTTCAAATTGCCTAGCCTATCGCTCGTATGAAGAGACTACGCGCTGTTGCTATCGAACACATCACTTGTCCAGGCTCAAGGTCACCCGCAGCGCAATCCTATGGCCTGCCTGCCTGGCTCGTGCTGTTTGGCTACTTCTTCGACCAGCTCCAGGGGCCGTGGACACTTTTGAGATGTTTACTTCCTGAGAGTATTCAATATTGGCAGGGCTATCTACGAATGCATGGGCACACACGGTTTCCGGCAAAGTCGAAAATCTCCGACGCCCCTGTCTATACCGATTTGATTGAGCAGTCCGTTCTTTCAACGGTCTTGACTTGAATTGACCCGAACACGGGTCCATGGTGATTTGATTGTTTCGTTTCGAGGGTGGCATGTCCCAAGTCGTCGGTAAGATCGGCCCCGGGACATTTGTCACGATGAAACCTGGCCTACCCAGCCTTCTGGGCGGCCTGGCTCTGCTCGGGCGCTCCCTATGCAGTCATTATTATTGGACTCGGTATATGAGTATTTGGAGCAAAGTCATTCAACGTGGCTAGTGGTGAGATCAATTGATGGCTGTATGTGGTCTGTACTTTACAATGAGGCTAGGTCATATACCGAGCAAGTGGGCTCTGCTCGAGTGAGATGTGTGCTGGCCAGGGGCAATTGAGAAGAGGAAAAGTGTCCTATTGGAGAGGCATGTGCCTGGATCATCCTTTCTTCCCTGATGTCTGAAGAGTATCAGCATGCGTCGGGGCAATTGCATGCTCCGTGACTGCGAGGGGATGCACCTAAGAGGATATATCATGCAGCAATCGGAACGAGAAGCCCTCGCGACTTCTCGCGACTTTTACGAAGCATGGCGTATTTAATGGTTGCCATACAGTCGTGTTTTTTTCCCTGTTTGGTTCATGTCTCAAGACAGGCAAGATCTCGGCGCTCGTTGGGCGGCCGGGGAGCGAGGAGGAGGGGCTGGCTGCACTAGCCCCGAGCTCAGTCACGAAAATCACATGTGTCATTGCGACAAGAGCATGACGACACAGGCAGCTCCTTGGTCACGCAAGATGGTGGACAGCTGTGTCCAGCCTCCCAGCCCTCCCAAGCCTCCGCAGCCCCCAACCCCGTTGCCCTCGCACCGTCGGCTTCCCTAAAGTCCCCGATCTGCAGTGCTGATAGTCGGGCAGAGCCTTGGAAGATGCCTAATGTGTACTTCTTGGGGATGAGCCACCGCCGTAGATCTGCCCCAGCTACCAGCTCCCCGTAGGTTTCTGTCCAGGCCATGTTGTCGTCACTGTGTTGCTGTCCTTTGAGAGAGATGGTGCAGCTGTCATCATCCCCATGGTACGGACGAGAGACACTGTGGTGGGGTGTGCTAATACGGGTAGTGCGCTATGACACCATGGTGTGGCGCCTAGGCAGAGGGAAGCTGGTGAAAGCTGGGCTGGTACTGATAAGGGAGCCCCCCTTTTTTGTTGCCCACCGTCAAAGTTTCAAAATGCTATCCTGCATGCTTGCAAAGTAATTAGAAGCCGAGTCCGTGTCACGGGCTCAACCAGAGCTGGTGACTCGGAGCTGAGCTTGCTGGCTTGCTGGCTTGCTGGCCTCCTGTCAGTTGCCTCTCTAGCCTTTGAAGGTGTGGAATGGGTTGTCGTCATGAGAGGCAGGCACACTTGCTGTAGCACATTGGGAGTACCGAGTACTCCGTACCTACACCAGACAAGCAGGCAAGCCACATTGTGCCCCACCTAGGCACCTAAGTACCTGGGAACCTAGGAACCTAGGTACCAAGGTACCTACCTACCTGGGTAGCTGTGTGCCCGCCTGGGCAGGTATGGGTCCAGGCCCAGAAGGCCCTGCCACTGCAGCCAGCTCAACCCCATCCGATGCGCTCATGCTCTGAGTCCTGACTGCTGGTGCTGCTTGACCTGACCTGACTGACCTTGACCTGGCCAAAAGTGCCAACCCGGCAACAAAACCACCTCTGCAAAAAGCGACGACGTCCTCACTCCTGCTCTTTCCACAGCAGCATCCCTCAATCCCCTACCTTCCATCAACCTGCATCAACAACACCCACATTGCCTGGCAGAGAGCTCCGTTTTGCCCTCGCGAACCGTTGTGTGATCCAGCCCAGCTACCCACCTAAGAGCACGTGCTCCCGTCAAGCAACAACGAGAACCAAATCTCATCTGTTACCTGCCCTGCCATCACCACTTCCGACATGGCCGACACCCTCAACTCGGTCACCAACTCGGTCACCAATGGTACGTCCAGCCCTGCCGGCCTCGCTGCAGCAGCCCTCGCCCTTCCTCTGCCTCCTCTGCCTCCTCTGCCGGGACGCACGGCTCTCCTGCCACTATCTCTGCAGAAATCCACCCTGCTGCCCAGCTTATCTGCCTGTTGCTGTTGCTCTTCATGATGGCTAACACGTCACCTGCCACAGGCCCCGTTGCAGACAAGGTCAGGGAGCAGCACCAGAAGACCTCTGACGAGCTCTCCAACCTCTACGCTTCCCGCCAGACACCTAACAACCCAACCGCAACCGGCCAACCTCTGACGCACTACCATTCCTTCTTCTCCGAGCTCCTCTCGTGGAGGAACCCTCGTACGTACCACACCCTGACAGACACTCTGGGGCTCCTCCGGGGCACCCCCGCGTTGTCCGCCTTGCGCGGGACACTCAGGGACAAGAACCAGCCACTGACAAACTCCTACAGGCGCTTCCGCGATCGCTTATGCCTCCATCATCGCCTTCATCTTCTCGGTTAGGTACCTGGACGTGATTCGATGGGGCTTCAAGCTCACGTGGATGATCCTGGGTATCACCATCGCCGCCGAGGCCGCTGGAAAGGCTGTTATGAACACCGGCATCGCCAGTCAGCTCAGGCCCCGTCGATACTACACCGTTCCTCGTGAGACTCTCGACGTCCTCATCGGCGATGTCCACGAGCTGGTCAACTTCCTCGTTATCGAGTCCCAGCGCATCGTCTTTGCCGAGAACATCTGGGCTTCACTGGCCGTATGTACATTCTCGGGGCAACCCGCGACCACCAAGGTCGTCTTCTGTTTTGACTAACATTTGTGCCTCCTGCCAGGTCTGCGTGAGCGCCTTCATCTCGTACTGGCTCGTTAAGGTCGTCCCGTACTGGGGTCTTGCGCTGATCGGCACCACCGTTCTCTTCACCGCCCCCTTGATCTACACCTCCAACCAGGAGCTTATCGACCACCACCTTAAGAACGCCCAGCAAATCGTTAACACCCAGACTGAGCAGCTTCGCCAGGTCGCCGGCACCCACACCGCCCGTGCCACCGAGCTCACCAAGCAGTACGTCGGCGACTACACCTCCAAGGCCCAGGAGATGATCCGGGGCAAGACTGCCTCTCAGGCTCCCCCCTCAGCCCCAGCCGCCCCGGCCGCCCCGGCCGCCCCCGCTGTCAAGGACAGTGACTTCCCCGCGGCTCCCAAGGAGGACATCAAGGTCGAGGAGCCTGCTGTCCCCGCCCCCGAGATCAAGCACGAGGGGGCTGAGCAAGAGCCCCTGATTGCTACCTAAGCGAGCCCAATACCCTTGGGCGGACTCCCCTGGTCTATCAGCCACCTTGAAGGCCGCCAAACGGCTGCGGGCAGGCTGCATTGCGCCACCCATGGATCCAGGTGAGGTGGAGCCTGCTCAAAGCTAGCTCGTTAGGGAGAGCAAACAAAGTTGAACAACCATGGTGTGGAAAACGAGGTCAGTAGACGAATGACCGGAGGTTAGGTGACAAGGGGAAGGCTGGGAACATATTGATAGGGGTGAGGATGGGGTTCTGTCTTTCCGGGGTCAGATCACGGCGTGCAGAGCGATTGCGTTGTTCTTTTGACTATTTTGTCATGTGAAACAGAGATTGACGCTTCATGGTTGACGATGGACGACCGGTAGTCATTTTCCTTTTTCTCGTAACGGCCAAAGGACCGGGGTAGTCGCGAGGTTTTATCTTAATCCACATTGGTGTCTGTTTTGGTTTCATAGCCTCTTTGGGCGTTCTCTGATCGGCCTGTCTTGCTCTGCTTCGCTTTGCTCTGCTCTGCTTTACATTGCATCAGTCTGCCATGCCTTCTTTTTCTATAGTGTCGTGTGAATCTCTCTCTCCTCCCCCGTCTCTCTCTGTGTGTGTGTGCAGCATTGCTGCAATAAGCTTGTCCCCATAGTCATCTCGAGCATGGATACTTTTTGAATCCTTTGCTCTGCGGATGAGCCCGGCGCACATGTAGTACTCCTCTATCCAGCACGGCTCCGTTCTAGCACTTGTTACCCGATTCCTTTGTTTGGATTTGAATAAGGAGGTGCGTTTGGTGAGACTGTGCGGCTGCTACACGCTTGCCGGGTTCCCATCAAGGCAATCCGTGCGTGGTATTATACTTCGCAACCACCGTTCTGTATCACGCCACAGCACACACCTGGACTGCATCAGAACCAAGAAAACAACCTCGATCGGGAATGAGCGCATAGAAAGAATAATTGTCCGTGGGGATTGTCGTGCCACCACGCTATTCCAAGGATGCAACCGGTGGGCATCGATGACAACAGACATGTCTACTACCGGGTGATCATTATGTATTTGGTTTATATTGAGATGTCCACTTATCACACTCGTATCCTATGGCAGGGCATATGGCCACTGCTCGGGCCACAATACACCGCAGGCGGATTCTCTTTTCTGAGTCCTTGTATTTCTCAAGTCTCTATCGAAGACATAGATTACAGGCAGTCGTGAGGATCGTGACAAGGGAAGGGTTGACACAGACGTCGCGTGGTGTGTCCTCGATAAGCCGGTCGGTGAAAAGCAGATGCGTGCAGGTTATCAACAGAGGCATTATCCAGACCCGAGAGCGTAGAAGGAAAACACGCACTAAAAGCAAAACCAGTTCTCAGCACGCAAAAGAAAGGAAATGATGATAGCCGACGAACCCTCGTCACGAAAGCCAGGCACCCCGACCACCTCCCTGAATCGCCATCAACATGCTCGAGGAGAAGGAAAACGTTCAAGGCTCATGCTTGCACCTTTGCAGAGGACATCGCCAAAAGACGCTCAGTCAGAACCATCCATGTCGTAAACATCGCTTCCACCTCCACCGTCGGACATCAGCTCGTCCTCATCATCGTCTGAGACGATTGCGTACGTCTTCTTGGCCTTGGCAGCCGCCGCTCGGCCTGGACGAGCGCGAGGTGGTGGCGGCGGGGAGTCGTCTTTCATAGCTACGTCCCCATCACCATCCTCGTCGTCGTCGCTGAAGTCGAATGACTTCTTCTTCGACTTGCTCGCCGCAGTGGTCTTGTTCTTCGCCGCATAGGCCTTGGCAGCTGGAGACAGCTGTACAGTTTTCGCAGGCTTCTCTTCCCTGGCTTTGTTCTTGGTTCCAGCCGGACGCCCACGGCTCTTCTTCGCCGGGGCCGACACGACGTTCAGAGGCGCCTTGGCTGATTTCGCCTTTGCCGATGAGGCTTTGGCTGTGGTGGTAGTAGGGAGCGCCTCATTTTCCGACATGTCATCAATGTCAGAAGACCTCGTCGGCTTGTGAGGCGACGACCTGGCCAGAAGCTCGTAGTTTGTGTCATCAGGCTCGTCAAAGTCGAAGTTGCGCGATTGCTTTGTCTTCAGCTTGGCAGGTATTGCCGCATTACCATGCTCGGATCGTGACATGGCAAACAGACTAAGCCTGCCGTTGTTTGACGCCGCGGCTGGCTCTCCAATCCCACGAACCATGGCACCGACGTCCCCAAGCATATCGTCACCATTGTCAGCCTCGGACTCGTCATCATCGTCGCTGAAGACCCAGGTTTTCTTGGCCCTTGACGCAGCAGCGCGCTTGGAGCGGCTATTAGTGGGCGCGGCAACCTCCTCAACCTCAGGTTCGTCATCCTCGACGACGGATTCGACAGGAGAAGGTTTTGACACGGCAGCACGCTTGGAGCGGCTATTTGCTGGTGCACTGACCTCTTCAATCTCAGGCTCTTCCGCTGCCTCTTCAATCTCGGGCTCGTCATCCTCTACCAAAGACACGACCGGCGATGGTTTCTTCACCGGCGCAGACTTGCCCGTGTTCAAAGTAGCGAAGTCCTCATCAGAAAAGTCTGAGTCTGAACCATCATTGGCGTACGACTTGGCCTTGGCGGCTGCTGCACGCTTGGAGCGGTTCGTAGCCGGCCCAGAAACCTCCTCGATCTCCGAGTCCTCATCCTTAGCATCGTCAGCAGGTGACGGAACCTTCTTTGAAGGTGCAGCCTTCGGCTTGCTCTTGCTCAATGCCGCGAAGTCATCATCAGAGAAGTCAGACTCCGCTCCATCGTTGCCATGCGCCTGCAATCTCGGCTTCGTCGCGGTGAACTTCTGGGCAAAGGCGGCGCCCTGCTTCTTCGGCTCGACGGGTCTCTTCACGACAGTCATTTCTTTCTTCATCGTCTTTGCTGCCTTGGCCGTCTTGCCAGGGTCATAGTCGTCATCGTCACGTTTGGCCCGCTTACCACCGCGGCCGCCTCCAGCCCCAATCTTCTTAGAGCGGCGGCGACCCATGTTCCGAATGTTCTTCGCGATCTCCGCATCTAGAACCTGCTGGTGCTCCCACTCCTCGAGGAACTCGTCGAGATCCCTGGACCAGAGGTCCTTCTCATCGAGTTGCTCCAAGTCGTCGTGCTCCTTCTTCTTCGCAGCGATTTGCTTCTTCAGCCGCTCCAGGCGCTCAGCGGTCAAGGAGTAGATGGGCATCTATATGATGTCAGTGCACTGGTTCCCAGCAGAGGATCAGGGGTTCACGCACAGAAAGGAGATAGTCGTAGTCCCCTGCACCAGGTTCGTTGGATGTGAGGTCATCGTTATCCTCATCATCATCCTGGTCCATCTCCTCATCCGTGTTTCGTGCTTTCTTCACGCTCTCACCACGGGGGAACGCCTCGTACTTGCGGTCACGAAGCTCTTCCACCAACACGGCCTTCTTCTTCCTGGAGACGACCAGCTTCCCCTCAATGATCTCCTCGACGAATCGGGCCATGTTCTTCAACTTGCGATAGTCGGCGTGGAAGACCTTGAGCCAGTACGCCTACAGAGGGCCAAGTCAATTTTCCACTTCGTACGATGGCAGCGTAAGGGGAATGGAGCAAGACGAACCTTTCGCTTCTTGTACATTTCAAGGCGGTAGTGGTAGAACTCCTCCAGGATGTCCTCGACCTTCTCATATTTCCGGATCTGTCCCCGAACATCGAAAGCAACAAGGTTGGTAGTTCCGATACTCTTGTTCAGCTTGAACCGTTCAAGGACGCCCTCCTCCCGAGTCTTCTTGATCTGCGTCTCATCCATTTCGATTTCAAAATGCACATTTGCATGGTCGTTGTACTCCTTGTAATCCTTGATCCAGGAAGGAGCCTTTTCTCCCTTTATGATCTGCTCGAGCTTGGCCTTGAAATCATCGGTCCACATACGGATGGGCAGCTCGGTGATGGTGACGACGGACTTGGCCTGGCTATCGTCGATACTCGCAATACCATTGAACTTGTACCGCTTCGAACCGGCCTCTTCTTCCTCAACCACTCCCTTCCACCCACGGAACCAGGGCGTCATGGTCTCGAAGGGTTGCTCCTCATTTGAACCACCGTCACGGCCCATACGCCTCTTGAGGTTCTTCACAATGTCCCTCGGGTTGTAATTGGGGATGGAAGTGCTCCAACCCGTACCGATGCCGTCAGCGCCGTTGCAAAGGACCATGGGAATGATAGGAGCGTAGACCTTCGGTTCAATTTGCTTTCCATCGTCATATTGCAGCTCGAGGTTCGGCTCGTCTAGTGCAGAGAACACGCGCCTGGCAAAAGGAGACAGACGTGTAAAGATGTAACGAGCGCTGGCCGAATCGCTACCACCGGCAAGACGAGAACCGAAGTTACCACTGGGCTCCAGGATGTTTATGTTGTTCGAACCAACAAAGTTCTGGGCCAAACCAATGATTGTCTGCTGCAATGAAACTTCACCGTGGTGGTAGGCAGTCTGTTCGGAGACGTATCCGGCCAATTCAACGACCTTCTTGTCCTTCGTCAAGTTGCGCTTGAAGCAGGCGTAGATGACCTTTCGCTGACCAGGTTTCAATCCGTCCACAATGGACGGAATGGACCGAAGGTTATCAGCCATGCTGAAGAGAATGAGCTCCCTGTTGACGAAATCCGTGTACGTGATTGATTTGGACGAGTGGTCCAGGAAAGTTCCCGGGATGAAGTTGCCAAGCCATTGCTTTCTCGCATCGGCCTTCTTCTTGGAGAAGGCAAGCTCGAAAAGCTCAGCCTCCTCGGTCTTCATGGTCTGGAATTCCTTCAAGTGATCATCCAGGTTGGTAAAGTAGACCTGGGCATCTTCGTTGGAACTGGTTCCCAGACCCTTGAAGTACTTGTAGTGCCATTTCTTGATCTCCTGGTGGTGTCTCTCTTTCCACTCCTCATATTCGGGCATGGTAAAGAACGACTTCAGATGGAGAGGCTTCTTGGGGTTGGGGCCTTGCCAGACCTTCACCACTGGGGTGATGAACTCTCTAAAAAAGTCCGGGATCTTGAGCAACGAAGGGAACTGGCATTCGAGGAAGTTGATGAGCAAGCCCTTGATATGACTACCGTCGTGATCTTGATCGGCCATGATCATCAAATGGCCATACCGAAGGCTCTTGGTGTCGGTATATGTCGTCTTGTGCTTCAGTCCAAGGAACTGTTTGATGTTGTTGATCTCTGCATTCTTCAAGATCTGGTCTATCGAAGCATCACGAACGTTCAGCATCTTACCCCTCAACGGGAAGACACCAATGCGGTCAGGATCCAGAATGGCGCGGCCTGCCACAGCCAAAGCTCGGGCCGAGTCACCCTCTGTCAGGATCAAAGTACACTCGTGGCCGTTCCTGGTGCCCGCCATGTTCGCATCGACGAGCTTCTCGTTGCTTATGCGGGACCGCTTGTTTCCATCAGATTTGGACATCATCTTGTCAGCCTTCTTCTCGGCAAAGTGAAGGATGTTCTCAATAGCCTCTGTTGCCCTGATCTTCTTGATGAAGCCATCTGTGAGTTGGCATTTGCTACCAAAGGCACTCGGCTTGGTGGTCATCTGCTCTTTGGTTTGCGATGTAAAGGCAGGGTTGTCAATCAGACAGTTGACGAAGATGAAGATGTGATTTCGGACATGGTTCGCCTTGAGCGAGTGCCCCTTCATCTTCTTATTGAGGTCTTTCAACAGGGCATTGCAGATCTGGTCGGCGACGTAGTTGACGTGCGTGCCGCCAGATGTTGTTGCAATCGAGTTCACGAAGGACACCTGCTGGAAAGACCCATCTGAGACGGTAAATCCAACCTGCCACCGTTGGTGAGCCTTGGTATCTTCGAAAATGACGGTGGCAGGTGGGGGTCCGTTCCCGTCCGCATCAAGATCGTTGCGTTCTGTTGCGATAGCCTTGGCGTACATCTCGCAATACTTCTTCCACCCGAGCTTGAGCTGTTCTCCGTTGAGGTGCACCTTGACTGCCTCGACGGTACCAGCCAAGTCGTAGACACGCCGGTACATCAGGGACTCGGTATGTTCGTCAATGCCGTCTGGCATGCCAAACCTCTTAAAGTCGGGCTTGAAAGTGACCTTGACGAAGTCCTTGCTCTTGTTGGAGGTGATTTTGGCCTTGTCCATCTTTCCCATGTTGTCCCTCCAAGTAGTCTTGTATCTCTTGCCATTCGTTGAGTCCTGACACTCAAGGGTGAACTCTGTACTGAAGACGTTGCAAAGCTTGGCACCGTAACCGTTACGACCACCGACGGTCTTCTTCTCGGTATCATCGAAATTGGAACCCGCCAGTAGATGACCGAAGACCATCTCGGGGATGTAGACGCCCTCCTTCTCGTGCATCACAATCGGGATACCCTTACCATCGTTCTCGACGGAGATCTCGCCCTTCTCGCGGTCGATGTGGACTTTGATGTAGCTCATGCCCTTGTCCCGCTGCTTGTTGTCGGCGGCATTGACCAGAATCTCGTCAAAAATCTTGTAGAAACCAGGCACGAAAGAGATCGTCTTGTACTCCATCAAGCACTTCTCTTTGTTGTAGACCCACATTCTACTGTCGGTGCGTTCCACAGAGCCAATGTAGGTATCAGGCCGCTTAATGATGTGCTCGAGCTGGGTCAGCTTCTGGTATGTCTCGGTGGCGGTCTTGACGGGTCGAGACCCCGAAGGACCATCGAGTTGCGTGAAACTATCATTCTCGATTTCGCCCAGAGGCTTGCCGCTAGACTTCTTTGCGCCAGTCGCCATCTTTTGCTTCTTGGGAGGCGTGTTTGACATGTCGCCGCCAAAGTCACCGTCGTCACCGTCGTCGTCGCTCTCCGGCTTTGCGCGTTTCTTAGGCGCGGCCTTTGACTTGAGCGTTGTCTGAACCATCTTCTTGGGCGCGGCCTTGGCGGCTGGCTTTGCTGCTGTTGCCTTCTTCACAGGCTTGGACTTGGGCTTCTGCGTCTGGTAAGCAGGTGACGTGGAGAAGGACCGTGTCTGCGACACTGACAGAGGCAGACTTTGGGCGAAAAAAGTCAGGGAGGCACAGACACGTGGCGGGGCGCATCGCTACTTACAGGCTCGGGCGAGAACGCGTCGGAGTCATCTTGTTGGACGTCATCAAAGACCGACTCGGCGTCGGAATCCATTCTGAGAGATTGTGTGAGGGCTTCGAAGCCCACGCGCTTAGTCGCAGAGGCTTGCGCAGGTTGATGGGTGGGCTGTTGCGCAGAACCGAACGGGCGAGGAAGAAACAGTTGCGCGAATGCATGAACGGGCGAAGATTACTTGTGGGGTATCCTCAGCCGCAGGGGTGTTCAGGCTCGGCCTGCAGCCCGGTAATGAAGGTGGTGGTTGTGATGGGGGTGGTAAGAGAAGCAGCGCCGGCAGCGTCGGTGTGCTGTGCTTTGTTGTCGACGTTGTTGATGATGGACGTTGTCGTTGTTGCTGGCTAGCGCTCGTCAATCGCATTCAATCACTAACGCTCTACTGTGTAGTGGTTGCCCCGGCCCAGAAGGTCGATGTTTGTTTTGGCCGGGTCCGAGACTGCGCTAAAAACGCGGTCTTATCGTCGGACCACGGAAAACGATTGGACGATAGTGCACCCAGAGCCCCATTCAACGCAGGCGCGTCCTGCAGGGATCTCAAGGCGGGCCTTTTGACTGGAGGTACCCCAGTACCCAGGCACCCAGGCTAAGGTACATACCTAGGTACCTAGGTAGGTACCTAGGAAGGTAGCCAACGCCGCCAGCCGCAGGATGCCCATCAACAGACGGGCCGCGACCGCAACGGCAATGACAAGGTCCCCAGGTACCTGCTGGTAGTGCACAGACGACATGTGATAAGTCTCTGGGTGGAAACTGGACAGTGCAGTGAGTGGCCTGCATCCATCTCAGTCAGCCGCACAGCTCGTGCGTGCAATGCAATCGTGCACGTCTTTTGATCTCCACAGACGGATTATTCTGTTCGTGCTTGCCCAGATCCCATCAACTCGCACGTCATTTGTCTCCAGTGACCATTTCTGATCTGCAATGCAAAGGTGGTAACCTCCCTCCCTCCCAAGTGATACAGCTGGGCTTGTGTTTGGCCTCCTCTGGCTGGCCTCTCCCTCTCAGCTCGCGCAAGCACACATGCTGTAACGCCCCGCCAACTCTCAATTGCGTGACTCTGCCTTCTGAGTTGCGGTGGCACTGCTCTCGTCGAGTGGTCACTGTAGCTGCCTCGTTCGACCCAGGCAATGATGCTTTGGCTCGGTCAAGGAGCGGGGGCAGAGTCGGCCGTCGAGCCATGACGATATTGGGCTTGGGCTCTGTGCCTAGGTAACCAGCGAATGGACCAGCCCGCGCAGTCAGGGACGACCATCCTCGAGAAAAAGGGGCTGGCCAGAGCCAGATGTGACCACACGTCGGGTGCTGTGCCGACGACTGCCTTGCCCACCTGTGATCTATCACCTCATCGCCGCCAGCCTCCAATCGATAGGCAGGTAGGTAGTCGGCCTGCTATTTTGGTTTGGTCCAGGGCGGACCTGACCCTGCCCCAGAATCGACATGTTGGATCGGATCGTTGGCATGCCGAAAGCCTCCCGAAGCCAGCCCAACTGGACCATCGGCGGGTCTACAGGGCAAAGCATGTGTGTCACTTCTCTGCGCGTCGCGTTACCCCCTCGACCGTCATCTTTCCGGATGGGGAGCAGGTTCCACGGGTGCATGGGCAGTGGGGGATTTGCTGCTGCATATCATAACTGCCGTGCGACGCCCACCCGAGCATGAGAGGAGAGGAAATTTCCCGATCGAAGCGTAACAGCCGTTTGGATATACACACCCGTCACACAGCACTCATCCGCGTTGCCAGAGCTCCCTTATCCCCTGCCTGTCAAGCTGCTGCCGTGCTACTACTGCGAGGAGCACAATCATCTGAAACCATCCGGGTGTGTCTGCGCTCGACTTCCTCGCCCTCGGCGCTACACTTCTAGAAGTAACATGGCAGAGCTGGCAACATTTAAGCTTATGTCCACGACGGACTCCTCGGGGAGGGGGGCTTGCTCTGGCGAGATTGCGACCTCAGAGGCAGTCGGATCCGGCCATTCAGATTGATACGTTGCAACTCGGTGGCACCTCGCGGCAACAGTCACTGGGGGACGGCTGGGCTGGCGGCAGATGTTCTTGTCGAGGCTGGCGTGCGACAGTGGAGCATGGGCGTGCTGGGATTGGCCGGCGCAATAACCGCAGGTCAACCCAGCGTAGGTTTCTTTTTACTTCCGCTTCAATAGTTCCTCGCACCGGTAAAGATGCCTCGTATCTCACATACAACAGTTTGCGGCGCGACGCGTTTCCCAGCCTCCAACAAAGCTCGCAAGACACAAGCTCGTTCCCAAGGCCCTGCTCAACCCAACACGCCTTGGTCATTCCTCCTCTGGACAATGTCACATTTGCGGCGCAGTCTGTGCTTCAGAAGGCACCAGATCCAGAGGCCTGTCATTTTACTGCTCCCGTTTGGTAGCAAGCACTGGTCATGCCGTCTTTTACGTTTCAGGCAACCTGCTCCATTGAAATACGGGAAGCTGCAGAAATTATGACGGCTGGAACGGTGCGCCACCATGATTGTCAACCAGGGGCACTTTGACTCGAGGCACCGTCGTCCACTGCTGGGACTCAATGCGGACGGGGCACCAGAGATTTCCCGTCACGACTGCACCTTGGCTGTCCTATCTGACCAGAGCAACCAGGGTCTCCATTAATCGAGCCCAAACTGGCTACACATTGGTCCCATAGGCGCGCTGCTCCCTAGCTGTACCCCGCCAGTTTCTCCCAAAGGTTGATGGTGCTTTGGGCAAGGCTGCCGGTGAATGTACTGGCTAGAGAGGTGCCTAAGTAGCTTAATGAGACAGGTCACCATACCTCGGTCACTGGCTTGCCGGGATGGAGGTCGATAGCGTGGCGAAGCTGACCCAGCTGCGGACCCAGCTCCGCTCATCGACACGGCATCAGGGCTGGCTGCTCATGGACGACCAGACTGGAATATGGGCGCCAGTCAGTAGCCCACTGGTGGCTCCCGCACGGGTACAAGCTCTGTGTTGCTTTCAGGTCATGTACGCACACCCATGCTTGTACGGGCCAGAGCTCATGGGAGAAACATTGCTCGACACGTTGGCGTAGCTCGTGCCCCCCTTTTGATCGGCCGTCCACCATGGACAGATCCCAACCCCTCAAAGCTTCTGGAACAGCGCTGGAATCTCTTGAAAGGGCGACGAACAGCGACATACTCCACTTTCGACACTTGTTGCTGGCTGTCAACCGCGGATACGCACAGATTCTCCTCGCCGCAGAACGGAGGTGAATGGAGCAGCCGTCAGGTATTCTGGCGGTCAGAGCGGAAGGCTGAAAGCCAGGTGGAGCCGGAATATGCAGAGATGTTTTCACCATCTGCAGAGAAGCATGCGCAGAAGGCTGGAAAGCAGCCTCGTTCCCTGTCTGGGGGCAAGGGCAGGGTGCTGGCAACGATGGGACATGGTGTCCCCTACCCCATCCTTCTCCTTCACGCTGAGGGCAGAGCGGCCACGTGTGTCGAGTCAAGCAGGAGTTGTGTCTAGGATCTCTGAGCCTGGGAGGGGGGGCTTTTCTTTGTTGCACCCTTCTCAGGAAGCCGCCTAGTCTGGTGGCTAGACGGCACCTCCTGCAGCCATCCGTCAGTCTGCTCTGTCAAAGCTTCTCCTGTACATTTTCAAACAAGCCAATGGGATGTTTGGCTGTGTATGCTACAATATTTGCTGTCAAACTGATTTGTTTTTCCTTAGCCACATATCCGCTGCGTCTTGCAGTCGCCTGTGTTCACCCTTTCGGGTCAGCGCTCCAGCCTGGTGAAATCAACTGAAACTCTACCTCACCTCGATCCTGGTGTGGCCATAATCACCATTCTCCTTGTTTCCCGTCCTTATTGCGGTCCTGAAGGTATTAGCTAGCTACTCAAGGTAACCGCCGGCCTTGGTTGTTGCTGGGTTGGACTCGCTGCCGATGAACAGAGACGGAGACAAGGAGCCCCCGGTGCCATCATCACTGAGAAAACAAAATCGATAGATCGGGAAAGGCAGCTTTGGGACTGTCACGGAGTCGTTTGACCTTTCCGATCGGCCTGGCCCCCTGATGCTGAAGCGATGCCTCAGCAAAGGTAACATGGACAGCAGCCGGGCCCGACAAAGTCATCCTCACCACTCAGCCCAAGAGCGAGCCCAGCAGAACCCGGCACCCGCACCATTGATGCTCGTCTGATCAGCTGCCCCGGCCCCTATCGCTCACCCCGATCAGTACTCACTTTGTGGCTTACAACTCGACCCCCAAGAAGAGCGGTGGGCACCGCCCAAACGACCATCTCTCCGTTCAGAGGCTCGATTCCAAGACATCCCGGACAAAGGAGCAGCACCGAGAACACCGCCGACTGCGTCGCCCACGGGAAGAGGCCAGCGGACTTGCAGTTGGTTGCATGGCCAGTCCCAAGTAAGGAAGAAAGGAAGAGAACATCTCGGTTCCTTGTACACGCGCCTTGACCGCGCCCACCCATTCCCATCCTCTCCGTGCCTTGGTCCTTGGGAGCGAATGGCCTGGCAAGCCCGACGACGATCGTGTGGTTGCTTTGCCTGCTTGCTAATTGAAAAGGGTCCTGGTTTCCCTTTTCTTGCCTGACCTGGCCTCGCCCTGATTTCCCAGTCTGACCGAGCTGCAAGCGCTGTCTTGCAGTCTGAGTCCATATTACCACTACCCGTCCCCCTTGGGCCTGGGTACTATCTTTCTGGCATCAAAATCCCATCCTCCCCTCTTACACCTGCATCTTCTCCTACACATTCGAGACATTTAGACCAGGGCTCACCGCTATGTTGTCGCTCGCCTCCCTTCTTAACCCGGCGCCCCCTGGGCCTCCTCCGCCAACTCCTCGGTACCGACCAAGTCCAGCCATGTCGTCGCCTGCAACATCCTACTCGGACGACTGCCCAAGTCTTCTATTCGAACGACACCTCGCCTCTACGACAAAACCAACCAAAATGGCCAAGGAGTCTGGAGGTTTCGTCAAGTCCAAGGCCAAAGGCCTTGTCAACTACCCACCCTTCGAAAACCTGGATGAGGGCTCGCTGCGAGAGATCAAGAAATACCAAGTATGCCCCTATGGCAAGATCCAGGACTATTGTCGACATATTCCTTACAACAGCGGCAAGAAAGACTTCTACGAGAAGACAGGCCGCGAGAGCTTTGAAGGTTAGAAACTCCCGGACGCCAATCACAAGCGTCCTCGCCCCCCCCCCCCCCCAGGACTCGAAGCTTACGGTCGCCATGCAGTCTTCCAGTACATCTTCCAAGTCCCGGGCGATGATGCTGAATATACCGTCATGTGGGACTACAACGTTGGCTTGGTCCGGATGACCCCCTTCTTCAAATGTTGCAAGTACTCAAAGGTAACCCATTCCATTTCTCATTGTGCCTTTCAACGATCCTCATGCTGACCAAAAACAGACCATGCCGGCCAAGATGCTTAACATGAATCCTGGCCTTCGCGACATCACGCACAGTATTACTGGAGGCTCTATCATGGCCCAGGGTAAGCACTATGCACCTTGTTCTCTATAGTGACATCCCGCCTCTGCAACAGCAACTGACCCGCACTCCACAGGCTACTGGATGCCCCATGCGTGTGCCAAAGCCGTCTGCGCGACATTCTGCGCGCCGATCGCCGGTGCACTGATCCCCATATTCGGCCCAGACTTCCCTTCCCAATGCATATCCCCTGACGCCCCAGAGTACGGCCGGATGGCCATCGACCCTGCCATCGTCGCGGAGTCTGGGCGTGAGGCCGAGCTCTATCGCCGCGTGTTTGCCAACGTGAACGCAGTCAACGTTAACGGCCACCTGCCGCTCCACCCTCAGCAAATGCACCACTACAGTCATGGCCCAGCGCTCCCAAGCCCAACCAGTATCCCCAGCCCTCGTCTTGCACGTCGTGGCCTGCATCGGAACGGATCTCCATACGACTTCGAGAGGGATCGTGTTGACTTTGGTGAACGGTTGTGCTTCAAGAGGGGAATAGACAGTCCACATGTCAAGGAGTCTGACCCGGAGATCCATGCTGGCCCTGAGACACCCTCCTTGCCTCATGCACCTCATCACCGCAGCATCCCGTATTCACCAATGTCACCACCACGCTCCAGCGGCTGGACAGTCGCGAACCACCCAGGACATGCACACCCGTCCTCAAGTTCGCCAAACAGCCTCCACCCGAACTTCTCTGAGGACTTCTTGTACCCGGGCGGTCCGAACCCGTTACTCAGCGCGATACCCCGTTTCAACCATGCGAGCAGGCTTGAACACTACCAGACCTCGCAGAGGCTCCCTCATGCCCCACATGCCTCGACAGCATGGACGGCATCGAAGCGGCCGGCACCTGATGCCGAGGCCGGCCCAGGATTTGGCTACGATGGCCAGGGCCAGAGCAGCCCGACGGCCACAATCGCCATGCCGACGTCTCAAGCCTCTGGAAGTTGTATTCGAGATCGGAGCCGTGAGCAGGACGGGCCGTGGTTTGCATCCAGTTCCGTCGCGACTACCGGTGCCGAGAAGAACGCGGCACTGCTATTAATGAACCTGAGCGTCAGAGACCACAGGGAGGTCCGGCGCCGCGACAAGAGGGAGATAGATAGCAGGGCAGCGGTGGGCGACCGCGCCCCGCGGGGCTGTGGACAAGAGTCGATGTCCATGTCACCAGTGTCGGCAACACCGGATGGGCATAGAAGCAAGAGACGAAGGGCAACCTCTATGTAAGACTAAATCGGTGTTTTTTTTTTCTTCTTTTCTCCTTTTTGTGCCTGTGTTCTCTTTTCATTTCCTCCTCATCCCTGTCTCTCCTTTCAAGCATTCCAATCGGTGGTTAAGGAAATGGCGTTCCGAACTGGGCATTCATTACTGTGTTTCTTCTCTACTGGACTACGGGTCGCGTGCGATATGAGTTGATACCTTTTTCTAGGGATATGCAAGAAACTAGGCGTGACAGGTCAATTTGGAAAATGTTGGAAGCAGACATACGAGTGGCTTGCTCTCAGGGCGTTCACCACAACCACCACGCCAGTAGCATCTACTAGGCAATTAGCACCAATAGACTCATAATGCAGGGCAAATTCGTTCTTGAGGCCACGTAGTGAGGGCCCCAGGGTACAGTACCGAAATGTGTTCTCTACGTTATTTTTGTGGATGCCTGGACCAACGAAAATGTTTGCCACAACTATTGCTTTGCTCCAGCCTCCTTTGCCTTCGCCTCCTTGAAGGTCTTCACCCAGTTATCCGCCTTGCCACGGGGGACGACATAAATCTTGACCACACCGTCGACGACCTCGACGCTATCTAGGCTAAGAACCTTGAGCAGCGGCACCTTCTTGCCGACCTTGACCAGGCCACCCGCCGCCGTCTCCATGAAGCACTCGACCGTGTTGGCACCATACTCGCCCTCCCTGTCCCAAGGCAGCGGGAAGACATAGCCAAAATGCTGGACGAGTGCCTCCCTCTCGTTGAAGGCCTTGATGAAGTCACTCTCGTAATGAACCGGATACAGGAGGACGGCAGGGAAGCTCAGGGTGCTGTTGAGGTCCTCCGGGTCCGGGACGAGCTCCAGCTTCGCGTCACCCATGTCGGGCGGGGTCTTGCTCGTGCGGACGGTGATGTTGCGCTCCTTGAGCGCGCCGGCCAGGAACTGCGCCCGCCGCTGAAGCTTTCTCTTCTCCTCGGCGGCGGCCTGGGCCTTCCTGTCCAGGTCCTCGGCGCGCGCAACGATGTCCCTCGCGACGGCCCGCAGGCTGGCGTTGTCGGCGTCGACGCTCAGCCCGCCCGCGCACGCGTCGTCGGCCTCCTGCACTCGCCCCACCGCCAGCAGCGCCCGCGCGCTCCGGTACCACGCCTTGACGTTTCGAGGGTTCAGCCGCAGTGCCGCGCCGCAGTCCAGCCAGCACGAGCGGTAGTTCTGCAGCTCCAGCTGCACGGCGGCCCGGTTGACGTACAGCGCCTCGAGCACGGCGCGCTGGGCGGCGACCTCGGCCTCGTCGTCCCCGTTTGGATCGCCCTCGCGCGGCGGCTCCCCCTTCTCGCGGCGCTTCTCCTCCTGCGTCACGAGCTTGACGCCCCTCCCGTAGAACTCGATCGCGTCTCGCCATCGCTTCGTCTTGAAGCACTCGTTGCCGCGCTCCTTGAAGTCGGTGGCGTTCTCCAGCGACGTGCCCTCGTAGGCCAGGGCCTCCAGCGCTGCCACGTCATCGTTCTCCTCCATCTCCGTCATGAAGAGCGGCGACTTGTTCAGGTCCTCCATGATCTCCTCGGCCGTCTTGCCAGCATTGCGGGCGAGCTGGGGCGGGAGCTCTGGCGCAGCGACTGGCGGCATTGATGGGCCCACTGACGCTGCCGGTGGTGGTGCTGGCCCCGCTACTGGGGTCGACGAGCTGCCATTCTTGGGTTCTGTGCCCGTGGGGGGCGTTGTTGTTTGTGGTGCATTTTGGGCGTCTGAGATTTTGAGCGAAGACTCAGTCTTCTCCGTGATCTCTGTGAGTTGCACCATCCTGGGGCGGTTCAGACAGACGAATCGCCCACCCTGTGATTTGAGGAAAGAAAGAAAGACAAAACAGGCCAAAAGTCTATGAACTCTCTCTTCTTGGGCTTGACAAGTACCTGGGTACCTAGGACCTAGGTAGTGCGTGGAAGTGATGTAGTTGAAATCAACAGTCGATTTCTCAAGTCAAGTTTCCCCAAACGGCAGTGCCGCTTGAAATTCTTGAGGCGGGGCGGCCAAATATTTCCGAAGGTTTGGGCAGTCCAATGATCACAACACACAAGGTAAGGCCGGGCTCATGAGCGTAGTCTCAACTGTTTGATGATTTTCATCCAATGTCTCGAGATTGTGGCATGCAAAGTCAAGGGTGGAAAAAGGGGGGTGATGTCACACTGTGAGGTGCTCAATTTTGCCTTTCGTTTCCTCGCTCAGCAACCTTCTCCCACCCCATTTCCACCGTCTGCAAAACCGATCAGGCAAGGGTTAGGGGATCGATCAACCACATCACGTTGAGCTTCAGAACCCGATGTCATGGTTGGTACAGCTTGTGATGCCCAAATTCCAAGATCCAGGTCTCCCAGTTTTGCGATTTGTCTTGCATGACACGAGAAGTCTGCTCGTATCCATCTGCCTCAACAGGTCGTTGTTGGTCTCACCTTCTCGATCCTGCATCCCAGGAGAGACAGAGCTCGCCTCTGGATGTGACCGACTTGAGCAGTTTGTTTGAGTGATCGCCTCCATATTTTTGATAGATCACGGCAACTCGTCATGATTCGCCGTCCCTCGGGAGCCCCTTCTCCTTCCAGGCCTGCCTTGTGTCGGTTTTTGAATCCGCCAACAGGACAAGCACCAGCCGGCCACACAGGCTGTGACACCCAGTCCTGAAAATTGTAACACCCACAGTGGTCTTATCGCCTGGTCTTCATGATGATATATTAATTTAACGTCAAGTCTGTCTATGCGAGGTATTGTGGTATCCCTCTCCCAAACTGGTGCAACACACCAAGCGCCAACGCCAGCAACTCCATGCCAGGTGACCGCACACTACCTGAGTACAAATGCAGAGTCCCTGCCTTAACTCCATGAAACCAAACCCACTTAACATGCGCCGCCGTTTTGACAACCCCAAGAAAACGCCATTTTTATGACCGCGCTCATCTGTAGTCACCTTCGAGTCCACAGGATCCGCATTCTGCCCCATCACATCAGGTCCTCGACTTCTCGTTGTCCATGTCTCGTAACCACGCCGCACTCTTCCATAGTCCCACCAACAACAACACCTGCCAATATATCAATAGTCGTTGTCAGAGACATCCACGACCGATACGGCTGCCTGCTTCGACTGGGTGCGAACCAGTCCCTCCACTTCGCGATAAATAGGGTCTTCGGCCTTGGTCCTCTGCACAGCAAAGCACTGGACAGAACCAACAAGAGCAGCAGCGGCACTGCCCCACCAAGCCAAAGCGGTGCAGTCCATCCTACTCCCGACCGTGTACAGATACCCGGCGATAGGCGGTGCAATCATCCGGCATGCGGCACCAGCACTGGCTGCAAACCCATTCACCTTCCCAAGGACGGATTTGGGCGCCGCTTCCTTGATCTGGATGAGCAGCAGCGGGTAGACGAGGATGGAAAAGATGTTCCGGACGGTCAGGTTGAAGTAGATGACGGGGTACAGGGCGGACTCCGGGGTCCAGACGAGGAAGGGCATCAAAAAGTAGGCGATAGGGTGCAGCACCGTGACAATGATGAAGAGTCGGAATACCCCGATCCGATCGGCGGCGATAGGGAACACGACGGCCTGGATGAAAAGTGCGATGGCCCCATTAACAGCCACTAAACCCCAAGTCAGACAGCCATTCTAGAATGACGAGCAATGCATTCTTCACAGTCTCTATGCGCGCCATGGGACGGGGTCCGGGACAGTCGGATAATATGCCGGAAATATTGGGACTTACTGATCATTCCAACAGCGGGGATTGAGAGTCCAAGTCCACCCGGGAAATAAAGCAAGCTAGACGAAGCAACGGAGCTGATGGAGTCAACCACGGCCCGATCATCTTCAAAGAATATGGGCATGAGGTGGTCGTAGCACATCGCATGGTACGTCTGAAAATTGTCAGCACCTGGGCCATCACATGGACATTCGAGTTGCAACTTACATATATGGACAGGCTGATAACCACTGCCATGATCCGCTTGTCGCAGAAGATGTTGAACGGCGCCGCCTTCTCCGTCTCTTGGCGTTGCTCTACTGCCTCTAGGTTCTGAGTGAGGAAAGTGCCGTATGTTTCCGAACGAAGGTCCACGGCAGGACGCTTTACGGCATCCGAGGTCTGTTTAAGAGGCGTCTCTTCAGACATGTACGTATCTGCCGGAAGCACGATTCGCGACTGCAAGCCAGGATGGGTCTCCTCGAGCAGTACGTAGCCAAGGATGATGCTGATGAAAAGAAGAGCGGCGCAGATCAGGTTTGGTAAGAGATAGGGGAACCTTTCGAATAGGCCGCCCTCGGGAAACACGTCTGGCCACGATTCGTGGGGATCCGAGAAAGTACCGCCGATGCACGGTCCTACTATGGTCCCTATGCTCCATACGAAAGGCATGATGGAATAAGCCCTCGCTTCGACAAGTTAGCATTCATGATCGTTTTCGTCCAAGGCTGGTCATCGTTGTGGTACCCACGTTCCTGGAAGAAATCAGTCATTTGTCATGGAAGTTGCTGCTCCCGAGGAGACGACTCACGTGTTCAGGCTTGGTCACGAGCTCTCCGACCATGGTCTGGATGACTCCAATGTTCCCATTCAGAGCTCCACCAAAGACACGCCCAAGGAGGGCGACCCAGATGTTGTCGGCAAAGCCAAGGACGATCATGGAGATCATGGTACCAAGGCAGCCCAGCAGAAGGACGGGTTTGCGGCCGATTCGATCACTCAGCCCACCCCAAAACATTCCCATCACGGCCTCCGCCAGGGCGAAGGACGAGATAAGCAGGCCGGAATAAGTGGATGCATCTTCTTCGTTGCCGACCTTGAAGCGCTTGACGAGCTGCCACGCGTATGGGAAGATGGACGTGAGCGCAATGGGCTCGGCGAGACGAACGATTGCTAGTCGGTGTGAGTAATTTTTTGCGTAATGCTGTTGAAAGTGGAAATCATGCCGGTGCGCCGTGACCTACCGAGAAGGAAAAGTTGTAGAGTGGGAAAGCCGTCCGAATCACGGGGTGATCTCTGAGCGGTTAGGGTCATTGCTTCTGAAAGTTGGTCTCAGTCTTACGACTCGCAACACAACACTTGAAGCAGATGAACAAAATGTACAAGTGCAAAGTGAAGCGTCGCCGATGGGGCAGCAAATATACTGCTGGTGTCCCCCGTCTCTCGACCCTGACAGATCGTCGAGTGCAAAAAGGCAAGGCGGTGCGAGTGAGTGGGCTGGGCCCCGCAACGAGTTGGGCAGGATGCCGGGCGGACGGGTCGATAGGTATTTATTTGATTTATCTTTTACTTTGGACAGCAGGAAATGAGACAGTACACCGTGGACGAGAGCCTGTGAGAGCAAGGCAAGAGGTGGATGGCGACAAATATCAAGGAGGGGAAAGCTGGCGAAACAACAACAGCAGCAGCAGCAGCAGCAGCAAGCGGTGGGAGCAGGTAAATATTTGTGCTGTTTATGTGGTGTGTGCCAGGGTAGGCGTGGTATATCTGTGCACTGATAAGAGAGGGGGGTAGAAAGAGAGAAAACAGAAAAGATAAACACACAACCCAGGCAGGGCGGAAGCGCGTGCAACGGGGCGAAGTTACGGTCAGGATGATTTTCGTCTGTCATGGGTTTGGTCTGGTCTGGTCTGGTCCAGAGACGAGGTTGGCCTTTGCCCGAGAACGGACGACCCGGTGGTGCTTGCTCATTCTGCCAATGGCCCCCTGCCATGGCACGGTGAAACCTGGTTGGTTAGGTCGAGTAGCGCACCGCAGGGTCTAGACGTCTAGTGTAGACATGGAGAGATACGCACGCAGAAGAGATATGCAACCTAGGTGAAGGTGCCTGGGTGCTTGGGTTGTTGGAAAGATGCAGGTGCCCCCCCCCCCCGACTTCCGGCGCCAACATAGCGGATCGTCCCCAGGTGGGTCCTGCTTCGGGATACACATGTGCGTGGACGCAGTGTGGTGGAGCTGCATCGCAATTGCCAGAACCAGTTGCCAGGGAATGTTCTCGCTCGCTCGCTCTTGCACCTCGCAGGGGTTCCCATGAGATGTCACGAGACGCAAAAATATTGACGTCCTCCTGGTCAACTTCATGTGATGGATTATACTGCCCGCCTGTGTTTCTGCTTGTTATCCAAGAAGGACACCTAACGCAGAAGCCAGATAGATACTACCTAGGTACCTAGGTACATAGTAGATGCTCTGGAATCCGAACCGGTGAGGACTCTTCCTCCCCGCTCCTCCCTCTCGTACTCCTCAGATCTCGACCAAAGCCACTCGGCGACTTATCGGACTCGCCTGCTCAAAAATCCAGGCGAGGCGAGGGGAGTTGCGGCTCGTGATGCAGGTCTGCAAGCGTCTGGAGCGGTCGAAACCAGCGAAGCGAGAGTCGACAGTGCAAGGATCAGGCGTATGCACGTTGCATTCACACCGGGATGGCACAGACTTCGGGAGGTAGCGAGCATCCAGGCATCCTGGGCCTTGCCTGGGCCACAGGGCCACCAGAGGCCCTTGCCCCCAAACGGCCCCACGTCAACACCACGAGCGACAGGGGTGGAGGAAGCCCCCATGTCTCAATTCAACGGCCGCATTCGTCCCCCCAGCGCCGCGTGCATGGCCCATTTTACCAAACCCACGGCAGAGCGGCACTTCCCACATGGCGCATCTTTTGGCACGCGAGCCATACCTCAAGCAACAGCGAGCAAGGTGAAACACCCGGCGATCATCTCTACAGCTTCTGTATGTGCACCTTGCCGCAGCCATATATCTTTCCGACTGTTGTGTATTGTGTACGGAGCAGGCGGGTGTGTGTGTCTGTGGGTGGATGCAACTGGCGCACACCAACACACCCTGCTCGGCTGTCGGGACGGCTACGGCGAAACCGTACCAAAGTCGTTGGACATCCGTTCTCCGGAGTGGCTGGTGGCCCTACTCCTGAGTCGCACCTCTATTCTGCGCGTGTATGAGCATGTATGTGTATTCGTCGGCCCCCGAAACGTGCTCATCTGCGTTTGACCACTCCTTCATGTCCTGGCCGAGGATGACGTCGCCAGACACCGTTAAATGACTCTGCTTGGCAAATCTCGGCCAGCCTGCTCTCAGCCAGGTCTGCTTGCAGTCGGTCGATCGATCCTCTGCAACCAGCGGGCAGTGTTGGACGGCGGGTGCCCGAGCAGGGCGGCTGACAGCATGATCAATACTGTCCAGAACTGTGTAATCAGGCAATCTGCATTGCAACACCCGTCGAGTGGCCCACCGCAAAAAAAAATTGCAGATCGAGGCGCGCTACGCCGATCAACAATCGGTGCGGCATCACAGGCAGGCCCCCTGGCCCCCAGGTCTCCCGGGCTACACAGCGCAATTGGAGACTTTTTTTGGCCCACATTTCCGCTCGGCTGAAGTTGAAGTCCAAACTCCTGCCATGGCACAGCTGCGATGGCTGCGAGGCCGCGGAACGCAGATGTCCTAAGGCCAATGAGACCCCAGACCGATGGTCGTGGTACGCTTGAGAGACCGGCAAATGTCCAACGACTCCGCCGGGGGTCAATATGCCTTGGTGCACACCCCTCGGCAAACCGCAGCTGCATTCGATCCAGTCTCGAACTTGCTTATCTGGGTTGTTTGTCTGGTGAGGTCGCACGAGAATGCATCACCCTTGGGCAATGATCGGCGCCCGTTGAGGTTGTGCATGGCGATACGTCCCTGTCACATCTTCAGTCGAACAAGATCGGATGTGTCTACGACTCTGTTGAGTGCTTCGCTCATCGGCTGTCATGCGGGCGAGTGCACACCGCTAGCACAGCCTATCAACGACGCTTGATATGCCCACTTTCCATGGCATGCGACCAGGCCGTGTGGGCGGCCCGGTCACCCCACCCGATTTGATCGAAACTGGCTGGGCGACCGGTGTAATTTCCCACATGCCATGTCCTCCTCATCTTCAATGCGGGCAGGGTTTGGTTGCTGCCGTTGTCGCTCTGCCAGGGCTGTGAGCTCTGGCTGCGCTAGCTTCTCCTGGTTCCTGATGGGTAACCTCTTTGCTAGTGCAAATTTCTCGGGGGAAATACTCCCGCCTCTTGGTTCTGGAAGTGGGCCGGAGACGGGCACCTCCATCGACAAACAGCCTCGCACTCAAACTCATCTATCCCATAGTCGTCTCTTTTGACTTTTATAGCTGCCAGGGAATGTCCATGAACCGCCGAGATAATAATCACTGCATCCCGAACGTTGAAATGGAGGCTGAAAGATCCCTGTAGCCCGAGTACCACCCAACCCCGTCCTTCCCCGGACTAGTATGGGGCCGCGTCGTGGGGGTCCTCTGGATTGTCGAATTACAAGTCCGCAGGACCTCAACCATGACCCCACGGGCCTGCTTTGTACCTGAGCACGCAATATCACCCAAACGGATTCGACCTCTTTTTCCTCAAGATCCCGCACGGGAAGACCCGTAGATCCTTTTCTCGGCGTATTGTAGAGCGTAAATCCCCGAGTTAATGATTAATTCCAATAATGGGGTTGCCGGATGTCGGACTTTATACCCAAATTGAATCTACAAGGTTATTCATTGTCGGGATGTGCACAAATCTCGCAAGGTATCAACGTTGGAACGACGAAAGCGGCTCAATTGCCACAAACACAACCTACCTCATCTCTCGGAACATTCACTAGCATGAGTGTAAAGTACACCTAGATATGTAGTCTTTTTTAGGCATGATATATGTTTAGTATAGAGTGATAGGATAGTAGTATTAACTAATTTTATAATATTTAAGTAGTATAAGAATGTTAAGAGTATACTTTATATTAACTAGTTTTACTTATATCCTATGTATATTTAAGGATAGATATAGTGCCTTAATATAAATGTAAACCCTTAAGACCTAGTGTTTAAAAAATAATACTATATCTATAATAACATTTAAAACACAATAGGTGTATGACCCAGCCTTGTGACACACAGACAAGGCTAAGGGATAACGATGGCGGCGTTGATTAGAACGCCGCGAAGTAGGCTGAATAAATGACAGTAGTAAGGCAGCTTGACCGCCTGCACTGGGAAATCCCAGACTAGACAGAAGCACCATTTGCATTGTTCGTCAAGACTATCCCGAACTAAGCATCTATATCATGAAGATCCGCGGGGCTGATATGAGCTAGCCCTGTGTACGGAATAAAAGCCAATCATCCATGTTCCTACTATACATTACAACCTTGGAAGGAACCCCACCTAGGTCTGAACTAGGGAGTGGACATCCCGATGTCTGATAAATTAACCGTTCATATAAATGACAGTCAGAAATCAAAATTGTTATGTTATGACCCGTCTGGTATGCATATGTCTAGTGTAAAAAGAATCTTGGAGGCGTGGACCACGAGCTTGTGTCTCGGACCTCAGGACCTCGGGAGCTTCAGACGTTGAATGTGAAGGAGCAAACCGATTCAAGGCTTTGGGAACCGAGTACCTATGTACCTAGGTAGTATGAATCCATACGCTTGATTCTCCAGGTATGTCCTCGGACGTATGCGGAATAGAAGCGAAACCAGCAGGTAAGGTACACCACAACATTCACAAAACTTTGGATGGAGTCTGTAGTAAAGCAATCAGTACCTCAAAAGTATTGTTCAGTTCTTGGATCTTTTTTCTTCTGCTCTTTTTCTTCTTGCCCTGCCAACACTCCCTTATTGATACCGCTTTGCCCGTTTATTGGCTTGTGTCGTGGCTACCTAGGTATCTATGTTTCTTGCAATTGCAAGCGAGCTAACAGCCGCCCTGCAATTGATGGAGATTTTAGTTGATCCCTCTCACTTAGGCCGTGTGCAAACACGTAAGGAAACATGCCGGAAGATTGTGTTGGTCAAGGGGGTGGGAGAAGACCTAGATTGGCATAGTACTGAATACTTAAGTAGCCAGCCTTTCCTGCTACCACTCGCCTTGCAGCACTTGGGTAGCTTCACATCAGTCCTGCCTGGATCGCCCTCACCGGCTGAGGAGTACCGAGAGCCATCTCACTACTACCTAGGTAAAAAATGACGAGTCGAACGCGTGTCTAGATGGTGATCTATATAGTCCTTTATCAAACTTTAAGCCTAGATGACCCATGTATGCAAAGACTGGCTAATGCTTGTACTCCATCCTCCCATCACCAATAACCTTCCACACCTCCTCTATGAGCTCCTTCTGCCCGCTAGGGGCGCCCCTCACCGCGAGATAGACTCTCGAATCCAACGGCGGGTCCCAATCCCCCGGATTGCCACTCGCCATGATGCCACCCGCCTCAGCGAGGATGCACCAGCCCGCGCAGACGTCCCAAGCATAACAACCGCCCTCCCAGTACACATCCAGCCCGCCCTCGGCAACGACACACAGGTTCAGCGCCGCAGAGCCCAGATTCCGCAGCGAGTGGACCATGGCGCCGCCCGTCTCCTTGCTGGCAGCAAGCCGGCGGAATGTTTCGACCTTGACGTCGAAGTTGGCCCCGTCACGGCTGGACCCCCACTCGGCAGCCACGAGCGCCGTGGACAGGTCGCCCAGCGCGGGGGCCTTGTGGCCGTCGCCGTTGCCCGCGGCGGGGAGGCGCACCCTCTCGCAGCCCTCGCCGCCGTCCTTGAGGATGCCGCGCGCGGCTAGCGAGGCGTTGCGCTGCACGTAGGCGCCCTGCCCCGCGACGCCCGTGTACAGCTTGTCCTGGAAGGGGTTGTAGACCACGCCGACGCTGGGCTTGCGGCGGACGGCGAAGCCGAGGGAAATGCAGGCGTTGGGGAAGCCATGGATGAAGTTGGTGGTGCCGTCTATGGGGTCGACAATGAAGGTGGGCTCGTCTGTGATCTTTGTCGTGCCTGCGACATACGTCTCCTCGCCGACGAAGAGGAAGGTCGGGTAGAGGGTCTGTAGGCGGGTGGTGACGTGCTTCTCGACGGCCTGGTCGGTCTCGGTCACGATATCGACAGCTGAGGTGGGGAAATGGAAATCAGCCCTTGTCCTCTCGTCGTGTGGTCGGTGAAGGAATGGGGGATGGTGGTCTTACAATTCAGCTTCGTGTCGGTCGAGATGCTGTTCGGGTTGGCCGCCATGATCATGGCCCCTGCCTCGTAGGCAATGGCCACAAGATCATTCTGGATTTTTTGCAGGTTGATATCCGCCATCTTGACCAATCATTGAATGCTTTCAAGGCGGCCGTGTCTTGTGGTTGAAACGTTGACCTGGAAGTAACGCCATCTCGCAGGTGTGAGCAGGGAGGAGGCCGTGGAGGTGCATGGAAGCGCCTTATATGGAGGGGCTCGAATGCTACAACGTCAGTGGGGCCCACTTTGGGGCCTGAGCAGTCCCCACCAATACGTACTGTGGGTGGCATTACACTAGAATCGTGGGGGACGACCCTTGGCTTTATCAGATGCCAAGCAATCCACTGCGATCCGTCCTGTCGGTTTTCTGGGTTGGCAGGCATGAATGGTATTGGCATGACACGTTGTGGGCTCATCGGACCGGGGCACACGTGTTTGAGAGACTGGTGTGCGTGAGATATGGATATGCGCCCTGTGTCTTAAAAGTATGCCTCAGGAGCGACGACTACCTCGGGAATCAAAAAGAATGGTCTTGGAACCAGGACTATCGAACAACCCTCGAGCACGCCAACTTTTGCGTAGACAAATCAGTCAGTCATAAACAAACAGAGAAGACCCACGCCTCCGGATCCAGTCACCCATATGCCCAACGCATCCCAACCATGATCGTATACTTGTCACAGGTCCACGTAGCCTTCCCTCCCCAGTATACCTACCGGCCTTGCGGGGCCGATCAGATGCCTCTTCGGGTCACGTACCCTCCCCTGCCCCACCCAAAGGCTGATTTCAACTTTGAAGCCTGAAATGTATTGTCTGTGTGCCATCTTCATCACTGCCTTCCAGACCGTGATCAGTTCTGGGTGACGCATACTATTAAACGTCCTCCCGGAATATACTCCTCCTCTCACTGGCGTTGTCCTCGCGACGTTCGCCGTCCATGGGCCTTGGCGACACTCCTCTCAAGCTGATGTTAGACGGCTCAGCGGCGTCGTCGTCAAACGGGTTCCGCCCATCCCTGCTGAGCGTCCTGCCCCGGTCTTCGCCGAAACCCCGCGGTGGATGCTGCGGCGTAGCAGCCAGGTTCATCGAGTAGCTCTCAGGCTCGCCGGCACCCCGGTAGGCGGTGTTCTCGCCCTGATGTGACGGCCGGGCGGGCTGGTGCAGCCCCAGTTCTTGCTCCTCGTAATAGCCCCCGGGCCCATAGTGGTCCGCCTCGTTGCCGACGCGCGAGTCCCAGGCCTCGTCCGGATCGAGGGGCCCGAAGCCGCGACGCGTCGGGGCCGAGCCGGTGCCTTCGTATGCGCCGGCGGCACTGCGGTTGTTGCGATTTTTGAATTTGCGGATCTGGTCATTGAACCACCCGGAGACGCCCCCTGGCGCCGGAGCCGGGGGTCCGTAAGGGGACGGGTCGGATTTGTGGACAAAAGGTATAAAGGAGGTGAAGGATGGAGGAGGAAGCTGTGCGGATATCACGGTCAGCCTTGCGCCATCTCACAGCATGAATAGGGCGAGGAGGGCAGGAGGGCAGGAGGGCAAGCAGGTGTTGCAGCGCATGCGACCACGTACCCCAAGCTTCTTAGCTTGTAGTCTGCTGTAGAAGACCCATCCGGCAGCACCGACGACAGCGAGCACCACGATGGTGATAATAATCGCCCCAGCCGTCCCGACCATATTTGTTGTCTTGACGTCTGGACGTCCTCAGGTCTCGTCGCGGGCGGACTTGGCGCTGAGCGGTGGCCAACAGAGGGTGCGAGCGGCTGAAGCGGTCGTCAAGCCACGAGAACGGGAGCGAGGTGGGGGGTTGCGCCTGTTCAGGCAGATGCGATCGGCTGGATGATGTCGGCCTGGGGATGCACAGCCAACATTTGATGCGCATTCGATTTTTCTGTCGCCGAGGTTTCTCCTTGGGGCAGGTAGGTCCAATCTGGGGAAACGTTGCCCGACGGGTTGTTGCTGCTGGAAAAGAAACGGGTTTGACAGGTGCTCACACACGCAAAGGGGAAATCCCTGGGCAAAGCTGAGAAGGTGTGACGCTGGTCGTGCCGCAGAAGCTCCGTCACCGAGCAGCTCGTTTGGGGAGCGACCATTTGGGTGCAAAGGCTGGGTGGGGGTTGCCGTACGGCGGTAATAAGGTTTCCAAGGCCCACCTTTCCGGGCTGAGCTGCAGCGACTCACAGGCCCAAGCTTCCGCTAAAAAGACCCCAAACTAGTGGAGTACTTGTGCTTACAGAGACTAGATTTACACAGTCGGCGGAACAAGGTCGACATGGCCAAACTGTCGAGATACAAAGGATAAGTAACTCTTTGGTAATCTGAGAACCATAACGCAGGGCACTCCGTTTGATGGCAACTCAATTACCTCAATTCACATGCGCCATTATATACGTGCATGTTAATGTTTACGTGGTCCGCAATAGACCACCACTCTGCTCATAACCCTGTACCTCGCTCAATAAGGAGTTGACTCAAGCACAGGGCTTGCAGCAGAGGCTGAATATTTGACCAAGCTCATTCGATCCTAAATTACCACATGTAACACAACTTGAGTAGACAAATAAATCTCCGCCGGCACGCGCGGACGGCGGGATTCCAACAGATCAGTTGACCTCGACGGGACCGCTCTACGCTTGGAAAGAATCGATGCTATTTATCTGCGCCACGCTTGGTATATATGGTATAATATACATGGAATAGTAAGCTGCACGGTGTGCCACACCATGCCAGTTGCCTCAGCTACGTGAAGCACGAGGCCCAGTGCCCACCACCCCTCGCGAAGCTCAGGCTGTCGACGAATTTGCTAAGCGTGCACCGGCCCAGCTCGTCGGCGCCGCAGCCCTGAAGGGGCGTGACCCGGTCGTTGATCAGGACACGGACGAGCTCCTCGTCCCCGGCGTCCTGGCACGTCATCTTCTCGACGTACATGCGCGCGCCGAACGGCACCGTCCACGACGCCGCGTAGCCCCCCGTCTGCTCGGCGTCCTGGCGCGTCGTGTTGGACAGCTGGGCGGTGGCGTTGTACAGGCCCAGCGCCGAGTAGATGGCCGTCATGTCGTTGTCGTGGCTGAAGTCGGCGTAGAGGGTCCTGTTGAGCGGGAAGGTGGCCGGGTTGCCGTCCAGCGTGCTGTTGGTGGTGGTGCTGTCGACCACGGGCTGGCCCGTCAGCCGGGCGATGAGCTCGTTGGTGAAGCCCACGCCCTGGGTCGGCCCCAGCGGGTTCCCGTTGGCGTAGCCGTACCACTTGTCCAGCGTCTGCAGGTAGTCGTAGCTCCGCCACTCGTCGGCCGTGAAGAGCCCGCAGAAGTCCGACAGCTTGCCGTTCTCGTCGGCGACCGTGTTGAAGGGGCACAGGTCCATCATGGATATCGTGTCTGTTGCCGACAGATTCGCGCCGGGCAGGTTCGCGTTCAGCCGGGCGGTGATGTTTCGTGTGAAGACGTCCATCCAGAGGCTCTTTGCGTTGTCCTTGATCTCGGAGACCGGGCCATCCTCAAACGCCGTGCACAGCTCGTGGTTGAGGGTGTTGTTCATGCCATCCTCCTCGGAGATGGTCACGATATCATAAGGGAAGGTGTCGGGGCGGCCGTCCGCCTCCGCGTCGGCCAGACGGGCCTGGTGGAACCCCTGGGTCCAGTTCTGCGCTGACTCGACGACCCTGTCCTGGCCCGAGGAGCGCACGAAGGGGATGCCGGCCCTCGTCAGGGCCGCGTACCGCTCATAGAACTTGGTGCCCGAGTTGACCAGCTCCTGCTGGCCAAAGGTGGTGAGCTGGTCGGCACCCAGCGTGTAGACATAGTCCTTGATGAACTCGTAGCCGGCACCATAGCTGGACACGCTGCTCTGGATGCGCTGGATCGTCGCGTTGTACACGGCGGTCTTGCCGGCGGTGGGATCGCGCGCGCCATGGCGGCTGAGAATCTGGGCAAAGGTGAGGGTGCACTGGTCCGGGACGGCGTTGTCGACCTCGGAGGGCACAGCAAAGTAAGGGCTGTACTGGCCCCAGAAGTGAGAGACATCAGGCGAGCACTGGAAGCCGTTGGCGACGGTGTCGCAGCTGGAGTCGTTGACGGCCCTCACCACGCGACTTGGAGGGGCGTTGTCAGCACTTGCGAGCACATCTCGAGGGGCAAGGGGGGAAGACAAGACTTGACGATGGACGTTTTACTCACGCAGTCGCGGTGGCCAGGTGGTACAAGACAAGCAGTGCCAGGGCAGCCATTGTGCACTTCAGGACTGTGCGATGGCGGTTTGACCAGAAGCCGAGAGCCTCCTGGGCCTCCCTCGCCGGGTTGCGGTTCGCGAGGGGGCTGTACTTATATCTGCCCCGGGCCATGTTGTATTGGGAGACGGCCGTATCCTTTAGGGTGTCCCAGATACCCATGCTGGCGGTCCCCCTTTTTTCCTCGCCGCACAAGCTCTCTCAATCATCCCTGGTCCAGGGGCGAGGTGACGATCCCGGGGGGGCCTCTCTCTGCGAGTGGGGTGGCGGGAACTGTAGCTATGGCATGTCGCCCTTGTCAGAAATGGGCTGCCTGCCTGCCTGCCAATCGGAGAGGAGACGTGACACTGACTGCTTGCGCAGGCCTGGGGGGAACCTTCGGTGACGGAAAGAGGTAGGGTTGGGTTCGCGGGTTGATGCGACTCGTCCAATGCTCGTGCCCACGTGCGCCCTGGCCTGCTGCGGTTGAGGAGCCGTGAGAAATTGATTGCAGCGGGGTTCGAGTCACCATCCCGGACGGCATTATAGGTAGGTCGGCGGGCCGATTAAGCACCCTGCCGCCCAGCCGCCGGGCAGCAGGCCGTTTGTTTCATCGGCCGAGCAGCCTCCCCGTCTACGTAATGTTCTGGTACCGCGCATGAACACCCTATACACATTTGTATGTTGCACTCCGTACGTCTAAGCCCCCGTGCCTGTTGGCGTTGCGTTTAGGTTCACTTCCGGTAGATCTCCCGCTGATGTGAGGTCCATTTTATGCACAGCAGTTGGTGGTCCTGACGGACAAACATCATTTCGTACTTGGTATCCTGGTATCTAAAAAGAGGTAGCTTCAACAGCAGGCTGCAACCAGCAGCGTCAACAACAACAGCAAGAGCAACAGCAACGGCAAGGCAACAGCAGCTGGCCAGCCATGATGGGGACAAATAATGTAAAGCAAGGGGCTCCGATCGAGAAGCTTCCCAATGGCGTCTCCTCCACGCCTTTGACCGGCCCAGTGCCTCTCTGGGTCTTGGATATCATATCATCACATTAGACCATGGCCCATTTTTGCCACGTCTTGCTTCTTCTCTTGTGTCTTCTCTTCGTTTTTCTCATCAAGGTCATTGCATGGAGCCTCTAGAAGGCCACTCCAACCGACGTGGGCCGTGGGCCTGACATGACTACCCCGTCAACGGGTCTGTCACGGCTGCCAAAGGTCCCAGTCCGCGACAGGCTCAAGCTCGCCGAATGGCCGCTCATGTAACCAGAGGTGGACGAGCTGTCCTTTCTCCGTGCGTGCTCGGGTGGTGTGCTCCCTGGGCTCCAGTTGGACGTCGCCGTGCCCGTGCCAGGCCCGACGAACGGGTCCTCGTCGGTCGAGTACACCGAGTGTGTCTGGCTCCGTGTGATGTCTGACATGGAGCCAAAGCTGCTCCTGCGCCCGGAGAACACGGCAGAGGGCGGCAGGGTCTGGTAGAACCCGTCGCGGTCAGTAAGTGCGCGCGGCGCATTGGTCACGCTCTCAAGCGAAACCTCGCGCCTGTGCTGAGGCGACGGCACCCGTTCCCGGTCTTCCACGCCCGCGGGGAACAGCCAGCTCGAGACGCGCGAGAACGACTTCTTCTTGCGCAGCGGGGGCCGGAGGATCAGAGGTAGAGGTGGTGCCAGGGGTACGCCGATGTCAACGCTGTTGTCGATGATCTGCGGGCTGCGCCATGGTGGGTGTGAGTTGAATGCGGACGCGGCCACGGGTCGAGGTGGTGCCGTGGTTGTGGTTGGTGCCGCGGTTTGAGCATGCTGCGCTCTCGAGTCATCGGTACTCCGAGTGCGGTTCGGGTTCTGTGGTGGTGGGGGAGGAGGGAAGGCAGAATCGATCTCAAAGGTAGATCGCGTCGAAGGTGCCGTCCGGGGGCGGTCGATGCTCAGGCGTTCCGCGAATGATGGCCCGGAAGGCGGCATGAGCGGGACAGGAGGCATGGGCTCTTCTCCGTCATCTGTGGCACCGTAAGCGTCCGATCAAACACTGAGGAGACAAATGGCTGGCATCTTGGGCCACTCACCAGCTAGGCCGTACAGAGACGACGGCCGGCTCAGGCAGAAGCTCTGTCGCTCCTTGACCGACTCAATCTCCTCCTCGAGCCTTTCCTTCTCGATCATCGCGCCTGCAATACGCTCCACGATGGCCTCCACGCTCGGCGAGGTGTAAGCTCGGGGTCGCGTGCGAGCCCGTGGTGGTATCCTCGGAGGACTGTCCCCAGTGCTGCTGGTAGTGCCGCTGGTAGTGCCAGTCGTGAATGATGCCACATCGTTTACTGGGCGCCTCGGGATGGAAAACGACTGTGATGAATAGCTCCTGGAATGCGCGAGCGTGCTGGCATCCTCGTCGAATGTGTCCCTGGTCAGAGCCCGCGGCGGTGGTGAAGGAGTGATGTTTCGCGTGAAATAGGGCATCAACGGTGATATTTGGTCGTTCGCCCGGTAGATGCTGAGCTCGAGGGGCCGGAAGGCTGGGGCCGACCGAGGAAGGTCTGCTGCCGACTCCATGAAGTTGACGGCCCCCGTCCCGGTATGCTGAAAGTTGAAGGGGTCCGATATCAGAGGCCCAGGTGCTTTCCTCTTGCCAGCGCGGAAATTCCGGTCGAGCCAGCCCATGTGTGGTTGCCTTGCTGCGGCCCTCTTGCTCTCCTTCCGCACCTTTCCCATGGACATCGCCCGCGGCCTCTGAGCGCGGGGCGGCGGCGTGGGTTCAGGTTGGTCATAGTAGACCTGGTAGTACTTCTCTTCTGGTGGGTCTTGTTGGTTCAGTACTCCACGCCTCGCGAGAGTGTTGTCGATGGGTTGGATGTGCACACCAGGCCCAGACTCACTTCGAGGGTCCTTGCTGTCGGAGCACGGGAAGAGCAAAGCCTTGAGGGTATCCAGCCACCCATGTGAGGCTTGCACGCCACTGGAGCCCATCTTGGTGGTGATTATACAGGAGTGCCCCTCATGCCGGCCACTTGTGGAGGGAAGATAGCAGGCTGAGTGAAGAACGACCAGCGAACTGAGGGCATCCGGAACAGAGCAAAAGACACGAGTGAGGAAAAACGAACTAGTTATTACGAGTATGAGGAGACCAAAGAAAGGACGGACCGCATGGCCAGATCTGACGAGATCGGGCGGCAGACTCCAACATAAGGGAAAACGGAGAAACCTGGGAAGCCTAGGTGGCATGCCTTATTCTTTAGTATTGCCGGCCTACCTGCGTGACCCCGAATGGGCCTCATCATCTCCCCCAAGAGACCCACGGAAGGGCAGCACGCCCATTGTGCACACCCTCCAGGCCGCTCCGCCCGTCCGCCTACACAGAGGCAGGTCCAGCTCTGGGCTGAGGCAGGCCGGGCACGCTGACTGTGTGGACGAAAGCAGGAGGAGTCGTGGATGGAGAGGTCTCAGTTTGGGCCATTTGATAGGCCGTGCTGGATTGGCCGAGGACCAGTCGGCGGCTACCGGCCAGGGTCAGGATGGCTGGCGCTACACCCCTGCCTGTACAAGGGCCCAGTTGTGTTAGAAGAACAATCAAGTAGAGCGAGTCGATGTCTTAGAATGCCTTGGTTTAGTGACCACCACCAACCGCAGCTCCCCAGGGATCCCCGAACGTTAAGGCTGGTACGCCGAGCGCACAAAGCAGCTTCGGCCCTGCATGGACCGCCCGCATCTGTACCACATCATTCCTGAGCCCTGACCCTATCGATGGTCCTGCAGAGAGCCCAGAGGGCATCTCCAATAGGTAGCCACCGCGTGGGACCTGGCAGGCCGTCCCGGGGGAGAGGTCGCTGTCGTCGACGGGCAGGTCGCGGGCTAACGAGCTGGATCCTGGTGAGCTGTGCACCGGGGTGCTAGCTCCCTCCAGCGTCGCCACAAAACTCCGAAGAGATTGGCTCGTGGGACCCCAAGATTGGGTGAGAACAATGGGGCATCTGGGGCACCTGGATTCGTGGCATCCTAGGGCCACCCCCAGCCTCCCTGACAAAAAGGGAAGAGCCACACAACACTGCAGGCCCGCGAGCAAGCAGGCAAGACGAAGGACAGACAAAGGACAGGCGAAGGACAGGCAAAGGACAGACGCGAGCCCGGCCAAGGGGGCAGATGCAGCTTCATTTCCCCCCCGGCAAGGGCCTCAGTTTCCGCGACCATGCGGCGACTAGCTAATTGGTAGCTGTTGCTATTCTTTGCTGAAACCGTGTCGCAGGCCCAATTGGCCAGCCTTGAAGCCAGGCACACCGTCTCATCTGGTGCAGATGAAGGGCGGCCCAACACGGCGGCCGCGCCCGCTCACGCGCGAACCAGCAACCAGCAGGCCAGCCGGTGGTGGCACTGGCATACTGGCAGACTGGTACTGGGATTCGGAGGTGGTGGGTGGTGTCCGTCCATCCAGCACATCCTGCCATCTTGCCAGCCAGCCAGCCAGCCAATCCCATCCTTGCCCATCTCGCAGTGGCAGCCCGTCGCGGTGCGCGGCAGCAGGCTTGCAGGCTTGCTTATTACTGCACTCCACACAAGAAGCAACGGCCCGCGTCGGCAACGTGGGCTGCGTTGCAGACAAGGGAGCAACATCAAAACAAGCACAGGTTTGCGCGCTCGGATTGGGCGGCTTGCCACGGCCTGGAATTGGCTGGATTTGCATGTGCTGCCACCTGTCTCGCGGGTAACATCTGAACCATCCTGCCATCCCACACACAGCATTCACGCCCGTGACATGTTTGACAACAACGGTCGGACAATATTTGACAAGTACTCCGTACCAGTTGACATGACCCAAGCACCAAGGCAAGGTGGCACAGATGACCAGGCGTCTAGCCCATTTCGCAGATGAGCAGCAGTCCGAGATGTGCCAGTCCAGCGCCTTGCGTCGAGTCCGGCCGATCCGGGCCTCTGATTCGCCGAGACATCACTTGCCATGGAGGCAGGGCAATTTCAACAGTGCCTCGCTCTCTTCCAAGGTTCTAAGAATAGGCGGCTCTGGTGCCACCGCACAGGCAGGCCGGCAGAATGGCCGGACAAACAACCCACAAACAAGGTGGCAGCTCGTCATGCGCCGCCTTCTCTCGAGGCCTCGAAAGGTGGCGAGGAGCGTCATCTCTGTAACGAGGCCTGACCTCAAATCTGGTACGGACCGGGGCGGCGACAGTCTGTCTTGGGCACTGCCCGCGGCGCCAACGCCAACCGCCGAGATGACCAACGCGGCCTTGGGGCGCTTCCAGCAGGATGACCTGTTGCCATGATCTGATTTGGGTAACTCCTGTGGGATGACTTCCTACACTGACCTACCGTGTTGTCTCTTTTGGAAAGTCAGGATTGTCTCTGGGTCCCTTTGAGGAATTCAGGACTCGTCCAAGCACTTGAGGTGTGCCGTTGTTTGTGGCCGCAGGCGGATTGTAACACTAGGTCAGGCTAGTAAGCATGAAGGGCGAAATGAGACCCCAGGGCTATCTTTCGTCCCGGGCAGTATTCCAGCTGCGCCCAGTTCGCAACGTCGAACAGTGATAGACCCCAAGTCGGAGAGCCGGGCCCTTTCGAGTACGGAGGTCGGTCCAATAAGTCTTTACCGCCAAGGAGCAGGGGGGGCTGTCTACGCCTATAGACACAGCCACTTAGCTGTACTAACAGACTAAATCCAGCCCCCCATAAGTAGTTCACACTAATGTATACTATAAGACAGAAGTGGAAGGTGTATGAAGCTGGTGTTGGAAGTAATTTTTACTTTAGGTAGCTGATTAATTTTTAGTACCTCTTAGGGGGCTGTAGGAACGTACTCTGTAGTGGTGGGACAGCCCCCCATGCGCCTTGGCGGTAAAGACTTATTGGACCGACCTCCGTAGACGCGGGTCGACTCGACGACAGGCTAGGACACCTGACCGTATTGTGCGACATATTCACGTACTGTTGGTCAGTGAGATGTTGTGGGAACGACATGTGTGGAAAATGAGCCTTCTGCGATTGCAACTGAAAGTTGCGTCGGAGAAGAAATGGCCGCCGCTTGCTGGCCTTTATTATTAGTACAATGGCAGACTAACAATAACCCTTGGTTGTGACGGGCGAGTCGGAAATGGACCTGGTGCTGACTAAGGAGACAGACCAGACACCAGTAGTCTACTCCGTACTCCGTACAGGCAGGCAGGCACGTTGGTGCATGTTGCCTGCCTAGAGATGCGGCGGGCCGGCCCTGGCAGAGTGCTGAAGTGAACAGCTTGCTGTTTGTTCGAAAAAAATGCCAAGACACCGACTCCCATCAGGACAGCTTGTTGTTCGATTGCATCTGCATCTCCGCCAAATCACTGTGTAAGTGCCAGGACTCGTTTTCGCACTCGCAACCACTCACTCCCTTCACTTTAACTGCCCCAGGCCGCCGCCGCCCCTTTCTATACTCCCGTTCACATCAAACACCTCACGCTCTGTTTCAATTGCTGCAACCGAGCCGCCCACGATGCAGAACCAAAACGGTCCACCACCAGGTGGCATGCCTCCGCCTGGAGCTATCCCGGTGCCGCCCATGCCACCAGGAGTGCCTCCTCTCCAGCCTGGCGTGCCGCCCACCCCGGAGCAGATGGCTGTCATCAGACAGTTCCAGCAGCAGATGAACCAGAAAATCGCCCAAGAAGCCGAGAAGGCCGGCTTGTCCGTCCCCGAGTTTGTCCAGCGCATGCAGCAACAGCAACAGGCAATGCGAGCCCAGATGCTCCGACAGCAGCAGCTGCAGCAGCAACAGCAACAGCAAGCAGGCGGACCTCAGCAGCCGGGCCAGCAGCAAGGCCAGGGACAGCCCCAGGGCCCGCCTCAGCAGCGTCCTGGCGGCCAACCCCAGCCCATCACACCGGGACCGCCTAACCCGGTCGCCATCGCCATGGCCAACTTCCTGCGCGGCCAGGACCTCAAGCTCCGCACTTGTATCCTGAACGGCGAGCGCAAGGATATGTTCAGAGGTGTGTTTGCCGTGTGCCTCGCATTGTCTAGATTTACTCGGTACTGACAATGCGATAGTGAAGAGAGCCCTTCGGGCGCTCGAGTCTCCAGCATACGAGAAGGCACGTAAGAAGAACCCTGCGCTGCCCGAGATCAAAGACCGGCCGTCCCTCGAGAATGCCTTCAAGCTCCTGCCCATGTCCATGCTGGCCCTCCGAGTCGAGAAATCCGACCCCCATGCGGGCCACGCCCACCCTCCGAAGCGAACAAAGCGGGTCAAGGGTCTCTGGACGGTGCGCATCGTGCCGCAACAAGATGCTGCCGACGACATGTACTACGTTTGGATGTACGAGGGAAGCCAGATCAAGCGCAAGGTCTACGCCGCCCTTGCCCTCCTGGCCATCTTCACCATCGTCCTCTACCCACTGTGGCCACTCAAAATGCGCCAGGGTGTCTACTATCTCAGTTGGGGCTTCTTGGGTCTTCTAGGACTGTTCTTCCTCATGGCCATCTTCCGTGTCATTCTCTTCTGCATCACCTACTTTGTTGTCTCGCCTGGTCTCTGGCTGTTCCCCAACCTGTGGGAGGACGTCTCGTTTTTGGACTCTTTCAAACCCGTATGGGCCTGGCACGAGGTAAGCCAAAACTAGTGCACTGATGCTGTGACGTTCCTCGCTGACTAAAATTGCGACATAGACCGAGAAGAAAAAGAAGAAGAGGTCCAAGGGGTCTGTTAGTGCGAGCTCCGTGAACCCTCAGGTATCGTCATCTTTTGCTGCTGCTACCGGCCAGCCAATGCCAGCCAGTGCGACAACTACCGCAACTGAGACTCAGATTGAAACGGGAGGTGAGAAGCAAAGGGCGAGGGCCGAATACATGGTTCCAAGGGTGGAAGAAGTTGGAGATGACGAGTAGGAGCAGGCCTGACTTTTCTTCCCTTCCCTTCCCTTCCTGCGAGCATGTTGTGTGAGTTGCTGTGTGCGGAACGGTTCATTGCGAGCAAAATATCCCGAGCTACTATCTAGGTAGCGTTTAGAGCCACCCCCGGAGATCAAGCTACCTGCGCTCTCTTGGAGCACTCTGCATCCGCTTAGATTTGAGGGCCACCAACACAGTTGTCACTGCCAGTTCCGCGGGAATTTTGCTATGCTCGCAATCTGCGATTATTATGTGCATTATCATGGAGAATGCGACAGGCGAAGGCGCCGTTGATACCCATCTTAGGGCGGCGTGAGATATCTAGGCGGCCACAACCTCTGGCCGGGTTTCCCTCATGCTTCCGAGCCGACCGCACGCTCAAAGTAATGGATTGCCCCGGCTGTCGAGGCACAGTTGCCCACGCTCCCACCGGTCGCGTTTGCAGCCACGGGCACCGCATCGTAGTCCTGCGGTCTGCCGTTGACATGGTGATCTGGTGGCTCATGGTCAGTTTCTCAGTCCCAACGACGTGTGGCCCTTTGAACACTCACAATACCAAACCTCACTCAACTGCGTTTTCCCGTTGTCCAGACTTCCAGCCCCGGCCGCGGTCTCGTTGAACCTCGGACCCGAGCACCCGATGTACGGCACCTCGCCAAAGGCGTCCGCGAGGGCCGACTGGAGGTCGAACAGGTCGTACGTGGTCGTGTTGCTGGGCGTGATTCCCGCGGCTTCGAGCCACTCCCAGGTGGGGAGGCCGCGGAAGTACTCGACGGCGGTGGCGAAGAAGTCGACGACCTCCTCGTGCTGGACGTACTGGGGGCCGTAACACTCGACGTCAAAGGTCGAGTAGCAGGTCGCGTGCTTGGAGAACTCGTGGCCCCAAAAGTCCCCGTTGGGCTGGCCCTGGGCGATCCAGTACGTGTTCATGTACTCCAGCAGGTCGTACCGCCCGAAGGGCTCCAGGAAGGTGCCGATGTTGGGCCCCGTGTAGGGGACGACGGGCGCGCCGGACGGGGTCCCGGTTGTCGTGTTTGGGGAGGGCTCCGGGTCGTACTGCCTGGTCAAGTCGCAGTACTGCGTGTACGAACCGTTGCAGAAGTCTGGCCAGAGGCCGTGGAGGGTCCACGACTCGGCCGGGAGCAGCTGGCCGCGGGACTCAAGCCCGGTGTAGACGTCCCAGAACTGGGTGGCGAGGACGAGCCCGCCGAAGGTCTCTGTGCAGCACGAGTCGGTGAGCCCGGCTTGGGCACCGGCGGAGCACGAGAGGATCGGGTCGTCTGGGGAGTATGTCAGCCACATGGAATCCTCGTTTTCTGCCGAACCGTCCCCAATGTTCTTGCATACATAGCTGGCACGTATGGTTCGCAGTGCTTTCGTTGTAGAGGCCGCGGCTGAAGACTGGGGCAGAAGCCACAGCCTCCCGCACGACAGCAGCCAATGCAACCGAGGATACAATAGAGCGATGCATATTGTCAGGTCAGGTCAGGTCGGTCACGAGCTCATCAGGCCAGAGGAGCTGTGGACTGGCTCACCTCCAGAGGGAGCAGGGCAGAACCAACTTCTATTAAATAAAATGACATCTCGGCCTATCTCGACGTAGCATTCGGGAGCGCCTATCGCCCCCCTCCCCCCGGTGCAGAATGGGTCTCGGAAGACCGGCGTCTTGCAGTAGAAGGACGATGGCTTGCTCTGGACCGGGGAAACCAACTCAAAGAGGAAGTTGGCGATGGACAGAGGGCGACAGGTTAACCACGTGCCAGGGGTGGCAGCGCGAGCCCGCGTCTGCAGAAATGGCCCACCTGCTCGCATCCTGTGCTCTGACAGGCTGGCGGTCGATTGGCTATCAGCAGAGAGAGGACCCAGGCCGGCGGGTGGACCCTTCTAGCACGTTTCCAGGGCCGTATCCTGGCAGCGACCGAGCCTACCTAGGTACTTAAGTTCTTCAGGTACCTACGAAAGCTGGGATGAACCGGCGGGCAGCCGGCAACTCAACCTACACGACAGTCAATTGAGACATGCGGGATTTCATTGTATAGAACCTGGATGTCTACGCGGTCGTATGAGACTAGACTTGGGCAGCAAAATAGGCTAATTAGCACACCTGGGCACCGCACGATTGGGCCCAGGATTGATGGCGTTTCTGGGGTAACACGTGGTGTATCAAAAGGCTGAGTCCATCAGTTGCACATACCCGGGTAGGGTTGAATCAGGTTGTGCCGTGTTGTGACACGTCGAGGCAATATACTAGTAGTGTTGAGTCTTCTGAAGCAACTTCAGAACTACGGCTCCACGGAATATAGTCCTGGGAAACGTACCCTTGCGTGTGCTCTCGGCCAACTGTACCCTAGGGTAAGTGGGTGTGCGGAAAGCATTTCACTGTTGGTAGGTGGATAAGGGCAGCTGTTCGATACAAGTCTGTTCTCGACAATGTCATATTATGCACATCTCAAAAAGCACCAGGCGTCTGAGGGCAGGTCGCGCCCAGATCGGAACACACACCACTGCTAGACAGGTGACACGCCAGGCTGGCCGCCCTTTTCCATGCCAACATTGCTCGTGGACAGCTTGCGAGTCCACACACCATGTGGTTCCACCGGCCAAACACCATGACAATAAAGCTTCATTGTAGCCTGGCCTCAACTCATGGCTGTCCATCCACCCCCCAAAGTCAAATACTATTCGGGCAACTTGCCCAGGCTTTCTCGAAGGGGCTCTTCCTGAATACGGTTGTAATGAAGCGCGGGTGGACTTTTGCGCGTCGAGGCCCCGACCCACGAGCCACCAATACTAATTAAGCCTCGGTGTTGAGTCTCTTGTAGAAAAATACAACGTCTTTGAGCTCACCAGAAGCATTGACGCTGTGACCAGGCACCTTTCCGATCTCGACGTACCCCAACTTCTTGAAGACTTTCTCAGCAATACTTCCGCTCTCTGTCTGCGCCGTCTTGGGTCCAAAGTCAGCTATCGCATGATGTGGGGCCCCGGGGCGAAATGCTCACCAAGAGTGTCCTGCCTCTAAGTATCGCTTGCCCATGTATCTCGTTCATCAACGTCACAGAGCCTCCCCTTTTCCGGTACTTTGCGGCGACTAGAAGATGTTGGACCTGGGCACGGAAGGGGCCCGATGGTGAGTGTGGAGTTGCCAACATAGCGACGCCAACCAGGTTGTCACCCTGCACTCTGGCCGCGGGTGCTACTCCTGCCAGCAGCAGGATGATAACCCTCGTGCCCTCCTTGGCCTCGGCCATCCTGTCTTTCCAGTAGTTAAGGAGCTTGTCATTAGCCAATGGGGGCAGGAAGCTCCCGGTCATGAGGTCACGGGTGATGCATTGGGCGTGGAGGCCGGCCAGGTAGGGCGTCAGATGGGAGTGTTCTTTGGGGTCGAAGATGATGGCCTGCGCAGGGCCATCCACGGGGAGCGTCTGCTGCCTTTGCTGCTCCTTTTCCTGTTGTTTGGGCGAGTGACCAAGGGCCGAGCGGCCCGGATCTCCTGAGCTACTGCTCATCGTGCCGGATCGTACCGGAGGGTATTCAGAATGCCACAAGCGGCAGAAGACACAGACGGACGTCCGGCGGCGCGGAGGAAGATTGTTGCGCGTCGGCGTGTCGCCCTACCAGGACACCACAAGGTTTTCTGATGTGTCTTGAGCGGTCTGCAGGACTTTGCCGATGACCACGAGTCCTTATAAGATATGCCAGACAGTAATATCATGTATGAGCCTTATGGGGTCACAGATGTATCCCACGATAGGTGACAAAGAGGACGGGGGGATGATCTTGGTACCCCGGAGCAAAAGACGGAGGACGAAGCTGAAGGCTAAATAGTCAAGGGGGCAGAAACCAAGAAAAAAAACAAGAGAATAATAGAATAAGCAATGCGGATGCACAAACCGTCTCAGGGCCGTATGGAAGTGCTCAATGCGGTCCAAAAATTGCTGTTCGCCTTCTGAAGCTGCATTGAAGGGAGCACGAGCCGGCAGGTATCAGGAGCTACCGTGTTTGGGTGTGGACATGGCCCTGGAGCAGCGCAGTATGTACACGATGTCGACATGCCCTTCTACCTGGGTAGCTTCTAGTGCGCCCCTGCCGGTGCCCGCACCGTACCTGGCAGCATGTACAGGGGCGTATCTGCATACCTCGAGCTGCGAATCACACTACGACAGTACCTGCCCAGGGTGGGTACCTACCTACCTAGGTAGGCAGTCAGGTATGTAGTGCGGTGTGAAAGTACTTACTGATCTAAGTGCTTGGTATCTCATAGTGACCTCGGCACAGGACAATCGCTGCCTGCCTGCACTGCACGCAGTACCAATAAGGCTGAGCGCCCGCCTCTTGCGCAATTGGCTCAGAAAGTGGCCGCAGTAGCGGTCTCCCGAACCACAGATCCTGGCATCGCGACCGGCAGCCACAGCTCCAAGCATGACAGCTTCTAGAACCTGGCCGGAGCACTGCAGTGGTCTGCTCAAGAGACTAATAAAGGATAAAAACATTATACCCCACGCCGTCAGCTTCAGGCCCGATAGCTCTTGAGCAATGCCTCTTGTTACACAAGTTTCACCAGCCATCATGCCCTCTCACACTTCCATGGGCATGAGAACAAACCGCAAGCCTTCCGACCCAAGCGCTGCTTCGACTCAGCTCCGATACCCTCGATCACGGAGCTGTCCCGTCCTGCGCATGGTTCCCTTCCCGTCATCGCCTATGCGGTGCGACTTGGTTCCGTTGTCAGCACGTTGCATCCGTTGATATCTTTCGCTTCCGGGCCGCCACCTAGCATCCCCATATGAGGAGAGATATCATCCTTGTGGCTGGTGTGCTGACGCAAACTCGCATGTGCACGACGCCATCAGCCGTCCTAACCGGCCTCACATGCACTGCTTCTTTTCAAAGGGGAGGCCTCAAAGACCACAAGCTGCCCTTCAGATCCAGCCTGGCCCCATCTGCAAGACACGGGGGCTTCGAGGGGCTGATATATCGTCAAATTCCCATGCCCTTCGATTCTGAGAGGAAGCACAGCTGGCACCTCTGCCTGGTTCGAAAGACGCCTGATCGTATGGAAATGGTTCCTGGGAGACTACCTACTTACATATGTAAGTAGGTACCATGCGTGATCAACAGGCCACGAACTACTAGAAACCACGGCCCATCCTTCCGACGGGACCAGTGACAAGTAACCACCACAGGGTTATGAGTGGACACGACAAGTCAATGCTTCCAAAGGCGGCTGTGTGCTCTGTCCCCGGTGATAGATCACAGCACTTTTCCGATCTACTTGGCCACCGACATTTTCTTTTCCCGAAATCCTGTGAGAAGCTTGGAAACCCAACAGCCTGCGTGTATATGTCAGCATCGCTTAACCGGTGGCACGATTTCAGCCACCGGAGAGCTGCAGCTGGAGATAGACTCTGCCTTTCCGAGTACTTAGTTAGCGTCGGACGAGGCCCCAATCACGATACACACGAGGCGGAATATCTCGCTTGCAACCCGTCGTAAGATCTCCTCTGCCCCAAGAGGTCAGCATGACAGCCTAGCCTTTCGTTTCCACCCGGTAGCTTGTGTGATGATCACCGGCGTGGACCCCGCCCTTCTCGGGTCTCTCGGTCTTCGGCTGAGCAAGTACCTATCAGGTATAGGGGTAGAGGCCTGAGGCTTTGGGATGAGAACGGGCATGGATTCTGAGTGTACAGAAGTGTTCTCCTAATCTGACAAATACGAGGAATGCAACTGAAATGAGACGAGGCACATGGGCAACGCGGCACAAATTGTCCTGCTCGTTTGCTCATTCGAGGCCCTTTTCTGTTGGCTTTGGGGCCGCAGGCAAACATGTCGTTTTAGAACTAAATTGACGACTCTAAAAGCAGGTTTCGTGATATTATTGCTGGCTCAGATGCCATAAAGGCGGACTTTGGTCTCTACGCGACTAGGAGGAGCTTGTATGTCAAACAATCGCCGGCCACAGCTCAACAGCGGCAGTAAGTTCATTTGTTTTTAGTTGAAAAAACGCAAAACATGGCAGCACCCCGACTCCGCTATGCAGGAAAACCACCCCCGTCCATTCATGATAGCACAATAGCCTCAGCAGGTCAGCCGGCTGAAGTTGAAGATCACGAAGGACCTGCCGACGGATGCCTTGTCGGCGATAATCGCCCCTTGGGATAGAGGAGAGGCGCGCATCGAATATGTGCTACCACGCAACTGTAAACATCATGACAGTTTAGAGTCATGGGCCCAAGGCTGTGACGCCCACTGTAATTTCTCGCGTTAAATTTCACAGGGACTGCCCTGGAGCCCTCATTAAACGCACGGCAGGCCGACCGGCTGAGGAGATTCCCGAAGGATGGCCCCATGGTCGGCATCAGGCAAGCATCAACTAACCTGCAGAATCGTGAAAGTTCATAGAATCTGCTAGATGTGGAGAGTGTGATCCAATGTCTCGAATAGTCACGACCGAGCTCTGCCCGGGTATCCGCTACACGGCCACGGTATCTATTGTCCAGTCTCCTGTGGGATAAGTTCCTGTGGGATAAGTTCCTATGGGATAAGTTCCTAAGGGACACCCTCCTATCAGATACCTTTTTAAGGGACGCTTTCCTATAGGTTGGGTTGTTTGAGGATAAAATTTAGATGATAGCTTTCAAACACTTATAGGATAACATCCTGTGGGATGCCCTGTGGGGGCCATCTAGTTACCAGAGGAATGAATCATACCGCCGAGGGTGTGGCAGGAATAGTTGTATGAAGCTGGGCGGAGACTTGTGCAGGCCAGGACCAGCCCAAGATGTTGTGCCGAAACCACAGCTGACAGTTCTCGGATCTTGGGAGTACAATGAATTTGTGGCAACCTGGCTCTTATTGTTCCACGGCGGATGTTCTCTGCATACGGCAGCATATTCCGATGTCTCGGATTCTGTGTTTGTACTACCGGGCTATTTGTCTCACTGGCGAGTCACATACCTACAGTGGACGGGGCGTCGTCCATGGTCGCTCAGCCTTCCTGGCAAACCACGTGTGTGGAAACAGTCAGGTTCTAGATCATTTCCAGTAAGAGAGGGCTTGGCAAGGGAAAAAGGACCTTTCAATGGTACGTCGCGATTGAACGAAATATGCCGGGTTAGTTCTCACCAGCCTCGCTGAGTCCTGGCAGACTTGGCCTTGTGACGTGGATGAAGGATGGATGATTCCAAGCCGGGCTCTCACGATCCCATTGAGGTGAGGTCGGCTGAGGCTCACGCATGCTCTGGCTCACACTTGGCTGCTTACGGGTTCGGGCAGCTCCGTAAAAGCCGTTGGCACATGTTAAGCGACGCCATGAATGCAGCCCTACTGGCCGCATAACGGCTTGTTTCAGGTGCCCTGTTGAGCGTGCAGAGGTGGTGCTGGATCTGGTTGGTACCAGAGGGAGGGTCTGACAGAGAGAAAAGGGTGCTTCACGCTTCACGAGCCAACACACACCATGGCGTCGAATGCGTCAGGCCCTGGCGGTCTGGCGGAAGCCCGGCACAACAGTCGTGCAAACCCAGTGGCTGTCTCATCCAATCGTCGTTGGCATCTTGTAGCCTGAGCCACGTAGGCCAGCAGAGCTTCCACAATCACGGGGGCCATTCGCTATTGCTCAAGTAATGTGCTGAAGCTTGCCCGAGTCGATTTCACCGCTCTGCTGGGTGGCTCCTCCTGAGTGGCAGTGAACAGTTCCAAGATATGCAGGCCAAGACCCTGTTTTTGCAGGGAAGCTCTGTTTCGACCCCTCAGCTCCTCCCGCCGCCGTCGCGGATCACTGTCGGGCTTTTTTGGAGGCGAGGTGCCAAATAGAGGCATCCATCCATCCAACTTTGTACCTCACGAAACCAAGGCCCAAGAAAAAAAAAGGGAGAGACATTCTGAGAACCCACCTCTGATACTGACCCGAGATCTTGACTACACCACTTGGATAGCACTCATTTGGGAAACCCCATCGCTTAGGTTTCTCGACCGACAGGGACGCATTGAAAGTTTTCAGGGTCCGCAGTCCGTCGAGCAGCCGTGGAGACCGCATCGTGGCTTTGCGTGGAGCTACCCCCTGACTCTGACCTCACAGAACAGAGAGGCCTGAGAGGCTGCCCCCACATTGTCTTATCGACCGACGTGTTTATAAACACGGCGTGCATCTCATCCCGTCTTATTCTGCTCCCACACGCCCGGCAGATCCTCCATACAATTTCGTGGCAGCCAAAATGTCGAGCATCTTCAAGAAACTCGAGCAGGGCCTCGCTGGCGTCTTCGGCTCCGACGAGGAGAAGCACTCGCACACTCACGATGGGGCTGAGTGCCATGCTGACTTCCACGCCGAGCACGCGGAGAACCGCTATGCTTCTTTTGCTCCCCAGACCTCTGGCCAGGTCAAGTGGCACGTCGATGGGTGCGCCTACTTCTGGGCCCTGTCTGAAGCCCTCGAGAGTGAGTTCCCATCCGCGGACAATCGCATGCTGTGTGGGATACTGATGGCGTACAACCTGCAGATGCACAGGAGTCCATCTTCATCCTGGACTGGTGGCTGTCCCCAGAGTTGTTCCTGCGCCGGCCCCCGGCAAAGAACAACAAGTACCGCCTGGACTACATGCTCAAGGCCGCGGCCGAGCGAGGCGTCCAGGTCAGGATCATCGTGTACAAGGAGGTTGCTCAGGCCCTTTCCTGCAACTCGGCGCACACCAAGCACGCCCTGGAGGACCTCCATGAGAACATCAAGGTGTTCAGGCATCCGGATCACATGCCCACCAAGGACAGCATCAACGCCGAGATCAACACTGCCTTCCACAACCTGACCCTTGGCGCCTTCAGCCTGTCCAAGATGTCCGGAGACAGCCTCAAGACTCTGTATGGCACCCATGATGATGTTGTGCTGTTCTGGGCCCACCACGAGAAGCTGTGCCTGATTGACCACAACGTTGCCTTCATGGGCGGCCTCGACGCCTGCTTCGGCCGTTGGGACACCAGCACTCACCCCATCGCCGACGACCACCCCGGCAATGTGGACGGCATCATCTTCCCCGGCCAGGACTACAACAACGCACGTGTCTACGACTTTGAGGGCGTCGACAAGTGGGAGCAGAACAAGCTCGACCGCACCAAGTTCTCGAGGATGGGCTGGTCGGATATCAGCATCTCGCTGGTCGGCCCCATCGTGAAGAGCCTGGATCTCCACTTTGTCGACCGGTGGAACTACATCTGGGGCCAAAAGTACAACCACGACGGCAACACAAAGTACCAGAGTCTCGAGGACACCGACGTTTCCCACGCCCCGCCCAGCCGGAGCCTGCTCGAGGAAGGGCAGTACGAGGCCGGCCAGATGTTTGGCGGCCTCCAGCGTCACTTCACCAGGGGCCTGAGCCGTGCCTGGGGCGAGGAGCCGCGCGAGGAACCACGCAACGAGGAGGCGCACATCCAGCTTGTGCGGAGCTGCTGCCCATGGTCCTCTGGCCACCCCACCGAGCACTCCATTGCCAATGCCTACATCGACGCCATCACAAACGCACAGCATTTCATCTACATGGAGAACCAGGTAAGTTGCCCAGACGCCGAGCGCGCGCTCCGCCGCCAGAACTCGGGATCTGACATGATCGCACTCTTAGTTCTTCATTACTGCTACCGACGACGAGCAGAAGCCGGTGTACAACAAGATCGGCGCGGCCATCGTGTCCCGTATCATAAAGGCACACCAGGCCGGCGAGAAGTTCTCCGTCATCGTCGCCATGCCAGCCGTCCCCGCCTTTGCCGGCGACCTCAAGTCCGATGGCGCCCTGGGTACGCGGGGCATTATGGAGTTCCAGTACAACTCCATCAGCCGTGGCGGCCACTCCATCATTGAGAAGTTGACGCAGGCCGGCATCGTGCACCCGGACCAGTACATCAGCTTCTACAACCTGCGCAACTACGACCGCCTCAACACCTCGGCTACCATGCAGCGCGCGCAGGACGAGTCGGGCGTGCAGTACGACGACGCCCGCCGCGAGTTTGACGACTACGTCGAGAGGGGATACGACGGCTACTCGCGCGACGAGAACGTCGAGGGCCGGCTGGGAAGCCAGTACCGCCGCTACCAGGAGGCGGCACAGCGCCAGGACGACAACACGTGGGACACCATCTCGGCGGCGTACATGCAAAACGGGCCGGACCTGGACTCGATCCCGTGGGAGGGCGACCCGGAGTCCGAGATCGACGCCTACGTGTCGGAGGAGCTGTACATCCACTCCAAGGTGCTGATCGCCGACGACCGGCTGGTCATCTGCGGCTCGGCGAACCTGAACGACCGGTCGCAGCTGGGCACCCACGACTCCGAGATCGCCGTCGTCATCGAGGACCCGACCCCCGTGCGCTCCAAGATGAACGGCGAGGACTTCACCGCCTCCAAGTTCGCCGCCAGCCTGCGGCGCCAGCTGTTCCGCAAGCACCTGGGCCTGCTGCCCGACCAGCGCTGCGACCGGCCCGACGCCAACTTCCACCCCGTCACCCAGGGCCCCAACGAGTACGACTGGGGCTCCGAGGCCGACCGGCTGGTCGAGGACCCCATCAGCGAGGAATTCCAGCACCTGTGGCTCAAGACGGCCCGCACCAACACCGAGGTCTTCAGCCGCGTCTTCCACAACGTTCCCAACGACGTCGTGCGCACCTGGGACGACTACGACTCCTTCTTCAGCAAGTACTTCATCGTCCCCGGCTCGGACGAGGAGGCGAAGCTCAAGAAGAAGGAGGAGAAGGAGCAGAAGGAGAGGCTCAAGCGGGAGGCTGCCGAGCGCGGCGAGGATGCCGGCGAGGACGCCGGCGAGGACAACGACGCCGGCGAAAACAAGGAGGAGGAAGAGAACAAGGAGGATGTGGAGGAGGAGGAGAAGAAGGATGATGGCGACAAGGAGAAGCCTACCAAGGTCCCCTACGGCCACGTCGTCAAGAGCGAGTTCCCCGGCGGCGTCCAGGAGGTCAAGGACCAGCTCAAGCGCATCAGGGGTACCCTGGTGGAGATGCCTCTCAACTTCTTGGTCGATGTTAAGGACATCGCCAAGTCTGGCCTGTCGCTGAACGGCTTCACCGAGGAGATCTACACGTAAGAAGAATGGACGGACAGACTCCTATGCGGGGTCTAGGTTGGATGGATCTTGTACACCTGAAGCAGCGTTGATTTATAGCCTTGCTCGTCGCGATACTCACGGCCAATCTGGATTTCCACTTGAATCATGTGACATTTCTCTGCCCATGTGCGACATGGCGTTCCGGATTGGAAACCTCACAGCTCCTGGTGAGTCAAATGCTTGACAACTGGGTCCAAAGGAGCCTTGCTCTCTGCGCGGACGCGATCTCATCGAACCAAGATAAACGGAAGTGATATTAGTATGCAACATTTGCCCCCATGTCCTTTCAACCTAGTACTTCCTTTCGGACCTACCCGCTCCCGTCCTTTTAAGCTCGGGACTTGTGGCGTGGCACTTAGACCCGTTCCCAGGCATATCCTTACAACCAAACCCTAGTGTCCCCGAAGGAGGTCTGATACGCCATGTATAAAATGACATGTACAGGTATGTCGCTCGATATACATACAGATCTGATGTGGTCGCTATTGGCCTCACTAATCGTCCCGGATCCTTCTTGGGGTTCTTCTTCTCCGCATGTCTCCCCACTGCGCAAAGGTTCTGTCCTTTCAACTCAGTCCGTCTTACCGTTGATGTTGGAGCCGAGAAGAGGTGCCTTGAAGTCTTCGTTCAGGAAAGGACGGCCGCTTCTCCGCCTATGGCGACCACGGAACCATGATGCAGAACCAAGTATCAGCCCAAAGATGCAGCCGATGGTGAGATACGGGTGCTCGGAGAAAGTGACCCGCATGTCGAAAAAGATCTTCTCGAAGCTTGAGATAGTCAGCTTCGGCTTGAGCTTGGGAGGTTGCGCGGTGACCTTGTTGAGGGTCTCCAAGATCGAGGTACGCGACGGGACGATGTAGTTGCCCGTGCTGGTTTGGTCCCAATAACGGCGGTTCTGTGTGTGTCAGTAAATGCGCGACAACCATAGCAAAGGGAGCTGGAGCTTACATCTTCGTCATTGATGATGACCCTCTCGCCATCCTTCACATCAATACCATATGTGGTGCGGATCCACCTCTGCCAGAAAACCCCATCGACCCACGCAAATGCAACCTCTTTCCGATCTGCCCTGTTCATGTTGACCTGTTGGCTCTTGGCGGCCCGGAGCGCTCTCTGGTCCCCACGGTCCTCGGCTTCCTCGATTCGCAATTGTTTCGCATCACGTAGCTCCTGACGTTCTAATTGGAACAGCTGGATCTGCTTGTCCATCCATTCAGTAGCCGCGCTCTTCATTTCTCTAATAGCACCCGAGAATGACTCCTGGTCTTCCCTATTTAGGATGCCCAGGACCACTATCTTGCCATCCATGATTTCACGAGCGTTCGATGCAGTCAGCTCGGGAATAAGAGGCAGCCAGACTGACTTCATCCACTCAAGGACCTGCCGAGTATTTCGCATCTCGTTTGGCGTGAGAGGATTATAATAGGTCGGCCTGCCTTCCCGGGAAATGATGAGACGCGGCCAGGTAGTGATCTTGTACCTCTCGTACAGCTTGGGGTCCTTGGTCTTGACCAGCTTGGCCCTGCCAATGAGGCTCAGGGGCAATCGCTCGAGGGCCGCAAAATCCTCGCTTGTGGTTGCATGGTCGTAGAAGTATATGAAGATGACGTCTTCCTTCTCCTCCATGGCCGCAAGAGAGTCGGCGTCCACGTCGCGAACCCCGTTGGAGAGGTCAATCGCCTTCTCGGCATAGCTAACAAAGTCACCAATGCCTCTGAGACCCTCGTATTCTACTCGCTCGCCACCCCTGAAGAAGAGAATTGTCGGGTAGCCACGAAGGCGAGCATCCTTGCAAAGTCGCTTTTCTGCTTCACAGTTGACCTCACCAATGTTTAGCTTGCCCTTCATCTCCTTGGCAAGCTGCTGCCAGTTCGGCGCCATGGCCTGACAGTGATGACACCACGGGGCGTAGAATTTGATGAACCACGGGTCACGGGTCATAGTCACCAGCGTTTGGAAGCTTTCTGCTGTCAGAGGAACGGAGGCGCCATTTGGATTCGGGGTCTTTGTAGGCTTTGCCGGTTTCTCAGGCTCGGTTTTCGCAGGAGCGACGTCTTTGGGCTTCTCGGCCTTGGGCTTCTCGGCCTTGAGGGAACCCAGCTCTTCAATCGCGGGGGCCGCAGCCGCTGGTGCCTTGGGGGCAGCCGCGGCTTCAGAACCAGCCTTAGCGGGCTCCCTGAGTTCTATCTGCGGCTGGGCATCGGGCTTGGGAACTGAAGCCAACTTTGAATCATCGGCTGGCTTCGGGCGAGCTGTGGCGAGGGGCTCGGGAAGCAACAGCGCCTTGGGTCTGGAACCGGGTCTCTCGCGCTCGAGCACGGGTTCGATGGCGTCGGTCAAGAATTTCAAGCTCTTGACACCCCTGTAACTCTCGTTCTTGACGCCATTTATGAAGAGCATCGACGTCGGGTAGGACTGGACCCCATTTCCGGCGCAAAGATCATAGAACGCGACACAATTTATCATTGCAAAGCGCCAGTCGTAGAATTGTTCGAAAGATTTGCCGGGGCCTGGTGCCGGGTCGGTGTAGTAAAACTCGTACAGTGTGCGATAGATTGGGGCGTAGTCCTGGCAATGTGGGCAGTACGGACTGTGGCATGTCAGCAATACTCCAGGGCCAACCTGACAATGATGGAGAGCGAGGGACGCACCTGTAGTGTTTGACCAACATGTATTTTGACTTTTTGATCTCGGACTCGAAGTTATCGGGGGTGAGCTCGAGCATCGGAGGGACCTTGATGCCATCAAAGGTGGTTGTTTCCAGGGATTTGTCCTCTGGTATTTCATCATCGTAGTCGTCGTCCTGGGCGGCCACCCGGGCGGCAGCCCCGAGCAGCAGGCCCCAGGCAAGGGAGGAGAGCCTCATGGCTTATATGCCCCAGTGTTCACGATGCTATCGAGTGTTGAGCCGGGTCGGGACGGGAGGATGGCCGGTCGATAACAACACGGGGCTGTCGACTATAACGGGTGCCGGAGCACACCTGCGTCTGTCGCGAATCTTGTCGGGCGGCCTCGTCACCTAGACATCGGACGTCACGAACCAACGAGTCCGGGCGAATCGGGTATCTTGAAAAACTTCCCAAGGCAAATGCGAAGATAACGGAAGCGTCCGGCACGGGGCGAGGGTGGCGATCAACGCGGAGGGGGAGATCTATCCGCCTGGTTCCAGGAAAGGGGCGTGCGGTACAGAGTCGAGGACCAGCGCAATCAATCGCCCTCAAGCAGGACGAGGGAAGGCAAGACGACAAGGGACGCAGGGGGAGGAATTAATGGGCGATGTGGTGAGGATGAGGATGATTTGCAAGGCAAGACAGTGAGCAGTGAGCAGCAGTGAGCGGACGAAGCAAGCGAGGCTAAAAGTGGTCTATCGAGCAAGGAGTGCAAGCGCAAAGTGCAGGTGCAACAGGTAATTGTGGAAATGCGCCATGTCACACGAGTGCCAGATTGCCCCAAGCCAAGCGCCGTCTCAACCTCTTGCCCTGCTGCATGCGTACTATTGCTGGAAGTGCCAGGCCAACTGACGGACTCGAGGCCATCTGTCATTGGGCAGGACAGCCCAGGCTTGGCCGGCCCAGCCTGGCTCAGGTCCAAGAGGCCCCTGGGGGGATCTGCGGGTCCTGCCCCAATTTTAGTGGCTTCCACCCACACCAGAGTACCCTCTCAGCCTCTCGACTTGGCTGTTTAGGTACCTACCTAGAGCGGTCTAGAGTAACAAATATAAAAAAAGTTAAAAATATTAATTTACCTACCCTACCCCTTCTACTAGCTACCTTTATTTTAAGGTCTTACTTTTATATATATATATATAAATTTATTTTTATATATAAATTTTTTTAATTTTTTTTAATTAAAATAATAAATAAATAAAGTTTTAATTAATGAATTATTAATTATTAAAACTTAAAAAAAGAAAAGAAGAAAGGAAGAGGTAGGTAGCTTTTAAGAAGAAGGGTAAGTATTTTAATTTATTTATTGTTTTTAGCCTTTTTTATATGTATTACTCTGGACCCCCGTACCTACCTAGGTAGGTAGCCAGCCTAGATGGCAAGAACAACTGCGTAAAGCCCATGTCCATCTATCTCCTGCCGAGTTCAGGGTCTAAAGTCAAAGTTTAGACTTCACAGTGTGTTTGTCATCCCTTCCGCCTGCTCAATTGCCAAGTTGATCCTCATTCAAGATTTCCAAGCCGTATCCGTTCTTATTAGGGCGACTCCCAAGGACACACACTGCTGCGACCCCTGCCCAGTCACCAACTGACCCTCCCATGAAGCTGGGAACCAGTGAACCAATGAACTGGTGACCAAAAGCAATGGAGCCTCCCCCCAAGAGGAGACGTCTCAGTGTCGAGCCTGTCGAGTCAGATCCCACAGGCACACCCGACCCATCGACTCCTCGCTCGCTCAGCCATCCTGTCAGTCCTCCGAGGAAGCGAAGAAGTCGTCAGACAGCTGCCCAGGGTCAGGACAACGAGGATGAGGAACATACCCAAACCACGCCTGCACCTCCTGCACCTTCTGCACCAACTGAAGCCCCTTCAGCTCATGAAACAAACCACGCCTTCAAGTCGCCTTTCCAGCTCACCTGGATTCGAGATCTCCCTGCCGCTGCCAATACTGATGCCGTCACCCTCCGAGACATCCTCGGTGACCCCTTGATTGCGCAATGCTGGCAGTTCAACTACCTACACGATATTGACTTCCTCCTCTCGCATTTCGATGAGGACACAAAACATCTGGTTCAAGTTCATGTAGTCCATGGCTTCTGGAAGAAAGAGGACACGGGCCGTCTGATGCTCCAGGTTAGTCAGCTTATTCTTGCCCCGGTCGATGATCTTGGCCGCATGTCGCCGTCCTCGAGACAGAACCATCTTTGCTGACAGACAAGCTAGGAGCAGGCCCATAGGCACAAGAATGTGACACTCCACTGCGCCTTTATGCCTGAGATGTTCGGCACCCATCACTCCAAAATGATGATTCTCATTCGCCATGATGATACAGCCCAGGTCGTCATCCACACGGCCAACATGATTGCGAGAGACTGGACAAATATGACCCAGGCGGTCTGGCGAAGCCCTCTTCTTCCTCTACAGAAGGCAACTCCTGGTCATAGCACACCAGACAACTCGGTCGCATTTGGTAGTGGTGAGAAATTCAAGATTGACCTACTGAATTACCTTAGAGCATACGACCACCAAAGGAGGACAGCCTGCACGACATTGGTGGAAAAGCTGGAGAAGTTTGATTTTTCTGCCATCAGGGCTGTTTTGATCGCATCAGTCCCTGGCCGCCACCTTATTCACGACGATTCTGAGACGAGATGGGGCTGGGCAGGCCTTCGGCAGGCGCTGAAAAACGTGCCGGTGCAAGACGGTGAGTCTGACATTGTGGTTCAGATCTCGAGCATTGCCACCTTAGGGCCGACAGACACCTGGCTCCGCCGCAGCCTGTTCGACTCTCTCAAGGCCTCGAGGAACACCACTCAGACGCAGCCCAATTTCAAGATCGTGTTTCCTACCCCTGACGAGATCCGGCGCAGCCTGGACGGCTACGAGAGCGGAGGCTCTATACATACGAAGATCCAGTCTGCGCAGCAAGCCAAGCAGCTCCTGTATCTGAAACCCATGTTCTGTCACTGGGCGAACGACGCGCCACGAGGACGTCAACTCAAACCTGACTCCTCATGTAAAGAGGCAGGCCGCAAGCGAGCCGCGCCGCATATCAAAACTTACATCCGGTACGGTGAGAAATCGATCGACTGGGCGCTCACCACTTCGGCGAATCTATCCAAGCAAGCATGGGGAGAAGCAGCCAACTCGTCGGGGGAGGTGCGGATCGCCTCGTACGAGATTGGCGTTCTGGTCTGGCCGGCGCTCTTTTCCAAAAAAGCGAAGATGGTCGGCACGTTTCAGACAGACAGGCCAGAGGAGAGCACGGAGACGCCCATCGTTGGCCTTCGCATCCCGTACAACCATCCTCTCCAGGCGTATGGCGCGGATGAGAAGCCGTGGGTCGCCACGGCAAGCTACCAGGAACCCGACTGGAAAGGTCGGGTGTGGTCGGTGTAGCGGCCGCAGTCCTGCCCGGCTCAATCGACTCACATGATCTGGACACACGTAGACTTGTTACAAGATTAGTCCGTCCACTACTGACTAATGAGCTCGCATCGGGCAATCATTTTCGAGCGACTCTGGGCCGTATGTTCTGCGAGTACACGTAGTTCGGCCGTTTCTCCCTGCCCGCTCTATCTGGCAGTGTGCGCCCGCCTTGTACCCTCCACACCGGGTGTGACCTCGCGTCATTGCCGCCCCTCCGGGGGCAGCACCCGCTTAGTTGCCGACGGCCTCTGGCTGCTTGTTCTCGTCGTATCCGTACTGGGTCTTGAGCTTCTCGACGAGCGCGACGTACTGCTCCTTGGCCTGGTCCGCAGTGATGCCCTCGTCAACCTTCTTCTGCCAGGCGTTCTTCTTGGCCTTGCCCTGTACGCAGGGAGAAAGTAGTTGTTAGCTGGATGTTGAAGGATGCTCGGCGGCGGGCTCATGCAGGGGGGCCGAGACGAGGCCAGGGGGGCGTACCTTGAGGTCGAACATGCCGGGTGCAGGGGCCGAGGAGATGTCCTCGCCGTTTGCGATCTTGAAGAGAGCTGTGATGCTGTTAGTAGGATGGCCAGCATGGGAGTCAGGAGGGCCAGGGCCAGGCGTACCGTAGAGGTCCAGCAGCTCCTCGTTGGAGGGCTTGGAGGTGAGCTTCTTGGAGTCGGCGACGGCCTTTTCGAAAGACATGATGGATGGTGGGTATGTGAAAATTGAGGGGCAAATGGGCAGCGTTTGGCAGTTTTCAGAGCAGTGGGATTGGTGGTTTTGTTACGCGACGTGCTCTTCCGAGATGTTGAGGGAAGGGGAAATCCTGACGTGCAAGTTGTTGAGAGCTCTATGCGCAAGAGGAAAGAAACCTGGGGCCAAGTTGGCGGGGTCACCTGGGCTGCCCCGGCCTGCTGGGCGCGTGGAGGGAGGGGCAAAGGGGTTCTTTCTGGGCTTTGTGGTTTGCACGTCATTGGGCCTGACTTGCGGAGGCAGGCCCCACTGTTCGAAACGCTCCAGATGGCCGGTTGCCCCGCGCGAAGCCCCGGTAGCTCCCTCTTCTGCGTGGTACGGTGCAGCCTCACCTGATGAAATATATCCACGACACCTCGACCTATCTCCCTTGCCCAGCGACATCTGGATGGCTGCAGACAGTGAGACACAGTAAGGTACAGGCCATGTCAACTGGTCCAGGGGTGACTGGCTGAGCATGATATTGTACGTCCGTATGTACAGACAACACCGACTAATTATAAACCTCGATGTTCCAAAACGGCATATGCTTGTCAGCTGCTTTGGGGAAGTCATCCCATTGTGGGCCCGAGAACTGGTTGGTCCCCTTTGGGAAGGTTAGGAGGGAGCATGTATCGCACTCCCTGGACATGATGACAATCTACCTAGGTACCTTAGGTACCTTGTCTACTCTTCCGCTTATTACTGTATCCGGCCCCAGGGTCCAGACTCCAGACGTCAGTAGACTGCACAACGTCTGGCAGTACCTACACCCCACACGTCAGCACGTATGGGCATCTTGTTTCAATAGTCGGGACCGAGCCGGCAGCGTGACTGGGATCAGCATTCCGCCTCGTGGGCCCCCCGAAGCCGACATCCAGGGCCAGCTGTGATCTCTTACTGAGCACTGCTTTTTGTGGCTCTCTCCCATGACCTTCCGCCCTGACTATAGGGCGAGCAGCTTACCACTCGTGGGCACCCAGGCGGCCGGGCAGGTCTGGGAGACGGGGACCAATGGCCAGCTGTTGACCGAGCGTCCTGTTCGGATGCTAGCCCGCTGTCTGAGCAACCCTCGCCGGCCAGGCAGCCAGGCCAGCCCGAGGTCGAGGTCGAGCGAGCTCGCGCTTTTGGCTCCCTGATTCATCAGCCATCCAGCTGCCGTTCGTTGCGCACCCTGGTCTCATTCGTCACCCTGCAACCAAGCCTTCCGTCCCATCTCTGCACGGACTCGCCAGACGAGCGGACGGGTCCCTGCAAGGTACGGAGTACATCACCGGAATGTTCCCACATGAGCTTCCCCAACACATCTCCGGCGTTTGGGTCTCACATCTGCGCCCTCCCTCTCTCCTGGCTTTTTTCTTCCCTTCAAAATATATATATTCTTAGTCTCTGCTCGGCGACTCGTGTCTCTGGTTGACTCTGGTAACTTGTCTGACGACCTGCTCCACACATCCTTCGAGGCTGCGCGAAACTGCCCATCTGCCCGCCATGGCCAAGACAGTCGTGATCCTGGGGGGATCTTATGGTGGTCTCCATATTGCCCACTACCTCCTCAAGCAGAAGATTCCTGACCTCAAAGTCATACTTGTGTCAAAGGTATGACAATCGCGACATCCATCCTCTCCACCTCTCTGTACAGACACCGCTGGCATGAGGGGACCACTTGTTCCTCCGAGGTGGTTATGAGCGCGGAGCTCATGCCGGACTCATCCAGGCTGACAGAACGATGCCCGCATGAGCAGAGCTCGCATTTCTACTGGAACATGGCCTCCGTCCGCGCCATCGTCCCCGGCCAGATCACAGACGAACAGCTCTTCCAGCCGCTCACAGCCGCCCTCGAGCGTTACCCCAAGGAGAGCTACGAGGTCATCATCGGCGCGGCCGGCAAGGTCGACGCGGCGTCCAAGACCGTGCTGGTCTCTCTCCCGGGCTCCTCGCGCTCCCTGAGCTACGACCAGCTCGTGGTCGCCACCGGCTCGCGCTCCACCACGTCCACCGTGCCCTGGAAGATCCTCGACAGCTACGACGAGACCGTGTCGAACCTGGACGCCACCCGGGAGCGCGTCAAGGAGGCCAAGCACATCGTCGTCGCCGGTGCCGGCGCCACGGGCATCGAGGTCGCCGGCGAGCTCGGGTGCGAGTACGGCAAGGACAAGGAGGTCCTCCTGCTCTCCGGCGGGCCCTCGCTCCTGGACGGCGACTCGGTTGGGCCTGCCGCCCTGGCAGAGCTCAAGAAGCTGCACGTAAACGTCCGCTTCGACGCCCGCGTCACGGGGAGCAAGGAGCTGCCCGACGGCAAGACCGAGGTCGCCCTGCAGGGTGGCGAGACCATCACCACGGACCTGTACCTGCCCACCATGGGTATGCGCGCCAACAGCGAGATGATGGACCAGTCCTACCTGACGGACAAGGGCTACGTGAGCGTGGACGACTTCTACCGGGTCAAGGGCCTGGAGAAGGAGGGTGTCTGGGCGCTGGGTGACGTGGTCAGCGTGCCGAGGGGTGGCTTCCTGTTCACGCAGAAGCAGGTGAGTTCTTCCGCCCAGAGCCTGTATCGCCCGGTTGGATGCGTGACTGACAGTGGCACTTCAGGCTGCGGGCGTAGGAAAGAATGTGGAGCTTGCCCTCCAGGGCAAGGAGCCGCAGCCAGTGAAGCTGATGCCGGTAGAAATCATGGCGTGCGCTGTGGGGAGGAACAGGGGCGCAGGCAGGATGGGACCAGTGAAGATGTTTTCCATCATGGTGTGGTTGGCGAAGGGGAAGACATTGGGTATACAGCGGATGCCGGGTTATATCAACGGCAGTGTCGCTTAGGGTCTTGTTCGGTTTAGCTTTGCACATGTTCAGATATCATTATACTTGTTTATTGCGAGGAAGGGGCTGTGTGGGCTGATATTGGAGGATGCATTAAAGTCCCTCTTGCGATAATAATTTCTGGTGGCTAGAATGAATCCAAATAGGTATCAACAGCAGTCTCTACCATGATCTCTTGCTGCTCAGAGGCAACAAGCAAAAGGTGCCGTTCACTTCTGATCATCGGTTCGCCTTCTCATCCTCGATCTCCCGTCGGATCTGCTCCAGCACTTGTTCCCTAGACCTCAGATGCGTTTCGAGACCCTCAACCTGCTCCTTTACCGTCTGTAGGTCGTCCTGGATGCCTTTTAGACTGTTGCCGCCGCCCCCTTTGCTTGAGCCCTCCTCGAGGTCCCGCAGCTGCTTCCGTTTGTACTCTAGCAGCTGCTCCAGCTCCCTCTTCACCAGCGCGGGCTTGCTCTCCCTCTTCCCGCTCGATCTTATCTCAGCCGACGACTCGACCTTCTCGATCTTGGCCTCCAGGTCCGCCAGCTGTTTCTTCAGCCTGACCTCCTCCCAGTCGTCGGTCTTCTCGGTGGAGAAGTCGGTGCCTGCGCTCTTGAACCCGCTGCGCCCCAGTCGCGTCAGGTACTGGTCGCCGAACTTAGCCTTGCGGCCCGTGGCGGTCTCGTTGTCGGCCTTGACAGCCCACCGGGACTGAGCGGCGGTGCGCTGGTTGTCAATCTGGTAGTCGATCTGATTGCGCTCGAATGATGCGCGGAGGGAGGCGGGCACCGTGCGCGGGATCCGGTAGCCCTCGTGGCGGTAGTTGAGCATGTGCAGGAAGGCTATGCATGCATCTTTGTTGACGGAGGAGGCGGCAGATGGGTTGATCAGGTTCCACGCGGAGCGAATATCGGTGTCGGGAACGTCAAGGCTGTCGTATAGGTCTTGTAAGGCGCCGACTGTCCGAAAACAACCACATGTTAGCCACGCTATCCGCGATCGCTCAGTCATCAGGAAGCCGGATTGGTGGCAGCTCACAGGATATCTCCCCTCGCATGTCCCGGTTCTCCTGGTATATCTGCTCGTACTTGGACCTGTCTGCAGGGCTGATGTACCAGTCGAAGCCATCCTTCAGGCCCAGCTCGTCCGGATCGTCATCGACTTGCTCGAATTGCGCCGCCTTTCCCGTGAGCGCGCGGTTTGCCTGGACAAGGTGTGCTTTCGACTCCGGGACCATCCAGTCTGGTAGTGTGGCGGGTACGTCCATGTATTCCTAAGAGCAACTATTAGCACGCCTCGGGTTGCCTCATCATCTGCCTGTCTGGGCTTAGCACGCACGCCGTTGAGGATGTCGAATATCAGCCGCATGCCGACACAGAACTCCTCAAAGTCCAGGTTGCCATCATTATCGACATCCGCAAGGTCCCACACCCGCTCGAGCTGGGAGTCATTGAGGCCGCTGTTCTTGAGTACCGGCGCTGCTTGCTCTCCTGTGAGGAATTGACCGCCGCCGGTGCGTGCTGAGAAGATGTTCCAGTATGTTTCGATTTCCTGAGCTTCTATCCGGGGTGCCATGATCGGGGGCGCAGTCGCCGGAGCCTGGGGATGTTGCGGCGTTTGTTGGTTTTGGTGATTGTTCGGACGGGCGGGGGATGCGCCGAGTGCGAGTACGGAATTAGAAGCTGACAGCGGATCTGATGGAATTCTCAGGTATTTGATTCGATGGGGAATTGACGTTGATGGCCTCTTTATAAAGTGAGGGCTGGTCAATCGCAGTGCGAGGCTTGGGTTCAGGGGAGAATGATGCTATTACATTGGGCAGAGTGGACAACTGGGGCAAGCTTGGGAGCATACGGAGTAAGTGGATGCGGTCTCTCGCCGCCATCAAGTGGGCCTGTGCACGAATAGCAGGGGCTTGTGCCTCGTACCGAATACGCACTCCGTCCCTGCCCACCTACCTAAATACTTAGTACCTAGGGACCTTCCCAGGCTAATCAGGTAGACGGAGTGCCAGCCCGGCCGCCAGCTCGAGCTCCAGAGCTAGCTGCCCCAACGTAGTAGTACATAGTATTGATGCCAATACACAAATTTGGTCAAGTCACTCTCTGCACTGAAGAATTGCATTTTTCTCTGCACCGCGTTTTTTTGTTTCAAATGAATATCAACCTATGAGTGAAGAACGTTTTGCAATGAGCATTGCATCTGCTTCAATGATCCATAATCCATCTCCAAGACTTCTTCTGCCTCATCCAAGCCACCACCAAAGAATCTCCTTAGTGACCAATCCCGTTACCGCCAGATCCTCAAAATGTATTCTGGTGCCTCATATCCATGGACAAGCAACCTTCTTTTGATCTGACGCGGTGTTCTCACGGGACACAGCTTTGCAGATCAACTCGTGCTGAGCCTGCTCTGACGGTGGCTATTCACCCAGAGACCATCAGCCCAGCGGCAGAAAAAGAAAACCTTTCATCAAATTCTGAAAACACATAGCCATTCTTTTTTGGCTACTGCGGACGGGATGCCCGGTGTCTCAGGCTTCTGCAAGAGAACCTGGTAGGTCCATCTGTGCAAGTTTCGTCGGCTTGGAACGACGAATGAACAAACAACATCGCCCCCGCGATGGACAGAACATCCTTTTGATTCCGAGGCGAGCCACGTCCCAATGGTAAAAATCTCAGACTCATCTGCGTCCTTGGTCTAACGGTTCTTGCTGGGTCCAGGAGATCGGGGGCTTATGTTTTGCGCCTTTTCCATCTCCTTGAGCACTGGGTCAATCTGCTCTTGGACGTTGGCGGGCTGGCTGGGCTGGCTGAACGGCCTGAACGAGACCTCAAATGAACCATCACCGCCAAAAAACGGCTTGGCCGAGGGATGGGGGGCATCTTTCTTCTTTGACTGAGAATCATTTGCCCATTGCGTTCGCGCTAGCTCCTGCCAGCTCTTTGCGTCTCTCGGCGGAGCCTGAGGGCTGTTGGAAGTCCCTGGTTTCTTTCTGGAGGGCTGCTGGCCCAGGTCCGATGAAGCATCTGCCATTCGCTTTGGTGGCCGAGGCGAAGCTCCTTGCTGCTGCTGCGAAGGGGAGTCGCTGAATCCTCGTGATCCGGATCGCACCCCCTCGCCTTGATGGTCACGAAACATGCCAGATGTGCTAAAAGGGGGCCCCGATTGTTGACGGCCCTGATAGCCATACTGCAGCCTCGAGACTGGACGAGGTATGCGTCGCGAGTCTGGGAACGCAGCGTAAGGTGGCATGAGTCCGGAAGACACAGCGAAGCCTGGAGCCGCCGACGTCAAGGGGGAGGTCACACCCGTGACTGGACCCGGGGCTCCGTTGCTGTGTGACGAACCCGACAGGTGTCGCTGAGGCACGGTTGGCGAACCCAGCGAGACCATGCCCGCCGGAAAGCCTGTGGATGAGCCGGGACTGCCTTGTGGGTTCCTGCCTGGCATGCCCCCATGGCCGTAATGGCTGTAGGCAGGAGACCCTTGCATCGGGCTGAAAGGCATGGCAAGAAAGTCCATGGATGCCGTCGTGCCTGAGCCGCTTGATTGTGATGTCGGCGAGACATCTGTGGGCCCAGGGGAGCCACTCAAGCCGGGCCGGCTCTGCGGCATCGCGGACATTCCCTCGCCGGTGACCGGCAGCGTATCGTGCAGCGCAGTTCGGCCATAGAAGTTTGAGGCAGGAAACATGGCACCATTGAGATGGTTGTTCTCTGTCGCGATTGTCTGATGACGCGGAAGCATGACATGACTTGGAATACCTGGCATCGCAAAGGCTCCCTGAGATGGATACACGCCGGGAAACCCTGTGATGGGCCTGTGAACTGGTGTCATTCGCGGGTGTATTTGCGGGGCAACTGGGGCGAAAGAGGCATCGAGGTAGGGTGAGTTCTCAGCATCGGAAAGGCTGGGATAAGCCAACGACGGATTGAGGACACCGTGCATCTCGCTGCGCTGTCCGACAGGGACGGGCCGAACGTTCGTCATCCCGGCTGATGCCTGTCTCACTGCCTTAGCAGCGTTGTGTACTGGTAGTCTTGCTCCAGTCTCGGAGGGATCAACCTCGTCGGTATTCAGGGACAGGTCGCAAGGCTTATCCTTCTCAGCTGCGGGAGCCTTTTCTGGATTCTTTCGCGCCTTCGTGACGGCAACAGCACTGTCAGAAGAGGCACTTCCGTCGGGCTGTGGAGGCAATGTGTTCTTGGTGTCATCATTGTCCTTGAGAGCAGAGTCTCTAGCCTTCTTCTTGTACGGTCCCCGCGAACCCTTCTTGGTGGGAGTAGAAGCCGCAGGTGCTCCCTTGGCGGTGGCTTTCTTTTTGATAGCCGGGGTGCTGCCTTTCTTCGGCCGTTTCTTCTTCGGTGTGTGGTCATAATCGCCATCTTCCGGATCCTCCTTCTCGGATGGGTACTGATCAAGATCAGAGTCATCTTTTCCAAACGAAGTGTCTCTAGCAGTGGCCGAGTATTTGTGCCTGACCCCGGTGGTCTTCGCAATCGAGAGTGCAGGCGCGGGCGTCGCCGCATTCGGAGTCGAGGCAGGGCTTCGTATCATGACCTGTCCCTCACCCTGAGCAGCCTTCGCGCTCGCCTTGGCCCGATCTGCAATCAATCTCTCCGCCCGGTCTGGATATTTATCCAGGTCCGCCTTTGTGACATCCTTGCACCTTCTATTCCTGCTCCCGCAGGTGCTGCAGGGCCGACCGCCGTCACATCGGGCTCTAGACGCGAAGCAGGGAGCGCACTTTGGAAATCCGTCGGTATCGATGCCATTCTGGGAAAATCGACCAGAGTCGTCTGGTTCTTGCGATTCGGATTGCGTGACGGCTACTTGAGGATCTTGCTTGACTTTCTTCGCTGTGCCTCGAGCTTCATGATACGACGACGCCTTAACGGACGGGGATCCCGTGGAATCTGTCATGGCGATCGATGCATCCTTGGTCTGGGCCTGTGTTGTCTCTCCGGTGCTCTTGATCTGGCTGCTGTCATGTCCCGAGAGGGACGAAGCGGGAGCGGCTTTGCCGGCTGGTTGCACGATGCCATGATGAGGCAGAGAGACAGAGGGGAGCTGATGGGAAGACTGTGAGTTTGATGGCGGGACACTATTGTGTTTGTCGAAACCGCCGTCAGATCCGACATGGCCAAATACAGGAAAGTTGTGTACGATGCCATTATCCCGTCGAGGCACGGAAGGGCTATTTGGTATAGCTGTCTTCGTATTGAACAGCTGAGCCCCCTCGCCGAGAACAGTTTCAGGCGTACCTGTGGGTACCAAGTTACCATGCTGCCCATAGGACTTGCTAGACAGCTGGGTCCCATTGCTGTCAGCGCGAAAGCCTTTCTCTGCCTCGTTTTGGATGAGATCCGCCGCCTCTTCGCCAGCCAAATCGTCGTCCGCATTCATTTGAGCAAACGTGCCAGTCTGGGCACGCTCAACAAGATTCAGGTGACCCAGCACGCCTTGAGGAGTCTGATTCGATGACACATCACCAGTTCTATGACTCCTGATGGGGTGGCCGCTGATGCGCTCAGCTACGGCCTGGAATTGCTGCAGTTCCAAATCTTCCGGTCTTTCGGGTCGAAGTCCACCCTGAGGAAGAGCTTCTGTGAGCCATTCACGCTGTGGAAGACCTTCCAAGGGGTGCGGAGCTGGTCCTTGCCAATCCAGTTCGTTGCCGTTGTACAGTGCCTCGTTGGTATCCTCGGTTGGGAAAATAAGCTCGTTGTTTTCGTCGAAGATGCCAGGGATCTCGCGAAACCAGGTTCCCGTACCAAACCATTCACCGAAGCGATCGGCGTACTCTGGGAGGCCGACGAAGTTCAAGTAGCTACGTCCACTTGCGATGTCTTCCCTCGAGAACCTGTCAGTGACGAGGTCTACCGGAGGTGGCGTACCTTCGAATGAAGCTTGTACTTCGTCTGCCTGGCGGCCGGGCTGGTTAACAGTGTCTGGTTGCTTGACTGGTTCCTCAGCTGCGACGTTGTCTGCTCCAAGAAAAAGCTCCTCCTCAGGCTCTTGCCAAATGTCAGCAACTCGTCCGTGACCTTGTGAGCTGACTTCAGTGTCGTTGACCGTTTGAAAAAAACCAGCCGGATCGGGTTCCTCCAAATCTTGCCAGGGATAGTCCACCTCAGCCTCTAGTACTGGCTGGACGTCCTCGTCTTGCGCACCGTCACGCTGGGCAAGCGCACGAGCGGAGTGGCCGCTGTCATCCTGGGGTGCACCGTTCTCCCATAGCGCCTTCTCACGCAGGTACAGGTTGACGAAGTTGATCACCTCGGTCATGTTGAGGCTCAGCAGGTTTGCAGCATCGGTGATACCACCTCGGTGGTCGTGGGCCAGGTCACAGATGATGGCCCACTGGACATTTTCACTGAGAGCGGACCAGTCCTGGGGCTGCGAATAAATGGTCAGCTTCTCGCCATCAGACTCACAGATGATAGGATCCAGGCGACTTGTGGAAGGCAGGACTCGGTTGGACCACTGACCTTGATTTGGGGGCTGAATTTGTGACGAACCACGCGAGACACACCGTCGCCGCCTGAATGGGACTCATCGTCTTCAAATTCGGCCAGATTGCGGTCAAATGCCTCGTCAAACGCGTCTTTCTGCTCGACTGTATTGAGAAGGGACCGCGACAGATCGGGGCGGGCAGAGGGCAGTTGGCGGCATTTCAGGTGAGCGACGGTGGGGCCAGGCGGACTGGCGACATCGACGTCCCCACGCGATGGCGATGACGGCACGACGGGCTTTCCAAACTCGTCTCTTGGCTCACCTTGCTCCTGCCACAGCTTGTATCGCGCCTCGCCTGGCGAGGGCTCGTTAAGCTCGAGCGTGGGCCATTGCACAAAGTGTGCGCGGTCCTTGTTGAAGACGGGGTCGTCGTGGACGAAGATTGGGCGGCCGGGGTCGATGGGCTCGTTGTCCTGAACGTAACGTACGGGGCGCTTGAGGCGCGAGGCGTCACGGAGCTTCATCGCGTCTCTTGAGGTGGTGTTGGGTTGAAGTGGTGGCCCACCATCCTCGTAGGACGAGTCTGAGTGGAGATCGTCGAACGCCATTTCTGTTGGCTGTGATACTGTTGGAAGGGCATAGGGGCACCCGGGGTATGGGGTGCCGTCAACAGGGTCGGGGTTGTTGACGACGGGGATGGGGTGAGTGGACGGGGATGTGTGATGGGGGACAACAGGTTGTCGATAGGATGGATGGACTTGCTACTTAGGTACTTGGGTACCCAGTAGGGTCCAGCAAGAAAAGCTCAAAGTGTGGCCTCCAGCAACGAGTTTGCAAGTCAGCTGGATGGATGTCGGGGTGAGTGCAAATCATTGGTGTCATGTCAAATTCAGTTGGAAGACACCAGACGAGGCATGACCATGATCCTTTGCCCTGACACTGGAGAGGTACTTACCCCCTCAAATAAAAGAACTGAGCACTGTCGGCAAGCACAACAACCACGAGATTGCAGTGCCTGATGTACACGGATTAGAAGCTGAAGCTGATGCGACTGGGGTCATTGCGCAAGTGCTAGATCATGAAGAAGGAATCTCCTTCACTTCAATGTGTTGGCTACTGGTGGCAAGCCTCATGTCATTCAGAAACCGGATGAGGCACCCTTTAAAGAGTGGGCAAAGCAATGCCTCGGGCTTCTTCTTTTTTGCCCCTGATACCCAGGCTCCTGGACTTTGGGCATTTGCTATACAGGACGTGCTCAGAGCTGCCTGATCAGGCTTTCTTGTGCAAAGGAGAATGAAGTAGCACTACGATATTGAGATACCATCCTAAATGTGTTGGCACGAGCAGTTCCTCTAGGTGCCCAAGAGGTGGTTCATTCTTATCACTTTTTGCAAGCATTTCTTGTATCTCTCACCTCTTCTGCTAGTTGGCAACCTCTCCAAAAGCACCAGTCATACATGGGAAGCCATCAATGACCCTGCATGGTTACTTCTGAAAATGTGTGGGCTTGTGCAGGTCCTCAGCATCGTCATCACCAATGTGGGAAAAAGAAAAGGGGTGGGGATTGGACCTGAAACTGTATTGGATCTTCGACCTGTTTACGGCAGCTTACTCGATATGCAGCAGCCTCGAGTTGAGCTCTATCGACACGTATCAATCCTGGACTGCCGCCCAAACATCCCCGGGCTTCTTCTTTTGATATTTGGCAAGACCCCTTGCTCAAGAACGCCCAAGAGAATGGGTATCAGTAAATCAGCCAACGCCAACGCCATGCAAACGAAATGTCCACCGCTCCCAATGAGAAAAATAAAATAAAATGGGGTGGGTGACCCTGATTATACCTTGCCCTGCGTCCATAATCGCGTGACATGTGAGAGACGCTGACCGAACGACGCAACTCCAAGCAGTTGACAAATAACTCTAGTCTGCGGATCATGGGTCGCTCCGGAGCATTGGCAGACCTGCCACCTTGGCCGGTGGCTGCGACGCACCGACTCAGTTCTGCCTGTACGGCGTGAAGGCAACCCTGTCTTCATAGCGATCATGGTCCATTGAGGGATCATCCTCTAGATCGTCCTCATCCATAGTGTCATCGATGCCCCTCTTCTTAGACACTGGGTCTGCACCAGCCGTGGCGCCATGCAAATGGCGGCCGATGAAGGCCTGGCCGTTGCCAGCCTGCTGGGCCCCGTTGGAGACCATTCTCTGCGCCTCGAGAATGTCCCCGAAGGACCGCAGCATATGTTTCATTTCCTCGTCAAAGGTGGCACAGAAACGCTGGGCAGAGATGAACTGAACAGTGTTGACCAAGCTTGCGCCATAGATGGCCATCAGGTAGGCCGCCACGACGACGGCGGACCGCTCGTTGCCAGTCTCGCAGAAGACGAGCACCTTGCCCCGCTTGAAGGTGGCCGTGTCGATGGCCATATTACCGGCGTCATTGACTGCCTGTAGCTGACTCTTATACACACTCAGGAGGTGGTTGTTGATCCTGGCGATGATGAGAGGGAAGTCGTGGATGAGCTGGTTCCGGCTGGCCACGTCGACATACTCGCTCTGCAGATTGAGCTCCGCGGCGGCCCTTTCCACGGCGACGAGGCGCAGGTGTGACATGGACGCATCGCGCACCGCAAGAAGCATAGTGATGCCTTGTTGCCTGAGGAACTCATGGTCTCGGATCACGGCGAGGGGGCCGAGGTAGAGGAAGTCCAGGATGGGCTGGGCCTTGCGCCGGTCTTCATACCTCCACGTGTTCTTGTAATCCTCAGAGGCTTCCTGGACTGTTCCGCCGGTGATGATGCGCAGGTCCTCGGGGGTGAGAGTGCGAGGGTCAATGGCGGCGTAGGACGGGGTCAGGGTGAGAGACTTGCTATTGTCTTCCCTCGTTGAAGTGGGGATGTGGAGGTATGGTGGGCTTGGAGGCCGGCTGGCAAAGGATGCCGTGCGGACGACGCCGTCAGACAGCTGCTGCGGCTGCGGCTGCTGAGCCTGCGGAATGAGCATTCTTGCAGGAGTGGACTGGCAGCGACTCCGGGGAGGGGGGTAGTCAAGTCGGCCGGCTGAGGCGTAGTAAGAAAGGATGTGTGGCGGGATCTCAGAGATGGGAGGCAGCGATGACCTCTGTAATTTCTTTACCAGGACGGTGCAGAAACGGCTTGGTCCTTCCCTTACCATGTGGCTGCTGACGGGTTTGTAATGTAGCTATCCCGTTCTGGCTGGGGGCAGTTCTGCTGGTGGTCGAGGACAATGTGTGTGCCTGTTCCTTTGTCAAACCAAACAAACGAGGGATGGAGTGAGGACAAGCACTCGAAGACTAATGTGAGTTGTCGTGGACTGTCAGGCACCTGCCCTGCCCCCTGCCCGTCTGCCCGTGCGAGTAACTAGGTACCCAGGTATCCGATGTGGGGCGGGGCAGATTAGCCACTGGAGGAGCCAGGCCGTCTGGCCGTTTGGTATCTGGCATCTGGCATCTGGCATCTATGTAACAACCAGGGCCCCATGCGCAGATCGTAAGGCGGCCAGGTGCGATGTGGCGTGCCTAGGTACCTAGGTACCCCATACTTGCTTGGTACTCTACTCTCAAACATCTCTGCTTCACCACAACCCGAAAGAAATATCTAGCGAGGACTGGACTTGAACTGCCAGATTGCATCGATGGATGTTCATGTCGCCACCGGTAAAGCATTTGGGTCTAGTCTAACAGTAGTCTACAATGATGATTGTGCGTCTGCACACACTGCTATCAGTACAGTCTGAGCCGCCTACAACCTAGGCCGGATCTGAGGCAGACTTGGCTCGTCTGTCACTTGCGGTACCTGACGCTGTTGGCGTCAAACCACTGACACTGCTCTCTCGAGCCAGTGGTGACAAGAATTCCGGCGTGACAGATCGCGATTCCACCCCGGGCCGCTTGCCAGACTTGGAACCAGAGGAAGACAGGGCTTTCTTCCTCTTCTGCGAGGCGTCTGAGGACCTCCTGCTGGCATTTCCCTCCTTGACCTCCAGTGTCGGTGTCGGGCTCCGGCTGGAGTGGCCAGAGATACTACCTCGCCGGACGCTTCCACTGCGAGACCGCTTGCCTTCCTTTTCAACCACCGAGAGCCTTCGGTGGTGTGCCTTGTCGGGGTGTGCGTGATGGGGCTTCTCGACGGTCGGCGCCGGCTTCGACCACGGTGCCCACCACAACCAGCCAAACTGCTCCTTGCGCAGGCGGCGGTCTCTCTCCTGGAGCTTGGTGCGGAACAGCGCCCTTCTCTCGTTCTCCCGGTCCCAGTATTCGGTCCTGTACAGTTCCCAATTCTCGCGGAAGGTGGGCGAGAAAGGCTTGGCCAGCAGCAGCAGCTTGACGTAATCTCCCCCGGGGGCGAGGTCCTCCTCGCGCCCAGCTTTCTCCTCGTCACTGCTGACGGAGGGCAGGGCCGGGTGTCCCTTCCCTGCGAGGTCCAGCTCCTTGTCCACCTCGCGGAGTATGGCGGGGTCGACGAACTGGTAGGAGGATCCCGCGGTGTGGGAGAACAAGCCGTAGGTTAGGAACCAGCCCAGCGTGGACAAGGCCTCGGCGTACCAGGACCTCTTGACCAGCACCAGCTTGAGGTTGAAAGCCCTGATGCCGCGGTTGGTGATGGCAAACCACCTCCTGGGCCACCTCACGCCGCGCTCCCATATGCCCGTGGCCCAGACGAGGGCTGCAGTTATGACGCCGCCCATGAAGCACAGTTTCTCGATCATCTCGACTCCCCAGTAGACCGAGCCACCAACGCCTCTGCCGTCCTCCCTCGGGGCGAAGAACAGGGCATAGCCGAAGCCGACGACCCAGACGCTGAGGATGGAGAGGAAGAAGGTGTGGTGCCGCCTGCGTGCGCGCAGCTCGAGGTACTGTGCGCGCAGGGAGGCCTCGAGGATGAGGAGGTTGAGGTAGATCATGGAGGGAGAGGAGGGCGCATGGCTGAGGGGGTCGCCGGGCTTGCCGCTGGGAGGGGTGACGCCGGAGGTGCTGGCGACCTTCTCGGCAGCCTTCTCGGCGGGCGGGGCGGCGGTGCCCTTGACTATCGAGTCGAGGTCGTCAGGCATGGCTCTGGGGATCGAGTGCGGACGCGGTGGGATGAGGCGACGGCAGCGAGGTGTCGCAAGGGGAACGGGGCGAGGCGGTGCGGTGCGCGGCGGTCAGGCCTGGACAGCCAGCTAGCTGCAGGCACGCGGTAGGGATTGGTGGTCTCTCGCGCGGCCCAAACATTCGCATGTGTGCTCAGCTGTGCACCGAGAACGGGCTGGAGCTGTGGTGTTGTGGTTACCGTGTGTGTGGCATGGCCCCAGCTCAACGGCGGATGGAACCGAGCTTCGTTCGGCCTGTCGGGTGGGCCAGGCCTGCCAGGCCTCCTCGCTGAGAGGCTAAGGGGGTAGGGGCCAGGGGCTAGGCCCACGGTGGGCTTGGTCCCGCCAGGGGTCAACTGCGTCATCGCCGACGCGGAGTTAGCGGGGACAAGAGCCCGGGCTGATGTCTCATGGGGGTCGGAGTACGGGAGGATTCTGAAGGCCGGCCCAGCAAGTGCACGCCACAGAGGATGCACGCAATGAAGGCCATTGGCTCGGGGCTGCAGGCTGTCTTCGGACTCGCAAACACGCCGGGGCGTTCTTGCCATTCCCGCAGGCTTTCGACAGTGCCTCAGGCCCCGTGTTGCTCCTTAAGTCCGTCCAAGGTGCAGGACAAAGGACAATCAATGGATGATGCGGCGCGGCGGCTGAGTCCAAGGGAACAGGTTGGCTGACGCCATGCAAAGGCCTGCAATGCCTCGACCGTGGTCTTCATAAGAAGGTGTTTCGCCACTTCTCCCGGGGAGGCAGAAGGGGGAGGGGGAGACATGTTGATCTCCAGAGTTCCTCTTCCCGTTGCTGTTCCCATATTCAGACCCAGACTAACAGCCAGGCTCCCGGCGACTGCAGTAACAGCACCACCGCCTCTTACCCCTGTCGCCCTGTTAGTCCCGGCAACAATGTCTACCGCCGCAGTGCTCCCTCAACAACCTCAACACTTCGCACAACCCGACCTCGCCCCCACCTCTACATCTCCTGCCACCTCTGGTTCCGAAACTCCACCCTCCTCTAGGGGCTCCTCAAGGTCTCGCTCAAAGTCTGGGAACCAGCAAGAACAGCGTGGTCTGCAGCGAATGTCGACATATTTCCCCCTGGGTTACAAGGAGGCCGCCTACCAATGGGTAAGCTGCTTGTGTTCTTTCATCTGTCCTTCCCCCCCTCCCTCCGGCCATCTGCGGTCGACGCCCACCACGTCGTAGCAACGGATCCTAACTGTCATGCCCAAATCCAGTGGACAAACCTCTCGCCCGCCGCATCCGAGCGCAATGTCTTGAAATATGTCCCCTTCCTCAGGGAGGCCGTCTCCGACTCCTCCAACCCCGAAGGCGCCATCTCCAAACACGACCCCTACGGCCCGCGGGTGTGGCGGTCCACCATGGTCGCCCTGTCCGGGAAGAACAGGGCGTTGAATGAGTACTCGGTCGAACGCCTCGACGAGTCGCCAGACGAGACTCTTGTCATGCTGCACGGCTACGGCGCCGGCCTGGGTTTCTTCTACAAGAACTTCGAGCCCCTCACACGAGTCAAGGGGTGGCGCCTGTATGCTCTAGACATGCTCGGCATGGGGAACTCCTCGCGACCGGCTTTCCGGATCAAGGCCAAGGACCCAGCGGAGAAGATCCAAGAGGCTGAGAACTTCTTTGTCGATGCGCTCGAGGAGTGGCGCAAGATCCGGAAGATCGACAAGTTCACGCTCCTGGGACACTCGCTCGGGGGCTACCTGGCCACGGCTTACGCGCTCAAATATCCTGGTCACCTGAACAAGCTGATACTGGCATCCCCCGTCGGCGTCCCAGAAGACCCCAACGCGACAAGCTCCGAGCTGCCCGAACCGCAGGACTCAACGCTAGCCCAAGAGTTTACCCAGAGCCAGGAAAGCATCGTTCAGCAGGAGACCAATGTCAAGACCAAGCAGGCCCCCAGGCCTCCAAGGAGACAACTCCCTGGTTGGCTGGTGTGGTTGTGGGATACCAACGCCGTCTCGCCATTCAGTATCGTCCGTATGGGTGGCCCGCTTGGCCCTCGCTTCGTGTCCGGCTGGACATCGCGCCGTTTCAACCATCTCCCCCCCGAGGAGGCCACCACCCTCCACGACTACTCGTACAATTTGTTCCGGCAGAAGGGCAGCGGTGAATTTGCTCTGACGTACATCCTCGCGCCTGGTGCATACGCGCGGAACCCACTCATCAACCGCATCGACGAGGTTGGCCGTCAGGTCCTCAAACCCGCCTCCGACGGCCAGCCAGCCAAGCGCGAAACCGGCTTCCCTATCGTCCTGATGTACGGGGACGGTGACTGGATGGATGTGGCTGGCGGTTTTGCTGCCGAGGAGAAGATCAAGGCACGCGTCGAGAAAGCACTGATGGAAGGCACGGAGCAGGAGAGGCGGGACGAGAATGGGAGTGCAAGGGTGATTGTGGTACGGAAGGCCGGCCACCACTTGTATCTCGACAACCCGGATGAGTTCAACCAGTACATCACCAAAGAGCTGGAAGAGACAAGGGACTACAACAGGAGGAGGAAGTCTCAAGGCCTGTCCGTCTAGGGATGATTCGATCACGGTTGCATTTTGAGATGACGTTAGATGGCTAGACGGGAAGAGCGGAAAGGGTCGCCCACACATTTGCATTGGCTAGGCGTTAGGAGGATTTAGAAGAAGACACCCAGGGAGCGGGAGTGTCTATCTACGAGGTCACCTTTGGGGGTCGAGGCCGGCGAGCCGGGTTCGGCTGGAGACCTAGACTTGCTGACAAGGCAGTCTGCGCTGTGTGAGGACAGCTCGCAGGTTAGACAGACGGAGTAAGTCCCTAGAGCGCTACACCTTGAGTTGTAAAGGCAGTTTAATTCCGTAATTAAGAAATATTCGCACGGTTCAATCCGGTAGACGGATGGTCTGAGCCAATCTGCTCTGTCTTGGGTGTTTTGGGTAGAGGTCCGCAAGATTAAATGTGCCGAGGTCGACAAGTAGATGGCATCGAAACGCGGGTGGACCTTTTAAATCATGTTACCTCACAGCTTGGACCGTCTAGGGCAGACAAGAAAAGTGCACAGTTACACGCAACATTTTGACTTGCTCAAAAAGGTCGCGTACCATTACGTCTCGGCAAAAGACAAACCGCCTGCCTGCCTGGCGGGTAAAGGTCCCGCCTTGCCACATTGATGATTTAATTTCCTGCTTGTCGAAAATACACGAGACTACTCTCAGCGAGTGCAGGAGATATCTGTGCTCAAGGTCAAGGTTATTTGTTCCTGGAGACGTGGCACTAAAAACTCGGTGAGAGAGCGTGGTGGCGAGACATGGTGATGCTGATCATATTCGTAGCGCTGGTTGGAAATCCTAGCTGAGTCTCAAGTACCAAAATCCACGGCTCAGAGGTTGTAAGTGCATCCATTTTATATTCTGTAGCTTACTGCGCTGGGCCTCACGTGGATAGCAGCACAGTGTCCTAGAAGTACCATGCCTACGTGGTGTTTGTGGTGCGAGCGATGTAGAGATTACGCTCAAAGCCGCCCCCCCCCCCCGGCAAAAAAAAAGTGATATTGACTATTGCTATCACAAGATGACCGCTAGTCGAATAACAGCGAAGGTCAATGCTGGATAGAGAACATAAACAGGCAGAGTGTTTTAAAGATGGTATTATTAATTCATCCGGAGGTCGCTTTTTGTTCTCAACAAGAAATCCTCCAAGCGCGGCACACGGGGAGAGAGGAAGCCCCAGCAGACGCTGCGTCTCTCGATGTGCCACTCTGATGGCTCCTCTTTGGTCAACAGTGCAGCCATACCGACAGTGGAGGCTCACCAGTTTACTATATACATCAAATGATAGCCTAGGAAAAGAAAAACACAGACTTGACCCATGTGAACTCCTTGCATCTATTCATTCATCATCTCACACCGCACTAGTCGCCCGCTGTGCTCCTCCCCTCATTTAGAGCCTCCCATGTCCTCCATAGACTCCTCCCGGAAAATACTCTTCCTACTCGGGGCCGGGCTGTTGGTGGACCGCGGGACCGAGGGCCCGGGAGGGGGGTTCAGCGGGCTCACTGGCCCGCTGCTGCCTCTCGCGCTGACATAGTCCTCTGCATCGGTCTCGCCGGCCGTGGGTGGGCTTATTGTGGCCGTGGCCGTCCCCGTTGCTGCGTTGCTGCGCAAGGGGTTGAGCGAGCCCTCCTCCATAATCGGCGGGCTTGCTATGCGCGTGGTCTGCTGCGGCCCCAGGCGCGGCGAGCCAACGAGCGTCCCGTCCATCGTGCTCACCGTCGCGGGGTCGCTGATGTTCCTCAGGTGGGACCGGTCGCGCTCGCTAAACGCCGATACCCCCGACTCACCCCGCGGAGACTCCTGGTCCCCTGGCGCTGCGTCGCTAGAGGACTGGGCTGGGAGCGGCTTCCCGGCGGTTGGGGTCCGGTCATCGTCGTATGGGGAGGAGGCTGGCAGTGCAGGTGAGTCCGGGCGCACCTGATGCTCGGGAATGAAGCGTTGTGTTGGGGGAGGGTTCCTCGAGGAGGGCCCCGCATGCATAGCTGCTCCTGCAGCGGAGTTGCTGCTTACCATGCTCGCGTGGTCTGTCGCGGCTATGGAAGAGTATGCGAACGACGGGTTCCCCAACGGGCTGCTGCTGCCGCCAGTGGAGCCAAAGTGCGTGTGTTTGCTGATGATGTCCGCTGGAGTGAGTGCCGTGTCTGAGAGTTCTGCACGGGGCGAGGTGTCTACAAAAATAATTATTAGTACTGAATGGTCTGGCGCAAGTTGAGATTTAAATACAGGAGCAGCATACCCATCAGCTCGGAGACTTGAGTGTCACCCATCTCATGATGTATGAACTGATTCTGCAGATACTGCTGGTGCGGATGAGGGGGGGCGTATAATGCAGCGCGCTCTGGGTCTGGGCTCTGCGGCATGTCGTCGCTGGTAGTGACCGTTGGTGCCTTTGTATCTGTGGGCTGACCGCGAATCCAGGACATGATACGGTGGCCATTCTCATCAGTCATCTCGGTCATGCCACCGTTCCTCTTCAGGTACTTGCGACGCCGCCAGAATAAAAAGCCGAGGCCGACGGATGTGAGTAAGATCAGGCCCAGGATGACACCAAGCAGTGGGGGGAGGAAGCCGGGGACGCCACCGCCCGATTCAGCGCTGGAGGTAGGCAGACTTGACCCGCTCGTGGCAGCTGGGGCGTACGGGTAGTATGTTGTGAGCTTAGAGGTAGGATATGACATTTCAAAGATGCTTGCCAGTCCCGAAGTTGCCCAGCCCGTGGGCCCAGGGGCCATCTCGGTTGCGCCGCCTTTCTCGTTGCCGCCGATCATCGCATATATCATTTCCGGAACTTGGTAGTCGGACCAGAGGCTCGGGTCATACCTGTCGACCCACTTGGACGAGCTCAAATTGAACAACTGGATGATACCGCCGTTGAGGCAACTAGACGACGCGCCAGGTTGCGCCGGATAGCCTCCAATGACCATCATCTGATTTGGGTACGGCATGAAGCACTTGTGGCCTGCGCGACCGTAGCCAGCCCGTCCAGAGGCGACCTTCATCCACATGAAGGAGGGCAGTGACAGAATCCAAACGTCGTCCTTGAAGTCTGACGCGTCGGTATGATGAAGCCCGTCATAGCCACCGTAGTAGTAGATGTTGAAGCTCGAGTAATCTTGAGCTGGCTGCATGACAGCACAGCCTCTTGCGAGCTGCGACGGCCCGCCATTCGTTGGCTGTGTGTACCACTCCCGGCTCGCGATATCGTATATGTTGATATTAGACATGAACGAAGGGCTTACGTTCTCCTGTGACTTTTCTTAATATGCCTTAGGATGTCATGTATGCGGGTGGATTCTACTCACACTGCCGGTAACATTGTTTGATATGTGGGCAGAGTTAACAAAATCGGGATCGACCACGCCGCCCAGGGCAACCAAGATCCCTTGGGCGCCGACTGGAACCCAGACGAGCTCTGGGTTCGCCCGGCCCGGGATGCTGTCGGGCAAGGTCACATTGCTCCATTGCTCCTCATTCTGGGTCCCCATGTCGAGAGTGATCAAGGTATTGGAGACGTTGATGGCGGTAAGCGAGTCGTTAAAGCTGGGCGTGTATATAGGACCCCACTCGGGGGCACGAAGCCCGGAGAAGTAGAATGCCTTGTTCTCAGATGGGGCGCTGGCAGCACCACCGAAAGCGAGATATCTGGTCAGTCCCTCAGGTAAATCGGTGTTGACGTAACCTGGTATGACCTGCTTCTCAACGCCATAGCTAGACTGCTGATACTCCATGACCTCGTCCGCGTCCGGGTCGCGCCACTTGTCAGTCTGCCTCAGCAATCCTCCGTACATGAAGTACTGGTGATCATTCGCGAGTAGTGCCCCATCAAGATAGTTAGGGGCGAGATTGCTCGCAGCACCCACTACCTTGGGATTCTGGCCGAAGACTTCACTGATGTTTTGACTCATGTTGAAAGCCCTAGTGAAGTTCAAAGTATAGACAATTCCCAGAGGGTTATCTGTTTTATACCGTTAGGACAAATGAAAGTACGAGAAATGACCACTCGCCGACCTACCATCTCGCGTTCCCGCGCCGTAAGACCCATCAGACATGCCCGGAATCCAGGTAAGATATCCACCGTCGATGTAGACGGTATCCTTTAGAAGAGCAGCTGCAACTGTCAGTTCAAAGCTCCCCGAAAGTGATAGCTGCACAAACCTCTTGGTTGTTGCCACATGCACATGGTCGCATTAACCTGATTGCTCTGCCATCCGGACTGTTGGGCCACCGCTGCGGACACAAGTCCCGCGGCTATCGAAAGTGACCGCGCCATCGGACCGGTTATGCTGGGCGGCCAAAGAGAAAGAGAGAGTGGACGAGTCGAGGTTCAGACTTCTACACGGATCTCCGAGCAACAGGGACAGGGAGACGTAATGTTTGCTTGAGGGACGCTCCTAGGTACACATAATCGCAGGACAGACGCTTTTCTGTGGGGATCACTGGTTTGACGACGTCCTCAGAGGTGAACAAAGACGAACCCGTTGCCTCGTGGGCTACTGGAATGCGGAATTGGGAGCCGCCAAGTGCTGTTGTTGACGTTAGATACACAAAGAGAGACAGGGCATGCCGCCACAGACGGACAGGATGGAACTGATGAGAAACCGCATTTGGACGAGACCCGGATCCAGTCTTTGTCTCGAGATAGATTCAAAACTCAGAACCAGAACAGTGGAATGATGCAAGCAAAAAGGCGGGACACGGCTTACCAAATTACTCCAAATTAGTCGGGTTCGCGAACAAGACCGAGGGGAGACAGTCAGATGCCGATTCTCTAGATGGAGTCAAGATTCATAGGTCAAGAGGGCGGGTGCGATATGTTGACCAGACCAGGGTATAATTCTGCGAGCTGTGCTGGCAAGTGTCTAAGTTGTCTCGCAGGGTTCGTGACCAGACCGTCACTTGAAGAGAAGATAGAACTGCAGCGCGGGCTGCTTCACTGACACACATCCTACCCAAACAGCATCTCAGCAGTAGGAGACCTTGGAACCAGGCAGAACCAGGCATGGTGCCCCTCCTCGGGTGCACCATGCGCGCTTCCTAGAATGGCCCGTAAGCGGAAGGGTGCCCATGGTCGGAGCCTCCACCCTCGCCCACGGGTGGCGAAGGCGGATCAATTAGCCTTGAGGGGGGGCAAGTGGTGGTCAGGCGATGGGGGTACCGCATCCTGCATGCGAGAAAGACATGTCTTGCTGATTGGGTGTGTTGTGCGTAGTCCTTCGGTTGGAGCTGCGCCGCAGTAGAACACAGCACTAGAGCGAATATGTCGACGTGACGGAAGGGTTCTGCGGCTGAAGAGCGGTGCAGGGACATACCCTTCTTCACCCGGCCCACCCGTGTGCAGATGATCCCTGCGGTGAACCCGGTGAAGCCTCTCATCCTCTCTATTCCGTGCAAGAGCAACACGCTTGACGATATCGCCCTGTGATTATGGGTGTTGATGCTGGATTGGAACCGTTGGTTTTCTCCTCACAACCTGCGTACACAAAAGTACCATCCGGCGAGGCTGTGGTAGAGCAACAAAATGTCGCAGGGCTCGGGTATTTGCTGGCGCAGGCGGGGTCTCAACTGGTCTGTGGCCGCCAGCAAGTCTCTGCTCCGGCCGCACACAGCACACGCAACCATGGCAACCGTGACGACAACAAAGCCTCAAGGTGGACAGCCACAAGCTACATTTGGAAGGCTGCAAGGTTGCTTCTAGATCTTTGGAAGCATGCTTGGAATGGCCCGAGGCCCGCCCGCAGGATCAACTGGATGGGCGCCATTCTGTGTACCGACGTAAGCCACAGTCCGGCAGGCTGAGCCTGAACATGTTGTAAGCTGACTCGTATGGGGGAGGCATCATAGACCGAGGGGGTTATGAATCATGATCAGTCAGCGACAGGAAGTCGATCCCATGAAGACCGTTCCAAGCCTGCTGCCTCGTTCTCGCAACAGCAGCCTCACCGCGCCAGGCACGCGGTCCAAGACTGCCAGGTGAGGGAGGGAACGAAAAACAGACCGAGTGGCGTGACCAGCGGAGACATTGAGAACGATGAGCCTGCTGCTGCAGCGCTGCTACGTTGCGAAGACAGACACAACCGGGCCCAGAATACCGCGGTTCTCTGCAACCCACCCAGCCTTGTGCATTAGCGCAGAATCCCTCGCAAGCAGGCAAGTCGCGGCCCACCTGCCAGAAAAGCGGGCTGCGGGCTGCCGGGTCGGCTGGTCGGGTGTGCCTGCCTGTGTGCCTGCCTGTTGTGTCTGTGCCTGTGCCTGCCTGATCGAGGGAATTGATTCGAGGATGCCAGGTCGCACAGATGAGCTGTTGCATGCTACAATACGAAGTGGTCCTTCGGCACCTAGGTACCTAGGTACCCAGATATCTATGTACTTAAGTGCTTAGCATTCACACCAACACCCAGTCCACAGTAGCGCACTCGAGTCGGGACGGGGTCGTTGGCTCCCGCCGTTAAGTGTGTGGATTGTTAGTGTGGATCTTACCGACCTTCCGTCCGAACCCTCGAGCCTACAAGGGTGTGGGGTGACAGGGTGGGCAGGTGGGGACCATTGGGCTGAGCTGGGCTGGGCCGCCTGGCTGGTGGGCTGGTGGGCTGGCACGGTGGCACGGTGGCTTGGGTTGGGTAGTGGGGGATCACACTAAGCTCTCTTATCGATTGGATCTAACCGATCTCGAGTTCCCAACGGTCCACTTTCAACCACCAACTGCAGAACTGCATCCAATATTGGACACCCAATATCCTGACCTTTTCATCCCACCCACCCCACCAGCCCACCCTCGTGTCGCATTTTACGACACCACCGAGTCCCGCTGTCCGCGCTGTCCACGCTGTCCACGCTGTCCAGGACAGCCCCAGACCAGAACTGCCAGATGCCCAGGCTGCCGGGAGGGGAAGCACCCGCAGACACGATGGAGGGACGGGCCCTGCAAGGGAACACGACCAGTGCGGCACGCACCACTGCTGCGACCGAGACAACCTCGTGCTCATCAATTCTGCGTTATGTCCCGTAACACTCCGGCTTTTCGACACCTCGCATGGAGAGGCATCTACACACGTCGACGATGTTGCCACCACGCAGACGAGCAGATTCCCCGCGACTGACAAGGCGGCCAATCCGGCCACTCGCAAGTAGGAGCCGGCATCCCAGTCGTGCAACCCCAGCTCCTCCGTACACAGTACTTGGACGGTGAGCACTAGGCGAGACTATTGTTGATCGGCCCAGCCATCCCATGTCTTGCCGTGCCACACGACCTTGGGGTTGCCCAACTCGGCTCCTTGCGAGGCTGTTTGGTATCACAAATGCACCGGGAAGCCCTCCACTTTGCACTTTGACGACCGCATTTCGGTCGCTTTGTCTGCGTGAGACTGTCATCGATCGAGGCCCGGTTCAATCGGCCATGGATCAACATTGCAGCTTCCCCAGCTTTCCCACAATGTCTCAGTGGCAGGGAGAGCGGCATCAGGCGCGTAGAAGCATTGTCCTCATCTCTGGTAGGGTTGTGGGATCATAGACTCGCAACTCTGCCTTGATGCCGAGCTTGGTTCTATCTGCCACCGCACTACCAGCAAACCAACGTCCCAACGGCCGAGACCTGTCATGGACCAGAGTTTCAGTTGGCTGCATGATTCTCGCAATTTTCCACCACGTCTTGGTGGACGGCTGAGTCTGACAGTGTTTGTTAACCAGCCTCTGCATCCATGAGCGAGTCATCCAAGCGAGGGAAGCAGTGATTATGGTCCACGATGGATCTGGTGAGAGCTAACCTCAGCTCTTCGGCCCATCTATCCACACCTTCGGCCACGGAAAGCCTCTGGGCGGCGGCTTGGACAGGCCCGGAGTGGAAGCCTGGTCCCAATGGCTTCTTCACCTGCTGACTTTGCCATGCTCCCTGATCCCTGATCATTGCCGTCGTGGTCACTGACCCCTGGCCCCTGGCCCCTGGCCCCTGTCCCTGAGCTGTCGACAGGGGTAGCTGCCTCTCCGTCGATCTAGTCGTCCGCTCCCACCCCATCTGGCCCATCCATTGCAGCCTTGCTGCGACCTCCCTCAGTTGGTACCCAGAGAGCTGGGGGAAGGAGCAAAATTCGGACACTTCTCCACCAAATGGATCCCAGGCTCGCGGACTCGGCGGCACACACGTCTTCAACGTCGGCCGGGTAACCTGGAGGGGTTCTTCTGTTTCCAATGATTTGTGCGCGGTCAGAATCACGAGCGTGAACTGTTGGTAGTTCAGCCCGCTGCGCGATGCTGTATTACTCCTCACGGCGGGTGATGTGAGGCTCATGTCCTTGTTGGACCGTTTCCGAGTTCTCACTCGTTTGTACAAGTGATATTCGGGAATGCCTTGAAGTTCATCCCACCATCAGCTTATGCTATCGTGCCTATTTCTGCCGACCGATCAAATCCGCGCACACGGTTCTCGACGACGCCAGTCGTCAGCTTCAGCGGTCTCGAGTCTTGGCCTCCGGTGGCACAGGGTATAGAATCCCGTCATCGTCTATGAGTTAGGGTCCCATCCACGAGGTACATCCGGAATTCTGGCCTCGTCCTGCTGTTGGCTCTACGAACCAGGCCTAGTGGCCTCCACCCTGCGGAGCCCGATTCGTGCAGCTCGGTCTTGCATGCATTCGTTCTACTTGCAGGTTGCCAGGCAGTTGTACCTTTGGTTTCTTTAGATCCCGGCAACTGCCATTTCTCTTTTCTGCCCCGGATACCCATCGCGAGTGCGTTCTGGAGATCGTTCGTGTTCATATTGCCGTCGTCAGGACTACTCACGCCTCGCGTGTAGCCTTGAGTTGTGCCGTCAGAGCAACTTACGCTCACTAAAGAGAAAGTCCTGGGGAGCATCTTGAACCAAGACCATCCGTCCTGTCAAGTGGCGTCAGAGCCGAGCTAAGATCAAGGCAATCTCGGTTGACCTGCGACTCTGCCGTCGGCCCTTCCACCGGGGTGGTACTCGAGACTGGCTCGTCTGGTCAAGCCCTCTTTGCCCTCCAATACCCTGGCCGATCCACATATGATCGGCAGGTACCTCTCTCTCCACCGACCAGGCCGTTGCCCATATCCCTCACAAGTCTTCGTGCTTGACAGCAGACTCGTCTTTCTGCAACTCTTTCGTTTTTGCGCCGACCTACCAGACCTTCGTTTGCGCTGTGAGCGGATACGACAGTTCTCGCACTCGCGACCTTGAAAGATGGTATCTTTCTACGGGCCATGGGTCTTTGCAGCGCTTGGATCGGGGGCCCTCGCTGCAGTTGCCACATACCCAAACGCCACTACCTCGAGCATTTGCGCCGATTGGTGTTGGAAGACAATCACGGAGACGTTGACTTATGCCGAGCCTACAACTGTGTACGAGACGGTGACAGAAACTGCTGGTGGACCAATCTATGGTGATCCCAGCGCTTCTATCGTCACCTCGTGGAGGACGACCACCGTCACGGCACCCGGAGAATCTAGTAACTATACTCTGACCTCATGGCAGACCTCTACAGTTGTTAGCACGGAGGAGGATAAGACGACCGAGAAAACGACAGAAACCGCCTACCAGAACGCAACTGTCACGTAAGTACTGCTGAGACGCAAGATTGGCCAAGGCATGATTTAGCCTGTCAAATATTGAGACATGGACACATCCCCGATCGTGCCGCGAGTGGCTTTCCGCGGAAACGTGTGCTAATATGAGACTAGGGCAACCGAATTGACCACAACGACGGTGGTTTCGGTAAGTGCCTCCATTTATCTGTGCTGGTTTTGAGAATGCAGACGCTCACCACAAGAACTTAGTCATACATCGTCACTACGACTAACTATGTCTGCTCTGTCGCATCTCCTGTGCCTTACAACGCCTTGGCCGTTGATGACCAGACCAGTACCGTCTACACCACAGAAGTCCACACCGTCACAAGTTGCGCCCCAACAGTCACTGGATGCCCAGGCAGCTCGCCTGGAAGCGGTTATCCGACAGGCGGCTCCCCGACTTACGAACCTTCACCAAGCGCTCCTGCACCAAGCGACGAGCCACCGAGCGTCACTACCATTGGATGTGTGGGAAACACGGTTACGAGCTGGAAGACCGTCACAACGGTATGTTTTGAGATTTTCTAGTATTTATGGCCCCCAGTGGTTGGTCTGGGAACCGGATTATCTTCTCGCCGGGGTCGAACCAGGCGAGGACTTGATGTGCCCTGGAGTTCATTCTACGGAAGTCTCTTCGCTTCGGCTCTCTGCTCATCGATCGACTTCACTCAACATTTCACCCTATCATGCATTTATCAGACTCTGCACATGTGGAAGGAGGGAGTGATGTGAAGAGATGTGGTGCGCTTGACCTGATATTTTCTGACACTGGAACAGATTGTACCGACGACTATAGCGACTACTGTGGATCATACAACCACAGAAGTCTCCAAAACTACGGAAACCGACACGTATGTATTAAAAACACTTAGACGCTACATACTCAATCCTATGTTTTCCCTTTATTTACTTTTGGATCACCATTACTTTGTCGAAGAGCGTTGCTCGTGCTAATGCTTCACATAGAACCACTGCGTTGACCACGACCACACTCGTTTCGGTAAGAACTATTTACATCCTAAACCATTATCTTAATGTGATCTTGATTCTAATAGAGAAAACCAGTCTTACCCCTACTATGTCACCGTATCAGTCTGCTCTTACGCTGAGCCTACATATTATGCACTCGCTGACCCCACGAGCACTGTCTATACGACATCGTACACGACAATCACTTCATGCCCACCTGTCGTGACAAATTGTCCTGGTCGCACAAGCAGCACCGCTGATTCCTACCCAACTGCACCTCCGGTCGGCTGCAGTGGGTCGGTAGAAACGCGGTGGACCACAGTAACCAAGACCACGGTATGTGCACACCTGTCTGATATTTGAAGTGTTCTGTGGAATCGCCGGGTACAGCCAGATTCTCAGACACACGGCCCGATGCCTACCTTGCTCTCCTCAACTGCAGTCGTTTCATGAGAAAGCTTCTTTCCAGGCGCGGTCTATGAGTGAAGCGCTCTGCTTCTAGCCGTAATGCTAATTACTTTCTCAATAGGCTGTCCCGACGACTATTCCGACGACAATCACTCGTGACCGTACAACGACCACCACCAAAGAGCGCACCGTAACTCGGACATCCGTGACCACTTGTACCGAAACAACTACAACAACTAGGCTCTCCACTTACACGGTACGTACCGCATGCAGCATCCTGCTCTATGTTCACTGCCCCCCTCCCCTAGGCCCGGTCGCTCCGCATGTGTGTTCGTTCTCTTAAAACCAGTTGGGTTAAAGCCGCGCTTCAATGTTACGCGCGATGGAAGGATCGGCAGACTACCAAAGACCTGGATCTGTTCTCAGGATTTTCATTTGAGGAATTTTCAATAGTTTGTGGTGATATATTGCTGACTTGATATTAAGACTACCAAAATCCAGCCTACAACCAAGACGGTTGACCACACACTCACTACTACGGATTGGGAGACAACTACAATTACCGATGTGTCCACTGTGATAGATACCACGACATACGTCACAACCAGCTCTGTCCCGTACACGGTTCGTAACCCCTGATACATTTCTCTCCTGAACTAAGACCTACGGGCCCGTTTTCAACGCCTTCGGTCCAGAATCCCCAATTCTAGTGCGGCCGTGTGGAGCATGGAGCGGATGGGCCTCATTGTTATATCCCTATAGCAAGTCGTGAAAAAGTAACTAAACATACTTTCCAGATCACTGAGACATTGCATGAACCCACGACCACAACAGAATACGAGCCTACAACAGCCACAGACTACGTGCCCACCACTATTACCGATTACAGCTCCACTACTTCATATATCACGACGACGTACTCGACAAGCTACCCGGTGACCGTAACCAGTGATCGCACGATCACCAGCACATTCTGGACAACTGATATACTGACGGTCACGACACCGGTCACTCTGACGGCGACGTCGACTCTGGTAACCTACGTGCCCACCACTGTTACCGATTACAGCTCCACTACTTCATATATCACGACGACGTACTCGACGAGCTACCCGGTGACCGTAACCAGTGATCGCACGATCACCAGCACATTCTGGACAACTGATATACTGACGGCGACGTCGACTCTGGTAACCTCTGTGCCTTTCACATTGACAGAGACGACCTCAGTTCCGACCACCGTTATTAGCACATCTGTACGCGACCCCCTCCCCCTTTTGAAATTCTAATGCCCTAAGGATCTCCATTGCTTTCGGGTCGTTTTTATGCGCGGTCTGTAGAGCTTGGGATATTTCCATGATGTTGTGTCTGCATAAAGTAGCCCTTGGGCCTACAGCTTCCAGTGCGTTATCTCATGGCTACAACGACTAATCATAATTTTTAAAATAGATTACAACCTATACAACAGCTACAACATCTACTGTCATCTCTACTGAAATCTTGCCAATTACCTATCCTATTACAGTCACAGACAGTACCACGATCTATACGACCGAGTTCAGTACTAGGGAGACAACCTTAACAACTTCGTTCTCCTACCCTGTTACGTGAGTTGCAACCCTCCTCCACTTCAATCCCATATAAGTATTAGCACAGAATGTTTTATTCGGCAGCATCGAGTGCTGTGCCGTTTTGGTCCCCTTGACTACTGAGGCCTGCATCTCGGCCCGGCGCAAAGCAAATCAGCAATGTGTAGCATACCCTTTACTAACTTGGCACGTGACAGGGAGACTTTGAGTTTCACAGATACACTCACAGATACGGTCACAGATACGACTATTCTACCAGCAATCACTGTCACTAGCACTCTCCCAGGGGTTCCTACGACCCTAACAGAGAGCTACACTACAACGACGAGTATCTCCGGCAGTCTGACGACGTTGACTCTCACATCCACGACTGTATCCACACAGCCAGGGGAAATTGTCACGGTGACCCAACAACTTCCTGGCTCTGTCACAACGTTGCCCGGTATTACCTTGACGAGTACTGAGCCAGGTAGCGTCACAACTTTGTCGGGAAGCACTGTGGTGGAAACTATTGTTATCCCGCCAAGTACTATCACGCAGCCAGGAGAGACAACAACCCAGGTCATTACTTCTGTGATTCCGCCCGTAACAACCACTTATACAGAGGATGGCACAACTGTCACAGAAACGCTTCCGGCGTCGACAGTGCTGCAAACGCAGACAATCACAGCTCCACCAGTGACTGTCACATCACCGCCAGAACTTGTCACCTTAACCTCTACGATTGTTCAAAGCCTCAGTATCTGCAATCCCCCTCCTGTTGCAACGAACGCACCTGCGCTCGACCCCAGTTCAAATTTGACGTGGAGCTGCTCGCCTGGCCGCCACTGCAACCCACCGAAGCCTGACGGTTGTAACATCTGGTCTGATCTTCCCGCGAACAACTACCAGTGCCCACCGGAGTATTGCGTGCCCGTGACGCCTTACTTCAATACAACTTGGCAAGAAGGCAACACCAGCTACTTCCCAGTCACGGAAGGTTATTTCAACCTCAATCCCGAAGCGTTCGGCCTCAGCTACGACATCTTCTCTGAGGAGCTTATTGTTAAGGAAATAGATGGCTACGAGGTGACTTTCACGACCGGAAATTGGGCGTCGCAGACGTCGATCTCAGAGCTCACCATAAGTACAACCGCAACAATCTTACCGAAGAGTTCGAGCTTCGAGAAACCCAAACGCATGTTCACAAGCAAGAAGCATGTAAAGGGGATCTCTCTTACCAAGCGGGATACTGTGACTGGGACAATTCCAGCCGTTTGCTTCGATGTATGCAACGACTGCAACCTAGAGGCTCAATCCAGAGGCAAGGTTCCGTCGCTTTGTGACAGCGGCTCTGCCTTCAACAATTATCTTGAAGGCTGCAATAAATGCATCGACACTTACGAGGACACGACGAAAATCTCCGGCCGGCAGTACATAACCAACTCATTTGCCCAGTACCTCAACTTCTGTCAGGCATCCGACCCCTCTGAACCCAGCACCTCATCTGCTGCTGCCGATGTCACGTCGGCTACATCTGTCAGAACTTCATCTCAAGTCGAGGCCTCCAGTCAATCTACTAGCATCATCTCAAGGTCTAGTAGCTCCTCTGGCTCCAGTTCATCCTCGGCTTCAGAGTCGGCCTCGGCTTCAGAGTCGGCCTCGGCTTCAGAGTCGGCCTCGGCTTCAGAGTCGGCCTCGACGTCGTCATCTGCTTCAGGCTCCGTATCTGAGACTTCGACCTCGGAAACCCAAACGTCTGTAACAGGTACCTCGTCAGCCCTGAGCTCGTCTGAGACTTCTGCAAGCTCGGGGCAGTCGCCGACCACTGGACCCTCGGCAACAGGGTCTGCTCCAGCCAGCTCAGGCCCTTCAGCTTCAACCTCTGAAGCAACGACAACAGCCACAGGTACGGGACAAACTAGTGGCACAAATACAACGCCATCTGGTACAAGCACGTCGGGTCCCGTCCAGGCTGCCGCCGTCAGGCTTCGAAGTGGCAGTCTGGCAGGTCTAGGCGGGCTTGTTTTCCCCATCCTGGCCTGCATCTTGTTGGTCTAAGCATGACCGGCACAGACTCGCCGGAATTAATTGCATTTCTTTCCATTCGAAAATTCTTCAGCCACTCCCTAAGGAAATAATGTCTTGACGCAATATTATCATTGGAGACAAGCGTATATGATTTAACGACACTCATTTAACGGCACAGTGCGACGACACTCATTTACAACAACGAAAATCACGAATTGATGAAATTCAACGACACTCATTAATACATCAAGCATGGTTAGGAATTTTAAAAAGGATTCACGGCATATAAATATAATGATACCCATCCACAACACTCCCTTAATGTGGAAACTTTTACCAGCAGTGGCTTTTTGGAAATGGAATTGGGCGATGCCATTTTGAATATTTGCCCCGGCAGACCGCACGAATAGCCTGGAATGAAGCAGATATAGACGCGTGGCGTCAGGATTCAACGAGCCTTTGAGCATGAGCATTGATGGGCTAGCTGCAGGGCTGGGGATGTGAAGCCTCGAGAGGTTCACATAATGCTATGATTAGGAGATTCTGTTCGACATAATTGATGTTATACTGTAGCTCGCAGTTTTTCAATAAAAATTTAATATCATTTGCTTCTTGAGCAATCCCAACCCTCGGGGCTGGTACAAGGATCAGGATGAAGATGCTTCAATCGAAAGCAGTCACGCACCAGAAGGCGGTAGCCGGCGCTACCTATAAGTACCTGGACCGATCTACGCACATCCCCACCAACGCACACACATTTCCCACTAAAAATGTCGATTTTTACTCTAGCGTATTTAATTCTATAAAAATATAAAAAATATAAATTAAATTTATAATAAATATTATAAAATTAAATAAAGTATATTCTAAATATTAAAATTCTTATTAAATTCTAAGTATATTAAAATAATTAAAATAAAAGAGATTTTTAAAAATATACTTTTTATACTTTATTTCTTACTTTTTTAAAAATTAAATAATATATTTTAAATTTAATATATATTAATAATTTTTATATAAATAAATTTATTTAAAATATATTAATATAAATCTTAAAAGTTCTTATTAATAGAAACTCTTTAAAATTAATTATTTAAGATTTAATAAAAGTAAAGTAAATTCCTCCGCTTTTCTACTTTATTTATTTTAATTCTTTAATAAATAATTCTATAAATCTCTATTGATAAAAACTTTTATATTTATAAAAGTATAATATTAATTAATATTTTAAAGTTAAATCTATTATTATAATTAATTTAATTAACTTAAAAAAATAATTTTTCGTTTTTAATTAAATAATTAATAAATAGTATAAAAATTAATTAAAATAAATAATATTAATATTAAAGAATTTATTTCTATATTAATATAATAAATATTACTTAAATAATTTTTTTTATATAATTTAAAAAAAATAATTTTAACTATTAATTTAATTTTTATTTTTATAATAATTTTATATAATTAAATAGGCTAGGGTAAAAATCGACGTTTTTAGTGAGAAATACGTGTGCGTTGGTGGGGATGTGCGCAGACCAGTCCAGGTACTTACTACATCCAAGGCACTCCACCATTCATGATCCCAATTCTCCGAGAGAAACTACCATCATTCAACCTTCGGAAAAATAAGACCCAAAACAGGTCCTCTACCCCAACTCCAATCAACTCCACTTCCACTAAGGCAGATACATTTAAGGGTTTCTCGGGCACGCCAGACAAAGAACCCAATCAAGCCATCTGTCGGAAACGAAAGAGGGTCACAGCCGACAGTCGACCAAGTCAACACATCAAGCGGCCCCGGCTTGATCCAACTACCAGTGACATAGATGCAACCATACATCTAATCAAGGCATACAAGAAGACCCTGAAGAAATACCAGCCAGACCCTGACTGGTTCAAGGCATGGAACTTACGACACATACTCACGAAATCAAACCAACAATTGATCAAAGATGGCCTCCTTGCAGGGGACTTCGTCCCAATCCCGATGCTAGTATACGATGCTGGTATTGGAGATCTGGACAAGCTTTCCCTAGCCGAAGCCATCGACAAGCATGTCGTGCAACAATCCACTGACATGAAGAGAAAAGGAAAGAGCTACCTCCGTCACCGTAACAAATACCTAAAGAAAGGTATGGACTCATCGCACAGGTGCCACAACCCATGGTGTCAACTTTGGTGGCACATTTGTGCCGAGACTCACGCCATGAATGCCGACCGCGAGGATACAGACTGCCATCCTCGAACGATTTCTGATGGCATGACATTTCAGTGTATTCGACATCCCACAAACCCATGTCTGCCTGCGTGCAGTTTGAGTACTTTGGCACAGGTCATCTATCAATGGATGGCAGCAAACCAGTATGCAAGTTTCAGCCGTATTGCACCAGATGACCTGGAGGGACTCGATGAATTACCACGAGATGTCCTGGAGGAACCACTTTACACTTATGTCCTCACGGAGGATGATGAACCCCTTACTAGGGGTAGTAAGCGTATTTTATACCTTACAGTTCAAGCTCAGCATACCCTCGACAGCCTAACTGCCAGTGCCCCAAATCTACCAGTCACACGACATTCAATGGCGTTTCGCCAAAGGAAGCAGGATGCAGTGGACGAACACAAAAGGGTGGAAAAGCTCAACCCGGACACCTCGAAGGTACTTGCCTTGAAGCACTAGCATAAAAAGAGGCCACCTTCTAACCAGCACATGCTCGCCTAGGAGAACACATTTATCCTAGAGACTTAATGGAGATCCCTAAATGATTTCTATAAGTTCATCCTTAGTTTAAGACACTCCACTATTTATAATCCTAATTCTCTAAGAGTGTGAGTGTGTGTGCGTGGGTGACTGGGGGCCCCACTGGCTGCCTGCTGCTTAGTCATCCAGTATGGCCCCTTCGCCCACACCCTCTAAGACCTAAACCTTCCCCCTACGATCCCTTCAAACCTTTCCCCTTACATAAAAGGTAGCACCGTCTTAATCTGAATTAACGTATTGAGGATAGTTACTTTATCTCTATTTCCCCTCTTATAATAAAGAGAAACTACTATTATTTAACCTTTAAAAAAATAAAACTTAAAGTAAGTTCTCTACTTTAACTTTAATTTAACTTTACTTTTATTAAAATAAATATTAATAATATTAATAATATATTTAATAAGTTTTTAAATATATTAAATAATATAATTTTTATTAATTATTTATATAATAAATTATTTAATTAAAAGATTAAAATTTTAAGTTAATATATTTAAAAGATTAAATAATATATAAAGTTTAATAAAATTATATTAAATTATATTTAATTAGTTTAAATTAATATTATTAATTTTATTATAAACTAATTTATTAAAAGTTAAAATTATTATAAATTATAAACTATTTAATTTAATATTAATAAATATTATTATATAAAAGTATTAAATTTATTATATAGTTTAAATATAAATTAATTAAAATAAATAAAAATAAAGTTTTAATTCTTTTAATTAAAGTTTTAATTTTATTTAAATAAATATTTATTTAATAAACTTAAAAAGCTATTTAAAAATAATTATTTAATTAATTATACTTTAATTTATAAAATAAAAATAAAACTTTTAAATAAAGTAATTATACTTTATTATTATATATAATATTTAAGTTTATAAATTAAATATATTATATATATAATTAAGGTGTATAAGAAGACTTTAAGAAAATACTAGCTATACTTAGACTGGCTTAAGATATGGAACTTACGGTATATACTCACGAAATCCAACCAACAACTGATCAAAGATGCCCTCCTTGCCGTACTGTCTGTGTCGTTTCGCGATCTAGCATAGGACGACCGGCCATGCAGACGACCATGGAGGATCAACTGGAATGCTCGGATTCTATATTAGATATTGAAAAGGCAAGTCCGAAGACATGCGACTTCAAGCTATATCATGTTCTAGAATATAAGATCTACCGTGCTGTCTATGACACACTTGTTCTAAAATGCCAATGCCGTATTATCAGAAATCCCATAGAGTGCCAAATGCGTGCATTCCAGCTGCGCGGCAACCTTGCATCATTTCATCATTGCCCTGCATGTTTGATGTTATAAAGATGACCTCGGCGCCAAATCTCGTCCAAGTGTCTTTGAGAAGTTCCATGGTGTCTGGTCGACCTCCTCGTTTCTTCGAGTCCCAAAGGATCATTCTCTCCGGTTCGATGTTGTTGTGAATCAGTCCGGTAATGGTAGGCCCGAATGTTTTCTCCTGATCAGAACCTATCCAGATGAGGAACCAATTAGGGCTCTGGATACAGGTGGACAGTGCTGCTCCAATACCGGTTCCAGTACAGATCCGAATTCCTCTCTTGAACATCGCTGAGGCATGCCCGACGCCAGCTATAGTATGTCAGTCAAAGGCAAGAAGAAATATAGCACAAGTAACATACCGAACTTTAGCTCTCTGGTCCACACTATCTTAGGTGGGTTGGCAACGAGCTCTCTCGTAAAGTCGCCTTGAACGCCGCAGATCATATAGTGTTGTTTGGACTTCCGGCCCTCGCTAATTATACCAAAAGCGTGGTACTCCATAATTGAAGTGCGGCTAATCCTTCCCAAGAGACCCTGCTGCATTCCACGCTCAAAACGAAGAACTGCAACTTTGGGGGATGGGAGCTCGACCACGACGGGTACTTCTCGAAGAGTGACCCAAGGGATAATAACACTAAGCAGAATTAGGGTTAATCACAAAGTAGGTGTGAACAGACGTACAATATCGTCATAAACACAGCAAACCAAAGCTCTTGTGCACTTAGTAGGGAGTGAGCATCGGGTCTCCACTGCCCAACTTTGATATCATATGTGTTACCCATGATTACAAATATCCAGGTAGTCTGGCTCAGGTTAGCTACACTTAGTAACAGGCGAGATTAGGGCGCGTACTGCGAGTCCAAGCCATCCAACAAATCGGTGATGCTTCTCGAACACGTTATGATAAGTACTAATCGAAGTGTTAGTTGTTGAAGCCCAGATACAATTCGGAGCCACCTACTTGCGAACCCAAGGAAAGGCACTCAAGACGGAAACGATCACAAGGACATTCGTGATGATGCCGCTGACGATCACGGCAGGATGTTGAACGGCACGGTACCGTACAATGTCCGCGATTTTAAACACTAGCCAGCTGTGAGCCAAATTAGCAACTCTTCAGTACTGAATGATGCAGTTAACTTACCCAGCACCAGAAAGAGCACATCCTGAATGAATGCCTCCAACGTGTTGTAGAGCAGATGTCGCCGCCAGCTTGATGCGTACTGGAGCCCACTGGTGGATTGATCTTTTGTCAGCAGCCCGTTCCGTGACCGACAGGGAGAGCCACATACCCCCCGCAGGCCGTATATGCAAATTGTGTATAGAAAACGTATCCATAGTTCGTTTCGCATCAGGATGGCGCAGAGGAGGTTGCCCAGTACCAAGGCGCCCATGTGATTCTCAGCGTAAGGAAAGCGTCCTAGTGCTGCCACGATAATTCCAGTCAAGTTGAGCAAAACAATGAGTGTGAAGAACCTCCGGTATGTGTTGAACCAAAGTTCTGCAAGTATCCATCGACTGATCTTTGGTTTTGGTGGTGCCGGCTTTTTGACCGTCGTCTCAAGTACGTTGGCGTTGATGGCCTTTGCAGTTATTGGCATGGACAGAGACAGTTCCGGCACACTGGACAGCGGCGTGATGCCTTCGTGGACTGGGGAGGTGGGGGAAAGGCGGGTGTCCAAGTGAAGTTCCCTCTTCTGGCCCATGTAGACGAAAGGGGGAGGCGCCCTCAATTCCGCCGAGCTGTCATATATGCCCTTCTCTGCATCATCGAGAGAGTCTAGGCTGCTGTTACCAGCAAGGGAGCTTTGTGGTGAGATTGCCATGATGAGAGGAGGACTCTTTGCGAGGCTTCGAAACACAACTGCTGAGAAACGGCGGGGCAGGGGTGACTCGAGGCAGGGAAACCATCAGCGGATTGCCAGAGGGCGAGTTTTAATCAGGCCTGGGGGTCAAGCCCGGGCCCGACTGCCTGCTCCAACAGCCCGAACAAGATGCGAGAAGTACGTATCATTGCTAGATGGAAATCGTGGAATGGCCAGCCAAGCATGCCGGAATTGGGTGGGCCGTATTATTCGGCCCGTCCTCGAGAAGCACGATCATCTCGCAGAGAGTTCTGAGAACCGTAAAAGGCTGAGTATCGAGGCTGCTGAAGGCACTGAGGTGGCACGTGGGCAAAACCTTGGAATTGCCGCCCATGCAAGCCTCAGGCGGAAGACAGTTCCATCTAGTCCGTGAGAATAATATATTGCGCGATATTGTTGCCCTTCGCCCCGTTTGCTCACGGTCTACGGTGTTGTCATATGTGGTGCTGATTTTGGGTACCTGGTGAGCAACGGCCCCACAGCCATCTCGATGACAGCAGCTGCGACCAAGAAAAAGGCCATCGCGGGCCGTGACACCGGGCTCGCATCAGCAACAGCAAGGTCTTCATATCCCTCCTCAGGTTCGCCGAGACATGTCCCACAAGCCTGGTCGGTCGTTGGGAAACAGACGCTTTCATGGATTCAGTCACGGATGATTGCACTCCGGGCCCCCTCGGCCGAGGTAAGATTGTGGCTTTTCCATGTTCTCGCGTCTTGTAAGCGTTGGGGCGCAGGAGCTAGAATCCGGGTTTAATTTGGATAAAGAGCAAATTGATAGGAACCTGCCTTATCAGCGCGTATGATAAGCGAATAATACATTTCATCCCGTGCTTCCAAGGTTACTTCACACGACATCATCGTACGGCACAGCTAGATGACTCGACGAGTCGGGATTTACAGGCCCAAACCATATTGCAGACATACTACCTCTAAACGCGCATAGGCGCATGAGGCGAGGACTTAGTCATCTTCTTCACAGGCCTAAATTTAAGCTTAATCAGGGCCGTGACCAGGGCAATCAAGCAGTGGAGTGTTTCAATCTAGAGCATTCGCACCCATGCCGGCATTCAGCACCTCATGATATCGGTTCCACATTGCCACAATTCAACCGGATGCCGGCAGAGAGTTGAATTGTGTGGGAGTATCGTCGAGATGTTTCAGAACCATAGTGCCTTTTTGCCACGATGCTTGTGAACGGTGTTAGATCTAAGGGCGAGGGAGCGATTCGAGACAGGGACATAATCCTGGCTATTGGAATTCGGATAATACTCCCGAGGGCCCCTTGATGTATCAAGTGTCAATGAAAGTCTCTGTCGTGGTGCATCGGCACAAGCTAGGCACTCCTCGCTAGGCTCCGAAGCGGTTGTGGGTTCCGCTAGTGGCCGGTGCGATCTTGTTCGTGTCGTGTAAAGTCTGCGCTTTGGCAGACTGGTTACGTAGATGTCAGCCTCGTTCTTTTCGTAAGGCTCTGCGTCACCCTAGCTAGTAAAGAGCATCCTTTAGGGGTTCATACATCTACATTCACCTATATACTAGGCTTAAAGTATTTTATATAGTTTTTACTTTCTAAAAGAATTTATTTATAATATAAGTTTAAAGTTTTAAATATTTAATTTATTTTATAAACTTAAAATAATAATAAAATAATAATATTAAAATTAAAATAATATTTATTTTAAAAAATAAATAATTTAATTTATTTTTTATAAATTATTAAATTATTAAATTATTAAATTATTAAATTATTAAATTATTAAATTATTAAATTATTAAATTATTAAATTATTAAATTATTAAATTATTAAATTATTAAATTATTAAATTATTAAATTATTAAATTATTAAATTATTAAATTATTAAATTATTAAATTATTAAATTATTAAATTATTAAATTATTAAATTATTAAATTATTAAATTATTAAATTATTAAATTATTAAATTATTAAATTATTAAATTATTAAATTATTAAATTATTAAATTATTAAATTATTAAATTATTAAATTATTAAATTATTAAATTATTAAATTATTAAATTATTAAATTATTAAATTATTAAATTATTAAATTATTAAATTATTAAATTATTAAATTATTAAATTATTAAATTATTAAATTATTAAATTATTAAATTATTAAATTATTAAATTATTAAATTATTAAATTATTAAATTATTAAATTATTAAATTATTAAATTATTAAATTATTAAACTATTAAATTATAAATTTTATATTACTTTATTAAATAATTTTAATTTTAAAATTATTTTAAATATTTTAATTAAAAGTAATTATATAATTAAATTAATAATTAAATATTATTTAATATTTAAAAATAAACTTTAATATTAAAATATTATTTAAACTTTATAATATAAGAGCTTAAAGTTTATATTAAATAAGGTAGATTTTATAAATACTTAAGTAGGTTACTTAAGGAAAAAGAGAAGAAAGGTAGGTTGCCCCTTAGGCCTTAGGGTGAGGTGACGGTATGGCAGCCTTATCGATAAGAAGACCTGCAGGGACCCCTGCGACCCCTAACCCCTGCCCCTTACTAGCACCCACGAGCACATCCAATACTAGGGGGAAAGTGGTCTGTGCATCTCACCGCTTTCCCTTTTCTCAACCCAAGAAACTTGAGTGGGCAGAACTCTAAAAGTTTCCAAAAAGCTGTGCCTAGTGATGGATAGCGATGCCTCCGACACCTGCCCATCAACTTGAGAAAAATCTCGTGATGTCTTCCAAATCGTCCAAGAAGCGCGATGGCGCTTCATCGTCTAAAATCAATGATACGCGTTTCGCCAGCTTCGAGACTGACCCTCGATATGCCCTCCCCTCCAAGAAGAAATCCAAGACAACTATCGATAAACGATTCTCGCGCATGCTGAAGGATGACGAATTCACCGCTGTCTCTAGAGTCGACAAGTACGGACGAAAAATCAAGTCCGATTCCAAGAAGAAGGCGCTGCAGCGATTGTATCAGGATCAAGACGAGGATGAAGATATCGAAGTCGAAGACGATGACATTGTCCAGCGGGAGCTGGAGAAGGCTGAGGCGAAATATGATCCGGCGAGAGGAGGCGGCTTCTCTTCCTCGGAATCTGATACAGAATCTGACGAGGAGTCCACCGACGAGGACGACGAACACGTGCACGAAGAGGCAGGCAAAGCACCCGATATGCAGAAGTACCGAACGCAGCAGTCAGAAGTGGAGACCGGAGAAGTAACGAACCGCATCGCTATCGTCAACATGGACTGGGACAACATCAAATCGGTTGACCTGATGGCTTTGTGTAAGAGTTTTGTGCCCATAAGTGGGCGCATAGAGAAGGTCTCCATTTACCCATCGGAATTCGGCAAGGAGAGAATGCAGCGAGAGGAGCTGGAGGGCCCACCGAAGGAGATTTTTAAGAAGGACAAGGCCAACCACGATTCAGACGAGTCCGAGTCCGAAGATGATGAGGGGTCAGAGGACGAGAGCGACCCAGCCGACGACAGTGACGAGGAGGCCAAGCGCGATCTTCTGAAAGAGGGCAACGATGAGGACTTCGACAGTGATGCGTTGCGGACATATCAGCTCGACAGGTTACGGTACTACTATGCAGTCATGGTCTGCTCAGACAAGAATACGGCACAGAAAATTTACGAAGCGACGGACGGCTCTGAATATCTCTCGTCCTCGAATTTCTTGGATCTGAGGTTCATACCCGATGATGTCACTTTTGACGACGAGCCTCGAGATGAATGCGACACAGTCCCCAACGATTACAAGCCAGTCGAGTTCGTGACCGACGCTCTCCAACACTCAAAGGTCAAACTCACATGGGACGTGGATCCCGAGGAAGTTAAACGCAAGGAGTCCATCAAAACTGCCTTCAGTGGAAGCAAGAACGATATCGCAGAGAATGACCTGCGAGCCTATCTGGCAAGCGATAGCGAGGAGGAAGAAGACGAAGACGAAGACGCCACGGAAAAGGCTACAGCCGAGCCAAAGCTCAGCAAGAAGGAGTTGGCCCGCAAGAAGATGCGGGAAGCTCTCGGCCTAAGCGATGACGCAGGCAAAGCTTCTGACAGTGGTCCTGTAGGAGACATGGAGATTACATTCACCCCGGCATTAACAGAAAGCTCCGGTGCAAAGGACCCGGAGACCGAAACCACCGCCGAAAAGTACATCCGCAAGGAGCGTGAGCGGAAGGCCCGGAGGAAAGAGCGAGCCGCCGCGACCCGGGGAGAGGATACCAACAAGGATGCGACAAACGGGCCAGAGGAGGACCTTGGATTCGACGATCCCTTCTTCACCATTGAGGAGCCCAAACCGGCCTCAAAAGCCCAGCTACACAAGGAAGAGCGCCGTAAGAAGAGGGAGGCCAGGGAGGCCGAGGAGAAGAAGAGCGCTGTTGACAGGGCGCAGCTGGAACTGCTCATGGAGGATAATCACGACGAGGAGACAGGCCAACTGAAGCATTTCAACATGGATGAGATCATCAAGGCCGAGAAGAAGAAGAACAAGAAGAAAGCCAAGACAGGCAAGAAGGATACTGTTGACGCAGGAGGACTACAGGAGAATTTCAAGATCAACGCGGGTGATGATCGTTTCAAGGCCCTATTTGAGGAGCACGAATTTGCTATCGACCCGTCCGACCCCAAGTTCAAAGCCGCATCTGGTATGAAGCAACTTGTAGAGGAGGGCAGAAAGAAACGAAAACATGGGGCTGGTTCTGATGGCCCTGAGGAGCCAAGGCAGAAGAAGCCCAAAAAAGTCAGATCTGGCCAGGACTTGGACAGCCTGGTCACGTCACTGAAGAAGAAGGCTGGGGTTAAGAAATAGATGCAGTGGAAAGGCAGATACCCAATCAACACATAACACCAATGATTGATTCACCTTGCCTTTTTTTTTACCGGTCGAGGGCTCCACTTGGCAGCCAGGAGTGGCTGACAGGTGACACTTCCTCGGGTTACACCGCAGGCCGTGCTGCAAGAGGCCCATCAGTGGGTGCCTAGTAGAGCCTCATGGAAATCTCACTCCCCTCATTTTTTACATATTCTTCCTCCCAGTCTTCAACCAGTCCTACTCCATAAGGCTTCCTGCGGACGATACACCGAATCTTGTCATATCACCAACCACCAACCATCTCTCCCATGACTTTGGCCCGGGCAGTTGTAGAGGTGGGCACCAAAGCAGTCAAAGGGGCTGCCCTGCCCAAGTCCCAACGAGCCACTATAATTACCACAATGGATAAAGGGCAAGAGTCGTCCAAGGGCGTTGTCTCGCAGGCAAGTTCTCACGTACTATTTCCCAACACCCATCCTCCAAAACAAGAACACGGCTCCATAGGGGCAAATACCGACAGGAGACCTGGCTGCCTGGGACGTGGGGCACACACCAAGCAAGACACTGGGCTGACTCAACTGGCTGACGTCGATCATAGGCCACCGACTGGGTCTCGGCCAACCCTGGAGCCGCTGCTTGCCTTGCTGTCGGTGCTGCGGTTGGTGTGCCTCTTGTAGTGGCCCCAATGGCCGTAGCGGGGCCCGTTCTGGCCGCTGCTGGTTTCGGCTCTGCTGGTATCGTCGGGGGTAAGCAAATTTGTCCCCCCAAAAACTGCGTCTCCCTTTCTTCGGGCCATCCGTCATGCTTTATTGCTCACAGGGACGTCTATTGCCATTTAGGTTCTGCCGCCGCCGGAGCAATGGGCTCAGGGGTTGCCGCAGGGAGTGCCTTTGCTACGTTGCAAAGCGCAGCGATGGGCGGCTACGGCGTTGCGGCGGTCACGGGCGTTGTGCAAAGCGCTGGTGTCGCTGTTGCCGGCGCCTCGGGTGGCTTGGCCACTTGGATTCAGAGGAAGAAATCCAAGGAGGAGGAGGAGGAGGAGACTGCTAGTTCTGAGAATTCGGAAGATGAAGCCGTTAAGACGAAGCTTTAGTAAGTTGGAGTGCTCAGCAACATTAGGCATTCCGGCCTAGTGCAATATCATTATGGCAATGCCTGGTTTCTACAGTATTATCTATATATTTACAGTGTAATCCTGACTGTCTTGGCAACGCTCGGAACACCGCTAGCAGACAAAGCAAACAAGTAGTAAAACCCAGGTATCAGGATCCCGCTGTCAGCAGGAAGGGTGGCCGTGTACGAATTTCCACGGATTTCCACGCTCGTCAGCGGCACACGCCTCTGGTCACTGTTGACGCTGTGCGTGACACTTCCAATGCGGACCAGAACCAGCTTCGAATTGGCCATGTTGACCGAAGCGGTGAGCTTCGCCCCGACCTTGACCACGGTGGCACTGACGGACGAGATCACAGGCCGTGCGGCGGCCGTGCCGTCGGCCTTGAACAGGTACGGCGGGCTGAAGATCTGGCCGTCCTTGTGGTCAACCACCTTGTTGCAGTTCGCTGAGCTTGCGCCCGGCTGACCGACATAGCACAAGCCTCCACCGCCGGTGAAGACGGTGCCGTCTGGGAGCAGCAGGCTCACCGAGTGATAGTTCCGCGGGACGGCCTCCGCGGCGAGTGTCTTCCAGGTCTTGGTGGCGGGGTTGAATATCTCAGCCTGGAGAATACCATCTGTGTCAGTAAAGACAAGCGAGCGCCTCTGTCCTCCCGTCACTAGGACCTGGCCGTCCGGAAGGACAACTGCATTGGCGAAGCCGCGCGGGTAGGCCATATCGGCGACGCGTTCAACCGATGCCGGCTGGTTGGGGTTGTTGATCGTGGTGACGTGAGCCCGATTTGTTGCGTCTGAGTCTGTGTAATCAGGCGAACCGCCGGCTGATAAAATCTTGCCAGGCTCATACATGGCCCATACGCCGCACATCGCGTCATCTGAATCTCGTGTGCCGGCTGCGGCTTGAGAGCCTGTGCCAGCCGTACCGTACCAGTTCTGAGCCTTGCTAGGCCCTGCCTGGAACACCCTATGAAACCTGTTAGCTCTGAAAGGCTGAGAAACTGGAAGTGCACAGCTCACGATCCGTTTTTCCAGCCTACAAGCCATCCATGGTTGTCCTCCCTCCAGATGCCCTCGTGGTCGACCGTCAGCATCGGCCCAACCTTGGCGCCTGGGAGAGCAGTCCACTTGTTGGTGGCAGGATCGTAGAGCTCTCCGTCTTTACCAACAACGGGTGGGGAATAAGCTCCGCCAATGGTAAACACTTTTCCGTCCGACAGGGTTGCAGACGTCTGGTAGCCCCGTGGGGTGACCATGTTCGGGCCCTTGGTGAAGGCGTTGGTAGCAGGATCATAGAAGCTGGTCACTTCGGCATTACTACCTCCCGTAATCACGAGACGCCCGTCTGCCAGACTGCTCATGCCGGGGCAGAACATGTCGTGACCTGTGTTTGCCACCGTCCGGGCTGAGACCGCACCACTTTGAGCAGTGAAGTTAGCAAATTGGAAAGGTCGGGAGTAGCAGCTCTCGGGGACAGAGGCACCCAGGTGATCTTTGTACTCACGTCTTGAAGTTATAGTCGGCGAATTGGGTCTGACCGCCAGCACCCCCGAAAGCATCACTCCCCCAGCTGCTGAATACCAGCAGCCTTGAAGATTCAGGCATCGCAGGGACGATATAGGCCGCAACAGGGATGACAGGGAAGCGGACAAGATCCGACCATGAGCCCGAAGTCGCGGGGGCGGCCGCAACATCCTGGCGAATGACATCAAAGCGCTTGTTGGTCGACCAGATCAGGGTGTTGGTCGCGGGGTCAGCTTTGATATGGCAGACCAGGGCCACGTTGTCGAAGACAGCCCTCTGACACCCGTTAGTTGTGGCACATCGCTGCGCGCAGTCCTGCGTGCTGGCGACGTTGTTGATCATCTGGGCGCTGGCACCCCGAACGTCAGTGTCTGGGCAGATCTTGTAGCTCTTTCCACTATTCGTATAGGTTGTCTCCGTGAAGGGGCAGCGAGCGACATTGGTCTGCTCAGGCAGGTCTGAGTGTGACGTTAGTCCTGAAATGTATACTGAAGTTTGGCGCATCTCAGAGCATCCAAAACCATGAAAAACGGAGGACTGTGACAGAAGAAAAGTGATAGTATAGCTTACTGTTGTTCAGATACACAACGGTGAACTGGTTGTTCTGGACCCAGTTCAAGGCATTTGGCCCATTGTTCTTAATGTGGCACACCTTGTTTTGGTTGTCGTAAACAGCCTTCAGGCAATTCCCTCTAACATCGCAGGCCTGGGCACATGCCGTGACTGTGGCGGTGTTGGCCAACATCTCGTCTGAAGGACCGACATAGTCTGTAGCTGCACATATCGCGTACTTGGCACCACCTGGACCTGTGTAGGTAGTAGGCGTTGTGGGGCATTGCGTGATAGCAGTCGCGAAATGTGACAGAGACCAAAAAGCAACCGCTACCTTGAGAATGGATAAGGAGCCCATGACGGTTTTGAACGAGTGAGTGAGCAAGTGAGTGAGCGAGTGTAGGGAGATACTGGCGAGAAGAGAGCACGCCTGGATGATACAACAATTCCCCCTTCGCCTCGAGGATGAAAAAGCAGATTGAATATAAGCATATATCTGACGAGGGATTCCTGGGGCCCGCCCAATTTATACGCAGGCACCATATTGAGTGCACATGTGTGGTAGGACCACGATGCCGGAGAACAGGAGTCAGCGATGCCTAGATACCTAGGCATGCAGTCATCGAATAGTCTATCAGTAGCAAGAAGGGTAACTAGGAACCGGTGAAGGAAACCAAGACGCCTGAGCAAAATTGCAAGCTTGGATACGAAAGGAACTAGTATCGATTTACAAGCCTGGATACCTCTCTCCTACTTACCCGGCCCCCTTGAGTGCTCCTCACGACGGCAGCACCGTTCACAAAATACAGATGGCCCAGCCAGACGGTTCTGTTCCTGGGCCACCCACGCGGTGGCATCTTAGCCCATCGCAAATGACGCCGTCGTGGCTATTTTAGAAGATTGAGCGTGCTAGTTACCAGCCGCAAAGCTAGAGAAGGTTCTGCGGATGCGATCTACCTCTACGGTGTCTAGTGGCTCGTGTGCCGGTCGTCGACCGAGCGGCCAAGACGCGGTCCGGCAGCAAAAGCCTCGTGATCAAGCGTGTAGTTGACCACGGGCCCTCGGGTAGTGGCCAAGAGATGGTCTGTTAGTACCTAGGTATGGTCGGATGTCGGCAGGCGTGTTCATTGGACCAGAAGGACCCAATGGACCGCCGGCGTCCAGGCCTTAGAAGTGCATTTGGCGTGTATCTGCCCACGAGTGAGCTAGGCGACGGGGCTAGACAAACTGGACCAACACTCAGCTGCCCATACTAGTAAATCCTGCTTCAGCCGCTATTAGTCTTGGTAAAATAGAGGAATACTTGCATCCCCCGTCACCGACCTTCTTGGATGGTTTTACTTCTTTCTGTCCAGGCTCACTTGAGATTGCACCCCATATTCCCAGATGGCGGGTGGGATCTTCAGCCACGAAATTGCAGACCCGAAGATGCCAAGTCGTGGGAAGACGCAGGAATGGTGGGATTGCTTACAATGTGCATATGCGCCCGTTTTGAGGTGCCTGGCCTCGAGATATGTCGACCGATTGGAAATAAACTTGGAAGCATGGGCGCATGCCACATGTGCACTGTATCGAATGGACGTCACCACAAAAATATGTTTTGTGAAGCACGTCCCGATCGCATCGGTTTGTAGACATGCGCAGGTGCGACTATACGTCCGTACACGGGCACCCCTTTACCGCCCTGGTCGCTTAGTAACTCGACCTCTTGATGTCCGGGGTTCTAGGGACTTCTTTCAACCTCCTTAGCCATCTACAACTACAGCATTAGTCTATTTTCTGTGAACAAGTTTCGTGCAACATGACTTTTCCAACACCGTATCATGGCCGCATGTTGTCTGAAGCTACGTTTTGTATGTGACGCGACCTCACCATTCAATGTTCTTTTTATTTTAAGTTCAGTACCGGCAGGATGTGGTCAGGGTACTTAGCGGGTGACCTATTAGAAAGTATAGTTTATTTAAGTACAAATGGTTACTTTTAGTTTAACAGGAGGATTACTAGGCGCCACCTAGGTATGATTAAAAACTGTAAGTTATGGTTCAAACCCATTATAATGGTAGAAATGTGCCCTGTGGTAGTTGTAATTCTCAACCATGCATTCTAGTAATCCTCCTGTTGAGTGCGAAGTAATCGTTAATTGATGGTGGAGAACCGTAATTCTCACTTGACCATTGCATTTTCTAGGGCCAGTCTTGGCTGACACCAAGCTCCTCTTGCTTTTGGGTTTGACTTTGAACAAGTCAGTATGCGTATTCTGTCGCCAATCTGCCTCAGAGGCTTCGCCAGCATTAATAACAGTCAGTTGTGGTCATTTGTGTGACGTTGTGACGTGAGACAGTCGTGGCCCTGTTGTTGGGCACCCCTGCCAAGTTATCGTCATCTGGTGTGCCCAGCCAGCCAGCCAGCCCAGAGCCTGCTGGAGCCAGCGGCGGAAATGAGACGGCAGCTGGACGGGCAATCTGCTGGCTTTCCCCAGGACGGGCCCATGACGTATGACGTCACCTCCCGAGCGCTCTGGGCCTTCTGGCCCTGTGCCTGGCAAGACTGTAACCGTAGCGTCCAGATTGACTGACAGGCTTCTAGTGCAGACTAGTTGACTACCTAGACCAGCAGACCAGATACTGCTCGGTGCTGTGGTATCTATCGCCAACCCGCGGTTTGTTCTTGGCTCTTCTGCATCGCCCCGGCTGCCCGGGACCCCGACTCAAAACTCAAACAACGACTGAATCCCGCCCGCAGCCCGCAGCCCGCAGCATCCGATGCTCTTTTGAAAGCGAGGCACCTCCCCAGACGCCTTGAGCAGCCGTCTTATCTCTTCGCAGCCACTCAGCCCGGCACCACTGCGACTGACTGCGCCAGGCCTGCCAGCTCCACGTCGCCATGGGCCGCAAACCACCACCCCGACAAGTCGACGGCGCCGCACAGGATGAGAATCCATATTTCGACCCCCGCGTCACTCACCGTGCCTCCGACCTGGCCCCTTCCAGGAGCGCTCCCCAGTCTCATTATGCTCCAGCACCCTCCACCGGCCCCAACACGCCCACGCGTGAGCTCCCTCCCCCGGTCACGAGGCCGCCGCCCTCCCACCCCCGTGGCAGTGCCGTAGGCCGACAACAGTCGTCCATCGGCCTCAGGAGACTCCGCGCCCCATCGCTGCCTTCTGGTACAGCTCCCGCTGCCACAGACTGGGAGCCCGCCCGTGCGCGCTCGCCCGCACCCGCAAACCATCACCGCAATGACCACTCGCCGGACAATGGCGGCCGCAGACGCTCCAGCTCTGATCCCCAGCGCCCAACCTGGCTCACCGATCCCACCCGGAGTGGCCACCCCGCCAAAAGCCGCGTGCGTCACTTGCCTTCGGTCCCTGAACTGTCAGAGTCTGGACCGCCCGCCGGCCGTGCCGCCAGTCGAAAGGGCTCAATGTTTTTCCGGCCGTGGAGGCATCACCAGCACGAGAAACAGCAGCCTCAGCCAGAACAAGAAGCCGAGTATGACACCAGGATCGTCGACCTCCTGGACGTCCTCGACCCCGAGGTCTCCACCCTGACCTCCATCACTAATGTTCAGAACTCCTTGTTCATACCCTCGCTCGGCCGATGGGTCAACCGACGACCAACCTACGACGTCTCCAGCATCCGTGGCCCCGCCGCCGGCAGATCACGGGAGGACCTCCCGGAACACCAGCCTGTTGTTGCCCAGGCAGACGAGCGCTCCGAGTCTGGTCGCGCCTACAGCATCTCATCCAACCTCGACGACACCCACTATGCCGTCCTCCCCCACGGCCAGTCCCTCGAGGGGTGGAGCCAGGAGGAGGTCGCCATGCTGAACGACCATGTCAGGCACATGCTGCATTCGCGGCGGTCAAAGTTCAAACGTGGCTTAAAGGGCTTTGGCAGATATGTCAGTCGGCCCCTGGGCTTTTTCGTCACCCTCTACGCCACACTCATCACCTTGTTTGGGCTCGCATGGGTTCTCTTCCTCATCGGCTGGATCTCCATCGGATCCAAGCAGAACTACCTCATCAACATCATTGATTACACCCTTGTTGCCCTCTTTGCCATCATGGGCGACGGCCTGGCACCCTTCCGTGCGGTAGATACCTATCACATGATCTACATCGCACATTACCGTAAGCATTGTCTGTGTGGGATCCCTCTCGAACTAACCTATCGTGACTAACGCACTACAGACCGCATGAGCTTGAAGATACGGAAGCAGCTGCTTCTCCCGAAGCTTCGCGACCCCAATGACCTGCCCACCGAGCCGGTCATCCCGGACGTCGAAGCTGCCGCCGCAAACAGCGATCTGCCCGAGGTGGAGCCTGGCGACGACTTTGCTGTTCTCTCGCCAAAGCAGCAGGAGACGCTGGTGCATCACCAGACAAAGTACGCCAAGTCACACACGTTCTACAAACCACACGAGACAGAAACCCACTACGCATTCCCGCTCAACTTCATGATCACCATCACGTGCCTCCTCGACCTCCACAGCTGCCTCCAGATCTCGCTCGGGGCCACCACCTACGGCATCAAGCCAGAGTCGCGCCCGTTCGCCCTGACGACGGTCATCCTCTGCTGTTCTATCACGGTCAATGCGACCGCTGGTCTGCTCATCTGGATCGGGGATCGCCAGACGCGGAAGAAGGATGTGATCGAGCGGATGACACGGCAGCAGATGACTGAGGAGGCCATGCACGAGGTACAGAAGAAGAAGAAGAAAGAGTTGGAGAAGGCCGCGAGGCCGTCCAGCGACGACAAGGGCAACGGAGACGGCGGGTGGAGGGAGAGCCTCAACCTCCCGCGGCTGAGCCTTGACCAGTTCAGGAACTCGCAGAAGAAGGGAGAAAGCTCAGCGTCTAGAGAAAAGGCTGAGAGCCCCCGCACTGAGGGTGCAGGATCTACTACGCGTGCCTAGAGGATCTTAGAAAAGGGGGCATTACCAGCATTACCAGCGGCGCTTTTGGCACAAGACTTTTCTATATCATTTTTAATAGCACACAACAAACAGCCTTGGAGATACCCGAAACAGCAGTCATTTTCAGAACCGAGCAACGATTGACAAGAAGTGACATTTGGCCGTGAGGAGCTTCCTGGTTTGGAATTAATCGATGGTCTTCAACATGAAACTGAAGACGTAAAGGCAACATCTTGGAGCTTCTCTAGTGACCAAGAGCCCACAGGTTGCGATGCTGGAGCCCGACGTTGGCAGCATTGAGGAGAGTGGTCCCACGAAACAGACTAAAAACCAAGGCGCTAGCAGACAATACCGGACTGACGGATAAGCAAGCCAACTAGACGCGTTGAGATGGTCGGCACAACCCCATTCCGAGCTAGCCCTGCGCGCCGGGCATCCCGGACATTAGCGGCATACCGAACCGGCCCAAACTCAACCGCCACGCGGGCTACGCCGGCACTTGCAGCAGGCTGTCCCACGCAAATCAACGGGACAACCGCGGACCGCCTGACAAAGGAATGGAGAAGGCATGTGGCGGAGAAGAAGCCAGCTAGGCATGCTAGGCAGCCACGCCGCCGGGTCAGGTCTTGGCATGGAGGAACTACAACGCTCTTGTCCGAAAACATCTTGGTGTGAAGTTGAGCGAGACATTGAGTGAGACACTGACCAGTGGGGTAATGGAACGTGCTTCTCTTGTCCAACATGGCTGAGGATAAATAGAAGACGCCTCTCACGTTGATATAACCTAGGTATTCTAAATACTAGCAACTACCCCGTCATCTCTATAGTTCCAACCCTGCCCCTGCCTACCACTGGCAATATTCGGATCTCCGTGGCCAAAATGATCGACCACACGCAGGTGTCCATAGCGGCGGCGGACCACAAGGCCCTTGTCGCCTTCTACGAGGCCGCGCTTAAGCCCCTCGGGTACAAGAAACTCATGGCCTTTGGGCCCAACGAGGAAGCCGTCGGCTTTGGGGACGGCCGTTTGGCGCACAGGTCGGTTGTGAATACTTTCAGACCACCTCCTTGTCCCTGTGAATGAACAAATCCACTGACCAGTCTGGACAGCCCAACGGCGACTGACTGGTGGGTCATGGCCTCGCCGACAACCCCCGGCAACTCACATCACGCGTTCCGCTGCAAAGGTCAGTCGTGGTGACCGGGAAGGGTGTGTGGGATCAGCAACTAATGGTTGTGTGGTCTCAAATGCGCAGATCGAGCATCTGTGGACGCCTTTTATAACGCAGCCATAGAAGCCGGGGCCAAAGACAACGGCAAGCCTGGCATTCGCGCTCACTACCACGCGAATTACTACGGTGCTTTTGTAATTGTCAGTCTATGGTGTCTTCAAATGTTGCAGCATGCTCCAGCGTTGCCGTTGCTGACCTCGGAAACCTGACAGGATCCTGCTGGCAATAACATCGAGGCTGTTTGCCATGAAATTGTCGAGTGATGGCGACTCATGACCTGGGCAGGCGCGTACTGGCGCCAATCTGTTACGGATTTGGCAGCTCGGCCTCCAAGTGTATGAAGACTGGCAGTTCAATGTGATCCCCAAGCTGTGGAACTTCAGATTTGAGAACACTGTCAAGGGATCTTCGGGACACATGTGTCAGACACGTAATTTGTCTGTCCTACAGCATTGTCATTGATGGATCACATGGCATGCACTACTTGTCAATTGCAAATATCTAGTGGACTTGGGTCAAACCTCGAGTTGATTTGAGTCTCCTAGAAGTTCACACACAGCCTTGAGGCCCACTTCGAAACCGTCGGGATGCTTGCCGAGAGGGACCCTGAGAAACCCCCGCAAAAAACGTCAACTGGTACCTACACTACATATCCGTACTTGGGATCCACAACCACCTGGGGGCTATTTATCTCGTGGGGTCGTGGGGCCGAGCGTCCTATTGTGTAAGTGACGTAGGCGGTCGCCATGTACTCCACTCAAGTGCTCCGTATGGCCTGCGACCGATCTGCCCGGTCCGGCGGCCCATATCAGCGGGAGGCCTTGTTTTGTTTCAGGCAGCGGTCTGCCGGCCCCAGCACAGACTGAGCAGCGGCCGGCTGCGAGATGGGCGGCCGAGGTTGGGGGACAATTGTCGAGGCCTCGGCAATGTGCCAGGCCCCTGGTGTAATAACTGAAGTAAGCAATGAAATATTAACTGCACCGCCTCGTGGCTCCTTCAGCGCCTACCGCATCGACTGCTCCGCGGGGGTGGGTAACAGAACCACACGACTGGAACACGGCAGGATTGCTAAGGCCATGACGATACTCCGTAGTGGCCCCCAAGTAGCAGGGGCGGGCCGGCCACCAGTCCCTAGCGCGGCAGCCAAGGCACTACCGACCCGAAAACAGGCCCAATTTTAGCATCTTTTGCAGGCTAGGCGTACTGTTGTATACGAGGACTGCCTTATGCACACACTTGCATGGGCTGCCCACGCCGCTCCTTCGTGTGTGACACTTGCAGCCCGTGTTCGCCTTCCCTCACACCACAATTTGAAGGTACAACGCCCAGCCCAGCCATTCTACATAATAACCATGCCCTGCTGCCCCTCCGTCCCCTCGGGCGCCTCGTGCGTGCCAGTGCAGTGCAACCTCGAGGCTTGAGCTTCGTCGGCCCACTTGGTCAAGTCTGTCTACTTGAGTATCTCAAGTAACTTGGAGATATCGTGTGTGCACATACACACAAAAGCCCCTACACACACACACACACACCGAACTGGACCCAGGTGCCGCAACGATGCCTTCGGTCCTCGTCACCCTCACACGTCGTGATGCGTCACCAAGCACCGGTACAGACACGGCTGCGAGCACAAGCACATCCACCACAGACCCAACCCGACCATGGATAATACTCGCAGCCGTAGCCGCCCTCTTGACGCTCGGCGCATGTACCGCATTGGTCGTCATCTCCTTGTCAAAACGACGCCTCCTCAAGCGACAACTCGACGAGAGTCGACGGCGGGACTCGGGCTTCGACTCGGGCCTCGACTCGGGCCGCGCCTGGGAGAAGCCAAGCAGGAAGCGCAAGATGACAGCAGAGGCCCTAGAGATGGAGGCAGAGTCAACCAGGACGGCAATCATCAGGAAATCACTGGCCGGCCGGACCGCATCCTTCGCCACTTCACACCGCTCCAGCATGGCAGAGAGGCCCGAGAGCGGCGACGGCGACGGCCCGAGGTACGACTGGAAGGACTTCGAGGCGGGCTTCTCCCGCCACAGCTCAGTCGCGTCCCTGAGGAGGTCCTCTTCGCCCATGCCCGAGCTGCCCGCGCCTACCCTCTCGCGCTCGTCGTCACCGAGTAGGAATCCTTTGCTCGTGGGGCGGGCGGAGCTTCCCCCACCGCTCGAGCAGCACCCTTGTTTGAGACAATGAGCCCGCCTGATTAGTAGTAAAGAGGCAGCTTGATATATCAACAGCAGCATTTCTCACGACTTTTAGGGGTTCCTTTACTCTACTAAGTCTAGTTATAATAAGTATATATATTTAGTCTTAATTTAATTAGCGGAATATAACCCTTAATAGCACCTACTAATATTTATATTAATTAATATTTATAAAGTAATATTTATTATTTATTATTTATTATATTATATATTATTAAACTTATTTTTAAATATTATTAATAATATATTATAAATTTTTAAAAAACTTATATTATAATATAATATATAAAAAAGATATTAAAGAATAAATAGAATAAATTAGATTATAAACTATTATAATTAATTAAATATACTTAAAGTAGTGTATTATAGCCTCTTAGAGCTATATTATAACTATTAGCCTTTATATATAATTCACTAGCTAGATTATACCACACTCTAAAGACTAAGATAGTTCTTACCCTAGCTTATTCCTCACACCCCAAACTCGCTTTGATTTTAATATATCCTAAATGTCCTGCTCTTAGCTTGGCATTCCTGATTTCTTGTGTGAGTTGCATTCGGTCTACTATGCTCCCCACTTAGCTTTAGTGGAATGGCCCCTTCATCTTTCTTTTTCCTTTCTGGAACCTAGAATGCCACCCTGGCCTGAAGGGCCTTACAAACAACCGGTGGAAATGCAGGGTACGTGTGACGGTACGGGCTTATATACTGCTGGGTCACCAATTACTTCGAATTGGTTATTATGGTCTTTTGGCCGAGCGGTCTATTACGCCAGCAGTTAATAGGTAAGCCGTCTCAGTATGTACCCTAGGGTAAGTATTGATGACCGACTGCCAGCATACCAATCACCACTACAATATGGTGGAATTACTACCTGATGCAGCTGTGCTGCCGGCTTTATGATTGACAATGTCTGCTAGACCTCACTGGCAGCCTCTGAATGACATCTGGACTGATGCTGCATGTGGTGCTTTTGTTCCATTCTCATTCACCTCATACTAGTCATACAAGATGTTGTTTCCCAAGGAAGGGAGTGATTCAAGCATAGGTGCTAAAACATGTACACAATTATGCGCAGATCATTTGTATTCTTTGAGTTCTTCGATTAGGCCGGAACAATAAAACCTGTGATGGGATGGAAGAGAACAGGTTGTATGCTACAACCTGGAGCCTAATCAGGGCCTCGGGGTGGCTTAGGAAGCCGCTCTTAATTAACAGGCCCATATTCGCTCGGGACTTCCCACCTCTTCTTCATCCACTTAAGCCTTCTATCATAGCCTTCCTCGGTGCGGTCATCATAGTCATTCAGTATCCAGCGCTGGCACCTAGGCGGCCAATAGCGTTCGAAGGTGGTGGCTGGGCATTTGGGCGGTGGTGTCTTTCTGATCACCATCCGGTCGTCTAAACACAATAGAATGGCTGAACCAATCAGTGTAATTTGCCAAACAGGAGTGTCGTCCGAAACCTTTGATACCATGTAGTCCCAGGATGCAAGTCATTGGACTGTACGGTCTGTACCCCAATCCAGGTGAGCTGGCTGTGGGCCTCCATCATACGGTCCAGTAAATCCATGCGGACCTTAGGGTTAATGTTCTCTACTTCCCCATTCTCTATAGTATCACCGTGGATGAATTGCTGTAGAATTAACCGGACCTCACGGCAGGCTACCAAGCGGCCCTCGGCATCATAAAGAAGCCGTTCTAGAAACCAGCAGCCTTGAAATCTTGGTGTATACTTTCCGTCCAGCTTCTTCTCTTTGATCCTCACACAGGCAGCGGCCTCGGAGGAGTGATACAGCTCAGAGAAGTATGTAGGCGAGCATTCCTGTGCCTCGCAATTTCCAAGTCCGATGTAAAGAGGGTCAAAGATCTTGGCGACTAGGTGTTTTCCAGCTAAGTCTTCCTTTCCGTCTGTGCCTTTTTTGTAAACACGGCACCTCACAACCTGGGCATTGCAAGGGTCACCACACCGGATCTCCTATGTAACTTGGAGGCGGCGTGTAGCTTCGTGTGGACGGACTTGGGCAGGAGGGGGCCTTGTTCTCCTAGGTCTATGCTCAAGGCACATCTCGACAATAGTACCTACTGGGTACGCCTTCAAAACCAGGCCACGGTTCACAATCCCACTCGTTGGGATCTGGCCCGGGTTGTCCGTTGCCGTTGTGGAATGCAGGCGGGGGTGTGTGTGGTTTGAAATCGAAGTAGGCGCCCGGGTTGTAAGAAAGAGGGGGTCGGGGTATGGCAACAGAAGACCTTTGAGAGGAAGGAGTGGGTGCATGATTTACTTGGACCCTACCGCCTGCCTGGTGGCAGCGGTAGTAGTGGGCGTAACGCGCGCATCCTGCTCAGAGGCCATTTCCATGGATTCAGTGTGCAAAATAGACCAAGCGGTTTAATGTGAATGGCAGATGTCTGGGCTGTGATGCTATGAACTTAAGGTTGGTTGTTGTTGAGTTCGGGGGGGGGGGCATCGTTTATAGCATTGCGAGAACGGGTCGCCGCAGCTTGAATGCAATTACCAAAGTAAAAAAGACTACATATCACTTCCAGGTATTTTTTCTTATATAAATATTAACTTTTAATTAGTTTTAATACCTTTTAATAAAATTTTAAAGATATAAAAAGGTATTTTTTTAATAATAAATAATATTATAAATATAATAAATTATAAAGTTATTATAAAAAGTTTTATATAATAAATTTAATTAAATTAATTTTTTAAAAATATATTATATTATATTTTTTTAAAACTTTAATTATTTATTTTTAATTTAATAATAAAATTAAAAATAAAATAATTTATATAAATATATTAAATTATATTTAATTAATTTAAATTAATATTATTAATTTATTAAAAGTTAAAGTTATTATAAATTATAAATTAATTTTAATATTATTAAATATTATATATAAAATTATTATATAATTTAAACTTTTAAATATAAATTAATTAAAATAAATAAAAATAAAGTTATTATTTTTAAAAATTTTAACTTTATTTAAATATTTATTTATTTATTAACTTTATAAATAAAATTATTAAAAATAATTATTTAACTTATTATATTTTTATTAATTTAAATTATAATTTTAAATAAAATAATTATATTTTATTATTTAAATTTATAATTTTAATAATTTATAAATAAATAAAATTATTAATAATTAAATATATAATTATATATAAATAAATATTTATTTTAAAATATTATTAATATTTAAAATAAATTAAAATTTATAAAATTTTAAATTTAAATTTAAAAGCTTTATTTTAAATTTAATATTTTTAAAAAAGAATATTAAAAACTTAAAAGTTTAAATAAAATTAAATTAAATTATAATAATATAAATCTCTCTTTAATATAAAGTTAAAAATTTATACTTATAATTTTTAATTAATTTTTATTATAATTTAATTTAATTTTTAATTTAATTTAAACTTTTTTAAATTATATAAAACTTTTATTTCTATAAATATAAATTTTAAAATAAAACTTTTAAACTTAAGTTTAAAATTTTTATAAATTTTAATTTTCTTTAAATTAAACTTATAATTCTTTAATATTTTTAAAAATATTAACTATTTTAAATATTAATAATTTTTTTAAAATTTATCTTTATATAATTATAAATTTAATTATTAATAATTATTTTTATTTTTATTTATAAACTATTAAAATTATAAACTTAAATATTATATATAATAATAAAGTATAATTATTTTATTTAAAAATTATTTTTAATTTAATAATATAATAAATTAAATAATTATTTTTAAATAAGTTTATTTATAATATAATAAAGTTAATAAATAAATATTTATTTAAATAAAATTAAAACTTTTAAAAATAATAACTTTATTTTATTTATTTTAATTAATTTATATTTATATTTAAATTATATAATAACTTTATATATAATATTTAATAATATTAAAATTAAATAATTTATAATTTATAATAATTTTAATTTTTAATAAATTAATTTATATTAAAATTAATATAATTTAATATATTAATATAAAAATATTTTTATAATATATAATATTATAAAAGTTTTATATAATAAATTTAATTAAATTAACTTTTAAAAATATATTATATTTTATTTTTAAAATTTAAACTATTTATTTTAAATTTAATAATAAAATTAAAAAATATAAATAATTTATAATAATATAAATTAATTAAATAAATATTAATTAAAAATTATAATTATAATTTTTTTAATTTTATATTTAAAAATATTAATATAAATTAATAATTAAAAGTTTAATATTATAATAAATAAATAAAATTAAAACTAAAATTAAAATATAATTAAATTATTGTTTAAATTAAATTATAAATAATTAAATTAAAAGTTTTAATTTTATTTTTAAAAATTTATTAATTAAATTAATAATTAAATTAAAATTTATTTTATTTATTTATATTTTTTATATTTATTATAAATATTTAAAATTTAAATTTTATATTTTTAATATACTTTTAATTATAAATATATTTTTATTTTTAAAAAAGAAATATTTTATTATTTTTAAAAGTTTAACTTTAATTTAATAATAATAAATAAATACTATTTAAATTTTATTAAATTTTAAAAATATTAAAAATATTTTAATTAATTAAATTAACTTTTATTTAATTTATAATTTTAATAATTAAATATAAATTTTTATTAAATAATATTATAAATTATTTATTTATTTTTAAATATAAAATTAAAAATTTATAATTATAATTCTTTAATTCTTTTTAAATATAAAGTTAAAAATTTATAATTATAATTTTATAATTAGTTTTTATTTAATAATATTATATTATTATAATTTTATTTAACTTTATTTAAGCTTTTTTAAGTTTTTTAACTTTAATATCTTTAAAAAGTTAAAGCTTTATATTTCTTAATTTTAAATTTAAGATTTCTATAAATTTTAATATACTTTAAATTAAGTTTATAATTCTTTAACTTTTAAAAATATATTAACTATTTTAAATATTAATAACTTTTTTAAAATAAAGATTTATTTTTATATAATTATAAATTTAATTATTAATAATTATTTCTTTTTTATTTATAATAAAACTATTAAAACTATAAATTTAAATATTATATATAATAATAAAGTATAATTATTTTATTTAATTATTTTTAATTTAATAAGTTAAGTAATTACTTTTAAATATTTTTATTTATTTTTAAGTTTATTAAATAAATATTTATTTAAATAAAATTAAAATCTATATATATTTTTAATTAAAAGAATAATAGTTTTATTTTTATTTATTTTAACTAACTTATATATAAGTTATATAATAATATTATATATAATATTTAATAATATTAAGATTAACTTATAATTTATAATAGCTTTAATTTTTAATAGGTTAATAGTATTAATTTAAATAAATATAGCTTAATATAGTAATATAAAAAAGTATTTTTAATAATAAATAGTATTATAGATAATTATAAAGTTATTATAAAAGTTTTATATAGTAAACTTAATTAAATTAATTTTTAAAAAATATATTATATTTTATTTCTTTAAAATTTTAATTATTTATTTTTAATTTAATAATAAAATTAAAAAATATAAATAGTTTATAATTTTTAATTAGTTTATATTTAATTATTTAATTATATTATAATTTAATTTAACTTTATTTAACTTTTATTTTAAATTTATTTAATATTTTTAAATAAATTAAATTTAAATTAAAATTTTTAAACTTAAATTTAAAGTTTTTATAAATTTTAATTTATTTTAAATTAAATTAATAATCTTTTAATATTTTTAAAAATATATTAATTATTTTAAATAATAATAACCTTTTTAAATAAAGATTTATTTTTATATAATTATAAATTTAATTATTAATAATTATTTTTTTATAAATTTATTAAAATTATAAACTTAAGTATTTTATATAATAATAAAATATAATTATTTTATTTAATTATATTTTAATTTAATAAATAAAATAATTATTTTTAAATAATTTTATTTATAAAATAAATAAATAAATATTTATTTAAATAAAATTAAAACTTTAATTAAAGAAATAATAACTTTATTTTTATTTATTTTAATTAACTTATATTTATATTTAAAAATTTAAATTATATAATAACTTTATATATAATATTTAATAATATTAAAATTAATTTATAATTTATAATAACTTTAACTTTTAATAAATTAATAATATTAATTTAAATTAATATAATTTAATATATTAATATAAAAATTATTTTGAATAATAAATAATATTATAAATATAATAAATTATAAAATTATTATAAAAGTTTTATATAATAAATTTAATTAAATTAATTTTTAAAATATACTATATTTTATTTTTTAAAATTTTATTTATTTACTTTTAACTTAATAATAAAATTAAAAAAATATAAATAGTTTATAATTAAAATTTAATAATATTTTAAGTTTAATAAAAAAAATAAAAATATATAAAACTTTAAATATATTATTTAATAAAACTATTTTTAATAAAATAAATAAATATATTAATATAGTAATTTTTATTTTAAAAATAATATTTTATATATTTTAAATTATATTTTATTTATTATAACTCTAATAAAAACTATTAGCTTCCTTTTAAGTATCTAAGAGCTCTAGAAGGCCTTGGGGGGGAAGTGACGGTATGGTACTTATATATTGCTAGGATGTAGCTAATCCTTTAGATTGATTATTTTAGTCTTTGGCTGGACGGTCGAGGTGTGTGGCTCATAGTCGCGCCTCCCATTGCAACGCCCTTGGTGTAGGGGGGCAGGGAAGGCTTGCCCGGGTACTTAAGTACAGAGGTAGGGCAGGACTCTAGGTTGGCTCGACTCAGCCTCTACTGGCCTCTACTTGTTAGGCAGCCAGGCAGCAATTGAGTCACTGACCCAGTTGGCCCGTGGTCACCTACCTAGGTACCTAGGCACCTACCAAGCAAGTAGATTAACCAGCTGCCGGCCGGGAGCTCCACTGAAACCATATTGTCGGCGAAGACGGCTCCAAAAGCCTGGCTGACAGAGCCCAAACATCACCTTCTTCTCTTTTTGCCCATTGTCAATCTTTCTCGCCGCGCAAACCGTCACGCCCACTGTCGTCTACCACTTCAGTGAAGTTCAACTACGGGTACGGTTGTCCACAGTTTCTGGCCTGCTTTTTTTCTCGACGGGAGCAAAGCGCATCGCCTCAGATCGCCTTGTCGCTCGTGGAGGACACCTTCACTGGTTGCAGATAAAGCGGTCGGCGACAAAGCAACAACGACGCGAGCCTCCCTTTTGTTCCCTGAACCACTTTCATTTCCATCGTTTGGGCACTACACAGTCCCCGCAACGACCCTGGTGACGATCTCCGAAGCGTAGTCTGCCGTGCTGTTCGAGCCGATCTCCCGCGTGACCCTCGAGTGGCAATCGATCCGTCCTCATTCGGTACTCTGGGACGTTCCATATCGACCAAGTCGTTGCACGAGAAGCAAGACGGTTCTTCGGAAGGAAAAATCTACCACGGGATAGGGCCGTCCCAAGGGACGCCCGTTCAAGAGCCAAGACGCATTCACCACTCTTCCGTTCAGTTGCTACCAACCTCCTCTCAAGAAGCATCGACGAGGTCCCCGATACCAAGGTCACGGAGGCAATAAAAACGCATAAAGCAGAACTCAGGAAAGAGAGGAAGGCGAAGAAGAAGGTACGCCTAGACGCGGAGCACAGCATCCACGTTGCTCGGAAGAGGGAGCCCAAGGTCCTACGTCAGCAGCAAACGATCAGCCGGTCCTTCACGAATTCCAAGCCGATCAGCCGCATCGAGCAGAAGCAAGCTCCCACAACAGGCGGCAGTGATCGCGAGGCGCTTACGGAGGTGGTTAACGACTTCTCGTCAGCTACCCTCCGCACCAGCGCCATGGCGTCGCCTGCGAGCATGAACGGGGGCCCGAACGATGACTACAAGGAGAATGACCAAATGTCTCACATCATGATATGCCCTGACTGCAAGGAGTTTCCGCCAAACTTGACTGAGGAGTTCAGCAGCGGCGACATGGTGTGCGCAACGTGTGGCCTCGTCGTAAGTCGGTTCTCTGGCTCTACATCGCGCTGCAGCTGACCTAGAATTACACAGGTGGGAGACAAGATTGTTGATACACGATCTGAGTGGCGTACATTTGCCAACGATGACACAAACAATGATGATCCATCGCGTGTCGGCGACGTGGGCAACCCCCTCTTCGAGGATACCGTCGCCACTTTGCAGACCACGATCGGCAGCGAGGGTAGCAACTCGTTCCATTTGATGAAGACGCAGCAGAAGACGGTTGAGAAGGGAGCGAAGAACCTCAAGGAAGGGTTCTCACAGATCAAGACCCTGACTGATGCTCTCCAAGTCGGAAACAACGTGCGCGACACTGCGATGCACATCTTCAAGCGTATGTATATGATCTTGGCTTGTATGCACTGCTGTGGGACCCCTTTCTCACCCAATTGATAGTCGCCGACGAGAAGAAGTTCCTGAAGGGCAAGCCCCAGGAAGCTGTCATCGCCGGCTGCATCTTCGTTGCGTGCCGTCAAGGCGGCGTTGCCCGAACGTTCAGGGAAATCTTCAACCTGACCCGCGTGTCCAAGAAGGAAATCGGCCGTGTGTTCAAGCTCCTCGAGAAGTTTTTGGTGGACATTCAAAACGAAGGTGACAAGACCGGACACAGTGCTGTGTCAACGGTCAATAATTTCGAGACCCGACCCTCGACCAACGCTGAGGACCTCGTCCGCCGCTATGTCTCCCAGCTGGGCGTGCGCAACCAGTCCGAGGTCGAATCTGTCGGCATGCTCATTGCGAAGAAGACCGGACAGGTTAGTACCCTGGCCGGACGGTCTCCCTTGTCAGTTGCAGCGGCCTGCATCTTCATGGCCACCCACTACTTGGGTGAGGCGAAGACATCCAAGGACATCGCTGTGGTCGCAGGTGTTAGCGACGGTACTATTAAGACAGCTTACAAGTACCTGTACGCCGAGAAGGAGTCCTTGTTGGATGCGGAAGCCCTCCAGAAGAGCCGTGGTAGGGGCAAGATTGAGAGGCTGCCCTCTGCTTAATCACCCGTGTCTCTACACCTTGGGCTTTTTTCCCCCTGCCTCACAGGCGTTTGTCATCGAATCCTGAGATGAAAGCCTGAGCCCGAGCCCAGAAACTGGGCGCATCTCCGATATTTCTGTCATTCAGAACGCTGGGGCTGTTTAGAGGGCACTTTTTGGGTGGTTGTTTTTCAGCCATCGTCAATGGTTGGTATTTTTCAGGAGTGATCAAGACTGAACCAAGGCAGTGGTCAACCACAACAGGCATGGGGTACATGCAGATGAATTACTCATTTAGCGACACCTGTGCTCCTGCTTGTGACTTACCTGTTGCTGGTACTTTCTGCGGAAAGAGACCGTACGGCCGACTGCTAACGTAACCCCTAGAAGTGAGTAGACTAGCCCCAGTAATTAACAGGTAAAGTATTCATCCCCCTGAACAAGCCATGATTAGTAGTCCACAAAATTAAATCGACGTTCATATCAAGACCCATTCATTCTAAGCCTTCGGAGAGGCCAAAATGACTGTCGCTTATGTGCTTCTATCTCACCAGTGAGAGGTAATTCTGAGGCGGCCCCCCTCCCTCCGGGGGAACCAGACTGAGTTGGCAGCATAAGAGTTCTCGCACTTGAACCCCACATGACTCCGATAGGTTTTTGATCATCAGTTATCAATGCTCCTTATAATTTCTTTTCTGGAAAGAAGAGGGAGAGGCGTCACTTCGGGGCACTCGTGGCCTGGGATTATAGTACGTACTTCAGTAGATAAGGCATCCGATAAGCCAGTGTGGGTCAGTGCAGCGCCAATAATTGGATCGGACAGCCCAGGTCCAAAATTCCTGGGCACGTTCTGTCGCGTCCAGCCTATGGCTTCCTGCATCTCTCCACCGGACTTATCGTTCAGCCCTCGATCCCGGAGCTTTGGCTACCAGAGTCTCCGTTTGTCGCATCCAACAATTCAACCACAGCAGCCAAGGACTGGGCCAACTTTGCAGGATGTCGGGTCGAAGGTCAGGCAGAGCTGCTGCTAAGCGCGCAGCCGCAGCACTGGGTAAGTCGTCAATGGGAGCATCGCAACCAGCCCTGGCTACCGGCTCCTCTTTTCCACCTGCCCGGGTGCCATGTCCATCGCGCTATTCATCTACCACAACTGTCCCCCGTTTGTGGCCCGGCCTGTGCGGGCCTGGCAAACGTTTCCTTCCCCGACTATCTGGCACACGACGTCGGCTGCAGCTTGCCTGCCAGAGACATGTCTAACCCGGTCGCAGAGAACACCCCAAAGACATGGAAGGAAATCGAGGACGATGACGAGCACATGCCCGACGCCGAGCCAGAGGACGATAAGAAGACGGAGGGAGATGGAGAAGCATCTGATGGCGAGGCTTCCGCCGTTGCTGACAACGCGGAAGAGGATGTGGAAGAGGCGCCCGAGGACAAATCACCCAGCCCTCCTCCCCAGCCGGTCATACGTCGCAAGAGACTTGGCCGTCCACCCAAGGTCAAACCTCCCGGCTGGGATGATGGAATCGAAGTACCGCGAGATGAAGCAACCCCACGGCGTCGTGGCCGAGGAGGCTGGCGCGGCCGTGGCGGTCGCAAGGGCCAGCCCGCCCCTGTGACACAGCAAGCCATCGAAAAGGACGGTCCGATGTACGATATTATCGAAGACGAACTCGCGCTCCCTGAGGATCCCGAGGGCGAGACCAAGGTCGACAAGATGGGCTATCTACAGGGAGGGCGAGAGTACCGCTGCCGCACCTTCACCATCCAGGGCCGTGGCGACCGCTTATACATGTTGTCCACAGAGCCGGCTCGTTGTGTTGGATTCCGAGACTCGTACCTGTTCTTCACCAAACATCGCCGCCTGTACAAGAGCATCGTGACCGACGACGAGAAGCGGGACATGATCGAGCGCGAGCTGATACCCCACTCCTACAAGGGGCGATCCATCGGTGTGGTCACAGCCCGATCGGTGTACCGTGAATTTGGAGCCTTGATACTCGTTGGCGGTCGCTGGATCCTGGATGACTACGACATACAGCGCTCAAGAGATGAAGGCCACGTCGAAGGAGCGCTTGCCGACCCCAACGATAAGTATAACCCCAACGAGCCGTACAACAAGAACCAATATGTCGCATGGTTTGGCGCCAGTCAGGTGTACCATACCAGCGCGCCCATCGCAACGACTCAAGTAACAGAACTGAAGAAACGCCGAGTCGCTGTCAACGACGTCAACTGGATGTTTGAGCATGTTCGAGAAGCCGCGTCAGTAGGACATCCTTGACTCAACGCGCACATATGCTGATGTTTGACCACAGGAACTTCAATGCCCAAATTAATGCAATCCGTCGACGCAATAACAAGGGAGTGTACGATGTTCACACCAATACCATTCAGTATCCTGCCATCATGCAGCCTACACAAGCGCGCATCGAGCCAGTTGTGGCTTCCGACCCCGAGGATGTAAACACCGAATCCCAGATCTTCCCTCCCCTGAGCCCCAGTATTCCACGCAACTTCATGGTCACGGATACCTACTTCGAGACACCTCCTTCGGGGATCGCTGCTGTCAGTTATATTCGCGCGCCAATGGGTTCGGTCAACGGCGAGAACGGCTCCGACTTCTTAGCGCCATTCCGTGGCCTAGGCGCCGTCAGTGACGACGTCAAGGATTGTTTGCCTCCCGAGTGTCGCGAGGCTTTCGAGAAGGCTGCCGCCCAGGAACAGAGCTGGCATGCCAAGTGGGGAGTCGAGGCAAGCGCGAAATCCAGGCGGAACCCTGTCATTGACAAGGCCATCGTGCCTTACAGTGCGCGGTAAATCGAACCATATTGCAGACTCGGTGCGTTTGGTGAGGCGGCGGACAGCCGAGCGGGACGAAGATAAGCCCAGGGCTTTCGATCGCATATTGCAGGAATGCCCCGCGAGAACTACCAACCCGGGTTTACTTGTTGTTCACCTCGACGTGTGGTTGTCTGAATTTTGAGAAAATAGGGAAGACACTGGGCCTCTTGGCCATGCTCCTCTTTGGAACGGCGGAGAGGTGCTTGAGGAGTTTAGGGATTACGATACCGACGAGGCGTCTGTCATGAATTAAGGGCGAATCACATCAATAATTAAATTATTTCATTGCAAATATTTCTCTGTGCTTCATGGTATTCCTGCTGCTTCAGGACCAACATCTGGTCTGAATTCCGTGTTCTGAACTCGAATATCAGCCCTGGAATGGCGTTTCCACCAGGAGCGCGCGGGCATGACACACTCTGCTATCGCCATTGCTAATAAATTGTCCTTACTGTTGCGCGTCTTAACGGGCCGGTGCTGGAGAGCGCGGGTGCGTCCGGTCTTTGTAGTTCACCCTTGTTGACACTCGGCTTATAACAGCGAGGCAATCCACCTTGGGCTGTCTGCATTCAATAGTTCTTCGACTGAACAGAGACGGTATGTGTCATTTAGTCGCAAGGTCGTAAGTGTTGAGAGGCCATCTGTCCACCAGGAGCAAACACCTGGCAATATTCGTCACCATCTACGCATGTTACTCAAGGCATCATCTCACACATCGTCCAGATCGCGTCAACCCTCAGCGCAGAATCGCTTCTCCCAAGTATCGAACAAAGCATATGTGGACGCCATTGGGAAGATTGCACCTCTCACGTACGGCTGATGGCCTGCTCAATCGTGCAAATTCAACGATGACATTCGCTTAGCTTATTACCTGCCCGGTGCGTTCCCAAGAAGTAAACAAGGTTCCCAGCCCCTTCGGATCGCCGTTCGGCCGCATGCCCTGTTTCGATCGAATGTCCCACTTGGTTCGCTTTCGAGGTGGGTATCTGCGTCGCCGGTGTTACTGAGAGGTCGATCACACTTCGGTACCCACCTTTGACTGCGGCCTAATAATTGCTGGGTGGCTACCAGCTTGGGATGGCAGGCCTGGACTGCCGCAGACTACCTGACAACGTGATGTCTGCCTGCTGCCCTGACTGCCTGATGGACTAGTGCACACGTCCGACCAGGTCTCTTGTTGATGACGCTGAAGTGGCGATGACCTCAACTTGAAGTGGCTGAGGGTGCCACGCTGACAGGACATTGCTACGGCGACGGCATTACAGCATACTAGCAGAAACACTCTCCTCCGCGCCCCCGGGCAGCCTCACGGGTCATCTTTACTAGCTGTGGTGTGGAACGTATTTCTGAACGCCATGCGAGGGACGAGACGTTTGAATTATTCCGAAGTGTGAATTCCAGGGTCCAGTGACGTCACACGCGCCTGACACAAACTGCCCGACTCCCCGGAGTTCGAGAGCACTGGGAGCCTCGGTGCATCAGCCAGAAATGCGACCAGGCCATCCGATGTATGTACTTTGGACGCAACTAGCGTAGCCGTCGCGAAGCCCATGTTGGGCCGGCAGCCTGGCAGCCTAGAGAAGGATGTCCCGAGTCCGAGGTTTTCTCATTTGCCCTTTGGGTTCTTCCTGTGCTTCCCTGTCTCTCGTCGATCAGCACGATCAGCATCAAAGCCGCCCGCGCCGCGGCGTCATCATTCCTCCCTCCCGACTGGCCCGACCGGGCAAGGGCTCGCTGGCTCGCCAGACAGGCTGATGGTCAGGTTTGGGTTTGCGACGAATCGATGGCGGCTACCTGGACACAAGATGCTGATCAGAGGCAGCGGGAGCTGCATACAGGCAGGACAGGGCGACTGGGGCGACCGACGACCAAAGACTACGTACGGCTCGCTCGGATGCTACCTGCCTGCCTGCCTGCTGAATGCTGCTATTGTAGAAAGCGGCTGTATACGCAACAGATGGATATTGCCGAGCGCCCAGTCCGCGTAGCCTTTGTGGTGGGAGGTGTCATACCCTGGTGACTGACGGGAACTATGACAGATTGAACAGGCACGAAGAGTTCCGTTTCCTTTCCTCACGGAGTGAATACTACAGTAGGTGCGAGACCAACCACCACCTGCCCTGTCACAGCCCCCGCTGTTGCGCCACGCTTCAGGTGACCTCGGCGTCCTGGCGTCCTGGCGTCCTGGCCTCCGTTCTGCCACACCCGGAGAGCAAGCTCCAGTCTGTCAGGCGAGCCAGGCCCGGAGTCGCCTATGGGATCTGCTTCTGTCTCCCGTGAACGAGGAGTCACCAGGAAGAGGGGGATGACGACGATATTATTTCTGGCTGTCCAACGGCGGAAGCAGGACAGGGACGCGCTACTGCAGCCTACTTTAAACTCTCCAGCCCCACCTGGACAGGAAGGAGGAAGGTGCTGGTGGTGGCGGGCCAGCCGGGCTTGGGATTCCATCTCAACGGTCAGACATCCGCGTCTAGCCAGCCTGCCAGCCCACCGGCCTCTGTCATCACATGGTCTCGTTGCAGACTGCTCTTCCCATGCTGACACCTGCTCCTGCACAGGAGGACGCCATGAGGCACCTATTACTTGTGGTACTACCATTTCCGTAAGCTTTATTACCGGATAGCGGATTGAAGTTGGCCCAAGATTTGCCCACTTTGTCCGAGAGGCTAGCTAGGTGACTGCGAGAATTTTGGCCACCGAGCTACAACAGACTGACAGGGTGCGCCGATGCCAATCGAATGATCTCGCATCTGACCAAGGTCAGTCAATCAACCATGACTCTATAGGCTCGGCTGCTGCCCTGGCTGCCGTGACAGCGTGAGTACTTCTGCCTGGGCCAACCTGACGCAGACTGGAGAGGGGAACCTCGCCCCAAGACTGACGTGGTGGTGGTTGCAAGCAAAGCCGGGCCCGCCGCCGCCGCCGCCTCCGTCACAGATGGGACCAGGCTTCCCTCCGTCATGATGTGTGACGAATGTCAACTGGGCCCTGTGCCTCTCTCGGCTGCACGAAGGGTTGCCAGTCTAAGCCAAGTCCCCATCATCATTCTGCGTGATCGTCTCCTCTCACATCATGGGAGGGGCGTACTAGTAGGCAACAGAAGAAAAACTCTAACGTCTTGGAACTGCATGTACCGAGCCCGCGGAATCCACCAAAAGAGTCTAGAATCGGTCGGACGGGGTAGGACGGGATCGGTCTTGTACAACAAGTCCTCACCAGCGCTGTGGCCGGGCGAGTTGTCAACCAACCGCACCTGCCACGCCTCGCAGCGGCGAGTTGGCCCTCAGATGGACAAACCCCACAACAAAATGCGTGGGGTGTCGAGTTCGCCAATTCGTTCTCGTGTCCCGGCCTTGGAAGAAGCCATGACTGATCTGCGGGGCAACGGGGTCGTTGATTGGGGGCGACAGCTTATTCACCAAGACGCCGAATGGCTGCAGGCACACTATCATGCAGGCTGAACTCTCCACGGATGCAGAAAAAATCTCAAATAGTCGGGTCTCTTGACAGAAGTGCGGCAGGGTTCGAGCCGCTCGGGGCTCAAGATGCCAGGATGCCCGTTTCAACCAGCCGACAGCGCAGCTTTGCGAAACCCTCGCCAAAACCAGAAAAACACGAGTGCCCCCGGGAGAGGGGCGACTGGGACTGGTCTGCGAGGCAAATCAGTGTTACCTCATCACTCATGTGATGTCAAGCACAATGTCAGCGAATGTTCTAAAGATGGCAGCCCAGATGCATCGTGTGATTGGACATCTAGGTTGCAGTTTCGACTTTGGCGGGCACACGCAGGAGGGGACATCGTGGCTTCCCAAGATCGTGTTCAAGATCTGCCGTGGTGGGAAGACGCTTTGGTAGTGGGTATCGATCAAAACCACCGCTCCGGGTTCGGTACCAGCGTCCGGAGCTGCAGTTACTGGCTTCTGCCCGCACGCATAGAGGCACGGGTGATCTAAGTCGCGACTCGCTTTCCGGGTGCGGTCGACTTGGACAGCCCTGACCCTGAGCCTATGGGTGTGTGCGTGTGCGTGTGTGTTTGGGTGTGTGTGTGTGTGGATGGTTTGTGAATGGACAGTCTAGACCACGGCCTGCCTGGAGACGAGTTAGAAGGCACACTAGGCAAAGGCACGGAAAGTTTGCTTCTCGGCGATGGGGGCACGTCTCTCCGATTCTCCAGCATCGCCCGGCAGGCTGGTACTGCGTCCGAGAGGCTAGCAAAGCCAGGAAACCCTCGGCAGCATTCAATCTACGTGAGCTTTGAAGGCACCCCATGGACTTCCACGCCGGGTTGCGGTGAAGCAGAAGAGGAGAATGGCGGTGGAAGGGAGACGGGCGAGCTAGCCTTGGAGGGCCAGGCCCCGCACTGACAGCCGCATCGTCGGGTCCCGAGGAATATGGAGTCGACTCAACAGGGCCGGCATCACTAAAAATTCTCACGAGGTTGCTCCAGTCGCCCCCTGCACTGCCATCGCTCGTGTCTGCTCTGCCGTTGACCCTTGGGTTGCTGGGCAGCCTGGGCAAGTTGGCAGCCCGGGTGGGCAGTGAGGGGTACAAGGAAGAGCCGGGACCTGTCCGTAGTGTTGTTTCTAACCAGTCATACGGGTCAAGCTCGGTGGTTGCGCTGAGAGACCCATTTTCCTGCTGAGCGTAAAATTTCTGACTTGGATGTGGGTAGATCGGGCGACGCCTCAGCAAACGGCCTCGCGGCTCAACCACGGGCATAGCAGACACACAGGGCTCTCGCAGTGAGGATCGGCAGGTTGAGACGGGCCGTTTCTCTCATTGAGCAGCTCGTGATTCGCTCTAGCTTGCGCTTGGCCTGCCATCTTGACAGGAAACAAGCCACCACGAAGGAAGCCGCCATGATACGTCAGGTCGCAGCACTGCGCAACGGGCGGGGATACCGCACAGGAGCATTAATGAAAGCCCAGGCCGAGCTGCCGAGTTTGAGAACTGCGGTATTGGGATTGGCGCCTGTACCTGACGGCCTGGTTCGATGCGGTTTTGCTCGCAGGTTATTTTCAGACATAGACAGCCTTCTGTCCGGAAGCCCAGGCTCCATCAGGTCCGCACCTGGTCCAACACGGAGCAGGCAGGTAACCGGCCCTCGAGTGCTTGAACCGGGCTCGGTGGTGCCTCCTCATTAGTGAAATGGAGTGCCAGAAATGGAATGGATGACATCTAAACATGGGTGCCGGCGTCAAGCTGCTGATGAGGAAGGCAGACTGAAGCGACGACTCGGCTCAAAAATTCCGATAGGTTGGTACATCGGATTTCGTCTGATGGTTCATTTGTTTCTCGACGATTTCTTCCTCTCAGCTGCTCTTCGGAGTTCCCAAATGCGACGCTGACTCGTGTCGGAGGTTCACCGTTCGCTTGATTCTGCACGGCAAACGCGCAGGGGTATCCCCCGAGCGAGTTTGTCCACAGGGTGATCGAGAGAGGCAGGTAAATTGTATACACAATGGCAACCACAGTAGGCAGTCGCATGATGAGCACAAGGTGATCAATCGACGAGAACCGCAATTACCATACCACCGCCCTCCAACAAGGTGCTGAGGCCCAGCCCGGACTTACGTGGACTCCGACCACTGTGGCCTAACTGCCTGGTGGCCCCAGGACCACAGCCCTGGCCTTGTCCTGGTTTCGTCAGTAGTTCCTGTCAGGGCGCGGACTGTCACAGCCTTGCCAGCCTCCCCTGACACCGGGGCAGGGCAGGGCAGGGCAGGGCAGGGCAGGGCAGGGCAGGGCAGGGCAGGGCAGGGCAGGGCACGTGTCTGGGTGACAGACGTCCTGTGGTCCGGCTGCAAAGGCAAGTGACTGTGTTGACCTGAGACGTCTGCAGTTGCCGTGAAGTGGCTGGCGGGGCGTGTGCGCCTCTGTGCCCTGTGTTTGCCCGTGGAAAGGTGTCTCCAGGCTTAGATGATATGACAGCAGCCAGGATGTTGCTCAGCGAAAGAGCATAGGATCAGGCATTGATGCAGGCAGTTGATGTGTTGCTACACGTCAAAAGGCCCACACTGGCAGACTGGGTTCCTGGCTGGCCCTGTGGAATCCAAGGCAAACCGTTCTGGCGCCCTGCCGCCTCGGTGTTCCAGAATCCCCAGGGTTGCCATGGAAGCAATTTGATTGCTGGTGGTGCCCCTGGCGAAATTGCAGCTAAATTGACCTGCCCGTCCAGCCGCCGTTGATGAGACCCTGATTTTTTTTCTCTTTTACGAGCGTCCCGTAGTTTTGAGAGTGGGCCAAAATAAACTCATCCACCCACACTCCTTGCACTTTTCTTATCAGTTCACTGGTGGATGAGAAGCCTGTCGTCCGGAACGATGGTATGAGAGACATTCTCGTGCATCAGGCGATCCAGATGGGGGGCAGGCCACGACGAGCAGGATGGATCAGAGCACCGTCAGGGAGCCCGTGCTGCCTAGTTGGAGGTCGATGATTCAATTGTTGCACTGACTTTATGCAGCCCCAGCAGAAGATGGATCCATGATGGGAAGGAAGCCCCAAAACGCTATCTTGGCACGTGCTCAAGAGACCGTCTGCCTGTGAAGGCCGCTTGGGAGCAGCCGACTGTTCCGCGGCTAACAAGTCAGACAACAGCAGCTTGCATCGTCACCAGTAGTGTAGGGAGTACGGAGTAGAGGATGAAATGGACGGATGACTCTTGACGTCCTGCAGGCTACTGTACGCGGGTTGCGCACATTGTTGCCCAGGCTGCCCGGCTGCATAATACAGTCACAGGCTCAACACGGTTTGGTTTGCCTGGAGCCAATCAAGCAGGGGCTGGATCTTGAGCGGACTGATCAGGAAGCCAAAGGGTCGATGCTCCAGACGGGAGCGCGATTATTGGTTCGACAGGCGGTGAAGTTGACGTCGCATTCCCTGCTGGAGAGAGTCGAGCGACAACAGTGCCCGCGAGGTGGATTGCAATTGGGCGCCAGGTGGGGTTCTCGAGAGCAGGGCCCGTCCGGCTGCTACGGCTGGGATCTCAACCCCTGCATTGCCCAACGCCAGAAGAAGAGGAGTAGGAGGAGGAGCAGGAGAAGAAGGAGGAGGAGCAGGAAGAAGAACCTCGGGCTGGGACCAGGGCCAACGACCAGGATCAGAGCCGGGACCACTGGGCCAGGGCCAGGGCCAGGGCGGTGGGCTGGGTGGGCGCTCCAACACGATCTCTGGGCGACCTGTGCTCGGCAACGAAACCTGAGTCCTGAGTCCTGACAAGAGCCAGCATCTGGCCAGAGCTCCAGATGCAGGTGTCCACAACGTATCCATTGCACAGGGCCGCCTGAAGCGTGGCCTGTGCTTTGCAAAGCGTTATCTGCCTGGCGCCGATTACTGTGTGTTTTTCTTCCCACATTTTTTGTTTCTTTGGTCTGGTTTGTTGCACATGTGTGTATAAGGCCCAAACTAGACTGGCTGGCTGCACTATTCCCTCCTCGTGGCATGACGAGGGGCGAAAATGCTGGAATAATAGTAGCTGCTAGCGAGGGATGTCTTCAATGCCATGGCAACTTTGACCAAGACTCCGGGGTTGGCATTTTTGCCTGGCGTGTGGACTGCTGAAAACGAAAACAAGGGGACGTCGGGACAGTGGGATCATCAATCCAGGAACGGAGCAGGCAGGCTGGGTGCTGCTGGAGGCAGGGAGGCAGGGAGGCAGGGGGGCAGGGGGGAAGGGGTGCAGGGGGGAGGGGCCAGGGGGGCAGGAGGCAGGGAGGAACGAGGGCGGGCTCAAAAAGAGTCGCCAGTCGGCTCGCGTGGCACTCCACATCCTGAGGCCCAGCGGCCGTCGGTTTTCCCTGCTACCCCCCACCGGCCGGGGGATACCTTGACCTTTTCCCAGATTAGCAAATTTGGCTACACAGCACTGTCCAAAGGCTGCCAAATGGTCAACGGTCATGTTGAGCAGAGGCACGACCAGACAGACACCAACAAATGTTCGTGTGGATACTGTCGACCATCGTGGACGCTGTCGTGTGCTCCTGGCGCAGCCCAGCCAGGTGACCTCGACTGCTGCTGCTGCGACAACTTTTTTTTTTTGGTCCCTCATCCTCTCTCTCACAGAGAGACAGAGAGACCCATAAATCTGCACAGGGTTTCCTTAGCCTCTAGGTGCCCTGGCTTGCCTGGTTTGGCATTCTTGTACACATGTCGTGTTGTGCGTATTATTGTATCGGCTGTCGTCTTGTGTCGTGGTCCCGGCCCAGGCTGGGTTAGGCTGCTGCCCGGGTTGGCTGGTGGAGTGGCGGGCAGGCGGGCGGGTTGGTGTTTGGTGGTGTTTGGTGGTGTCTGATGGTGTCTGATGTCTGATGTGTCGGGAGGGGGGGTGTCTGACCTCTACGGTTGCCATGGCGGGTACGTACCCAACTCTACGCATGTGTGTGTGTGTGTGTGTGTGAGAGAGAGAGAGAGAGAGGCAAGAGAGGGAGATGGACTGAAGGTGTTGGTGTGTCGCCGGTTCAGGTTCAGGTCCAGTCCGGGTTCCAGTCCAGGTCCAGGCTCGGGGCGCGGGGTGCGGGTGTGGTGGCCCTTGCCCCCTTCATTCAGTCACTCGTCATCACTACCCGCACCATTTTTCCTGCTCTGCACCGGGTCTTGCTTGGTCGCTTCGCCTCCCCGACCGTCAAACCCTCAATCTCTTTTTTCCCTTGTTCCATCCCACCACTTCCTCCACTCTCACCCGCCCACGCCCAGATCATTTACTTGTCCCCCGTCCCCCATCTCCATCTGCCATTCTTCCTCTCCCGCTTTCGACCAGACTTGTTCCCCCCCAAGCGGAAACCTCTCACGTCCACATTCCACCATCCTCGACTGCGGCCAAATTGACTTTTGTGTCGTCAAAGTCAGGATTACCCACCTACCGCATTGTCCCGCTGTCGTCTTCGCGTCTCTTTCTTTCTCGGTGTTTTGCGGCCTGTTCAGTCTTTCATCAGCCAGGATCGGGAGAAGTGGACGCAGCAGCCCACGGCAGTCGGTCGAAAACAGCCAAAGGGCGCAACCCCCCCCTCGGAAATCCCTGCAGTCGAGTCGAGTGCAGCCCAGCCCAGCCAAGTGCATGGTAGGCTAGCCCGTTGCCCAGTGCCCACCCACGACCAGCACCCGCTGCTTACCGCACACCTCTCTCGCCCTCGCGCCCTCGCCCTTGTAGGCAGGCACTCTCTTCCTACAACCCGACCACGACATCCCCTCGATCTGCCAGGTCGTCGAGATCGCTACCGGACCCTCAAGATCCCTCGTTCTTCTGTGTGCTAAGCAGGTGAGTTCAGCCATCTCCTGATTCCTCCTCCAGCCCTCTTGGTGCATTCACCGTGTGTGCAATCCTCCGCGTCTCACCCGTTCATTACACATCACACCTCATCCGTCACACGCCTCATCTCCATTCCTGCGCCCGACACGCCAGCCGACTGGGGTGGTTTGAGAGGCGTGGCTGCCGCTGCCGCTTGCTGCAGGCGCAGGTGTTGCTGGTGCTGGAGCAATTTCACTCCTCGGCACAATTTGGCGACGCGGGTCCACACCACCCATTTGTTTTGGTCCCTTCCACCCTCGCCCCAGCGCTCCTGTTGGTCGCATCCACTGCCCCAGGCAAAACCCACCCTCGCCTGGCCACCCCGGCTCGTCTCAACACTGCCCGCTACAAATCTCCCACTCGAGACTCGGCACACCTGCACTTCCGGTTCAGCCTTCTCTCGTCTGGGCTCTGCTCGCGATCCTCGACTCGTTTCCTGACACCTGCACCCGTCGCGACACAGAGATCATTGCAAAACTCAGGCAGCAAGCCCTCCAGAGTTTTCCAACGGTCTTCTGCTGCCCCTCGAGTCGTGTGTCAAACTCAACCTTCTTCCCCCTCAAATCCCCTCCAACCTCACCTTTTTCACTCTTTCCCTTCACCCTCCGCACCGCTGCGCCCGCCACACCCTCGCGGCCTGTCTCCCTCCGCCCACACAACCCCGTCAAACCTTGCGCTTGACGCATACCGTCACCCAAGTTTTTGTGTGTCAGACCCACGGCACGGACTGGATCACTCTTGTTTCCGCGTTTGAATACGGACCGGCGGACAGACCTACTGACTCTCGAATCATTCTTCAGCCGTGCATAGAGTTCCTTCTCTACCCTTTTCGTCTGTCAGGTCCTTGACTTTGACGCGGCGGTCTCCTGCTCTCCGGTCGAAGCTCTCGCCGACCTCGATCCCCAACTCGGATCACCACCTTGCTCAGGCTCCGATTCATTTCGACAGTCTCCCTCCGATCCGCGATAGATTCCGAGTATCTACACTCGCAGTCATCAACTCGACCATCCTACCTGTGGTTTCGACCTTTTCACCATCGGAAAGGACACAACAACATCATATGGCGCGAGCATCTCAGTAAAAACCTACCACCTCCTTATCGGCCTCTCGACTCTTCAGCCTTGGAACTTTTCGCCGGCCTGCAGTGACTACCTCGCATTGCTACCTTCGACTCTCCTTGCGCTCGAAGCAGATCGCTCTCTTACCAACCAAGGCATCCTCTCCTCGCTCAAAATCCGCATTCTCACCGTCAACATGCCTGGCGGAGGTGTCTGTGCCGTCCTCGACTATGAGGTCGACATGATGGCCGAGTACGTCGCCGAGATGGCCATCGAGCTGGTCCTCCCCCAGTCCCCAGTCTCGCCGTCCTTCCGAAAGTTTGTTTCACAGATCTTGTCGTCCACCCGTTTGCCCAAGGCCACCATTCTGCTCGGCATGAACTACCTCTCCAAGAGGGTCAATGGCCTCAAGGCTATCGGTACCTTCCATCCCATCGAGGGACAGGTCTGGCGGATGTTGACCATCGCCTTGCTCCTCGGAAGCAAGTTCCTTGACGACAATACATTCCAGAACCGGTCCTGGTCCGAAGTCTCTGGCATTTCCGTTGCAGAGCTGAACAAGCTAGAGGCGGAGTGGCTCGTCGGAATCGGCTGGAATCTCTATGTCAACTTGGAGAGGAGCGAGGATTACAACGCTTGGTTGGACAACTGGAGCCAGTGGATGGGTCGTAAGAAGATGGCCCAGACCCTGGCCAGTCGGGAGAGGCTTGCAGCTCTTGTGCCCCCGATCGACACCGACTTCGCCCGCCCCCGCAACCAGGCCTACAACCTCTGGCATCAGCAGCAGGTTGCTGAGTACGAGCGTCTGTCGAGCATGAAGCGTGCGGAGCAAGCTCAACAGCAGGCGGCGTACCGTCCGCAGGAGCTCGGCTGGAGCCAGTACTCTGCTGGACCATGGTCGAGCGCGCCGCTCACCCCGCCTGATTCTGGTTATGGCACCCCAGAGTACCCAGCTTCTGCGACCTCCGGCAACGGTCAGTTCTACGGCGACTGGTTCAACCGCGCATTTGCCAACGATGCTCAGGGCCAACGATACTCTCGACAAAACTCGACCCACAACATCTACCACCACGGTCGCCACTCCCACTACCCTGGCTACTACAACTATGGCCAGAACATTTGGGACAACAACATGGCGGAGTGCCCTTGTGCTAACTGCACTGGCCCTGTGGGCATGAAGAACCAACACTACTTCATGCCGAACGCCGCGTACGGCCAGGCTGTTCTGGGTTGATCTTGCCTCCAAGCTTGACCACATGCATTGTTGGCACCGACCTTAACGCTGACATGGAGACATGGACGGAGTTCACTTTTTTTCCTTTTTCGCATTGCGGACGGTCACGGATTTGAGACAAAAAAACGATACATTTGCATTCAGATACCCCTTCGAGTCTCAGTACATGTTCTCGGGGTCTTCCACAACGAGTTGCCTCTTGCAACGGCTACACCAGCCAACTTCTGCAAACAACCTCGGGCTCTTTGCCCAGGGACGGCTACAAGCATACTGGATCACTCCCATCGCCACTGCGGGTACCACATACCCGTTGTCAGGGCGAAATGCTGCGGACCTCTTTAATGATTTGATTTAGTTGGTCTTTTTTCTTTCTCATCGGTTCTGTTACGGTATATGGCATGGTTGGCCATCTCACCTTCTGGCGTTTTCGGATTCGATACCAGGTGGTCTAGGCGGTGATCTTGCAAATAGATCGCGATCTTATTTTATCCGATCGAAGGCTTGGCGGCACTATCGCGCGTGCCAGGGCTCAGGGAAATTGAAAGGGAGGAAATCAGGGAGACACAATGCGACGTGTCCCTGGAATGCGTTGGTCCGACGACACCTTGGCGATTGGACAACCCATCATCGGCAACATACGCCCGGCGACCCGTATCTAGCTTGGCAATCGACGACTCCGATCGATCACCTACAATTGCAGGCGGTATACTGTCAGGAGCCACGACTTGGTCCCGGTCTGCCCGCCAGGCGTTTCTATAGCAGCATTCTCGGAACGGAAAGGAAATGTTGCCGATGTTGAAAAGTATTGGCTGGTCTGTTTTTGTCCTTGTTTTCATCCGCATCCACTGTGCTTCTTCGCGCAGCCTCCTGGCCCTGACAAACGCATCTTGTCTGGGAGAGCCTGCCCAGTCTTCCTTTCTTGTCCTATACCCAAGCCGGGAGAACTTCCGGTCTGGCCTGTATTGCTGTCGACATGACTTTTCAGACTTTATCTTCGTCCTCTCTTTGGTTGGATGCATTCAATTAAGCCGGGTCAAGAGAGATATCTTATCTCCCTCGGTGTCTTTTTTTTTCTTTTCTTTTTTCGGTATATGGCTTGGACAAACATGTCCCATGCCGGAGAGCATTCCCTCCTCCTTGAAACTTCGAGTTGCACCTACCCTTCTTGTCTCAATACTGCATGGCACGTTTGTTTAGAGGATATCCTTTGATTGGCATCCATAGAGGGCTTTTCACGGCTGGCGGTTTCCCTACACACTTTCTTATAATGCTTGTTGATTTCCTTTTTATACCTACAGAGGTGGACCGCATTTTACAACGTTCACGCTCACGATGCGATGAAAGAGGGGTTTTAGGAAATGGGTCAAGAAGGGACGAAAAAACAAAAGGGTGCCTTTGCTCAAAAAGAATGATATTCCGCTGCAAACCTTGGGCGTGCCAGGAGGGCTGATACTGGGGGGAAGAAATGAAAAGTCGTCTTTCATGTGTCTGCCTGTGAGCATTCGGAACTGGAGCGAGAGGACAATGTGACCGTTCTCTACGGACTAGAGAAGCGGTCTCTTCAGACTCCCGAACGTGCACTTGGGCCATTCACATGGAGCACTGGGGAAATTTTTGCCTGGCGCTCACACTACATACCAATACCAAAGATAAAAAAAGAAAAAAAAACTAAAATAAACTCTTAAAAACACGTTCTAGATATTTTTGCATTCAGATTGATCTCACCGCGCGTGACAATCAAGTCAGCCCTGGTTTATGCCGTCTGAGTGAGTTGCGTCTTTAGCATGTAGAAGTCGGGAATGAGTTTCAATAACCAATCACAATCCTTTTCTGCCCCACTTACACTTACCTGCCCATCCTCACTTGTCTCGCTCACTCTGAATCAGCCAGCCACTGGGGAGCTGCCGTAGATCAACCCAAACATTTCAGCAAAAGCCTACGGCAACCTCTCCCTCGCCGTGCGACGGAAACACGCCTCCCGGGAGTCTCCAGAACCCGCGGAAAATGTCTTCCCGTTTTGTGTCAGGCGGTACGACTGATGCTGAGACGGGCGAAATCGTGCCCGCGGACCCGTCGACGTCGACATCGACCTCAGCAGCGCCCGCCGCTGGGGGCAGCAGTAGCGCTAAGAGGTCGGAGGAGTGGGCCGCCGTGCAGGCGCAGGTCGAGGAGGAGCGGAGGCGCCGACAGCAGCTCAGGGAAGAAGCAGCATCGCGCGGCGGCGGCGAGGGCGAAAAGTCGCTGTATGACGTTCTCCAGGCCAACAAGGCGGCCAAGCAGGCGGCGTTCGAGGAGGCCAACAAGATAAAGAACCAGTTCCGGCCGCTCGACGACGACGAGGTCGAGTTCCTGGACGGCGTGAGAGAGCGGAAGAGGGCCGAGGAGGAGAGGCTGCGGCAGGAGACGGAGGAGGGTCTCAAGGGGTTCCGCGAGCTGCAGTCCAAGATCTCATCCGGGGAGGCCGCCCCGGGGGACGAGGACGCTGTCGCGGGTGGGGGGTGGAGTGTTGGCAGGAAGAGGAAGAGGCGGAAGGACGAGCCCGAGGGCCTGATCAAGGGGTTGAAGAGACGGAGTAGCGGGGCTGCTGTTGAAACGACTGATACGGCAGCCTCCACGCCGCCTGCTGCTGCGAAGGATGCGCGAGAGACGCAGGAGCCTGCGACGAAACCTGCTGCAGCGGCAGCGACGAAACCAAAAGTTGGCCTCGTCGACTACGGCTCAGACGATAGTGACTGAGAGCCTGGATTGCACTCTTTGTGCTACGGAATCCGCACCTAGCTCTCGCGATGAGCACTGGCTAGGGCGTTCAAGCGTAAGGGCTGCCTACCTAGGTACACAAGGCACACAGTCTTGACCAGACAAGGACAGGTTCCGACCTGAACGGGAAGCTCGCCCGTCATACAAGAGTTGCGCTCTCATGGGGCCAAGAAGTGATGCGGTGGACGGGTAAATACACCTGCCTCTGATTCAATTATGTATGAGTGGCGAGGCCCCAAGTCTTTCTCTGCACATTAGCTACCTGAAGATGAGATGGCTCATAGTGCACACAAAATATGCAAACCCCACACAATAATACAATACAGTTCCTGACAACTCCTCTCTATATTCACCTCGCTGCCCCCGGCCCCCCAAAATAACTCCAGGAATGCGCCTGAGCGTTGTCAAAAGTTCCGTGGATGTCTGATTGCCAGGGTCCACCAAGCAAGCACACGTAAGACAGGGTTTACTCATCGTCGAAGCTTGTTGGGACCTTGCGCTCCTCCTTCTGGAAATTGCTGGCGGTCCACCTCCAAAGAGCCCTCAGGTGGCCCTTGGTCCAACCCTCGACCTCTTCTTCGGGGACAACGATGCCCCTCGCCCGTTCCTCATCCTCGGGCAACAGCTCGAACCTCCTCATCCGCATGCCGATGCGCTGATCAATGACCATCGGCCTTGGCCAGATCTTCTCCTTGCCAGCGGCTGCCGGCCTGGGCACATCGACAAGCTCGCTCCCAGTGGCGGGCTTTTCTTCCTCCTTGTCGGCCTTCCACACGGACTTGACCCAGTCCTTCTCCTCGTGCGCCAGGGCCGTCTGCTGCTCCCAGTGCGAGTCCGGGCTGTCGCCATCGCCCGCATCCTCACGGTACTCTCGGTACGCCGCCAGGCACACGGCAGCCACGTCGCGGCCGACCTCGTCCGCCAGTTTTCGCCTCGTCAGGAAGCGCACGAAGCGCGTCGGCGTGTTGAGGAAGCCGAGGATGTGCGGGAAGGAGACGGGCGCCGAAGGAGCCAGCTCGGAAGGCACCAGGAGCGGGAGGTGGGCAGTCGCGTAGTCCTCGGGGGAGTCGTAAGGTTTTATCTGCGGCGGCCGCTTCGTCTTGTTGCTGCCCTCGGCATCCGCGTCGGCCGACTCGGCCTCTGGCTCCGGGTCGGGCTGCGCGTGCGGCGGTGCCGTCAGTGGGCCGAGCCAGCCCTCGTGCAGGCCGCGGGTGTACTCCTTCCACGTGTGGCGGCCGACGACGATGTCACCGCGCACGCCATCGTACAGCGGGACGCCGTGCGCCTGGCGCCAGGCGTCGATGCGGTCCTCCTCGGTCGCCAGGGCCTCTGCCGCGGCATCCCCCTCGGCACCCACGTGCTTCTCCTGTGCCCTCCGCCTGCGGCGGACCCTCTCAGCCACAGCGGCGCGGATGTCGCCCTGCTGGCGGCCCTGGACAAAGTCCCAGTCCAGCCCGCTGGCGGCCAGCACGGGCTTGATGTACTCGCTGTAGTGGTCCTGGGCGACGCGCAGGCCGTCGCCGGGGGGCGCCTCGAGATACACGGTCACCTTGCGGGGCATCTGGCTCGGGTTGGCGAGGGGCCGCTTGGCGAGGTGCTCGACGGCGTGGGCCCAGCGGGCAGTGGCACGCTTCTTCTCGCGGCGGTCGTAGATGATGGTGGCGGCCAGGGCGGAGGAGAGGGTCCAGAAGATCATCCAGTTGCGCGAGGGCAGCTTTCGCGGCAGTGCGGGCAGGCCCATCATGCGGAGGGCCGGGTTTTGCGCGGGTGGTTTCGGCGGCGACGCCGTCGTGGCTGATGCTGCCGGTGCCGTCGCGGCTGGGGCGGCCGGGGGCTGGGGCTCAGCCATCTTTGCTGGTAGCCGCAGATATGCGAGCTTCTCAGACGGGGACCGGATCAACCAAGCTGGGGGGGAGGCGAGGCTGGTGGAGATGTTGCTGGATGCTGGAGACGGGGTCGTCAATTGGGGACGTCGCTAGTTGGACTGACTGCTGAGATACAAAAAAATCACGGATGCCGATAAGCTTGCTCTTATCGGAGCTTATCGGGATCCCGCACCAGCTCTCTGTGTGAGAGCTGGTGTGCAGATCCCCTAGAAAGGAAAGTGGCCCTCTGTGTCAGTGTGTATATTCTCACCAGATATGTCACGATTGGCCTCTGAATCCGTAGTGTCTTGGCTCTTGTGTGCATCAGAGAGACCTTTATCATTCGAGGTACCTAGGTGCTTAATTACCTACCTACCTACCTAGGTAGGTACCTAGGTAGGTAGGTACCCTAGGTACCCAGGTAATGAGTACCAAGCACCATTGAAATTGAACCCTGCCTGGGTGCCTGCCTTGCTGGTTTCTCACCCGTGGGCGCTAGGTACGTGCCGACACTCTAGATCGTCGGGAGCTCTGGCAAAGGGACCAGTCAGATCGGGAGCACCAAGGTCAGAGTGTCAGATCTGTGTGCTATAGATGCAGCCGGTATAGCAGCTGGTCGAGCGTCGAGCCTGGTTCGGTCTCAACCTGGACCACCTGTTCGGGACGGTCAGACATGTACGGCGTATTTCATGGGATTGTGAGGCCTCAGCTGGAGGCCAAGCAGCACTCGAGATGGTGTGTGTGCGCATGTGCACCGCCCACAATAAGAGGAATGCTTCCCAGAACAAGACAACGTTGGCCGTGAGTGACGTCCCTGCCGCTTAGTAAAAGGAGCCGTTTTAGGTTCTGGCGTGCCGGAGCACCCAGAGAGCCTTTTCAGCCTCCAAGGCCACCCGGCCAGGCCAACCAACCGATGCTTACCCTGCACCCCTTTTCCAGGGGTGAACGCTCGCGAACCTAGGTTGTTTGGGATGAGGAGGCGAGAGGGGGGAGGGAGGGGAAAGTCTCACACCTCCTCCAAAACTCGCAAAACTTTGATTGTTCTTTTTCGTTGACGGTTAGCACTACTACTGCTGCTACTTTTGTTTGTGTATTGCGATTCGGATATCAGCCTGTCATCTCTTTGCCCTCCTGTCCCGCTCTCGCCTTTGGGAATCTGCATGTGATTCAAATAGAGTGCCTTCCCCGTCTGCCATCCTCCTTGGCCTTTTGACATGTTTTGAGTTGTGCGTATGTGTGTATGTATGTTTGTGTGTGTGTGCGTGGAATGCCCCTCCCAAGGCAAGTCGAGGTAGAGAGTATAAGCAACCGTGGAAGCTAATTGACTTTTTCTCTCTCTCTTTCTCCCAGGACACCGAGCACATACATACTTATACACCACTATACGGCTTTCACGACTGTCTCTCCGTCTGATTGACTGACTCGGAGGCACAGCGTTTGGTTGTACAACCTTCAGAGACACGCACAGGAAGAGTCAGGCCGTTGCCGCCGTCGTCTTGAGCTTGGCAAGGATCCGAGATCCAAGCGAGGGACAGACATTGAGGCTCCCCGTCGTCCAGGTCGTGGAATTGGGCATCGTCGGCCGCCCTCACCGCTGCAGCCTGCCTGCGACGAGCTTGAAGGGCAATCAAGGTCCACGGCCCACGCTCGCTCTACGCTACACGCTCCACGCTCCACACCTCATCCAAGGCAAACCCACGTCCCTGGCGGGCATTTGCTAGCGCCTGCGGCAGCTGGTCCCACCCTGACAGCCTGAGAGGCCACTCCCCCCTTTCCCCTCCATCCTCAAAGTGGAAAGACCCTCCCTTTTCCGACCACACTGACTCCCTTGGCCACACGCGACCAATACCAGCCAAGAGTCCCGAGGTCCCAGCGGCCGGTTCAATTTCCACCGTAATACAATACGTTGCAGTCAGTCCCGTTCCTGTCCTTGAATCGCCGCAATGGACAACCAGGGGAACCGCCTGTACCTCAACATTGCCAACAACGGCGCCAACACATCCTCGAGGCCCGACCGAGCTGCCTACCCTACCACTCCCTCCACTTTCCCACAGCCCGTCTACCCCCCCACCGCAAACCAGCAGGCCGCCTCCAGTGCCTCTGGCATGCAACAGCAGCAGCAGCAGCAGCCTTACGGTTACGCTCCCCAGGGCTACTTCAACCCCGGCCAGCAGCAGCAGCAACAACAACAACAGCAGCAGCAGCAGCAGTACCAGCCCGCCTACCAAGGTCAACCAATGCCTACCCACCACCAGGACTTTGCCCAGGCCTATGGCCAAGGCCGATCCAACACCCCAGGTGCTAGCAATGACCCAAACACCGGCCTCGCTCACCAGTTCTCCCACCAGAACCTCGGCGGTGCTGCGAGATCAGGCGGCTATGGCTCGAGGGGTCCCTCGCCTGCCGGTGCCCAGCGCCCGCGCACCGCTGGTGGTTCCGGCCAGGCCCAGAACTATAGCTATCTGAACGCCCCCATGCCCTCCCAGGCCGGCTCCAAGGCCGGCATCTCTGGCGATTTCGAGGTTGCTCCTGAGCGCAACCCCGACAAGTTTGGCCCCAATGCGAACAACAACCAGAAGAAGTGCTCCCAGCTCGCCGCAGACTTCTTCAAGGACAGCGTGAAGCGCGCCAGGGAGCGCAACCAGAGGTAGGCTCTCACATGACCCCCCCCCTCCCCGTGCCTACCTAGGTACCTATCCCGCACGAGCCAGGAGCTCGGCTAACCTTGACTTGTTGCGCCTGCAGGCAGAGCGAGATGGAGCAGAAGCTGTCCGAGCCGAACCAGTCGCCCGCCCGCAGGGAACAGATCTGGGCCACTGGTGGCCGCCGCGAGGGCTCCTACCTGCGTTTCCTCCGAACCAAGGACAAGCCCGAGAACTACAACACGATCAAGATCATCGGCAAGGGAGCTTTCGGCGAGGTCAAGCTGGTGCAGAAGAAGGCAGACGGCAAGGTTTATGCCATGAAGTCCCTGATCAAGACGGAAATGTTCAAGAAGGACCAGCTGGCACACGTCCGAGCCGAGAGAGATATCCTTGCCGAGAGCGACAGCCCCTGGGTGGTGAAACTGTTCACCACCTTCCAAGACGCCCACTTCTTATATATGCTGATGGAGTTCTTGCCCGGTGGTGATCTGATGACCATGCTGATCAAGTACGAGATCTTCTCAGAGGATATCACACGTTTCTACATTGCCGAGATCGTCCTCGCCATCGATGCCGTTCACAAGTTGGGCTTCATTCACAGGTACCGTCACACCTCGTCTCTCCGTGACCCCAGCGATCCTGGGCGCTGACATCCACCGCAGAGATATCAAGCCCGACAACATCCTGCTCGACCGCGGTGGCCACGTCAAGCTGACCGACTTTGGCTTGTCGACCGGTTTCCACAAGCTTCATGACAACAACTACTACCAACAGCTCCTACAGGGCAAGTCGAACCGGCCCCGTGACCGTAACTCGGTGGCCATCGATCAGATCAATCTGACCGTATCCAACCGTGCGCAAATCAACGACTGGCGACGGAGTCGAAGGTTAATGGCTTACTCCACCGTCGGAACGCCTGATTACATTGCCCCCGAAATCTTCACTGGCCACGGCTACAGCTTCGACTGCGATTGGTGGAGTTTGGGAACTATCATGTTCGAGTGCTTGGTCGGCTGGCCTCCTTTCTGTGCCGAGGACAGCCATGACACGTACCGCAAGATCGTCAACTGGAGACAAAGCTTGTACTTCCCTGACGACATCACCTTGGGCGCAGAGGCGGAGAACTTGATTCGGAGGTATGGACCTGAAGAGCCGTCCGCCCCCTGTTGTTCACAGCCAAGCGTGCTGACTGACTGGTTAATAGCCTGATCTGTAACACCGAGAACCGCTTGGGTCGCGGCGGTGCTCACGAGATCAAGAGCCACGCCTTCTTCCGTGGCGTTGAATTCGACTCGCTGAGGCGGATTCGCGCTCCATTCGAGCCACGCCTAACGAGCAACATCGATACAACATACTTCCCTACGGACGAGATTGACCAGACCGACAACGCGACCCTGCTCAAGGCCCAGCAAGTCCAGGCCGCCAAGGCCGTGGGCGTTGTAGAGGAGAGCCCAGAGATGAGCCTACCTTTCATTGGATATACATTCAAGAGATTCGACAACAATTTCCGATAAACCACAAGAGATACAATACTGCATGCGTAGGGCGCGAGTCTGTTGAGACCACTGGGCCGTGCGTTGTGCAACAGACATTGCGGTACTACTGCCACTTCACGTGCTTTTGACTGTGGATGCATCTCGTTCTCTGAGAGGGAACGGGCGAGCCATTGGCGATTACCCGAGTGCGAAGATGACGGGCTGGAAATCGACCTTCCTTTCGACGCGAGCCACGCGGGCAATCCCTGGCTCTTTGACTTTTGGATCGGACAGGCTCCGCACCAGCCTCCCCACAGGCCTGGGCAAGAGCTGAAGACTTGAGGATGCGAGCATCATCAGCATGACAATTGAAGAGAAAAGGACAAATACGCAGGCCAGGCGTTGTTGGTTCAGTCTATTTTTCTTTTGAGCTTGTTGTACGTCAGGCTATGCTAGACAACATATCGAAATGATAGACGGGCGGATGGTCTGATGCCTGAATAAAAATCTGCATAAGAGGGGTATCTTGATATCTCATGCAATATCATCAAATTTGGTTGGGGTATTACTGGCACTTTTTGCCCTTATCCCTCTGGCTGGAGGCATTCCACTTGACCTTCTGAGAATTCCTTCTCCCCTGTGTGGCAGCCTTTGTTATGATGCTTGAGTGATTCTGTGAAAGCACAGTCCCTGATTCATGTCAGTGAGACTGTTCTCTGGTATGGTCTCAACCTCCCCTTACGCTTTTCCCTTGCCCCTGCACCCAACTTCTTGGAGTCTCCACAATGCCCTCTGCCATCCTCAAGCATGAGCCAAGGCCACAATCCCTTTCTCAGCATCCACTTCTGTGGCAATATCAATGCATATAGCCCGGTGTATCGCACCACATCGGCAACTCTCAGTGATCTGCCAACAGGCATCCCACGCGTTTTCCTCATCCGCCTATCGGCGGCCCCCGAGGCCTGGCGCAGCATTGAACCTCTCCTCTCGCTCCGTCATGAACATGATCTGGACCCAGTACTCCTTGGAGTCAGGGTCCCAGAACTCAAACTGCTTGTCGTCGCGCTTGTCGAGCTCGCGGGCGGGTATCTTGAAGCCGCAGGTCTCGTAGGGCTCGGCGGCGACGAGGAGGTACTGGAAGTTCTTGTCGGCCTCCTCGACGCGCTGCGAGAAGGCGCTCATGATCTGCCACTTGGGCGTGATGCCCTGCCCGATGTCCGGGTACTGCAGCTGGAACAGCAGCCCCTGCTGCCGCGTGACGGGGTCCCGCACCTTGGTGATCTTGTAACCCGGCCGCCCGATCTTGACGACGTTGCGCCGCACCCCGCCGGCGCCCGCACCGCCGGCGCCCAGCCCCAGCGCGCCGAAGCCGGCGCCGACGACGCCCACGGGCAGGCCCGTCTGCGGGTCGACCTGGGCCTTGCCCTCCTTCTGCTCCTTGGCCGCGCGGCGGGCGAGGTTCGTCTGGTGCTTCTTGCCCTGCGTGTGGGCGAGGTAGCTGCCGTCGTTCTGGTGCACCGTCAGGCAGAGGCGGCACTCGAAGCTGCCGACGTGGTTCTTGAAGAAGTACGGGTCCTTGTCGAGGTCGATGGTCTCGAGGGCGAGCTTCCGCAGCCGCTCGCGCCGGTCGGCGTTGGTGGCGCTGTGGGAAGCGACGCCTCCGCCGCCGAATTTGGAGCCCGCTCGGTTCTGGTAGTCCATTTTTCGCGGTCGGTGTGCTGGTGTCGGTCGCGAGGATGGACTTGGTCAGGGTGGTGCGAGTTGTGTTGGGTCCGTCCTCGCGACTTGCGCATGTGAAGTGTGAAGTTCAGATTGGCTGCCGCTATCGATAGTCTTATCTTATCAGCCCCGTAGTCCGAGTCCCTGTAACCCTTACCCAGCAGTCCATGCATAATCAATGCCTCCCATGGTCTATTATGCCGCTGCGTGTAAGTTGCAGAGATCTCCCGCAGTCGTTGTGCCTGACCTCTTTCGGGTTGATGGTGAGCGATGTAAGTCTGACAGTAACTTCACCCATAATGTTGTTCTCGTCTTTTCGCAACCTCGACTAAATGGATGAGTATATACCACCATGTTAATGATTGCGTCTCAGCCTCTAATCCCGTGATAACATTGAACAGCATTGTAGAACTCTTGTAGATATTTCTCGTCGTTCAAACGCGCCACAGAATATATGCTCACGACACACCACTGTACCGCCCAACACATAATCCAGACCGCCACATTTCTTCGCGGGTGCGATGCATTTCGAGGCCAGCCCCTTTGTCAAGACTCCCGAGTGAACCGCCCAGATGCAAACATGTAGTCGGCCGCTAATCAACGGACAGAACCCTTTCGACCGATGCTTTATTCGACGCCTACGCAATGTCGGCAGTCTCGGACCGCCAACGCCTTCCTACAGGTCTTCCTCCCTCCAATGCACTCCTTGCGAAACCGTCTGCCGCCGCAGCAAACAACGGAGTCCCGCACTCGTCAGCTCCATATGATTTGATGATGCCCTGGGCTCGGTCATTGAGCAGGTACTCGAGGAAGCGGAGGGTTTCCTGAGACGGGGACGGCGAGCACAATGCGTAACAGCTATTCATCAACACGTCACCTTCCGAGGTTGGCTCGAAGAAAACGGTTGTTTTGGAAACGGTGCCTGACGACACTTGGCGTAAAAGTGTGGACCGGTCGGTGAGGAGGTAGGCCCCGGAAGCATCAGCACTCTTCAACGCTTCTGACGGGGAGAGCAGGCTGGTCTGGTACCATCGACCGCCTGAGCCTCCTTCCGCCGAGTCGTTCCACGGAGACAAGTTGCAGCTTGTCCAGAGGTACCGCTCCTTCCACATCGTAGCAGACATGTCTGCCCGGCTGTGGAAGAGCGCCTTGGAATTCGCAATCTTGACCAGAGCATCCGACAGAGAGCTTGCGGCCCCAACGCCGGCCGGGTCGTTGAGAGGCCCTGCAAGACAAAAGTGGTCGTGAAAAACGCATCCCTTCGTGAGCGACCACCCCTCAGCTGCGGCGAGGTCTTCCTGGTCCCGCTCGTAGGTCAAGGCGACGTCAATGTATCCATTGAGAAGGGCTAGTTGGGTGTTCCTGGAATGATTGCAAACCCAAGCGATGGAACGGCCCTCAGCAAGTGTACTGAGATAGTCATTTGCCAGAGCTTCTATCAGCCCTGTCGCGCCTTGGCTATGTCAGGCCACTTCACATGTGCACCAGTGAGCACGAGGTCTCGGGGACGTACCTGCACCTCCATTTCTTCACCCCATACAACCCTTGTTTAGTACCTAGGTCTGTACGTGCATGTTCGACCTACAGGGGCGCTCACCCTATTCGAAGCAGGAGGGGCCCAGTTCCATAAATCTCTGTCGGGTCTCTCACCAACTCTCCATGAGAGATTATAGCAGTCTGCCGTGGGGTTGACGATGACCTGCTAGAGCTCGTATTGCCTTGCAACGAGTCTCCTGCGGTCATGCTTCCTTCCATCTCGCGTACTCGGTCGAATACGTCTTCGGAGTGATTTCAGGTTGAAACGCCTTACTCCGGTAAGCAGCAGTGATGCGCGTCTTAAGTTCAATGTTGTGACAATGTATGAAGGCGCCACATACATTTTACATGTATGGGGATTAAAAATAAAACCACTCAATGTTGTGAGGGGTCGCGGGTCGATGTGGGGCACGGCCGTCGTTTCCATACCCCTACTGTAGCTCCAAGCCCCAGTTGACATGCGGTATGACTCTGTCGAGGCTTCCAGTAAATTGATCTTAGCTAAACATGACCTTCATTGTGGACATGAAAAAAAAGGGTTAGATGCTTGCAACAGAGTTACCCAGATACCTAGGTAGTAAAGAAGTCGGCACTTGAGTTCAGCATCAAAAAAACAGCCTCAAATGTTTACCTAGGCATGCTTGCGTTTGTATAGGTAGACCCAGGGTCCTTGATAACATACGTCTGACCACTGTGAAGACGAACCCTCCTTTCTCACATCCCTTCTCTAGGAATGAGCAGAATGTATAATTTCACATGTTACCTAGGTAGTTGAGTCCTACATACACAATTGACCGGTTGCTGCCCTAGTAGGGTAGCACTTAAGGTCTTGCAGGCTGTGATTGACACAACTGTATTTATGACTATGAAGTCAGATGAGCAATAGCGGAAAGAGCCGCATGATTTGGTAAAGACAGTGTTTTAATGCATGTTATAGACTTCAGGCCTTGAGGAAAGCATGGATTTGATGTTGCCAGAGTTGTTGGTAACAACGTGCATAGACTCAAATTGGCAGGTTACCGTTCTTGTATCCCTTCAATCTGTCTAGTAGTCTGCTGGGGTGTTTAAATACCTATGTATTTAGGTACCTTGACCGCCGTATGAAGGCGCCATGTATGTCCTCGGACGTATACGGAATAGAAGCGAAACCACATTTAGGTACCTTGCTTTAGTTGTTGAAGTCCCTGATTTGTGATTACCAATGGCTGCTTATTACCACGTGCTCCCTTGTGTCATGTCTGCCGATGAGCAGAGGGCAAGGACTCGGAGAAGTTACCCCGCGCGGCAGAGGGATAGAAGCACCCACAGAGCAGCAGTCTGCATCACACGTCAATGCAAGACAAGCACCAGCAATCACCCTTTGCTACATCCGCAAACCAAGAATTTTAGTGACAAGTAGTGGAGTCCAAGGAGGCTAGAAGGGTGGTAGAGGCATGCATCTCTCCGTTGGATCAAGTGAAGTACAAATTATTGTAAATATAAAGTCAGGTACTATATAGTAGCTATCTATATGATTAATGATCTTCTATAGGCCTTAACTGAAAAGTATTGTGCGACTGTGTCTTTCCTGTAGGAACCAAGATCTAGAGCTGGCAGAATGTTGTAGGACTACTATTGTGATTCCTTCGGTGTGAAACGTGGCTAGGCCTGTCCCGGTACGTGTCCCTGTCCGTTAGCCGGATAGCCTCACCTGCCGAATTGGGAGTATTGTTACCGAAAACGTGGGGACCTGATTGGCCCTGCCACACGCTCAAATGCTTGATTCTCACCCATTCTCGCTCATTGGTCTATCTTAAATTCCTTAATTGTCTTGTGGTTCGGTAGTCTATGGCAAGCGGGAGATTTGCAGCGACAAAGCCAAACCATGGAGGGAAGGACGTTAGAGTGGATATTGCTACGGTGTCATGCGATAGGACCTGAGGGAGTCGGATCTTATATATGTAGGCATTGGCTTTCCCTCAGCACTCAGCAAAGACTGCAATCTGAAAGTGAAAGTCCTCCCCAGATCCAAGATCCCCTGGAGACCCCACATCCCAAGATGATTGTCCCCACCGTTCACTGCTTCACATTTCTCCTCGGCGCCCTCGGCTTCCTGTCTACCGGCGTCGAAGCCTGGGGGGCCTTTGGTCACGAGACAGTTGCCTACATAGCCACTAACTTCGTAGCCGCTTCTACCAAGACATACTTCCAGACCCTCCTGGGTGATACGTCTGCAGACTATCTGGCGACAGTTTCCACTTGGGCCGACTCGTACCGCAGCACAACAGCGGGCAAGTTCTCCGCGCCGTTCCATTATATTGATGCTCAGGACAACCCGCCAAGCTCATGCGGTGTGAATTACAACCGGGATTGTGGGAGTGGAGGATGTGTTGTCAGCGCAATCAGCAATTATGTGAGTGAGGGTCTTTTCTCATGGCATGGAAAACGAGATTGTATAAATGACTGAAGACTGAATAAATTCATGGCAGACTAGTATACTGCTCAATACTGGTCTGAGCAAGGCTGAAAGACAGGTTGCGGCAAAGGTATGTGCTTCATTGAGATTCGCTCGACTCCGTGCCACCAGGTTTGACTGACGGCGGTACCAGATGATTATTCATGTAAGCCCCTGCCTGTTAGATTGCGACTCTGTGTTCGACATTGGGCTGACATTGTTATAGTTCATCGGCGACATTGGCCAGCCCCTCCACTGCGAGAATCTCGACGTCGGAGGCAATAATATCGACGTGACCTATGACGGAGACAGCACCAACCTGCACGCGATATGGGACACGCAGATTCCTGAATCTGTTGCTGGCAGCTCGTCTCTCAGCGGGGCGAAGACCTGGGCAAGCTCGCTCACAACAGGTAAGGCCGCGGCGATCAGCCGTTGACGTGCCAGGAGGGCCGATGGCTAACCGTCCCATGTGATTTACGCACAACAGCTATCCAGACAGGCACGTACAAGTCCAGCGCGGCCGGCTGGGTGAGCGGCTTGAACGTCCAAGACGCGGTCAGCAGCTCCTTGAAGTGGGCCACTGAGAGCAATGCTGCGGTGTGCAGTACAGTATTGGCCAAGGGGATCTCGTACGTCGAGAGTAACGACCTCAGTGGCGCGTATACGACGACGGCGAGCCCGGTGGTCAAGCTGCAAATCGCCAAGCAGGGTTACAGGTGCGTGTCTCCATGTTCGACCGTCAATACCACGGGCATTAAATGGGTTCTAATGTTTGACTGCAGGCTTGCGAAGTGGCTGGATGCGATTGTGGCAGCCATCTGATGCTGTACAAGACATTGTGAGAGGGCGGTTTGACCCTGATGACAGGCTGCTGACGGAATGCGTGGCTCCCTTGTTACCTTCTCGAGAGTCATGATGTGATGGTCGCGACATGTTGCTTGTTTACACCTGGCTGGATGGACACCTCAAATGGATGAGTTGTCGGGCATGCGACACTCAACATACCTTTCGGAGTACATAGATAACAGTCACCGTGTACTTCAGTTTGCCACAATCTTATATATACGGGCAACAACATGTGCGCATGCCCTCCCAGTTCAGGAAGGGTATCATTTGACGATCAGAGCTTTGACGCCTCCGTCATGGCAGACCTCAACATAGGAGCCAACTGCTTCCGGCTGTTGCCTGTCTGATGCTGGTTCCAGCAGTATCGTATCTCATGCTGGCCATCTCCGCCGCTAAGATCGATGTGGTGGAAAGGCTCCAGCCCAAGGCTCTCCTTTTGCGCCTCGACGAACCTCTGCACAGCCTTGACAGCCTTCTCGTTGAGGCCCCAGACGAGCAGGTTCCTCTTGAAGACGCCGTCATCCTTGGCGGAGGACGTCATGATGGCCGCGATATCGAGTTTCTTGTCCTGTGCAAAGGCGCGGAACTCGCGCAGGAGTGTCTCCTGGTCACCAATGTTCTCGAGCATGTACTTGAACCCCTGAGGGACACTGGATGTTCCCAGGACCAGACCGGCCTCGGTCCAGGACTTGAAGTCCTTGCGGAAGTTATCGCGGTAGGACAGCTGTGAGATATCCTCCTTGAGCTTACTCAGTTTCTTGTGATACTTCTTCCTCTCGAAGTCTCTGTCAGCGATCTTGGCCTCCAGAAGCTCGACAACCTTGACATCGGTGGGCGTCGTCTTGGCCTTTGACTTGAGGTTGTTTGTGTCAATCAGTATGGGGGCCAGTGCGACACGGGCAAGCTGGGCATCCAGATCCCCACCAGGGTCGTCGTGGCTGGTGGTGCTGGACAAGGAATCCCAGGCGTCTTGGCAGTACTCCACCACGAGGCTCATGCAGCTGCCCGTCTTGCGCAGCACCCGGGGCTCATCCCCGGTATCCTGGGAGACCACACCCTCGTCGTCGTGGTGGTCCAGGCACCCGACGACGCGGCCTGCGAAGCGCTCTGCGAGGGTGCCAGTCAGGGCGTTGTGGTCCACCAGCAGCCACCTGGTGTCGCTGGGCTCCAGGCCGTGGGAAGTGACGACCTCGTCGAGATCTGACAGGGTCAGAAGGTCGTCGGCGCCTACACCGGCATAGCTCAGGGCCTTGCTGAGCTCAGGGCGCAGGCGCAGGTCCTCTCGGGGTATGTTGGCAAGAGGGATGTGCAGATTGTACCTGGGCTGGGAGTGGCTGCGGAGGTATGCGAAGACGAGGGCCGAGCAGAGGGAGTCGAGGTCTGGGAGGAGGTGGGGGCCGGGTCAGCTTTGCGAACAGGTCGGACAGGTTGATTGAGCAGGCCGAGCAGGCGAATGTCAAGGCACACGACCCGAGAACCTACCGGCAGATTCATTGCCCACGACAAAGGTCAGGGGCGACTGTCGCTGGGCTGCCGGGGCCGTCAAGGTGTTCCTCGCGAGGGCCAGGAAGGCTCGCAGATTCCGAGGGGGAGGCATGGCCGTCGGTGCTGGAGAGGGTGTTGTGGTTGAAGCTACGAGGGGCAGTGGAGGGGTTTTGGCCCGGGGCGGCGTTGAGATCATACGTCACTTTTTTTTTTCCAACCACTGCAGCCGCGGCGGCTGACTGACTGACTTGCACAGAGCAGACACCCACCTCGTCGAAATTCTACCGTGACCAGGTGCCGGTGCCGGTGCTGCGCTGCGCTGGTCACCCAAGGGCATCTCATTACAAGCAGACATAACCTTCCAGCTCAAGCAGTTCCCAGGTACCCACCACTGCCAGGTTCTACCTCGCCGACTCGACGGATTAGCTCCATGTAGGATGTGCCTAGTGGGGCAGGCTATCACAGGCTTATCTTGGACCAGTTCTTTGTTTTTTTCCCCTTTGCCCCTCCCCGGGGGACCTGAAGATCAGCAGACGACTGATGAACTGCTGTCAAAAAATGGCCATATCGGTTCTCGGCGTTGGGTCTGCATACAGTATCTCCGTGGAAGAGGATCCAATGGTATTGTTGCACGGCGTGACAGATAGAAATTCCCGGAATGGAGACAGAGAGAGCTTATCCCAACCCCTCTTGCCCCTCCTACCGGAGATGCAGTCTAGTGTACGTGCTGTGTAGTACTGTGCAGCTCGCCGACCCACATCGACATGCAGACGATGCAACCGAGCAGTCGTCCGTGTGGTCCGATAGCTCGGCCAGCCTGCCTCTCACCTAGTTCACCACTTCACCACTCCACCATGCCCGGCCGGTGGGTTCCGTTCTCACTGGTGGGACTATCCTGCTTCTGGGAAAGACCTCCCCACGACTGCCGCTCATCGGGATGCTTGTTTTCTCTACCTAGGTAGGTAGGTACTTCAAGACTGAGCTCTTGCCCCCCTCATCCTCACCCTCCTCCTCCTCCTCCTGGTGCTGCTCCTTCTTCGCAGTACAACTAGCTGCCCTGCCAGATCTCACTGGGCCCGATATCTGATTGCTGGACTGCCGTTCAACATCCCCCGAGAGCCATCCAAGAGACCATGGCCATCAAGCAGCTCGTTGCCCTTCTCTCCATGCTGCCGGCAGAGGCGCTGGCCGAGACCGTCCTGGGGGCCTACATCTTCCATCGTCATGGAGACCGGACCACCAAATCATGGCCACCTACCTCTCTGACGAACCTGGGCGCCGACCAGGTCTACGTCTCGGGCCAGTGGTACCGCAATCGCTATATTGCGAGCAACAGCACTCATACCATCTTGAACGTCGCCTCAGATATCGCAGTCTTGTCCCAGGTGTCCATAACTGCTCCAGTTGACAATGTCCTCCAGGCGTCCGCCGAGGTCTTCACACAGGCCATCTACCCACCGGCCGGCTCTGCTGCCACTCAGACATTGGCCAACGGACAGCAGATCCAGGCCCCCCTGAACGGCTATCAGTACATCCCCGTCAACATCGTCAGCTCTGCTTCTAGCACGTCCGGCGCTGAGGACAACCCCTGGCTCCAGGGCAACTCGGGATGCGCCAAGGCTGTTGTCAGCAGCAACGAGTATTTCTCGAGCCCCGAGTACCTCGGCCTCCTGGACCAAACCCGTGACTTCTATCAGAGCCTGCTGCCCGTGTACAATACCACCTTTGACTCCTCCGAGGCCACCTTCAAGAATGCCTATGCAAGTATGTATGTCTCTCCAGAGCTTTTTACGGCGTTGCCCTAACGGCTGCAGTCTTCGACTATGTCCATGTCTCACAAATCCACAACACGAGCATCCCCAGTGATGATCTGCTCACAAATGACACCCTCGTCCAGCTGCAGACCCTGGCCAACATGCACGAGTTGGGCCTTGCTTTCAACAAATCTGAGCCTGTGCGAGCCATTGCTGGCTCAGTACTTGCCGCTGAGATCCTCGAGTCCCTGAATGACACAATAGAGGCCTCCCTGACGAAGAAGTCGGCTGAGCGCTTCAACGTGCAGTTCGGCGCCTACGCAACCTTCATGTCCTTCTTCGGACTGGCAAATCTCACAAACACAAGCGCCGATTTCCAGGGAATTGTCGACTACGCGAGCTCGATGGCCTTCGAGCTGGTCACCAACGCCACGGTGAGCGGGGCTGATGCCCCCACCAGAGTAAACCCAGACGACGTCTCCGTGCGCTTCCTGTTCGCGAACGGCTCTGCTTCGGACTCGACCCCGGCCCAGGAATACCCCCTGTTTGGCCAGAGCGAGACCACGCTTCCTTGGAGCGACTTTGTCACGAACATGCAGAAGTTTGCCATCGGGGACACTCAATCCTGGTGCAAGGCCTGTGGCAACAGCACTGGCGTCTGCGCTTCGGCGTCATCCTCTGGGTCCGGCTCGGATGATTCTGGGGCTTCCGCTTCGAGCTCGAGCCGTGGTCTGAGCCCGGGGGCTGCGGCTGCTGTTGGAGTCTGCTCGCTACTCGGGCTTGTCCTGCTCCTCATTTTGGGGGCAGCTCTCGCGGGATTCAGGGTGGTCAAGAAGGGCAGGCGAGGTGCGGAACCGCAGGCCGCGGTGGCGGAGGAGGCTGGCAAGAAAGCTTAGATAGTGCTTGCCTGTCAGGGCCACGGGGCACCTTTGAGTGAATCTTCACAGCTTTGGGTTGTGGATGCTCACTCGAAGGCGGAATGTAACTTGTTGACTTTGGGGGATAGTTCACCTCTGCTTATAGTCAGAAAGATCACGGGTCATGCCATTCCTCTGTCTTCACTGTGTACATGACTACCTCAGTACAATTATTACAGTATAATGTTTGAACATCAGTTCAGTCTTGAAGCCATGCACCTACTTTCCCATCGTTGAACTCTCCTCGCTGCAAGTGCCAAGGTTGCTCAGGAGGGCGCGTCGCCGGAGATCAGATCGTGTACTCGATTTCTCCCAACACTGCCATGTCAACACCTTACTTGGTCTTAGTGCATTTCTCGACGTACACAGGCCAGCCATGTGTTACACAAGTAGTGGTTTCATTCCTCATCCCCATATATATGAAATATATCTGGTTTCGCTTCTATTCCGCACACGTTCAAAGAAATACGTAGCACATCCATATAGCACTTGACGCTCAAGACCCAGTGTTTCAAAAAATACGATGTCGATAACAGTGGAAAAAATACGAAAGGTGCTTGTACACCTAAAAATCCTCTCAGTCGCCGATACATCCACTCAACTAACTCTCTGCTATCTTGTAGGGTGTGGGTTGCTATCCTGTGATCAGTCCTCATCTGCCAGCCTCTCGCATCCAACTGGGATCAAACGGGTTAGTATAACTTTTCATTTATCACGGATCTCTGTCTTCCTGACCACGGTGTTCTATCTAGACTGCAACACTTTGGGATCTGTAGCAGGGCCAACGTCACCTTTATCTAGGTAGTTACTGGACACCACGGAAGCTCGATCACAACATTTGAATTGCTCGATGAAGAGGCTTGTGAGGATGTCAATGCCTTAGATGGGTGGATATTAAAGAAATCTGTTTTTTAATGTGGACGTACACAGTGTGCTCAATATTGTGACAAACTGAATTGTTCTGCTGCTTCCCATGCCGTACATCTATAGCTTAGAGGAACTGTTGCTGTACAAGAAGCTGGTGCTGATGGTTACATTCGGCCTTGGGCTCTTGTGAGCCCACCATTCTCCTTTCCTTGCCTCTATATTTCTGTCCCCTGTTGCAACCAAGACTTCACACTTTGTGTTGGAACTGATCAGTGATCATCTCTGAGTATAGTGCCGCTATCGTCAGCCCCATCCGCCTCTCCTCCATCCTGCACATAGGCATGATCAACGTCACCTACACCATCTTGAAGCTGATCATGTGGAGCGGACTAGAGCCGTGCCCAGCCATTACACTTGCGTGCATCCCTCTCCTCCGTCTGCCGCTAGGTGTCAAATACACACCGACTGGTTCTGCCAGGCTGGAGCCGATGCCGAAGTCCACCCAGCGCTGAGCTTCAAAATGTAATGGACGGATAAAAAAACATGGTTAAGGGCCACGAATTATACGAGCTACTGGCATGTGGGCATGAAAATGAGCCGCCCAAATATTCAGACGAGCATTACTGCCATTAGAACGGTGTGTGTACGTTCGTAACAAAGTGACATTGCATCGTTGCTATTGGCCGTGTATATATAAATTTGTCTACGCGCTCAGCCGCGGACGATACATAACGCGTCAGGGTATCAATCAATGTGCCATAACCTGACTGCTGGCAAAAACAAACCCCCTTAACTCCAATTGAAGAAATGTCATCTCTTCAACTCCAACGCCGTGGCTTCTTTCCTGTATACATGCAAGCGTGTTCACGCACCCCAAAACTTAGAGTGGAGAAGTTGCTGAAAACCCAGCCATTCCGTCCCAGTTTTGAAGTTGCTGCCGTTTCGTCCTTTTCGTTATGTCACCCCAATAGAAGTGTGGGGTTGGGAGGTGAAGTAAGGCGAGAATGGCCGGCTCGATCAGGGGAATGCGACCACTCTGACAGAATGCTGTTCGGTGAGGGTCGCGAAGCCGCGGTGGCCGACCGCGGTTTACGGCCGTGACAGTCAGGCTGTCTGCGACCGACAGATCCGACAAAGTCAACACGTTCTGATACATCGTTGCCAGAGGCTGTGCATCTAGCAAAACTTGAAGTGCGCTTGCGAACTTCAAGTGATCAGATCACCCGCAACACCCACGAGTAGGGCTTGTAGAGCAACGCTGACGGCCCAAAAGCCCACCTTCTTCAGCCTCTTCACACGTGAGTGCTGGTTTTCGACATCGCGAGCGAATGCTGTGTACACTTCTGCGGACATGTCATCCATTAGGCCACAGTCGAATATCGTCCAGGATCCGTCGAAGTCCTGATGCCGCTTTACGATGCGGCAGTTGATCGGGATGTATGTGTGCTTGGCGTTGATGTAGGCCACGATGGGCCGAATCAAGTTCTGGTTGACATAGGAGATATCCGGAGTGGCATGGAACATCGGCACATGTGCCCGGACATCGTTTAGATGAATACGGAGGTCCATGACCAAGTAACGAGGAACTTCGTCCGTATCCGACTCATCTGTATCTGAAGTATTGGTCCACGTTTCCTCCCCGTGGTATTCGGTGTTCTCTGAAAGGTGACCCCTGGTTGGGTTTGACGGTTCGTTGTGAATGTTGTAAGAACTCAGGTTCGTCCCGATGTCTTTGTCCAGGATCTTCAGATACCTATTGCTAGTGACCGCATCCTCCATTTTGTCGTAGAAATCGCTCATGACCTTGCCAATGCTCTCGTCAGGGTCTGCTGGGAACATGACATCTGCCACAATGTCGACGTTTCCTTCGTAGATCCACCCAAATGTGCCTTGCACACCGCGATTCAGGTGATCGATCTTGAGCCCGTCAATGCGGAGACGGCTGAACTTCTTCCAAGCCTTCGGTTCTCCAAGGTTATCTGCGGCGTATTTCTCCTCACCAGCAAGTGCACCGTGGATCTGTTTCGGGTGTATGGTAAATAACGAGCCGTCAAAAGATCCTGACATGTGTGAAGCCGAGAGGAAGTCATAGAAGAGCCACTGTTTCCGCAGCTGAGGTAGCTCACAGCTGTATATGCTCACGGAAAATGGGCGAAAACCGCCGGGTTGATGGACGGTGACCAGCAGATCTTCCAGTTTGAAGTGCTCGATTTCGAAATCCCCAGGCTGGGCCTCGTGGCGGTAGGACAGTGGGTCTTGCTGCTCCCCTGACCAGAACACAGACGTGCGATCGACGACGCCGCGGACTCCCTTTACCTCGACGTCTCGAAGGGGGCCTTTGCTGTTCCACCATTTGGCAAAAGAAAGCGTGACATTCACCTCGCTGATTGTCACGTCAAATTGAGTGTAGTTGCCATCATCATCGTTAGCCTGCGAGTCGGGCTGGGTGGCGGCCGCTGCCGCCGCGGCGGCATCTGTAGGAGAACCTTTCGAGACGGAAGACTTGATCTGGCCAGGGCGGCGCGACACGAACACATTGCGGAATGTAATGACGCCGTCTCCCCACTTTGGCACGATGGCGGATTCGAAGACGACGGTTACCCCGGCTGCTTGTGTTAGGTAGTCACCGATCCATCGGGCGAGCGTCTCTATGTGCAACGGTCAGCGGCTGAAGGGGAGAGAATCTTGGCATGCAACTAACCCTGTGCGAAGACTGTGTTGACCAAGAGGATCAGGAGCGAGGCGAACGTGGTGGTTCCAACAAGGATCCAGACGAAGTGCCCAAAGAGTATCCATGACAGGAAGGCACCCCACTCGTCGGCATTAAAAGGTCTCGCACTGCGTATAGAAAACCACTTGAAGCGGACCTTGAGCCTCTGCCAGAACCCATTCGCTGCGGACAGGAGTTCTTCCTTGGTGGGCCGATGGGGCATCTTGGGCAGGTGCGGGAGATGCAGATATCTTGAGACCGAGTCCGTGAGGCTGTCATGGGCTTCCTCGGCGTTCTTCCCCACGGTCTCGTGGTCCTTGCCCTTGGTTGTCGCATTTTGCGGGCCCTGCTGTGTGCCGGCCGGCCTTTCTTCCTCCCCAGCCTTTGAACTCTTGTACCGCCTTGCTCGGGGCTTCCCGACCACGCCAGGTGTGTGTATACTTCTTGCCCATGCCAGTCGTGCCATGCGGACGACCACAGCATGGTTGGAACTGACTCCCTTCACGGCTGTCTCGGACGCGGTGGTGCAGCTGGCGAGCGCATTCTGCGTGGATGGCTGAGCATCGAGGGCGAGCAGCAATAACCCGCCGGAACAGTTGCGTCGAACATTGTGTTGGGATACGGATCGGATCTGTGGGTTGAAAGAGGCGAAATTGAAGGCGAACGGCCGCTGGGCAGTTCTTGGAGTAAAGCTTCGGGCGATGCTTTCCCAGACGATGCGCCCGAATTTTGTCGAGCTGCTAGACATTCTTCGCGCAGTGCAAGCCGTTCATGGTGAAGCAAGAGTGTTGGATGGCCAAGTGGTATTGGACTTGGTGACTGGGGGAGGTCGTGTACTGCGTGGTCGTCTTCCAAGACGGCAGCCGGTAATGCAGCACTGACGTCGGGTGGTGGTTGGGATTGTGCCCTGCCCGCTAGTGAATGCAACCACTTACTTAGCCTTTGGCAGTCTGGCTTGGTGGTCAGTCTGGCGGCCGGATTGGAACAAGGATTGCAACTGAGGAAATGTTTGGATGTGTCTAGTTGCTTGCGCCGTCCGTTTCTTTTTTCTGGTGGCCTGTCGGACTTTATGGGGTTTGGCCGGCTCCCTCTGGCCGTCTGTTGTGGGTTATCACCGGTTTTTTCGACCGAGAAAGTGCTTGTGTCGCAACTTCGCCTGTCTGTAACGACCGGGTCGCGCCCTTCATATAAGGATGAGGATACTCCGCATGTCGCGTGCCTGTGAGTCACCAAATGAACAATTATGCTGCCGCCAGCATCTTGAGGGGACGTCTCTTGTGATTGGTATGTGTCTGTTGTTGTGCCGTAGGGCCTTGAGGTCGGGAGGCTGCTCGCATGAAGAGAACTTCGGGGCGATGACGCGCTAGACACCAAGGATCCCCGGCTGCAGCGGGAGCAGGGGTTGTTCGCACCTACCACCTCTTGTACCGAAGTACCTGCCCCCGCCTGTGTCTTTTTTTTTCTCTTCTTTTGCAGCGGGCTGGATACAGCACGGTGGCAGTGGTAGAGCCCAGCATTTTGCGATAAGAGCTGATTGTCGATCTGCCCAGGTAGTAGCCCCACCGTCTGGACCACAACTTTTGCATCCCACCGCCCTGGCCAGAAACTTTTCCAAGGGTATTGCAGGCCGCGCCCATCGACCAACGACCCTTCAGCCCAGTCAGGACTTGCGACAACCGACTTTCAGGTTTATTGGCACCCAGGAAATCCGAAAAGGAGAGCAATCCAAGCCGAGCAACTGCCAGAAGGATAACACTCGACAAGATCCGGCCGCACGCTTTGCAACACCTAACCCAGGACCGGATCTCTCTGGGTCCCCGGCTTATCGACACAGCCTGATATCCTCGCACTGATAACCTCCACACCCGTCGCCACGATGCCTGCGCCAACAGCCCTCAAGGCTGCCCCGGAGGAGCCAGCAGCCAAACTCCCCCTCCCAACCGATTCCCAAGACGACGACATCCTCCTCGACGCCCCAGACGCCGTCGCCGCCGCAGCAGCAGGCGCAGATGGGGAGGCGCCGCAGCAGCCCGAGACAGACATGCAGCTCGATGATGCCGTCGACGAGGAGGGCCGGCCGCGGTTCGCCCCGTCGTCGGCGAGGTCCGAGGCGGTGCGCGTCGAGCACCGCAAGGTCCCCATCCCGCCACACCGCATGACGCCTCTCAAGGCCTCGTGGCCCAAGATCTACCCGCCCCTGGTCGAGCACCTCAAGCTACAGTGCCGCATGAACATGAAGAGCAAGGCCGTCGAGCTGCGCACCTCCAAGGCCACCACCGACAATGGCGCCATCCAGAAGGGCGCCGACTTTGTGCGCGCCTTTGCGCTCGGCTTCGACGTCGACGACGCCATCGCCCTGCTGCGGATGGATGACCTCTATATTGAGACGTTTGAGATAAAAGTATAGTGGAGACCCTGCCCTTTTGTTTGCTGTACCATAGCTTGTCGTGGTCGTTGGGGTAGTGCTGACACGTGCTCTCTTTTCTAGGATGTCAAGACACTTCAGGGCGACCATCTCGCCCGTGCCATCGGCCGTATTGCAGGCAAGGACGGCAAGACCAGGTACGCGATCGAGAATGCCTCGCGGACGCGGGTGGTGCTCGCCGACTCCAAGATCCACATCCTTGGGGCATTCAAGAATACGAGGATCGCCCGTGAGTCCATCGTCAGCCTGATTCTCGGAAAGCCACCAGGCAAGGTCTACAACGGCCTGAGGACGGTGTCGGCACGCATGAAGGAGAGGTTCTGAGCCCCTGTGGGTTGCGGTTATTTCACGATTATACATACAATGGCATGAAGGCGAACCGGCGTTTCTCTTTTGGGGTCAACATTTGGCCGAAAAGTTTGCATTTCGCAGAGGAATTTCCGATACCTGAAGATAGCACGTCTCGTTCCGATAGGCGGAGAACAAAACTCCTGAGACATTAAATGACTGAATACCTCCAATGACCATTGACTTCCGTACCTGAGGCCTGGCTGTGCGGCATCAGATGAATGCTGCTAGGATGAGGTATCTGGTTCAAAAGAATAGAGGCCGCTTGGTCGCCTTGAAACTCTTAACAAAGCTCCGCGCTTCTTTGTTGCTGCGTCAGGCTTCCGCAGCAGCCCTGAATTACCTCAGATACATCTCAACGGTACAGAGGTCCTCAATGTCAGCCTCTTCAACTGTCCCGTCTCCCTCTAACCACTCGCCCTCGAATCTAAGCTTGATCTCTCGGTCATTGGGGATTTTCCTCATCTTCCGAATCGCAGGAATGAGAAGGCGGATCTGCATGTCGGCGTAGACTGTCAATTTGAACGGCTCTTGATCCTTCTCCTTGATGGAAATTCGAATTTTTGTGTCCCTCTCGTCCGGCTCCTCGGCAAATTCCTCGTCGGATACATCCTCGACCAGATCCCCGCGTTTCACCATCCTCTGCTTCTCCTCCTCAGCAAGCCACCTGTCATAATCCTCCTGAGTCCACGCCTCGAGAAGGACACCTCCCTTCATGAATCCAGGGGTTGAGGACGATCTCGAGTTCTCGGCGGCTGGCAGTTTCCACCCCAAACTGACGCCCGTGGACACGTCGTAGATCTTGCGGCGCTTCCAGGTGAGAAAGGTGTTTGCCTCGTCCTCTTCAGAGATTGCATGACCACCCTTCTGCAGCCACATTATGAAGAACCGGCGAATGACTCCCAGGTTCTGGCTCATGCCACGCTTCGCGCCAAAGGGACCGACATCAGGGAACCTCGCCATGCGTGATTGAACAAAAATCTCGACCTCAATCATGGGCTCCCTCTTTGGCGCGCCATCTGGGGTTGCGGGTTGGCACTCAGCTCTGGATGCCGCTGCTGCGGCCGCCTCAGCCTTGGCGGCATCCTCGCGCTCCCTGGCACGCACAACGAAATGTGCAAATGGGTCATCCTTGTCTGCAGTGTTCGAAGAGTTCTCGAACAAGTCGTCATCGTCGTCATCAATTGTGATTGAAACAAAACTTGGCGTCTCCTCATCCCGAGTTACTGAAGCGTCCCTGATTGTTCTCGTGCTGGTCGTCGCTGCAGATGTGGCACGCCTGGATGGAGGAAGCTTCTCAAAGGCATCATCCTCCTCATCGACCAGGGAGATCACCTCATTGGCGCATGGCTGGTTGGAGCTCGATCTTGTGGGTGTAAGCAGAATGTCACCTTGCACCGGTTGCACGCTTCCCTTTCCCTTGCTCTGAGCTGGCGACGGCGTTGACCGCATCGTGCGTGGCTTCTGTGGAGATGTTGAAATTGACTTTGTGGAGCGACGCGGAGGCGTTGGTGGCCCGTACAGGTCGTCTTCGGTGTCCTTAAAGTCGGTCGTGCGCATGGGCGACGAGAGCTTGCGTCGCTTGGAAGATGGAGGCGACGGGGATTGAGTGCTTGCTTGAGAAAGTCGATCGTGGTCTTCTACTTCATCTGGTGAGACCTGCGGGCGCACCTGCTCTTGCACCACGATAGGGAAGAAGTCGCGGGATCGCCTGAATAAGTCGAGGCCATCGTCGTCCTCGCCTGCTTCGTTGCCAGATTTCCCGCCGCCGGATTGCCCTCCGTCTGCATCGGAGCTTGGGCTTGACTTGGGACCTGACTTGAGGAATGCGAACGCCTTCTTCTTCTTGATGCCCTTTGCAGGCGTTCCCATTGTGTCGGCCATGGTGGGGTACCAGCCTTGACTTGTCACGCAGGATAATCAAGATGCAACGGGAGGTGGATGTTCCGAGCTCGTCGGCGTCGCGCTCCAGGATATGTCCAGGCTGAAGTCGTCGCCTGCGTGGTGGCTGTGAAACTTTATGGCGACAACAAATGCGACCAGAGAATGCGCGAGCGCAACAACAGTGTTCTCTGGCGGGCTATCCACTACGGTGCAGGGAGTCTGAGGTGAAGCCCGGGTAAGATAAGAGGGAAACGGCTGGTTCGGTTGGAAAGTGGCGTTGTGCTTGTCGCGGGATGCGCGATGGCGAGGCGCGTTTCCACCGGGCGTGTTTAATGAGGATTAGAAAAGAACAAGGCGATCTCATTGCAGCTGCCGGGGCAACGAGTGGAGAGGGTTCAACAGTGCGGAAAGCTTAACCCAGCCCAGATCTGTTAGGGCAGGGCCTTGCCAGGGCAAGGGCCGGGTGGGGGGGTGGTGGTGAGGGTCTGCAAGAGGTCTGCCTGAGGGTTAAGGCACAGAGTTGCTTGGCTGTCGTAACCTGCCAGCGTGCGGCCTGCTGAAGACAAATCGTGGGGAGCCGAGGCAGATCAACTTCTCCACTCCGAATAGTAAACTCCGGCCGGGGACCGCTGCCAGTTGCCCCGTGCGCTCCGTCCTCAGGCCCGAGGTGTTCAGACGACAAGCGGAAGGATGCATAGCTTTACCTTTGTGGCCATCTACGAGTTTTGCGCATATTTTCTCGTCGGTAGTCTTGTCTTCGTCCTGGCCGTAGCCTGTGACCAAGAGATTGAACAGACGAGAGCCCCATTCTACAAAACCATTCTTGACCCCTTGAGTTCCTGGATCTTTGGCTGAATCTGACATCACAATCAGCCTCGGTACACCAGACATCATGGCTGTCGACCGCTCAGAGTTCCTGAGCAGCATTTACAAGGAAGGGATCTTCAGTGAGTGCACTCTCGCCGCCCGAGGCCACACCGGTTACCCTGGAATCTGACGCGACTGCTTCTACCAGACAATAGGGTCGTCTTCGTGACAGGAGGCGCTGGTACAATCTGCAAAGTACAGACCAAGGCTCTCGTCTACCTCGGTGCTAACGCCTGTATCCTCGGGCGCAACGTCCAGAAGACCGAGGCCGGTGCCAAAGAGATAGCCGCTGTCCGCAAGGGCGCCAAGGTCATTGGTATCGGTGGTGTTGACGTGAGAAATGTATGCCATCCGAGCCCAACATGTCCTACCGCACACACATTTTCTCTGACCAAAGGCCACAGTTCGACAGTCTGAAGGCTGCAGCCGATCGCTGTGTCAACGAGCTTGGTGCTATTGACTTTGTTATGTCTGTCCCTCCCCTCCACAGTGCTCGAGCCGTAGATCACCACATACTGACTATCCTCGGCATGGAGTGCGGGAGCAGCAGGCAACTTTGTCGCTCCCATCTCAGGCCTGTCCCCCAATGGGTTCAAATCCGTCATTGAGATTGACACAATCGGCACGTTCAACACCGTCAAGGCCACAGCACCTTACCTGGTTGAGTCGGCCGCGCGGAACCCAAACCCACCACCCGCCGGCCAGGTCGGAACAGGAGGACGCATCCTGGCCGTGTCGGCTACCTTCCACTACACGGGCCTCCCTCTCCAGTCCCACGTCAGCGCCGCAAAGGCCGGGGTTGACAGCATCATGGCAAGCGTCTCGCTCGAGTACGGACCCATGGGCGTGTGTGCGAACGTTATCGCCCCTGGTGGCATCGATGGGACCGAGGGCCTGGAAAGGCTGGCAAGCAGCACAGCCGCCCACACCGAGGCAGCCACCGCTGCTATCCCGAGTGGGAGGTGGGGCACTGTCCGTGATATCGCAGACGCGACGGTATGGTTGTTCAGTGACGCTGCCAATTATGTCAATGGCCACACCCTCGTCGTCGATGGCGCCGCGTGGAGGAGCCCTGGTGCAATGGCTGTTGGCCTTGACGAGGGCATGCAGTATCCCGGCTTCTTGAAGACCGGACACTCCAAGAACATCAAGACAGGAAGGAAGTCGGACAGTAAATTGTGATCTTGCTGTCCCAGTAGATGGGAGCCATGGCAGGCCATGGGGGGAGATGCACCCACTACTACCTCTAGCCGTGCATTTGGTGTAGTATGTAACGTGACGTGTGACTTAGCCGGGGCTTCGAACTGCCATCAGGGTCTGTCACTGTCAGTGAGGGACATGGAGAGCCGCAATCTTGTATTAAGTATTCTGTTGTCCAACTAGCGCCTGCAATCTATGCCGCTCATGCGAATGCCAGTCTGTAGAATCTCTCCCAACGGCTTCTGCCTCTAAAACTCCTCATACCACCCACAACGCCTCGAACCCCACGCCTCGACGCTAGTGTTGTCTGTCGCCAGAGTCGGGGGCGCAAGCCCACTGCCTGACCTTGTTCGATGTTCCTGGTTGAATGCCACGGTTCGGGAGCAGTGGCGGCCCGGCGGACGTAGCCAGCTACCTGACGCCCGTGGGTGGTACCTGATGGCACAGGAATCTGTCCGTGTGCCTGTGCTTGGCTGTCGAGGAACCCTTTTCAACCCGACGCCTCACATGAAGTCATCATCACCAAACTCATTGTCATCGTAAGCAGTGGTATCGGTAGTGGTGGGGCGAGACATGGCTAGGGTGGTCTTGGTCTTGGCCGCCTTGGACTTCTTGCCGCCCTTCTCTTGTGCCTTCTCCTCCTTGAGCTTCTCGTTGCTGAGGGTCGTCATGGCGCTGGCAACCTTCTTGATCTGGTCACTGGGCAGGTCCTTGGCCAGCTGCTTCGCGAATTCAACGAGGAACAGCGTGTAGTGGGCCTTCTTGGCGTTGTTGGAGATGATGGGGCCCATCACCTCGCGGAGCTGTTCGAACTGCGCCTTGGTCTTGGGGTCGAAGAGAGCCACCGTGGACAAGTCGATCAGGTTGTTGGGGTCCTTGGGGTCAGGCACGCTGGACCCCTTGATGACCGCCTTGCGCGAGGAAGGAACACCACCGACATCGCCTCCAAAGAGATCCTCGGCGTGTTTGAGATCAGCCTCCTTCTGGGCTTGAGCAAGGCGAGCCCTCTTGGTGGCTTCGTCCTCCTCGGACTCGTAGTCGGAGTCGTCCTCCTTTTGCTTTTGACGCTCGGCGATCTTCTCCTGCAGGCGTTGTGTCTTGGACTTCTTGTTGGCCTTTGCTTCGGCGTCAGCCTTGGCCTTGGCCTCGGCAGCCTTCTTTGCCTTCTCGCGCTCAACCTCCGAGTCCTCAGCTGCGTCCCAGGAGTCTAGAACCTGTGACCGACATGGTTAGTTGGGCTTCGTCAGAGAAGGCGGCGGAATGCATACATCGTCATCGTCTTCCTCATCATCAAACTTGCGTCGGCCAGCGGCGGCGGCAGCCTTGGTGGTCTCATCGGGGGAGCTGGAGGCATCGGAAGCCTCTTCGTCATCTGCCGGCAAATGTCGTCAGCTTGACGCAGAGAAAGATCGGTTGTACCAGAAATCACCGCAGGACTGGTCGATCATAGCGCTGTCGGAGCCATGGCGAGGCCGCGATCAAGCCGAAAGCCGCAGTGGATTGATGGACAACGCGAGGATGAGTCTTACGTACCCCACTTTCCAGCCATATTGACGATGGTATCGGGTATTTAAAGGTGGGCAGGAGTGGTTCAAGTTGTTGGGGACTAGTGGATCGTGGTGTTCTGAAAGATCGCAGGGCGTCTGCTCTTGAGCGTCGACAGGGACAATCTCAACTGCACGGTTGCGTTGGTATTGTGGTTCCTTTGGGCACAAGCCAGAAAAAAGACGACCCGATTTAGGCGCGGGAAGCAAGGATTTGGAGGGGTAGATTTTTGGCGGGAATGACTCTGCCTGTTTACATAAGCGTTCCTGGCGTCTCGGCCTGGGCCATTGGCAGAGCTCTAAATATCTAAGGCCTCGTACGAATGCTTGGTTGAAATTGACATCAAATATGGTCCCCAGCAGTAAAATGAGGTAGGTTTACTAGTATTCCCTAAATTTCCATCCATAGATATTGACCTCCTCAATCAGAGAGCTCTATTAACCGGTACAGCACTCGTTAGCACCGAGGGCAGCCCGACGCCACATGTGTTGCATGGCGGCTAACCTTACTTGGACCCTCGTGAAAAGAGAGAACAGACAGACATATGCCTCGCACATACCAATGACTGTCAAATAATAAGTGGCAACCCTTTTTATGTCGTATATCAGATTACCAAAGAGGAAGAAATGCTTGTAACACGGCAGCTCTTTTCCCGATGGGGTTATGGCGCAGGACCCCATAGGTTTGGGCAATGCGGCATCACCAATAGCCACTGGTCAAGGTTTGAAGAGCTCAGTCCAATGATTTGGCCGGACTTTTGCCCCTTTCAAAATCAGGTTGTACCATATCCGCACCAGTATTTGACTTGCTCGATCGTGTCAAAAGTAAAGACTTGTGTGCCAGTGTGCGACAAGGAGGTGCTGTTGAGGAACTGCTGAGGCCAGGCTACATGGCAGCCACTGTCTTCCCATGGCAGTTCTTATTCGCCTGGGTTATGGATTTTGGTTTTTTGTGGCTTTTTTTCTTAAACACAGAAAAGAAAAAAGACATTAATTCATCCTGCTGTAGCATCCTGGGTTTCACACACTCACCCAAGCCCCTTTACGTTGACCAGGGTTCCCCCAGCACACGGCAGGAAGGATTTCGGGCCCCTCTGGCTTCTCGGGCTTTCTTCATTGGTATCTGGGTAGCAAAAAAAAAACAATAAATGGAAATTTTGCACTACGAGAGAAATCTATATTAGAGCATGCTGTTTGACAAGCTCCGGTCTAGGGTCCGGTACGAGGACACTAGGTCTATTTTGCGAATTTCCTAGACGGTGCCGACACCATGGCCACAATAGGACGGGCCTCTCTTGGAATTGAAATCGGCAGAATAAAGTACTTTTGAAAGAAATCCATGAAAAACATTTAGCTGGAGTGAAACTTGTGGGATAATACTCGGGTCTTCGAAGGGTGTCCACCGAAAGAACAGTTGCAACACGACATGAGCAGGGCCCCAGCTTCCATGATGTAATTACTATCGTGTCCGCGGAAGTGACAGATCCGCCCACTGGGGTGACTGCAAAGAATTCGATCATCCGGTAACAGGGCTCCATGAACGGTCCACAATCCGGGATTCCAGAAATCTTCAAACACCTGAACGACCAAGGGGCATCGGGCACCGACTCGGAGGTTGACTGTTGGTCGACGGTGGGTCTGTAGTGGGAATTTCGTATTAAATGATTGGCCAGATTCCCGCGATAATGCAGCGGGACGCTCAGCCGCTTGCAGTCGGTCGCTTTCCCGGCCTCTCCCGAACAACGGCCCCCTTGGCTAGAGAATTTCCAGGCTCCTATAGCCTTGGGCTGACAAAACCCAGGGGCAGATGACCATTACAGCCCCATCGAATTGTCAAAGACTCATCCCAAAATTTCTTCGCATGCTCCACCAGATCGGGATCTGCTACCGCGCTCGCGCTCAGCAGGTGAGCGTGTCTCGGGCTTTCAGCGAATTGGCGAACGAACCCTTTAGACGCCGATTAAACTTGCTCACAGCCGGGCTGGACATGTGACACATTGGGCTAGGCGCACTATCGCTTACTGTTTGTCCCTTTGTGAGATGGGTGAAGCCGGCCTGAATACGTGGCCATGGCGTTCGTTCCTTGTTTCTTTTCTTGGTTTGTGCTGCAATTCCTTCAGCGTCATCCTGGGTTCCGATCTCTCCCTACTACTGTGTAAGCAGCCATGAGCGGGCTTCCCCTGCCGGGAGCGGACTCGGGCGTTCACTTGCACCTGCCTCTACAGCGTATATAGACTGGCCTGGGACGAGGCATGGCTTGCCTCAGGACCTATGGTTCTTGTAGTCCAACCCAGAAGCAGACTTGATAAGTCAGCATTATATCTCTATTGAAGACAAATCTCTACTCTCAACATACAAACTACCTACCTAGGTACCTAACGATCTCGATGTTCGCCCCACGGGTTAACACCAAACTATGCTCCCCTAAACACGCAAGCCAGCTCGGCCGGACTGTGGCGCCCCTGCTCCAGTCCTATATATCCTCGGGCTCTACTTCCTCAGTGGTCGGCCTGCGGCTGGCCGCAACTACCCCCCCAACCTCCACCCAGCACCGGTCTTTCTCGTCGACCCCAGCAAACCACCTTCGAGACTTCTTCCCCGCCAAGGAGACCGAGAACATCCGCACAACGCCCCCGGCGTGGCCTCACCATGGCGCCACTGAGGCCGCGATGCTCGCGGTGGAGCCTGGCCACCGCCCTCCCGTCACGCTGGGAGATCGGTTTGCCTGGCGCCTTATGCGGCTTTGCCGGTGGGGGATGGACACCGTCAACGGTTTGAGCAAGGACCAGAAGACGAATAAGAAGGAGCCCACCACGGCGGTGGTGGCCGAGAAGCCACTCACTGAGGCCCAATGGCTCGTCCGATTCATATTCCTCGAGTCCATTGCTGGTGTTCCGGGCATGATCGCCGGCATGCTCCGACACCTACATTCGATCCGTCGTCTGAAACGCGACAACGGTTGGATTGAGACGCTCCTTGAGGAGTCATACAATGAGAGAATGCATCTTTTGGTATGTTCTCACCCCCTCGATCTCCTGTTAAGCCAGGAGTGCTTACTCATTACTCGCAGACCTTTATGAAGATGTGTGAACCAGGCTGGTTTATGAAATTCCTTATTCTCGGAGCGCAGGGTGTCTACTTCAACGCCATGTTTCTTAGCTACCTGGTCTCACCTCGTATTTGCCACCGGTTCGTCGGGTATCTCGAGGAGGAAGCCGTCCATACTTACACGCGATGCCTCCACGAACTTGAGGCCGGGTACCTGCCGAAGTGGACAGACCCTGACTTCAAGGTGCCAGACATTGCCGTGACGTATTGGAACATGCCAGAGGGGAAGCGGACGATGAGGGACCTGATTCTATACATCCGTGCCGATGAGGCGACTCACCGTGGGGTCAACCACACCCTTGGAAACCTGAACCAGACCGAGGACCCGAACCCCTTCGTGAGCACCTACAGGGACGGCCACAAGCTTCTCCCGATGACGAAGGCTGAGGGCTGGGAGAGGGAGGAGGTTTTGTGAAGAGCGCCAGCAAAATCGAGCGGGTACGTCAAAAGTGGTGAAGTGGCCTCGGCGATATTCTCTTGTGGTTATTGTGTTTTTGTTTTTACTAGACCTGCATACTGGCCAGGGCCTACTCACGGCGTCCTGGAAAATTCTCTACTCTCAAGATACCCTCAAAATAGAACTATAGACCTCTGTTATGGAGACGAGCAATGGATCTGGTTTCTCGAACCCTGCAGAGGGGCCCTTGCCAGTTAGCACAGGACTCCATCCCTGCTTGAAGCCACAAGACACATGCATGGTCCTTCACCGGCGTGTCGGAGTCAAGACATGTAAGATCTGCTGACTGAGCAACGGACAGACTTTGCGTCTACCAAGTTGGTGCGTCTCATCCATCGCACCTGTGCGGCCTCTTGGGCGGCCCTGACATCAAGAACAGGGCCCTTGGGGAGAGAAAATAACCACGGGATGACCAAAAAAAATTCAGTGGATGACAAGTGGCCCTCTCGGTCATCGCTCTTGGAAGCCTTGGTGGTGTGACTTCGCGTAGATCACTCGCAAACTCGCTCGGGGCTTTGGGGGGGGGGGGTCTAATTGTCAGCTTATTCGCGTGTTACTACTGCCAGTGCAATAAGTACCATCGACAGATTCTCCATTCAACCCCCTTTGGTTACCCGTGATCGTGGCGATGGCGTGCAAAGCGGAACCCGAGACTTCGGGTCTTAACCCTGGTCATGGCCCCTTCCTTACTCACGCAAGACAACGTTGGAAGCCCGAGAATTGGATGTCAGTGTGCTAGCCAAGACAACTCTAGTGAGCTGCCAGACTTTCCGATCAAGGGTCTCGGTTGGGGGGGGGGGGCAAGTGTGAAGGGAAGGGGGCGGACGGAAATGTCTGTGAAGCCTTTGAAAAGTAGATTCCGCCAACGCACAGCTTTGATGTCCTCTTGTTGGGCTAGGTTGTGGACAGGTGTGGGACGGCAAGGGCTGGAGGAACCCGACAGCGGAAATCCTTCGAAGACGTTTCCTGCTTTCTAGAAGAGTACGGATCAGCCCTACAGATCTCACCCGCAGGATCTGAACCCCGAGGGGTGGGGGGAGCGCTGCTCTGGTGGCGAGGACAGGTGGATGTCCGTCTGAGCTCGCGGTCTTTGTCGTGCTGCAACTGTACGCTATACGCTCCACTGCCAGCCTGTGTGGCCGGCGCCAACGGGCCAAGAATTTGGGAGTTAGGATGCTTGGAACCAAGAGAGCTCGCACAAATCACCTCGACTGTTCCTTGTGTCCCCCCTCCCCCCCCCCCCGGCCTGGCGCTTTTACCGTGCCCCTTAATCACCAAGACCTCGGACGAAATGATAAGCTCAGGGTCATCCACCATGTAAGCAGAGCTGGTGAGTGCAGGATCGGATGAATGCCGATCAAGAGTATGAGATCATCCAGGAAGTCTTGGTCGATCTGCCCAGTCCGCTCAGTGGTACCGTGTAAGGTCATTGAGAGTGCCTCTTCCCGAAGACTGCTGGGAGTCATATGCTCAGAATGCTGTGGCCGGGTGGTCTAGTGTACTCCGTAGATGTGGGAGGATTCCAAAATAGCAACTCAAGTCCACGCTGCCACGCTGCCACCCACCCTGTTGTCCAGCTGGACAGGGGAGGCTCAGTTATCGCTCGCCCACCCAGGGTACGGAGTACATAGTACATGCAATAGGGGGAGCAAGGTTGAAAGTTGAAACAGTCGGGCAGGCGAGTCGTCTTGTTGGTGAGGGCTGTTAGGCGGACAGTTGGAGTCGGGCGAAGGAATTTGTTTTATTTCCCGGTGTCAACAGCAGTTGTTCCCCGGGCCTTGTTTCGTTGCAGCTCCTGTGGGCGAGGTGGAATTGTTTCGCTGACCTGCTTTCCCACGGGAAGGGATTTCAGAAGCAGGTGTGTCAGGGCAGCCCTGTCGAGGATGGAGATGGTTCAGGTAGATTGGGTACAGCCTCAATCGTCAGTGTGGTCTGATGGCAGCTGCCCATGGAGATTAGGTTCAATCTGCACGGGAGCCCGAGCGCCGGGGACAGAGACAGTCAGGACAGTGTACGGAGTACCAGCTAGGGCAGTGCAGTGGGCAGCAAACGCAACTAACTGGTGGCCGCGTACAGATTACAGGGCGTACATGGCGTACACGGCGCTAGCAGCCAGCCCAGCCAGCCAGCCTGCTTGTCTGAAGACATTGGCGGCATGACACCGCGGTTCAGATAGGGCTGGAGTATGGCATGGAAGGTGCTCCGCCCCGTTCAAGCCTGCGCCGCGCCGGTGTTGGCCATCTGAGTGACGCTGCGAGGTACGCGTCTTGGGTTCTTCAAATCCAACGTCCGTCCCAGCCATGAATGGGCTCGACGTTGGCTACTGTGGTACTGTGGTACCGCACTCGTCGTCGTGGACGAGTCATGAGAGGCTTGGGCAGTTCCCTACTAACGCCCGACAGATCGGTACCAAGATGCTGGAAATTTGGCAATACAATGCTATGCCCTGAGTCCTGCCCGACTGTGCAGAAAAGCCACGGACTGGGGGGGGGGGAGAGGCTGTCTCATCAGGTGGCGGGAGCTTTCTTACCCGGGCGACAAGCTCACTGGCAGGCTAAGAGGTAAGGCGTTACTGTGGTATACCTAGGAACTTGGCGAGGTATCCAGGTACCTGCTTACCTAGGTAAGTATTCACCCCACGGCCTGGGCTCGAGTCGAATCCGAGACTCGACATGATACCACCTGCTGTCGCGATAGAACCCTGGCAGCCCTGGACATGTCCTGAATCGCCCTCTCAGGGCAGGAATCCAGCCTAGCGTTGCGCCAGGACAGACAGCGCCAGGACAGACAGCGCCAGGACAGACAGCGCCGACGACAGAAATGAGGCCCAGCTGGCCCAGGCCCCTGCTCCCTGCACCGGTTCTTTACCGGCCGAACAGGAAGGAATACGAAGGCGAGTGTAAACAAGCACTGAATAATGCCGTGATGTTTCGTGCTGGACTGTGCTGTGCCGTGCCGTGCCGTGCTGTTATGCTGTGTTGTGCTTATGCTGCGCGGTGCTTGTGCTGCGTTGTGCTTATGTACTTAAGTATGCATTGTGTGCGTGCCTCTGGCCCCGTGATATTGGTGCTGTGCGTCCCCGTTGCTGCTGCAGCTGGCTGTCAACGACCTCGACCTCGAACCCGACTCCGGTTTCCGGTCTGCTGTGAGGGTCCTGATGCTACTTCATAATAGCTTCCTTGGCACTGTGGAGTTAGGAGGGGTAGACTAGCAGTTAGCCCACCTGTTAACAATCCCTTATGTTAGAGAGGACAGTGCGAAACACAGGGGCCAAGAGCTCGCCCAGATTGAGAATCCTATTCTACTGCCATGTGCAACGAGGGGGACCTGGGTAGCAAGTAGTAGTGCAGACTGCGCTGTACGGAGTACCTAGGTAGCTCCTACCAGCCTGCCAGCCCGCCAGCCAGCCCGCCCGTCACAGTCCTAGGCGTGCACCTCCACCCACCCCCCCCCGGCTCGGGCTTTCCTCCACTTGGTGGTCTCAGTTCAGCTGTTACTGTCACTGTCACTGTCACTATCACTGTCATCCTGCCACCAGTTCGCGACTCTTCTGACCCTCTCCCGCCGTCCAGTGTCGCCCTCATACACGACAGCCAGGCCCTGACGGCATACAGTGCTGCTGCGACACGTCACGTATATACACCTGCGACTACAGCCCAGCCACGACACAACGGCATTCAGTCTCGCCGATCCCATCACCCACGGCCAAAGTCGGAACCCGCCCGCCCGACCTAAGCGCCCACCTCGCAATCGACAACCCTTTTCTGTCGCATCGTCGCATCGCCGCGCGCACTCGCCATACCGCTATACTCTACACCTGCCCGCCAGGCCCTGACAGGATTGACTCCTGGACTGCTGGGTCTTGAACCAACCCAGTGCTCGTACCGACAGTCGAGACAAGGCTCCCAAGACTCGTGCCCGAGTCCCGCGCGACGCACACTGAGGGGCAGAGGCAGAGGGTGAAGGTGCTCCCAGAACAAGACCGCGCCAGGCTTGTGGGCCAGCTCCCGACCGCACCGAGTGTGTCGCGTCATCGTATACGGGCTGTCAAGGGGAGGAGATTGTTTTCGGTATCGAAATTGGAAGATCCAAAAGAGGTCAGTCCTAATCCGATTGTCCTGAGCCCGGGGCAATCCACCCTAGGTCCTGCACAGCCTTCCCGCTGTCGCTGGATTACGCGAGTGGGGGGCGTCAAGGCCGTGAGACACCAGCCTCATGCCCACCCACGAGACATTCCCGGGCGGGCGCATTCCCGCCTTGAGCACCCGGTTGAGAAGGCTGGCAGTATGTGCCTGAGTGCATGAGATTCTGACTGCGGGCCAAGGACCACAGATTGCACGGTAGAGGGCCTCAGGAACCCCGTCGCGACCAGCTCCCGCGGCACCAGCGGCATCACCACGAGCAAGGCCGCGCAGACAAGACCTTGCAACGTTGGTGTCCTACTGATATTGAGAACGATCCATCACGAGACCAAGTTCTCTGGCAGGGGGAACAGAGACTCGCATCCAGAGAGGACCAGTGCTGTGTACCGCTCAAGCTGCGCATGCCATAAGGCACCACGGGTCCAGGACGCATCAAAAGCAGGGCACCACCTCGATTCATCCAGGCACCAACGCAACCCCAGCGCCCCAAGGTTCGGCAGACAGCAAGCAGCATTTCACGCTTTGGTTTTTTAGTGTGTGCGTGTGTGTGTGGTGCGGCCCTGACGTCGCTGCAAGCCAACACCTGTCTCATCATCCTGAGGTGGTAGGGCCTGATAGGACCGTTCCCAGGGTGGGTTGTCAGCTCTTGCGTCCAGCACAGCCCCAATACAGTGCTCCGCCACCGAGTCTCGCAGGCTGACCTGGAAACTGCCTTGCCTGATAGCTGCTGTTCTAAAGACGGAAACATCAGGCAGACCAAACCTAACCCAACCCAACCCAGCTAACTGGCTGGCTATCCACTCCCCTCTACCCCAAGCTTTCCAAGTGCCACAGGGCCCTGGGGTTCAACCTGCCCCCCTGCTGGACCGGGAGCCGTGTCCCGCAGTACATATCACACCCACATCGCCATGGACCAACAGCAGGCACGGGGTCGCTCCCCCTCTGCCGCTGCACATCAGCAACAGCCTCATATAAACCAAAGCCACTCGCCTTCTCCCGCCCGACCATACCCTGCAGAAGCCTCAAACATCGGTCTGGGTATCGATTTGGAATCTCAGGCACAGCCCTTTGCCCCCGCCGCCTCGGACTACTCCACCTATAACGGCAACAACTTCCTTGACCCTCAACAAGGCCAGCATACCTTCTCGGGGGACCCCTCGTTTCAGAGCTTCACAGCACAGCTGGAGGGAACCAACGACCTGTCCTCCTTTGCCCAGCAGCAGCAGCAGGTGCCCCAGCACTCCGCGCCAAACAACTTCCAGGACGACTTCACCATCTTCCCGTCCACAACCGGGGAGCAGCAGTACGGGACCTCGCTCTTTGCTGGCGACCCGGGTCTCAACCCGACCCTTGGCGGTCCGGACAACAGCATGGCATCCGCTCAACCTCACCACAGCCCCACCCCACCCCATCTTCTGAACCAGGAGCCGACGTCAGCCCCGTCGGCGCACCACTCCCCAAGCTTCAACCAGCATCAGTTTGCGCAGCAGCGCCCAAGGGGCCACTCGCGCAACGCGTCCCTCGGCGTTGAGGCCGCCCTTCTCCCCGGTCAGGACTGGAGCAACGTGCCCCAGTTCCAGTCGCACAGGAGGAGCCCTTCCGAGTATTCCGACGTGTCGTCAGTTGGCCACTCGCCGAACCTCATCGCCAACGACAGCTTTGACCACATGGACCCGAGCCATTCTCCCATGCAGCGGCCCCAGGACCCAGCAGTACTCCAGGAGCTTCACGGCATCGGCAGCTTCACCATCTCGGACAGGGGCCGCAGCCCGTCCCACAGCCCGGCCATCTCGCCCCGGATATTGCCTCAGCAGCAGATGGCTGACGTCACTCAACACGGCTTCACCCTCGGCAGCAATGGCTTCGTCGGTGCTCCGCCCTCGCAGTACGGTCTTCAGGCCCCTGAGGCTTTCCCCCAGCTCCAACAGACCGGTGCGCCTGGCGAAGCAACGCAGAGCATGCCCCAGCTGGCAGCTCCCACCATCAACATCGACTATGCGCCACCACCAGTCCGGAGCAACTTTGATGGCAGGTCGTCGATGGATACTGATGCCTTGACGCCTCCCGAACGAGGTAAGCCTGTCCCAGAAGCCCCTTGACAAATGTTTGATGCTTACCCCAAGACAGGTCGTCAGCGTGCTAGGCCCAGAGCTGTCACAGATCCTTACAATAGCGGTGCTTACCGGCAGTCACCAGGAGGCTCAGTTTCTCCCCATCTCAGCCCTGGGCTGTCTCCCAACAGGGACGATTCGTCTAGATCTTTGTCGCCTCTTGACCGCCAGCAATCCGCCTCTCCTAGCAGGAGACGCCAATCAACATCAGCCGTGCCCAACAACGTCATTGCTCTCCGACTCGTGGAGAGCGAGGGCAGCCAGGACACTTCTGGGGGGTCCAAGCGCGTGCAGAAGCACCCTGCAACTTTCCAGTGCTCCCTCTGCCCCAAACGCTTCACCCGCGCGTACAACCTACGCTCTCACCTTCGCACCCATACCGACGAGCGGCCCTTCGTTTGCACCGTGTGTGGCAAGGCATTCGCACGACAACATGACCGGAAGCGCCACGAGGGTCTTCATTCAGGAGAAAAGAAATTCGTGTGCAAGGGTGATCTCAAGGCTGGCGGGCAGTGGGGATGTGGCAGGCGCTTTGCACGTGCTGACGCGCTGGGGCGGCATTTCCGGTCTGAAGCCGGCCGCATCTGCATCAAACCGCTCCTTGACGAGGAGATGATTGAGCGGCAACGTCAATGGGGCGAGCAGCGATTAGCCGCACAGCAAGCTGCGGCCGCACAGCATCAGCAGATGGCAATGGGCGGCCTGATGGCCCCGCCGGCCCTTGACAACTCGAACTACCCATCGGCAGGGGGTTACATGCTTCCTCAGGCGCTGTTGGCCCAATACCCGGCGCTGGCAAATATGGACTGGGGTGCACCGAACATGCAGGGCGACGTGAGCGACATGGGAGACGATCTCAGCGGTCGGTCGAGCTTCGATGCCTCTGACCTTGAAAATGAGAATGACGACGGTTACGTGTCTGGGCCTGGCACGGGATTTGGCCCTGGTGGCATGACCGAGGGATTCGGTGAGATTGGCTATGCTAGTGACTATGGCGGCCGCTAAATTTTGCACACTGGTTTCTGGGCACACTACTTCCCCTAGGCGTTCTGCTGCTTTTGGTTCTCGTTCGATTCTCATAGGCCATGGCCATTGATTTGTCTCGGTTATGGATGGAAAGATTCTTGACAGGGGCGTTTCATGATTCCCACGTTGAAAAACATTCGAAGACGGGTTTTCACGGGCTGGAAATATCCCTGACGCTTTTCTGGAGAACGCGAGTTTGCGGATTCGGTTGGATAGACCACTTTTAAGGATTCATTTTAGATACCAGTATCACTTCCTTTCAAAAAGAGCACTCTGATTATCTTGACCTGTCCTCACATACAAATAGTTAGAGACGCGTCGTGACTAGGTAGTATACATAAGGAAGCTCTACTTACTACTACTAGCTTTAGTATCTCCTAAAAGATTCCCCCCCTATAAAGTATACACACTCTTATATAATAAGTACCTTATTAGTATAAATATTATATATATATATATATAATAATTAAATTAGTTAGTTAATATAGGTTATATAAAAAAAATAAAGTTTAATATAAAAAGTTAAAAATATTACTTTTATTATTATATATAAAATATTTATTTATATTTAATTATATAACTTTTTATATATTAAATAATAAATTAATTAAAAGAATTATATTATTAATATAATAAATATTAAAAGGATTTATTAAGTATTAATTTATTATTAATAAACTTTTTATTTTTAATTTTTAATATTATTATATTATATTTTTATTAAAGAATAAAATTTTATAAAAATATTATAAATATTAATTTTTAAAAATATAATAAAAATTAAATTATTATAAATAAAATTATTAAAAAATTATAAAAAAATATAAAAAAAGTAAAAAAAAATAATTTATTTATTTAAAGAATAATACTTTATATATAAAAACTTTATAAAAAGTGAGATAGTTAGACTTATTAAGTGTTGTGTGATAAGTGTCTTGGCTAAAAGACTATAATTCTAAGTTGCCTAAACTTAGAATTTAACACTTATAAGCTTATATCGTTATATTCTCTCTTTAAAGCTTATTAAAGTCTATTAGGATTGCTAGATAAGGAAGTGGTTTTAAGATAATGGAATTTTAATTTGTGGAGATTAACTATTTATTGCTGAATTAATACGCTAGCCTATAGGAGGCCTAAAAATCTATGGTATGGTGTTAGTTTTTAAGGTTTATAGATACCTACTTTTTAGCCGTTTGTTAAACGGAGGCTTGCCTTCTCACCCTGGGTACTGTGGGGATTTATCTTAGAGGATTAGGACTAACTGGAATTTTTAAATTGTAGGGGCTTGAATCTACGACCTTGTAACTTGGAATTGAGACGGTTAGATTTATTAAGTGTTGTGTAATAGGTATCCCGGCTAAAAGACTATAATTTTAAGTTACCTAAACTTAGAATTTAACACTTATAAGCCTATACTATTATAAAAAGTATTATAAAAAATATAAAAATAAATTCTATATTATAAATTATAAATAATCTTTTTATAATATTATATTTCTTTAATTTAACTTTTATTTTATATATTATAAAAACTTATATATTTTACTTTATAGATTTATAATTATAAAAGTTAAATAAAAATTTAAATTTTTAAAACTAATATATTTTATATTTAAAAAACTATTAAATTTTAATTTAATATATAATAATTTATTTATTAAACTTTTAAAAATATTAAATATTAACTTTTATTATAATAATTTTCTTTAAAAGTTTAAATTAAAAAAATCTTAAAAGATATATTTTTAATAATAACTTATTTTATAAATTATAGAATAATTATATATATATTTAATAAAAGTATAGAAAATTATAATAAAGTTTAAAAGTTTATAACCTTCTTTAAAAGTCTTTTAAAAGTTATTATATAAAAGAATATTAATAAAATAGAATCTTTTTAAATAAATTTACTTTAATTATTATTAAATACTTTAAGTTTAAATACTTACTTTAATATAATAATTAAAGAAATATTAATTAAAAACTATTTTTTTAATATAGAAATTAACTAAATTAAAATATTATATATTATTTTTTAAATACTTAATTTTAAGTACTTACTACTATATAAAGGCACTAAGTGGGTGGTCTTGTTTTTAATCCCTATGTGGTTTCGTATGGTTTCGCTTCTATTCCGTATACGTCCGAGGACATACATAGTGCCTTCATACAGTGGTAACGGACATATGACATGCTAGTTTCTCTGGTTTCGCTTCTATTCCGCATATGTGACAACATGGCTATATGGGCTATTATAGGTCCTTTGGCCTATGTGGATGTCCCAGAAGGAAAGGGCAAGTGATCACAGTATACTTGGTGATTTGAAGGTGGTTCATTTTATCCGATTTGTCCCTATCAGCACTTGAGCTCTCGGCCAGGATGCTCAGGGGATCAATTGAAGCAATAACTGCGATCATTACACGTACATGTCGTCCACATATCTATCGATCAGAACAGACCGATTTGGTATCTACAACAGCAGACGCAACCTCTAATGGTCCTTAGATCTAACATTTAGATCCTTAAACTCGCCACGGAACTCCTCCGGACCACGCTCCTTCCACTCCCCGACGAAAGCGGCGACGCGCGAGGCAATCAGCTCCGGTTCGTAGCCGAAGTACTTGTAGGCGTCGGCACCAGGCAGCGAGTGGCCGAAGGAGCTCATCGAGTACCCGGCGTCGGCGTAGCGCTCCCAGCCGTTGGCGGCATAGGCCTCGACAACTACGCGGGGCGGAGCCTTCGCCCCCTTGTACCGCAGGACCTCGGCCTTGTACTCGCGCGGCTGGGCGTCGAACAGGCGCTGGCAGGGGAAGCTGACGATGCGGGCGCGCAGGCCGTGGCGGTCGCGGAGGGCGTCGCGCGCCCGCACGGCGAATACCATCTCGGCGCCGACGCCTATCAGCGTAACGTCGGCCTCGTCGTCCTCGATGAAGGGGTAGGCGCCGCGGAGGACGCCGTCGCGCGACGAGTGGGCTGGGTACTGCTCGAGGTTCTGGCGGGACAGCGAGATGATGGACGGGGTCTCGCGGGCGCTGAGGGCCGCGATGAAGGCGCCTGCGACCTCCTCGCTGTCGCATGGGCGGATGTACAGCAGGTTTGGCATGGCGCGGTACAGGGCTGCCAGCTCAACCGGCTGGTGCGTGGGCCCGTCCTCGCCCGTGCCGATGCTGTCGTGCGTGCCGATGTGGATCGCCTGGAGGCGCTGCAGGGCGCCCATGCGGATGCCCGGGGCGGCGTATATGTAGAATATGAAGAAGGTGGAGGTCACGGGGAGGATAGTGCCCTTGTTGTAGGCCGCGAGGCCGTTCGAGATGGCCGCCATCGCGTGCTCGCGGACGCCCCAGTGGATGTAGCGGCCTGAGTAGTCGCCGGTGATGCCGCATGTGGGTCGGAGGTCAGGCTGTGAGTGAGATTAGTATAGGCCCATCACTTCAGGTAGGAAATCAATTAGGAAGTTAACATGGGACGACTGGAAGCTCACATGTTGGAAGTCGGTCTTGCCCTTCCAGATCATGTTGACTGAAGGGCTCAGGTCGGCTGTTCCGACCATGAAGTTGCTCAGCTTAGCAGCCAAGGGGTTGCAGACAAGTCCTGCGGATTTTCGCGATGCTGTAGGTGCCGTTGGGAACTCCTCCTTCTTGGGAATAAGCTTCGTCCAGTCCTCTGGGAATTCGCCGCGGACGCGGAGCCCGAACTCGTTGGCCAGGTCTGGGTACTCGCCTCCGTACGATGCGACTAGGTCATCCCACTCCTTTTCAAAACCACGGCCCCGATTCCTGATCTCGGCAAAGTAGTCGTACACCTCTTGTGAGATCTGGAAGTGTTTCTCGGGGTCGAAACCGGCGTTCCTCTTAATGTTGGCGACATCGTCTGGCCCAAAGGCGGCACCGTGCGCCTTTGCGTCGCCGGCCACCTTGCTGCCAATTCCGATGACAGTGCGGATGTTGATGAAGACGGGCTTGTCGGTGCTCGCGCGGGCCTCGACCAGTGCGGAGACGATGCCCTCGACGTCGTGGTTGCCGTCCATGACGTCGATGACTTTCCAGCCACAGGCCGTCATCTTGGCGTTGACATCCTCGGTGTTGGTCAGGTCCACCGAGCCGTCACAGGTGATCTGGTTGTTGTCGTAGACCACGACCAGGTTGTTCAGTCTGAAGTGGCCGGCCACCGAGATGGCCTCCAGGCCGACGCCCTCCTGCAGGCATGCGTCGCCGATCATGCACCACGTCGTGTTGTCCACCACGGGGAAGCCGGGCTTGTTGTATGTGGCGGCCAGATGCTTGGTGGCCATGGCCAGACCGACGGCATTCGCGATACCCTGGCCAAGGGGTCCTGTCGTCACCTCAATACCCTCATGTTCGATCTCGGGGTGTCCTGGGCAGATGGAGTCGGTCCGGGCGGAGTGGTAGGACTTTAGCTGGTCAAGCGTCATGTTCTTGTAGCCGACAAGGTGCATGAAGGTATACTGCCATAAACAGCAGTGGCCTGCACGGGATATAGTCAACATCTGCCTCTACCCAGGCGAACCCGGCGCCGAGAGATCCCAGGGTACTCACCGTTTGAGAGAACAAACCTGTCCCGGTTGAAGAAGTTGGGGTTCTCTGGCGAGTAACGCATCACGTACTTCCACAGCGCGACACCAATGGCTGCCATACCCATGGCACTCCTGCAAATAACAGCAATAACCCATCAGCCGTCGTCGTCGTCATGTATGGGAGGCGGCAGAAACACCGAGAGAACTTACCCAGGGTGGCCACCCTTGAATTGCTCACAGAGGTCGGCAATGAGACATCTGAATGTCCGCAGGACAAGGTCTGTCTTTGCGACATCCTTGAGCTCGAGGGTTGAGATGCTGGCAAGGGCACCGTTCGTCTTGTCACCGTTCGCTGACAGTTTCAGCGGCAGGTGGGAGACGGTGTCTGTGGGAACTTCTGCTACGGAAGGAGCCATTGTGAGATCTGTAGGGCACTTGCAGAGGGATTGTGTGCTTTGTCCGTGGCAGAGACGGAGGCACTTGGCCGGCCATGATGGAGAGCATCGTCATTCATATACCGTGCTCTATTGCCCACCATGATATTATGCTCTCCGCGGGTTTGCCAAGTGCCGTCGGAGAAGAGAGCCACGACGGCGCATCGTCGGATGTCCCAGACTGCCTACTTTGCACTTCAGGAAGGCCGACGCGCCACCCCGACAACGCTACGGGTTACCCTTCTTCGCCTAGCAGGTTTCAAGCGGAGCAGAGTCATGACCTCGGGACCCCAGACACCCCACCCTCCACCAGCCAGCCAGCCCAGCAGCCCAGTGCCCACGGACTGCCCAATGCGACCAGTGCGGCCAGTGTGACCAATGCGACCCCATCGCTCCCAGCCAGATGGGAAAGCCTGCGGGGAGAGTTCTGTCATGCGGCCCCGAACTTTGCTCGAGTGAAGCATCCCGACGGATCAGGCAAGCCGAACTGCAAGTGCGCAATAGCCAAGAGTTTTGGCTCTCCACCAAGGTCAATATCCGGGGTAACATACAGCCGTCGACCAGGTGGCCTACCAGAGCCGCCAGGTGGCAGGGACGCCGGCGATTCGTCGTGACAGTGCGAAGCCCGGCTATGATACCTTGCTCGGCGTCACGGGGTCGGGTCTGGCATCGTCATTGCACACGATGAAGGCTCCTGAAGCCACCGCCGACTTGATAGTCTTATCATAGACTGCATCCAGGCGGAACAAGTCAAAGTTCCACAGGCGACCATGACGACCGGCGACAGTGCCTCGGTCTCGCCCCGAGTGGGAGGTCGGCGGGCCCGCGATTCTCGTCCGGCGCAGACTGCTCGTCGCAACCCGAGGGCCAAGCACGTCCGAACGAGAACCGGCTGCTGGAACTGCAGGCGTAAGCGCAAGAAATGTGAGTGCCTGAGCAGCCCACCGCGGCTGCTTCCTCGCCACACCGGCTGCAGGAACAGACATCTGGACTGGACAGACGGACAAGTCACACCATCCACATCCACACCCACACCCACACCCACACAAACCATGACGTCTTTGTCTAATCGTATGCAATTCTGAGCAGGCGATGAGCAAAGGCCATCCTGTAAGGAGTGCTCGCTGAGGGGGGTGCCATGCGAATGGGGAGTGCGGCTGGTCTTCCGCCCCGAGCATGTCGAGTCTATTCCAGCCAGCCATCCGTCAATGCTTGAGACAGCCACAGGGCAGTCCAGTGGGGATATCGAGGTAAGAAACAAGCACGTCTTCTCACAATGAATGCCCTTTGTTCTGATTACACCAGATAATCGACGTGACCAGTGAAGTCATACGGGACTATTGGAATGAGTCCAACATGTCCGCCACTACCGGCGGCACTGTCGGTGGCCACCAGCATAAATCCCCAGATCAACAGGACCCAGGGGATCAGCAACCTCGTGGATCCCCGAAATCTTCAAAGGGAAGCACTGTTTCCACGCTTTCCACGTTGTCTGGCCAGAGGGACGACGTGGCTTCGCTGACCGCCGCCGGCACCTCGGGACATGCCACTGATGCTGCCTCAGCACCCGTCACGCCGGCCCCAGGTCACCTTCCGAACCTGGAGGGCTCAGCGAACATCTTGTCGCCGCACTCATACGATATGATTCATTCTGCAGCTGCTCAGCTGCTCGATTTGGGATGCTCAACACCCGGTGCACCTCCTAACGCTGGCGCACCTCAGAGCGGACTGTTACAACCGGCAACCCATAGCAGCAATCACAGCATTGCCAGCCCGGGCTCGGAGGGAATGTCACACGATGGCATCTTCTTGCCTGGCTCGGCTTACTTGGAGTTCCACTCCGCTCTGAGAAGTCACACTTTCAATGCTGCTCGCTCGGCCTTTCCAAGCCGGTGTGGCACGCCGGAACACTCAGAGGCTGCACACGCAACGGCTGGGCCTGAAGGTCAGCTCGGAGAGGGTTGCCTGCTCTCGATTCCCAACACATCAGACAACGTATCGTCCCTGGACGACGTGGCTTTGTCTCGGCCAACTCCTCGGCTCAGCGAGCTGTCCCAACAGGAAGAGTTCGAACTATGGAAGAATTGGGTAGATGAAATTGGCCCATGGGTGAGTGCTCCTCTGCCAAGCATCGAATCTTATCGCTGCATGCTTCGCCGGGCTCACAAAACGACGTAGCTCGACAAATTTGACAATCAACGACGATTTGTTCGCGTGCTGCCCCCACTAGCACAAGAACACCCCCACTTACGATACTCGATGCTTGCCCTGTCGGCCCGGCAGCTAGAGAGAAAGTTCCCTGACCGGCCTGCTACCAGCCTGCAGCTTTACCAGGAAGCCATTCACCAGCTTGTGCCACAGCTGCAGACAAGGACCACGACTGTGGTCGCATCATGCGTTGTTCTCTGTGTTCTGGAGATGATGAGCTGTGAGTTACAGCGGGCTCTACTTAGAGCTGCCTATCCTGTTCCTCTAACTAACTCGAGCGAATTCCCCGAATTCACGCTCGCTTCGGCGTTGGTCACGTCAAACCGTGATGCTTAGTAGTTCCCGTTCTAAACGGCCCATAGTCCATAACTGACTTGTGTGGCTAGGTTCTCCGAAAATGTGGCGCCGGCATCTTGATGGTTCCGCCAGCCTCATTCTATCGCTGGGCATCAACGGGTTTTCTGGAGGATTAGAGCAGGCCCTTTTCTGGTGCTTCGCACGTATGGGTGAGTCCCCAATTGCCTATTCTTGACTACCAAATGACGACTTCGGGGTTCTCATGGATATTCGTTGGCTTGCAGACCTATGCGGTGCGCTCATCTCAGACGAGCGGACGATAATTCCAATCGATAGCTGGTTACCGAAAACCGCTGCGGATGTAAACGTCCGCCAGGCCTACAGTGCAGGTGGGTTCGATATGTACGCCAACTACATTGTGCACCTCTGCGCCGAGGCTATGGACCTGTTTGCCGACAGCACCAAAGGTCGCGAGGAGTTCAGTCGGCACTGGAGCAGCCTCTTTTCGCGTCTCAGCGACTGGTATCACTTCCGGCCTCCGGAGATGAGACCTGTGCTCGATCTCCCGAATTTATTAGAGACCGAGCCTGAACGACCTTTTCCCATCCTTCTGTTCTCTAACCCCTCCGCCATATCCGGAAATCAAATGTACCATACTGCCTCTCTCCTTATGCTTCAGAGAATCCCTCGAGGCACCAGGCTGCCAACTGGGACCCGGTCTATGCTCTGGCATGCTCGTAGGATATGCGCCATCTCGATATCCAACACCGACCATGCCTGCTGGACCAACTGCATCCAACCTCTTTGGATAGCAGGGCGCATCATGTCCAACCCGTCTGAGCACCGCGCAATTCTCAAGACGTATGAGCTTATCGAGAAGGAGACCGGCTGGGGCGCCAAATGGCGAGCAGACGACCTAAGGACATTTTGGGGAGACCTTGACGGAGGATGAATTATTCACGAATTCTTTTTTGATATTATTCTAGCACGAAGCTGTCTATGCAGAAGCACAGTGACCTCCGTCCACCCTGAGGTCTGCCCCTGTCATGAAGCAACTGCCTTGGGAGAGGAGGAACACTGCTGGCGCCTTGAAGTCTTCAGGCGCCCCGAGCCGTCCGAGGAGTGCTCCCGCCATCCAAATCTTCTCCAGCTCTGGATTCGTTGCCAACAACGCATCTGTCATGGCCGTCCTGATGTACCCTGGGGACAAAGTGTTCACCCTGATGCCGTATTGGCCCCACTCTTGCGCGACCGATCGGCACAGTTGCTGTACTGCGGCTTTGCTGGTGTTATACGCTGAACATGACAACCCCTGCAAGGAAAGACGTCAGTCAGCTTGTGTCAAACAGACATGCTCCACAGATGCGCAAAATACTTACGCGGTTGGCAATTTCACCAGACATGGAAGCAATCATAACGATGCTTCCCTTGACGCCATTCTTGATCAGGATCCTCGCCGTGTGCTTCGCTGTGAGGAAGGTGCCGGTGACGTTGACGCTCATCATGCGCTCGAAGTCCGACTTGGGGTAGTCGACTGCGGGCGTCTTCTGTTGGATGCCGGCACAGGCGATTGCGCCGTAGAAGGGGGCACCCGCCTCTCGCCCTTCTCTCTCGACCTCGTCCAGGATATTGGAGAGGTTCTCCTCATCTGTGATGTCGACGCGGCGGTAGGAGAGCTTGAGTCCGGATGTCTTGGCCGTCTTCTCGATCGCCGCCCACTCGTCCGCGGCGGGGGTCTCGAGGATATCCAGGCAGGCAACATTGCCGCCGGCCTCGAGAACGGCGGCGGCGAGTGTGATTCCCACGCCGCGACCGCCTCCGGTGATGGCAATAGTCTTGCCGCTCAGCGAGAACAAGGCTGTGTGGGAGACGTTTGCTGGTGTGATCCTGGACTCTGGGACGTCCGCCGGGAGCTTGAAGTCGGGAATCTGTTCACCCATGGTGTATAGATCTGCGAGGTGCTAGCGGGTGGTGTGGGTATCGAGAGGTAATCGAGAGGAACGTGTTCTAAATGTCAATGAGAAGCTAGTTGTAAGAACGATGGAATGACGACAATCTATATTGGATGGGAAGAGAAAGGGAACAAGGAACACCAGAATTACCGCGAGAAAAGGACACTATGATAAGAGCGATTTTCTAGAAGCAATCGTCATGCCAGTTTCGATCATGGTCATTATCGCAAATGCGCCTACGTTGGAACATTCGGCATCTGTCCGTTCCTAGAATCGTAGGTCTAAGCATTGCTCCCGAGGTCCCTACATACGAGTGGGACCGAGCAACGGGTAGCCATCGCTTCAGGCTGCCTATCCGGTATTTTGAAAAGGGATAGAGATTCACACCTAAAAACAACAGAGGGTACACCGATTGAGGCTAACTATGTACCTAGGTAGAGAAGATATAGGATAACTCGGAGATTTTAGTACTTAGGTTGATACTAGACTACCTTAGTAGTTATCTTGTAGGAGGTTATCCTAAAGGAGGTTGTCCTATTGAAGGTTGTCCCATAGGAAGTTGTCCCATAGGAGGTCAGGAGGTTGTCTTAAGAGTAGGTTGTTGTCCTACGGGGCGCGGTTACACCCTCCATTTTTTTGCGGGTGTGAATCAGCGATGTCTTTGGGAACGTCTCAACAAAGCCGGACGCCGCCTGAGCTTGATTTTTCGCGTCTTATGACCTACATACAGGTGTGCTATGGCAAAAACGTGGCAAGCGTGGGAAATGTCGGAAAAGTCCTTTTCCCAAGGGCGGTAGCGAGAACGTGCCCGCTAACTCACGGCCCTGCCGCAATGGCGAACTAGGAAAGCCGAAGCGCGACCTGCATGACTCTGTGCCAGGCGGGCATTGGGCCCTCCTCTTCCCCAGAAAACCTTTTACGGGGACCCCAGGAAAATTCCGGCTGTGTGTGGGGCCTTGCGGGCAGCGGATCAAACACCCCAACCCCCTCGCCTCCTAGGGGGGATTCAAGTTTGATGTGATGGTGAGAAAATGGCTCGATGAGGATGGATACCTACGTCGTCATTGAACGTCGGGTGTTGCTTGTCTTCTAGACCATTTCAGGAATCTAATTAGCCTTCAAGGCCAAGTTTTGAGGGGGGGGGAGGAGAGCCTTGTTTCCCCAGATCCCCCGGCTTATTTACGCACAGCTGGGGTATCCAAGAGTCGGCGTGTTCGCTTCAGTTGCAATGACACGGCCTGCGCTTTGTATGCCGGTTTAGCGAAGAACACTATATAACATCCAACATATCCTTGACTGCTACCCTATTGTTGTCCTCCTCTCTCGTGCATCAACACTATCCAAAAATGACAGTCCTCATAGGCCGCCCGCTCCATTGGGCAATTACAGCTGCAGCCGGTTCCGGCTTCCTTCTGTGTACGTGAAGTTATCTTTGAGTCTTCTCTCACCTCGCCGCCATATAGCTTGCCTCGTCAGGGGTACAAACAGAGGCACAGACATGCAGCGGCTACTGACTTCTTTGTGCGAATAGTCGGATATGACCAGGGTGTCATGTCAGGGCTGTTGACGGGCCAAGCCTTCACAGCTCAATTCCCTGAAATCGATACCAACGAGGGCTCCAACGGTAGCGCGTCTCTACAGGGAACTGTTGTCGCCATCTACGAAATCGGATGCTTCTTCGGCTCCATCCTCGCCCTCGTCTTCGGAGAAAAGCTGGGAAGAAGGATGACAATTCTGATCGGTTGTGCTATACTGTGTGTTGGTGGAGCACTCCAGGCTTCTGCATATTCTATCCCGCATCTCATCGTAGGGCGAATCGTGGCAGGTCTGGGAAATGGAATGAACACGAGTACCATACGTAAGTCCTTTCTGCGTCTGTGTTTTTTTTTCTTTTCATTCCCTATCATGGACAGTGTAGATGAGCTAACCCTACCTGAAGCCGTGTGGCATTCTGAGTTGATGCAGGCAGACAAGCGTGGAAAAGGGGTAAGTTTGACGACCGCCTACCGTTCAGCTCCATTATGCAAACCCTTCACTAACACTGGTAACTACTACAACAGCTTAGCATCGAGCTTGCCATCAATATTTTCGGCGTCATGACTGCTTACTGGGTCGATTATGGAATGTCGTATGTCAACAACCATGCGCAATTCCGCTTCCCGTTAGGTTTGCAATGTGTTTTCGCTCTTGTTACAATTGCCCTCATGCTTGTTTTGCCTGAGTCCCCACGATGGGTAAGTGTCCCCAAGCTACCTACACAGAGACCATGGGGCACTTCGAAGCTAATAATGTACCGCCAAACAGCTTATTGCGCAAGATCGACACGACGAAGCACGAAACATCCTCCTGGCCCTACTCCCGAAGAACAAACCCGATGAGGACTTTGTCCATAGAGAGATGTCAGAGATCCAGCACGCTATCGATGAGGAGAGAGAGGCAGCCCACGGAAGCTCCTACAAGGCTTTGTTTACGAATGGGCCACAAAAGTTCTTTTATCGAACAATGTTAGGCATAGGAGGCCAATTCATGCAACAACTCTCGTATGTCACCGTCTTTCATGTCTGCCCTTCCGTTGACCGCTAACAGTCATCTCTCCAGGGGTATCAACTTGATCACCTACTACGCTCCTGTCATCTGTAAGCAGCCTTTCGCATCCCCCACAATTTTTCAATTCTCCCAAATTTGCCTGCTGCTGTTCCTCAGTAGAATGCTTTATGTTGATCAATTACATACATCATTTCAACCTATACCATCATTTTGCGTGCATAGTCAGCCAGAGTATTGTTGTGCTAACATCTGCGCATAGTCCAGCAGTCTGTCGGGCTGTCGCACAATATGTCCATGCTGCTCGCGGGATTTAACGGCGTGGCATATTTTCTAAGCTCACTTATTCCAATCTGGGTCATCGATAGACTCGGAAGGCGTAAGCTTATGCTTTTCGCTGCAGCTGGTCAGGGTTGCTGCATGGCCATCTTGGCCGGAACCGTGTCTGATGGCTCAGCAACCTCCGGTATTATAGCATCAGTGATGTTGTTCCTCTTTAACTGGTTTTTTGCAGTGCGTATCACTTTCTACTTGCTACAGATCCCCGTATTTCAGGTTTTGGAATGCTCTAGTACGCAACACAGGACTAACATCACCAATAGATCGGCTTGCTGGCTATTCCCTGGTTGCGTAAGCTTCACTCCATCCATTCAACCTTTGCATTATATTAATTGTTGGCCCCGAAATCTAACGACGCTATAGTTCCTGCCGAGTATGCCCCGCTGGCGATTCGCCAGAGAGCTGCTGCGCTTGCATCGGCATCGAACTGGATCTTTACATTCCTGGTGGTCGAGATCACACCAGTTAGTATCGGTAATATCGGCTACCGTACATACATCTATTTCTGCAGTATGTTCAACCACTCCCAGAAATACCAGTTTCCCAAACGCTCCTTTGCGAAATTACCAGAACTGACCTCTTTCTAGTCTTTAACTTCTGCTTCCTGCCCCTGATCTACTTCTTCTATCCCGAAACGCGGAACCTAACCTTGGAGCAAATCGACAAGTTGTTCACTGGCGGGAAGGTTATGCTCCACTGGACGCCGTCTATGGGCGAGATTGGCGACCCAAGCGAGGTCAAGGACGGTATTGTAGAACAACACGTCGAAAAACAAATTGCCTAGGTTCATCGTATGCCGGGCTGGGATTTGGGAGAGCTCGTTCAATTTGCGTGTTTGGCTACGCTTCAGCACGCAATTCTACGTGTCTTGTTTTTCTTATGCAGATACCAACAATTGTTTCGGCCATATCAAATCAAGACTGGAGTACCAAGCATTTTGTCCTTTTGCTTGAAAATAAAATGGGTTTGCTCTACTTGAGTGCCTACCCAGGTACCAGGCAGGTAGGTGGTGACGCTTAACACGACCTCCGCCCAGGTGCTCGGGTTGCTGCGTGGCCACGATATCACTCACCCGACCTCCCATAAGACACTCTCCTATAGGATACCCTCCTATGGCACACCCTCCTGTGGCACACCCTCCTATGGCACACCCTCCTATGGCACACCCTCCTATGGCACACCATCCTATGTGATATCCTCTTATAAGATACCGTAGGGCACCCACTATCAGATATACCTACCTACCTTTAGTCACAATATACTATATAAAGTGAGAGCATTTAACTTATGTGGTTTCGCTTCTATTCCGTATATGTCCAAGGATATATATGGTGCCTTTATATGGTGGTTAGCGCTCAAGAAATAGTTTATATAGTATATTGTAACTAAAGGTTGTACCGGTATGTCTAAAGGTGGGTGCCCTATTCTTTCCACTGTTATTAGCACTGTATTTCTTTAAACGCTAGGTCTTGAGCGTTGACCACTGTATGAAGGCGCCATATACATTTTATATGTATGGGGATTAAAAATAAAACCACCTGGGTGCCCTATAGTATTATAAAGGGCCTCCTATAGAAAGTCATCACATAGACAGGAGCACTTGAGGTAGATTAGCCACAGCGAGATCAACATCACGGATTCTCATTTTCAACACGCAAACACGGTACGGACATAACACTATATGTGATAATTTCACTGTGGTCGTGTGTGGTGCATGTGAGGATCGCGTTATTCTTGGATTCGGAAATAATCGGACTTGCTGAGGTAAGCCTCATCAAAATGACTTGGAGATAACATTGAAGATAAGCCGTCTAGCCGTACCGATTACGCATTGATAACCGAGCTGGCCTCAAGCTGGCTTCAGTGCACAGTCACACGATCTTTAAGGGGAACACAATGGCGGAAATTACTGATAATCCGTTTCGTTTCCTTGACCTCCCATTTGAGGTCAGGAATGCCATATATCATGTGATTCTCTGCGATCCGCCACCTGCAAAACTGCGACGGGTTGAACAGGCTGACCTTCTCTGGCTACCCGAAGGCATGGCAAAAATTACGCACCCCCGAGAGATTCAGATACTGCACACCAATCACCAAGTTCACGCGGAAGCTAGAGATGTTATGCTTCGGGGCAATCAGTTCGTTCGAATCCGTGCGCGGGGAGTCGGCCAAGTCATCAAGGGGTTTTTCCTAGCCCGTCAAATCCCCATCATTCGCACTACTGCACGCTCAAGGGAGACCTTCAAGGGCTTTGTGATGACACATTCCATCGAGTTGGCTTCTGATCAGCCTGCAGAATTTCCTGGCTCCGAGCACGACGCCGATATCGATCTAGTCATCCTCCAACGTGACCACGGTCTGTTCTGTGAAGCTCTTGCCACAAGGGGTGTTTTGATGGTCAGGGGATTTGGCCGTCTCACCAGACACAGATTAACCATCCACAATCCGTTTGAGTCTACCCTGAGCCCTCGGTTCTTGGGAGAGAAAAACCAGGAGAGGCTTCTCCAGCCATACCGCGACCACTTGCGCGGGTTTCTACACTTCTCAGTCGACGGCAGTGTACGTAGCTCGCTGGCTGAATCCGTGAAACACGCCGTTGCCAAAGAAGACCTCCCGGAGCCCGATGCGGTCTTGGCCGAATTCAAACGCGACAAAGACCTAGGAAACCGCTACTTCAGGCAAAAAGAATTCCACAAGGCCGCTGAAGCCTACACGACTGGCTATATCAAGGTCGCGCTCATTAGGAACGGTAACCTCTGGTCACAAGTCGCGGCCAGAGGGGGACAGGGCTTCCTCCACGGAGTTTCCGAGACGTATTACCAGGTCTGCCTCAACTGCGCGCAGAACATCCTTGTCTTCCTAAGGGAGACATCAGAATCCGACAAGACCAAGATTCAGTACTACTGTGGCAAAGCCGACTACCACGTTAAATCGGCGATGGCGGCCGGGGAGAACTTCACGAGCGACTGGCGGCCAAACTTACAGCAGATGGCAAAGCTGTCGTTCCGAGCCGCGTCAATAGAGCGTGTTTTGGGAAACATGGATGCCGCAAAGTCACTTATAGATATTGCCCGCCAGCAAGCGCCCAGGGACCCGGTTATAAGACGTGAGGCGGAGGAAATTGACGCTCTGATGAGGTCGCAGGCGGGACTCGGCCGGCTATTGCTTTGAGCAAGTGAGACTGATCAACGGTGAAATAACATACCTAGATATGCTTGACTCCGTGACCATAGGGCCCCGTCTGGTTGACAATTTGATGCCCACCGCACTCAGGCTCACGACAGTCGGTGAAATATCCAAGTACAGGTGGCCGTGCCTGATTCTTATTGTTATCTCAGCTCCGGATCCAGAAAAGAGTTTGCTGCATGTGTGGGCATCAAAACTCGGTACGGCAGCAGGCTGTATATCACGTCGCACTGGACATGATGAGGACTTCTCAAGCCCAGCGAGTTACATGGCAGCCTATTAGAAACTAGAGAAAGTTCACTAGAATTTTCACAAGACAGGATTTAAGTACCGCTTATTCAGAAATCACTTCCCATGTTCCAAGGTAATCTAAAGATCAGAGCTGAAACTTGGCTGGCCCACAATAATGTCATCCCACATAGTCCAGCATGGTCAGTGAATATTATATCTAATTTCTAAAGGGAGTAGAACTAATCTAGTCTAGTAGTTTTATTTATTTAATCCTTATATATATAAAATATATATAGCGCCTTTATATAATAATAAATATTTAAAATTAAATATTTAAAAAATAATATATAATATTTTAATTTAATTATTTTTATATTAAAGAAATAATTTTTAATTAATATTACTTTAATTATTATATTAAAATAAATATTTAAATTTAAAATATCTATTAATAATTAAAGTAAAATTATTAAAAAATTATTTTATTAATACTTTTTATATAATAACTTTTAAAAACTTTTAAAAAATTATAAATTTTTAAATATTATTATAATTTTTATATATTTTATTAAATATATATATAATTATTTTATAATTTATAAAAGTAAGTTATTATTAAAAATATATTTTTAAAAATCTTTTCTTAATTTAAGTTTTCTAAAAATAATTACTATAATAAAAGTTAATATTTAATATTTTTAAAAGTTTAATAAATAAATTATTATATATTAAATTAAGCTTTAACTATATTATAGTTTTCCTTTATATTATATAACTATCTTTTAATTTAATTACTTATTTCTTTCTTAATTTAAAATTTATATATAAAGTCTTTAATAACTTTATATATATCTTTATAATTCTTTTATAAAGAAACTTTAAATTTATTCTTTTCTTTATTTCTATTATACTTTTTATATTATTAAAAAGTTAATAATTATTAATAATAAAAATATAAACTTAAAAAGATAAACTTATTATACCCTTCTTTTATTCTTTTATAAATTACTTTTAAAACTCTTTTAAAAGTTTTAATACTTTATTATAAAAATCTTAAAATAGTATATTATAAATTATTTCTTTATTTTAAGTTCTTTTAAAATTAATAATTATATATTTAAATAAAGATTATAATATTAACTTTTAAACTTATTTAATAAAGGTTTTAATATAATATATATATATATATATATATTTAAAAGATAATTTTAATTAAACTTTTTTAATATAATTTATTTATATAATAATTATTTTTAAACTTAATTTTATTATATAACTTTTTTATAATAATTAAAACTATTTTTATTTATAATTAATATTATTATTAAACTCTTTTTAATATAAAGTTAAAAGATTTATAATTATAATTTTCTAACTAATTTTTATTTAATTAATTTCTTTTATTATAATTTAATCTAACTTAATTTAAACCTTCTTTTAAATTATATAAATATTTTTATTTCTATAAATATAAATATTAAATTAAAACCTTTAAACTTAAATTTAAGATTTTTATAAATTTTAATTTCCTTTAAATTAAATTTATAATCTTTTAACTTTTTTAAAAATATATTAATTATCTTAAATATTAATAACTTCTTTTTAAAGTAAAGGTTTACCTTTATTATTAAAACTATAGGCTAAACACCTATAAAATTAACTAGTAGGTCTATATACTCTACTTATCTTATTAGCCTAAATAGCCTTTATACCTTTTATAATATAAGATTATAGCTTTACTATCTCCCCTATACTATTCCTTAAATAACTTTAGTTTTAAATTAATAATTCTTTATAAATAATTTAAGCCTTCTTTTACTATAAGTTATAAGAATTATTTTATTTATATAGTTATAAATTTAGTTATTAATACTTATTTCTTCTTTTATTTATAAGCTATTAGAATTATAAACTTAAATAATAGAGTATAATTACCTTATTTAGAGGTTGTCTCTTAGTTTAGTGGCGTAGTAGGTTAAGTAACTGCTTTTAAGTAGTTTTATTTATAATGTAGTGGAGTTAATGGATGGGTGTTTGCTTGTAGAGTAGAGCTAGAACCTATGTGTGTCCCTTGGGGGAATGGTAGCTTTATCTTCGCCTATTTCAACTAACTTGCCTGAGTTACACAGCGAATTTAGCACTTACATATAGTACTTGCTGGCATCAGACTAGGCAGCCTGTGGTCCGTGATAGCTTTAACCTTTGACGCGCCGGCCCGAACCAACTAGGTACGGCCCAGTGCACTAGCGCAAAAAGGTATCTTTTAATAATAGATAGTATTATAGATAATTATAAAATTACTATAAAAAGTCTTATATAGTAAACTTAATTAAGTTAATCTTTAAAAGATATATTATATTTTATTTTTTTAAAACTTTAACTATTTACTTTTAATTTAATAATAAAATTAAAAAAAATATAAATAGTTTATAATTTATATTATTATTAAAATAATATATTTTAATTTTATTTATATATTATAAAGTTAAAATTATAAATATTTATTATATTATAATTATTATTATTAATATTATATTCTTTTAAATATTAAGTTTTAAATATTTATTATTATATAAAAATATTATATATATTTTAAATATATATAAAATAGAAGTAAAATTATATATATTAAATTAAAAATTTAATAATTTTTTAAATATAAAATATATTAATTTTAAAAAATTTAAAACTTTTATTTTATTTTTTTATAATTAAATATTATATAAATAGCTTCTTTAAAGCTTATAAAGGTTATTTTTTTAAGTAATTAGTTAGTAAATATTTAGCTATAATTAGTTAAAATATAGAACTATTATTACCCTTATATAGGACTGCCGCTGCCCTTATATAGGATTGTTGCTGCCCCTTTATAGCAATTAGCCTAATAGTTAGTATATAGTTAGTAGCTAGCTATAGGCCCCTTTTTCCCTTAGTAAATATTAGGCTGTAATTGGTTGGGAGAGTGGCGACACTTTACCCTCACTTACTCGCTCCGCTTACTTACTTTAATAGCGTACCGCCGCCCTAGATTTAAATTAGCTAATTAGAAGTTAAGGATTAGTTAGGGCTAGTGTTAGTTAGGAGGCTTAGTTAGTTGTGTAGGGAAATTAGAGGAAGTAGTTTTAGTTAATTAGAAGTTTTAAAAGGGGAAGTTTTAACTTAAATTAGAAGTATCCTTACTATATACCTATTATAGGGGTAAAGTTATTAAAAACTTTAATTTATATCCTTAATTTCTTAGTTAATAAAGGTTTAAGAAAAGTAAAACTATAACTATTAAATCTATAAAAATTTAGGCTATATTTTAGTACTATTTTCTTAGTAAATTAAATATTTAATATTTTTTAATGTAAATTTTTAGGTTATTATTAATTTTTAATTTTTAAGATATTATAAGACTTAGAACTATTTTTAAAAGAATAATAAAGTTATAAAAAAATATATAAACCTTTATAATATATAAAGTAAAAGTTAAATTAAAAATATAATATTATAAAAGATTATTTATAACTTATAATATAAAATTTATTTTTATATTTTTATAATATTTTTATAAAGTTTTATATATAAAGTATTATTTTTAAATAAATAAATTATCTTTTTATATTTTTATATTTTTATAATTTTTATAATTATATTTATAATAATTTTATTTTATTATATTTTTAAAAATTAAGATTTATAATATTTTTATAAAATTTTATTCTTTAATAAAAATATATTAAAATATTATATATATCTTTAAATATATATATAATAAAAGTAAAATTATTTAGTTATTATATATATAACTTTTAATAGTTTAAAGCTATTAAATAATATAAGCTATAAGGGATCTATTCTATTATTATAGATTTAGAAGGTATGGTAGTGTTATGGAAATAATGTATGTGACTCTAGCTTGTATGGAGTTTTAGGCGTGTTATGATTATCTTGATGTATCCATCTAATCTAAGTAAATACTTGTTTCTCGAGCTTTAAAGCACACAATACTTACAGGAACTAAGATGTAGCAATTTGCCTCTAACAGCTGTAGGCAAAAGCTGCCAGCCAACGTGATGTGGGGAGGTAGCTAGCTTGTTGTGAATGAAATGGGGGATGGATTTGTAATCGAGTTGCCGTAGTGTTGAAGAGGTTTGTAATCGGCGGGACGTTGAGACATTGAAGGTTTTTGGGATGGCAGATTGCGTCACATTCAAGTTTAGCGGGCGGAGATACCCCGATCGTAGTCCGAATTGTTTTATATTGTATTATCCGTCACCTCATCGTCAACATTTCGGTACTGCATCAACTGCCAGTCTTTTCGTATGAGCACAATGTCATCAGCAAGCCGGGCCATAGTGTGTGTCGGAAAGGGGGAAGCCGCTGTCAAGGAAGTGCCCATTCCCAACCTTCGCGAGGGCCATGTTCTAGTCAAGGTGAAGGCATTAGGTTTGAATCCGACAGATTGGAAGTCCATTTACAGTGGCGACGCAATAGGCATGAGGATAGGTGTATGCCAGCCGTTCCTTCGCAAGCCCTGGAGCCTTCAGGGCGTCCACGCATGAACACTGACTAACCTGCGGCAGTGTGACTACGCAGGAGTGGTCGAGGAAGTCGGTTCGGGCGTGACTAAGGCCCTGAAGAAAGGGGACCGCGTAAGCGGGATGGCGCACGGAGGGTGAGTGATATCCCTCCTCGCAAACATGGACACATCGCGAGAAGTGTCAACTGGTATCTGGAATTTCATTGTCGTGCGTCAGGGACACAGAGCATGGCTAGGACCGCCTATTCTGTTCCCATTTTCCACAGGATTTTCGGAAGTAGGGCTCTAACATTGACTGGAATAGGATTGATGGCGTCAGAGGTGCTTTTGGGGACTATGCCATTGCAAATGCTGACGTACTGCTCATCATCCCGGATAATGTCAGCTTCGAAGACGCTGCGACTCTAGGCGTTGGCATCACAACAGTTGGCCAGGGCCTGTACCAGTTCTTGAAGCTTCCTCTCCCAATGAGCCCGCTCTCCACACCCAAGGCTATTCTGATCAACGGAGGAAGCACCGCCACTGGGATCTTGGGCATCCAGTTTGCGAAGCTATCCGGTCTCACTGTACTCACCACCTCCTCACCTCACAACTTTGACTACCTGAAGTCTCTGGGAGCAGATGCCGTATTCGATTACCATACTCCGGCCGAGGAGCTGGCCAAGGAGATAAAGGCACATACCCAGAACAGCCTCACTCTCGCTTGGGACTGCTCGCCCACGCCCGAGTCGACCCAGCTGTCTGCGGCGGCAATGAGCGACTCCCAGCCAGGGATCTATGGTGCCCTACTTCCCGTCAAGGATGAGGCGCTGAAGGCAGTCAATCCGCAAGTCTCTGGTGGGTTCACCATGGGCTATACGGTCTTTGGCGAGGCGTTCACGCGCGGTGGACGGGACTATCCCGCCAAGCCACAGGACAGGGAGTTTGGAAAGGCCTTTTGGGATCTTAGCCGGGACCTGCTGGCACAGGGAAAGTTCAAGGTTGCCCGGATATCGGTGAATCAGGGCGGGGCGGGCCTGGAGGGGGTGCTGAAGGGGTTGGAGGACCTGAGAAATGGCAAAGTGAGCGGGACCAAGCTGGTCTATACGCTATAGCAACAACGCGTCACCTTTGAAGGGTTCTCCTCTGGGGACAATACTGCATTGTGTTCAGAATGCAGCAAGATGCTGTTGTTTGTATGTGACGAGAGGTGTTTACTGTGTACGGACCCGGGTTTGACATAGGGCTGAAACTGGTGTCATGCGGTATCTGCACGTGGTTGCCTATGTATGCTACTCACCTTTTCCCCGTGGCTGAACCATTGGCGGTTCTAAACATGTCTCATGGTTCTGGCTCGGATCTGCTACCTAGGTAGTATTGTACATATCTATACACTTGAGCCCCTTAGCCTTGCCTGTGCATCGCAAGGCTGGGGCCACAAGCACCTATCGTATAGGTACTCCAGATAACACCAATCCAGACTTATGGATGATTCATAATTAAGAACATAATTTTAACTAAATTCAGTTGGGTTTCTCTCAGCAGCGACAATATATGACCTAATGATAGCGACGAAATAACTCTGAGCCTACTTACCCAGCTGATCTTTCCCCGCGCTACCTGACATAAACGAGGAGATGCTGCTTCCCAGCTTGAAGCACACAGTGAGATGCACGTATCAGTGGACCCTATATCATATATAACATATGCCATTGGCCGTGTATACGGATGTCCACTAGCATATAGGTGACAAGTACCTCCCCTAAGCTCGGGCCTTGGCCAGTATAAATGACAACCGAGCTCCCTTCCTGCCAAACACCTGAAATAATTGTCATCTTATACCTTACTATAACGGTGTCCCTTAGCCTTGTCTGTGCATTACAAGGCTGAGGCTACAAGCACCTATTGTATTATAACTATCGTTATTGATACCATATTCTTTCCAAGCGCTGGGTCTTAAGTGCTTACCACCGTATAAAGGCGCCATATATGTCCTCGGACGTATACGGAATAGAAGCGAAACCACTTATACCTTACTACACCAGCATTCCAATCCCTAGGCAATCTTTAATCGACTAGGAAGCCACAACCTGTGAAGCGGGTGTCACGACAGGTACCAGCTGGGCATGTGTCTGTGCCTGCGCAATATGCTCTTCGCCAGCCTTCCTCTTTAGCTCATCGATAAACTTCTGACAGAGATCCCTGTGTGCTGACTCGAAGCTCCTGACGACAAACGGCTTAACGATCGCGTTGCACTCTACCCTGGCGTACTCAACCAGCTCCCACTCCCCGGCACCGGGGGAGCTGAGCCCCGCGCCGTCCACGATGTCATGGAGGTCGTCCCTCGCGACCCCGTCTGAGCCCGCCCGGCCGGCCCGCTCAAACTCAGCACCGAGGTCCCGCCGCTGAACCTCATAGGTTGACCACACGTGCACGCCGCCCTGCGCATCCGCGCGGCACCGCACCCCGGCCGGGCTGGACTGGAAGGTGGCCGGGATCTTGATGTCCTTGTACAGGCCAAAAAGGGGGACGATGACGACGCGCTCAACGACTTCGTAGCATTCGATTCTGGCACCGTCTTGGGTGAAGAATGGATCTGATGTGACGTCCTTTTCATCTACGGGCCGACGGTTGTACCGTAACAGGTACGGATGTGGTGTTATGAGCGGCTCGTAAGCCTGCAGGTGTTGTATAACAATGTCCGGGGATAGGTAGGCCGGCAGAGGGAAATGTAGCTCTATCATATGAGATGCTGGCATATTTATAGCTGCACGGCGCCGAGACTGTGCGATGAAACAGGTCTCCTGGAACCTGTGCAATTCTGGAAAAGCTTTGTCGTGTAGTCTTGGGCCTCGGTGCTGCTATGGACCTGGTATGGTATGGGAGGACCTGGGAAGTGGGTAGGCAAACTGGCTCTGCTTGATGTGACGCGACTCTCCTGCCGCAGGTGAATTCAGTGAAACGAATCCTGGTCTACGTTTCTCACACGATATCAGGAATATTGCGAACAATGGTATTGTATATGACTGAATGGCTAGAGCAATGTGATGATGGGCAGGTAAGTAGCATCTCGGCCCTAAATCCAGCAGTCGGTTGGTGGCTGTGTTTGTTGCGGCTGAAGATGGCCCTGCTCGTGGGTCTGTCGCTCCGGCTCCTGAAAAGTGAGTTGTCAGAATCAAGCACTGCCGTTGGCGGTTGACAGCTCCAGTCGCGCGCTCTGACCTCGTGGGAATGGCCATGAGGAAGGGCTAGTATTGTCAGCATTGGACCCTGAAACAGGCCGGAGAGCCTATATTTGGCTCTATCCGCCAATGCTGCACCGTAGCATGGGAGAAGGAGCTGCTTGTATGAATTGTCGGCGCCGCGCGGAGCCGTGCAGAGCCGGGAGAAGCTCCAAAGCCCTTCTGTCTCTCTACTTAGAGATGGGGTGCTGCTGTGAGGGTTGTGTAGCCGCCTAATCCCAAAGGCGCCCAAGCCGGGGTCGGTGGACGTCCGGAAAACTTGACCTTGGCTTCGTCCGTGGTATCGGGTATCCTCTCACGCTACGGACTGCCGTCGGTCATAAAGCGGCCACAACCCTCTCGACGAGCGGCCAGCTTCCGCCGCGTTGCTGCGTTGCTGCAGGTCCCATTGAACCTCGGCTTCCACATAGTTCACTGGAAGTCGAGCCTGCCCAACAATCTAGGAGAATCACTGGGTCTCGGCTGTCGATAGACTCGTGGGGAGTGGGGAGTGGGTCGCCGGTGACGTGGAAACGGTCCATGTGCCCGAGCATGCAATGCAGTACAAAAAGAGAGGGCGGCGAAGCTGGCGAAGCTGGCGATGCTCGCTCATGCGTTGGTACCTTACAGTTCAGCCGTGTGGGCGTGTTCGAACCCAAACAAACCCAAATGCAGTCTCGCGGCGTGAGCCTTCACCGCCGTCCGCAGCCGTAACATGACACGACACGACGCGACATTGAGGTCAGTAGGGCCAAGGGCAGACCAGAAGAAATTTCGTCCTAGTGTCGGGTCTTGTTCTGCCAGCGCGACGGGCGGCGTGGAAAGGAGATGGCGGTGAAGGTGAAGCGATGCCGCTTCCAGGCAGCCTGGCAGTTGAGCTGCAGCTCCGGCTCGACTGATTCAATGCAAGTCAATGCTAGCTCCCGAGCGGCCACTGCAGCAGCTGCAGCAGCGCAGGCGAAGGTGGCAATGGTTTGCAGGCGTCGACGTCGCATTGTTCCAGATGCAAGATTAGCTCACTGATGAGTTCCGGCACAGGCTGACAGACAGTTGACAGGGTCCTCTGGGGTCCTCTGGCTACCACCGTTCGAGTCCAACCGTAGCCGAGATGGGTTTCGGAATGCAGCCGGCCGGCGACCGTTTGGACACAAACAGTCGCTCATTCAGTCATTGTGCGGGCTGCGAGCGGCGATACATAGACAGTACACTACTAGTGCAGGGTCGGCATGCCATTAGAATCCTTGTCGAACCCACTTCGCGTGTCCACCCTGGAGGGGCAGACATGTCACGGTGACTCCCGTCCAAGGAATGAATGGATGGAGAGAGGGGTGCCAGCCCTATCTGTCTGTTTGCCTCCCAGATCGTGTGAAACACTCGTGCTGTGGTGCTGTGGTGCTGGCGGGCCTTGGTGGTGATCATGTTCCCACTTCCCCGTGATCAAGCGCGGGCCGGTGGGTGGGAGCACAGACATGGGAGCTAGCCTCCGCCTGGTCGTTTGTTTCGCGAACAGCGGCACACGGGCAGAGCAAGAGCGTTGACGGCCAGCTAGTAGTTATCAGTCGCATTGTCCCGATGATTAAACGCTGGGCATTCTAGTATACTCTCCCATGCCCGCACCCTTCCACCCGCACGCCCACATGCATGCAGGCCTCCTCTGGGTGGCCGCAATCGGAAAGATTGGGGGCTAGGGGAGGAATGATTGATATTGTGGATGTGACGGGTGCGCACAGCAAAAGGTGGTGTGGTCAACAAACGTACCTACTTCAGGTGTACAGACAGAGGACCCGAGGGGTGCTGGATGGGCGATGGGGCCGTGGGTGGCAGGGTGGGTGCGCAGGACCGACCAGGGTTCCAAAGATTGCCTGGCAGGTGCGACACCTCGAGACCAATGAAGCCTGCCCCAGCCATCCAAATCCGAAAAGACCACCCTGCCCTAGGTCCCTTGGGAGGGTGTCTATATTTCACCCGTCATGCGCTGCTTCTATCATATTACTATCATGAAGAGCTGCCTTGCCATGTGATGGCTTCTCGTGCGCTCAGTCCCGTCATTCTATTTCTCGCCGCCTCCCCCACCCTTGTCGCGACAACAAGGCCAGGGCACATCTGGACGCGACAAGTAAAAAGCCAGTAGCTGACGGTCGCACAACTACCAGTTGAGCGATAGACAGACCTTATTTGTCGGTCAGCCCGTCACACATTCTGGCACTTGAGACACCCCTACCTGCCACCCATTACAGTCTATCCCTACGGCCAGGGATCAGGGCCCATTCCGTCTGGCGCATTTTCTCGTCTCTCTGCTGCTATCAACCCGCCACTCTCCAACTTTTTGCCGTGCTTCAACTTGCCACAACTCCTGGCTCCTTATTCGCGATCAGCACCCAGCGCCGTCATATTTCCACACCCTCCGCGACGGGCAAGCTGAGCTGCAGGCCAGGAGGACATGCACGGCTAACAGCTCCTTGGGTTACACAACCTCCCCCCAGGACGCCAATCCCGGGCAAGAGAGGCCCCTCTCTCGCCGTCGCAACGACTCATTGGCCCCCTTTACTTACTTACTTTCTCGCACTCCTTGCATGAACCGGCCCATCGGGATCCAGAGAAACACCTCGCCAACCAGGCCTCCTCAGGTCGTCGTCTCCCTGCGCCGCCCCGTCAACCAAGCAGCGCACATGAAATAACCGTGTCTGGAACCTGTCAGACCCGTCGCTGCAAATCCGACTCCTTCACAGTTGGAACGCCTCTGCGCAGCAAGCCACTCATGAGTTTTACAACCCGAGGACATCGCGCGCCCAGTTCCTCCGACATTCAGAATGGCCGCGGCCGAAGTCCTAGCTTTCGCCGCAAGCGATGGCTGCCATGCGGCTCCGAGTTTCTATAAGGCTCCTCGCCACGGTGGAGGTAGTCGACCGAGGAGGAATAGCCAATTCCACAATCGATTACAATTGCAATTGAGTCTCATCTCTGAGGTGTGGGTTCAACTGCGGTGTTCTCCCGTGAGTCTCCATCGTTCTGTCGGGGCGTATTTGGTTACTGCACACCGTCCGTCTCTGTCTCATCGCGGGCACGGGCTGGTTCGTTTCTTGATTCAGCGTTCCGAACAACTGGTTCGCGCCGTGGCCGTGTACTGCATGGCGCCGGTGCCCCGAGTTGGAGACCGCCTCTCTCCTGGGCCGGTGCCAGTGCCAGCGCTCACCCGTTGAACTAGCTTTGCGGCTGTCTAAAGTTCAACCATGCGACTGGTCCCCCCCGAAGCTTATACTGACTGTTGGTCTCCACAGCCCTCCCCCAGTTCAAAAGACTGCCGGACCAAACCACTTATTATCCCCGACTTCTGCTCGCCGAGATGGTCGCGCACCCGATGCCTGCCAGCCCCACCCAGCGACGATTCGGAATCATCTGTGGATTTGCGCAACACCAGCTGTACAGAGTCTACTGCTCAAACACGCCGCCTGCGCCCCGCGGACAGTGACGTAGTATTGCCGAGCTCGCAAGCAGGCCGACAGAGACGTGATGATCGCGATGTCGATCTCCTAGCCGACCCGAACATGGATCTGATCGATTTCGGGTCAGACGAGGGCTTCATTGAGGCCGCAGGGAAGAAAAAGAAGAAGCAGACAACGTCCTTCAACTGGCTTGAGGACGAGAACGACAAGAAGGATGGGGATGGCACGGAGGAGGGCGGCGGCGGCGACGGCAACAAGGATCAAAACGGCGGCGATGCGGGCGCAGGCGGCAACACAGGCGGAGATGGTGGAGGCGATGATGGCGGCAAGAAAGACGACGACAAGAACGGCGGCGAAGCTGATCCTGACGACATCTGGGGGTTTTCCACCGTCGGCGGCAAGAAGAAGAAGAACAAGGACAAGTCCGCAGACGCCTTTGGCCTGCCAGAGGTACCACCGGTGTCGGCCGATTTTCACGAGATCAAATTGGACGATTCGGGGGGCGCAACCAGCCTAGACTTCGGTCTAGGCCCAAAGACCGACAAACCGAAAACGGGAATCAGCGCGTGGACGTCCGGCTGGGGTGGCGGCGGCTGGGGCTGGGGAGGTCTCACCGGCTCACAGACTGAGGCCAGCAAGCCTGCCCACGAAGAGAAAACGGAATACCCGGTTGACGACAGCCCTTGGGGCATCAATCGCCCGAAGCCAAAGAAGAAGGAGACTTCCACATTCTCCTTCGGGGCTCTCGGCGACGACGATGGCTCCAAGGACTCGAACAGCTTCGATTTTCTAGGGGGCAGCAAGTCGCCTGAGACGAAAGACGTGGGCGCATTCTCTTGGGGCGCGCCCAAAGCTAAGACGGGCGATGATGACTTCTGGGGCAGTCTGAACAACAAAAAGGACGAAGCGCCTAAGGATGAAGAGAAGCCGGCTGAGGAGGCAGCTGACGACATTTGGGGTTGGTCCTCGACCAAAAAGGATGTAGGTGTCTCTGCGTGCATTCATCGTCATCGCGACGGTTACTTTTTGGCGTACATAGGTTTAACAAATGGGCCCTGCAGAAGAAGAAAAAGGGCAAGGTGACTGTTATAGAAGAGTCACCAGCAGCACAGGACGAACCCCTGCCCGCAGCACCCGACGTTCCGGACGCCAGCGACAAACAGCCGGAACCAGCCCTGACTCCAGAAGAGGAAGCCGAGCTCCTAAAATTACAGACCAAAAAGGACATTGGCAGCAAATTGACTAAGAAGCAGACGGATAGGTACAAACTCCTGACCGACAAAGCTGAGGAAGCGGCCAAGGCAGCAAAGGCAGCAGCACCCGAGACTGCCGAGCCCGTGGGTGGTGACACTGCTGATGTGCTCGATCACGCAGGGGCGCTCGCAGATGTGGACCCAGCTGATGGCTCTGCTCCCCTCGATGATGCCCAAGCCGAAGCAGACGAAAAGGCGCGGATCATTCAGGAGGAAGAGGAGGAAATGGCACAGCTGAGGGGCAAGAAGAAGCCGAAAAAGGCCGACAAGGATCGCCTGCGAGTCCTTGAAGAGCGCGCCGGCGAACGCCTTCGAGAAGCCGAGGAGAAGGCAGCAGCCAGCGGGAGCACCGCGCAAGATGACGCCGCACCTGAATCCGCTGGTGCCCCAGCAGGGGACTCGGCCCTAGCCGAAGATCCCGTGCCTGAAATTGACGCCGCGCAGGCCGAAGCGGACGACAAGGCCAGAATTGCCCAAGAAGAAGAGGACGAGATGGCCGAGCTGAGGGCCAAGAAGAAGCTGAAAAGAGCGGACAAGGACAGGCTTCAAGAACTTGAGGACCGGGCTGAAAGCCGGGCTCGCGAGGCGGAACAACTGGCCGCTGTCGCACAGGCCGAAGCTGATGCCGCGCAGGCTGCAGCTGCGCAAGCCGAAGCCGATGAGAAGGCCAAAATCGCTCAGGAGGAGGAGGAAGAGATGGCCCAGCTCAGAGCCAAGAAGAAACTGAAAAGCGCGGACAAGGAGCGCCTCCGAATCCTCGAGGAAAATGCCGACCTGCGCTCTCGCGAAGCCCAAATCGCCCAGCCGGACGAACCTAATCCAGAGAGTGGCGCAGACAGCAACGAGTCTAAGAGCGACGAAACGGCCCCAACCTCCGTTGATGACTCCGGTGTACAGGCCGAAAAGGACGAGGCCGCGCGGCTCATCAGGGAGGAAGAGCTTGAGATTGAGCAGCTGTTGTCCAAATCGAAGCTCAAAAAAGCCGAACGAACTAGGCTCAATGAACTTCAAAACAACAAGGAAAAACGCGAGCAGGATGCTGCAGCCAAGGCAGACGCCGCCCTTACAGACCCAGTTGACGTGAGTGTGCCATCAGCCGAGGATGCACCAGCCAGTGGTGGTATCGTGGAGCCAATCCCAGATGGGGACGACGACTTGGCGGCCAAAAGACTCGTCGAGGACGAGGAGCTCGAGCTCGAGCTGTTGTTGACCAAGTCAAAGCTCAAGAAGGCTGAAAAGGCACGCCTGAAGGAGCTTCAGGATAACAAGGACCAGCGAGAATACGAAGCCGCTGCTAAAGCCGCGTCTGAGCCGACTCCTGACGGTGTCGAACCACCAGCTGACGGCGCCGCTGATAGTGGCCCGGTCTTGGACGATGCTCCTGTTGACGAGACCGCGGCACAAGACGCATTGGTCGCCGCCGAGGAGAGTGAGCTCACGGAACTCTTGTCAAAGACCAAGCTCAAGAAGTCAGAGAAGGCTCGGCTCAAGGAGCTTCAAGACCGCAAAGACCAGTGCGACGAGGAATCCAGACGGGTGGCAGAGAAAGCCGAGGAAGACGAACGACTCGCCCGCGAGAAGGCCGAACAAGAAGCCCGGGAACTCGAGGAGCGAAAGCGCCGCGAGGAGATCGAAGCCGAGGAGGCTGAGATCGCCTCGCTCAAGTCCAAGAAGAAGCTCAAGAAGTCTGAGAAAGACCGGCTATCCGAGCTAGAATTCCGAGCACAAGACCGCGCATCAGCCGAAGCTGAGAAGCTGGCTGCAGAACTCCTCAAAGAGGACGCCGAAAACGAGGTCAAGCAAGACGAGCCGAAGGTCTCTAAAGGTTTCTCCTGGGCCGATGATGACCCAGCCGACGACAACGGCGCTGGCGACGACTGGATGGACTGGGGACTGAGCAGCTCCAAGAAGTCCAAGAAGAAGGACAAGTCGAGCCCTCTGATCGAGTTTGGCGGCACTGGTGATGCCCCAGCAGTCCCGGACGCGCCACCCGCTATTCCTGAGGCGGGCGCTTTCGACTTTGGCTGGGGCAAGCCAAAGAAGAAGGACGTGCAGACCCCCGCTGACGACCTCTGGAGCTTTGGTACCGGCTCCAAGAAGAAGTCAAAGAACAGCCCCGCCGAGGTGATTGACGACCCGATCAAAGCAGATTTTACAGGTGATGCCAAGGACAAGATGGGTGGAGACGACTTTTGGTCGACTTTTGGCGTTGACAAAAAGGACAAGAGTTCTCGTAAGAACGCCCTGGCCATGCAGCCCCCACCACCAGCACCTACACCTCCAAGTATGGATCTGACAGAAACAGAAGTCGACGCACATGACGCCGACGATGCATGGGGCGACCCGAGTGGCTCTACGGAACTGAGTGGGAGCAAGTCCAAAAAGTCCTCCAAAGAGCCCAAGCTCAGTAAGAAGGACCTCGAGAAGCTGGAGAAGGAAAAGAAAAAGGCCGAGAAGGAGCAGAGAGAGCGCGAGAAGCGCGAGGCCGAGGAAGCGGCGGAGAAAGAGAGGATCGCAGAAGAGGAGCGCCTCGCCGCCGAAGCAAAGGCCGAAGAAGAGAGGTTGGCCCGCGAGGCTGAAGAGCTAGCCAGGCAGGAAGAGGAGGCGAAGCAAGCAGCTATCGATGCTATCGCGCTGGAGGAGGCCGACCTGGCCATACTGCAGGCCAAAAAGGACTCGGGCAAGAAACTCACGAAAAAGGACAAGGAGAAGTATGACAAGCTTTCTGCCAGCTGCCAGGCGCGTGCGGACGAAAAGGCCGCCCAGGAGGCTGCCGAACAGGCCGCACGAGACGAGGAAGAAAGGCTGGCACGCGAGGCTGAGGAGCTTGCCCGCCAGCAGGAAATCGAAAAGGAGGAGGCCGAGCTCCAGGAGCTGCAGAAGAAGAAGGACGCCGGGAGGAAGCTGCTCAAAAAGGACAAGGAGAAGTACGACCTGCTGCGCTCAAACAAGAAAGCTCGAGACAAGGCTGCCGACGCGGCCAGTGCGCCCGTCGACGAGGCTGCGCCGGCGGGCGGCCCCGAGGCTGACGACGACCTCGACAAGGACCTGGCCAAGCTGGACGCGAATCAGCTGGACGAACTGGACCAGTTCCTGTCCTCCCCCACAAAGCCCACCGCAAGGGCGGCCGAGGTGGATCCGTTCGATTTCTGGGGTGCATCCAAGAAGTCGCCTAAGCCCAAAAAGGGCAAGAGTCCTGGGGCTGAAGCTGTAAGTGCATCTCTGTTGCAACCCCCCTTGCCTCCCTGCCACCTACCCCAGCACTTCCAATTTCCACAACACCAACGCCAGATGTTGGCGTCCGGGTGTTCATCTCAGTTTCTCATGTTCAAATCTGTCGGGCCCCAGCCGAGATTGCACATGCTGAGTCATACAAGCTTCTCGAAGCTACCACGAGCGATAGCGCCGCGGTCGAGAACTCGGCCCCCAAGGGGGTGGTAGCCGGTGCCTGGTCCGCCTGGCAGGACACGTACCCATCGTCGCGACCAAGACCAGAGACGCAGTTGGGGGGCGAGGCCGATCACCATGACCTTGACATAGCTACCAGCGCGCCAGCCTCTACTCCATCACCAGCACTCATGAAGGGCCGAAAGCCCGTGGGTGGCAAGATTGCTGACAGATTAAAGGCATTTGAGGCTACCATCCCGCCGCCACCTCCTGCTCCAGTTGCTGACGCTATCCCGCCACCGCCTCCACCTCCACCGGTGGAACCAGTGGTCGAGGACGGCAAAAAGAAGAAAAAGTCCAAGAGCAGAGCCGCGGAAATCCCAGGAAGCTTCCCGGTCGAGGACGATGAGCAGCTCCCAGATGATATAGTTGAGGTCATCGAAATGTCTCCCAAGGTCAAGAAGAGCAAGAAGTCAAAGTCAAAGACCGAAGACGCGGCATCCGTGCCGCCTCCGCCTCCACCTCCGCCTGCTGTTCCAGACGCACCTCTCTCACCACCACCTGAGGCCGTGGATGAGCCGAGGAAGGAGGGTAAGAAGGAACGGGCCAAGATCAACCGCGACGGCGGCTCAAGCTGGGGCATGTGGTCCGCGTCAACGCCAAGCGGCAAGGAAAAGAAGTCTTCCAAGTCCAAGGCGTCCGATGAGCCTAGACGGGAGAAGAAGTCGCGCTCGCCCGAGAAAGAGGAGAAGCTGTCGGCCCCAGGGTCCTCGTCGGACAAGGCAGAGCGCAGCGAGCGCGTCAGGGATATGGCCAAGGAGACACCAGTCCGGCCCAAGCTCATGAGCGTGTTCAACAGCACGCCCCCAATTTCCCGATCCATGTCAACACGCGAAAAGCGCCACAAGGAGGGCAAGTCGTCACGTCGCAGCTCATTCGACGTACCGAGCGGTATCGTCTCGCCACCACCCGAAGATGAGGTGCCCACGATGAGCTCCAAGGCGGCCAAGATCCTAGGCGTGGGTATCGGTGACTCCCTGGGAAGGTCAAGCAGCAAGCGCAAGAAGAGCTCGAGGGCAGTTGAAGAGGATGACATCGTCATGGTCGGTGCCAACGATGCCGTGGAGTCGAGTCCTGAGAAGTCTTCGCGCCGGAGGCACAAGGTACGCCGCCAACTACCAGCATACATGTGTGGCGATCAGCAGACTGACAAGACACTGGAACAGCAATATCCACGTGAAGATGACGATATTGTCATGGTTGACGCGGCGGACGCAACTCCGCCACCCGGTCTTCGGCGGTCGAACACGAGCGGATCAACCAAAAAGGGCCTTGGAGGCCTATTTGGTGGGATATTATCAACGCCTAAAACCGACCCGAGACCCGAATTGCGGCGACGGAACACGCACCACAACACAGACGCCGAGGACGGGGGCGCAGCGACGGACGTTGACGCTGAAGCGCGAAAGGCTGCTCGTCGCTTGCGGAGGGCCGAAAGAGAAGCTGCCGATAAGGAAGGGGAGGATTCTCGCCGTGCCAAGGATGAGGCCCGACGTGAGAAGCGTCGAAAACAAGAAGAGGACGAACGGGAGGCGCGGCGCGCTGAGCGACGCGCAGCCAAGTCGCGTCAAGAGGAGGAGCGCCGAGCTGCCGAGGAAAAGGAGGCAGCCCGTGAGGAGCGCAGGAGGCAGAAGCGGCTTGAGCGCCAGCAGGAGCGCGAGCATGCTGCGGCCAACGGCGAGACCGCCGTCGAAGACGACGAAGCCAGGCGGGCTGCGCGGCGTGAGAGACGAAAGGCTCGTGGCGCCGCCGAGAGCCACCGGGAGCCCGAACGTCGGCATGCCGACGACGACGACGAAGAGCGCCGCCGCCGCCGGGCTGAGCGACATGCTGCTCGTGACACGGCCGAGGGCAAAACGTCGTCGCGTCGCCGCACCGAGCGCGTAGATGACGAAACGCGCCGCCCATCCAAGCTTTCACGGAGGCACACCGATGGTTTAGACAAGCTGTTCCGGAAATCCGAACCGAATCCCAACCCGTGGCCGTACTCTGGGACGTCAAGCTGGGTCAAGGATCACAGTGATGCCGGCCCGCCGCCTGACGATGCCGAGGCTCCCAACGAAGCCATGAATGACATAGATGACGCGGCCGCCCGCCACGAGCGGAGACGGCGAAGGAAGTATGGCGATGGGGTGGTCGACATAGAAGTGGGCGACGAGGATGGCGAGCGCAGGCGAAGGAAGAGGAGGGAAGAGAGGGCTGGGGGCAGTGATGGCAGCGGGGAGAGGAAGAGGCATAGCTATGTCGGGGACGCATATGCCACCCCAACGCCTAGAAGCAGCGCGAGCAGCTGGTGGAAGAAGCTGAAGGGCAATTGAAGTAACGAGCTTACGATGGGATTGATTTCAGGACATGACTCGAAGGATACGAAAGGGACGAAATGGATATGATGGTATACGACAGTCTTGGATGGAACACGGTCAAGGATGGCCGGTCGGCATGGCTTGTGCTTGATATGATGGGCACGCTGAACCGAGCAAGCGAGCGAGCAACTGGATTCTGGTACTACTTGGCCTTCGAATACCCCTACCTTTTTGAAGCATTTGGATAGTTGATTTTTGTATACCTAAGCACATCCTCGTGTAATCTTGCGCCGTCCAAATGACTTACTTGTTACAGCATGTGAACAAAATGTCCCTTTCTCAACGGCAGCGTGAGGCCCTACTTGTTCGGTTGACATTGGCCAAACCACGACGGAGGGGGCACCGACTGGCCCGTCTGAAATGGGAACATTGACCAATACAAGGTATGTACGCTCGCACGAAACACGAGGATTCATCCCTCGGAAGGTGACCAGAGGGTGGATGATGCCAAATCTACATCATCCGTCAACCTTGGAAGGGGACCTCGGGCGATAGTACTCGTGGTAGGATGCTGAGTAGCCGAGCAGCCACTTGCCAATAAAAGCCCCACCAACGTAGTTGAGCAGCATGCCCAGGACTATGGAGATGCCGTCGGGGCCGGGCAGAGCCCTTGCGACGCCGCCACGGTGCATGAACAACAGAGCCTGGAAGACACTCGGCTTCACACCGGCTTTCCTGCAGTCATCTCGATAACCCCAGACGTTGCCTGCCCGAAATCAAGTAAACAAGGGTTCAGTCAGCCTCTGGAGGTGTGTCCCGCGCCCCTCTGCAGCCATGGAGGCAGCCAACCAGCCAGTCACTCACGGAAATATGCCTCGTCCGCGTCCCGGGAGGCCGGGTCCAGCACAAACTCCAGCACCAGCTCCTCGTCCTCGCTCGCGTTGCAGAACGTATGGGCCGCCCGCCTGGGGATGACGACCACCTCCCCCGCCGAGGCAAGCCTCTCCGTGGTGCTGGGGGACCGGCTGGTGCCGAGGGTGAACCGCGCCGTGCCCTTTATGACATGGAAGATCTCGTCCTGCCAGAGGTGGCGGTGCAAGGGCGGCGCAAGCGATGAGGTGGCGCCGGCGTGTGGCAGGCCCAGCTGTGCGGCCTCGCGGTCCGAGGCTGCTCGTGGGAGGCGGTTGAGGACGAGGTAGCGGTCCGTGGGCGGCCTGAACTCGGCTGTGGAACGGCCGCCATCGAGGGTCATGCTTTCCAGGTGTGAGATGGGGGTCCTTGGGACGCGGCGGGCTAGGAAGGAGAGCATCGTGCCGGGAGTGCGTGGCGCAGGAGTCTCTTGGCCAGCCAGAGGTGTGTCACATCAAGGCTAGATAGCTTTGATTTCTTGTTGATATTTTACAATCCCGTTGGCATGTGGCAGATCTTCTGAATAGAAAGGATGGATACGGTGAGGATGGAGAAGTCGAAGTCAGTGTCGTGATGGTTGAGGCAGCGGGAGATGGTGCTGGGCAGAGTTGCTCCGACTCCACTTCCCACTTATCAAACGTTGTAGGCCTTACTAGGTACCTACCTAGGTACTTAAGTGCCCAGGTAGGTATATATATACCTAGGTAGCCAGCCAACCATCTCATCTCATGCTGGTGGCTGACTAGCAATCATCCTCACATGAAAAGAAGGTGAACTTCATTTGACATCTTTTAGAATGGACTGCTGGGGATAATCAATTCAAGCTGCCCAATCACTAGAGCATATTAGGTGCCTGGGTGGAAATGCTAGAACACGTCTGGTCTAGTCTACGTATGTCTGTCACCAACATACTCCTCCAATCTGAAGTGGGCGTGGGTGCTGGGCAGGGCTGGCAGGCTTCACCACCAGACACACACTCTTTGTTGTGGTCGATGCCTGGAGTTTCAACTCCAGCAGGTAACCTTCCGAGGGAACACAGCTAACCCAACCCACCCCGCCCCACCCCAGACCAGACCACATCAGACCCTGACAATCCCTCAAACCATGCGACGGTTGAGTAGTGGTTAACTCACCTCCCTCCCATTTGGAATAATCCATTTCAAGCTGCAAAGGGGCTAGGAGGAGACCCGGGTTCAAACCCCGGCCGTCGCACTGTCTTTTTGCACCACTCCCCAAAACAAACACAGGCACTACCGTGGTCCAAAGTGATATCATTGATGTTTGTCGTAAGCATGTCTGTCTTTCTGAGGCTGGGTGGAGAGGAGTGAAAGGAGTGGAAGTACAAAGAGGAGAGACACGTTTAACCTCCACAAGCTATCAAGCTCCCAACGTCCATCAACAAGGGATTGATTCTCTTTTGATTGTGCCTGCCATTTTCAAACGCCTGCACATTCCCGTTGAAAACTCAAACCCTGGGTTAACGTCTCTTGTGCGTCCCACTGCTCGTCAACTAGCACAACCTGCCTGTATCTCCTCAGAACTCAACAACCCTGACAACCGTCTCGCTGACGTAGCCCACGGCACCGTCGCCCCAGATGCCGACCACAGCCATGAGGAAGCCCAGCCCCGCCGTCGCGGTAGAGACGACCTGTTTCTTAAGGAACGACTCGACCTCGCCGCGGACCTCCTCGCCGTTGAAGTTGTTGTCGGCCGTCGCTGCGTCTTCCTCGCTGCTCCTGTCGCTTGCCGAGTCGCTGTGGGCGTCGGAGCCTCCGATTACGTCGTAGCTCGCCTCCATGCGTCGGGCGGCCGACCGGTCCTTGCGAGAAGCAGAAGATGACGACTGCCTTTGCTGCGCGGGCGTGTGGGGGTGGGCGAACAGGTACGGTGCGACCATGTCGGATACGCTGAGGCGGGAGAGGGCGACGAGCACCGAGGTGTACAGCAGGTACGGGTGGCGGGCGGATCGGGGGGACAGGGCAAAGGCGAGGAAGAAGGCGGTGCTGGAGATGCCGGCGAGGGTGCGCAGGTGCGTGCCCGCAGTGGTGGCAAGGGACCGGAAGGCCTTGGCTGCCTCGTTGGCGGTGGGCAGCGTGAGGAGTGTTGGGACGGTCAGGGCCGACAGAGTATAGGACAGGCCCTGGATGGATGGAAAGTCAGCAAGGGGCGTCCTCCTATTGCGCGATGGGATTCACGGCGGCACAACGGAGTCGTGAAGTCATCAACAAGAGCATCAACCGAGCAAACCCCGTGCGGGGATGTCGCAGCGCCATTCAGAGACAAGATCAACTCACCGTCAGCAGCCCCAGCGACACGGTGCCGACGAATTTGAGAGTAGAAACCCCCCTGGAAGCCATGATAGATGGGGACAAATATTCCTTGGTGTGTAGAGCATCCGAAGCCAGACGGTGAAGAGGAAAGATACAGGCCGTCCTATTATGGCCACAACCGAGGCGGCTAGATGGTCGTGGTCCTCCCGCCGAGGGGTCAAATCACCTCCACTAACGACATGATTGGCTATCTGCGATAAGCGCGGAACTGTCGAGAAGCAGGACGTCATCCCGCCCGCCGGTGGGCGGCAGCTGAGCTCCAGGATGGCCCGTGCAGAGACGACAGCAACCGTGCACAGCAGGGTACCTAGGTACCTAAGCAAGTACCAGGGCCAGAAGACATTTCCACACTTGGTAAAGTCTTCTACCAGTAACTCCCTGAGCTGATGTTCCGCCATAATAGATAATAAATGTCAGGAGCTGGTTGGACAAATAGCACCTAGGGCTCCTAAAGTGGCAGATTGGGGTGCAAGTAATACGAGTTGTACTCTGATGTCGCTACGTGATCATGCCAACCAGGCGTCTCCCAACTATAGGACACATGTGCAACATCCAGTGGAATAACATACTAAGAGACAAATCTATCAACTACTACTTAATAGACAGCCCAACCAAAAGACTGAAGTTCCAGGTTGTCCAAACTAAGAATCTAGCAGTTATACACTCATGCTGTCAGAGTATGCAGTGCCTCCATACAGTAGTACAGGGTGTACCCTTAATTCTCATCATAGAGTGACTTCTAAAAGGTTAGGAAAGGATCCCCTAAGTGAGAATTAGGTCTATGTGGATTAATAAAGAAATACTAGTAAATATAGTAGAGTTTCTTATAGTGTTATATTTAGAAAATATAAGTAATTATTTAAAATATAGAAGGAGAATATTTAGTTAATAAGAAGAAAGTTATATTAAAATAAGTTAAAAGTATTTATATAATAAAAATTAAAAGAATACTCTATATATATTTAAACACTTAATTATATAAATTATATACTTATTTATACTTTTTATATTATTTAAAAAGAGATTTAAATAAACTTAAATTAATTATTCTACTTATATTAAATATACCTATTATATTAAGGCTTATAAATAGCTTATAAGAGTTATAAAAGTTAATAAAACTTACTTTATTTTAAGACTTATACCTATTATAAGACTTACACTTACTATAATAGTTACCCTTCTATAAAAGTTAGAGAATTAAGGTATAGAAGTTATATAAAGACTTATTAAAGGGAGTATATACTTAAGTACCTACTATTAACTAAAGGTAGTTATAAAGAGGTAGGTATAGTCTCATTAACCAATAGCTTTCCTTAGCATGGAAGCCATGCCTCATCATTTAGGTGTCTACCTAGGTAGGGACTAAACACAATAAGGGGTTAAACTTGATTGGTGGCTTTGGGTGGTGGTGTGCACGGGTGGCATGTGTCTTTGAAATAGACAATACTAGCCTTTGGTCTTCACATGTGCAATCAATTTATTGTTAGCATATAAATTTGTGGATGTGGACTAGAGTTTTGCCCCATGGAAATTTGCTGTAGAAAGCTGTCCCATAGAAGGTTGTTCTATACTACCGGTAGTTACAGGAGATGGGGGCAAAGATATTCAAGTTGTGGCTGCGTAGCAAACACCCGAGCAAAGCGCAATCTAAATTATTCTCATTAGCTTTGAGCTACCTAAGCATACATTCTGTGGTTCAGGCCAGTGTTACATATGAAGGTCCGACGAGCGTAGCCAAGATTTTCAGCACTTCCACGGCGAATAGCGGCTCAGACCATCTGATTCGGCCTATTCTCCCTGTTCCTCTCAGCCTCACCGATGCGCTTCACCTCAGCAGCATCTGCCAAGTCCTCATCGCTGAGGCCCATGCCCATTCTCTCGCGGCGGTGAATAGCCTGCTCGATGGTCTCCTCGCCCGCGATCTCACGCACATCAGCATCATGCTCGACCTCAAACTTGCGGCGCAGGTGCTCGGGGCCGAGGAACGTCAGGAGGATCACGTAGGCGTACACACAGCCCATGAAAATGCAGATGACCTTTCCGTATCCGTATCGCTTGACTCCTTTCTCTGTTGGCGGCAGGGGGAACCGCTCGCCGATTGTCGCCTCGATGGTCGAGCTCGCAGAGCTGACGAGGTTTCCCAGCTGGTATGAGGTCCCCACAACGAAGGTCCGGAACGCGCCCGGGGAAAGCTCCATTAGATGGATGGGAATGACACCCCAAGCGCCTTGCACGCAGAACTGCTCGAAAAACGCCGCTGCAATAACTCGCTCGTTCTCGACAAAGCTGTACGGGTATAGGAGTGCACCACCAACAACACAGATAACGATGATGCTGAGCCTGCGACCAAACGACTGCGACAGGAAGCCGACAACGGTGCCACCGGTCATTGCTCCAAGATTGGCTACAACCTGAGTGACTGTCACCTGATTTTCATCGAACTGGAATTGGTTCTTCAGCATCGTCGGGTACAAGTCCTGGCTGCCGTGGCTCATAAAGTTGAAGCCCGCCATCAGAAGGACAAGGTACGTGAGGAGCAACCAGTGTCTGCGGAGAGCGACCTTGCCCTCCTGGATGAAGGTCTTTGACACACTGCTCCCACTGGCCTGTGCGGTACGCCGCACAGATTCCCGTTGCTGGTGAACCTTCGTTTCGGGCAGCATCAGGCGGAACAGGATGATGAGGACCGGGGGGCATGCGCCAAACCAGTATAGAGGCCTCCAAGAATGTGGGGTGGTATCGACTAATCCGCGTGCAAAAGCAGTGGCGAGAAGATAGCCGAAAGCGTAGCCTTGCTGCAAGATACCGGACATTAAGCCACGAGTCTCCTCTGGGAGATCTTCCAGTGCGGTGGCGGCAGCGTTGCCGTACAAACCCCCCATGGCTATGCCAAACAGAGCCCTACAAGCGAGGAACTGGTCGTATGTATTGCAGAAACCGGTGCCCTAAGACCTCGATGTTAGAGCACATGCACAACGGCGATCCCGACTGTCGCCATTCCTTTTGATCGAGTACGAGCCCCCAAGACCGAGCACTTGTCTGTGGTTTGTTGCAGTGAAACACATCAAGGGAATGGCCAACCACTCGGCTGGATCATCCCGGGAATGTGGGCGGCCAAGACTGTGGGCGCTTGGCGTTGGAGGATTAAGCTTCGCCAAGTTGATCGATCCACACCCCAAGAAATGGGCTCGGCCCTTCCCCAGAAAGCTTATTTTCAGGACTAACAACTAAATACGAGAGAGGACTTACCAGTTCAAGAATAATGAACAAGATGTTATTCACGATAAAAGGCCACTTGCGACCATAACGGTCCGCCGCGATGCCAAATAAGATTGAGCCAATAGATCTAAACATAAGGACCAAAGTTATGCCCCAGGTTATCTCGGTGTTGGTCTTGCTGCTAGATGTTAGCCCTGCCTGATCCCGCGGCATCGTGACGGAGTTTGCTAAAATTCAGCATGGGGAATGATGACTTCAGGATGGGCGGGATACGCCGACGCTTATATCCACTTGATTAGTGCAATTTAAGGGCCCCGGAAGACAACCTTGGAAGATGTGATGATGAGGTGCAATCAAGAACAAGGGTGCTGCGGGTCAAGAACCGAGACGAGTCTCGAAAGGGTACTTGCCCAAATGTCTCGGCGAGGTCGCTGACAGTAAGCGAGACGGTGAAGAAGTCGAAAGCATCCCAGGTCTGTAGAAGTGTAGTCAGCGTCTGCTCGTTAATGTCCGCTCAAATGCGGATGAGAAAGCTGGAGATCATCTGGAGCAGCAGTATTCGTACCCAAGCGGAGAAGGCGACCAGGAAGAATGCCCATTGCTGGCGGTTGAGCATCGTGATCAGCCTCAGGGGGTTCGGAAGCTTGGACATGGGCGGCTTCAGACTGATGAGCCGGGAAGCGAGGTATTGCCCAGCTGACATGCCGTGGTGAGGCGGCTCATCGCCCAAGTGCTCCTCAGCCGGGCGTGGCTGCGTGTCAACATGGCCATGCTGATGGGCGGTAGGCTTCTCGTTGTCCGACATTTTGACTATGTTCCCTGACAGAGAGGCGTCTGTGTCGATCTCCAAGCAGGGTAGGAAATGATGAGAGAGGACTTAGGAAGAGCGAGTCCATCACAAGGCAGCTGGAAGACGAGTGTCTGGTATATAAACGATCCACATCCATCTTGTGGGTGACCGAGATGGGATGGCGTGCGGGGTTGCACCCAGAGACTGGGGGCGAGAGCCGAACCCGGCCAAGGATTACAGTCCCGATACAGTCGCGGTGCAGAAGGATTGATCGTGTGCCGCACCGGCGGCGAGTTAGTTGGTTTCGGCTAAGCAAAGCGAGTGACGTTTGAGGCGTAGAGGCAGAGGGCTTGCAGGGGTCCCGAGTCATCATTCGCTTGTGTTTGTGTGAGCTATCGATCGTATTCACAAGGCCGCTCGGAATTTATGAAGCTTAGTCTTGCACAGATGCGGTGTGAAGACATCTGGAGGCCTGGGCGATTCCATCCGGACATCCGGGCCTAGTTCGCAGTTGACAGACTGCCAGGTGCTCAGAATACACGGGTGCCGTCAGTGCTTGCTCGTTTCCTCGTACCGGCAGTGAGGCTGGTATTCACTATACTGTGTAATAAACAAGAGAAAACGGCAGGATTCAATTTGTGCAGGCGGCGGCGGGCCTTGTCAGGGGTCATGGTGTTGAGTGCCGGCTTGGCCAATCTCTCGGGTCCCCCCACCCGCCCAAGCACGTGAGACCCCAGACACACCCCGCACAACGCCTCTCACACGGGCCACTGCCCCAACGTTGCGGATTGGAAGGGGCGGTCTCCAGATGTCTTCCCCAAAATTCTGTTTGGGACCCCACTCCATTCACTAATCCACCAGACATGGGTTGGTTCCGAGGTCTTCTCTTTTTTTGGACTGGTGTTTCTGGCAGAAATGTCTTGCCACAACAGTCTCGAGACGCGGCCTGTCAGCCAGGCAAGCGAGGCTGTTCAACGTGATAGGCTTGGCTGTTGCTACCTTATTACTGTGCCACTGCCGGACTTAAGAAGAAGAAGAAAATCATGCAGAGGTTACCACGATCCATATGGCTTGCCCACCTGTGGTCCGTTGGAGTTGTTCTGCGAAACCTTGGAAAAGAGGCTGGACCCTAGAACTGGACCCTAGAAAGTTGATAGGAGTCCAGGGAGTTTGATCAATGGTCCGCTTGGGCCGTGTCAATTGCTTGGGAACTCAGGACCCAGGCACTGACGACCCAGAACGCCGGTCCAGCTCGTTGTTCGGAGTTAACGCGGCACCCACAAGACCTGTGGTTCTGAGAGCGCTAGCTTCTCAGTAATGACAGTAAGTACCTAGGTATGTATGCCGAATCCTGCTCAAGGTCCAGCATTGTAGCGGTCATCATTCGCGAGCGTGACATCGTCGGCGGACCCACCAGAGATTCAATGTTACCAAAGATTTGGTCCCAGCTGCCCAGTTGTCGAGGCACGAACTCACACACCAGGCTGACGCTCCTGAGAAATCCACACGCCGGGGCAGCTGTCTGCTCCAAGTAACTGTCGGGTCCGTTGCGTGCGTCCCAGGGTGAAGTTGCACGTGCTGGAACATGTACCTAGCTACCTAGCTACTTAAATAGGTAGTAACCCCAGCGCAGCACCGTCAAGATAAGCTTCCCGCAACAGAATGTTGTGCCTGCACTTCACTGACGACACGACTTTAGGTTGCCCACCGATGGTGCAGGGGTCCCTTGCTCCCGTCCTGCAGCAGTTGCCAGGAACTGCTTAACCCATCATCGGTCTCGTGTGATTTGATGGGCGACTACATGGGTACAGTGACAGGTGCACGTACTGTATCGTGCACGCATGACTTGCATTCCAGTGTGCCATATCTGGATTGCAACCATGAATACCGTGGTAACCATGACAGGGGAGTGGCTAGTGGCGGGTACTTAGGTATAAGAAGGCCTGGGATGGCCTCCATCAGCATCGCCCTGCTACCCTTCCTCCTGTCTCCCACCCCACGAAACCTCCTCCTATTCACTCACAATAGACATGGCACCAGCTGAGCCAAATACTCTCCCCTTCCAGGCCAAGGGGCAGGAGCCTCATTTTCCAGAGGAGCTTGAGGGTTGGAAAGGCTATATCGAATGGGAGAAATACCCCGAGAAGAAAAAGGAGGCAGAGGCCATACTCGACAGATATGACTTCCCTGATGTGAGCAGCAAGCTTCCGAGTCCTGCCCATCTCAATCCCTCGCTTAAGAACCTTGGAATGTTGGGACTGACGACGGCGATTCATCAATATAGCCCCCTGAATACCAACTGCAACACGTGCCGCCCAACAACCCGCTGCTAACGGGCGAAAGGTTTAAGCAATACCATTATGCACTGGGGCCCACAGTGGCGTCTATTCCAGACATCAGTTGGAATTACGTCCTCGAGGAAAAGTCAAAGGATATGATCCACGTTCTCCAATTCCCATACAACGGAGAACCGCCTCGGGACCGCCTCGTCGAGAACCCCATCACCTCCAACGCTGACTTTTTTGTTCGCAACCATGGGGGAGTTCCTGAAATCGACGCCGACAGGTACACTCTCGAAATCGGTGGCTTTGTCAAAGAGCCCAAACGTATCACCCTCGCTGAACTGCAGAACGAGGACTTGTTCCCGCGCAAGACAATGACAGTGTCACTGCAGTGCTCGGGCACCCGTCGCATAGAGCAAATTCGAAAATATCCAGGCGACGGCGATGAACTCATCAACGCGCCCTGGGGAGAGGGTGCCATAGGGACCGCCACCTGGACCGGTGTCTCGCTCAAGAAGGTCATTAAATACTGCGGCGGCCTGACCCCGGAGGCCAAGGCGGGTCACCTTGAGTTCTTCGGTGCGGACACCTATTTCAAGAAGAAACGGGTCATGAACTACCGCGTCTCTGTGCCTTGGCGAAAGGTCAAAGCCAACGAAGTTCTTCTGGCTTGGGAGATGAACGGGAAGCCGCTTCCGCGCATCCACGGCTACCCACTACGGACAGTCGTCTGCGGTTACATCGGTGCCCGGAGTTGCAAGTGGCTGTATCGAATCGACGCCATCTCGGAGCCGTCGCTCGCACCCGTCCAGAGGAAAGAGTACCTGTACTACACCACTCAGGTGGGCAAGCAGAACTCGATGTACTCGAATGGCTTCAGCATTCAGGACATGCCTGTTAGTAGCGCCATCATGTCGCCCGTGGAGAAGGACCAGATTATCCACGACGGCAAGATCAAGCTCAGGGGATGGGCCTACAGCGGAGGCGGCCGCTGGCCTGTTCGTGTGGAGGTCAGTGGTGATGGCGGTAGCATCTGGTATGAAGTGCCCTATGACAAGATGAGCAAGAAGTACTACCATGCATGGAGGCTCTGGGAGCTAGAGATGCCGGTCGATGCAGAGGGCTGGCTGGAGTTCTGCGTCCGGACCTGGGATAATGCTCTAAACACACAACCTACTTTTACCCGCTCGGCTTGGAACTGGGACCTTCACGTCACGTCATCCTGCCATCGCATCAAGATCTACAGCATCAACCGTTCGCGGCCCGCCACTGCGGCGAGGCTGAAGATGCTGGAGGAGAAGGGCCTGTCCATCATTCCCATCACAAAACCACTGGAGTTTGATCTTGAGACTGACGACGAGTGGCGTGCTAACATGGAGGCGCGGGATGGTAGGGATCCAGAGGAGTAGAGTACATACAATTTACTGATTCAGACTTGTGTACTGGCACGGCCTGGACACATTTGCCACTCAAATTTGATTATACTATATAATGGGCATGCTGCTCTCTCTGTTTAAAAGCCTGTGCCCAGGACTGCATCTTTACCGTGGTTGTCAAGAACCGGTTCAAGCTCATGTCGTTGGGAATGTCAACATTAAATAAAAGATTGGATACTCACACCTATTAAAATAGAGGGTATACCCAAGCCCCAAGGGATAACCTCTCATAGAACAACCTCCTATAGGACAACCTCCTCTAGGATAACCTCCTATAGGACAACCTCCTATAGGATAACCTCCTATAAGACAACCTCCTATAGGACAACCTTCTATAGGACAAGCTCCTAGGATAAAGGATAACCTCCTAAGATAACCTTCTAGGATAACCTTAAGTGCTCCTATAGAATAACCTCCTCTAGGATAACCTCCTATAGGACAACCTCTTATAGGACAACCTCCTATAGGACAACCTTCTAAGATAAAGGATAACCTTCTAAGATAACCTTCTAAGATAACCTTCTAAGATAACCTTAAATACTCTTATAAAATAACCTTCTTTAAAATAACCTTCTTTAAGATAATATTTTATAGTATAGGCTTATAAGATAATTAGTTTAATATTAACCTAAGTATTTTAACCTTTATATTATATATTAATAAGTATTAAAAATAGTTACTATAAATACTTATATTTTTCTAATAACCTTTTAATTACTATATTACTTTTTTTCCTTTAAAGTTATTATTATAATATTTATTTTAATTTAATAATTATAATAATATATATTATTAAACTTTAATAATTACTTTAAAATTATAAGGTTCTTTTAAAAGTTTAAAATAGTTATAGAGAAAAAGAGGTTATAAGAGTGAAAATAAACTTATTAAGGAGGCTTTTTTTTTAAGTAACTCTTTCTTTATTCCTTTATAGTTAGTCTCCTACTTAAGTACGCTAACTAGCTAAGAGAGAATTCAAAATAGTTATAGAGAAAAAGAGGTTATAAGAGTGAAAATAGACTTATTAAGGAGGCTTTTTTTTTAAGTAACTCTTTCTTTATTCCTTTATAGTTAGTCTCCTACTTAAGTACGCTAACTAGCTAAGAGAGAATTCCTTCCTTTTTCTTCCTATTAGGTCTATTTCTAAGTTTTAAGTTATTTAGGTAAAGTTTAGCTCTAGCTTTAGCTTTAGCTTTAACTCTAAACCTTTTAATTTGAATCTCTAGATGTGGTTGATTCTAACTAATTGACTTAAAGGAGGAAGGTGGAGGGAGGACTTAGTTGAAGTTAAAGGAAGGAAGGAAGGAAGGAAGGAAGGAAGGAAGGGGAAGAAGTACTTCTCCACTCCTTATATGGGGGAGGGTATAAAGACTTCTTCATAACCATTCTCCCTTCTACAAGTCCTTCTATAAGTCTATTTCTTTTCTTTATAACTACTTTTCCTCCTTAAGTCTTTTATTATTAGAAGTACACTAAGATACTATTTAACTACTTAAAAGTTAATATTCTTTTCTCTTTAAGTATATTTAAAGTCAGTTTTATAAAAAAGGAATTTCCTATTTAAAGGGTGTTTATAGTAACTATCTCTAATACCTACTAACGCACGGTATGGCTCTAAGTTGCCTAGTATGGGTGTACCCTCCGCTTTTACGAGTGCGAATATCTGGTCTTATTATCACCGGACCCGGCAAAACAAGGTTCCTCCCGCGGTCAAAACGGCTCCTACTGTTCTGGTTTCTTTTACGACGAGGCCGACTCATATTTATGTGACCTCGGGTAAAATAACTTGATTGGTCTTCTCTAATTGTGTTTTACTCGTCATGACCTTAGCCATGCGACGCAGGAAGGATAATGATATCCAGCCCGGTATAAACTATCGCTTCTCACCCTCGCGCATCATGTCTTCCTCCGTTTTCACGTTCTCTGTTGGCGTGGGCTTCTTGTTGATGCCAGATACCTTGTTGCCCACCCAGTCCATCGCCTTAGCCGCTTTGCTCTTTTGCTCAACTTCCTTTTCCATCTCGTCAGCCTCTTCCTCGGCGGACTTGCCCTCCGCTTCCTTGCGCGAGCGCGCTTCTTTGTCCTCTTTCTCCTGACGCTTCAACTTCTTCATCTGGTTTTCGACGACCTCCCCATCGATATCCTCGAGATCTAATTTCGCCAGGATCGCCCCCACCAGGAACCTATACTGCGTGTGCCCATCGACAAGGTCGGACACGTCAACATTCTCGATCCCCTGGGCCTCGCGGATCGCTTGCAGGCCGGCAATACCGTACTGGAAGCTGTTGGCGCGGTATAAGAAGGCGAGCAGGTAGTCTTTGGTGGAAAACACGTTGATCACGCGACCTGCGACAACGGAGCGTATTTTCCGCCAGACGATAGGGTCAGATGGAGCAGCTGAGCCAATGAGGCAGACCGATTCTACCAAGCCGAACGCCTTGCGGTCCGCGAGCTCAGCGAGGCAGGTGTAGATGACCCTTGCACCGAGCGAGTAGCCTATAAGCGTGACCGGCCGCTCGCCTTGGACCTTGTTTATGAGGGCATCGGCCAGAACCTTGCCTGCCTTCTCACTTCGTGACACCGCGACACTGAAGGGGTTATCGATGACACGCGAAGCCTTGGCGAGAGCATAGGGTAAGGTCAGGGCCGAAGCAAGTGTTGCGAATACAGTGCGGCTCAGAATCTCCTTCTTGGCGAAGCCCCAGGCATAGCTTTTGATGTAAGTATTCAGGGCGCATCCCAGCCGGAGCAAAGCGTCGAGCTCCCATCTGAGAGCGAACGCTTCCGTACTTCGCCCACTGATCGCTTGCCAGGGGGACACGACCTCGTCTGCTTCAACGAGCCACCCTGAGATGCCCACAGTCACGCGGAGGTGTCTGGAGTTCTTTTCGTCCTGTTTACCTCGCTGAAAAAGGGAAGGTTTGTTGATTGGTCTGAACGCGAAGTCTTCGACCTCCTTTGCATACTCATCCACCATTTTCCCGGTCATCCTCCCGCCATACGCGCCGAAGAGGATGCCGACGAGAGGCGCTGAGCCGGCCAAGGCGCCCAGGTATCCCGCGGTGGCAGTTGCACCGAGTCCCAGACCACCCATGACGGTCCCGACTCCAGCAGCGAGCAAGGGGGCAGCGAGGCCACCTGTCACTCCAATGAGGACGGCCCCTGCCACTGCGCCGAGGCCAACCTTCCACTTCCTGGCTGTTGAGCCCTCCTGGACCTTCTTCTTGGTCTCTTCATCCGCGTCCATCTGCTGTTTCGCGGCCTCCAGGAGCCCTTTGGCCACCGATATCTCATCCTGGGCGAGGAGATTCATGGATAACCCTAATGAGCTTGCGAGCCGAAGCATCATTACTCTGGATTGGGCTGGGTAAGACTCCAGTCCTAGCAGGATGAGCAAGATTGAATGCATAATCAGAACGCGCCGGGCATCACTGAGCGAAGTGAGCGGAGTCTCGAGCGGAGGAAAGATGCTCTGTAGCGACTCTCCTGCCGGGTCTGGCTTTTGTTGGCTCGAGGGACGGGACTGGCGGTCCTGGTGGTCCTGGTGACCTCCCTCCTCCCCGTCATGGCGCTGATTGACCGCCTCTCCAATGCGCTGCATAACTTTGTCACGCCAGTCGTCGAAATGAGCGAGTGCGGCCTCCTTCAGCCCCACAATCTCTGGCCTGGCAAGCTCCTTGGTCCGTTTCTCCAAGGCCTTCCTCGCCTTCTCGGCTGCATCGTTACGCTTCTCCGCCTTTGTCTTGGTATCGTCTACGGGCTCGGTGTTGGGTGCATCATCTGCAGCCTCTTCCTGCCCAGGAATACTCTGATCTGCGTCTTCGGGCTTGATTTCCAGGGCAGTATCCTCGCCGACGTGATCCAGGGAGCGGCCAATCTTGAGCGGTGTAGCACTCTGAATTTTGTTGGGGTCGAAGGTATCGACAAGCTGGACTCGCATCACCTCGATCAGGCCCGCAATGAGAAGCAGGAGGTTCGCCCTGTCCTCTCGCGTAGGGAGGATGGTGGTGAGCGACTCTCCCTTGTCGTGGTCGGACTGGGGGCTCGACGCCTGCCCCTTTTCGGCGAGGTTCTTGAGCTTGGAAAACATGTTCACTCTTGCTTCGAGGGCGCAGTGATGCAGGGTCGCATCGGGAGGTGCAACTCGGAGTTGCACGCTGTCATGTACGCCCCTCGAACAGAACACGCGTTACCTTCTCGCCGTGAGACATGTCGCTTCGTAACGGCGTGTGGCAGTGGTGGCTTGGTGTGATGTCATGGGCTGCACCGCAGTGCACGGAATACATGCCTTGGTATCTAGGTAACTTCCAAGGTTGTCAGGGTTTGACCCTCGGAGCGGCCACAGGACTTTCAATTGGCGAATGGCACGCACCACCAGCCTCAAGCGGTTCTTTTCACTGATACTTCCAAGGTTTGTTTGCCGCCGCTAGTTGTTAGTTTGAAATAACCATTATTTACCTACCAATTGGCCAATGCCGTTCTCCCCGCCTGCAATCGTGTCGTTTCTGGGCCGGTTCCTGGCATTCATCTTGGTTCAGACCAGGAACGTGGTGTGGCCAGAAGCAGCTGAGGCCCGACCGCATGTAACGGCATTCTCCAACCGTGGTGGCCTGCCAGGGTGCGTCATACAGCGTCATAAAATCTTGGATGCAATTGCCATCGCTCGAAGTACGCAGGCAGGATGGGAGTGTGAATTGCATACTCAGAAATGCAGCTCATGAGATCATGGTTCCCTGTACTAACCCTGTCAGGATCCTGTTTTACCTGATCGTCCTGGGGCAATGTCGCTTGTGATGTCAGTGCCGTGATATCGGTGGCACAAAGCTTCAGACGGACTGCAGCAGGTTTCAGCGGCGGATGGGCTCGTAGGAGGAAATCGGGGCATTTTATAAAAGAGGAGCATATCTTCTTCAATATAACCCAAAAACCGAATCATCGTTTTCGTCTACCACAACAACCTTTTACCTTAATATCATAACTCAAACTCAAATTATCTCAGCATGGGTCTGGGCGCAAAGATCAAGGAGGCACTTCACAGTGACCACCACGACAAGACGACCGCTGATGCTAGACCCCCAGGGGCCTTCCCAGATGATGTCCCTCAGAAGCATACCGACGGCAAGGAATATATCGCCCCCCATGGCAGCCTCATCGACAAAAACAGGAACAGCGGCACGAAGGGTACAACCACAGGTAGGTCATGACGATTACAACCCTGGCCTCGCTCAAACTACTGACGGGGAAAACTAGGACTGGACTCAGTTCCCTCTGGTGGCGCAGATTCGCTGAGCCATTCCAACACCCACCGCAACAAGTTGCACAAGGACGAGGGCTACCTTCCCTCAGAGACGGACAACACCACATCAGGACATGGCACTCGCGGCCACAAGACGGTCGACTCTGGTGTTGGTCTAGGCCAGACTTCTGGCAGGGACCACACAAGCAGTCAAGGCGCCTCCTACTGGGGCGACCTCTCTCCCAGCGGCCACGCAAGCAAGGACAATTCTCACGGCAGTTACTCGCCCACCGGCGCTGGACACAACGTCTCTTCACTTCCCGACAGAACCACCCACGGCCACAACCTGCATGGCGATCAAGCTGTAGGTGGCGGTGTGTACAACTCCGTCACTGGCGCCGGCAGCCCGGGTCACGACGGCCCCCACGGAAGTGCCAAGCCCCACGTCTCAGGAGGTGCCGTCCACGACCCCCTCACGTCGGGCACCAGGGGCGCGAGCGTTGTGTCAGGGACCAGCGAGTACGACTACAAGACAAGCCTCGGGGGAGCTGGTGCGCCGACCTCGCGCGATGACCGCGCCACTGGCCCAGGCCTGGCGGGTGCTGGTGGAGTTGGATCTGGATACGGCACCGGTAACACGTATAACCAGCACAGCGACGTACGCGGCAGTGAGCGTGGGCTCGGCCAAGGTGGTCTGTCCCATGGCGGGCTCACCGGAGGTGGCCTGAGTGGAAGTGGACTGGGCGGGAATGGTCTCACCCATCACGATCAGTCCACCAGCCACGGGAGCTCTCATGCTGGAGCAGGCCTTGCTGGAGCAGGTGCTGCCGCGGCTGCGGGATATGGTGCGAATGAGTTTGCCCATCGCGGCCAAGACAGCACCGGCCACAGCGGCTCCTACGACTCGCCATCGAGCCACCACGCGCCCGGTGTCCCACGCAGCAGCATGCTGCTCGACGCTGAACAGCCTTCTGGAGGCGTTACCGGCTCGCACCACGGTCAACCGGCGACTGGCGTCCCGCGCAACGTCACTCCTCCTCAACACGGTGCACACGGCATCGGGGGAGGGTCACCCGCAAACGTTGGCTCGGGAATTGGAGCGCACATGGGCCAGTCCTCACCCACCAGCAGCAGCCATAGCAACACTCACTATGGACCGGGTCACCCTGGGGCCAAAGTCATGCATCAATGTCAGCATTGCGGACGAGATAATGACATCAGCCGGTACTTTAAACAAGATGTAGTTTACCGTCTGGGACAGTAATTTTAGAAGCGCGGAAGTCTTCGACAGCATATGTAATGTAATATATATAGCAGTTTAATGATTTACCAACGATTTATACGAATGGGTACCTAGGTAGTCAACCACCTCATGCGGTGGAAGCTTGCGTTATGTGAATTGCAAGTTATATCATTGATTGATGGAGCATCTCGCTGCCCGGGCTTGGGAGTAGGTTTGGTGTGGGGGGGTGGGGTGGTTTGTGCGCCAGGCTCAATCAACCCTAGGCTAGGTGGCGACGTCAGGCAAAAGTGCTTCTGATCCGACTGCTCCACGCTGAAACGGTCGTACTCTGGCCCAAATCATCAGCCTCGCCCACTACGGCCGATTACATACTTAAGTAAGTACTTCTGTAATCTTGTTCCTATTTTGATCAACATACTCAACTCGTCCGTCTTTCACCCGCGACTGAAGATTTTGCCATCGAGACGAGTCGAGCCCTGGAGCCCACAGAAAATGTCGTCTGTGAACGGCAAAGATGCAGCCCCCAGCAAACCATCTCTACCGCCAAACGTTTCGATCTTCTCCCCAAAAGATCCTAGCGCCTCCAATGCCGTGCTGAACGGTCACATGTTCTCGCGCCTGACGACGAGCTCACAGACAGCGCCGTCACAGCTCGCGGCAGCCCTCGCGGCTAGCCCCGGCGTGAGCGAGACATTCTGCCTAAGCCACGGACCTGCTGTACTGGTGTTCGATGCCGAGAAGCCCGGCGTGGATCTCAAGGACAGCCACCACGAGCACGTCAGGGCCGTGTGCTTGGCGCTCAAGGATGCAGATATCAGCCTCAGCATCTCGGGCTGCGTGTTCGATGCGTCCGAGGTGGCAAAGGCAGGGTTCCAGCTCGACGGGCTGAGCCGCGGCGCGGTCATGGTTGTGGACCTGATGCATGAGGATGAGGACGACTCGGACTCCGGCGATGATGAGGATGCTGAGGCAATACTCATGATGGGTGGTGATTCCGGGGAGGTGGTGTCCTAGTTCCCGCGTTCTGACATCACAGGGCGGGCATGAAGGGCCAGCAAACATCCTCGGCCATCACCATGTCTCCAGATGCCGCACTTGAGCAATGTCGCATGGCACGTCCACGGGCCTGCCTCCTTATAAGGTCTAGAGTAAACAGGGCGCTAAATCCCCAACCAATACGATGATCATTTCGGCACAAACGATCGGTTTTAAATATCGGCGGTACCTACGTATGCTCCAGTCGCATTTATCAGCTTATGGAGAACCTTGGAGCCCTGTCGCGCTTCCTCGCAGGATGACTAATTTTCCGACATGTGGATCATGATGTCTTTTCAACTTTCAACGACTAGAACCACTTATGTTGCTTCCCAAGTGGGCTTCCAAGGCACTATCTCTCCAATGCCGAGGCCAGGCACCTGGGCAGTCCTGAACGATCGAATTGCAGCTAAGCTCTGGTTCCCTCGCGGTGTAGCTGCCGAGGTTCGTAGCAAGCCATCGGAAGGGAACCCTGGGTAGTGGAACCGCACCAGGTGGGGTACCGCTATGGTGTAACTTGTTGAACCTTAAAATCTCAGTATATATATATCAGTCCCGAGGCCATCGGACCGTCATTAGGCTAGACATTTGTCTTAGACCACACAACACCTACAAGCATACCTAATCTTCAAGTTTACAACCCAACCCAACATAACCACAACGACCATAACACACAAGATGCCTTCCGCTCTAGTCTCCGTCGTCTATCCAAACGAGCCGGACACCAAGTTCGACCTTGACTACTACAAATCTGAACATATCAGCCTCGTCAATGCGAAGTGGACAAAATACGGTCTGCAGCAGTATTGGGTGGCAGATCTGCGTTCCTCTGGCGGCCCGTACGCTATCCAGACCACCATGCTCTGGGATTCTCTCGAGAGCTTCCAGAAAGCGGCTGGGGCGGAGGAGTCTGCTGCCGTCTTTGCCGATGTGCCCAACTTCACCAATTCCAAGCCAGCTATCCTTTCCGGACCCATTGTGAAAAGCTCTCTCTAGTTGAGGCAACTACACAGGGATGGCTCGAGGTTGCCCACGAGGGTTTGCTCGAAGAGGATCCCGTATTGGTGGTGGGCCCGAGATCATATTCCAGCAATTCTCCTACGACGAGAAGCCAAACTATTGGTATTGGAGCTGTTGAGGAAGAGTTGTACTTGGGAAGTAGAATCCGAGGACAGTGCGGTTGAATGAAGGCCCAGGGGAGCCGCATTGAGACTTGGTCTTAGCAGCCGAGATGACTACCTACGTACTCAAAGAAATAGACTTGAAGAAAGGTCTATTAGATAGGGCTATCATATAACGGTTGAGGATGTCATACTCAAAGTCGATAACATCATGGAAGTGCCACTATGATGTCGCTTTCAAGGTTACAATAATAACTGGTTTCGCTTTTATTTCGCGTATGTCCAAGGACATACATGTTATGATTATAAAGCCCTTACTCGGCTTGTAGACATTTTGCTTCTTCAAAAGTTCTCTATAATGGAAGCGAAATGGCTGCAAGAGAGCGGATCCAGATTCAGTGGGCGAGTGGGGCAGTAAGCAGAGAAATATATTATAAACGGGAAACTAGACATGCTCATAACAGTGCGCGCTAACAATGCAACAGTTGACGGAGAATGACTGACGATGACAAGCAGCTCTCTCTTACAGTCTATATGCTAGGTCGGACCAATGTTCCAAGGATCGCGCGATATATTACATACAGGGGAGCTGAATTGAATGCTTATATTATGTTACATATGTATTCCTTTTTTTTTAAAAAAAAAAACACTAGACCTTAAGTGTTTACCATTGTATGAAGGTGCTATATATGTTTTGGATGTATGGTTATTAGAAATGAAACTACTGATTGCTTATGTCGTATTAAGGTTTGAAGCAAGAATATTAGTGGTAGGTAACCTTACTGCCATCTGTCTTGAATGAGGTCTGCTCGGGTGACTGCCACACGATCACAGCATGAGTGATGAAGCATCTGAACTAGGCATTTATCCCAGCCTAATTTTCCCCAGAATGATCTGTTGGATGAAATGTTGAATAATATTTCATATGAAAACCTGCTGAGATACCCCAAAGTCCTATTGGATGAACTCCAATGGACAATCACTCATGATATGACCTTATGGTAGTATCATTGATGGGATAATCTCCTATTGAATGACCTCCTGCAGGACAGTGGTTTAAAACTTAGTAGATATTAGTGATAAAGCCATAGGGACCTTACAATGATCAGTTCCTATTTCCAAGATATGATGCTGTGGATGCATTAATGCATGTGAAGAAATTAGCAGCCCAGAAATACTTAGTTAAGCTTTATATCATTTATTCCTATGCGCAAGCCTGTCTAGCACACATTTTATGATAAGAAAATACCAAGTATCCGTAAGTTAAAGGGGGGCCAAGTCTACACAACCCCCCTCCTAACCCCCCTGAATGCCACCGCCAGGGTCTCGAAACCCTCCTTGCCATCTCAAATCTGCATGTTTTCAACCAACCTTGGAACATAGGCCAGATCCGCTTCCTCCGGATCATACGTCGTGTATAGTAACGCGTCTTCTTGTACAACAACTGTACAAGACTCGTTGAACCATCATGGCGGTCTCACCAAAGAATTGGCGCGACAAGGCCTGGTTTGGCTGGTTCGTAATCCAGATCGTCGTCATATTCCGTATGTCTCATGCGCAGGTCCCCTTGCTCCCGCTTCATGCTGCGCCTTTCACACCTGTAGACCACTGACTGACAGACCCCAGTCATTGACGCAGTTCAATTCTACCCGCCGCAGCTGTACAAGGTGCCAGGCAGCCCGCTGTACTTCCTGCAGCGGCTCAAGGATTTCTACGTCGCGACGTACAACGACCCGCTCGTGCAGCCCGAGACGGAGCCCAACTGGATGCACATGGTCTCAGTCGTCGAGATCAGCTTCCAGCTGCCTGTCGCCCTGTACGCGTCATGGCGCCTGGGCGCCAGCCGGGGCACCTCGGGCCCGTTCGAGCTGGTGCTGCTGGTGTATGCGTTCGAGACGGCGTTCAGCACCCTACTATGCATTAACGATGTCTTCTACTGGGACCCGGCCGTTTACTCACAGGAGCAGAAGAATGTTTTCCTGTTCCAGCTGTACGGCTCGTGGCTTGTGATACGTGAGTTTCCATGTGTGAGCATGGTGGATTGCCAGGGACGTCGCTGACTTCTTTCGTAGCCGCGCTGATGTTTGTGGACATGTACTGGAGGCTGTACAGCCGGCTCTCGGCGCCAGACGTTACGAAGAAGACGCAGTAGATCCCAGCAGATGCTTTCCCCCAACGTGGGACACGACATATTTGCTCTGGAGACCATCAGTACTTGTTGTAAAGTAATGGCATTGATTATGGTATCGATGTTTCGACGCGGCCCCGGGAAGACACCCTAGTATTTACAATCGAAGGCGGAACAGACTGGCCACACTCCAGAAATCTAGTCAATAGCCCTTTTCGCCATTGGTATTCCCCAGCCATTGCCAACACCGTTGAGTCCATAACCCAAGGGGGTGGCGCCTCCCAGCGCCCTACCCCTGAGCCTCTTGGGCAATACCATGCCAAAGAAGTAGACCGCTGTCACACAGATGCCCGCCAGAAACGATACCAGACTGTAGAAGACGGTGCTCGCGTAGATGTGCCCTCCCATGCCCTGCCACTCGACCCTGCCCTCCGTCTTGGGCAGGGCGGGCGTGGGAAACCACCGCACGCTGAAGCTCAGCGGCAGAGGGTCGCCAATGATGAGTTTCTTTGTCGCCGCGCTGTTCATATGACTCAGAGGGCTGGTGCTGTAGGCGATCCCGGAGTCCAGGACTCCGCTGTCGTGGGGGTGTATATGGTGCTTGGGTGTGCTGTGTAGCAGCACGTTCATGTGCGTCGAGATGTGCATGTGGCTGTACTGCAGGGTGCCGGCGAGCGCGAAGACTAACGGGATGTACTCCTGGGCAGCGGGTTTCTCGTCGACGATCTCGACATGGGGCGGGGGGCGAGATGGGAGCCGGCAGGAGAGGGGCGCGTCGGAGTGGACGTAGAACTCGAGGAGGTGGAAGAAGGGGTCGCTGATCATGGGGATGGTGCAGTTTACTTCGGCCTCGATGCCGTAGTGGAACTCGAGTGGCTTGTTTGTCTCTTCGCAGACTGGGAAAGGTATCCACTGCAGCTCGTGGTTCTCCGGGTCCTCGATATGCTCGCCCGTTTCTCTGCGCCGCGATTGTCAGTCTCGTGTCCCTCTCCCAAGCTGTCCCAGGCCGGCCGCGCTATAGCTCCCAGATACGGGACGAATGCGCTAATGGTCTGGCGCACCCTCGGGTATCCATCTACACGAGTTAGGTGGGTGAGTACTCACGAGCTCCGGTTCATGCACTCGACCGCAATGGATGCGCCATAGTGGTAGGAGGGCAGTGAAAGCTGGGCGGCGTCGGCAGCACTCACGCGCGCGACGACGGCGACGAGTAGCACCAGCAGGAGGCTGGATATATGCCTGGGGCAAATGGCGGGAGCCATTTTGATCGCGATGAAGGCAGTTGCCTAGGACTGCCACCTGGACATAATCGCAACGTGGGAACCTGCAAGACGTCGTCGTGGGGGCGGCAGATCTGGGGAAGTGGACAAATCTTCGAAGGCCCCTTGTCTGCGGAACCATAGCACAGGTGGCCTACCCCCAGCCTGCAAAGCGACAGTTCTGGCATGTGTGCAAGGGCCCTTCAGTGGTTGGTGCCGCTGTCTTGGCACCCACAAGCCCCTGCCGTGGCATGCCGACTTGTCACGGCCCACTCGCACTGTTTGTCACAGCCATTTTCTCGCGACTGCCACTACTCATTTCATTTACGGCCTGTCTATGATGGCCACAGAGGCGTGCCAGATGCTGTGTGCATCGCTCCATAGTATGCAGTCTACCCGGTCGCGGAAATCTTGGCGAGCCCACTCAAACGCCTCTCCCACTCGCGTGGAAAGAGTCATCAATCTGCCATCCACTCGCCCATGCCCTCCTACCTAGGTACCTAGGTAGGTAGGTAGGCACCTACTATGTGGTACTAAAGCAGGTATGCTAAGAATAAAACACCCCCAACCCATGACACGGGCGTGGTTGTGGGTGGGGACCCTGCAGGTGGGGTGGACGACAGGGAGGGGTGCCTGTCGCGTGTGAGCCTCGGGGTCCAATTCACGGTCGAGCGAGACACGACCCTTCTGCATCCCATGCCCTCCCATGCCCACCACGCGAAAGCTCCGCCGCCTCCACCAGGCGCGTCGCCAATGGAGACATGGACGACTTCTCCGATGACGGCTTCGACGACCTCAACGCCACGACCCTCCAGGAGCTGGAGAACAATGCCATCCAGCTGACGCAGGCCCGGCAGCTCGCCCCCACCCAGCCCGTGCCTGTGAACGACGACGACTACGGGCTCGAGGACGATGACCTGGACGACACCGTTGTCATAGACGAGGCTGCCCACCTGCCCGTCCGCCATTCTGTCGAGAGGGAGAGACAGTCCCCTGCCCAGCCCTCCTCGCTTGTGCAGGACAATTCCTTGCAGCCTGCCCGCGCAGTCCAACAGCCACGATGGCAGCAGCCAGCCACTGCCTCGTCCGGTCGACCCGTCCCTCCTCGCGCAACGGTGCCCCTTCACATGGGACCTCCCCCTCCCCCATCCACTACGAACCGCTTTGCTCCTCCACCAACCCACCCACCGTATACCCGCCCAAGTCAACCACCACCTCGACCTCCACCACCATCATCGTCGCGTCCCACCTACCCGCAAAGCCAGGCCTCACAACAACAGCCAGCGCCCATACAGCAAAACCGGGACCCACAACTCGCTGCACTCCAGGCCCGTGTCAGAGCCCTCGAGAATGACTTGCGTTCAGCCCGTGGGGAGACGTCTATTGTGCGCTCCAAATACGAGAGGTCTGTTGCAACCCACGAGGCAGAAGTGTCCAAGCTCAAGAAGCAGAACGCCGAGGCCCTGGCCAAACAAGAACGCCTTGTTGAGGCTGCTGTCCACGCGGAGAAGGCTGCTGCCACAGAGTTGCAATTCACTCGGCAGGATTTGAGAGAGGAGCTACAGAAGTCAAAGAAGGGCCGCAAGGAACCCACAGAGGCAACTTTCTCAACCCCCAGGAAGAACAAAGCGAACAGTTTCAAAAATATTGCAGATGGCTTCGACGATGTGGAAATACTGCCCAGTCCCTCCAAGGCGCAGGGAGGGGGAAAGGGCAAGGGCAAGGGCTCTATCCTGGCCCCAGGCGATAGGACTCCGAGCAGGGCCAAGAGGAAAAGGCCCGCCATCGACAGTCCGGTGGCCGCTCTCGAGGTGGAAGATGACACTGTCATGGCCGATGCTGCTCCTGCTGCTACACAGTACGAGGCGCCGGGCTCGAGCCTCCGCCCAAGTGCCCTCCCGTACGATTTGCTGCGACTGGTCCTAGATCATGGCGCCATCCATGGACAGCCTTTGACATTTGACCTACTTGCTCGATACAGCTTCCCCTCGGATTCTGAGCAGTCCTTTGCCGGTATCATCTTCCAGAAGCTGCCCTCGCTCGGCGATCCTCGTGATCCCGTTCGGTTGCTGATCGACTTCTGTGAGATGATCATAGACCTGTGGGACCAGTGTCTCCGGGAGAAATACTATGAGCCGATCTATGAGCTGGTGGCCCTGATCACCTTCATTCTGCAGCTAAACACCATATCAGTCGCACCCTATATTACCTCGACCCTGGTCCCCGTTGCGCAGACCACAATATTCCTGCTCGCTGTCCCGCGGTTCGAAAGTCAAGATGGTGCTTCGGCGTCCAGCGCGGATGAGACGATACAACACCTAGTTCTGAACATTGATACCGAAGGCACATTGCAGCTCATGTACCTCGCCGCTCTTGGCTGCACCGACTCCTACCTGCTCGATCCGCAACATCCCCTGGACCTTGGCCCCGACCGGGATTCGCCACAGAGACTTTACTGGAAGCTCATGCGAATTGACTTTGTACTGTTGATGCTTTCGCCTAAGCAACCGCGCGACGACTTCCTCGGCATGCTGAGCTTACTCTGCACGTCTTGTCTTGCCGACTCCATAGGGCCGATCACCGGCGAGCCGGACCGCGACCCGGTCTTCGTGGCGCAGGCACTCATAGAGCGCGTTTCCAAGATGATGCACGAGCCTCGGAGCTGGGCGGCCCCGGGCGAGCCGTCGGGATCCTTTGGGCATCGCCAGTGTGCTGTGAGGCTGGCGGCTTTGAGAACACTGATGGCCTTTGCACAGTCTGGCTTGGGGGCGAGACAGCTGGCGCTCAGTGATGTTGCCATACCAAGACTAGTGAACGTCCTATGCGGAGCGATCGACGCACTGTACGACATGGATGTTCCAGTGGAGCTTATCCAACCTGCGTTTGACGGGGACGAAGAAGAAGAAAAGGAGCATGGAGAGCCACAGCCAGAGAAGCCACCTGCCGACTCTGAGATGATGGAAGGGGTGGACGAGGGCACTGCCAATCGGCCAATCGCACTAGACGAAGACGACGCGGAGCCGGAGGCGTTGCCAACGCCAGATCAGTCGCCGCAGACACCCCTGGATCCCAGCCCAACACCGCTCCTGTACAAAATTGCGTCGTCGGTGATATTACTCCTCCACACGCTTGTCACCGACCCGGCGACATCAGCACACACTGATATGCGCGCCAAGCTGTCGACGTCGCACGGTGCACCGCAAAAGTACCTACTCACACTGTCGCGACTCAACTATGCGGAAGAGGACTTGGTGTTCGAGGCCGGGATCGATCAGGGCACGCTTGACCGGGCGAACGAGCTGCTGGATCTGGCCATCACGCCAGAGGAGGCTGAGGGGGTAAGACAGGTCTTCGGTGCTTAATCTTGGGAGACAATGGCGGATTTGCAAAGGGTTGCCGGACCAGGGTATGATTTGAATGGAACGTGACACGATGAAATGATGGACAAGTTTTCGGGTATTATTCCGATCAAAAAGGGGATTCCAATGTGTGTACTAGCAAGGGCTGGTCCAATGTATCAAGAGACACCACAGGGCAGGCCGGTCACAGGTCACAACAGAACCGATTTAAGCCCGCGTCACCGAGACCAAAGAAGGATAGCATTTGTGACTGTACGTCTGAAGAATGACCGTATTTACAACAAGGTCCCGACCGTGAAGAGCCTAAAAACTACCCCCAGTACGCTGCCCACGCCACCGCAAGGCCAGCGCCGTTACACGGTGAAAAACTTGGCAGACCTCCCAACCTTGGCAGCAACTAACTCGGCGGCTTTGGCAGCCCCAGCACCCTCAGCCCCGGAACCCTCAGCCCCAGAGCCTTTCGTGCCCGAAGATGAAGAAGAAGAGGACGTTGCGTTTTGCTGCGAGGCTGCCGTCTCTCCTCCGGCTGCCGGGACTGGAGCAGCTGGAGCAGCCGGAGCAGGCTCCGCTGCCTGAGGCGGTGCTGGCATAGCAGCCGGCGCGGCGCCTGGCGCCTGCATGCCGCCGCAAGCGGACATGGCCTAGGAAGACAAGTGTTAGTACCCAATGTCACGCGCTTCGTGGCGAAACGGTCAGGCCGGTATGCCACTCACAGCAGCCATGTTCTTCATATTCTGCATGATGCCGCCCATGAAATCCATCTGCAGCGTCTGTACGATCTGCATATTGCCCGCGACGTTGTCGCCGCCCTGGACCGAGAGGTTGTTAGCCAGACCCAGCTCCGTGAGCTGCGCGTTGGCGACGGTGGCGATGCCAGGTGTGGCCTGGCTCTCCTGCGGCGTGATGAGCTGGTTCATCTCGCGGATGGCGATGCCGTTGTTGATGAACTTGAGCAGGTCCGTCCTCGCAGCCCCGTACGCCGCCGTGTCAACCGGGTTGGCCGCCAAGATCGTGGCCAGCGAGTTGGCCGTGGCGAGCTCCTGCTGCTGGTCGGCGATATTGAGCGCGATGCCCTGCGCCAGGATCGTGCCCTGCGCGCAGAGGGCGTTCATCGTGCCGCCGGCGGCTCCTGGGGCCGCACCGGCTCCTGGGGCAGCCCCGCCTCCTGGGGCCGGCGCACCTGACGCCTCCGCTGCGGCCGCGGCGGCCGGGTCGGCCATGACTGGAGCAGCAGGTTGCGGGGCGTTCATCGCCGCCGGGGGCTCCATCGTTTCACTCCGAGGCTGATGAGGGATGATCTGGGCGGCGCCCAGCCCCATGTATACAAATACGTTAAAGATAGTTGACGTTGATGCGTGCATCTTGCATATAAGGAATGGGCTGGCCACTTGAAACAGGTTTGTACAGCACAGGACCGGCCTGGTATTAATCGAGTGAATGACACGAATGAGATTAAGGAAGCTTGTCCAGACGAGCCTTGCTCGTGAGTAAGTGACGCGGGAGCGACAGCAAGAATGTGTAACTAAGGATGGCGCTCGAAACCTATTTAGACAAACAGAAGACGGACGAGGGGCACCATATGTACTGGTTGCACCCCAATTCCGACGAGATCCGCGCTTGCGCCTGCGCGTCTGATCTCGTCTGTCACTTAGGTTGCGGCCGAGATCATTCCGGGAGACAGCGTGGACAGGTGGACAGGTCAGGACAGATGGCAGGTAGTAGAGTCCACACCTGCCTGCTTCGCGATAGGTTCGAGTGACGAAACCAAACAAGAAGCTTATGATCCTCCGCGCGCCCCCCTGGCTCCGATCGTCTCAAGGGCCGACAGCCCAACGTGTTTCCGGGATCAGGCTGCCCAACGAAGCGGTTCGTCAGTGGTCCAGTGCCGTTCCCTGGGAGTTCGTGTGTTGCTAGGAAGGAAGGGAGCGAGTCATCCGAAACCCTAAATGACAAGAACACCAGGGTATATTATGCGAGGGCTGGGTGGCTGGCTGAATATCGCATCCAACGGCATAAGGAGTGCAGTCGTCCAATAGTTGTGTCTGTGCTGAAAGGGCTTGTCTGGGGCTGGTAGTGTTTTGAACTTTACATGCCGGCCCCACCTTGATGAGGACAAGCTCACTTGGCACTGCCTTATGAGCTTAGACTAAGACATACGTTTCATCCTCTGCCCGGCTTGTACTTGAGGAGAATCACTACCCAGGAAATTGGCAGCGTCAGCGTCGACCCGGAAAGCAAGCTTCCAGTCATGCCCCGAAGCAGTATGTCTCTGAGCTTCGCCCAACCTTGGAAGACAGACGACCGCAGCTAGTATTGAAACGGTCAACTGCTCGAGAACTTGCTGTAGGAGCTGCAAGCCTCCGGACGTCCTGAGGTACGTAGGTCTCTCCATCGAAAGACTGGGTCCAAACCACGTGACTGGTCAACCCCCTGCATACTGGAGGCTTGATCGGGTAGATCAAGCGACTGCGTTTACCACCGCGGTGCAGATCGGCAGATCTCTCGTGGGCTCAACCCCGACATCCTGGACCATCGCGGCTCGCTAATAGGCGCCGGTCGCTGCTGCCATGACCTGTATCAAGGGACGTTTTGATAATGTGCAATGACCCTCTCAAAAGGTCTGTATCCAGTTTTGCAAACAGGGGTGCCAACGACGATTGGAGCACACCATCTCGACGAAGGTTGTGCTCAAGTACGTGAGAGTTTTGCTCGAGCTTTACTCGCCTCAGACTTCTGACGAGTCGCATGTCCTGGGAAAGCAAGCCGTAAGCTAAGGCGCTATGCACTGATGCGACGGATAACCACGGCAGAGCGTCCGTTCCCAGCTGCTGCGCAAGAGCGGTGTTTTTTGAGGCTCTTACAGCGCAGGTGGATGGTCCTGGTTTGGATCTTCTGATGCGCCCGGGCCGGTAGCGTCTTGGCTCGCCTCATACTGCTTCCAGCGATATTCTCGCTCGATGCCCATCCGCTTCTGGGCAGAGTCGCAGAGCTCGGAGTCGCCGCATGGACACTCGGCACCAGGCCTCAACCAGCGATAGGTGATACTCCAACGGTCCTCTCGCGGCCGCACAGTTCCATCGTCGAGGACGTCAGTCTTGCGCTTCTTGATGGAGTGGGTCCAATGCAGGCGGGAGTCTCCAGACATTTTCATCAGACTGCGGGGGGTCAGGTCGACGTCGACCCGGCGATCTCCCTTTCTGAATTGCATGAAGACCGGTGCGCCTATAGAGAGAGCATACAGCTGGTCATAGGTCGAATGGGTGTCGACGTGGGGTGGGATGCCGGCTCCCGGTGGGTAGTGCTGCAGACAGACTTGTTCGGGCGGACGGCCCTCATGAGTGGGTATCAGTGGCTGAAGCCAGACTGGAAACTCCTTGAAGGGAATGTTCGGATCGACGCCGAATGTCTTATAGTCAAAGGTGTAACCGAAATGGATAGAGATGCGACCGGTTCGATCAGGCCACTCGAGCTGGCGGAAGATGTCGATGAGATTTTGCTCGTGCTCCGCGGTTATGAAGTCCTGCTGCCAGAAGATACCACGTGGCTCGATGGATAGCTCCTCCATCCTGGCGAATGCTCCGCTGCTCCGTCTGCCCTTGGAGTCGAGTGACTTCCCTCTGAAGTCCGGTGAGAAGTCTTGGGAGCAGGCAAAGTGGGCTGGAGACAACATCCAAGTCCGTCTTGGCCTTATTGGCTGATCAAAAATTGGCTTGCCGCAACGTTCCTAGATACCCGAACCCTTCACAAATCGACGAGCAGCAGCCCCCCCCCCCCAATATGCACTCTCTCTTGTCGGCCAGCAGTCCGATGCACGCAACTAACACTCCAAGATCAATTATTACTGGAATACAACCACTCCTTCATCAACATCGGAACGCCCATTTAGGAATCCAGTCCCCTGGCTTAACTCAATTCCCTCTTCCCGAGGATGTCTTCGAGATAGCGGTGTTCTAGAAACCTTGGAAGCCAAGTATGCAAGAAGCCATCCCTTAGGAGGCAGTTTCAAAGAAGTCGGTTCCAAGGGGGGTATCCCATATGAGGTCATCCCATAGGATGCCATGTACACATTAGGTGGTTTGTGGTTTTGTTTCTAATCCTCATATATGTGGCGGCTTAATATAGTGGTAAACACTCGAGACCTACTAGCTAAAAAGAAATACAATGCTAATAAAAGTATATCGCGTTGAACTTTAAATGTTGAGAGATTTTTCGGAAGACACTGTCCATATCGAAGAGACAATTTAGCTACCTAGGGAAACACATACATGAAATTTGCTCATCAAAACCCACATGTCTTGTCAAACTCCAAAGCCGTAGTCATCAATCAGTCTGGAGGGTATAAACATGGTGTCAAGGGGGTGAGGAGATGTCTTCAGCCGGGCGTATTGTTGCTTAGGATTGTTCCCAAAAGTGGGCTCTTTTAATTGGCTGACGGCTCGTGGTTCTGGCTTCAGTAATGTAATACCTTTGTACGCCACGGCAAATTGCCTGACTTGGCGCATTATCCCTACCGAGGACAAATATTGTTCTAGAACTTTAGAAGTGCATGGGGAATGCACACGCCTTGCAGAAACTCCAGGTCGCCGATTTATAAGATGCCCCTCGCTTCATGAACTTTTCAGACCTCATCTATCTTTTCCATGTGTCTCGCATGATTCTGAGGACAACTTCCGTCAATCTTCATGTCGAAAAGCCCTGTACTCCTCTGCGTTGACCGTTTTCCTGAGACTGTTGCTACGAGAGGTCAAGTTTGACGGCAGTACCAGTCATCGCAGTGTCGCTAAGAATCTATACCAGAATAACGAACTCGAAATGCGCATCAGTAAGCTCCTGGCCACGGCGGGAGTCTTCGTGGCGCCTGTCTTAGCCAAAGTATTAGCTACGAAACTCAGCAGTAACCACTTGTTCCGAAAAGACAACCGGGCAAGTGTCATCAACGTACCATTGACGGACCACACGAAGAATAATGGAAAGACCGACTTGCAGTGGTATACCAAGATCTCTGTCGGCACGCCTCGTCAAGAATTGTATGTGTAGATCGCAGGCCACTAGAAAAATATAACTCGCCTACGGACTTGTAGTGTTTGGCTAATATGGAATGAGCAGCAATGTCTTGATCGATACCGGCTCCACAAGGCTGCTTCTGCCCGCGGGCAACTGCACCACCTGCGGCCAGCAAACTCTGTTCGACTTTTCCAAGTCCGCCACATTTTCATGGTCGGAGGACTCATTCGAAGAGATCGGATTCGGGACAAGCGGAGACACCATTCCGGTCTCGGGTCCCGTGCTGGCCAGCTGCGCCAATGCGAGTGACTCTGTAAGCATACAGGGTCTGACGACGGACAAATATCGATTCATCTTGTGCGATCAACAAGATGCGTCATTTAGCGACCAGGGAGATATCGATGGAATCCTGGGCCTTCCCATCGAGGCTGATAACGGAGCGGGCCCGGGACTCGAGTGGGCATTGTATGATGCAGGACTACTTGCCGATCCTGTCTTTGGCATCTACACTCCACCAGGACAGGTTACTGGCGGCCAGCTGACCCTTGGCGGGGTTGATAAAACTAAATATGAAGGGGAGCTGATCTTCCTTGAATTGAACAAAGAACTGGCAGTCGAAAGACCAACCTGGATACTGGATATCCAGACCGTCTTCATCGGCGGCGAGCAGCTCCTCACTGCCGTCGACAACAGCACGGCCAAGGTTGTTTACCCACAAGCGCTCAGTGTTCTAGACACAGGCACGGCACACATGCAGGCTCCTACTTACCAGGTCGCCCGGGATATCTACGCCACAATTTCACCCGACATCTACCAGATAGATCCTGTTGGCACTTGGGGAGCCCCGTGTGCAATAATGGAGAGCATCACTTTGGATATTACATTCCTTTTCGGCTACGATGGAGCAACGACTCAGCTCAAGGTTACTCTACCGGGCCGGTCCATCAACCTCGGCCCGTATCCCGGAAAAGAAGGGATTTGCCAGGGTGTGATTACCAACTCCCGGCGCGGTCAGGTTCACGAAGATGGTAGAGGAGTATGGGTGATTGGATCTCCCCTCTTAAAGCAGTACTACACTGCCTGGAATGGTCGGGACTTGCGGGTGGGATTTGCCTCCTTGAAGGTACGGCCGCCCAGCGAGGAGCCGCATGATTGCAGGAGAAAGAAAGCATTTTGATGAGAGTTGGAAGTTGACTTAGCACGCGATGAGAAGGACAGCTTGGGAATAACACTGGCATCGGTCCAAAGACTTTAAAAGAAATGCCGTTTTTGCATGTTCCCGATGCCAGTTGTACATATTCCACGAAGGCCTGAGGAAGAAAATGAAAATTTCCCCACCCATACACAAGTTCCTCCCGTTAGCGACCAGATACCACGTTCAAAACTCCACCATCAACGGCAATGATTTCCCCGTTGACGTAGCCGTTCCTTGCCAGGTAGAGTAGAGTCATGCCCATCTCCTCGTCTCTCCCGCCCCTCTCTGCTGGAACATGTCCCTTCTCCTGGACCTTCTCTGCAGGCAGCTCGCTCTTCTGCTTGTCGTCCGAGCTCTTTGCTGTCATCTCTGAGGGAAAGTAGCCTTTTGAGCGATTAAAAAGTCAGCAAGATCCTCATGTTTACATTCCCGCGGACCTACTGACCTGGTGCAATCGAGTTCACCCTGATGCCAGTCTGCTGGAACTCAGCAGACATGAGCTTTGACAGGTGAACTGTGGCTCCCTTGGCGGCATTGTATGAGAAGTGACCCTGAGCGTGTCTCATCAGGCCTGACATGCTCGAGATTGTAACCACACTGGGCTGGAACCGCTCCAAGGGCCCCTTTGGCTGGAGGCTTGCCTGCAGGAGCGGGAGGAAAGCAACAGTAGTGAAATAGATACTCGTCACGTCGGTCTCAAAGGTGCTCTGCCATGCCTCAACGCTCTCGTTGTCCCAGAGCTTCTTCTTGAGGTCGGAGGCGTCGACCTCCTCGGGCTCCGCCTTGGTCCCCGAAACGCCAGCATTGCAGACCAGCAGGTTGATGTACTTCTCGCCGTGCTTGGTTTGAAGGTCGTCCACGATCTTTTCGAGGTCTTCTTTCTTTCTCACATCGCATGGTCCCACCGGGATGATCTTGCCTCCAGTCGAGAAACTTGGATTGTGCTTCTTGGCAGCGTTCTCCAGCGCTTCAGTCCGCCGACCTGTGATGTACACCTTAGCGCCGTTCGCTGCTAGGGCTTGCGTTGCCATCAAGCCGATGCCAGTGCCTCCTCCCGTAACAACGCACACCCAGCCTTGTACTGAGAACAATTTGGAGATGTCGAAATGGTGGGTTTCCGCCATTTTTGCTGAACGTTGTCGATGACCGTTCCAAAGTGTTCGGTTATAGTTAAGGATCCCGAGGTCAATAAGTTGTCAAATTTCAAAGCTGGTAGACTGTAAGTCACAATGACGCGTTTTCTATGGCATGGCCTCCACTTGCTGGTAATTTCGACGGTTGAAGGATTGAGTTTAGACGCGCACAGGTGGTGGTGAGAAGCAAGAGCAGTGCCACCAGATGGTGATATGGCTGATGACGTAGTGATGTTCGAATGCCCCAGATCACCAGAGGGAACCGACATTCCACAGTTACGTCAGATCAAGGGATCTATCTCAGTCTGCTTCATATATAAATCTGCACTCTTTCGACAAGTAGCTCCGAAAATAGATAAATATTTTTGATTTAAATTTAGGAGATTTAATTTAATATTATTTAAATTAAATATATTAAATATTAAATAATTTTATATATTTTATTTAATTAAAAAGAATTATTACTTTAAAGATTATTAAAAGTAATATAATTTTACTTTTATTTTATATATATTTAAGAATATATATAACACTTTATATAATAATAAACACTCAAAACCTAATATTTAAAAGAATATAATATTAATAATAATAATTATAATATAATAAGTATTTATAGTCTTAACTTTATAATATATAAATAAAGTTAAAGGGTATTATTTTAATAATAATATTAATTAGAATTATAAATAAAAGTAATTTATAATTTAATTATTATAAAGAAGTTATATAATAAAATTAAGTTTAAAAATAGTTATTATATAAATAAATTATATTAAAAAAACTTAATTAAAAATTATCTCTTTAAATATATATATATTAATAAGACCTTTATTAAATAAGTATTATAACTTTTATTTAAATATATAATTAATTTTAAAAGAATTTAAAATAAAGAAATAATTTATAATATACTACCTTTAAAACTTTTATAATAAAGTATTAAAACTCTTAAAGAAAGTCTTAAAAGTAATTTATAAAAAGATAAAAAAAGAGTATAATAAACTTATCCTTCTTTAAATTTATACTCTTATTATTAATAATTATTAACTCTTTAATAATATAGAAAACTATCACGAGAGGGGAAATAGAGATAAAGTAACTATCCTTAATATATTAATTTAGATTAAGATGGCGCTACCTTCTATATAAGGGGAAAGGTTTGAAGGGATTGTAGGGGGAAGGTTTAAGTCTTAAAGGGTGTGGGCAAATGGGCCACACTGGATGACTAAGCAGCAGGCAGCTAGTGGGGCCCCCAGTCACCTATATACACATACTTATAAAAAGTATAATAAAAATAAAGGAAAGAGTAGATTTAAAGTTCCTCTTTAAAAGAATTATAAGGATATATATAAAGCTATTAAAGACTTTATATATAAGCTTTAAACTATTAAGGAAGAAATAAATAGTTAAATTAAAAGATAGTTATATAATATAAAGGAAAAATATAGTATAGTTAAAGCTTATTAAAAGTAATAAATAAATATTCTTAACTTTTTTTAAAACCTTTATATCTTTTATAATATTATAGAGTTATACTTCCATCTTTTATAACCGGACTTCCTTCTTGCACCGGCTAGCCTAGTAGCGAATATTATTACTTAAACTATTATTTTTAATAATACTTTCCTAAAACTATAAGGGAGCTCACCTTTTCTCTAACTTAGAAGCCTTAAATAATATACATACTAATACTAATATTAAGTGTAGGGTAAGATAATTAATAAGATAAGATAGGTTGTAAGTACTTAGAATATAAAGATGTGTTGAGAGAATGAACCCTCCATAGTGTCTAAAGCAGGGAATGATGACTTGGGGCATAGTCAGCGGCTTTCAACACTGAGAGAGCTGTCCTGATCTCGACCCGTTCCCTGTGTAGACACTGGCGATGGGGAGTCACCTAGGTCTGTCGTGTGTTGGTAAAGTGTATCTACTATGGTATAGTAAAGCCTTCACACTCCGACACATCCCATGTTCGTGGGGCAATGTCGTCAAAATTTTGAGGATCTTGCCTAACTACGGTGCATTAGTCAAAGTGGTGCGGCAGTGCGATTGTACACTTTTTTGACGTGCATGAGATGGTGGAGCACCACCCACTTTATCGTGGTGTTGGTTGTGCGGTTGCAACCAGTCGACGCCCGGGCCAAGTTCGAAAACTCACATTCGTGGAGCGGGGAAACTTCAAGGAGAAATAAATGGACTATCGACCCCAGAGACCTGAACATGACACTCCAGTCCAGATGTGACTACCACTGTTCGATCGTTCTTCCATCTTTGATCCCTCACCATGGCGGCTAACCAAGAAATGCGCGCGGTCTCGTGGGCCGACTTACCCAGCCGTCTGATGAACCTCGTTGTACTCATCCTGGCTGTCCGTTTTGGTCTCTTTCTGTACAATGGCTGGCGTGTGCGGACTAGATTTCGAAAGCTTCAAAGTGAAGGCATAGTAAGGAAATGCGCCCGTTCGGCGGAAGGCGAGAAGGCTAACAGGCTGTAGGCTATCACTCCCGAGCACTCGCTCGTTTTAGGTATGTTGAACTACCGAGGGAAATAGAGGCAGCCGTGCCTCTTGTGGAGGTATGGCTTCTTATTTAAATGCTGACTTCCTGGTTCCAACATGTAAAGGACACCTCATGCTTCTCAAACGCGTCCGCGAGCTGTATCCCAAAGACTCCGCGAGCACCTATGCAACCCGGCATATAGTCATGAACTGGCAGGAATACTTCCCCAAGTTGACTAGTTGTCCACCCGTCATCTACTTGGATTTCTGGCCGTTCAGCAGCGACCCGGTCGCAATCATAATAGATCCTGTAATGTGCCAGAATGTCACTGCAGACCGATTCCCCATCCGTCACGAACAGGGAAAGTATTTGGCATGGACTATGTCTGGTCCTCGAAACCTCTTCGCTTTCGATGGAGATGACCACAAACGTTGGCGCGCCAGACTGAACCCAGGTTTCAGTGCCCGGAACCTTCAGTCCCATGTCGCCGGAGGTCAAATTATCGACGAAGTATTGATCTTTGTGGACCGCTTGAAGAAAAACGCCGGCGAAGATGGGAAACTGGGCGAGGTGTTCCAGCTGTTGCCACTGGCAATTGATCTGACATTTGACATTATCAGTAGGATCGTTTTGTGAGTTTGCTGCTCGCCATCAAGTCCGACTCGGAGCTGACATACGTCTGTAGAGATTTCAGCCCAGGGGAGCAGGTAAATGGGCCGACAGAGATGCAGAAGGCCTTTCGCATAATAAGCCAACATCTCGTATTCAAGAGCTGGGCAAGTCTTCACAAGCGTCTTAACCCCCTCTGGCAGCTCTCCCTCTGGAAGTCCCACCGTACATTGCGACGCGTGGTGCTGCCACATATACAGAAGCACATGAGAGTGCATACCCTCGTGAAGGACTCGGCGTCACAGAGGACAGTCCTTGACCTCGCCCTCAAAGAGGTTGAGCTGGAAAGCCCAGGAGCTGAGCCCAGCGGACAGTTTATCGAGGATGTAGTAGGGCTAACCAAGCAATTCCTGTTTGCGGGCCACGACACGACAGCCATCAATATATGCTTTGCTTATCACTTCCTCCACAAAAAGCCTGATGCACTTGCTCGGCTCAGGGATGAGCATGACGGCGTCTTTGGAACCGATCCAACCCAGGCAGGTGACATTCTACGGCACTCCCCACACCTCCTCAACTCCCTGCCCTTCACTACCGCAGTGATTAAGGAAACCCTGCGCCTTTGCCCCGTGGCAGCGAGCATTCGAAAAGGGCACCCAGGCTACACCGTGCGGAGCAACGACGGCGTGGAATATCCCATGGATGGCTTTATTGTCACTACCGGAGTTGCCTGCATGCAATACAGCTCAGAAATGTTTGCTAGAGCGACAGAGTTTCTCCCTGAGCGGTGGGAGGCACCTGCAGGGGATCCACTGCATATCAAGGACGAAGCCAAATATGCCTGGCGTCCCTTTGAGTGGGGCCCCATGAGCTGCATAGGCATGGAACTCGCGATGGTGGAGCTCAAGATGACTCTGGTACTTTCCATTAGGGAGGTGGAGGTGATTACTGCCTTGGAGGATTGGGATCAACAGCAGTAAGTAACCGTCTCTATCCACTCAAATGCCTACTGCTAATTGTTCATAGTGGAAGAGACAGTGGGATGAGGCCGGCACTGTTCGGCGACAAGATCTTCCAGGGTGCCGTTGGTCTGGGACCCCCGACCGAGTCCTTACCAGTACGCACCAGAATTTTGAGCCAAGAATGAGATTGCTTTTTGGTGTATGGAATTTGAGGAGCGGGCTCACATGAACTCGTTCTGACTGATACATCAAGGGTTATCGTTGAATGAGGATGAATGAAGATGGCCTCGCCAACTTAGTCTAAAACTTCAATTGCAAACTTCCCAAAAAATGCTAAGCCTTTCTTCTATCTCCCAGAGTTCCAAGGTCGCCAGCCACCAAGACTGTTCTAGCGACCGTTATGCTTGCTTAAATTTGCGCTAGCATCTCAATTGGCCATGGTCGTTGCCCACGCAGTCGTCTACCAGCAGAAAATAGATGTGTTAATTGCAGGTTGGATCAATACTACCACAAAGCGGGAGCTAGGGGAAATGGAAATTATCTTACTGAGGTTCTTCGCCACCCGAGAGTATATGCCATAGTTTGTGTCACAGCTGCACTCCATCCATGCGGGCTCGTGAATAGCACTTTGGGTGAAGGTGCAGTCCCAACAAGTGCTGAGATACTTGTGATTGGAGCACTGCCAGCCTGTCAGTCAGAACCAGATTCGGTAGTCAAGCACGATAATTGAGAACATACCACGAGCTGGCCTTGGACATTGCCAATACAGTCGTTTAGATCTAGGAGTGAGACGACAGCATCCCGGGAGCAGACAGCGCTGATATTTCTGTGTTCCTCGCCGAAGGAGTAGATGCTTTCGCAGGAAAAGGTGAAATTCTGGTACGAGCCCAAGTTCGCAGCTACAAGGCTGAAGAATAGCGACAAGAAGGTCAGAGACGACATCATGCGTGAGGTATCCTGCTTAAGTATGGATTGGGGGACTGAGTAGTAGGGCTCAAGTTGTTCTGCGGGTAAGAGTGTGGAAGTTTTGAAAGAATGCAGATGGAGTAGGCATGATCAGTGGAGGGCTACCAGTGAACCAAGTGAATCATACGGTGGGGTTTTGTGTCACAGTTCTTTGTGACTTTGGGGAAGTGTGTTGGCTCTTCATCTTCTCTCTGTTGCTCCACTACGAACCAACCGTTCCAATGGCCCTCGTCACATGGTTACTCACTGCCTTTGTGATATCTGCTTGGGGCGCCAACTTTACAGCCCAAGATTTTGAAATATACAACAGAAAGCAGTCCAAATCAAGAATAATTATCTCAAATTGTCCTTCCCGAGCACTTTTAGACAGTTGGATGTCGAATGGCCCTGCTCGTAACTCGGAGATTGGTCCTGCTAACCCTGAAGTGTGCCCAGGTAGACATTAGGCAAGGTTTAGTAAGAACTGCGGCGCCAACGCCGTCGTCAAGACAGTGCCCCTTAGCTTTATCTATACATCGTAAGGCTGAGGCTATAAGTGCTATCATATTATAACTATTATTATTGATATCATATCCTTTTAAGCACTAGGTCTTGAGCGCTTACTACCATATGAAGGCGCCATGTATGCTCTTGGACGTATACGAAATAGAAGTAAAACCACCTATAAAAAAACAAAAAAAGCAAAACTTAATTTCATGTCTATTTACCACCCACACTACCTAGGTATGTATTCTCTATGACCTAGACATTTTCCGCCTTGACGAACGAGACTCCAGACTGCGGAAGCATCACTCCAACGTGCATCATCACCCAGAGAACGACGAACAACCCAACCCAGTGAAGTAGACCTCTACCTATTATAAAGCGTTTGACCATTTTCATGGTCTTCTGGTCATTGATCCTTGGATATGGGGTCCGCGGAGTCTTGATGCCCAATAATTCGCAGATGGGTTGCCAACCATCCTCCGCCTTGAATTCAAGAATCTTCCTACCCCTCTTCCTGGCCTCATCTCTCACCCATTCATTGTGCTTATCGTAGATCGGCTGGTCGCGGAACGTCAACCCCCATCTCTCCATATATAGGTCATCCACAGCCTTCATCATACCCATCATGGCCCTGTCAGACCTAACGAGGAAGGTAGCGACCCAGAAGAGCCAGGAGTCAAAGAAGCGCAGCCCTTCCGAGAAACTGGTATACCAAGAAGCTGCGCCGCCAGATCGCACATTTAGCACGATAGCTGCGTCAGGGTAAAGGTCCATCAGGTCGTCGGCAAAGGTGATGGAGGGGAAGTCTGCCGTGGCGGCAAAGCCTGCGAACAGCTGGCTGAGTATCTTGCGGCGCTTCGTCGTGTCCTTCTCCTGGGCGGCAGCTGTGACGAGGCGCTGCCGCTCGGCACTGGGTTGGACATGCGCCCTAGTGGTGAAGTTAGTCCTGCTACGGGTCCTAAAGTGTTGTATTCTAGAACATTCCAAAAGGTGAAAGACGGGGATCCGTAAAAGGTGAAAAGTGATGCTTACATGTGCATGCAAGGGGTGAAACCAAGAGTCTCGAGGGCCGCTTGCAGGGACGATGTTGCGCACCGTGGGAGCCCGAGGGCTAGCACTTGTGGGTGGGTAGAGGATCCGTTGAGCTCCTGGGCGGAGACTGTCTCGTGAACAAAACGAACCATGGTGATCGCTTGAACAAAGTTCCGAGGTACTAGGAGAAAGGTTTTAGTCCAATATCGTACGAAAATAAGGTGTCTGTAGAATCTATTGTCTTTTGGTTGCCTTCCAAGCCTCTAAAACACCGATGTATGTGATGCATTCAAATAATCGACACTTTTTTGAAATCACGAGCTGTAGGTATTATAGCCTCCAATGTTCCCTACTTTATCCATACAGTCCGGAACTTCCCCTTCGGTGATCCATTAGCTTAACTTTGAATGATCAGCAGAAGTCGTCGGGAAGGATATGGAGTAAAATGCTTCTTCTACTGCAAGTTTCTCGGCTGCCAAGACTTTTGCTTAGACCGGAGGTGGTCTCACATCGCCCAGAAAATGAAGTCCGAAGGATGTTGGATGCAAGTCGGGCGATCGACAGTCTTAGCAGTAATCCCTCTGACTGGGTGTTGCCATAATTGGCTCCCAGAGAAGGTTAGTTCAAGGGCCTTCCGGTCTTATTACATCCAGCTCAGCAGTTCGTATAAGTCACTGGTGGATCCTGTCATACTGACGCTTATTACGGAGTAGAGCTGGCACCGCAGGAACGACAATGCAACAAGATCAGACGAACCAGTCAGGCAAGACATATGTACCTAGGTACGGTTCACAACTCCGTCCGATGTAATCTAGGTCACTGGTGTCATTACAGAAGGTCATTCCACGGGGAGGAAGCCTATAGGACAGGCAGGCAAAGGCGATTCCTCACCGAAGGAAACCAGCGCGGGGACATCCGACTGAAGTAATTTAGTGTGTGTGTGCGCATGTGTGTTATTAGTCCAATCCTTGGCCCGAAGCATCATCCGTTGGTGTGAACACCTGACTATACATCTGGACGCCATCATGTCTTTGTCAGAAAAGGCCTGGAGATGATGTTAATAAGAGACACCGACTCCCGCTCTCAAGGCATATAAGAGCCGGTTACGGTAGTCAGCCGACTTCCGAGCCGATATTGATCGTCTAAGAAGGGCTGACAGGACCCAATCAGGTGTTGCTTCTTAGGCGCGCCGAGATGCGGCTGTGATGCAAGGTGGCTGTGGTGCAACAGCGACTGCCCGCTTTGTGGTATAGCATTCGGTCCGTTGGATACTAATATGCGAGATGATTTATACTCTGATGCGTCGGTGAGACTTGGAGAGAAGCAGCAGACGGATATTACTCTCAAACAATTGACTTGAGGGGGCCGCTCACGAGACCTTGCTTTCCAGAGAAAGTATGACAATCTTCTCACCGATATGCCTAGGGGTAGTCAGCTAGTCTCACGAAACCCGTAATTTGCCCAGAGAGTCTGTGGGTGCGATCATCTACGCGCTAGACCTAGGCGACGAGCCTATCCTGGTTGGAAGCCTTGGCTTGCATTTCAGCAGCGAGCCCCAGACCTCTACCGTTCCACGACCAGAACCAATCGGGTCAATGATGGGATGGACGCACCTGTATTGCGGTCACCCGGTCTAGACACTGATGTATGAGATTCGGTGATCAGTGGCATCTTCCACTAGCCGACGAGAACTCGATCTGGTTCGGGGAGTCTGATCTGCGAACCAGTAGCTCGATCCGGTGGAGAACTACGTATGTAACAATTCCGAGGAACTTTGGGAAATCAGTTGGGCTCTATTCAACTAGCGACTCTGAATTGATATCAGCATGTGTTCTTTTACAGAAGAAGACACAAAAACCGCTGGATGTTGGAGAATTGCTCACTGTACTGCATGACGTGAGCGCATTTGCTCCGATGTCATACGCCTTCGGTTGTATGCGGATTAAGAACGAAACCACACACCACACCACTAAACCAGCTAAGAAATCGCCCCTGAAGTATTCTCTTGATCCTATCCACTTTACAGTTACGTCCTATTCCTCAAGTCTGTTCGCGTACCCAGCGCTTTTCTTGATCTTGACTTCTGTCGGAACTGCCGGTGATTTCAAGCCGCTTGATCATCCTTCTGATGATTCACCAAGGGCAGACGAAGGATCGTATTAATGAGGTTGACATGAGTTAATGCCCCGGACGGTGACACTAGATTCATGTGGGTGTGCTTGAGGTTGTTCCATGCCCTGTAGCAATAGCTGAGGTGACTGATCTGAGGTCGATATCGGCCTCTTAAACCAGAGGGTCTGTGGCACTGGAGGTATCTCGCAAAGGCTTTGTCCTTGCGTCAGGCCTACTAGTTCTCTGTTGATAGTTCACGATTTACGCGATAGCTCACGCACCTGGTTACCAGGAAGATGCTCCAAGATGTGGACATTTCATCATTGAGGTTGAGAGCATTGTCTTTTCCTTGTGCACTGTCGTCCGGCCTGTGCGAGCCATTAGGCCATATAATGATGCAGCTAAGACATGTTTGTAGTGCCGGATGTCAGAGTGTCTGCCCAGCTGTGCTTTGCTTTCCCTGAATTGTTTTCAACTGTCGAGAGGCTTCTATTTGTGAAAGTGTTGGTGGTTCTTACTTCTTCAATGGTGCGACTAGTCGGCTTCACCGAGCTCCATATCTACCTGAGTATGTACTGAGAACACATATAGAGACTCACTATGGGTATCATTGGGATATCAAATAGACCGTACACTCCCTTCCCTATATTCGTTGTTCAAAGATCCATCTTGATCTGTGGCTTATTCGCGCCGTCAAAACCGAATCTGAATGTACTGTTGTTTCTTGGAAATGCACATGGAACAGCAAAGCAACCGTGTGGCCCCAGATGCATAGTTCCAGCCTTGGCCCATTTTACTTCGGCGACGTGCTGGAGAAACCTCCAATGCTCTACACCTAAGCTTATGGAAATTGAGAAAAGGCTGACATTACGGCTCATCAGAGCCGTTTCACTAGCATGGCTAATTGCCCTTATATGAGGTAGCGATGACCTGCCCAGGTGGGCTTATATGCTGAGACTTGTTTCAAACGTTTGTTCGCCGCCTGCACCGGCTGTGATTTCACATGCGACATTGATGCTAACTACATTCTACTAGGTTGTTCTCAGAGGACGGTCTACAACACAGTCTAGGCGAGTAATTACTATGTATATCTTCATTAAGTATCTGCATTGAAAACTAGAAAGCGCTATATTATCCTCATATTCTGGTCATTATGCGCGGCACATCCTGCCGTTGGCGGCAACAGTCCAGGAATCACTGCCCACGGTCTTAAGCGCGTAGAACAAGCCTGCAGGGTCCCACTTGCGTTTGATCTGGAGGAGGCGACCATAGTTACCGCCGAAGAACTTCTCTTTCCAGCCGGCGATGTTGAAGTCGACCTCGTTGATGTAATTGCCTCCTCCCGGAGTCGCTGCCTCAATGGGTGGAATGATTTCGTCAGTCATGGCTTTTTGATCTGCGAGCATCTTGTCCCAGTCTGCTGGGTTATTGCTCCATGCCGTTGAATACTGCACGTGGAGGGTGGCTTTGCGGAAGTATGGGTTCACAGCGTTGGAGACGCCAGCAGGGGCGCTTGCGTTGAAGGCTGTTCCCGCGGCAAGCACCCCATGATTGTCGGCACCAGAGCGGATGGCAGCGATGTATTTGGCGCGAGAGTCTGAGTTGGCGAGGATATCGCGAGGGACTAGACGGGACCCGAAATTGTAGGACTCAACCTCGACGTGGCCGTATGGAAGAGGGCCCATCCATTGGTTGTAGTGATCGCGGTAGCTTGTGAAGTTGGTGGCAGACAGGGCGTACGGGATGGATAGGTTGGCAAGAACGTCAAGGAATGGGTTGAGAATAGCCTGTGCCTGTTCGGCGGTCTTGTTGTAGGCCGTCAGAGGGTTGATAGCAAAGACGGAGCTCCCGTAAATGAAAACAACCATAGCGCCCTGATCGGTCATGCCTGGGAGTAGTCCATGGAAAGCATCCAGCATTTGCCACCACTTGTCCTGGGTAGTATAAGAGGCCGCGGTCTGCAAGCCCACGCCCCCAATGATGGGTGCCTCGGGGTAGGCTCGAACGGTGACAGAGGCGACAACACCAAACGTGCCAGGGCCACCTCCACTCAGAGCCCAGAAGAGGTCGGCGTTCTTAGTACGGGAGGCAGTGACAATCGACCCGTTTGCGGTGACCACCTCGTACTCGAGAGCTTGATCGGCGGCCATACCGAAGTTAGTTGTTAGGGCCGAATGGCCACCACCTTGGATGTATCCACCTGCAGGGCCGACAGTAGGGCATTCGCCCCCGACGACGACAAGGCCTGCGGTCTTGCCAACCTCAGTGACCTCGTAACCGAGAACTCCGGCACCCATTTTGATTGCGGATCCTTTCCAGAGGTCGTCAGACCACTTGGTCACGGTGATCTCCTTGAGCTTGTGCGTCCATGCAGCGAGGGCTCCTGCACCGGTCGACCGGCCAAGGTGGCTAGATTCACACCAGTCAGACGGAGTTGCCACAGGTTAGGCGAGGGAGAGGTCTCGCTTACTCATGACCAGTATTTCGGACCAGGAAGCGAATGTTGTTGTCCCGCGCAAATTTGACAGTCTCCGCGATGTCCTGAGCAGATGTCACCTCAACGGCGTAGCTGACATAGTTTCCCAGCTGACAAGGGGTGCTACGATCTGTGAACGGATCACAAGACTGGTTCGCAAAGTAGGACTGCATTACGGAGGATGATGATGGGAAACTAGACTGGGCTTAGACTTGTCGCTTCGTAGCTGTATGTACGTGAACTCACTGTGTCTCTGGAAGAACCCAAGAGTCGCGCAAAGCCGTGCAAGCGGCCTCGTCGTATGTTGGATCATGGCACACGGAGCCGATAGGAACGGTGGCAATCAGCTTGCCACCGACGGTGCTGTTCAGGCGATCCCATGAGAACTTCGTTGGCCAACAAGCATCGCCCGGCAGACAACGACAGGTAGCACCAGGAGCACGGGTTGTAACGAGTCCGGCGGCGGCGAAAGGTGTGACAGCAATGGCAGCTGCCGCCGCGGCGAAGGTTGCGGACTTCATATTCCCGAATCAAAAGAATGTGTGAGCCTGATGATAAAAGGCAGGGAAAGAGAGAAGAGGTGGGCTGCAGAGACAACGGCTCATCCCAGCCTGACGACAAGAGACGCCATGGTGTGGATGTCTTTATATCGAGGGACACCGGTGGCGACGGCGAGGATGCGGACGTCCAGACTTGGCCGTGAGCCGTGGATGAGGAGCAAAAGCGCCGTTAATCTCCCTACTAGTGACATCGCCTCCTGTATGGTTTAGGAGTGTCGCGGTCTTACAGCACCGCTTTAGGCTTCTGGTCCGCGAAGTGTGCCAGAGCGGGACCATGTAGCCGAAGATGATCTCCCGCAGTCCCTCGCCGACCAGGGACCAGGGGTACAAAAGCTGCATCCACCGGCGCTGCCCAGGTGCTTAATTCTCCGCCCTGGGCGGAGATTGCCACGAGCGCCAACAAGCTTGAACCCATGACGGCAGGGACGGATAGCACATGGCACGATGGTTGATGGGCGACAGCGGGATCTATACAGAAAAGGGAGATGAGACGAGGATTGCGGTCCATAGTCAGGGTCGAGGGGCCGAGGCTATCGGCCAAGAAAGGCAGCTCTGCCATGGCATATGCCCCATAAGAAGGGCCCTGAAGGATCGTGAGCCTGACAGCGGCCCCGTCCGGGGACTCTGCGTCGACTGTATCCGGGCCGTCCTCATTATCCCCCGGCCCTGGAGGTACGCCGAAGCAGCCGATCCCTTCCAGATTCCCAAGATAGCGAGCCCAGTCGTCGTGCTAGCCGTATTGCGCATTCGCAGCATGGGCCAAAGAAATGTGAGCCTGCCTGCCTGCTCGGTCAATATCGGTTTGTGAGGTAGGTGTCTCCTATCCCTCGACGTCCTAGTCCCATGGAACCCCCTCTTTGACCTGCACAGCCCCCGATATGAAGCCCCTCGGCAGTCTCCTGTGGGAGGTATATCTTGAGCAGGCCCTGAAACCTATCGAGCCCTTCACATTCTTGATGGTATCCACAGGTTGGTTGGTTCCCATTGTGTTCCTAGGAGATAAGAGACAGCCACTTCCCGTATGCAAGTGTTGTGTGTGACAGAGATAGGCGAGGAGACTGCACGCAGTGTGCATGCAGTCGAAGGAGACGTCAGCGTGAGAGAGCGCCATCACTGTGGGACGATCTGAGTGCCGACTGCTCGGGCGCGAGTGGAGTGCCCCGAGTGCACGGTTTGGAGCTAACAGGCGCGCCGGGGCACTGCAACCCAGCCACGGGTGTTCGTCTTGGCCTCTTGAAGGAGGGGGAGGTTGAGGAGAGAGGGGCAAGAGGGGGTTGGATCTGATGCCACGCTGATGGGTGTCAAGTTGGGGACAGTGCTCACCACGCCGTCTGGTCGCCCGCAGTAGGGGGTTATTTATTGGTAATGTCGCAGCGTGCTCTGTCTGTCTGGGCTGGGGACGCTGGGACGGTAGGATGCGGCTCCTCCAAGAGTCTCCAACCCTACTATGTAGTACCTCCCTGTGAACGATCAGGGGTTGCCAGATTTGCCGCCTAGCACTTTAGAGTGCGCAAGCGCACCGTGGTTGATAGCGGCTGGAGGCACAGGGCAGATTCGAAACGGGGTTTGCGTGGCACAGCCGTTGGCGGTTACGGAGAGGGTCGCACATCCAAATGTGCTGGCTTGCGGGCCACCCAACCTGTGACCCGCCAGCCCGACATAGGTGACTGACGACCATCAACTCCGCACTCAGAACTCTCCCAAATCATCACACTCGTCCGTAACCATCATCGACCCTGTGCAATCTGTCGCCGCCATCAGCGAAAGGAAATTCGGGGCAGGATCCTCTCTCGACCTCAACTCAACGCTCACGCTGACGCCGTCTGATACTCGGGGAATCGAGCGACCCGCCGTTGCGCCTGCGCCTGCGCCTGCGACTGCGACAGAAACGGCACAGGTGGCTTTGCTAGGCGGAAGCCCAGCAGCAGCACACAGGAGATCGACCAGGCAGTACTGTACTGTACTCCTTACTCCGTAGGGACGTCATTTTGTTGCGGCTTATCATTACTGTGGTCCTCCAGAACGCACTTGTTCCAAGGTGCCAAAGCCCAACATTGAACCCGGCCCCCCGAGAGATCCACCCGAGGACACTACGCCTTCGTCATACTCGGCCTCTTGGACCGCTCTCGTTTTTTTAATTATCCTACCTCAGCCCGGCCACCTCGTCCTCCTTTCAAGATGACTTGGGAACTCACACGCCGACGCTTCACCCGCGCCATCAACAGCAAATATCTCTTTGACCGTGTCGTATGTCTTACCCTGGCCGTCTCCTTCCTGTCTGGGTGCACTGGCGTCTCTGACTCGCTGTCGTCATTTTGACCACAACCGCCTTGCGCTCACCCTGCTGCTGTCCTGCCTGCCGTCCTGCTTCATCTACCCTCTACCCAATTTCCCATCAACACAAACCTCTGAAAGAAAACCTTGGATTGGAATTCAAGACTGACAGTTTATTCCGTATCCATCCGCATAGCCTCTCCTACATGCCATCATCTTCCTTATCGAGATGACCCTCGTCGCTCGCCTCGTCGCCAGGTACAATGCCTTCTATGCTGAACGACCGGGTATGTACCAGCCGTGCCATTCATCGCCGCGAACCCCGCCCATCAGCTACAACCCCCTGGGCCTGTCCAACCACAATGTCGGCCTCAATGCGGGAAATCACACTGACAGTACCCAGTCCTCACCATGATGGTGACAAACGCCGTCCTGGGAGGTATCGCCGACACCGTCGCACAGTCAATCACCGCTGTCCGCCAGCGCGCCCTTAGGAAGGCCCCCGTTTCCCCGGGCGCGAGGGAGACAGCCTACGAACTGGACGTCAAAGATCCGATTACCGAGCGCGAGCTGATCCCCGGTTCCAAGGCCCTGCCGCCGCCATTTGATTTCGAGCGCCTGACAAGGTTCATGGCGTACGGTTTCGCCATGGCCCCCCTGCAGTTCAAGTGGTTCAGCTTCCTGTCGAGGACCTTCCCTATCACCAAGACTAGTGCTTTTGGGCCTGCTATGAAGAGGGTCGCCTTTGACCAGATCATCTTCGCCCCGTTTGGTACGTGCCTCCAGTGAACAACACCGACTGCCCGGCGGAGATGGTTGCATGATCTCGAGAGGAGCTTCATTCCTGGCCTGGCCTTGCGCATGGTACTAACAACGCCGTAGGTGTTGCCTGCTTTTTCACCGTCATGACTGTTGCCGAGGGTGGCGGCCGTCGTGCCGTCATGTCGAAGCTTCGTGACATGTACGTGCCGACTCTCAAGGCCAACTACGCAGTCTGGCCTGCCGTTCAGGTTATCAACTTCCGTCTGATGCCTGTCCAGTTCCAGCTTGTAAGTGCCATTCCCCCGTTAACACTTCTCAAGCCACTGTGCGGATTGCTGAGCTGTTCGTCTAGCCCTTCGTGTCTACCGTCGGTATCGCCTGGACTGCGTACCTTTCGCTCACCAACGCTGCCGAGGAGGCCACACAGCCAAACCCAGCCGCACTCAGTCCCAACAACATTCGCTTGGAGTAGAATAGGAATGGCCCCGTGAGATCGAAACAGGGTTTCCTTTTTCTTTTTTAACCCGGTGCTCTCAGTTGTGGTGCATCGTACATAGAATCTGGCCGGGGGGAGGGCTTCTCGGGCATTGTTTGCGGCGTTGGTCTACTGGGATTTCAAAGATGAGATTCCCGTACTTTTGTACTTTGGATCGACTTTATGGCGTTGATAGGACTGCGTTGAAGTACTAGAAATACGAAGTATCGTTTCTCGGCATACGGGGGATTGCCCTCGCGACGAAGCGAACGTGCGTGGTCGAGGCAGTGTCCGACAGTTTCAAGCAAGGTTCGGGTGCAAAACCCTGTGTTGACGCCAACGTTCAGGCGTGCTCTGGGTTATTCTGTCAGGGGCTGTCGCTCAGAGGCCGAGAACCTGGCTCTGTGTGTCGACTGTTTATCCACTCTCAAGAGCCTGTCTTAGATGAATTGCATGTTCAAAACACGAGATACAAAGGCTAAAAATTTGCCAAGTCAAACGGTATCGGACCTTCTGAGTCTGACAACTCAACGGCGAGAAATATCGCGCATGGAACGATCAGGAGAGCTCACGTCACCGGGAGCTCAGGTACTGCCCCTCCATAGCACCCCTCACCCCACCCAACGGCCCTTCAAAACCCAACCTTTCCCGCCGTCTCCTCCCACCAAGACATCGCCCGTACTCAAGCCCTACACATCTACCTGCGGACCTCTCGCTCACTGACACCCCCCTTCTATTCACCTCCGTCACCAAAAGCTTTTCTGCTGAGTTCAATTGATACCCCCGTTTAACGCCGCAAACATGTCTCTGTCCAGCAAGCTCTCCATCACCGATGTCGACCTGAAGGGCAAGCGGGTCCTGATCCGGGTAAGCTTTGACTGTTCTCTCAGCAATGTGCCGCGGCCATCTTCTACTCCTGGCCTTCTCTATCCGATGGGACTGGCCTGAACGGGGCTTTTAACCAGTCGCCGGTCATATTGGCCGCCTCGACAGATGTAGAGCTTGTCTTGGAGCTCCAGACTGTCCCCGGATAGTTCAAGCTCGGTGGGGGGGGGGGCACGCCGAAGCCCAAAATATCTGGCTCTGGAATCTTACGCTGACTTGCACGCTCAAACAAATTAGGTCGACTTCAACGTCCCTCTTGATGCCGACAAGAAGGTGACCAACAACCAGCGTATCGCCGGTGCCATCCCCACCATCAAGTATGCTGTGGAGAACGGCGCCAAGGCCGTGGTGCTCATGTCCCACCTCGGCCGTCCCAACGGGAGCCCCAACCCCAAGTACAGCCTGCAGCCCGTCGTTCCCGAGCTCGAGAAGCTTCTGGGCAAGTCTGTCACCTTTGCCCCCGAGTGCGTCGGCTCCGAGGTCGAGGCCATCGTAAACAAGACAGAGGGCGGCGGCGTCGTGCTGCTGGAGAACCTCCGCTTCCACATCGAGGAGGAGGGGTCTGCCAAGGACAAGGACGGCAACAAGACCAAGGCGGACAAGGAGAAGGTTGCCGAGTTCCGGAAGGGCCTCACGGCGCTTGGCGACGTCTACATCAGTAAGTTGATGATCCTGGCAACCTGTGTCGAGTCCGAGCACTAACAACAGCCTCAGACGACGCCTTCGGTACTGCCCACCGCGCACACTCCTCCATGGTCGGTGTCGACCTGCCACAGAAGGCTGCCGGTTTCCTGATGAAGAAGGAGCTGGACTACTTCGCAAAGGCCCTCGAGTCCCCGCAGAGGCCCTTCCTGGCCATCCTGGGTGGCGCCAAGGTGTCTGACAAGATCCAGCTCATCGACAACCTTCTGGACAAGGTCAACACGCTCGTGATTGCTGGCGGCATGGCCTTCACCTTCAAGAAGACCCTGGACAACATGTCCATCGGCAACTCGCTGTTTGACGAGGCCGGCTCCAAGACCGTCCCCCAGCTGGTCGAGAAGGCCAAGAAGAACAACGTCAAGCTCGTCCTGCCCGTGGACTTTATCACCGCCGACAAGTTCGACAAGGACGCCAACACTGGCACCGCTACGGACAAGGAGGGTATCCCCGAGGGCTGGATGGGTCTGGACTGCGGCGCCGAGTCCGTCAAGCTGTACAAGGCCGCTATCGCCGAGGCCAAGACCATCCTCTGGAACGGTCCCGCCGGTGTGTTTGAGTTTGACAAGTTCGCCAGTGGCACCAAGGCCACCCTGGACGCCGCTGTGGAGGGCGCCCAGGCCGGCAAGATCGTCATCATTGGCGGTGGCGACACGGCAACCGTAGCTGCCAAGTACGGCGTCGAGGACAAGCTCAGCCACGTCTCAACAGGCGGCGGTGCCAGCTTGGAGCTGCTCGAGGGCAAGGAGCTGCCCGGTGTGACCGCCCTGTCAAGCAAATGAAGATTCTCTGAGGCACATTGGGTCCACCACGGCAAAGTGCCAGGTCGGGTGATGGACAAGGCCAGTCTTTAGTTTGATGACTTCCAGGGTAAAAAGTAAACATAATAGAATGTAAAATGTGTCCCACGTTGTTTATTGTAACGCCAAGCCCTGTTGTGATTTGAGAGTACGTATGAGCCATCCCTAAAGTCATGTTTCGTCTGCTTGCCATCGAGTGTAGCCATCGAGTGTAGCCATCGAGTGTACCCTATGGTGTCAAGCTGTGCCCACTGGCCGCACACTCAAGAAAGTTATCATTGCCCAATGCCTCCTTGACGAGAATCTGAGCTCGTTCGGATTCTAAGACTCTCCTGCCTGCGCCCCATCATGTGGGTTGTCCACCATAACATAATCATCAGCAGCGCCATCACCACCGTTCGCCGAGGGAGTGCCGTGTTCTGAGCCGACGATCTCCTAGGTCGTGCTAGCTTCACTGTCACTCTTCACCGAGCCGCCGCCGCCGTGCTTTCCGGCAAAGGTTGCTGGTGCGCCCGGTTCCTCCCGAGTCGTCGCCTGGCCCGTGGCGCATGTCCCCTATCTACGGCGCTTGGACTCCTCGACCTTCTTGAGCTCTTCCCTGTGGAGTGAGGAACAGTTGTCAGCTAGCTGTACCGCATGGACAATGATGGGGGCGGGCAGATGTCCCGGGGCGGAAAAGGGCGGGGTGGTGTACGTGCCGGATGCATGTATACATGCAACCGGGTGTAAGGCTTGATTGGTTGCGGCGGCTTGACGTACTTGAGTTGCTGGGAGAAGTCGTCGCTCGTGTCGTCGTCATCCCAGGACTCCTCCCACAGGTGCTTGGTCTCGCTGTTGTTGGCAGCCTCGGTATCCTCTACGGACCAGTCTGTTTGGGGGGACGGGGGGTCAGCCATGAAAGTGCTCTCAGAGGATAGCAGGCGGGGCGTGGTGAGCAGGCTGGCGCATACCCTCGACCGGGAAGTCCTCAAACTCATCATCCTCCTCGAGGGCGGCGGCCGACTTCTGCTGGGTCTCCTCAGGCTTGGCCTCGTTGGACGTCGGCTTGTCGTCCTTCTTGGGTTGTGATGATGCCATTGTTGTTGGTGGTAGTCTCGTAAAATGGCTGGCGAGGAGAGGATTCGTTCGGGGGCGCCGGGTGCGAGTGCTGTGTACGGTATGAAAGGCGAAGAGTTGCGCTGGTAACAGGACGTCGGTAGGGTGGGTGGAAGCTGGGCAGATGGCATGGCCTGGAGGGGAGCTGTGATCAGAAGCGTAGCTCGACAGGGCCCCAGGCTGCTTGCTGATGCCGTAATGTGTGGCGCGGGCGCGGCCTGTGGCTGGTAAGTGGTGTCTGGGTACCTAAGTACTTACTCTACGGAGCACCAGTAGCGTCTGTAGCAGGTGCCTGGATGGGATGTAACGCTAGGAGATAGACTACCACCGCCTGGAAGCAGGACCGGACCCGGGCCCCCAGGCCACCAGGCCACCAAGCTACCAAGCTGGCAGGCTGGCTGCAGCAAGTGTCATGTCAGCAACCGCCTCTCCATCAGCCTGACGGGGGCCGGAGTTACCGGGCAGCCCCAAGAAGGGGAATTCTGCCTCGCCATGGGAGAAGATCCGAAGCTAACACACGCTTCTGGCAAAGGTCCAGGGACTGACATGGATAAAGGGCCCGAGACCGAGCACGGGTTACGCATTACAAAAGTGGCTCGTCTCTTCCCTCACGCTGACCAACTGATGAATGTTTCTACAGCGTACTTCCTTCACCCTCCACCTCCGGCTGGGTTCCTGTTTCGCTCTTGCAACAGGCGAGTCAGAGCCAGCCCGGCATCCACCTCACAAGGCTGTCTTGTCCTGTCTTGTCTTGTCTGTCTGCCGAGGCCAGCGTCCACAACTGCCACTGGTCATTGCCCGGTCCTGATACGTCATTTTGACCTGCGAGGCAGCGAGATTCGTCCTCTCTGCGAGTCCTTTGGCACCGTTGTTCTACTGGCTACTCCGGACTCCTGCGCGATCCAGACTCCGGGGTTCTTTGTCGTGGAAGACGGCTGAGCACATTCATCCGAATTCCATTCCCTCGCTCAGCCCGCCCCAGGACCCTTACTAGCAGCCCCGGGGCGATTACGAAAGTTTATCTTTAAAGCCAGCAGCTCTACGTACAGTACTCTAGTTACAGTAGCGCCCCCGGAGCTCCATTCCGCACCTCTGACTGTTACATCGGGCTTCTTAAAACGACTCGCTGACAGTTGCACGGCTGCAACCGTGCTTTCGACATTTCTCTGTATCTGTACGATCTGGGCAATTGTGTCCCTCCCTGTTCACCACAACTTCGCTGCTGCAGGCCAGGGCGGACGGACCCAGACTCGTCAAAAATCGCTCACCAACACTGCCCGTCATGAGGTCGTGGTTCAAGGGCTCCGTTGCCGCCAACTCCTCAAGACTGAGCGTCTCATCCAGCAAAAATGCCAGCTCCACTCAGGTTGCAGATCCCCGGGACGTCGAGGCATCCGACCTGCAAGATGCCATGGAAGCGGCTGCCCGCATCGTAAATGACGACATTGACGGCGCCGAGGCACAGCTCAAGGCGCGGAAGGACTCGTCCAGTTTCCACCAGCTCGGGCTCGGCATCGCAGTCTTCATGAGGTCCATTCTCGGCTTCGAAAAGGAGATCATGGCCGAGGCTGGCAACCGCCTGGCTGAGTGCGAGACGCGGGCCTGGGCCGATATGAAGAAGGCACAGAAGCAAGCCGAGGGTGGCGGCGGCTGGTTCAGGGGTACCAGCACTCCCAATGGCCAAGGGCCTCAAACAACAAGCAAGATCTACCCGCCAGGAAGCGAGTACCAGCTCGTCAATGCGGAGGCACAACTCATGGGTGCCATCATATCCGTCATGCATGAGAGTCTCACCGAGGGCATCAAGGGCTTCTATAAGCTACGCAAGGCCTTTATTGCACTCGACACAATTATGGAGGCCGAATCGAGGATCTTCGCGGAGCGGAAGCTTAATGGCGCCGCACGAGGACCGTCCAGCGACCCTGATGCTTCGAAACAGAACTCGGCTGTTGAGGAGCAGAAGAACCTCGAGTCTGACAGCGACCTGGAATTCGTAGACGCCCCGGAGGATGTTGAGAAATCGCAGGCACCTCCAGCATATGCCGGCCACCTGAAGAGAGTGAACAGCAAATCTGCTCCAAGTTCCGTGCTCGAGAAGGATATGAGCGACTTGGCCTTGGAGAACGCCACAACGTCCTTGCCGACGTCGAGGCAAGGCTCACCGGACTCTCAGGAAAGAAACGGGTCACCGCAACGACGCCCAGTCCGGCAGACTCTCCTCGATCAGGCCGGCCCAGACTCGTCCATTTTCACAAACCCAGTCGACGTCTTTGTTCACAGTGGGGCAAACATGTGTTTTGGTATCCTGTTGCTGATCATTTCCATGGTCCCTCCAGCCTTTTCGAAGCTTTTGTATATCATCGGTTTCAAGGGTGACCGTGAGCGCGGTGTTCAGATGCTGTGGCAAAGCACAAAATTTGACAATGTCAATGGGGGAGTGGCCGGGTTGGTGCTATTGGGGTATTATAATGGCATCCTCGCGTTTGCAGACATCCTCCCTTGCGAGAAGGACGTCGAGGAACTCGCGGACGAGGGCGAGATCATTGGGTATCCCAAGGAGCAGTGCTCCGCCCTCCTGCAAAGCATGCGCTCCCAATACCCGGAGTCCGGAATATGGAAAGTTGAGGAGGCTAGAAACCTTGCCAACGCTCAACGCGTCCCGGAGGCAGTGGCGATGCTCAAGTCGAACGGTGACTCCAAGATGCGCCAGGTCACAGCCCTCAGCAACTTTGAGCTGTCTACCAATGCGCTTTTCATGATGGATTGGGTGACGATGCGCGACGGCTTTCTGAGGTGCATCGAGCTCAACGACTGGAGCCACAGCCTCTACTACTTTTTTATCGCGTCGGCGGAGCTCGAAATGTACCGCGATGCGACGCAAGCAGGAGAAACCACGGAGGCCAAGAAGCACAAGAAGGCTGCTGAGGAATACTTCCGGAAGGTCCCCGCCTCGGCAGGCAGGAAGAAATTCCTAGCCCGGCAGATGCCCTTCGAGGTCTTTGCGCTCCGCAAGGTCCAGAAGTGGGAAGACCGCGCCAAGGAGTACGGTATTGATCTGGCCGACGCGGTCGGTATCTCGCCCGCCGAGGAGATGACCTATCTCTGGTCTGGCTCCAAACGCATGTCGGACGAGATGTTTGGAAAGGCCCTGGCGTACCTGAGCTGGGACAGGTGCACTGCAAGCAAAGAGCATGTGGAGAAGATGAAGGCCATCCCGGACGAGGCGGCCATCAAAGCGGTCGCGGAGTCCGCCATATTGAGTAACATGGGCCGTTACGAGGACGCCAGGGCCAAGGTGAAGCCCTACCTGGATCAGGACAGGTGAGATTCGTTGCTGTGTTATCATTCCCAGAGCCTGCCGCTGACTTTGTCTTCAGGATGCTATTCAAAGGCACCACGAAGGATGACTACACCCTCCCATGCACACATTACGAGATGGCAGTAGTGGCTTGGAAGGAAGCCTGCGACCCGAAGTGTTGGCCAGCAGCAGCAGAAGAGGCTGATGGGTTCCGGCGGAAGAAGGTCGCAGAAAGCCAGGAGTACCTCGACCACGTCAAGACGTGGGAAAGTTTCGTCCTCGACGCCAGGATCGGAATGAGGGTACAGACTGGCGCTGATAGCATCACTTGGCTGAGAAGGAAAAAGAACTGGACGTGATAGGGTTATCGACTCATGAGAGGCCACGTCGATTTGGGACGGTTTCATAGACGACGCATATGATTGGCATCTAAGGACACGGAGCACGGGGGATTTTAGGATGGGAGGCAGGTTTGAATTGGAATGTGGCGCTGCGTAACTACATGTGAGGAGGGTATCTAGGAGGTCTTAGAAGAAACATGGCAGCCAACAGGCTCTGAAGCAGCGATACAAAGACAACTGAACAATACATATGTAAACAAGCAATGTGCACAACGGCTTAGACGACCCGGACCCCAGCGAGCACCGTCCGGTGCCTTCCTTCCTTTCCATGCTCCGTCTTCTCATGCCCTGCAGGTCGCCAGGCGTTTGCTTCACTCAATCACCGCCACCGCCTCTCTTGCCCTTCTTTCCTCCTTTCCTTATCCCATCAAGTCCATTCTGGACCAGTGAAACAGCGTCATTCGCCTTCTTCTCGCCCCGTTCTCGAACCTGATGCTTTTCGGCCTCATCGCGCACATCGTCCTCGATGTCACGTCCGCCCATGGCCGTCCCGCAGCCCCAGTCCAACACACCCCAGGCGCCGTAGTTCCCGCTCGACGGTCCCCGGTGGCCAGCACCGTAGTGCTTCGCGTTACGCTTTGCGATGCCGCCCATGATGATGCCCGGCACGACGGTATAGCCCGACATGGTGAGTGTCTCCTCGAGGGTCACGAGGCCCACAAACAGGAAGTATACAAGCAGGTGGGGGCGCACAGCCAGCGCCGGCAAGTAGACGGGGGCGAAGCGGTGCAGCAGGAACGGCACGGGGTGGTCTGCGGCGACGGCCAGGCTGTAGGGCGCGGCGGGGCGCGAGTGGGCGAAGCGCGAGTGCTGCCTCGCGACCCAGCCGCGGGAGGACCTGAGCGGGGCCCTGCGGGTCCAGGCGTGGGTGTGCGAGTGCAGGACCGTCTTGTGGAGGTAGTAGGCGAGGGCCTCGCGGGAGACGTACAGCCAGCCCAGCTGCTTGAGGATGGCCCACGGCAGCGGGAGGGTGGTGGTGGTCTTGAAGGGCACGTGGCCGAACAGGAAGGTCAGGGCGAGGCTGGCGCCGGCCTCGAGGGCTGTCTCGAGGAGGATGTTGAGGAGCGCGAGGAGGAATGTAGTGGCGAGGGCGCGGGCGTTGCGGGGGGGCAGGGCGGACGAGCCGCCGAACTTGATGCTCTCGGCCAGGGACGGGAGGAGGGTGTCGAAGAGGAGGAAGACGAGGGAGGGCAGCAGGAAGAAGACAAGTCGGATGGCCAGGGTGCCGAACAGCTCGACGTAGAGCGGGTTGTGGGAAAGCACGAGGGTGGACCAGGTCATGTAGAAGAAGAGGAGGTTCAGCGAGGTCGACCACGAGGTCAAGCTACCCCCGAGGAAGACGGATAGAATTGGGAGGGAGAGGAGTATGTCCATCATCTTTGCAGCTGGAGGAGGACCTTGCCGCTTGGCTGGCTGTCGCCACGAGCAGTCTCTGGCTGTTCGCGATAAGCTTTGAATGGTGTTGGCTTATATTTACACAGTACCGGTACTACTGAATGGTGTCGCGAGAGCAAGGCTGAATACACGAACCGCACCAGCTACATGCAGATGGACGAGGAGGCACCAGCCTAAGTAGTATGCCCTCAAAACCAAGCTCCTGTTCGATCTAGTTTGCGCCACGATCTAGAGGAGGATGACGTGTGGCTGCTGGGCTGGTAGCTTTACCAGGCTAATTAGCTCACCCATCCTCACTCAAGTCAATGCGACGGCAGAAATAGTCAATACTCCCTCCGTGCCTACAATAGCTGAATAGGCAGGTTGGCAGGCTTGCTGGCTTGGTACTTAGGCAAGGCTGTGGACTGCCGAGTGCTACTGTGAGATGACGTAGTACCCGAGCAGGGGCCACCCGATTCCCTGGCTTGTTTCCCCCACTTGGCGAGATTGAGTGCGCGGCCGGTGCCGTGTCGGCACAACATCTCGGAGACTACTGGGGCGAGAGCGGCACGATTGTCGAGGGAGCCCACATTATAGATGGCCCGTGGATAGTCAGCCATCAGCCAGGTCAGGGGTTGAGGTTGAAGTCAAGGTCAAGTTGAAATGTTGCAGTCGACAGGGTTGAAGGGTGTTCAGCCAGCCCTTCATCAAACGTTGAGCTGCGTCGGGGTCATTGCACACATCAACCGCCAACCATTTGACAGAAAGTAAAGTGTCCAGGCTCACCCACATACTTGTATACTTGTGTGTACAGCTCGCAGATATGCCCGAGCGTATCCCAAGTCAGAAGGCTTATACAGCCACGGCAGTTTGCCCCATTGGTACCCTGCATTCGGGCCCCCTATACTTATACTTTGCACACAAACCAGGTAACACAGTGGGCAATATCTCCCACAGAGTATACGACATGAAGGCCCCGGTGGGATGTCTTGTTGGTTGTGGAGCTGCTCATCCCGGGCGCCGAGTCATACAATATTTAGTACACAGTAGTCCTGCCCGGCAGCCCAGGTGATGATTCCTGCCACTGCGAACCGTCCATATCAAATCCCTCCCTCGTGCAAGAGAGGCGTTTCAAAAGGGCAGCTGGGTCTGGCGGGCTATTTCATTTGGGGGGTAGTACCAGCTTCATATTTATTGCCCATCATGCTCCTATCCGACACTGGCGGCCCGCCTTATCACATGGCAGGCAAGGGTGCCCGCAGCGGCTGTTAGGCTGAGCTCCTCTCCCACCAGGCATAATGCTGATTTCGGGCCTGCCGAGCGGTCGAGCACCTGGCAATAAACCTCACGAACAGGTACCTAGCCACCTACTTGGGGTAGCTAGCTCTCGACCATGAAGCTTGCCTGACCAGGAACATGTCCAAGCCATGCCTCGCACCTGATGACTATTGTTCTTCTTATTTTCATTAATTAACATGATTATATACTTGTGCCCCGCGTTCCGTCGGAACCGTGGACCTAGTGACTGCCGCCTACAAAGCACAGCTCGGGGCTTTTTTTCCTTCTTTGTTTTTTCTTCTCTTGGTCTCTGTCGGGCAGACATGCTGCAATCCGTACCCACGTGGCTAGGGGGCGAGCAAGCGAGGTACCGGCTGTATCCGTACTCCGTATACTTTACACCTGCAGGCCGACGCCTTGATCTTCTGCCCAGGCGAGGGTCCGGATCCACCTGAACCTGCCCGGGGCGCGCCTTGCGAAATTCATCATTATCGAGGGTCATTATTGATTATTGATTTACGACCTTCAACACAGACCTCCGTCCCGAGCTTGGCGACAATACTCTTGTTCTTCTTCCTCCCTCCCATTTGTCTTTCTTGTCGTCCCTGGCTCTCTCGCATCCTGTCGCATCCTGTCGCTGTTCGTTCCCTGTCCCGCATCCCTTCTTCGCCTGGCCACGCCTCCCCCCCTACCTGGGTACCTGGGTAACAACACCAGCGCAAGGCGCAGCGAGCGCATCGCATTGCACAGAAAGAAGCCCGACGTGAACAGCGCTCCGGCTGCGGCTGGCTCCTTGGACCAAGACAACCTGTAACTCCCTTCTGAGTCGCCAACCCGCGCCTATTACAACTTTCGAAACACCCCGCCAGAGTGTGTGAGCCCGACGCCTCAAGCTACCTTGCCTACTTGCACTAGAACCGCCCTAGAAACCAGCCCAGGCCGTCTGTCTGTGCTGCGACATTTTGGAGGCAACGGCGCCACGCAACCCGTCTTCAGAACCACTCAAGGCAACCGCTGCGAGGGCCGGCGGACCGGATTCTCGGGTTAGACGGAGACAGGACACGACAGGACATTCCATACCAAGGCAACACCGAATACCTCACACCGAAACTGTGACCGACATCACCGGCGCATCTTCCCGAAGTGAGTGCGTGCATGTGTGCGTGCGACCTGGAAAGCCAAGACATAAATACCTCTGGGCCCAACTCGGCAGCCGTCCGCCGTCTTCATTTGCTCGAATCCGACGTTGCAATTTAAGGCCAGGCGCACGCCTACTTTTTTCGATAGTCGGTCCTTTGGCGCCACGCGGATCCCCTTCCAAGTCCCCTCCAGGTCCCCGCCCACAGCAGCCAACAAACCTGTGCGTGGTAAGTTGCCCATTCCCTACACCCAACGCCTCTTGTTGTTTGGCTGGATTGCGCAGGGCAGGGCAGGGCAGGACACAATTAATGCCGGCAGTAAGGCTACACACATCGCGGTCAGGGGAAACTGCGCACCAGCGATGCGACCCCTACTGGGCCAAGATGAGGATTGGCCAGTTGCTGCTACCCTCCTTGCCCCCCCAGGCACGCATTTGCTCGCGCATCAAGTCCGTGTCCCGTGCCGTACCGTTCCGTACGAGGCCTTGCATGGGGACCCAAGATGCGTGCCAGGGTCTCTCGGGTTTTGCCTGTCATGGCTGGACAGGACCACTGTGTGACCTAGTCTAGAGACTAGAGCTGAAAGGGCTGACAGGTGTTCTGAGACCAGGTACGCAGTCTGTGTGGTGTGTGGTGTGTGGTGACAGGTGTGGTGTGGTGTGGTGTGCCTGGTTCGCGCGACGATATCCAGCGACTCATATACCCAAGGGTTGGTATATCCAGATTCCAGACAGCCCAAGTTGGCTGCGATATTATTAAAGAAGAGTGCGCATCCCCCGGGCACAAGGTTTCAAGGTTTGGTTGCGCCGCGAAACTCGGGTCTCTTTGCATATTCACCTGCACCTGCACCTGCACCCTGCACCTGCAGAAACAGATGCAGACACAACCAGACACAGACAGGTAGGGAACAAAACAGGACATGACAGGCTTGTGTCTGCGAGACTCACAGTAACCCCGATGCTGCCATCCGATCTGTCGAGGCCCCCAACCAAGCCCCAAGACAGCCACTTGAAACCGACCTCGCCGCTCTTTTAGGTTCGACCGCACGCCAGAAGCAGCAGCAGCAGCGTCGGCGGCAGAGCAGAGCTGCAGCAGACGGCACATGGTCTTTGGGAGGGCAGCGCATCATCTTACACGGGCCCCACCCACCTACCCACCCATCCACCCACACCTTCGGAATTGGGGGGGTCAAGGAGTTAAGCAGTCAAGCAGTCAAGCAGTCAAGGAGTGTGCACGAACTGCATGTGTCCAACGCAGCGCCCTCTGCATGTCAGATTGTCTGGGCCTGCCTCATCGAGCCTTAGCCCTGAGGACCGCAGGCACGTACGCAGACAGTACAGACTACTGCGTGCCGCAACGGGGAAGGATTCTTTGACGCTTCAGCACGGTGCTTCCAATTTCGCAGCTCGACCTCGCGTCGCCCGCCCTGCAACAAAACATGGACCACGCTGCTGCCCCCGCAGCGCCTCCCTCAATCTCTAGGCACGGCCGTCACTCACGCCGCCGGGCGCCTGAAGGTCCGTCCGCAGTGCCTTAGCTGTCTCGCATCTGCATTCCCACCCAGCCGTTGTGCATCTTGTCACTGACACAAATCTTATTCCCACCCAGACACCAATCACGCTAGCCACTCGGCTATCCGACCACACGGACGGGACGAGTCTGTCGCGCCCGCCTCCCCAGAAGTCATCTCCTCCCTAATCACCAGTCTCTCCGTCATCTCGAGGCCAGCCAACGCACACTTCGACCACCAGCCCCTCGACCTGCTCCACGCCTCCTCGCCCGCCAGCCCCAAACCCCCACCCGACCACCGCTCCGGGTCCTTTGGTGTCACCTACGGTGCGCACAACCAGCCCACACTCGCCGGCCTGCGAGAGGAAGAAGCCGGTTACGACGACCTTGCCGCCCTCCCCCCGACCATCAAGACTGCGAAACCCCCGAGCGGCTTCTCGCCCCTGACCGCGCCAAAATCGCCCGACCGCCGCGAGAGCGGTGGATTGCGCAGCTTCCTCAGCGGGAGGTCCTCCTCGCGCCCCTCCTCGCGAGGCTCATGCGCGTCCAAGGATGCTGATGTCGGCAGCATTGGCAATCTGTCCGTCGAGCGCGGATTGTCCCCTGTCTCGTCCCCAGAAGTAAAACGGCAGCGGTCGTACGATAGCTGGGGCAAGAAGTCTGCAGCTCGATCACAGCGAGGCTTGATGTACATGAGCTCCAAGGAGCGGCTGAGAGACAACGAGGACAGGAAGAGAGTGTCCTCGGGAACCGGGGCAAGCAACAATAATAGTGGGCTAGACGCGAGCGCCATGGCACGAACGACGAGCCCCCGGGTGGAACAATTCCTCGCGGGGACTTCCATCACGGAAGAGCCAGCATGGAACACCGACGACCCACCTCCGAGGCCGAGCCTTGGTGCGGACGGGTCGGCCCGATCGATACCCCTCAGAGACTCAAGTTTATCAAAGACGGGCTCCAATGCGAAGCGGTCATCAACAAGGAACAGCCGGTCATCAAAACGCGACAGCGACCACGGGCCGATTCCAGAGGAGGACTACTTCGGCCAGTCTGATAAAGGAAAGGGGAAAAGTCCAGAGATATCGCGAGATAGGAACAGCTTCCGGATAGATCGCGAGGCGGCCAGAGAATCAAGGACCAGGAGGAGGGGCTCTGGGCCAGAGGGCTTTCTGGACCCCTCGCGGGCAGCAAAGGCCAAGGGTGGTCATCATAGCGATCATTATTTCACAGACACCGAAGTCGAGCTGGATGACGGGGCCCCGTCTCCTCACATTGCCCAGGGGAAAAGACGAGATCGGGAAGTTAGCAGCGATCGGGCCAGCCGTCGGCGATCGGGCCGGAGCACTCCGGAGCTCCGGGTGAAACGGAGCAGTTCGAGGCTGAAGAGGCTGTCCGGACCTTTGTCACCACGACCGGACGACAGGCCCAGAGACTCGACTGCCGAGTCAAGGGCTGTGTCCTACGAGCGGCCCCCTTCGGCGGATAGCATCGACGACTCGGTCGAGGCTTACTTGCGCTCGCCTCGCCTGAGCCAGAAGATCCGCCATCCGCAGACGGGGCGAGTCATCAGCTTCAGCGAGGTTGGAGACTCCGAGGGGAGCGCAGTGTTCTGCTGCGTCGGCATGGGCTTGACGAGGTACATCACGGCGTTTTATGATGAGCTTGCTGTCACCCTCAAGCTGCGTTTGATCACCCCTGACAGACCTGGCGTCGGGGACAGTGAGGCGTATGCGGACGGAAACGCAACGCCTCTGGGCTGGCCTGGTGAGTCATGAGTTCTATATTTCTACAAGCGCATCCCTGCGCTCGGTCTGTTTAGCATTGGAGGTGGTTGTGCACAGGCGCTAACATCAAAGACAGACGACGTGTATGCAATCTGCCAGGCGCTGCGAATTACCAAATTCTCCATTCTCGCACACTCTGCTGGTGCAATATATGCCCTGGCGACAGCTCTTCGAATGCCCCAACATATCCGTGGCCGAATCCACCTTCTGGCGCCATGGATCCCTCCGTCGCAGATGTCTGTATTCGGCGCTTCCGCCCAAACACCATTGCCGCCGACAAACGCCATACCTACATCTCAGAGGATACTTCGGGCGCTGCCGACACCGATCCTCAAGGCAGCTAATTCCAGCTTCATGACTGCCACAAGCAGTAGTATAACCAGCAGCCTTCCCAGACAGAAGCGAGCCAAACGAAAGACAAATGGCAAGGATAAGGACACATCGGCGTCGAGAGCGAGTGACCGGCCCATGCTCGACAAGGAGAACCACAATGGCGGGAAGCTGTCAGGTGACCACCCGACACTGACGCGGGAGATGTTTGCATCCGAGGAAATGGATCAGATACGCCCCGAAGGCGCGAGCCCAACGGGAAACCTGTCGCCCATCGGAGCTGCGATGGCAAACGACACATACGGTGGTATCGGCGGGGGCGGCAGGGGCAATGCCAATCGCAACAGCAAACAGGACGCCGTGATTGCCGCTGCTGAATCAGCCATGGCAGACAAGGAGAGGCAGGAGACATACGACACGCGGCTCACCCAGGCCATCTGGGAGCTGGCGACTACAGGGGCCAACCCGGCCGTGGATTTGCTGGTCTGCCTTGAGCGTCGACACACTATAGGCTTTAGGTACGTCGACATCACCAGACCGGTCGTCATCCACCACGGCAGCCGTGACACGCGCGTGCCTGTAGAGAACGTCAAGTGGCTAGGGAAAACAATGAAGAGGTGCGAGGTGCGAGTCCTCGAGGGCGAGGGCCACGGGCTCATGGCATCTGCGGGATGCATGGGCGGGATCCTCATGGAGATCAGCAAGGAATGGGAGGACTGGATGAGGGTTACGGGGGCAACGGCACGCAAGGAAGACAAGAAAAAAGCCTCGTTGAGGTAATGGGCCATGGAGACGCTCCCGGTTTGACACAGCCAAACCTGATTGGATTTTCAATCCTCACGATGCGAAGGCCATGGCGAGCGGCGTTTCGATTTTCTCAATGGGTCTGAATTGGCGGGGCTCCCTTTTGTTCGAAAAAAATGATACCGATTTCAGCCTGCAGAGACATCCGACTTTCTCTGCTTTTCTGCCTGTCAGGCGCATACTATATGTCATGTTCACGAGCGTTTTTTTTTTTTTTTTACATATCAAGCGTGTCGCGGCGCATGGAGGGGTGGACAAATACTTGGGTATAGTATTCTAATAATGACGAGCCAGCGGTGGGAGTGTTTGCGCCACTCACGTTTCAATCTTCCGAGGTGGTGTCGGCATCAATTACTGGCTTCTCCTCATCTTCACCAGGACAGAGTCTCCGGGAGGGACAACAGTGCCATGTCACGAACAATGGAATGCTGATTTATTGATGTCTATACGCTGTCGTTAGTCACGACCATCTAGCAAGTGAAACAAACTCCTGCAGACCGCTGGATACAGCCTCCCGACAATATATCTCCACAGCCAATCATGAACCTGGGTATCACTCGTGATCTTCTTCCAGCTGCCCTGCCAGATTCTTCTCAAGGTGGCTTCCCATCTTAATCCTCGGCGCCTGACGCGGCGCCTCGCTCTGTAGTAGATTCCTCGTCGTCCACGCCGCTAAGTGAGCTGGTTCCTGAAGAGGTTCGAAGCACTTGTGCAACAAGATCGGCTCGCACAGCCACCAAGCTGCCGCCGAGGTGCTCCAGCAGGATGGCCTTGTTTTTGTGCTGAATAATGCAGTGGATGCCGATGACCTGGACAAGCTGAATGCGTGAATGGTGCCAGAAGCTACCTGGGTAAGCAATTGTATTCGAGGTCCGGCAAGCACCGCAACTTCAGGCAGATAGATCACAGACAATATCCAACAAGAACCGGGATGGTGAGAGGAAGGCCAAAGTCTTAGAGGGTGTGGGCGAGTGGGCCACACTGGATGACTGCTTAGTAGTATGCCCACGCATACGCACTCACATCAGGAAGTGGGTGTTTTGGCGGGAAGGTTGCGCCAAAGGCATTGCAGGAAAGTAATGTGCCGTATAGTCCCAATGCGCTCATCTTCTCTCTGGGAGACTCCAATCCGAGCCCAGATGTCGACAACCTGATGCATCACGCCTCACACAGGCCACATCAGTCACTGGCATTGCTGATAAATCTTGATACAAAAGTCTCTCAGGCAGATCTATGTAGACATATGTGTACGTATATTCGTATGTCCGCTACACGGCCGCAACATCTATTTCCTACTACTCAGAGACAGACCCCTATTAGCTAATAAGCTATTAGATAACCTTGCATAAACGACCTCCTACAGGACCATGTTTTCTATTTCATAGCCTGATATGGGATAATCTACTCCCACAATCACAATCCATCTTTGGTACGATTTCTGTACCGAATAACTCCTTGTCAAGTACCTAGGTAGCCAGACAGGAGACGGGGCAGCGAGCTATAAGGTGTCCATGGTGACTTTTAATATTTGTTAATGTGGCTGCTGTACGGTAATACTTTTGGTCATGTAGAAAAAGGGGTTTGCTTTCTCCCTTTTTACGTGTGTGTATATCTATCTGCATTGTCGAGAGTGGGGTGACAGCATCGAGACCACAACATGTGCTCGGAATTTCCCGGTTTCGTCCCCTGTTCTCAAATATTAAGCTAGAATGGTTATACTCGTCTTGTCCTTCTGCAGTAGTCAACGCACACAAGGATACTCAAGATCAAATGAATTCCGCTATTTGAAACATGTCAGCGAAAGAATGTCGAAAGGTACCAGGGGTCTTGTGAGCTCTTGTGAGCAGGATGCCAATGGAGGGAAAAGACTCACGCAACAACAACCGGTAGGATCCACGTCACGAACGCAGCACTGAGGGCCTCGGATCGGAACCGCTCTTCCTCATCGCACTGATCCTGTGGTCGGCCTCCACATTCCCATGACAGGCCAGTGACAGCCAGTAAGTTGACCACCGGGAGGATCGCATTGATGAGCATCGTGAGGCAATCCAGGCATCCCAGGGAGCCCTCGGTGCACCGGCGGACCCGTCGCGTGCGGTCAGCGAGGCCGGCGATCTCTGCAGTATCTACCATCATAGTCCACACGGCCTTGTGTAGGAGTGTGCATGGTCAGCAACCTCGTCCTTTTACCGCCGGACCCGCTCAGGTAAGTAAGCATACCGCAATGAAGGCGCCGACCATCGCCTTGCCGTATCCATACTTGACAGAGGTATAAGCCGCAGCGATAAGCGTAGCGATGCTGAGTGCGAGTGAGATGATACGAAGTAACAGCTGTATCACCGCGAATGGCGCTGGGAACCTGGAACGCGGCATGTTGCTTTTGAGATGATCGAAGTTAACTTGAATGAACGGGAGGTGGACACGTCTTCAGTGACGAATTTTTGTACCGTCGCTGAGAAGGCCATGCACGGCGAGAGACGTCGGGAAACGTGACCTCATCTGTGTTCGAAGGAGGAGCGAGCACATGGGTGCTGTGATGGTGTCGCGTGCGAGGGTATTATCTGGAGGTTTCGTAGCCTTGGCTAAATCCGGCTTACAACACCTCAGAATCCATCTCAACTCTAGCTGTAGAACAAGGTAGCCAAAAAAGATTTCAGCTCTCAAGGACTGTTCTTCAGCGGCCCGCCTTTCCAAAATTGCAGTTGTTCGGAGGATTCTGTGTGCAGCAGACCTCCAAATGCCCACTTTCTTGTCTTGAACCTGTCAAAATGCTTGTCCTACCCACGTGGCCGCTCGAGGGGTTTGCCAAGCTCCTAGCCTTACAGCCTAATCGACCCTCAAGTGCTCCTCATTGATCTATAAATTGTGTTGTTACAATCTGCCCCCTTGTGATCGCGCGAAGGAACATGCTGTAATACTGCCAAGAGCTTCAAAGATACGCCGTAGACACACTTTGGGAAGGACAAATGTGAATGGTAGTACTTCAGGAATTAGACACGGTAGAATTTCTGCAGTGGCTGGTCAGGGATTGCTTTCGCATTTCCGCCACTTCCTTTTGCCGGAACCGAAACCACTCCCCTTCTCTCTGCTGCGTACAGATGGCTGTTAAGTCACTCAACCAAGTAAGTGCAGATGGCCTTAACATTTACGGGTGATCTGAACAGACATGGACGGGTTAAACCATTTGCAAAAGCTTAGCGATATCTTTTGAGAGAAATCCTTCTTCGAACAACAATCTCGGCAAAATATTTTGTGCCAGTGACGGCCCAGAGGACTGGAAGCCAAGCCTCTTGCGCACTTCCGGTTCAAGCAGGGTCGAATTCAGGGGGGTAGATTTTGTAGGTCTTGTGGATCAAGTTCGCGTTCGGGTGCTGGAATTTTGTGCTCTTGGTAGACGTATATAGGCATGACTATGGCCAACCTGCAAACTGATGTTGTCTCTTCTGAGGGATAGATTCACCGAACTCTATCGCAGTCGCTCTTTTCTGCTTGACTTGTTACTCTTTGCTGGCTGTCTGAGTCAGTGTACACTCTCTGGTTGACTTGGCCCTTTAGGGCTGTCCATTCTTTCCACCATGCTGTACAATATTGTGTTATTTGCTCTCCTGATAGTGGGATGTGTTGCCGAGAAAGCCGGTCATGGATATTCCCACCAATCGCTTCACAAACTTGAGCTCAGGAACAAACTCTCCAGTCGTGCTGATACCGACGGCGCCCCCCAACTAGGTCTCCGGCAAACGAGCGATGATGACGGGAAACCCCCCAGACTGGCTAACGCCTCCATGACTGATATTGAAGAGGCGAAGGCACTGGTCGCCGCTGCTAAGCTCAAGTCCGCGGAACTTAACAAGGCTAGAGTGGCCAGCCCCTCGAGAAATCAGTACAAGCTCGACCCGAACACGAAATTCACCAAACGACAAGCCGAGGGCTCTGGTGATGCACCACCATTATTGAATATCACGGAAGACATCCGCGCTGCTGCCGCACTGGTTGCTGAATTGGACGCCTATGATGGGACGACAAACGGTAACCAATCAACTGTTGACAAGCGACAGTCTGGCTCCTGGTGGATGGGCAATTTGGCCCATTCTGGCGGGTGGCCATGGGGCAGTAATCCCTCAGACTTCAAAGTTCGTCAACACTCTTTCACTTCTTGGAATCAGGCTCGTGGGGCTGATTTCAACTCCTTTAGGTGTATCGGAATGTGAAGGACCCTAAGTACGGTGCCAAAGGAGATGGCAAAACTGTAAGAATTTCTCCTTCTCTAGGTCCGGTGATCTGGTCTAAGAGATTCATTTGAAACATTGAATCCATTTCAAATTTAACGTGATGCTTTTCAGGATGACACTCAAGCCATCATCAACGCCGTCAAAGACTCCAAGGCCTGTGGGCCTGCTTGCTATAGCTCGACCACCAAAGGCGCTATCATCTACTTTCCTCCCGGAACTTACCTTGTCAGCAGCACGATTGAGACTTACTATGGAACTCAGTTCATCGGTGATGTATGAAAGATTTATGCTCCCAATGCTACAAATAATGTTGAACCTGTACTGACATGATAGTCAGGCCATAAACCGCCCAATCATCAAGGCCTCTGCTTCTTTTGTCGGGCTGGGTGTCATTAGCACTAACCATTACGTTCCGGATGGAGGTACAGGATCAGACGGTAACGCGAAGGAGTGGTTTATCAATACCGTAAGTATCACTTTGAAAGAGTGAGAGCTCTTTAAATGTGTTGTTTCCTCTTCTTGGTTACGAACGGACTGTCCGTGCGGCCTCTTGGTGAGACAGACAGCTCCCACCACGTAGAGACTAACGTCGCTCTGAGTCAGGCAAACTTCTATCGACAGATCAGGAACTTCATTATAGACATTACTGCTACTGACCAAGGGGCATATGTGGCCGCGCTTCATTATCAGGTTGCTCAGGCGACCAGTCTGCAATTCGTCGAATTCCGGTGCACCCAATCGACCACCACCACTCAGCAAGCCATCTATGCTGAAAATGGTAGCGGGGGCTTTATGAGCGACCTTCTGTTCAATGGTGGCGCATTCGGTATTTGTAAGTCCAGCCTAGAGATGCAATCCGGCTCATTGTGCACGCCTTGCAAGCACATTAGATCACTCGGACAGGCGCTAATCTTTTTGCAGACGGAGGAAACCAACAATTCACCAGCCAGAGGCTGACATTCAAGAACGTACGGACGGCGGTCCAACTTATTTGGGACTGGGGCTGGGTAAGCCGTCTTCTGATAATATCCAACGTTAGCACTCTGAGCCATCTCCTAATGTGAGCTTACTCAGGTATGGAAGAGCATTCGTATAGAGAATTGCGGCATCGGCTTCAAACTCATGGGAGAAGACCAGACCCATAACACCGGTTCTCTCGCAGTGGTGGATTCTATCTTCAAGTCAACTACAACAGCCATCCAGACCTACCCGTTCACGAACAAGACTGGAGACGCAACGACAGGAATCACCCTTGACAATGTCAGGTTCGACGGCGTCACAAATGGCGTATGGGATGGGTCCAAGTCTTACCTCGGCGCCTCTCAGAATATTGACACTTGGGTCCAAGGCCGAGTTTACTCTGGAAATACACAGAACAAGGCACTTGGGGCGCCTTACGACACCCCAAGAGATAAGACGCTCGTCGGCACCAATCCTGATGGACTTCCCAAGGCTCCTTTCTTTGAGAAGGCAAAGCCACAGTACGTGGATGTTGCTGCGAGCTCCTTCATCCATATGCGAGGTCCCTCAAGCTGCAAAGGTGATGGGGTGACAGACGACACGACGTGTTTCCAGAACATACTCAATTCTGCTGGCAGCGGTTCTGTGGTCTACATCGATGCCGGAACCTATATGATCAGCAACACTATCACCGTGCCCCCGAATATCAGAATCGTCGGCGAGGTCTGGTCCCAGATTGCCGCTTTTGGTCCCACTTTCGGAAATGTCAAGCAGCCGAAGCCGTTGTTTCGCGTCGGAAAGCCGGGCGATGTCGGCAATATCGAGATGCAAGATCTTCTTTTCACCAGCAAGGGCAATACGCCTGGCCTGGTATTCGTCGAATGGAACATCAAAGCGGCATCACCTGGTTCGGCAGGCATGTGGGACTGTCACGTCAGGGTTGGAGGAGCCGTTGGCACGAACCTGGAGTCCAAGAACTGTCCTGCGTCCAAAACGGGTACCAATGCGAATTGCAACGGCGGCAGCACAATGATGCACATTACCAGCCAGGCTTCTGGATATTTTGAAAATATGTGGCTGTGGGTTGCTGATCATGACCTCGACGATGCGGACCTGAGCAACGACAACAACTTCATGACCCAATTATCTGTCTATCTTGGGAGAGGCCTTCTCGTGGAAAGCACCAATCCCGTCTGGCTGTACGGCACCGCCAGCGAGCACGCGGTCATGTATCAATACCAGTTCAGCAAGGCTCGCCACGTCTATGCCAGCATGATCCAGACCGAGTCGCCCTACTACCAACCCAACCCGAAACCCCCTGCGCCGGTACAGGACTCCGTCGGTGTCTACGCAAGCGACCCCGACTACACCTGCAGCAGCAGCAAGTCTGTTGGATGCGATGCATCATGGGCGCTTCGGGTGGTCGGTAGCAACAGTATCACAATCCATGGGGCTGGGCTCTATTCTTGGTTCACCACTTATACACAAGAGTGTGTTGACACGGTCAATTGCCAACAGAACCTGATACAATTCAAGGACAACACCGGGAACGTCTTGATCCATAACTTGGTAACAATAGGGTCAGTCAATATGATCGAAACGGACGGCAAACTCATCACAGCCAAAGACAACCTCGCTGTCAATTTCCACCCCTACTGGAGTCAAATCGCAGTTTACGATGCCCGTCAGGTGTCACCTGGGATCTGTCAGAACATCGACGATAAGACCTGGATCAATCCAGATTTGCCGACGGGTGACTGGCAGACTTTACGAATCATGGATGATGAAGAGCAGCTAGTTTACTTTACCATCGTCAACGGCAGCCCTTACGACTTTGTCTACACCGGAGGAAACGACTATCAAATGGAGACCGACTGGAGCAAAGACTGGGTTACTATTCCCGCGGGCGAGTCTGCACAGTTCCTGGTCCAGATGCAGGACATGACGCCAAGCAACAAGAAGTCCGATACGGCCGGTGAAGCATATTTTACAATCGACAAGACAGGCAAAAAGTTCCATATTACAGACGATTGGATCGAAAGCAAAGGCATGCTACGAAATCGTGTCCAGTATGATACGATAGGCACCAATGACGTCGCGGCTGGCACAATCATCGATCTGGACTGGCCCTCGCTCGATTATGATCGAGGGCTCACCAACCAATGGGTCCTCACTGGATCCGAGGACTATGGGTACTGGTCATCCTCCAATCCACCTGTGGCCTGGATGAATTCCATCATAGGGGTGATTGGCGACCGTAAACTGAAGCATGTCTGCATGCCTGGCTCGCACGACGCAGGCATGAGTAAAATTGATGGGCACACAGGATCAGGGAGCTGGCAGAACACACAGACGCAGTTCCTTGATCTCTATGGTCAGATGAAGCGTGGGTCCCGCTGGTTTGACATACGCCCATGTCTTGGTAACGGCGGCCAGCAGCTCCTGTGCCACTACTCAGAGGTGCTGGGCATAAGCCAAGGCGGCAATGGGATCAAGGTGTCCGAAGCCATCGAAATGATCAATCGTTTCATGGCAGACTACCCCGGCGAGCTGGTCATCCTAGATCTGAACACGGACTGTGCCTACAATTCGGACGCAGGCTCCAAGTCCTATCCTCGTCTGTCAGATGTGCAGTGGAAGCCAATCTGGCAAGCTTTCCGGGACAAGATAGCCAAGCCATGCAAGAGTACTGCTTCGGACCTGACAGAGGTCACCATGAACGACTACATTGGCGACGGTGTGGGTTGTGTCATGACTATTGCTAGAGGCAGCATTCCGGGCTTGACCACCGCTGACACCAGTCCGTCCAAGGGATTCTATCACCAGAACTCATTCCCAAGTAAAGGCGACTTCTCCTCTACCGACGACATGCAGACTCTTGCGGAGGATCAGGTTGCGAAAATGACCCTGAACCGTGCCCTGAAAGGCAGCGGCGCAGATGGTAATCAGGTAAGACTTATACCCGACCTACTCGATTTCACTTCCTCTGTTGTCTTGTGCATGTGTCTTGATATTTGCGCAAAATTTTCTGATTATGGATGGCTCTTTACAGGACACTTTCTTTGTGCTCCACTGGGAAACAACAATCAGCTTCGACACCCTCGATATTCCCCTTTCGGCGCTGGCTGCGCAGGCCCAGAGCTCGCTTTTCTGGTATGCATATCACATGTTCACGCCGTACTCTTTCCCCAATGTCATATATGTGGACATGCTGGGCGCGCCATTCCGACTGCCAGACGGCAAGACGCAGGATGAATACATGGCCATGACACAAGGCCACATGACAGCCCTCGCTATGGCTGTTAACCTATACATCGCCAGCGAGAATTGCAACCTAGGCGGAGGCAAGATTCATTCATAGAACCCAAGCCGGTGTGCCGTTCCATTCCCAGGCAGCCCCTCAGATACGGACAGAACAAAAACAAAAAGACCCGAACACGTAGCTCAGGCGGTTTCATTTTCAATCCATACATGTTCGAAAGTGTATGGACATGACTCAGTGGTACTTAGAATCTCACGCTTTCATTTTCGACAGGATGGTATGTTCAAAGAAGATAGCTATCTTTTGAAATTCGACGTGAGCATATAGGATTATTATGACTCACTGTTGAACATGGTTTGTTGGCGAGTTATCTAGTCAGTCTTTTTAGGGGCCACACCATCATTCAAATTTATTCACGGCATGAATTGTCACGAAAGGGTGATGATGCAGAAAAGTGCCCATTACTAGATCGGTATTACACCCCAGCAGATCCTGGATTTGACACCAAGGGCAAATTTTGAGATAGGAAACGGGCATTGGACTTATTATTTGAACGCCACTACTCTCATTCCATCTAGCTTTGGACAGTCTTTCCAGCACCCCTGTGAGAGAACACAAAAGCCATGCAAAAGGTATGATACTAGAGTGAAATACTTGTTATACTTTTGATTTCCACGAGTAATTACTGACGTGTCCGTCAGAAGCCAGCAATTTGCCATATGTCGATCCATTTCTGGTGAGACAGACCGCCTTCTCAGCCCAATTCATGATAGTTCATAGATAGCTGTCTCAAGCACTTATAGTAATGTTGCTGTCCAAGATGTTCCAGTCAATCGTACCGGATGCCTATTCCTTCAGTCAGTAGCTGATACGTTAAGGAATACAAGCGTATTGACTTACACCAACCAGATAAGGAATCGCAGCTCGGAGAACGTATTCGCCCGCTGCAAAACCCTCTGGAATAGCAACATCCAGGTCGAAAGTGTATGGGTATTCAAGAGCCTCTTTGCCACTGTTACAAGATAATCAATGTCAGTTGGGCCCCGTAAAATTTTCACACTCAAGCTATTGACTATAGAGACGTACTTAAGAGGTGAATATCCAATTTGCGTTCCAATCGAGTCGTCATAAACGGTGTCGGCTGGCTTTTGTAAGCCAAAACGACTCCAAAATCGACCCAGTTCTGGATGTAAATCGAAGTCTGGAAGGTCGCAGTAATGTTGCTGCCAGCGGCGGCCTCGGCCGGGGCCGTGAAGCTATCGATCTTGCCCATAACCGTGGGGACGGCGGCCAGGGTGGCGGCGGCGAGAGACTTGATGGAGACCATTTTGGGTATTTTGTGAGGAGTTGAACGAGTGTCTGGCAGGCGAGAACGATATCCAAGGTGATATTCACGAGGTATTGGACGCTGTTGGACGGGAGAGTGATGGCAGTCCGGGTGAGCGGGTAAGTGAGGTTGGCCGGTGATGTTTTATACCTCGGACGTGAGTTACCAGCAACCTTGACCACTAATAAACATGCAGCTGGGCAAAGGTAGGTAACCGTAATTGCCAAGGCGGCAGTCAGACAGGGAGGCTGCCTGGACAAACACGAGCAGCCAGGAAGCCAGCGGGCAGGTGCAGTGACCGCCGATCCCTATGATGCTATTTCCAGGCCCTTTAGAAACTTGTGGGTCATGGGGCCCCGATCGCAGTGGCTGATGGGACGAACCTGCAGCCCGGCTCTCCACTTTTGGCTTCAATGGGTCTGTGATGAATAGAGGAGACTGCCCCTTTCCAAAACTCTAAATATTCCCGCAGGCCAATGCAAGATGGCCCGCCCGCTTCAAAGTTATGAGTGAAGAATAAGAGCCGCCCGTTGAACTTGTTCCCCGCGACCAATACAGGGCTGAGGTCGATTACAGGCAAGGCGCGGCCATGATCAATCAGTAGTTCTAGATCCCCGCTTTGCTGAGCTGATTCAGACTTGTGAGGTGGCCGCAGAAGCGTCGTCTGAGCCTCCATCGACGCACGTCATGTCACCAAGCATCATTCGGCTTGTTCGGAAAGTCAGTCCCAGAATCTCCTTTTTCTCCTTTTTCTTCTGGAAGGGAGCTGCGGTGTGCTGTACGTGGACAGCGCTAGCAGTTTACACGTAATGAGTAAGTCTTTCCGGCAGGACTGTGCCGAGCCTACAGAGTACGAGTAAGTTCCATATTATGCGAATTTAAAAGACTGATCTTGAATCCCGGTTGCTGCAACTTGGGTAGGGATGGCCATTATCTAGGCAGTGAGAGAAGATCAGTGGAAGCACTCACTCATGACATAAGGCCCGGGATGTTCGTATGCCTAGGTACACCTTGTTGTGGGCGCACCCTTATCCTAGCAGTGGTCATGCACTACGGATACGATGTGATGTCAGGGCCCAGGGATGTCTTGACAAGAGCCGATCCCCCGCCATAGCCCGGCCACTACCTAGGTACTCTTGGAGATCACTTTAGTTGATCGAATATGAGGTATCATGCAATTCATAGTAGCGATCTCCCATACTCTGGTATGCGGATTTTTTATAAAAAAAATGGGACTGCCACGGTGGTAGCCACGGAAAATGACCCACGACAGCCCCTGGAATCAGGGGTCTCTCGGCCGATACAAGCAGTAATTATACCCACAACCGCCAACCTGTGATTACCCAACCAAGCGGTGAGTTGTTGAGGTTCAGGGATATTGAACTTGATTATATTCTCAGTTGGCCGACCTCGACAGCAATCCTCGGCGGACTTGTGTTGGCTCCTCCATGTTCTCCGCTGCTTCTGCTGTGATCGAATGTCCTTTCTTGATATTCTGTTGGACTTGAGGAGCGAGGAATTAATCGAGTGACACCGATTAGACAGAAGCTCTCATGATCTGTTCTCGTTCTTTCTTAAACATTATTGGGAGATGTGATCCGTCCGTTGTATCCCCCCTCCCTCCAAAAAGACCGTCAGAAGCCCCCCCCCCCCAACGGGTGAAATGTTCCGAGACTGCCTCACGGAAACATTGATGGAAAACAAGTGAAATATTTAAGCAGGACTTCAAGAATTTTCCCTAAGCGTCGGTACATACGAACAAACTCTACTCGGGTGTCCGCTACGCAGCCAGATCTCTTCCCCAACCTAGTATGGGACAGCCCAAAAGAGTGATCACCTACCCTCAGATTGATAGGAAGCAATTTAGCCACAGGAAGCTACGGCGGATTATCACGTTGAAAGGTGTCGCAGTGATACGATAATAGTACATGTGATTGATGTTGCTACTGAGAGCCTGGGCCGTGCTTCAGATGCTGAATTCAGCTACTCCTGAGAGATCAAATTCAGACAACCGCCTCCCTCCTAGTAGTCAAGCACTGCTTGATTATCAACCTAGTTGACGGGCCAACCGACAATTTGGTACGTCCTCAGAGCAGGTGAGGAAGAGAGATAGCTAAATAATGTCTGGACAACGTAGTTGAGTGCAGGTTCTTGTGAGTGATCAATTGATGTGAACCTGGCCAGGCATGAACAAAGAGATTTTGGGGCAAGAATGACTGCAGGAGCTTGGGACACCTGTCTTCATCCGTGCCGCATTACATATCAGTCGAGTGAATTCGTCTAAATGATATTAACAACCCGATGTCAAGCTAAGTCCTTATGTCTAACAACCTCGGGAGGTAGCTCTCCTTCCTTCCAGTCACTTTGTAGAACCTTTGATAAATTGAGAAGGTCTGTTTAGTTGACGTGAGAGTGACATCCATTAGTGGTTGTGTTCCTTACATGCCTACATATGTATGTGCCTTTCATGCTTATACGGGCTGTAATATGTGTCAAATTAAGGATACTGTCAGATTAATCATGGCAACTTCAAATAGGATTCATGCTCTCTAGTAGATATTTCTTATTATCATGCCCATGGTATCAAACATCCTTTAAATCAACTAGGAACCACTTGAACTGAGCTGGAGAACACATTTGGCCAAGTCCTCATGAGTCAAAATCAAAGATCCCCAGACAAAACGGCCCCAATTGAGCGGCCCAAAGCAACCCTGGGAAATCGATGTGCACCATTGGACAGCGAGGTCGGCAGTCAACACACCGTTGAAGACACGAAACAAAATGTCTATGGGTCCGGGAACAGCCTGGAATCGTCAAAACAAACTCCCACGGTCAATCACAGGCTTCCACACTTGTTTCAAGACGGATCACTCTTGCTGAGGGTCGGACGACGGCGAGGATACCCGGGCACACCGGACGGAGCAGCCTGCAAGGAAAAGACCCCTGAATGGATTATCAGGAAGCCTGTCTCATACGCCTGCCTCCCCGCCGAGTTGAGAGACATGGTTCTCGGCAAACTTGTACCCACTGGGTCCATATACAATGGCACTTCGTTTCCGAAGTCCAGCCCGAGGGGATATCAGCAGGATTATTTCAAGACGACCGAGTTCTTCCACCCCACGTTCTGGGAACCCTGGGACGACCTCGTCAGGGCTACGATGCTGAGGGCGAGCGCAGACCACAACCTCGACCCAGATGGCGTCCAAGAAAGGTCACTGACATCAGCAAGGTAAGAACGAACCATCGTCCTTCAGCGTCCTGTAGAGGGAGGTTGAGAGGTTGACCTACCTGACGTTGTCGGTTGTCCTATGTGACGTTGAGAGGTTGTCCTGTCTGAAGTTGGCGTTCCTATTTGGATCAAGAGAGCCACCATGTCGACCACGGACGGTGACACGGACGTCCTCGACTTCGTTGTCGCACACTCATGGAAGTGCCTGGTTCTCCCGGCCAAGAATAGCGTCCTGCACGCCGTCTTCTTCGACAACGATGTCCTTGTAGAGGTTGCGACCGCGGCGAAGCTGACGCACGTTCCAGCCGATGTACGGGAGTTGATACCGACAGATTCACTCGGTGCGGGGACTCGGCTCCGGTGCTGTAGTGACTTAGTCGGGTTTCGACTCGGGCTTGCCCTCGGGCCTCGCCGGCACCCCCGACTTCCAGTACATTCCTGCTATTTTGATAAAAGGTGATCAACAACTAAATAGAATCACTGAAAACAGGATGCAAAAGCCTAAGGTTACCCTGTCAATCCAGGAAATTTGCTCTCTCCTGTCCTGTGGACGCAACGTGCCTTGTTCTGGCACCGTAACGCATCAAGTGTATGTACATACAGTACCTAGCTAGAACAAGGCCCCTGCAGATCGAAGCCCCCATGTCTGCCGGAGTTCCCCAAGCAAGCTGGCCATGCCTCGACTTTACTTTGCCCATGTTTGGGGCAAAGGATGCAACGCCAGCATGTAGCTAGGGCCTCTCTCGTGTAACCCAGCCCGCTTCGGAGTCCGGCAAAACGAACTGTCTGTCTCCTCGCGAATGCCCGCATAGTTCGGCTCAGGCTTACATACCCCACCCCGTTGCCCTCGACTTATATATGCCAGGTGCAGTAAGCTCACAGTGTCCACCAGACCAACTCAATAGCCCTAACTTGACCTGTAAGCACGTATCAAATAGACGTCAAAATCGCCATGGCATCATCCTCCACGACGACGACGCGGCCTCCTACCGAGAACCAGCTCTCTTCAAACCCGGGAGTCCGAGTCCAAGTTACAACCCATAATGATGAGGGGAAGGCGGTGGTGAAGTCGACCACACCGGTCAAGGTAATGCCCGTATCCCGAACAAAATGTCGAGAGTAGCCTCCTCGCTCGCCCTCCATCCTCCCCGCCCTCCCACTTCAACCCCGGGGACTTACACCGTTCTGGCTGACCAACACGCCCACACGCCAGTGGGTCCGGTATGACGATGATAAGCTTGTCATGTCGGTGCTCTATACCACCCAGTTCCCACCCGACCTCAATGACGAGGCCGACATCAAGCTCCACGAAGCCCGCATAGCCAAGGGGCCGGAGGCCACAGGCCTGGCGCTCAAGGGCGGCACCGTACTGAGATATGTCGAATTTTCTCCCGGGTACACCGTACGTCTTGGCCCTACCTCCACAGAAGCTCCAGGGTTCCCTCCTCCTTCTGCCCGTGTCTGAGCTCTTTTCATGGCTTCATTGCTGTAAAACAACCACCTCTCTGACTCCCTAGAGTGTATGATGCATAGGACACAAAGCCTAGACGCAGGAATTGTGATGGAGGGCTCCATCATCGCAGTACTGGACAGTGGCGAGGAGCACCTGTAAGCAGCTTCCAGATGCGACTCTTACCCCCTTGAAGGCCAAATTTCCCCCATTCGTTGCCCATATAAAAAAGACTTCAGGGGCTGCAGGTTTCAAGACATGCCCTGGCTACCTTGTGGCCTACCCTTTACTGTGTTGGCATGAAGATACTCCTTTATTACTTGGATGGCTGACTCTCAATACTGCAGCATGAGTAAGGGCGACATCATGGTCCAACGTGCCACGATGCACGCGTGGAAGAATCCGAGCGACACAGAGTGGGCGCGAATGCTGTTTTGCTTACAGGATTGCAAGCCTTTATTCATAGGGGAGGAGAGAATGAAGGAGGCCGGAGTGGGTGATGATCTCCCGCCGTCTGGCAACGATGACTAGGTAGTATGGCGTCTTCCAACTACGTAGATAATGGTGAAAGCACAAGGCACTTGGGAAAACAAGTCTTGTGCTCTCGACATGGCCGTCACACTTCAAAGGCAGGCAAGGGGACAAATGTGACCAAAATCTCACGCAAATGGTATTTGCCTAAGAGGGTTGGGCGAGGCATCTACTCTTGCTGCAAGATCGACGCCCCTGCCCAAGCCTGTTCGGAATAAGTAATAAGAAATTACCACCAAGAAATTAAAAGCATGTCCACAGCATGCCTGGATGGCTTGCTCCATCTGCCCCTCGCTATTGTTGGCCATGTATTGTCGGCAGACTGTAATCTGCGATGATCTTGTACAAAAGGTCGTGGGTAAAAAAGGGACCGGCTCTTGAACTGTATAAAAGGGAAGAGAAGAAGAGTAAATGAATGTCGTTCAAAGATTTCATCTCGTAGCGCCAGTCTTTTAGTCGTGACCAAACTCGGGGTGGGTAATGCCTATTGCCTCCGGAACTCATAAATAACGCCTGCACATGGTATTCTTGCCCGCCGGGTGGCCTAGAGGTTTCCTTTCTTGCCGGCATGCAAGTGGTGTGACTAGCTCAATACGCCTGACCAGGCACTGGCTTTCTCGTGACCGCTCCCTGGGGAGGGCCCTGGGGAGGACCTTGGGGGGGCTCCTGGCTTGGGCCATCGAAGCTTGGTCGGTATTCCTGCTGCATGCCAGAAGGCCCAGGTGGACTTGGTCTCCTGCCCGTGCCGTTGGGGGACTGAGACCTGGGTGGGCCCTGTCGGCTTGGAGACTGAGGTCGCTGCGCGGGTGACTGAGGTCGTTGCCCTGCTGGTGACTGGGGTCGTGGTCCAGGCCCAATTTGTGGTCCCATAGGGCGGGGAGGGCCCGGGCGGCCAGGTGGGCCCATCGGAGGACCCATTGGACGCAGCGGTCCAGGTCCGCGAGCTCCGGGAGCGAGCGGATGAGGAGGGCCCATAGGTCGGTTACCCGGTTGTTGGGTCGGGCCGGGTCCACGTTGGCTGCTCACAGAGGGGCCTCGGGGTCGACCTTGCGGCTTGATTGGAGGCCCTCGGGGGCCTGCTTGCTGAGGCGGTCGGGGCTTGACAGGACGGGTAGACAGACAAGTTCGGGGGACTACTCCTTGCTGAGATCGGTCAAGACGAATGCAGAGTGCCTGTTCCTCGTTAGCATTGATCGCGATTTTCCTGTGAAACCTGACTCACCCAACCGTCATCATACTCGTGAAGTAGTCTCACGACCTGTCCGATGTGCAGTTCCATCTCATCATCCATGGTGGGCTTGAAATCGAGCTGCACACGGTGGACTGACGAGTCCGCGGGGCCACCCGCAGCAGCGATCGCGGCAGCACCAGACGATGGTTCTGGAGCCTGACCAGACTCGACCTCATGCACGCTGAACTCAGTGCCGGCCGGACTAGGAGGCACGGGTCCCAGCTTTGGGACTATGGTCAAGTCGAGGGGCGCGGGAACATTGTCTTTCCGCACAGATTCCTTGCGTTGCAGACCAGGCGCAGCCGTGGCTCCGGCAGCAACCCCAGCCGCCGATGCGGCAGCAGCTTCGGGCGAGTCGGTCGGGCGAGTCGGGTTCATCTGCAAGGGCGCAGGAGTAGCGCCGGTGGGTGCGCCTTGCTGTGGCGGGTGCGGAGAGAGTGGGGGGGAGTGAGTGACAATGGGAGCAAGAACAGCAGAATCGGTCGTGATAGCAGAGGCTCGGGGAGCGGGGGCAAGGCCAGGTGCCAATGTTGGGGAGGCTATCATGCTGACCTCGCTGATGGGCGTCATGGGGCTGGCAGGGTTTCTGGGCGTGGCAGGTTCTTCCGGGATGGTCTCGGCGTGGATTCCGAACGGGTTGTGCGCATCCTGGCTGTCACTGGTCATGGGCCGTTCCCAAGCGCTGGAGCCCGGAGCCCGGTTCATGGTTGGGCTGGCGACCATGGCGATGTTTTGCTGAGGGCTCTTGCTTGCCCGCTTCTCCGCGGTGCTCGGGGCGAGGAACAGCTGGGTCATCGGCCGTAGACTGAGGCGTGGTGGTTTCGCGGGAGTCGGGGGAGCACGAGCATGGTCCCCGAATGGATTGCCATTGAGTTTCTCGTCATCAGCCAGACGCTGTTCCTCTCGCATCTGCCTCTTCCGCTTGGCGACGACAAAATACACCAGGCCAAGGATAACAAAGATACCAGCCAGGACGCCGATTGCAATGCCCGCCTTAGCCGCTGAGTTGCTTGAACCTGAACTTGAACCTGAACCAGAACCAGAACCAACCGACTGAGTTGCTGATGCCTCCGAGGCAGCTGTGGATCCCGCAGCCGTGTGCGACCTGGAGCTGGAGGAGCTTGAGGCTGCGGTGGCCAGCGCTAGTGGGTCTGTAGCGGTGTCGGATGCCACTGTGGAGGCCATGATGGCCGGGGGAAGTGTCGATGATGTGTGGTCGTCATTACCCGGACTGAGGCTGGTGCTGCTGGCAACGTCGCTGCTTATGGGGGTGCCCTTGAGAGCGGGCGCGCCCATGGAAACCCTCGGAGTGGGAGTTGGATCATCTCGGTCAGTTGCCGTTACTGTCTGGGTGACGGTCGCACGCTCGAGAGTTGTCAGGAGGCCGACGCCGTCCCAGCCATCTGTCTTGGTCTCGTAAATTGTGACTACCCGCCGCTGCTTGCGAAAGGTCGGCAAGGCACCCTCATCATTGCCCATGGCTTTGTCCTGGATCCATTCAGAGCCAGGGACGACGTCCGCGACATCGCCCAGTCCTCGTCGGTGGACATGACTTCTTTTGACAGACATGTTGATTAGTACTTTGCAGATCCGAACCCGTCACAACCTATCTCATCAATGTCGCCTGGTTGCTCTTCCGTGACACATTAAACCGTTGCGTAATCTGCGTGCGTCTGGCCTAGTAAATGTAATGACTGTCTGGTGACGGGGGCGTCGTGTGGAACTTGTGCGGAGGAATGGGCGGGAGAGAAATTATCTTGCACAGGTATGGAAGCAGTCGAGGTCACAGGTGGGTGACGAGATCCGAGTGGAGGCGGGCAGGATTATTGATTATCGACTTTGACTGACAGACAGAAAAGAATGACAAGCAGCCTGAGCTTTGGGGTCCGCGAGAGACTTGGCCAAGTCGGAAGCAGCCTCTGCGCGCAATGGGAGGTATGCCAAATGAAGGAACGAAGACAGTCAAGTCTTCCTCACGCCAGCTTTGCGACGGTGGGGTGCGAAGGGTGAGGCGCCGCTGAGAAGGAGTGGTCAAGATGCAGAGGCGGTCCTAAAAAGAGAGACGGGAGGAAGGAAGGAGTGAGAGGCAGAGAGAGGCTGTGCCCGGTAGCGTGTGTACTTAGCATGAGTGTTGGTGAGGTGAGCATGGGCATGGGTGTGTGCATATGGATGTGCGATATCCACCTGCAGCTGCAGCCGCACCTGCAGGCTCTGTCTGGTTGGGCCGGTCCTGTGCTGGGCTGGGCTGGGCTGGGGCCTGTTGGATGGAGAGGAGGGCAGGAGGGGGCGCACCTCGGGAGCAGAGATGTGGGCCGGTCAGGGTCGGCAGGTTGGGTTGGGGACCACACGAAGCACACACACACACACGCAAGCAGGCGTGGCGAGCAGGCAAGATTCCTCGGGCAACGGGGACCTGGGAGACCTGGGCAACTGCCAGCTGGGGTCCCGAGAGAACAATAACCTCGCATCCCAGCATGCAGCTTGCTGACAGCGTCGTCTGCGGGGGGCACGGCATATGGCAAAAAAGAGGGCGGCAGGGCGGCTTTAGCGACCAGGAAACGGACCCAGGAAACGACAGTCCTCAGCAGCTTCCCCAAACCTTGTCCCGGGAGGCGTCATTGGCATGGCAAGCAGTGATCGACCTCTCCTCTGGCGATCAGATGGGACATTTTGGCAGACGAGGGGAGCTCGACTCGCTCGAACAAACAAACGTGGGCTGCGTGGCAGGCGTGGGCACGGGGCACGGGGCACTGGGCAGAACTGGCGGAGCGGCACAGGCCAACGGATCGACCCTGAACCAGAACCCAGGGCCGGGCCTCTGCACTCGGGGCCCTTATTACCGTAGGCGCCAAGCTCCTTCCAGTCTGCCAGTCCACCCCCATGTCCCTGCGGTCCATCCCCACCCTCCAGGTACGCCTCGATGCCCATTGGCCAGGCAGTCCACCCCAGTCATGCAGCTTGCCCCAAGCGAAATTTGTTTGCAGCAGGGGCCGCATCCTGCCTCGGGCTTTGATTGGCAGGCTGGGGTAATTTTTGGATGCTGCAGGCCGGCTCCTCGTCTGCACCCTGGGCCCTCGCTCTTGGCCTGATCGCCAGTTCGTCTGGTCTCTGGCCTCTGCCGTTTCTTTTTCTCTCCCGCTGTCTACTATGACCGCACCTGGAACCTGGCACCTGGCAGTGTTTTGTCCGTTGGTGAAACTTAAACAGTGATCTCCCGAGTGGATTCCTCTTTGTGGACGACAATCACACCCTCGCAATCTTCAGGTCGACAACCTGCCCACTGCCCGAATTGACTTCGGAAAATGCCTCTTTTATTGCTGTGTACGTGCTACTGCTGTCGTATCCGAACTCTGTGCGTAGTGGAATAATCTGCGCGGTGATGACAACAATGCTCTTGTCTTCAGGCCTGTGCTTGTTAGTCCCGACCGGCCTCAGCCTTGTCCAGCGTGGGCTGCGTGGGTATCCTGCTCGCCATCCTCTGCTGTCTCATCAGTCCTGCAGTCCTGCAGTCCTGCCACTAGACCCGAGAAGACGTTGGGGGCCAGACGATCCTCATCATCAGCAGACAGTCTCGCCATCCCCGCCCCGGCAGCTCGGCCAGCCTATCTGGTGGTGAGATCAGCACAATTCCGCCCTGCTTGCGCGGAAACCTTGCGCGGAAATCTCCTCGTCGTCATCCCCCCCCCCCACACCTCATGACAACGCCATCGCGCTCATGCCGATGAGCCCGTCTTGATTCCAGTCATGCGATAAGTGACGAGCCGCCTGCAAATGAAGCAATCTTTATCTCGATTCCCACGGCCCACACGGGGATTTTGCACCGCACTGACTGTGGGGTCTGACCTCGGCACCCCGGTCTAGTCCACAATCTTGCTGCGTGAAATCTGGTGTACATACAATACACCACAGTACTACCTAGTACGGAGTAACAATGACGGGTCCCCGCCAGCGTGACAGGGCGGGTCCCCCGGAAGAGCCGTGTCATAAACCCAGCCAGCGCGTCGAGCCACCGTTGGGCAGTCCCCTCGTCGTCGTCTTCTCTACGCAGTACACAGTACTATGTAGCTTCCCGCCTTTGTGGCTCAAAGGTCTTGTGGTCACAGCGTCGGCGCTATGTTTCAGAATTGAGGTAACCTCTTTCTAGCCGGCGGGCCTCATCTCTTCCACTTGAAATCACAATCTACTTTTTCAGGCTGCGCAATAGGATCAACTGTCTGTATGGTATCATGGGCGCCTCCGCGGCCCGTCGCTACTATCCAGACACTGGTATCAGTGTCAAACATCTTTTTTTTTTCCAAACTCTAACGCCAGACAAATGCATCCCTTGTATCGCGGGAACATCCCGCCGTTTGGGTTCCCTGTCCTTCTACAGTAAGGACCAGCGATGGCGAAAAGTCGGGCCCACCCGCCCTTCTGAAGGAAAAACTTCAATTTCACACCCTCCAGTGAAATTTCTTGAAAAGTCCGCTAACCCCAATTGGGTAATCACTATACTCAAAGTGGCAGGCGGTCAAGCATTCTGCCCCTTCCACCAGTTTTCTTACCAGCTACCCACCAGCACTTTATACTAGCAGACCGTATAAGTAAAGATGCCAGTTGCTAGCAAACTACCTCAATTTTATATGACAGACCCACTAGATCTGAGGTACCCACAAAATATTTCAGACCCACCCAGCCTGGTGAAATGAAATCTGGCTGGGTGACTGAAATATTTCGACTTTGAAACTTTCACTGGCCATCGCTGGTAAGGACATGGCCACCCCAGTCTCTGCTAGGATCTTGAGTCGGTTGGATCCAGGTCCGTGTCCACAGGGCCAAGAGGTCGGCTCTCGCCGTGACCTTCTTCCAAAACGTTGTATGCAGCGAGCAAGAGTCTGATCTGCTTCAACTGCTGGGCATTCTATCCCCAGCGCTGTTGCTGATTGTTCTGAGCCTGTGCGCCGTAGTAGTTGGGATACTGGTAATTTTGCGCCGGAGCGGGAGGGCTTGGGCCATTGTTGGGCGGGTACTGCCCAGGCACGCTGTACCCTCCAGCTGGTGGCAGGTAACTTGTCTGCTGCGCTGGTCGCTGCTGTTGTGGTGTTGACCAGCTTGGCGGGGGGACGGGAGGAAAGGGGAACGGGTTGCCCTGGGCTGGACTCCAGCTGGGCATCGGGTAATTGGGAGCTGGGGCGCCAGGACTAGTAGAGGATCCGGGTGCACCTCCGAACTGGGGCAGCGGTGGTACTGGGAACGGCCACTGGCCTGGTGCAGGAGGTGGGATCACCGGGAACGGAGGTGGCGGTTGGTGAGGGTTTTGAGCTTGCGGTTGTGTTGGATGCTGTGGACGGCCATTGTGTCCTTGGCCGCCACCTCGGCCGCGCCCTTGGAAGCCCCTTCCTCGACCGCGACCCCTCGAGTCTCCACGCCGCCCGCCGTTCTGGCCACCCCTGGTACCGCCGTTCATGGCCGGGAAAGCCGGCACGCCAGGGGGCGGCGGAGGGGGAAGCCCCATACCGAAGTTCGAGGGACGTGGCAGCTTGTGATATGTGCCGTCATCGTCCTCGCCATAATTAAGATTCGAATCGCCCATGGCAGAAGGTGGCTGCGAGCCACGGTCATCGCCCTTGTTCGCTTTGCCCTTGCCGCCACGCTTCTTGTTCTTCTTCTCTCTCTTGTGGGCTTGTTCTTGCTCGTCGTCTGAGTACTCCATCTCGTCTGGGCCAACCTCCTCGTCATGCAGGTTGCTTGCGTCGGATCCCTTTTCCTGCCTGAGCTGCGAGGGGAAAACAAAGTTTGCGTGCGACTTGGAATACCACACCTGGGTGCCTCGCTCCAAGCCAGCCGCCTTCGCTTCCTCCTCTGATCGGAATCTGAGGATATACATGGGTTTATGCACAGTCGCAATTGTGTCGTGAATGACTCCAAGAACGTGGCGATCCTCTTTACAGAGGACAGAGCCGCGGTCCAACACCGTGACGGCAGCCCCCACTTGGAGCGCCTCGATGACGGCTTGGGTGCCTTCAACGATGTGCTGTACAACTCCCAGGGGTGCGATGATGTCTTCTGGACTGAGATTGATATGGGGTGTCGGCTCAGGCTCGTCCGGGAGCTCGTTCTTAGTGCGCACCCCGGCAGCCTGCTTCGCAGCCCTTGTACCGTCCATCTCATCATCACTCCCACCGTCGGCCTCCATCAGCAACCGTGCCGTCTCCTCGACACCCAGCAGCTTAGACTCATCCACGTCGGACTCGTCATCGTCATCGTCAGAGCTACTGTCGGAGCTTGAGGATTCGTAGGGCGAGGAATCAACTTCCCACTCGGGGTTCGCATCAACCACTCCTTCAACTGGCGCCGTCTCTGTCAACTCAGCTTGACCGTTGATGTGGGCCTCGGGAGAGAGCTTGTCTTCACCAGCTTGCTCCTCTTCGCTCTTTGATACTGGGCCAAGCAGACCATCAAGCGCAGCTTCGAGTGCATGCGTGACACTGGGTGACTCGTCTTCCTTTTCGGCCGACTGGCTCTGATGCTTCTCAGTAGAGGTATTTCCACGCTCTTCCATTTTCTCTGGACCAGCTGTTGTTTGTCCTTTGTTTGCATCGGATTTTGGCTCGATAGAGGCTTGGTCTTCTGGTTGTTCATCATGTTGCGCCGTCACGGCAGTCTCTTCCCGAATGCTGTTCGACTGGAGCGACGTTGGCTCGGAGCCACCCATAACAGTGTCCACCCTTTGTAAAGCTTGCCCATCCTCTTGTGCTACCACATCTTCCATGTGATTATATGCCCTCGGGACAACTTTGTTTTCCTCTTGTGGGCCTGGCCTGGGGCCATCTGTCATTGCTGTGTCGGTGTCTGCCTGGGTGCTCGTGGTGGCGCTTGGCTTTTCGGGGTCGAGATTCGCTGCTGCCGGCGTCGCTTCGGTCTGAAGCTCGCCCAGGCCGGGTATGTTGAAAGAATGGTCCATGGCGGAGTCAACCCTATCGAATGTGGCAGGGTAACGGGGTAACGGGGTGTGGTAGGTAGACCTGTCGGGTCACGAGGTGTGGGATAGCAGTATCCAAAATGTATGGGCCTCGCCTTTGCGGCTCAATAACACTTCCATAAAATATCGTATCCAAAGGCTCACACAAAACTTGGGGAATGCTTCAGCAGAGAAAGTAAACAGGGACGAAAAGCTGGGAGTGGGAAGGTTGGACGGAAAACTAATCCTAATCTCGAACTTTTCGGTTATCTTTTTTCTGGGTCGCTATCGATAAGGCGAGGTGGGATGGAAATTACTAGGATGTGAGGTGACGTCTGCTGGGGCTAGTAAATGTAGCGGCCAGCCGTTGGGTGAGTGGGTCCTTGACAGGTACCATACCACAGGCGGGCACGTCCGTCCAGAGCTCTCGTCTCAATACCTCAGATTCAACTCAACCTCTCTCAACACCATTTCCGGCCCCACGTTGTACCTTGGTCGCGATCTCACTCGTTTTCACACACACAAGCCAAGATGCCTCCCAAGACGGCCCAGTCAAGGGAGTTTGTCCATCCTGAAGCTTCACACGCTCGAAAAATGTAGGCTCCAATGGGTAAAGCTTCGGCCTAGGTGGCCTTAGCAGTGCGGTTTGGCGCGCAGGTGCTGACGGCTCCTTCAGAAAACCAAGTCTCTTCGCGCTAGAGCCCATATATGCATTTTACATGTTCTTGGCGGCCAATTTGATCTCGGCCTTGTTCAACCCGATCCAGGACTGTGATGAGACGTTCAACTTTTTAGAACCCACCCACTACCTAACCCATGGTTACGGCCTGCAGACATGGGAATGGTCACCTGCCTATGGCATCCGGGATTGGCTCTACGTACTCCCTCACGCAGTGGTTGCAGGCATGCGCCAACTGCTCCCACAAGCTACAAAGGTGAAGCTATCCCGCACGTCCCGTCCGGACGATCGTGTGTGCAACCCACGCTGATGCTGTCTGAATAGCTTGGGGGCTTCTACCTCATCCGCTATACGCTCGCCTTGGCTTGTGCGCTGTGTCAGACTTTGCTCTATCGTGTGGTCAGCCTCACCGTGCATCCACGGATCGGTGTCTTCTTTGTCCTGGCTATGGTTCTTAGCCCTGGGAACTTTCATGCAAGCACAGCATACCTGCCCTCAAGCTTCACAATGTACACGGGCATGTTGGGAGCTGCAGCCTTCATGGACTGGGCGGGAGGATTCAAGACCGCTGCTGGTATAGCCTGGTTCGCCGCTGGTGGCATCATCGGCTGGCCATTCGCCATGGCTCTTGCCACCCCCTTCCTTCTCGAAGAGGCTCTCCTCGCCATAACGGCCCTCGGCAACCTTGACCAGTTCCTCTTTGCAGTACGACGAGTCACAAGAGGTGTCCTTGCTGCTGTTGGTATCCTGGTGAGTGTCCTTTGAAACAATTGGCCGACAACGAACTGACAGGTCTAGGCGGTCGATTCGCTGGTCAACTCCTACTTCTACCGAGTGTGGGGCATCGTCGTCTCATGGAATATTGTCAAGTACAATGTCTTCTCCAAAGGCGGTGGCCCCGAACTATACGGCACCGAGCCATGGACGTTCTATTTCAAGAATCTGGCGCTGAACTTCAACTTATGGTTTGTTCTGGCTCTGGTCGCATTGCCACTCTTTCTACTGCAGAAGATCGTCGCTCCCAGTGGTCGCGCCTTTTCTTCATCCCTGCGGGCCATTGTATTCCTCTCGCCCTTCTACCTGTGGTTCACTATTTTTACGCTGCAGCCCCACAAAGAAGAGCGTTTCATGTACCCTGCCTACCCTTTTCTGGCCCTCAACGCAGCAGTGTCAGCCCACATCATCCTCACTGCGGCCGGCCATGTCAGCAAGAACACAGTGATTGGTAAAGTTCCGGCATCCGTCAGGCTCGTCTTGACTGTTGTCGTCCCGTTCTTGCTGGTGTTATCTTTGTACCTCCTCCGAGTAATCGGCATTTACTCAGCATACGGTGCACCTCTGTCACTGTACGACCCGCTTGGTGCCGGTACTCGCGGGGGAGACGCTGGGCTGCTTGGTGGCCGGGGCGACTCTGTGTGCTTCGGAAAGGAATGGTACCGGTTTCCGTCTTCATTCTTCTTGCCCAGAGATATGCAGGCCAAGTTTGTACAATCTGAGTTCCGTGGCCTGCTTCCAGGGCAGTTCCAGAGGAGCAGTCTACTGGAAGGCTTCACCGGCACCTACGTGCTCCCCAGCGGCATGAACGACCAGAACAAAGAGGACCCGGGAAAATACATCGACATCGCACAATGCAAGTTCCTGGTGGACACTCACTACCCCGTAAACACGGAGAAGGGGCTGGGCTTGCCGCCTAACGAGCCCGACTATATCGCCGACACAGTGAATTGGGAAATAGTTAAGTGCATCCCTTTCTTGGATGCTGGGAACACCGCGCTCATACCCAGGATGATTTGGATTCCCAGCTGGAGCTGGATTCCGGAAAATTACCAAAGGAAATGGGGGGAGCATTGCCTGCTCCAGAAGCGAGGTTAGATGGAAGAAGCGCCAAGTCACAAGCAGTCTCTAGAGACCTGAAAAATGCACAAGCTCAAGGCGCAATTATATGATACGTACAAGACTACCTTGGTGAGAAAATTAAGTAAGATCAGGCCGTGATTATATCTATCAGCACGTTGTCGCCTCATCTCAATAGTGGGCGGTTGCACCATTGTAATAGCTGATCTGACCAGAAGTTGTTCAGTTGGAAATCTCTAAGAACGTAGCGTGGAGGCCGATTGTCACCTCCTACTCACCATTTAGTCTACACAGCCCGCTGGAGGTTGGCAGGCATAGGCCCCGGTAATGATAAACAATGCCTGATTCTGGCACACCAGCCAGGTGGCCAGTTTCTGTCTCTGCAAGCCGGCAGTGGACCAGGTAGAGGCATCTCCCTAGAAGTACTTGAGACAAATGCTCCAAAGGCCTTCTTGGTCGGACTGGGTGACCCGTCGAGAGCAGGCTTCCTACTACACTCTCAAGAAATACAAGTAGGGAAGACTGGGCTTGCACCCGACCGGCTTGTGGAGGTAGTACACGGGTACCGAGCCCGCAAACAATCATTTCATCTGAGCAATACAGGAGATTAAAGTTTGTGTGCCCCCCCCCCCCTGCAGGCTTGTAAACACGGTCACAAGCAAGACTGGGGGCCATTTTCTCACATTTCAGATGCACTTGCAACAACTACCTCAGCACAGCTCCTGCTGACGATCAACCAAGCAGTCAATTAGGATCTAACGACTGAATCGATTCCTCACGACATCAATACTTCTGTCTTTCCTACCATGAGGTTCCTCCTCCTTCTGTCCAACACCATCGTGTCCGCCGCGATCGGCCTGTCTGCAACAACCACAACACTCTTTCTCAATTCCCAAGAAGCATCTCTTCTCAGTCAAAGATCGACAAACGACACCGACACCGCGCCCCTCGTCATTCGCGGTGACACAATGGAAGTCGGGTCGCCTTGCCCTGAGCTCGAGGGTGAATGGAATTGCATGGTCACTTCCTTCCAGCGATGCGCCTCGGGCCGGTGGAGCATTGTGCTCAACACCGCTCACGGCACCGTTTGCGAGCCTGAGGGCTTCTCCCACGACTTCCAGCCCGCTTTTGCCAGCTGGTATCCACCAACGGACACGACCGAGGCGATCGTGTGTACAGCCACGGTCACAGCGCCCAGTGTCTCGACAGATACGACTCGCCCGGGCGGTTCTATTGGGGCATCGCCCTCAGATGCAGCGCCACACCCCGTGGTTTGGGCCGTGGTCTTTGGCTTGGGGAGTATGGCTCTGCTTTTCTTGGCCATGTAAGGGGTCAGGGGGATTTGGGCATGTGGAAATCAACTATTATCAAGGAAATAGTGTGGACAACATGATCAAAATGAGCCTCGTCGCTTCAGATTGATTTCACCAGTCAATACTAGGATAAAGTTGAGCCAGGGGAGAGCGATGGAAGTCTCAGTGATGCTCTGTAGCCTGGCCAAAGCTTGGATTGATTTGAGGATCTGGGAAAGCTCCATCCATGGATGTATGTCTACATGCAAGAGACAAGGAGAGTCATTTGGTCGGTCATTACGCTCGCAAAGCCATCCAGAAGATGGTTAACAGACAGCCTGATTGTTCGAGACACAACCCTGGGAAACTATACTGGGACCCTCACCGCATGTTGAGACCAAATGAACTCTCTGAATCAAATCTACACATTATGAAAATATTGCTTCTTATGGTATCTATGTCCTCTGCCTGCAATTATACAACGGCAGGAATGGAAATAAGTCATCAAGGCAGTAATAGCCTCAGTTGTGTGCATTCACACGTTTCTCTCTCTAACACGCCAAACTTCAGTACCTAGGTACCTACTTAAGTACTTAGTAGGTAGCTTGTCTTCCTGCTCTTAGTGCTAACATTAGGTACCGCCTGGCCATGGTACCTGGGTACCTAAAATACCTATGTACCTAGGTACTGATCCACGGACTTGGCGCCAGTGAACTTACTTAAGTACCTAGGTATTCAGTCAAGAGTCCACAGGCCGGCCAGGTATTCTTTTTAGATGAGAGAATCAGATTCGTGTAGTTCAAATGTCTGTCTATTTACTTCGCTCTGGCCTGGTTGACACATTGCATAACTACTGGCCGCTGCCACTCGGCATTGCAGTCAGGTCTGTGTCAAGCACGGCAACACTCAGTTGCGGAAGGCTGAACTCAAAGGCTCCATTGGGGCCTGAAGTCACCTCCTGCATGGTCGTGTTGACAATGTTAACACCCGTGCGAGGATCATTGTAGGCAAAAGGATCGCCGACACTGTTCGTCAGAACGGTCAGCGATGCCTTGGTGCCCGCCTCGACGCCCTCAAACTGCACAGACACGGGGACATCAGCGCCATCTGTGGTGTTGTAAACTGCTCCCTTCCAGACGAACGCGCCATCCCTGGCCGAGTCAGTGCCGGCGCCCCCTAGTGGTGAAGTTAGTCCTGCTACGGGTCCTAAAGTGTTGTATTCTAGAACATTCCAAAACATGAAAGACGGGGGTCCGTAAAAGGTGAAAAGTGATACTGACAGTACAATGGGCCGTAGCTCGAGTTGCTCGTCGTGGGAAGCGTGTCGCTGATAGGGTGGTGGGCGAAGAGACTCCAGCAGTACCACGTGACGGCGCGAGTCGTCTGCTTCGGGTCCGCGGTGTACTGGAGCAGCGTGATGGGCCACTGGAACCTGTTCTCGTTTTTCAAGACAGGGGCATAGAATGTGCCGGGGATACGGTCCGAGTTGCGCTCGTAACCGATGAGTGAGATGGCCTCGCCTACCGCCCCGATCCACCACGGGTATTTATACAGTGCGCCCTCCCAGCGAGGAGGAGTAGCCCCGTTAACATGCGTAGCAGCTACCTCTCCAATGATGTGGCCGATGTCGTTGTCGAAGCGGTCAAATTCGAACACGAGCTCGTCCGGCTCGCGGTATGGGTGGTAGTCGCCAATAGCACCGGGAGTCTTGGAGAAATCGAGCCCGTCGCTGAGGTTTGGCCCAGTGGTCTCGCCTTCCGGTGCTGGGTCGCTACTGGCGCTAGAGGCAATGACCTGTATCTCTGGGTACGCAGCTGTGATAGCGTCGAAGAACATCTGGAATCGGTACTCTTTGTACGAGTCCCAGCCGGAGGGATAGCCAGCCAGCCAGTCCTCGTTGCCCACCTCCACATAGTTGAGCTCAAAGGGCTCAGGGTGGCCGAGCTCAGCACGGCGTGCGCCCCAGGTCGAGTCTGCTGGTCCGCGGACGAACTCGATCTCGTTGAGAGCATCGTCGATAAAAGGCTGAAGATCCTGTTGAGGCGTTACATCCCCGTTAAGAGAGAGGCCCGCGAAGACGCCAAGCACTAACTATCATATCAGCCAAATAATTCACTCCTGCAGCATATTCGACGCGTTCAAAGACTCACCAATCTGAAGACCCATGTCCTCTGCCCATTCGAGGTACTCTAGGAGACCAAGACCGTGGGTCTGTTGGTATCCCCATACGCCCGGGAAACCAGGGCGGTCCTTCAAAGGGCCGATAGAGTCTTTCCAGTCCCAGTAAGTCTTATTTGTGTTTCCCTCCATCATATTACCCCCAGGAAAGCGCAGTTTAGTCTTTTGGTGGTTAGTAGAGAACAAGAATGTCGCAGGCGAGGGACTTACAGGGTTCAAGTCGGCGAGAGCTTGTGCGATATCAACTCTCAACCCATTCTTCCTATCCTTGTACGTGGGCGGGAAGAGGCTGATGAGATTGAAGTGCAGCGCGTCGCCTTGAACTGCATCCACGTCAAAGGTGACCGAAAAGGTGTTGTTGCTGCTCGGAGCGTCAAATTCGGGGACGATCTCGAACCCATGTTCTGTCCACCCGCCCTCGACGGACTTGGACGCGACCTCGACGGAGCCGAAAACATCATCGGTCAGATTGGACTGCAGCGATGCAGTGAAGGACCCATTGTAAGCGCCCTTAACCCAGAAGGATCCTGTGTACTTTTGCCGGCTGACAGCCATGCCCCAAAACCCTTCATTCTTGAAGCCAATCTTTCCGGTGCTATTGCTTCCAGCCGAGACTCTTAGTGATGCAGGCAAAGCCTCTGAAAGAGGGTCATCGAGGAACTCGATGCTGAAATTGGCCCCATTGACAGGGAAATAATGTGCCGTTGACACGGGGTAATTAGGGCTGTACTGAAACGCTCGGTTCCTACAGCATTCGGAGTCAGCTACTAGCAACAAGGCGAGGAGTGAGCCGCGATGCCCATAGCCTGTCTCAAAACCTGTAGACCGTGAAGTCTCTGTTGCGTACGTACGCTCAGAACCTTGGAAGCGGACATGTCTGTACGTGTAGGGGTCAGGGTGTATTGCTTACTGGATGAGCTCTGCGTATATACCGCCATCGCCGCTATGGTGACGTTAGTCCTGCTGCGGATTCCAAGGAGTTGCGTTCTAGAGTTTCCAAAACATGAAAGACGGGATCTGTGGCCGGCTTACGAGTTGTTGATATCCTTGAGTCCGGGTCAGCCATGGTAAGTCAACAGCAGTTGCTCAAGTAACTCACCTCATGCAGAAAACCGTATCCGTACGGATGTCCAAATTTGACGGTGGAATTACCTCCAGATGCCTGAACTCGAACATCGACAGCAACTGAGGAAGTGATGAAGCTCGCAGCGGCGAGAGCCTGCTTCAGGTACACCATTTTCCCACGGGTTCGACGTTTGGTCGCTTATTAACGAGCAGGGCTGCCATCCACATCTCGTGTCAATACTCAACTTGATGTTCTCAATAGATCTTATATACCATCTCGTCTCTTGTATTCCAGCGTATTTACTCGGGACCCTGGCTGCGCCCTGATCTTCAACTGGTGCGCGTAGAATGTGATCTCCACAGGTTCGGGCTTTCATTGAGGCGTGGCGGGTAACGCGACGAGCTGCAGGCATGGCATTACAAGCAGGGGCGTACTGTACGCCAAGCTTGTCGTGAGTCTATTGTCGGTCATTGGTGGGCGGCAACCACCCTGGCGGTCATAGACATCTTGGGTGTTAGCGCCAATTTATCGAGCGGAGAAATTGGTACAGCACCCCGTCTCCCCCTTAGGAATTCGTCAAGCCTCACAACAGCACACACCAGGCGTCGTGCCCCGGCCCTTCAAGAGCCGAGGTGTTGTGCCTTGGGTGCCTGTGTGCATGGTTCGGGCGACGGCATAGCTGGGTGCAGGGGATAACTAGGCCCACCTGCTGTGGGCACCACTCAGATGGCGGAGAACCCTGTCTCCCACAATAGCGCCAGGCGTATACCTACCTACCCTTGTTGCCTTGCTACATTTTGCAACAAGCAATCTCACGATGCAGATACCCCATGGGCTCACTACACCTTTGCCAAGAGAACGGCCCCGGGGTAGTGTACGGACCGTATTTGTGGGGAAGCACTTGCGCACAAGCCGAGAAGCATGCCGGCACTTTCTAGTAGTGTATCTACTTAAGTACCTAGGTAGGTACCTAGTCTACACAGTGATTCTGTCAATTCACTGTCAAAGACCGCACGCCCGACATTCCCATATTTTCGACCATCAAAGAGCAGTATCGCATTTACTATTGCCATACCACAGCCACGCCTGCAGAAAATGCCAGTACATCATACCTAGCAAAGTCCTTGTGATTCAAATATTGTCTATGTACTGGCTTTCTGTAGGGGGTTCATCTATAGAACGGAGAATGTCCCAAGGGAGGGTATCCTATAAGAGGCTGTCCCATAGGACGTCACGGTTATCCTACCCTGGTTTGGTTGGAGTATGTCAACTGGTAGTCGCGTAGCTGATGACCAACCACGTATCCATGATAGGTGACGTTACGCGGTATTTCTACGAGAATGCAACAACAAAAGACTTAATAGAATGTGAGGCACAAACATGCAGCAGAATCTGGTTGAAAGCGTGAATTTAGTCGTTCTCTTTGAGGCTGCCCTCTTTGGCGCACATGTGCAGTGCCTGTGAGTTAGGTGGCTTATCATATTGTCACCTAGTTGTTTGATATCCGCAAAGAGAGAGAGTTGAAAGTGAGTGGAACAGTTCCTTCTCCTATCCGGAATCTAAGATAATTGAACACGTTAGCAGCTAGTGTTCGTGCTGGCCAGCTTCCAATCACCCGGTAAAATGTTGGAAATAAGGGGTTCTTGAATCCAGCGAGTCTCATACATCGAAGCATTAGGCTTTTTGCGGAGGTCCGCTGGGGAACCCACACAATACTCCGCCTTGCTGCTGGTATCCGGGCTTCCAAAACTCGACTACCCCCTTTACGCAATTTGAACAACTCTAGCCCCTCACATGATCAACGCAAAAATTGTGTAACCGAATGGTGAGTATCAGGGAGGTGCATGCATGCCAAGAAGCCTCGCAAACCTTGGTAGCATCTATATAAATGGCTGACCGATCGCTGCGAGCGGTCAAAAGTTTAACATAAGCAAACCCCCCTCCCTTCTTTGAGGCTCAACCTCTATTCGACTGAATCCTGCGGATTCCTTTGCTTTCCTATGATGGCTGGCCCCGGTAGCTCCACAGAAGCCCAAGGAGGCATTGCCAGGGCTCTTACTGCGCTTGATCACCCCATGAATTATAGCAATTCGACCTTCATAGAGCAGAAGCCGGCAAATGCGGAAGAACGGCAAGCCTACCTGTACGACCGAACAACCATAGAGGACCTCATCAGTGACTACAATTACGGAGTCGATGCTAGTATGGTTAAAACCCACATGCGCAAGACTCTAGAAAGTCTCTTCAGCAAAAATGCTGAGGTGGTTTTCCCTCACGGAAAACATTATGGCAATACAGGACTGGGAGACTGGCTTTTGTTACCAGTCTTGCAACTTCACCGCATGTCTGTGGGTTATGTCTATTTCTGGCACGTTGAACAGCAGTTGACAGTTACTTTTAGCACTTGTCGTCAAACCACAGCGTCAAGTTCGAATCCCGCACTGTGGCGCACGGCCGTTCGGCCTGGAAGTCGTCAGCGGGACTTCATGCAGCAGACATCGGCCAGACATTCTCCACCGGGGGTTATTATTACTGGTCATTTCGAAAGGTCGAGGAGGAATGGAAGATATCGTACCTCTTCGTCGACTTGACATGGACCAGCGGGGCATTTCCCGGCACAACAGCGAAATGAGGTATCATTCACATAGGTACCTAGGTACTGACAATTCATATCCCTCAGGAAAAATGACTTTCTGTCTCTTAATCGCTTTCAGGTGTTTGGACCACTACCCTAGGGTAGCTTGGAGACTCTAATCGAAAGACCCCATTAAGTGTATCTCAGGCCACTGCCCAGTTCGTGAGCTCCGCCATCCAGAGCCAGCCCAATATCAGTGGGATTGCGGCCAGCACAATCCACCAGATCTCAACTGTGATCTGCCGTTTCATCCAGCGTCTCCAGGCAGTCCTCCAGTCCCGCCGATAGGCGCATTGCGGAGTTGCAAAGACTAAGCAGCCGAGGCCTGGCCGGGACTCACATTCGATGTGCTCCCGACGCCTTTGTATTAGGAGACTGTTGGTGCTGAATGTCAGCGAAATCCGAGACAGATGTTGCAGTGTGGTGATTATATAGATGACACACGTTACGCTACCCCTGCAAAACTCGAGGTCAGAACGCAGGTTGCACTTCCGGTCGTTTGGACAGTCCAGGTGCAGCATTCTCCTCTCCATTAGCCACGCCACCTTGAGCCGAACGCCAGTGTCGACCAGGTTGTAGAAGTGACGGCTGGTATGTTTTAGGGAGAGCGCGTCAGGATACGTGAGCTCCTTGCTGATAAGAAGATGAAGTTCCGTCGGCAAGTCCATTAAGTTGGTCTGTGGCCTCGGTGCCGACGCCTCAATGCTGTGGTTGGCGGTGACCAACTCGTCATTTCCCAGGTCTGCTGACTTGGTGGTCTGAACAGGGATATGGCAGCATAGCAGGGAAGTCATGATGTGCCCTGTTCGAGAGTATGGCTTTGTAAGGTGAGGTGGTTTGTTTCAGGGGACTGCAGATTGTTTTCGAGGAAACGATGAGTGATGAATTGATGGAAATGGCACGGGTTGGGAAACGGCAAGATGGCTTGTACGAAATGTGGTTGCCTGGGGAAGGGACACACATCACATTGGCGCCCGACCTTGCTTGCCGGTACGTTTGGATCCAGGGGCCAGAGTGGTCAGCAAATGTAGAAACTGGGAATTCCATGAAAAGTTATTGCAACCAAGGTGTAGAGACGAGAATGACCTTCTTGCTCGAGTTGTGGTTCTGCGCATGCCTTTGCCGAAGCTACCAGCCGGGCATTGAGCCGTCTCTGCACTTTCCACTGAATTGGCCAGTTGAATTTCAGAGCCGAGATGAGAGTCGATATGATTGAGTGTGCCTTGACTGATGATCAGCTGTTGCCCTTCACTACCTAAGTAGGTACTTAAGTACCTACCTAGGTACCTGTGTACCTAAGCAGGTAAGCAGGTAGGAGCTGGTATTAAATCGCGTAGGCATTGAGCACCCTATGTAGACTCGAGCCCCTGTGCAGTCCGTCCCAGGCAACCAGGATACATATTACCACGTGCTTCCGCTCCACTAGCGCGTGTTGCGGGGGCGGGGAAGGCAGCCGCTCGTCTCGTCTCGCGCGACCAAAACCACCCTTGTGCAAACAGTCATGACGCGGCAAGCAGCAGGTCGATGATGCGTCCTGATGCAACAATAGGCATGAACTACTTGTACAGCCGCCGTCATGGCGTCTGACAGCGACAGCGAGTACGCCTTATCACTTGAAGAAGAACAGTTACTGGTCTCCCTCGTCAAAGACACGCCACTTGACCGTGCTGGTTCGCCCCACGATGCACCCAAGAGCCTTCCGAGTAGTTCGCAGCCGAGGGCTGCTTTGGTTGGCGTCGGCCGCACCAACAGCATCAACGCCTTTGTCCACAAGACCCAGCCGCAGTCTACGCCGTCAGTCATCCCGGCTGACGACATCAGGTACCCGGATCGTAGGCACAACAACTCCCCGCTATCGAGGTCCCAAAACCCTGACTGACCTGCAAGATTCCAGTGACTCCGGCCTTGGCCAATGTGGAACAATCCGAATCCTGCGGGCAACCCAAACCTCTGGCCGATGATACCCCGGATGCAAGACCGCCACTTCTTCGATTCCGAACATATCCCAGGAAGCCGCTCTCAGTCTCCGACTTGACCGCAGGGGCGTGGTGCGAGCTTCAGTATGAATATACCTTGACCCGGCTGCCGGGCGGCAAGAAGACTAGGACGGCGGCCATGAAAGAAGGCAGCAAGCTTCACCAGAAACTCGAAGATGAAGTGCACACCACCGTGCAGGTCGAGATAGCAACCAAGGAGGATGCTTTCGGCCTGAAAGTCTGGAACATTATCCAGGGTTTGAGGACGCTCCGGGACACCGGTCTGACAAGAGAGCTCGAGGTCTGGGGTCTGGTCGACGGAAACATCGTGAATGGTCTGATAGACTTTCTAAGCTATCAGAATCCGAGCCCAGAGTTCGAAGATGAGTGGCTCAGCAGTCAAAGCAGCCAACCCGCCACCGAGGACAAGTCGCAACATAAGATCACTAACTTCTTCCCGTCGGATCGACCCGAGCCGCCTCGGACAAAGCCTTTGCGAAAGGTTTACCTGACGGATGTCAAGACCCGAGGGTCGAAGACCCTGCCAAAAGGTGCGGCGCTGCGGCCGACCAAGGTGCAGCTGTATCTCTACCATCGCTTTCTATCTGATATGGCCTCAGACAAGGTCGATTTCTTGCAGGTATTCAGGAGAGTAAGCAGCTTCTACATACAATTCTTACCCCTTCAGGGACAAACACACCCCAGTCCCGGTCTCCACAGCCAAGGCATCAGGGGCTACGTGCTTGTTGAAGACAGGCTATAGCCACCTTGTGGCCTACTCCTCGCGCCTCTTGGCAGTAAGCTATTCCTTGAAAGTCTTTGACCGCTGACTCCGAATGCTGTAGTACGGCTTGGACGTTGACTCGCCCTTCTCCGACGCTTTCCTCGCACAGATCGGCGAGTTACACGACGACGTGTTTCACGACTCCAGCTCCGTCCTGTCTACGACCACGGCGCCATCCCAGGACTCGGATGTGCATGATCTCTTGAAATATCGCTCGCTGCAGGAGCTTGTCCCGTTGCTTAGAGATGAGGTCAGGTTGACCTTCCCGGCGGGCGCTGATAGCCTGGGAAGCTTGGTGACTGTGGAATACCGACTGCGCGGGCAAGAAGGTGAACGCATCGGGGCCACCCTCGTTGCGGTCGACTCACAGGTCCTGGACCAGTATCTGGATGAATACATGGAGTGGTGGAGGGGTGAGAGAGCGGCGAAAGGGGTCGAAATTGAAGAGGCGTACAAATGCTCCTATTGTGAATTTGCGGACATATGTTCTTGGAGGAAAGATATCGACGAAGAAAATCTGAGGCGGGCCCATGAGAAGAGGAACGCGCAAATGGAGAAGGGTGACGCCGGCGAAAGGAAGCAGCGTTCTAGGTCACCAAAACCCAGGCGAAAAAAGGGCAGCCCTTTAGCTGAAGTTGCGGCGACACCCCCAGCTATCTTATAATCGTGAGATAGGTGCCGGCGGGGGAAAATGCAATCACGTACAAAACAACATCATCCAGGCATACAGACACATGCAGTGTGTATATATATTTAAATTAAAGTATAAAAATAGAAAGGGGTTAAGAAAACTTATAATAACTTAGAAGTTAAAATACTTTAGTTCCTACTAAACTGTGGTAGGAGGTTCCTTGTAAGAGGTTACCCTAGAGGCCTTAGGTATACCCTCTGTTTTTACAGGTGTGGATCTCTAATCCCTTCATGAAAGCCTCATGATGTATTGAATTAGTAATTCAGAGGTCTAGATCAATAGTAGTTGTCTGTATGTGCCTGGATACTTGGGTAGCAAGGCCCACACAAGTAAGAGTAGACCAAGATTTATTAGTACAACTCAACCCCATTTTCCCTATCATTTCCTTTTTCTGCCCCCCCCCCAATTTTCTTTTCGTGCACGTAAGTCATCATAATCAGTCCTTTGAAGCCGATGCTACCACGGACGTCATGCTCAGGTAGCAGTATCAATAACGACACGTGCAACTTCAATCTCGAATGTCAGTATCAGTGACCTTGTGGGAGAAGAGGTTCGCCAACATAATGTAGACACCTCGCCTCCGTATCAAAGATATCAATATGTATTCCTGATAGTCGGGAAATATCATGTTGGTATTCGAACAACCCACTCCTTTCAACAAGACTCAACTAAGCGCAAGGAAGGAGTCAAACCTGTGCGAGCAACACAAGGTGCCATGACTGTCGTCGACTCAGTCAACAACAAAAGGATCATCTGGTGACACGCCCTTTACAACAAACCGGGGCTCCCTTGTAGGAGTCTCATGCTCAACCTTTGCGCCAAGGTCTGCAAGTGTGGCAGACAACCTCGCAGGTGCAGTTTTGGTCGCCTTGGTGGGCGCCTTAGTAGACGCCTTGCGAGCAACGCTCGAGGGTGTGACAATCTTGCGCTTCTTGGGCGTTGCGAGCGACCGGGTCTCTTCCAACTGCTGCCCAGCCTCTGCCAGCTGCATGTTGAGCTCGCAGACTTGCGCTGACAAGCTCTCGATCTCCTTGTTCATCGCTGCAAGCTCCAAATCCTTTCGAGCAAGCAGTCCCTCTCTCTGTATCAGCTGCTTCTTCAGCCACGCGGCGTTTCCCCTGCTCACCGTTAGTCACCCGCTGCGGAGCCTAAATTGATGCGTGCAGAGAAATGAAACACAAAACATGCGGATCAATGCAAATATAAGAATAGTGCTTACTCCGAGACGAGCCGATGCGACTTCTCCAGCTGGGTTGCTGGGTTGGCAGGTAAAAAGTTTTTCCATTCATCACAGCAAATCTGAACCTTCCACAGGTTCACCACAGCGCTTATATCCTCGAGGAGTGCACTGTGCGGTATTTCGAGCCATAGAGGACACGTGTTGTCCTCATGAACGTGTTCAACTGATGTCTGAGTCACAACGAAATGCTTTCGGGTCTTCTGGTGATCGTTACCGTAGGATTCGCTGAACTTGATGTAGTTGATGATGTTTGGATTGTTGTTGTCGAAATCGACGGTAAAGACAACCTTGGTCACACCAATCTTGAGATGCAAGAGTGCGTCACTCTTGGTGTCTACCGTGAAGGGCGATGTGACTTCAGAAAGAACGGCCGTCTCAAACTTCCACTGGAGCCAACAGTGCGTCATGTCGTTTTTAGAGCAGATCTCCGCAAATAGACCAGCATTCTGGTCGTTCAGGGAAAACTGAATCTTGGAATACATCTTGACAACTGGTCATGCTCGTGTGTTAGAATCGCACGAAACGAGCGTCGGGCGGCAGCGCCTACCGGTTTACCATGGAAGCCACTTGATTCGCAATTCAGACGAAGAGAGAGGTAGTTCTGCGATTACTAGGTGAATCGCGGGAGTGAAAGCCTGGTAATGAGGTATTACTTCAGTCAGCGAGATACGATCAAAGGCGGAGGAGAGCAATTCACAAGGACACGAAGGGCGAATTGTTCCTGATATGGCAGGAAGCTCATGGGCTTGGATCTCAAGTCATTCAAAATTGACTGGAAAGCAAGCGAGGTGAATGCGTTTATGGAGGGCTTACCACTGCAGTTGGTGAGGTTGACCTCGTACCACGTGGTGCATATGGGAACACAAGGCAGGAAGAACTTGGCACTTAGGAAAAGAGGGCGATGAGAAGTTGAAACTCTGAAAGAATAAGTTCAAGGCAATGAACGAGAGGAGAGCCTGATGGTTTGTAGCTGTTCAAGGTGTGCCGTCGGGCGGTGTTTGTGGGGACCGTCTTGCACTTGACTGATTTTGCATGGGTGGGGGGAAGGGGAAGGGGAAGGAGGGAGTGATTCGGACGGATTCAAGTAGCCCAGGCTTAAAAACGAAACATATGTCAACTAAGCCCGTAGTAAATTTGATGCAGTTGCTTCCAAGGTTCTGAGAGCTCAAATCTATCTACTTAGTAGGTACCTAAAGTCCTAGCATACTTCACCTCCGCTGTGGCTCTCCACGACATGAGTCTCAACCCCCCCCCCCCAACTCCTTCCTGGGCCACCGCAGTGGTTCACATTGTATCAAACCAGATGCTGACCAGCTTGCGTGTTGATAATCGCGTTGGTACAACCCGTTGGGGCGGGCTGTCTACTTTGGCAAATCGTCGCAGGCGTCCGGTTCTGCTCAGTGGAGGATTGCTCGCTCAGCTCCCTGAGCTCCTCTACATCTCGCTTTCCAAATTGGAGCAAAAGCACCGTTGCCTAAGTACTCTTTGTCCATACAACCGAGGCTGTAAAGGTGCGGCTGACCGTCTTCTATGCAAGCGCACAATTGGCACTCCCACTTTCCATGCCCAGGTGGACCCCCACCCAGCCGGAGGACGTGTAGTGCTCGTGGCACATTGTCCTTGAGACGGTCTGACAGGTGTAATGGCCAGCGCACCTTGCATCCTTGAAATCCGCTTCTCACAGACTCCCAGCTAGATTCCCAGCACAATGCTCCATACATTCTCGCCTTCCCTGAACCGCTTCATCGCAGCTTGGACGCGTTTGATGTTGTGGGACACGGTGAACGAGTTGTAAGAGGGGGGACTCTGAAGCGTAACGTGGCCGTATAGCAGGGGCAGGAAGACATGCCCTGGCGGTGGAAAAGGGTCAGCCATCGAACAGATCTCGGCCTTTTATAGAATCACCCGGGATCATCAATCATTCGTGTATCGCTTTGGACCCTTTGGCTACGATCAGGCGATCCCCTGCGGTTTTGATGTCCGATTTCAGCTCCCGTAACGCGTTACGATCCAGTGACATCTTCATCAGCAGGGTCGAGGACATCCTGTTCGAAAGCATCTTAACCTCTTCGCCCAGGTTGGACTGGCTGATGACCTTGCCGTTGCACAGTTCCACCACGAGGGCCTCGGCCAGGTTCTGACAGTTGGCCTCGAACAGGTTGTAGCGTGGATGCTCGGAGATATACCTAGATGCTGATGGAATGTCAGCCACCCACTCACTCACTCGGCCAGCAGGAGCTCATCATCACTTCGCCGACTTACCAATCTCCAGAATCTCCTGGTGTGTCCGTGTGGTCTCCCCGATATAGCTTGCTCCCGTCCAGGACTGCACCATCTCCTCGGTGACAGGGAAGCACCGTGCTGCGGGGCTGTCAGCTACCTGCCCAACGGGTCCATGGGACTTTAGAAACTGAAATGCCTACGGTAGTTCTTCATTATTTTAGTGGTCGGAAGCATTTGGTCACTCATTAGGTCGTAAAGATAGCACGTTCCCTCGCCTCTGTCGACAGTGACCAGCGCCCAGTGCGAGAGGCTGTCGAGCGACAGCCCGGCGCTCTTCATCAGGAGCTTGGAAGCCAGCTTGGTGACCTGGATGCCGTTGATGTCGATGGCCGAGGTGGCGACAAGCACCGCCCTCGTCTTGCATCTCGAGGTGTACTCTAGCGGCTCCTCCAGCTCACAGGCGGTGTGGTCACCGTTGAGTTTCGAGCGGATGAGGTTGAGGAGCGCCTTCTTGTCATCCTTGACTTCGCCATGTCTCCTGAGGGGCGCAGTCAGCTGGCAGGCCCCGGTGCATCCGTGCGGTTGGCCTCTTGTTGGCGCCGTCCGAGGCTGATGATGAAGGGAGGAGACGTGGGAGACGTCACTCACTTTAGCTTTTCGTAGTATTCCTTTCCTGCAGCGATCAGTTGCGTTGCGCTGACCCCGTGAAATGGCATCCTGCAGGGCCCAAAAAGAGAGAGAGGCTTGAATGAGCGAGAGCACTTCGGTATCAAAACACCCGAGTCCGAAGCACAGTAGCGCCCGCAGGCTTCGCAGCGGCTGAACCAAACGACAAGGAAAGGAAAATCGTGGAAGAAGGGTTCAAAAGACCGAGGGGAGAAAACAAGTCCGCATATGTGGAATCCTGGACGAAAGCACACATGGGAAGGTCCGGGAGACTTCCCTGTCCAGCCGCCGCCGGTGCCCAGGAACGCCCCGCCAACCCAGCTAAGCCTTGTGCTCAGCCTCAAAAATAGCAACGGGCTCTCCGCCGTCACGCATTGGTTGACATGCAGACTAGGTCCCGCCACCCCGGTGACTGACGCAAGGCGCGCGGGACTTGCTCGGCTTGCTGCTTTGGGGGCGGCCTCGGGGTTTCGTCCACTGGACCCAGTCCTTCGGCCTCAGGACTGCGCGCTACGGCAGCACCCGGCTCATAGGTACTCAAGTCAGAATATCCACTCACGCACCAACCCCCTGGCGCCCACCACGATTTCGTATGCTCGTGATTGGCATTACTTACTAACTTTAATATTATATATTAGACTTAACATATATTTTAAATCAAACTTCTAATCATATTAGAGATCCTAAATGAATGAATGAGCAAGACCTGTAGACCAGTCGCTAACGAGTTTGCTCTCCTCGAGCTTCAGAAGGGAACAGCGACCACTGGGGGTTGTTGTTGACCCTAACCCCAGCCCAACTCAATGACTGACACACAGGCTCGCTCGCAGCTGCCCTTTTCGGTGAGGCGTTACGACACCTTGTTCACCCGTTCCATTCGACGTTGATGAAGCCTACGACTGTTTTGAACCACCTAAATCTATAAGGAGAGCCTCTTAAATTTCACGACATCAGCGGCCGGCATCTTGTGTGCAAGCTTTTCTGAAACAACCTTGGAAGCTTCGGTCCCGACTCTGAAGCTCCCATCTCGCGGCATCACAACTCCAACTCACCACCACTACTATGAAGTTCCCCGCTGAGCCAGGCATGCAATATGCATACTGCGGAACGAATGACGGTGTTTCACTCGCTTTTCAGACCTCATTGCCTCTCGAGGACATCCCTGAATCTGGCCCCGGGTCGCTGAGTGACCCCCGCCGCCAGACCTGTATCCTTCTCATGCATGGCTTCAGCGGTTCCTCCAAGTACTTCACGCGCAACTTCGCCGCGCTCTCAGAAAACCACTGGGTAGTTTCCCCAGACATGCGTGGCCACGGTGCCTCGGGCCGCACCAAAGGGGGCTACCACGTTGCCAGACTGGCTGCCGACCTGCGATCGATCGTCGAGTGCCTCCGCCAAGCCAGTGGCAAGATCAAGATCGTACCCGTTGGCTGCTCCATAGGCGCCGCCATTCTGTGGACCCATGTTGAGCTCTTCGGCGACAACGATTTCGCAGGCTTTGTCTTCGCCGACCAGGCCCCTCTTCAGGACCGCTCGGCGTTCGACAACTGGGACGCCTCCAAAGCTCATCTCGGGTGCTACGATGAGGCGACCATGCTGGCCGCCCAGCGCGCCTGGATAGAGACCCCAGAAGAGGCGCACAAGGGACTGGTCAGCGAATGCCTTGGATACCGCTTCGCCCCTGAGGAGAGTGACCACGTCAGCCCTGAGGCTGCCGCAGATGATGAGGCGTTCTTTACGGGCATCAGCGCTCTGTGCGACGGGCAGTGGCTCGCGAGGCTCCTGGCCGACCATACAAGGTACGATCACCGCGAGGCTGTCGAGCTCATCAAAAAGCCTACCCTCGTTTTGGCCGGACGCCGGACGGGCTGTTTTCCATTGGAAGGTTTGAAGGAGACGGTTGCAAGGGTGGGCCAAGGGAATGAGAAGCCAGGACTAGCAAAGTGGTCCGTCTTTGACAGTGGCCACTGGATGTTCTATGAAGATCCGGAGCGTTTCAACAAGGAAATCCTCGAGTTCGTATCTCAGTGTTGAGCCGGATCTTGACGGAAAACATTCTTCAACAGATTGGGGCAGCCCTAATTATAAGTGTTACACCAGATGATACCTAATAGCTTTATCAGGCTGCGGACCCTGAGATTGAGTATAGCAGTCCATGTGAAGACGGCAGGACTAGTACCACACGTGCCGAGTGAGATCTGAGACGGCAATCACTGCTCGAATGTTTGACTCGTTTCTGTGCATCCCTGATTTGCACCTTGGAGTAGTGCATTTGACTTCAAATTCTGTGGAGCTGATGAAACATTTCGATCATTGATTATATCCAAGTCGAATTTCCAAGGCTGCGACTCGGCACACAAAACACAAGCGCGTAGTAGTTTTTCACACTATCATACTATCTGGTTTCGTCTATTCCGCACACGTCCAAGAACTATCATACTATCTCAAAGCATTTTGAAGGTCCGTTCGTCACTTCTATCACAAAGAACAGTGTTAGCCTCTCCAGGGGGTCGAACCGTCGGATGTGGTTCTTTCCAAGTCCCAATCCAGCCTTTCGGAGGACGAGTCGTATAATCCCGAGCTCGTCAGGGACCGCCGATGCCCAGACCCTGAGGCACGATGCTGTCTTCTAAGCGAAGAATCGTCGAGGAAAGCCCCAACTGCCAGGCCTCGCAACGCAGAAACTGAGCTCCTGTGCACATTAGGCGGCGGTGGCGGCATGAAGTGCGTGGCGTCGCGATCTGATGCTGCGTTCTGCCCCAGCCTTCTCTCAGAAGGGAGGTCGCTCATCTGAACAGAAAATGCGGCATCCCCTGTGCGGTCCTGTTCGAGACTGTCGATCCGGAGGTCGAAGTTTAGAACGGCCCGAGTACCCATAGACCCGGCCTCCAGGTCTTTGCTTGGCCTCTCGACAGTCCAGCTGTCGTGGCTGGTGGTGTGCTGCTCAACCTTGCTCAGCTTCCTCCTGCTTGCCCTCTGTCCAATCGTCAGGGGTGCTGGATTCTGACCGAGGGTGTTGTTTTGTCGGTAGACAGAAAACCACCTGGGCATCCATTGGTTCAGAAGTGGCTTAAGGGTGACTGCGCATGCACAGACAATTGCACCTTGCACCTCAATCGAGGTCCAGTAAACAAGATCGGCGCCGTCGTAGGAGAAGTCGAGAGACGGGTGGTTTTCCGTTTGAAGCAGTTTCATTAGTCGGACAATTGACACTATGCAAACGCTATATCATTTGGATGTCTTGGATCAGCGAGATGTCTTTGCCCAGCGAGATAAGTGGCTCTATTACTGACAAGAACCCTAGTGAAAACACCATAGCCAGCATCCATTTCTGACGTCTAGGCATGCGGAGTGTCGGCAGAACGGGGAGAGGTAGTGCAAATATTATAAAGTCTGTTGACATGTGAAGTCCTCTTGTCCAGTGTCAGTTTCCAAGTTGAGCCCAGATTGGATTGCCAGGTCTGCCGAGAGAAGGGGGGGTATGGCAGCTTTGCGAGAAGATCCGCTCCACATTGCAATCAATCTTACCTAGGTAGGGGGGAACGATGCCAAATGAGAGAAAACACTTACACGCTTGCCCACCACGCGCTTTGTGGCTGACAATAAGCCTTCTCACGGAGGGCAAACACCCAGTACGCCTCCAGAGGAATGCAGGCTGTGAAAACAATGCACAGCATCCATAGAGTCGCTATTATGACCGTAGCGAGGACCAGCCTCCCTGCAACTCTAATCCAGTGATAAGAAAACAAACTGAGATACAGCAACACCATTGATATCTTGGAAAAGCCTAAAGAAAGCGTGTAGAAAAGCACGCCATACCATGCCGACTAGAGGAAGACCTTTTTAGTTAATCCGGACGTAGTTGAGCAGTAGAAAAACAGCATTTGAAGAGAACTCACTTTTTGGAATGGGCTCAAATTTGCCATCCAGTCATAGTCGTACATGTGCTTTCCTATTCCTCGCTGACTCTGCTCGATAGCGCTGGTAGTTACGCCGCAGGAGAAAATCCACGATATTAGAATGAGCCAGTCAGACCAGCCAACTACACTGAGAATGCATGTCCTAGTGTAGAAGCGCAGCGCCACAAAAACAGCCGCGATCGCCCAGGTTACAACCGCGCATACAATGATATTTGGGACGAGGGAATCGTGGGGCAAGGTTGAAGGGTCCATCAGAGGTGGGAAAGGCCCGTCAGTCGACATGACGATTACGAAATGAGATCAAAAAGTGAGCGATAAGAACGTTGGAAAGTCTGGAACTCATGGAATCGGTGCCGCAGGAGATTTTGTTTATGCCATGTCTTCGCAGAATGCCCAGACCGGAAGAGCAGACAGAGCCCCAGTTTACACAGACACAGCCCGTAAACAGCTGTCATTTCTGCATAGAATCGTAGAAAGGGGTATAGTAGAACTGGGGGTTTTGGGATACTGACCGGTTCGTCCCATCTTGAGACCCGTGGTAGGATACAACCTGGATGATCATCCTACCCGGCTAGATGCGCCTCTGCTGTACGGTTTCCCCAGATTTTATGCGCTGCGACAGGAAACATGATTGAGTTATCTAATGACTTCGTAGCCGAGGAGCTTGAAGTTTGGTTGGGTGTGGCACACTAAAGTCTGACAGGCAGGGCGGGCCGTTGAGGCGACCTCTGCGGTCGTTGGTTCAGTGGCATCTGTTAATGATTACTAGTAGTCAGAGGAGGGTCAGCAAAAGCAGGGAACCTAAAGGCACCTGAGCCGAGAGGTAAGAAAACCAGTACAGAAGTAGCCGTGACCATCATGGAGATTTCTTCTTTGCCAGAACGCCAGCTGGCGTCATTTGAGAGCAGATTGCAATAAGAATCATGCATTGGGCCGTGTAGGCATACAATCTGTCTCGTCACACCCAACCGGGTGGTTCTCATAAAACTCAGACCTTGCACATGTGCTTGTGGCAAAGGGTCTCGAGCCCAGGTGGACGCAGGAATAAGCCCACCGCGTCACTCTCGGAACCATTGCGACAAGGGTTGGTTCGAGGGTCAACTCCAGTCGGTCAGATTGCCAATGGACAAACTAGGCTCCCTTGACAACTGCTGAATACCAATGTATGTCAATTGGAGCCATCGGTGAGGGCCGATGGCTTCATCAAGCAGGTCAGAGCAAAGGCAATTGGTGGATGGGCGCTCGGAACCGAAGTCCAAGACCCAAAGGAATCGGCGTTGGTTGTCTACATGGGTACTGCCTTCCGTATGCAAGTAAGACATCCTAGAGGTCGGCCCGTAGTCGTGATAGGCACACGACCGACAGGAGACAACGCGCCCGGGTTTCGTATTTGTTGCATGGAGTCTTCCATTGCAGTTAGGTCGGCGACCTCAGGCGGCGCCCCTGCATTGTCTGGGTGCCACATGCGTATGAAGTAGACTACCCTAGGGTAGATGCGGGTGTTTGCAGGTGTGCGGCGCCTTCCAACGCACAAGGGTTGTGATTCCGGGGTGAAGGAATGATTAATTGTTGCGAACCACAACTCGCAAAGAAAGCACCATCGGGAAAGAGACAAAACTTGAGTTTCAAGATCAACCAACAAGGTTGCAGGTGTATGTATGCATGCAGGAGCAGTGCTCGATATTGATCGACCGGTAGTGCTCAGGCTGAATCGGCCACGAGTAAATGAGCTGCCTATCCTCAACCCCGGAACGAGTATATCCGTCGCAATATTTGGCAGAACCGACCATTCAGGTCCTTGAATCATTTCCCCGCGTTCAGTCAGAAACCCTAGCTAGACCATACCATGTTAAACTCACAGGTGGATGCTGTGGGTGCATCCATCTTCCACTTTGGCTTAGTCGTCCCACTCTGGCAGTAGCCCATCAGTTCCTTGCCAATGACTCTTGCATTCGGACAGACTCGATACCTTTGCCAATAAGCCAAGCCGCAAGTAGCGAGTGAAACCAGCGACTGATCGAGCCCTCCAATAACGTCGGCTTCTCGTTCTGGTAGCGCCACAACCATGTTTCGTTGACGAAGACGACGTCGTCGGAAGCATCCGCTCCAACAGGCTCGATCGCTGCCACGATGATTCCGTCAGATCTCGGACCGCGGAAGCCCTCTGGCGCACTCAGTCTCATCTCTACACGCTCGCCATGAGATTCGCTGCCCCTGTACTGCACAATATATACTCCATCGACCCGCTGGTCCATGGTCGCAAAATCCATGGTGTTGATGTAATTGGCCTCAAAGGTCTCCCCAAAGCTGACCGGAAGCATCTTCCGGATGAGATATGCTTGAGGTGTCCATGTAAACGCAACCATTGTAGCCCTGACGTAGCGAGTGAGCAGCTCATCCAGACTCCCTGTAGACCAACCGAGCTCAGACAAAGCCGCTGGCTTGGACACCACACGCTCGTGCCATAAGACATATCCCTCTGCCTCGTTGGCTGCCAAAACCTGTGGCAATGACCTTGGTAACACAGCCCCAGGGGACTTATTTGGAGGGAATGAGTTACGTGATGTTGCAATTTCTGTGTGGGGACCTCGCTTATGTCTTTGAGTAGCACAGCTCTCTATGTTGCGCATAACTGACCGTCTCAGTAGGAATAGATACAGAGTAGGTGCAGCGACTGCAGCGAGTGCCACCGCCTGTCGTGGTGGGATATTGAAAAGCATCTTGTCAAAAGTTCTCAGGCAGCTTAGAAGAGACGTCGGGACCTGACCGTCACAAGATGTCTCAAGTGCTCCATCATCTCCGTCAGACGGGAGAGCTAGTCTAATTAGCTCCCGCGCCCATGTTGTGGTCCGGGAACTGTACTCGTCCTCGGCCCGCTCACATGTGAGCCTCCAGGGTCACCATTTCTGGCCCGCCATCCTGTCACAAATTTTTGACATTTAATTACACTCGAATTCCTTCACTTGTTTTTACATCGTGTATGACTTCATGAACTGTTAATATGCTTACAATTGTCACTCTTACATTACTATGTCCAACAGAACTTTCTTAATAAGAAATTCAAGATTATTGTACCGTGCTTCACTGACACATCCCATTGTGCTAGCAAAACATAATAGGTCTAAACAAATGTTGGATGAACTGACTGACCCCTGACTGCGGTATCCTAGCAAAGTGGGGTAGAGCTAAGGATAGAATAACTGAAATCAAAAAAATCGATCCTCCACGGACTCGAACCGTGAACCTTTACCACCGGAAAGTAACTAGATTTATATTAGATGGTTGTTGTGAGTGGATAGTGGAATAATGATGAATGCTTACCGCGCTACCATTGCGCCAAAGGACCTTGCAATAAAACCACTAACAGTACAAATATATTATATAGTAAATAACATTACAAGCAACATTTGAAAAGTCCCCACCCAAGCCTTACTCTTAAAAGTCCAAGAAGGCCTCATTAATCCATTTAACAACTGGCCAACAAGGGGAAATTTGGGGAAAGTAAGAGTAAGAACTGTACTAAGAACATTGTACCTCACCTGAAGTGCTGCTGACATAAAGGAACTTTGAAAAGTCCAGCAAACACAACGCCGAGCAGGCCCATTTGACTCCAAACTACAAGTGACACTGACTGTACTTCTGTGTAATTCTGCCTTGCGCTGCTGTATGTTTGTGGAAGACAGTGTCCACTGATAAGCCGTATGCCTAACGTGTCTTACACGGCATAGTCTCACCTAGTGACATTAGAATTCGTATGGGAATGAGCTTCTTGATGACTATCTATGGAAATCTTTTGGCAGCTCATTGGTGATCGCCAGTGACCTGGACTGGCTCCACACCGGTCTTCAATCTCAGTGAGGCCAGGAAGTCAAGTTTAAGCAGCGGATTACAGGCGCCAGGAACAGTATTGAACTAGCGTGCAAGATACCCTATTTGTCTGGTGATGGGCAACATGTGAATGTGATAAGTGTTGAGAAAGTTGAGAGAGGCAGGGTGGTGATTTCTTAAGCGAATGTATTCCTTACCATGGCACCGATTGCCGGGAGCTCAAGGAGCTCAAGCACTCATGGGCTTGCCGAAACAGGCAATCAGCGCGTGAAACCCAAGGAAGTGGTTTCCTTTCTGATCCCCATACATATAAGTTGTACGTGGTGCCTTCATAGAGTGGTAAAAGCTCACGGCACACCGTTAAAAGAGGGCATTATGCCAATAACAATACAGAGAGAATATAAGGGTGATCAAAGGGAATACAAATGAAGGGGGCGCATCTGTTTGTATCTGCAGTTGAACAGCACTTGTAGGGAGGATGCAGCCAGTAGAAGGACCTACCTCCCTAGTAGTGAGCCATTCTTTAGCAAAGTTTCAAGTGCACACCTAGGTACATAATCAATGACACATCTGGAAATGTCAAGCAAGCCTTGCTTAAATCAGCTTATAAACAGACTACTTTTCAATGGAGTGCCATCAATTGGCCGTTCAAGCAGCATTTTGAGTAGCTCCATCATCCATGGAACGTATTTGCTGCCGACTGATGACTTCTTTAACAACTCCTTGTCAGGGTCTCAACGGAACGGGGAAATAGATGCAGAGGTACTTTGAAGTTGGTGAGGGCCCGGGGACTTCCCCCCTCCATGCCCAAGTCGAGACGGTATGAGCCAGCAGGGCTGTTGCAAGTCAGCATGTTGCCTCGCTAGAGCAGACAAAAATCCAACTGAAAGTGTGCACTGGCCGTTGATTTCGGCTGCCACGTCATCTGGGAGTAGATTCTCAAAGGAAGGAATCTTGAGACTGAGTCGACCACTAGGTACCTGCCTGGGTACTTAGGTAGGTACCTATCAATGAATTCATCAAGCAGCATGCCTATGTGATCAATTCCTCTCCGAGTCGCATGAACCCTGGCAGTAAGCACAAAATTACAACGGATCCTACGAGGAGAACTTGACACCAGTTTACACACAGGAAACTTCAATAACTATGCGTCCCGATCCATTTGTCATTGTCGCAATAAAAGTGACCGATATATTACTGAGCATCATTTTTGATCCGCCAGGCCAGACCTCTGCCCCTGCTCTATACGGCCACAAGTTTACAGTGCAAGACCAGACCAACAGAATCGAAGCCTGCAGTATTGGCAGAAACACACTCTCCGGTTCGTGCAGTGCTGCCGTGATGTATACAGCAGCCACGGAAGGGCCGATTGCCGATACTAAATTCCGAAATTGATGCAGACAGGATTCCACCGGCCAATACATCTATACCGGACGCAGACCGGACGCAGCACCATCTGCCGTCCGGTTCACTGTTTGAGAGCAGCCGACGGCTTGATGCGGCAACCAAAGGCGGCAATCGCCTCTTCGGAAAATCGGCCCCATAGGTGCTGCAAAGGTCCGTCTGTCACCCGGAGAGGAAATCCATGTTGAACTTCTGCAATTTCTGACTTTTTTCATCTGTTGTTAGTTACCAGCTCTGACTTTGTTGCCGCGTCAAGCTTCACACCTGACACTGCAGCGACTCTCATGGTATCCACGGTCTTGGGCTCTTGGTTGTACTCCTGCTGGCAGCCTGAAGTTTGGAGATCTGGCTTTGTTGGAAGAAAAGCGTACATGGCATTTGCTGCTTGGCACCTGTTGGGGATTGTGGCTTGGGTACGAAGGTTAGTCGTGGTGATTTTGAAAGTGACTTCGAGCAGAAGAGCGTCCAGGATACACAGGAGTTCAAACCGCAGTATATTACCGTTGCAGCGGCCCGGAACAACGTAACCAAAGATCCGGGTTTGCATTGGAATACGTCGCATGAGGACTTGGTAGATACTACAGCGCAAGTATAGAGTAGCAGATTGTTCTGGAAATTAACGTCTCTTAAAAAAATCGAACGTGGCACGTCTGTGGGAGAGGTCGAGATGCCGTGATTCAAGACCCATCTGAGAAGTACCGATTGTCGCAATACTTATTCGCACAGCACATGCCCCATTCTCTCGGGTCTTGTAGTGTTTGCACCCCAACGAGTTCTGACGATGGTTCACAGCAGGCTTTCTGGTGACGTGCAATTGGTTCCGTGCTGGACTGTTCAGTCGACAGCCCGTATCTCTAAATATTCTACACTTGAATCCTACTTCGTTTGCACCTCCGATGACGCACTCAGTGCTGCAGTTGAGCTTCCGTTTTGGCCCTTCTCGTGCTCCCTTATTTGCTTGGTCCAGCTGGCCCCTGGTCAGTACTGCGGAGGTTCAACCTGCCTGCTGGTGCCTGCTGGGCTGTATTGGTTGGGCGACCTACTATCGGCTGGGGTAGAACCGGCCTGGTTCTGGCATCTTGTGTCTGAATTCGCGGTCCGCGCTTAGCCTCCAGGTGAGGGCTGTGAATCCCAGAATCACGGCACCGAAGACGGCAGTGTTGACCTTCCAGTTGGACGGCTGGGCATACCAGCCACCAGCTGGCGACCAGACGTGCTTGGGATATCTGCCGCGTAAGCTGTCAGTTCGCATGCCGCATGTACAGGGGCCATTGTCGTCGAGTCGGAGTCGGCGGGGGACGGAGGCGGGCTACTGACGGAACTCTGGGACCGCCACCCTGCAAAGCTGTCAGCGTGTGCTCGCTCGAAAGAGCAAGGAATCGGGAACGGCAGGGCTTACCATGGTGTCTGTTTCTCTTGGTCAATTGGGGGGATGGAGGCTGTGTGGGACGATGATGTCTGCGGGCGACGAGGGCTTGAGTTGAGGTCAGTCAGTCAATCAATCAGACGGGCGCGGATTGGTTGGACGTCGGGCACACGCCAGTGACCTCTGCCGGCCGGGAGAGCAAATGGCAGGCCGGGCACATGGTTAATGGTCGAGCTCTGGACAGTCTACCCGTAGGCAATTATGTCAGCGAAAACTCGAAGCAGTGGGCAGCTAACAGTGGCAGGGGTGCTTCGGGAGCTCACACGAGCGCCATGTGCAGACGCCTCTGATAGTGCGTCTGAGCTCACCATTTTTTTTCGCAACGGCTGCTCGCTCTGCTCCACGCGACGCCATCCACACGACTGCCACCACCACCCACCGCTGTCCCACGACCTCCCATGACGGCAACCCCCTCCGCGTCCCGCGTCTAAGTCAAGGTGCTGTACCCCGATTGAGTGGCTTGGGAGCACAGCCTGCACATTTTCTCCCCATGAAGAGGTTAAGGTTGGAAAAATGGTCCGGGCAACTGCTCACAGCTCGCCCGGCGGTCGCATCACGAAGCCTCTCGTCACACCCTCGTGTGCAATTTCCTAGACCGGACCAGCTTGCCTCTTCCCCACGATGGCAGTCAACAGCTGCAGCAAGAGACATCGAGGCCGAGATCAGGCAGGGCCAACCGGTGCCGAGCCAGCCTATATCTTCTGACCAATTCTCCAAAACTGCCACGGATGAGGCGCCGCTGTGGCCTTCAATATCCGGTCAAGAACCCACGGGACCGGCGCCCTCTCCTCCACCTCAGGACGCCGCAAAATCCGCAAAGCTGGCCGCCCTTCATGCTCGGCTGTCCCTCTCCGACAGGATCCCTATCCAGACCCTCGCGCGCACCCTCGTCGACGCCTCCGCCGACCCAGCACCGCTGTTCAACAACTCCAACCTCGCCTACCTGGGCCAGACTCTCATAAGCTACCATACCTCCGAGCTGCTCATGTGCCGATTCCCCAGGCTACCAATGCAGATCCTGCATGCGGCCATGAAGGCCTACGGTGGCGACAAGACCCTCTTCCATGTCGCACGGTCATGGGGTGTTGAGAGCGCTGCCGCACCAGGCGCCGAGGTTGATCCGGGCCTACTGCAGTTCTCGCTGGAGGCGGAGAGGACATTCAACACCAAGTGGGGCTTGGCAAGAGCCGAGACTGTCTGGGGCCCAAACAAAAACCAGAGGTTCCGTAGGGGTATCTCGAGCAGCGTGGTTTTTGACGACGACTTTGGCGACATGTTTGTTGGAATGAGGGAGGTCGAGCATGACCACGACAACGAGGCCGAGCCGGATCAAGAGGCCGAGTACGATCTTCCAGTGGAGCGGCAGTTGACCCTCGGCGACCCGGACAAGAAGGTGGAGAGGTCACATAACATCCACGCGACATTCGTGCGCGCTGTGGTGGGCGCCATTTACACGTACTGCGGAAGAGAGTCCGCACGGTCGTTCATCAAGGCGCACATACTCTCGCGCCATTTCGACCTGCAAAAGCTGTTCTCCTTCTCGCAACCCACAAGAGAGCTGTCCCGCCTCTGCGGGAGAGAGGAGTTTGACCCTCCCGTGGCAAGGCTACTGTCAGAGACCGGACGTCTTTCCAAGACGCCCGTGTTCGTGGTCGGCATCTTCAGCGGGAATGACAAGCTGGGAGAAGGCGCCGCCGCCAACCTGCACCAGGCCCGCCTCAAGGCTGCGATGAACGCACTCAAGGCGTGGTACCTGTACAGCCCTGGCGAGGACGTGCGGGTGCCGAGTGACATGCTGGTGGAGGGGGCCAAGCCGTGGGAACCGGTGTATGTCGACATTGGCGAGGTTGTATAAGCTGGCCGTTCAGTGTGGTCGAGCCGAAGAAAATATAAGGCAATATTGAGCAGGTCGGGTTGGCATCAGCGGCGCATTATAGACTCGGCGAGTGTACGAGAGCAACGATGATGACCAGAGGCCCTGGGGATTGGCCCGGGCGTGTTCGTGGGCGCTCGCTCCTCACTCCCTCGGGAGTTGTATATTTTGTTTAAAAAAAAATAAAAACGCCGAGATCAAGGAAAAAATTGCAGGAGAGCCCAAATCGTCTAACCACCCGCAAGGTAGTCGTATTCGGGACCTGCGCAACCCAGCTACTACAATTGAACCTATCATATAATCTGTTGACAATGTTATGGCACAACAACACATTCTAGGTTCTTTGTGATGCTCATTCCTACACTGCTGGGGTATCTTTTGCGTTTTGAGACGTGCCTCTGCCTGGTAACTATACAACACACCGGCTCCTCAGCTGAAGTGATCACCCTCCCCTAGTTTGCCGTCAACACCAAGCTGCACCCTACGTCTCCTCCTCTCCGACTTCTCTTTCCCCTCTCTCTCGAGCCTCATCTTCTTCCGCCTCTCATATACCGCCCTCACCGTCCTACGTATCTTCTCCTTCCCCTCGTCATAGTTCGTCTTGGCCAGCTGTACAACCTTGTCGATCTGCTCCGGCGTGTACACGAAATTCCACGTGCTGAGGTATTCGCTCACACCAGGGTCTACACCCTCCACCTTATCATTCTTAAGGAAGGGCAGGTAGACGACCGCGATGCCCGCATCAGGCTCTTGGAGCTGCCAGGTCGTGCTGTCGTCCAGCGCCTTGGAGGGTGGTGGCGGCTCCGTGGAACGCTCCTGGGTAGTGCCAACCCACACGGTGCAGTAACCCAGCTCTCCGGACTCGGCATTGCCCTTTTCGAATTTGTGCGGGCCCTCCACGTCTTCTAGGCCGACGCCTGCCTCACAACGCCGTGCCGTTTGCGCGGCTTTGGCCTCGTCCAGCTTGGCCGATGCTTCCTTTACAGTTGCGGCCTCGGCCTCGCTCAATTCGTGCGCGACCTGCGTGTTTGGCTCGGTCTCTTTGGGCCAGCCAATGCCTATGGGCCATCCCTTGATCCCACGCTGTCGTGCGTAACCGTCCGCCACGGATAGCCAGTTATCTGTCTTGACGTCCGCGGAAGCATCGAATGCGATGAGGATGTCGACATTACGACCGGGCCGCAGGAGAGGGTAGATTGGCAAGTTGTTCGACATCCCGGCATCCATCAGCTGTAAGTATTCATTCTTATAGATGCTCGTGGGCGTCGTGCGGGGCAGTTGTCCCTCCATCCCGTACGTAAAATTTGGCAGCATGGCAGGGTCGATCGGGTGAACCTTGCTCAAATCATCATTATGTCCCGTGACCATTTCGTCAATCGTGGAGAAACCCGTCAGGCTTCGCACCAGAGGACGGACCTCGCGGTAGTAGTGGCTGAGGGTCGCGCAAAAGGCGCTGCCAAAGATGCCCAGCAGAAGTGGCATGCGAGCTTCGGGAAGATGGAAACCTTCCTCTGGAGGGACATCTCGGCCGTTCGCGAACTTGCGTCCCAAAGCCCACGTTGGGATACCAGCGGCGAATTCCTCACAGAATGCCTCGTAGGGCGTGATCTCAAACCATTGGAACCAGGCCTCCTTAGCAGCCTCTTCCTTCTCCTTTTCAGTTGGATGACCAGTCCCGTCAGCCGCAGCGGAGGCATTCGGGATCTCGTGGCGGACTGCCGTGTAGATTGGGAACGGGTTCTGCCCAAATTTGATATTTTGCCTCTGGTTCGACAGCTTGAAATCTCTTGCGTCCACGCCAAGCTCGCCCCTGGGGACCAGCAGCCTCGCTGCCAGGAGGATGCCGTAAATGTCGACCAGGCCAAAGTCTGCATTGGGATCCCCCCTAAGCTTCTCCACGAGACCGCTCAGCAGGTATCTGTTTGTAGGTGCCGATGCTAGTGATGAGAAAGCTACCGGCGGATAAGCTATGTGCACCCCGAGTCTTGCCTTGAGGTGCTCCAAGACGAGGGGCAGACTGCCCTGGGCGAAGGTCGAGTGGAACAGTGCCTGGAGCCAGCACGAGCCACTCACGCCGGAGGTGTAGGTAACGCAATCAAAGAGGCCGTCCTCTCCTGTTGCGATCATGCTTCCGATGCCTGCAACCAAGGCTCTCAGGCCGCCACCGGAACCACAGACCGCAATGGTAGGCACGTCATCCTCATGAATTTCGTTCTCATCAAGGCCCAGATACTTGGCCAACGCCACCGTAACGATCTTCTTCCTCCGAGCCAGGTACTCCTTCTCCTCGTCGCAGAGGTCGTTTGACACACGAACCTTTGCTGAATAACGAATCTCAGGGTTGATTCCGGGGTCGTGAGCCTCCCTCCAGATCTCATCAGCCAAAGATCCAGGGGCCATGGACAGTTCCCCTTGCAGCTTCCTGATATACCCCGGGATGAACTTGGACCACTCGGGCAGCAGCAGGTCGATGAGCTTGTCGGAGACTGCACGCCATTCCTGGTCGGTTATGACGCTGAAATTCTGGAATGTCGTGGTGAATTTCTGCCATGCCCCATTGTCCTCACTCTGAGCCGTGTGGTCCTCCTGCTTGACATGCGTCGCTTGGCCCTCCTCGGTCTCAGCGGTGGAGTCGCCAGGTGTGGCCTGCTTCGGGTGTTTGGCCGCTGGCTGGAGCTCCCGGTAGACATCTGACGGATAGAGGGACCAGATCAGTACGCTGGCGATGAAAATGGTGGCGGGCAAGGTGCGCTTCGATTTACGTTGCTTGGTGTCGGAAGAGAAGAAGCCATGTCGGAGTTGCTGGTGCTGTTGAGGACCGGCGTGCTGACGCGAAGCTGTCGCCCTTTTGGCAGCCCATTGATGCAGCCTCGTCGGGCGACGATGAACGGACGGGCAAGCGCGAACAGCCTGAAAAGGAGCTCTTGACATGGATTGTCGCGGGAACCTCATTGCGCTGTGGGCGTGGTACCAAGTGACGTCCCCAGCTGAGGTAATTAAATTGTCGGCCAGGTGAGTGTTCCCATAAGCCAGGCGTGAATTCTCATATCAGCGAGCGAGGACGGGTCAGACTTGATGCTTAGAGGATGCAATATCTCAAAAGGCGCGTGCGCGTGGAATTCATGTCGTCTAATCAGCTAATGCGTAAAGTGACCGGGTCTGGTCCTGAAATACGGCTGAGCAAGGCCATCACGAACGCGTGAGGTGAGAGTGATATCATGCATCACGGGCGGGAAACAGGTTCGTGGAGCACCAGGGCCTAGAAGCTTCCGCCCGCTTCAACCTGGCGCTGCAGTGCCAAAACTCTTTTCTCAACGCTTGGAAGCCAGCCTGCCCAGCCTGCTTGTGCAAATGCCCTGCCAAGACTGCGTGAAAAGTCGCGGGCCTGCATTTCATACGTACTGGAATGCGTTGACGGCTACTAGCTCTCTTTTCTCTCTCACACTCTCTCTCTTACTTGTCCGTACTTAGACAAGCCTGAGGAGCTAGCGCCAGGTACCTGGGAGAGAGGAGCTTCACAAGGTGGGAGGAAGTACATGAGCTTACCTCCCAACCTCCCACCCTACTCCCTATGTTTCGTTCAGCCGAGCGCGGCTTGGGTCCAGAGTTTTCCCACAGGCCGCGAATGCGTTGGACGAGCTGCAAGAGGGATTGCCTGGATGCCATCGCGAGCTGCGGGTTGAGAGATGCGGAAGTTTGGTGCAGGATGGGCTCCGTGGCCGGTGAAACCCTAGATAAATGTGGGCAAAGTAACATGAAAGCTACATGGCTTGCAGTGATGACCTTGCCAAGCTAGGGGAGTCGAGTCTGCGATGATCAGCAATGGGCTCAACATCAGACAGGCCACACTCGGCTTGCGCTCCTGCTGTGAGTTGGCCAGCCGTCTGATCTAACTGTGACGATGGGCACTCTGTCCTGTCTGTACGCCAGGAGGAGCCAGGAGAAGCTTTGCCGCGACATTGCAAAGTTGGGTTGACTTTGTGCGCCACGAGGATCGCCGCGAGGATCACACAATGCTGTGCGTTTTGCGACTGAGAACAGACGATCCCACAAGACCATCCACTCAACCGCCGTAGGTCACATTGTGTTGCACATTGGGAAATACATAAATTCCAGTCTGTCGGTCGGTCAGTCACTCAGTCACTCACTCAGTGAGGCCGACGGCGCAGACAGCCGGCAGCAGACAGCAGACAGACAGAGTTCGAGGCGAACAAACGGCCTGGAGATGAAATGCTTCAATCGAGAAGGCCTGATGTGGATCGGCGCTGCACGAAACGGCATCCTAATCATAGGCGTGGAGCCAATTGAGAGCACCATCTGAGATTGGACCCCCTGCCCGTCACTCTGGTCGTGGCTCAACCCCTGCATCCTCCCCTACTGCTGGCAGGTGAGCCGACCTAACGAACGGTTGACCCTCTGGGGGTCCCCCGTCCTAGCTCCACCTTGCACCAGATTGCCCATCAGCCGGAGCCCAGCTCAATGCTCCTCCGTCTCCAGTGTGAATCTGTGACAGGCTCTTGGCCGAGCTGCCTCTGCCCCGTCCCGTACCTCTGCCACGTTCACAACTGCCACCCACACGCCCACATGCCCACCCGCCCACTCGTACCTGCACCAGCACCAGCACCTGCGCCAGCACCTGCACCTGCACCTCGACTTGTCCTGTACTGTCCTGCACCTAGCAAGCACGAGCCCCCTTTTCCACAGCTCCCCGCACGGGCCAACTTGTCACCCGGTGGGAGGTACCCTTTTGCCCAAATTTCCTACGAGCCCCTTTGCAATCATCTCAACCTTCTCCCAAATCTGCCCATTCTCCGTGCCGTGCAGAACTTCCTCACGACACGACCAATTCTCCTTCATCTTCTCATCCCCTCCTATTTCGTAGTATTCTTTTGACGCCAACGGCCATCGCTCTCTCTCCCCTTCACGAAGGCCTTTTTTCCCACAGCGCCTCACCCGCCCCGGCCCAACTCGTCAGAGCTGCGTGTCCCTTCCTGGTACGTCTACTTCTCCCGTCCTGACTGGCTCCCCTCCTCCCTCCCTCGTCAATGCGTCGTAGAAGGCTGCCTCTGCTGCTCCTTCCCGACTCCTGGCGCCTGCCCTATCCGCACCTGCACAACGGCGCATCGCCTCGTATCTTGCTCGAGTTGATTCATTCTTCTGCAAGTCCCGCGGGATTCGCCCATTGCACGTACCTTCTCTGTGCTCGGCAGATATTGGGCGGCTCGGTCGTATGGCGGCGCCCAGCCCCCTGCTCTAGACACTCAAATGCTAACAGAGGGCTTGCCCTACCACAGTCACTCGTTCCTACCCTCCTTTTCCGACATCAGCCAATTTTACATTCACAATGGGTAAGCGCATACAAACTCCTGCCTCCAAGAGCGACAGCGGTTTTTGGGAGCAGTGCAAGAATCAATCCTGGACTCGGACCGACGACCAACCTCATCTCGACCACACGGCCCCCGGCGCGTCGAGTCTCTGTCTACCGCGATCCTATCGACCGCCCAGCTCATCTTCATCACCGGCAGCTCCCTGTGCAACATCGTTGATTGGACTTCTCTCGGAAATGCCATTGCGGCCGGTCGGGACCTGGGGGCCGAAACAAGGCAGACGGTGAATGCACTTCCAGATCATCATGCCTTTCGACCTGATCCATCCGAACAAGACGCGTTCCCGCAGCGTTCAGCTGGACAATGTCATCACAAACAGCAAGCGAACACCAGCATCTCCACCACCCGCAATTGCCACCAGGTCCAGCAGCCTTGCACATCGCGAAAACGAGCGGCCACACCCCAGCTACCGCAGCTTGTTGGATGTCGAGACTCCCCCGAAGATCGCCCCGTTGAGAGCCATGGAGTTGGACGAGCTACAGCGCGAGATCTTGCCGCTGGCTGAGTGTCAGGCTCCTCTGATTCTGCACTGGCTCCCAAAAACTGCTTTTCCTCATGCTCTGTAGGAGGAAATAAAAGGAGGTGATTTACTAACTTAATCTGTGATGCAGCTTCTAACGGCGCCCCTGTCACCACCCCTCCCGAGCTTCCTATCGGCAAGCCTTCCTCTCCCATTGCGGATGTGGGTCAAGGAGAATATGAGCAGAATCCTAACCTCAGGCCTACAGTCTCATCTGGCGTGATTGAGAACAAGAACATTGTCCGCAGGAAGCTGACGGGCTACGTTGGCTTTGCCAACCTTCCCAACCAATGGCACCGTAAGAGTGTTCGCAAGGGTTTCAACTTCAACGTTATGGTTGTTGGTGAGTAATAGTCCCAATCGTGCACCCCCACCCTTTGGTCCGTCACATCTGACAGTAGAATTCAGGCGAGTCTGGTCTCGGAAAGTCTACCCTTGTCAACACCCTGTTCAACACTTCCCTCTACCCACCTAAGGAGCGCAAGGGACCCAGTCTCGATATTCTCCCCAAGACTGTTACAATCCAGTCTATTAGTGCAGATATCGAGGAAGCAGGTGTTCGCCTGCGCCTGACTGTTGTTGATACCCCTGGTTTCGGCGACTTCGTCAACAATGACGAGTCCTGGAGGCCAATCACGGATAACATCGAGCAGCGTTTCGACGCTTACCTGGATGCCGAGAACAAGGTCAACCGGATGAACATTGTGGACAACCGCATCCACGCGTGTGTCTTCTTCATCCAGCCCACCGGCCACTCGCTGAAGCCTCTCGACATTGAGGTGATGAAGCGTCTTCACACCAAGGTCAACCTGATTCCCGTCATTGCCAAGTCCGACACTCTGACGGACGAGGAGATCACGGCTTTCAAGGCCAGAGTAAGTTTTCGAGATTTGTCTGTCCAATTCTGTTCCTAACAACCCCTACAGGTCCTGGCAGACATCAAGCACCACAACGTGCAGATCTTCGAAGGCCCTCGTTATGAGCTCGACGACGAGGAGACCATCGCCGAGAACAACGAGATAATGTCCAAGGTTCCTTTCGCCGTCGTCGGTGCCACCGGGGAGATCACAAATGCCGACGGTCGCAAGGTGCGCGGTCGTCAGTACCCCTGGGGTGTCATTGAGGTCGACAACGAGGAGCATTGCGACTTTGTCAAGCTCCGCCAGATGCTCATCCGGACCCACATGGAGGAGCTCAAGGAGCACACCAACAACCTCCTCTACGAGAACTACCGTACAGATAAGCTCATCCAGATGGGTGTCTCGCAAGACCCAAGCGTCTTCAAGGAGGTCAACCCAGCTGTCAAGCAGGAGGAGGAGCGTTCCCTGCACGAACAGAAGCTCGCCAAGATGGAGGCCGAGATGAAGATGGTCTTCCAGCAAAAGGTCGCCGAGAAGGAGTCCAAGCTGAAGCAAAGCGAGGAGGAGCTGTACGCCAGGCACCGGGAGATGAAGGAACAACTGGAGCGCCAAAGACTGGAGCTCGAGGAGAAGAAGTCGAGAGTCGAGAGCGGACGGCCAATCGAAAAGGAAGGCAAGAGGAAGGGATTCTCCCTCCGATAAGCGTCGACTCCCTGAGCGCCTTTCTTCTACGATCCACGCCTGCATACGCCTTATGCCCATGCACTACCAGCCTGCCGCTTGTTTCACATTTCGTCTTCACTGTCACCATTTTAATCACGTCCTACCTAATCCTCGAAAAGTCCTCCACGGTACGGCTAATCAAAACGGCCCCTTGGCTCGTAGCAAAATGGCACCCCGACCAAGACCAGAACTACATACTTTGGAGAAAGAAGGCGTGTCGCATTTGAGCGGTTCTCTTCGCCCCTACCCGGGGTCCCCGCACCCTTCTGCATCATACACTTTTGGGTTGGGGATCTCGGCTCAGGTATTTGCGATGCCCAAAACAGCCTAGAGTACATTTCCATACTCCATCGAACCAGGAGCTGGTCTGGCAACGCACGGCTCCCTGGTGCAAGCGTACACACAGCGCTGGCTTTTTCTTCTTCGCAACCACGTGTCGGCTCGACATTTCGAAATACGACTTTCTATAATTTATGACGGACGTTGAGACCCCTCCTTGCCATAGGGGACCAGTCCAATTTCGCTGGTAGCCCACGACCAACACTTCGGGGAACTTCCTTCTTTCTTCTCGGCGAGGCGTCTCTATGGCCTCTCAGAAGTTCTGGCAGTGGGCCATGGGATGTGCGACGACGTGTGACGGAGAGCAGTGGCTGTGATACCTAATCATGGAGGATGAGGCCGGTTAGGTGGACGGTCGAGCCGTGGGCGTAGATGTCTTGTGTGGATGCATCTAGTATCTCAAAGACCGGTTTTTGTTTGGAATCTGGGATCGCATTTGACGGCTTTACTCTACTATCATACCCCCTCATGCCCCTGATTCTCCCAAGCACGTCTTTCTTCTTTTTTATTTCCCCCGGCCCGTTTAGTGTCGAGTACTACTGCGTTTTCCTTATCGTCGCCCTGCAGCTCTTCTCTAGTTTAGTGGTTTCTGATCATAAAATGATGGATTTCCATCAAACATTTTTGTGTTGCCCCTCGTCGTGACATTGGTGCTACCAACATGCTAACCAATCGCAAGGCGTCCGGAGGCTCCAATGGCCTTGAGCCGCATTGTATTTACGTCCAGCAGGTGCCGCTGCCGCTACCAACTGTCCAATGTGAGGCGGCAAATTTTCAAGAACATGACAGATTGGAATCTTGTAATGAATGTCTTGCGCTCATGCGACTTGCAGTGGCAGGCCAGAAGCTTCCACGTGCACCCAAAGAACATGCTGTTGACGGAAATGAGCTGGAACATGCAGCAGCTACGCCGGGAGAACCACCCGCAGCGGTAGCCCGTGTGGCCAACGTCAGCCAAGCTGAGACTGCCTCGAATGAAGGAGATTATGAAGTGGTGTTACAATTGCCTCGCGTTTGAACATCTCATCTATGTCTACCGTTCAGGCACATAAATTCCTGATTTGGACATTATATACAAGGCAGGCTGATTGAGTCATACAGAAAGGCGCCCCCGGCCCCTCGAGCGTACTCGCAGCAACTAGTCGTCCTATCCGCTCATCTCCTCCTCAAGTACCAGTTGAACGCCAGCTGCATGACGTGCGGCGGGAACGGCGTCGGTACCTCAGCGTACCTCTGGCGCGCCACGGGATGCCGCAGGTACACAGCCGCGCAGATGTTCTGGTTGACCTCGAGGTAGCGCGGGATGAAGGCGAAGGCGCCCATGAAGCGCCGCGGCTCCCAGGGCGTGAGGTACGGCTTGGAAAGGTCCTCCGGGTTGTCCTCCCACTCCTTGAGCAGCTTGTTCATCCGCGAGACCTCCTCGCCGGACATGACGTAGTCTGCACGCTTCGCAGGCTGGGCCTTGTCCTCCTTCTGCTCCTTTCGCGTCTCTTGCGTAGCCTTGGCGACCTCCTCCGCGGTGAAGGCCCCCGACTCTTCGGCCTTCTTCGCGATTGACGGGTCGGCGATGGCCAGGTCGCGGAGCATCGCGTTGACCTCATCTATGACCGTCTGGTCGGACGCAACCTCGGCCTCGCCACCTGCGCGGCCTGCTTTTGCGAGTGCGGCGCGGGACATCTTGATGAAGTTGCGGAACTTGCGCTTCTTCTTGACCTTCAAGTCGCCCTTCTGTTGCTCCAGGATGTCCTTGGCTTGCTTCGACAGGAATCGCAGCACACGGGGGATGCTGCCTGGTGCATTGGGCTGGACCTCAGTGGAAGTCTCGCCCCCCTTTTTAGCCTCCTCTTTTGCTAGCCTTGCCTCAAATGCGTCGACATTTGGTAGTTTGGTTCCTGGGGCAACTTGCTCGCCTTCGCCTTCGCCTTCGCCTTCCTCTCCCTCGCCCTCCGCAGCAGCCTCCTCGCTATGGCCCTCACCCTCCTCTTCAGCAGCATCCTCCTTTGATGCAGCAGCTTTGCGGCTCTTCCTGGGGGCCTTGGGCGGCGGCGGCGGCTTCTTCTTGCCCGTCGCGAGGAGAACGAACTCGGGGTTAACCTGGAACATGTCACCGGGATTGAGAAGATAGCTTGGATGCGTCATCTGCATTGATTGAGGTTAGTCTGCGAAGTTCGACACAGAAGCCCGGATGGCTGTTCGGCTCTTACCACTTGGCCATTGACTTTGACCGCACCGTGGATGACAAACTGCCGCGCCTGGCGCGTACTGCTGGCAAAGAGGGCCCTGAAGATGGCCACATCAATTCTCCTCTCCAGAGGGGCGTATGCCATGTTCATGTACGGGGTCTGGCCGCTGAACTGTTGCAGGTTTGTCTCCCTGCGCGAGGGAGGCTGGGTCTCGCTTTCCGGGATCAGATCCAGGTCTGTCTTGGGTGCAAAACCAGGCTTGGGCCTCTTGTTCGGGATGGTCTGGCCGCGCTCGTGCCATGGCGTGACATCCTCGAAGCTGGGCTTGTCCTTGCCGGAGCCTCTGCCTGCGGCTTGCTCGGAGCCGTCGTTGTGAGCCATGTAGACAGGGTCCATGTTGACGACGGAGAGCATGCGGCGGCTGAACATGCGCTCCCACTTGCTCTCCTTGATGTGCTCGCCGTGGTAGGCACGGGTCAGGGCCTTTGCGTTCCATTTCTGCTGGAAGAAGGTCCTGGAGATGTAGTTGGGTATCGTTCGCTCAACCTTGGACAGGTTGTAGAGGTTGTATTTGTTCCATGTTTGGCGGACTCTCTACTCGGTGCAAGCGCACTGGTCAGCCGGACTGGATTGGACAGTTTGACATGAGGAATTGGACATGACGAGGCACGCCGTCAGTGTGTGGGAGGGCATCGCCGAGGCGAGACGAGAATGGTGACGACGGGTGCAATGCTTACCCCCCGTTTCAAACTGTGGAACTTTAATGTTCTTCTCAACTTCATCCTGGTCTGCAGAGGATTCCGAGCGGCACAGACCAGACTCAAGATGCAAGAGGGCGAGGGATTCGGGTCGAGCTGGCCGCGTCCGCGAGGTGGTCGAGCTAGGACGGTGGTCAATGGGTGAACGGCTCGAATTCTGCCGTGTCGTCTCGCGCGAGACGTCGCCCAGCTCCCGCGCGACTGACTACTCACCAAATTTTTAGCACTGCTCTCACTCAATCACCCGTCGCACTAAACCGAGCTCTGTGCTCCACACATGATTGGGGGCGGGCGGCCCTCGAGCATGGATTGACTGTGGGGAACCTGCAAAACCCTGGCTGCACTCTATCGCAGGCTTATCGGCACGCCTAGGTACCTAGGTACTATTGAAAAAGTTCACAGCTGCCGGCCTGCGATGGACCTTCTTTTCTTTTCCAACCATCCCCAGCCCCCATCGAGTGCAATCTGACCACCTCTTCTGCACTCCTTTCAAGGCCGGGCTTTTCAGTGCAGAGCGAGCTCCTCAAGTCGACCGCCGCATCATTACAACACTACCTAGGTACCTGCCTTCCCTAGTCGCGGCCAGCCATTGTGCCTCGGACCCCACCAGCCCACAAGACTCACCTCGCCGGAGAGTCACACTTTTCGCGCCACACAACACCTTCCACGCCCTCTCTCCTCAACTGCCCGCCCGTCTATTGAGCGCCCCCCAATCCTCTCTTGCCTTGCCATTCGAGACTTCATTCCAGAAAGACAAGATGGCCGACCCAACCACCCAAACTGAGGCAACCCAGCCCGAGGCGTCTGCCCCCGTCACAGAGACCGCCACCGACGCTGCTCCCGCCGTCGAGACCACTCAGGATGAGCCTGCCAAGGCTGCCACGTCCGAGCAGGCTGCGGCGACTGAGAAGAACGGAGACACTGTTATGGAAGAGGGTGACGCCAAGGAGGACAAGGACCGCAGCGCCCACAAGACCGGAGCGCATGCCCAGCACCACGACAACAAGAGCAAATTCGATCCTTCCGTCTTGTCTGTCACCGATGACCCCCATATGATCCGTGTCCAGGTACGAACACAAGCTCGAGGCACCAGGGCTACATGAAGTCCTCGCTGACAGTTACCTAGGTCGAGTTCTACTTTGGCGACAACAACCTGCCTCAGGACAAGTACATGTGGAATTTGTCGGGAGGTTTCGAAAACAACCCCGTCCCCCTCAAGACGATCTGCTCATTCGGTCGTATGCGCCGTTTCCAACCCTACGAGGCCGTCGTCAAGGCTCTGCGCGACAGCCAGTTCTTGGTCATCTCCGGTGAGGACGGCAAAGAGACAGTAGCACGCAAGGTCGCCTACAAGTCTTCCAGGCCTGGCGACAAGTTCCCGGTCTCCGTCTACGTCAAGGGCTTCGGAGACGAGCAGCCGTCCACTCAGTTCGACATCGAGGCGTTCTTCGCCAAGTTCGGGCCAGTTAATGCCATCCGACTTCGCCGAGATGATGACCATCTTTTCAAGGGCTCCGTCTTCGCAGAATTCGAGTCGGAGGAGCACGCCAAGGCGTTCTTGGCCCTTGACCCCCCGCCCAAGTATGAGGGGCGTGACCTGAAGATCATGTCTAAGCGAGACTATGTCGACGAGAAGACCCAGCTGATCAAGGAGGGGAAGCTCGAGCCCAGCAAGAGCAAGGGTCCTCGAACCTTCTGGGAGGGCCAGGACCTCAGCCGTGATCGCAAGGGAGACCGCTTCAGGGGTGACAAAGATGACTGGAAGGCCCGCAAGGATTACGACCGCAAGAGCAACAACCGAGGCGGCCGAGGTGGACGTGGGCGGGGTCGTGGAGGTCGTGGTCGAGGCGGCCGCGATTTCGACCGCAACAGGCGTGATGGAGACCGCAGGGACAACGCCGACGGCGAGAAGTCTGGCGAGTCCAACGGCAAGCGCTCTCGCGATGAGGATGGCGCCGCCGCCCAGGAGCCCCCAGCCAAGAAGGTCGACACCAAGGCAGAGGCTTGAGGGGGTCTTGGATTAGCATTTGGACAGGATGAGCTGCAGACTTCCTGAGTGATACCCGGATCGATATCTTCGGCATTTGGAACAGTTTCCTTCGCACTCCCAGGATTGCGAGTCCAAAATTCGGTGGGTAGGATCGGCGTTAAATGGTTGGTTGCTTTGAAACATTGGTCATCAGTTTGGAAATGTAAAGTCCTCGCGGGTGGTCACAGTCAGGCCCGCCATCCACGAGTTAAGTGGCAACTAGCTGAGCGGCAGCTAGATGGGGGGCCTCTTGGGTGCATCAGGTCTGCATTGGCATGGGGCATACTGAGGTTTGCTCGTGGATAAAGACATCACGCCGAGATCATGTCTCTGCCGCATTTCTACGTGAGAGAGCTGAAGAGTAGGCCTTTAGGGACTTGTATAACTTGGTATCATTACAGGATCCTTTCCTGAGTCCGTGACAGCTCGACGGGGAAGTTAAAAAGAGTATCCATTCCATTGTAATGGCCAGCGATCGTGCGGCAACCTTTCTGTAGCACTTTCAACCGGACTTTCGAGCACTGGCACTGTGTGAATCACTGCATTCAACGCATGCACTGACAGTAATGACAAATGTGAACGTGATCTTAGATGGGCTCCACAGAGTTAAGTAGTAGGTGTACAACTTTGCACAAACACCTCAACTACAATTGTGAATACACAGATAGTCTGGTCCACGCAGAACTCCTCCCTGATTCCCCAAAGCGATGTTTTGAGTGGTTTCGTTCACGATCCGAATACATTCCGAGGGCATACAGCCCCCTCACTCAGTAAGTAGTAAAAGCTCCAAGACCCAACGGTGGTTTTTTTTTTTTTTTTTTCTTACTTCTTTTTTGTGTTGATTTTAATGTTTTTTTTAAAACCGGATATTCGCACCCGCAAAAAAGTAGGATACACCTACTTATATTAAGTAACTTAGAGATCACATAAAGTACTTAGGTTAATATGAAACTAGTTATCTAATAGGCTTATCCTATAGGATATTTTCCTATCTAGGTAAAGAAGGTTATCCTAGAGGAGGGTGTGTATTCTTACCCGTACCCACGTATCAGAACACCAGAATTCGTGAGGAATCTAACGTCTGAAGGTGTAGGTAGTTGGGTTGTTGATTAGAAGAATCAGCTATCGAAGGGCGCCTGCAGAAGCGTGGTTTTGGCTGCCTGCAGGGCTTGCTTACGTAACTAGACTACGGATCCACAAGGGTGTCTTAGAGGTTGTCTAATAGGAGATTGTCTTATAGGAGTTGATTCCTTGGGGCTTGGGTGTACCCTCCATTATAATATGTGGTTATTGCCTAAGAACTTGTGTCGGTAAGAAGATAACGAGCAGCTCATCTCACTGGGAGATGGCTTACAACTGGTCCATGGTATGCGATTGCCTCAAGATTACTTCAAGAGGTCACCCCATTGAATGTTGTCCTAGTACGGGACAGAACGTTGTCCTAATCGAATTTTTACGCACAGGAGATTAAAGTTATCCCCTAAAAGGTTGACAGATAGGAGCTTAAAAGACCGTCCCATAAAAGGTCACCCTGTCGCCAATGGTCAGCATAACTTGCAGTTGAAAAGTCCCCATTATTCTTTCTCCCAGTAGAGTCCTGCAGGCGAATTTCCACGACTGCTCTGACTCGATTCGGAAACTCATACACAGGTCTCCAAGTAGACCTCAAAATATATAATTGGTTCCACAACGCACAGATTAGCTACTCGCTTAAAATGACTGTGTGATTCCCTATCAACCAGAACAAGCAGACTCCCGAGGTTAAGTGGAAGTAAACACTGAGGGGATGAGACGGCACTATTGTTTGTAGTTAAAATAGTAGGGGCACAGAACTTAACTATTTAATAAAATAGTATATTAACCGCTAACTTAGTATACCTTACTTGGATCTAGGCGTAGTTATTAATCTATATCTTTAAGGTATTTAATAAATAGCTTAAGGAAAATATAGTAATTAAAGAATAAATATAATAAAAAATTATTTTAAAGGTAAAATAAAAAGGATAATAATAAATAAAGCTTTTTTTAATTATTATAAAGCTATTTATAATATTTATATTAATTTATATTATTATAATAATATAATAAGATATACTTTATAAAGTATATATAATAAATTATATATATATTTTATAAAGTATAAAGTTTATTTATATAATTATAATTAAGCTTTATATTAATTAAGTATTAAGTTAATAATTAATTAAAATTTTAAAATATAAATAGTTAATTAAAACTTTAAAATATAAATAGCTTTAAAGTATTATTTAATTAATTAATTAAAACTTATACTTAAAAGGTATAAAGCTAATTAAAGTATATATCTCTTTAAATATAAATATAAACTACTTTAAATTAAAATAAAGTTATAACCTATAATCTATTATTTTAAATCTTATTTATAAAACTAATATTATATTATATTATATTATATTATAACCTTTATAAATATTAAAAACCTTTTATTTAAAACTTTTATTATTATATTTATATATCCTTAAAATAAAAACTAAATATAATTATTATTCCCTACTTATCTATATATTTTAATATATTATTATTATTTAAAAATATAACTATTATAGCTCTTAATAATATATATAAATCTTACTCTTATATATATATTATAAATTACTACTAATATACTTATAAAATTCTAAATAATTTAAAATATTATTTAAATTATTATACTTAAAATATAATAAGCCTATTTTAATAATATACTATTTAATAATATAAATATTAAATATATTTAAAACCTATCTACTATTTACTCTTTAATAGTTAACTTATTCTATTAAATAAATATATATAAGTTTTCTTAATTTTAAAAATTTTATTATAACTATAATTTAAATTACTAACTATATTAAAGTACTTATATATTAAAAATATATTAATAATTATAATTTATAATTAAATTATATAACTAACTTTATTATAATTAATTTTTTATATAAAGTTTTTATATATTATTATATAAACTATATATATAATTATAAATCTATTAATTACTAATAACTTATTAATTTAATTCTTACTTTAGTAAGTTCTATTACTTAAATAATATACCTTTCTAATCTTTTAATTCCTAACTTTATAATAATCTCCCTTCCCCTTTCCTTTTCCCCTACTCCTACTCATTCCCCTTCCCCCCTCCCCCTCCTATATTAATATTTACTTAATTATAAAAAAGAATTTTTAAAAAACTTTAAATATATTAATATTAATAAGATTTATTTAATTTAAATATTCTTAAATTATATTTTTATAATTTATAATAAAGTTAAAATTTATAAAAGTTAAGATTTTATAAAAAAGGATTCTTTTAATAATATTAAGATAAATAGTATAAAGGTTAATAAGTTTAAACTTTTTAAGTTTATTAAATAAACTTTTACTTAAAAACTATTTTATTAATAATTTCTATTAATATAAATATAATATTACTATACTTTCCTTTAATAAATATAGGTTTAAACTTAAAGATTTTTAAAAGAAGAGAATTAAAAATAAACTTTTAAAGATAATATTTAAAAATAATATAACTACCTTCTTATATAAATAAAGCTAATAGAATTATATTTAAATAATTAAAATTTTAACTCTTTTAATTAAAAATATTTATTATTATTTCTTTTAATAGGTTTTAATAAAAAGTTTATTAATTTAAATAATATAAATAAATAAAACTTTTATTAAATATAAACTTAATTAAATAAAATTTTTAATACTTTATTAATAATAATTTAAATAAGTTTTTAATTAAAATATATAATATAAATAGTAATAACTTTATAATTAATATATATAATATATTTTAATTATTTTATTAATTTATATTAATTTATTTAATTATTTTATTTTATTAATTTAATAATATTTAATATATAATAGTTTAATTAAAAGGCTTTATTTTTAATTTATTAAGTAGTAATTTATTATACTATTTTATTTATAAAGTATATAAGGAATAAATCTATTATATAAGGTATAAAAGATTAAAGTTATAAAAGTTAAAATTATATTTATAAAATTTATTTATTATTAATATTTTATTAAATAATTTTATATATAAAGTATATTATAAACTATAGACTATTAACCTTAAAAGAGTATTATATAAGCCTTATTAAGTTAATAAATATATATAATTATATAAAGATTTTTAAATATTTTATTATAAAATTAAACTAATATTTATACCTTATAAAGTATAGTTATAATTTATTATTTATATTTTATAAAATATAAATATTAATTAATAATAATATAAAATAGTATTAATAATTAATTAAAATAATTTTCTTTTTTATTTATAAATTTAAAAGTAAATTAATAATTTATATATAATAAATTATAATAATACTTATATAATATTTATATTTTATAAAATATAAATAATAAATTATATTTATATTTTATAAAGTATAAATATTAACTAAATAATAATATAAAATAATATTATTAAATTATAATATAGTTATTAAGATTAATATTAGGTAAAAATAGTTTTTTTATTTATAAACTTATTAAAAACCTATTTATCTTTTAAATTTATATATTAGAATTTAAAAAGTAGTAAAGTAAATAAGTATTAATATAACTATTAATCTTTTTAAACTAAAAGTATATAATTATATAAAGTTTTATATATATTATACTTTTAAAAATATTTTAAATTTTATAATTATATTTAATTAAATTATAAATACTAACTTATTATTAAAGTTTATTTAATAATTATAACTATAAAACTTATTATTTTAATTATATACTTAAATTTATTTAATTTTAAATATTTTTATAATAATATTTTATATATTCTTTTAAAAATATAAATTTATAAAAGAGAATATTAAATAAAGTTTAGTTATAAAATTTTTAAATTTATTAATAATATTAATAATTTTATATATAGTATAATTTAATTATATTTTCTTAATTTAAATATTTTAAAGTATAAAAGTATATTAAAT